AGCTCTCCCGCGCTGCCTAACCCTCCGCGCTGGGGGTAGCCTGAGACTTTCTAGAAGTCTTTTGGATTGGCCTGCAGACATCGGTGCTACTCTCTCCGACCGCGCCGCAGGGATCTCCACCGTGGGCCTCACACACTTCTCGCTTCTCGCGCAGCCGTCCGTCCTTGTGCGTGACAGCCGTCCGTTTCTGGCATCGCGAGCCTCTTTAACCGCCTCTGCCTCGCCTACGCCCAAGCGCGCTGCGTCTTTGGCTCCTCACCACACCACAACAACACCCACACTCCCCAGACTCTTCCAGTCGCGCCCGCTCTCAGGCGCGCAGCAGTAGCCCTCGCTGGATTACTCAAGGACACACAGTGGTCAGTCTTGGCCGGGCGCAGGCGTGAGAACTCCGCCGCAGACCAGCACTCTGTATTCACTTCCCTCCCCTCCCCTCTCCTCCAACGACCGGCCAGCAGGCCAAGGACCTGAGAAATCCTTCAACGTGGCTGCCGCCGTCGCTCTCCCGACCCATATGCATCCTGGGCCGGATTCTATGGGTGCACCAACGAGCCTGACTGCTCGCCGGCCTAACGCTTCTTCTCTGCCTAACTTTGAGCTCCCTCCTCCTCCGCTTTCGAACATCCAGAAGTTCCCCACCTTCTCATCCAACAACTCGCAATCGCCCGCGACAGGCAACATAGGCAATCTTCTGACTCCGCCTAGCAATTTGTCTGACGGTATGAGCTCCAACGCGCAGTCGTCGCAAAACATGTCCTACAACCCGAACGGCTACGTTTGGTCGCCACCTCCCCAAGGCTCTACGCCGTATGGTTTCCAGCCTCAAGCTCCCTCGACGTCACAGTCGTATGCCACTCCTCGAGGTTCGTACCAAACAAAGCATCAAAGAAATCGACTTCTTTTTTTGTGTGGTCAGTCATCAGCTAACAAGGCTAACAGGCCTACCTCCGCCTCCGTACGAACTCAACCACCTCCCACCTTTCCCCTCTTCAGGATCCATGTCCGCCCCTTCATCTTTGCCAACCATGTCAGGACCGCAAAGCTCCATGTCCAGCATGATGAACTCTCAACACCCGGTCTCTTCCTCGGCACCGCACCAGTCTCCCATCCACCACTCCCAGGAACCGTACTCGTCAAGGCTGCCGCCCACCCCCACTTACCACTATAATTCTCAGCCATCCACGACCCCGCAACAGTCGAACTTCCCCTATTCCACCGGACCTTCTCCAACCCAGCCTAGTCCTCTGAGCGCAGGTGCAGGCATGCATAGGATGTCTCCTGCCCACAGCTCAGCGCAGGTCCCCTCGATGCAGTCTGGACCCGCGCACTCACCACTTCCCTACCAGCGGCCGTACCAGAGCTATCCGCTCCCCGGACCCGTCCTTTCTAACGTCAACAACCCGAACGGCCAGCTCGCATTGGTCGGTGGCATGCACCACGGCGGCATGATGCCCGGATTCCCTAACAGCGGGCACGCGGCGAGTATGGGCCACATCTACGGCCAAGCACATCCGGGAGCCCACCAGGCACCACCGAACGATCGCCCTTTCAAGTGCGATCAGTGCCCGCAGAGCTTCAACCGGAACCACGACTTGAAGCGTCATAAGCGGATCCACTTGGCGGTCAAGCCTTTCCCGTGCGGTCACTGCGACAAGAGTTTCTCGCGCAAAGATGCGCTGAAGGTAAGAAGCGCCACCGATTCTAGCGGCTAATACGCTTTTTGGATGGGACGGGTCGCTGACTGATTTACAGAGGCACATCCTTGTCAAGGGTTGTGGCAAGGCCGCAGCAGCAGCAGAAGCCGACAAGCACGACGGATCCGTCTCGCCAACCGATAAAGGCTCGATGATTAGCGAGACTAGCGAGCACAAGCCTGTTCTCTCGGGCCATTAATGAGGCGTTCTTCGATTCCACGCTTACTCCTTGGACACGATACCCCTTTATCTCCAGTCTCGACTCTCCGTTGTATTATTCGCCTTTACGGTTCTGCTGCTGTACCAAATCCACATTCTCGATGCCCTGAAGACCGCGGTGAACTGAGCGCGCGGGCTACGGTGGCCGAAGACGATTTCCACGATCGTCTAGGAGCCCGGTCTTCAGGACCATGAGATTTGATTCTTCTTCGCTGTCGATATTTTGGGCTTACTAGAGCCGATCGCAGCAAAACTTTCTACCACCCGAATAGGGTTTTTTGTTGGATATATTACTTTGTCGACTTCTTCGAGAGTTTTGATGTTCATTTTCAGTCGCTTCTGTTTGACATCTATTGTTTCTCTCCGAAACCAGGATACCTATTATGTTTTTCTGCTTGTTGCTAGGATTTCTTTTCGAAGCTTCCTATTTTCTTCGATCAGGGGTTCGGATTTCTCTACGGCACCACGGCAGCGATACGGAAAGGTTACATGTTCATTTTGTCCTCTCTCAGTTTCGGAGCATTTTCAGATTTTTGGCGGGCGGTACGGAGTAACAAGCGCGGAATTTCTTTTGTCAGGCATGTCTATACGGTGTGGGATGATCAAACACGGCGCGCCTGTTATTTGGGTTGGGCGCCGCGTGTCTGGGCTGTGTTTGGGAGTCAAAAGTATCATATTACGATATCAAGATACCGTTACAGCATCATATGAAATCATGGATCACAATCCTCAATATCTTCATGAAGCGCCGAAGACACGGGCCGTGATACGTCGGGCGGGCGTCCGGGTAGATGATGGATCTGGTACTAGGGGGGCGTCGCCACCACCGCTTGGCCGAGGACAACCGGAGCACACGTCTGGGCGTGTCTGGTATGTAGCTTCCGCGCTTTTTGGAAAATTCGATGGCAGCCTATAGTCTTGACTCCACATGCACGAAGAACACCTGCCCACGGACCATGGATGGGTCGAGGCCTTAACGAGCTATGAGCAGGGGTGGGTGTTTGGGTGGAGGCGGGCCTACTACGGCGCAGCGAGTGGTCTGGCCCCCAGAACGAACCAAACCACGCCGTCCGCAAAATGCGAGCTAGCTGCGAGCTTCCAGGCCACCCCAGGCGCGGCAAAAAGCGAAGAAAAAAAGGAGGAAAAGGACAAAGCACCCGCGAGGCAGAGACTAACGGGCTTCAATGCGCTGATTCAAAAGTCATGCTCTTTGGGTGCGAGGCTGGGTGGGAGACAAAGCAAAGACGGACACCTTCCGAAAAGAGATGGAACTGCATCTAGATCTCGGGGCCGGCTAGGTGGACTGAAGCGGGCTGGGCAGACCCGTCTTCCTTTGGGTCGCCAGAGACCCTCGGACAAGGGTGGCACAGAAATTACAAAACGTCGAAGACAATGGGTTGGGGCGTGTTGTTTCCCGATGATATCAGAGCGAGACAAGGTAATATTACTTGTTGCTGCGGCCTTTTCACCACTGTTTATTTCGTTTCTTTTCCTCTTTGTCTTGGATTGGGCGAATGTGTTCCGGGCGGATGCCAGCCACACGCCGGAGCAGGTTTCCATTTGTGCCGAACGGGCGAGGCTGAATGGCTAGGAGTGGGCGTGAATGCAGCGGGGATCGTTCTGCGTGTTCCCGGCGCAGCTGGGCGATGGGCGGCTGGTGTCTAATAATACCTGCGTCTTTTTGCTGGACACAAGCACACATTCCGGGCTTCGGCACAATGCCGAACGCGCAGGCTCACCGGCGACGACAGAGCGCGCGCGCTCAGCATTCTTGCAGAGCCTGATCGAGGCGACGCGGGAGACTGGCCCGCTGAAGCATGCGCCTGACTAGTGGCGATCAAGGGATGTGGTTGGTGGGCAGGGGCGAGCTAGAGAAGAGACTTGTCAAGAAGTTGGGGGGAGCATTTGTCAGGATGAGACACGTCGCGTGGGCGGGGAGCAGGTCGTGATGCAGCGATTCGGCGTGAGGCAAGAGGTGTTGGCGGGCTCTCTGCGAGGTCAGTTGGACGGATGTGCCGCAGGGTGCAGGGCGCGGTGCGACGGGAGCGATCTCGGTCAAGCTCGGATCGGCGTGCGCGCGATGACGCTTGCCCGCAGCGGCTTCCCGTCCCCACACGACGCCTGAGGCTGTGATCCCAACCGCTTTCCTCAGCATTGTTCGAGGTCGACCTCCCAAAGCATGAGCGGAGAACGCCATCGCGGCCTCCTGGCATGGAGGCGCTGGTCGCGACCTGGCTCGTGGGCCTCAAAGTCGTCCGTCGCACAGAGAGAAATGAGCGCTTTACGCGCATCGTGAAGAAGTAGGAATTTCTGCCCTGTATTGGAGTTGTCTGCGCGCGCGATGATGGGAGAAAGCAACAGCGGCGACGTGCCCGCTATGCCTGCGGTTGCGGTCTCTGCAGCTGTCGGCGCGCATTCTTTCGCCGCGTGGCCATGGCAACGGTCTGATATCCGCACACAAACAGCCGTCTCCGTGCAAGTCCATTCTTCGCACGCCCTCGCCGAGTGTCCAGTTTTCTTGGACGAAAACCTCAATTTCTCGTTCAGTTCAGCGCGTGCGTGGCCTGGTGCCTTCCCCCCGCTGTCGCCTCAGCCTGCGTTGCTGCTTCGAGTCGGGAAGGAGCCACCGCGCGCCGCTGCAGGAGTTGCGCCTCCGACGCTGGCCATCACCCGCGCACACCACTTCCGCCCTTCTCCAGCACCTACTTCTTCTCCGGCCCGGCAAGTCCTTCAATCTCCATTTCGCTGGAGCTTGGCCTTGTTTGCCGAGCCGTCCGCTCCTTTGCCGTGCGCTGTGCTCATCCATTGGCCCTTCGCCAGGCTTTCAAGCATCACTTCTTTCCCACGCCGGCCTCGCTCTCCCGGACACCATCGGTCGGGCATACGCTCCTTCTCCAACCCGGCCGGCTTCTCCTCCGACGGCCACCTTCGGTCGGGACGTCCACTTTTCCTTCATAGACCTTTCCCCACCATCGCCCGCTCCGCTCAAGCCACCGCAGCCACCCGCCGCCCTGTTGATATCAACCACAACAAAGTCACCTGGAGCTCGACTTGAGAAGCTCTAGCAGCTTCGCGAGATCCGGCTTCATGGACCACCCCGGTCGCGCCGCGCGCTACAACTCCCAGAAGTCACGCAAGCCTCTGACAGACGCAACCTCGCGAGCCAACGCGTCAACTCCACCGTCGCGCAACACGAAAGTCGCGTCACAGCATGGCTACGCCCAGCAGCACCTCCCCCACAACGAGTCGATACTGCCTCAAGGTAATACCTTAACCGTCCACCACCCCGGCGCCACAGTCGAGAACAAGCACCTATCGAATGTCGTCAAAGGCGATGGCAGGGCCACCAACCGCGATTCGACAATCTCGACCGCCTCAACCCATGCGAGCAGCAGTAGCCGTCGTAAGACGCACATCGGGCCATGGCAGCTTGGCAAGACCATTGGCGAGGGAGGATGCTCGCGCGTCAGGGCAGTCAGGCACAGCGTCACGGGCCAGCTCGGCGCGGCAAAGATCATCTCCAAAAAGACTGCAGACAAGGTCAAGGCTCAGAGCTTGCTCAACCTGTACAAGTCCGCTGAGACGGACCCAAAGCTTGCTGCACACATGAAAGCCATGCCTTTTGGCTTGGAGCGCGAGATAGTCATCATGAAGCTGCTAAACCACTCCAACATTGTCAAGCTATTTGACGTTTGGGAGAATCGTAGCGAACTGTAAGTAACCATATTTGTGGCCATGGGTTACTGCAATGCTAACAATGTCCAGATACCTTATCATGGAGTACGTCGAGGGCGGAGAACTCTTCGGATATATTGATGAGAATGTTGGTCTTCCTGAAATGGAGACAGTCTACATCTTCCGCCAAATTGTCGCTGCCCTGCTTTACTGTCACCGTATCAAAATCCACCACCGTGATTTGAAGCCTGAGAACATCCTCATCGACGCTGAGAACTTGACGATCAAGCTCGTCGACTTTGGTATGGCCGCCCTACAGCCGGAGGGAAGGTGGCTCAGTACACCATGTGGAAGCCCTCACTATGCTGCGCCGGAAGTCATTCGCTACAAGCAGTACGACGGGGGACAGGCGGACGTGTGGAGCTGCGGTGTCATTCTCTATGTCATGCTCACTGGACAGCCTCCCTTCACGTACAATGATCGCCAGGACTTGACGCACTTGTTCAAGATAATCGCTCAAGCTAGGTATGTTATGCCCGATGGGCTGAGCGAGGAGGCCCAGGACCTCATCAGCAAGATTCTTGTGCCCGATCCCCGCCGCCGCATCAACATCGAAGGTGTTTGGAAGCACCCTTTCCTTCACAAATATGACGCAGAGTTTGGTTTTGATGAAGAGACGGACAAAGACATTTGGAACGGCCCCAAACCTCGCATTAGTCACTGGGATCTTCGCTACCAAGAGGACCTTGACAGGGAGACGTTGCGTAACATGCGCTGCCTTTGGCACAGCGAGTCGGAAGACACCATTGTGCGAAAGCTGTTGAACCACGAGGCTAACCAGGAGAAATTCTTCTACAACTCTCTACAAAAGTACAAGGACCAGCAGCTGGAGCATTGGCCTGGAGAGCCTGAGATTTCTTACTCGGCGAGCGACTACCACCATCTCGCCCGGCCCAGTCAGCCGCCTCCCGTGCCGCACGGCCGCACCAAATCTCAGTACTCTATCCTCAACGATGAGCATCTGCAGGCGGCAAACAGCTTCCAGCAGCCTCCTCCGTCCGAGCAAAGCTACGATCCTTTCCGTGCGTCTAGGGAACCTTCGTTGGCGAACAAGGGTAATTACATGAACGTGACGGTCCACCGTGGCAGTACAGCTGCGAGTGGGCATTCCAGCGGACACCGGAAGCGCAGGTCATCGGTGGCTTTGAGTAGCAACCATGGACGCGGCAGTTCCCTGCGTGTTGACACCCTGAAGAAATCCGGTTGCCGCCACTCCGGTCTCCCTATCATAGACTCACGTGGCAGCTCCAGGAGGGGGTCCGTCGTTTCTCCTGCTGCGCGCCACAGGAAGTCTCTGTCCAAGTCCTCGACGAACAGTTCGGTCTGGGCGAGCTCACCGCCTATAGTTGTGAGACCGAGCAGCTCGCACAAGCGCGGCGTTAGCTTCGCGCACCTTCGCAGGAGTTCCACAGGCAGCCGTCTTACTGTTACGGAGGCTACCTCGGCGCAGGGCACACCTGAGCAACGCAAACACCCGCAGGAGGCCGCTACGCAGAAGCAGCAGCAGGAGCCTATCCCGGCTCTTCCCAGTACCCCTGTTCAGGCATCTACCCCTCCTGCACCTTCCAGCGCTGTCCTGAAGAGCAATAAACATCGCATCAAGGTCAAGGCTCCGGAGACCCCCGGCCGTGCCATCGATGGTGAGGTCCGGAAGGCGAGTGTCGAGCTCGAAAAGGCTCTTGATGAAGCTTTCAACCGTACTTCAGTCAGCTCCAGCGTCCGGACGTCCTCCGAAAGGCCGACACCTTACGAGTATGAGACACCCCCATCGTCAGTTTCCTATCGTGGCTCCGGTGCTTCGGCCTACACCGCAGATGCGCAGGCCCTGAGGCAGACTGATACACAGCGCCCGCTGCCTCCCCTTCCACCGGAGGCCACTCACGACTCACCCAACACCTACCTCGCCCGTGAGCTGGCTGAGACCCGTGAACGCCTTGCAGCACGCTTCGCGTTGGAGGGTGGCGAGAACATCGCCAACTACAACGAAGTTCTTCAATCTCTCGATCGTCTGTTGCACCCGTCGCGTCCAACTTCAGCTGATGCAAACCAACGCTCGGTTTCTGCACCCCAACAGTCGCCGCAGCATCCTCGGCTTTTGCCGATCATCTCAGAGGAGGGGAAAAGCACTCCTGATGCAAGCCCGCATGTTGGGACGCCCAACTGGCGCAGCGCAACTCGTGCTGCTACGGACCCGGTAACTCAGGCACATGACAAGTATTATGGGAACCAGACTATCCGCATTGTAGATGCCAGTTCTCCTGCTGCTACTGGCCCGCACGTTCAGCCCCTCAATATCCGGAAGAAGAGCAGTGGCAGCACACTCGCTCAGGCTGCTGCTTCTGCTACGCCGACCCCTACGCGCCCGTATCACGTCGACTCATTCAGCCCGGCTACCCCTAGCCCTGTTCCTCCGTTAAGCCACAAGCCCAGCCTTACTATCGAGATTGATCAGACGCCATCGCCGTTCGTTCACCGTGACTCTTTGGATGCTGCGACGCAGACGACTCCCTTGCAGACTCCGGTTTCGGCTTCCAGCACAAGCACTACAGCCAAGGACGAGAAAATTACGAAGAAGCGTAGTTGGTTCAAGCGCCGCGTCAGCGATAGAGACCAAACGGAGCAGCAGAACCCTGGCGATTACGCCCGTAGGCCCAGGATCCCAGAGGCATGGCAGGGTCTGGACGATCGTCTGGACAGGCCGAAGCCGCGCGCCTTTTCATCATACACTAAGCAGGACAGAAAACCCTCGACCGGCAGCACCAGCTCGAACAGCGAATTTCCTCTGCGTGACTCCGAGAAGGAGAAGATAGACAAGCTTGCTGGTCTCAGAAAGAACCTGGCCTCTTTGTTCGGCAAGAGGGTCCCGGAGAAGAAGAGTCGTGGCTCCCTGATGTTGAGTGAGTACTGTTTAGTTGACCCTGTTGTTGAGCAATGGAATCGCACTGACCAACCATTCGATCCATTAGTGCCCTCTAACTACTCCGCGAGCTCTCTTCCGTCTTCTGCGTTCTCATTCGGCGATGACTTTGACCCGTCCGTGCCGCGCTACACCGAGGGTCAGAACTGGCTTTCTCGCTTTTTGCACATCAAGCCTGCGACCAGGGTCATCGTTTTCCAGGTCGGCCGTGGCCGCGTTCGGCAGGAGATCGTCCGTCTTCTACGCGATTGGAAGCGGTTTGGTGTGCGGGATGTCAAATTTGACCGCTCCACGAACATTATCCAGGCCCGTGTTGACAAGACCAACCGTGAGTACCATCTTCCAGCCAAGGCACCTGCAAAACTCAAGGGATACTATGAAATACTTGCCAACACCTCTCTTTGTGCTAATTCAGGCATACCTCATCCAGAGCTCCAGATGAAGCCCGTCGCCTTTACCGCCGAGCTTTTTACGGTTCTCCAGCAAGGACGCCGCGCGCAACTCTGCGTGGGTCGCTTCACTCAGACTCGTGGAGCTGCCAGCAGCTTCCGCAAGGTTGTCGATATCCTCGAAGATGTCCTCAAGGGCAAGGGCATCATCATCGAAGACGAGGCCCGTGCTCGCGAGGTAGCCGCCATATTGGGTGGTTAATCTTGTCCGCCCCTTGCACAACGACTTGGAGACTATTGTTGATCGACGTTGGTGCTTACTGGACAACTGGCTGCATCCATACCCTTTACCCTGGGCTATGGCAGTATTGGTAGTCCAGTATTGGCTCCGTACCGTTGGTTGGATGGGTATCCAATTTTTGGCTTTGTTTTGATGCAAGAGTTGGTGGTCGATGGACGACATACTTTTCTGGGAGGCAACGGAACGAACAGAGTGCCACGGGAGCTCTTCCGCTCTCAGTTCCCAGTCTGCTGGATGGTTGCATCTCGGCTGTTGGGATGTGGATCACATTCCTCACTTCCCTATCGCTAAGTTGGAAGACGGTCGAGACTCAGCTTCTTCATTCTGGCCACATTTCGCCCCCGGGTGCCCAGCGACCGATGCTAACCCTCCCTTTGTCAAAGTCATCAAAATTTGCATTTTCGGCGTCGACTCCGACTGTTTTAATTCCACTACGTTCGCTCGCTTAATAACCAGCATTCTCGGCGGCGGCATTCTGCTTTCTATTTTCACGCCTACGGCTTTTCACTCAATGCGCCAGCAACGATTCAAGCGCCTAAAATTCCTCAAAAAAAGTTCTATAAAAACCTACGAAGCCAAGCATTGGCATGTGGGACGACGTGCAGGCTGGCGATTGCCTGCACTTGGGATGTTCGTCTCAAAAATGGAGTTTCGGTCATCCGACCAGTAGAGGGGGGTTTGCTACTTATTGCCTCATCACCGGGTAGTCTCTCATTCTGTTTTCCTACATTCAATAAACAAGTTCCGAGTTCCTCCTATTCAATTCTTTCTTCTTTTCCGAAATCACTTCAGCTTAATTGCATTACACCCTTTTCTTTATCACTCATGATCGAGGGAATAGTGGTGGAGAGTCTGGCGTGCGTTCTGGTTCCTTATAATAATACGATGCGGGGTTTCCTTTGTCTCCGAGATATCTGGTAGTGTTGAAGGAACGGGGAACAGGAAGCAAGTTGAAAAAGAAGAGAGCAGGGGTCTCCTCAATATTGTTGCTGCATGATGGTGGATATGAGGTTGGTGCTGGATTGGTTTGAGGGCTATTGGGGATTGTATGGCAAGAAACAAAAGGGTTTTCTGTAGATACACAACAAGGTTACGAATTTTTGATTTCAATACTGAAGATCAAACGGTATGACATGGACGATTGCCAACCCTCCCACAGCCAAGGGTAACAAAGCCAGCTGCGTGTTTGACTGTTCCATGCCGCCTTTCTCATGGGCAGCTTTGGTGGCATGCATAGCGTGCACCCATGCTCGTCCTGCGCAGCTTCAATAATATCGGTTTTCGCCGCACCCTGTCCCTTGTCGATGATAGCGCACTACTATTTCATTGTACCTCTTGTCTATGACGGGCATTGTAATTCTCTATCGCTTCACGCCTAACCTCTCCATTGTCGGCGGCGCATACCACGGGAAGAAATAACAAGCGAGGCGAGAAAGCATCATCGGATTTTTTTGGTCGGGCATGATGCGTCGATCAATAAGTTTCGGTGACGCGTCATGCGCGCCGCATCCCCCCGCCTTCCTTCTCATGCAAAAATTGTATCTATTTTTTCCCGACTTATCACCCGCATTAAGATGATGCTTCTCCTTTTCGTGTCGATCACTCCAAAAAAAGATACGTATCCCGCATGATGTCACCGCTGCAGGCACGACGTCATGTATGCACAGTTAACTTAGCATTGCATACACGCACGGCATTTTGCGCGTTAGAAACGCACCGTGAAACGATAGAAGGGCGACAGGGCCAACGGCGGAGACAATAGGAAGAGCGATATAAGGGGCAACTGCTGCTGTGACGAAAGGGGAAAATGTGCGTCGCATGCAAAACGAGGCAATGCAACGGTGCAGTAGAACGCGCTGCTGTTTCGCTGCCTCGCAAAGGCCGCTGCATCATGCTTCGACTGGTATGTCAAGGACCCGCACGGTATGTATGTATGCATACTCATAATCAAGCAAGAAACGAGAGACAGAGGGGCAGAGTTTAATCCAGGGGCGAAGCTGAATTAGAGTGGAGTACGCATGTGAGCATGCATACATACGCATCATTTTCGTGTATGCGTTTCCATGGCCACAGAACAGGCCGGGGGGTAAAATGCAGGGAGGAGTAGAACAGAGGACGAGTGCCAACCACACGTCGTACACAACGACGGTACCTTTGTGACCGCCCCTCCCGGCAGGGCTGCTGCACCACATGATCCCAGAGCGGTGGGAAGGATGGAGCGGGTAGTCGCATGCATGCAGAGTTAGCGGAAAGGAGGAAGAAGCGGAAGCACGACGGCCACTCCGTGTATTCCGTGTGCTGGGCCGCTTCGAGGGGAGGGGTGTGCTGCAGGCTGAGGAAAGCGGAAGGATTGTGATGATGCGTTTGATTCAGATGCGGTCGTGGATGGGAATGTGCCGCGCGCTCGCTGCTTGGCCTACGATCCCGCCAACCTCAAGTCGTGCAAATGAGGGGAACGGGAGAGCCTTTGTGTGACAACTCTGCCGAGATGCTCTTGTCATCGACATCACCATCTATCGTCTCGCTAACCTTTGTATCGAAAACCCCTGGATCGAGACTTGTGGGAGGAAGCAATGCGGGAGATTCCGTCGGCTACTTGTTGGACCGTTTGAAGGTGTGTTGCGCAAGATATCTAGTCGACTGAAAAGTATGAGACAGTGGTAACAATGCAGTGGACTCTTCATTATGCTTGTACTCTGTTAAAGACCTAGCATACCAGTACTGGGGGTATTTCGCCTTCCCACCACTCCCCAAAAAGAGAACATCTCAGAACGTTGATCCTGTGCCGTGGATGCTCTTGCCAGACCAAGAGATATCAAAATGTCATTTCAAAACAGTCTCCCTCCCCTTAAACGCCGTCGCTTTTTGATGCTGACCTGAGGGTAATGAACCTGCGCCGCAAAAAAAGAAATCTCTCTCCTGCTGCATCTTCCAAACTGTGTAAAGTCGATCCTGTCGTAATTATTCCCACACACATTCTAGTCGTCACCACTGAGTCCCAAAAAGTCGGTTCCAAACCAGTAGTCCAGCCAAGCCCACACCTTCCAGTACATGCTCGCGACCTCCCAGTCGAAGCTGCCGTCGTCCTTGCGAGGTACCTCGTTGCCAATGACTTCGGTGCTACCGCCCACGAATAGCCTAATGAGCGGGAGTGAGCCAAGCAGCTGCTGCCACTTGTTGCCCACAGGCAGCAATGCCTGCTCCGCCGGCAGCAGCACAGCGCGCTTCGCACCGCGTACGCGCAGTGGCGGCGGAGCGGCTGGCGCAACATCAGCCGGCGCGGCGCCAGGCGTTTGAGCGCTGAGCGTGGCGGTCGCGGTCGAGGAGAAGGACGTCTGCGGCGTGGCTGCGGTCGTGGCGGGCGCAGACTGCGCGGTGCGGGCGGAAGGGCGTCTGCGGAGGGTCGAAGGGCCGGATGCGGTCACGGTGGCGGACGAGGCCGTGTCGGAGGAGCGCGAGGGGCTCAGGCCCGAGGGGCCGCCGCGCAGCGTCGTCGTCGTGTTGCTGGGGCTCGTCTCGACGTCTGTGAAGCCGGCATGCGAGGAGGGGATGGCGATGTCGCGCGCCGGGCCGGCGCCGCGGAAGAGCTCGGCGTAGACGGCATGGCCGTGTAGGACGTGCGGGGAGTAGTGGCATGCCCGGTCTGCGGCCTCGGGCGAGTCGAAGGTCACCTTGATCCAGTGCTCGCCGCCACAGTACGTGTTCTTCTTGCGCAGAGCTGCGGCAGACAGGCTGCGTGCCGCGGCCGTTCGGGTAATGCTCAGGGACGTGTTGTACCTAGCTGAGGGCGGGTGCCGGTCGTAGTCCTCGTACACGATGCCCTCCGAGATGCGCTCGTAGAATTCGATAGCCGCCCACTGTGTCTCGCTGCTGAAACCATATAGTATCACCTCGGTAGGCTCCTTCACGACCGATGACTGGGTAGCCGGGAGCGCAGGCGCGCCGGCAGTGGCTTGCGATGGTTGCGGCGCGGCGGTGGGTGGCTGCTCGGCGGTCTTGGGGGCAGAGGCTTTGACTTGCGTGAAGATCTCGTCGATGGCTTTCAGGTTCGCCACGCGGTTCTGGTCTTCCTTGCGCGCAGGTGTGCCGGTCGTCTTGCTGCGCGAAAGTCCGCGGCGGCGCGTGGAGCGGCCGAATGGTCCCTTCTCTTCGACGTAGCGGCGCTGGCCGTGGGTGTCGCCGCTAGTCTCCTCGTCAGGATCGAAGATCGTGTCGGTCCAGAAGAAGCGCATGTTCAAAGAGAGTGGTCGGTGGAACAGGAGAGGAAGAAGGGAACAGGGTGGGTGCAGGTAGAAAAGTGTTTAGACTTACTCGGCGTACTCGTAGCCCCAAGGCAACTGGCGGCCGGCAGCGTCAAATGCGCGCTCGGACTCAGGCACCGCATGCACCTGCATGCCTCCACGAAACGAATTCATTGCGTCTGATTGATGGGCGGCGCGCGAACGCGATCGAACAGCTGTTGTCAACGACGGATCACAGATGTTTACGCTGGGGATCTGAGATGCGCTGGAAAATCCTAGCTCCGCCCCGAACTGCGGCTGAATCCGTGCCATCCCGGTCGCCATGTTGCCGCGACGCGTCGAGAGATTGGAATTCTGGTTGCTGAACAGTGCTGTCGTCGAAGGAATGAGGATGAATGCGTTGATGGTGGCGGATGAGAGGGAAGGGCGACTGGAGGAAAGTAGGCATCCGAACAATAGCAGGTGATGCTCAATAGGTGAATACAAACGGAAGTCTTGGCGCTCCTTGCTTTCACTTCACATCCAGCCACGCTTCACAGCGAACAGTAATTCAAGGCATAGAGAATGTTTCGTTGTAATACGGTAATTGAATTTGCTAGTGATACTACGAAGCTTTCCAGCATTCCGACCAGTGAGTTGGTATGATCTATTCCCCCAACTGACATCTGACCTCGAACATTTGAGGATTGGAATGCCAGTGTAGGGAAACCGAGCTCCCAGAACATGCATGGCTCAGAAGTAGCTGGGCTCTGCTAGGCACGGTGTGCAGACCGATGGTACAGCAATGCCATACTCGCTGACTACACCGCGACCAAAGCATAGGCGGCCCTTCGCATTAAATGCGTAAAGTATACTACTGAATGCCAAGTTAGCAAACATTCGATGCAAGCAAGATGCCAGAATCGATTGGGTGATTGGGTGTGTCCTCAGTGATCTTGGTGTAAAAAAATCATACCCGAAGGTCAAATACTATCTAGGCGTGATATGTTTTTTAATCATCGGACAGGGGTGTGTGACTGTGCTGGGAAATAGATTTCGCCTTCTTACCTCACGGATTCGGCTCCGAATTGGCCTGACGGCCCAGGGATTACGTCTAGTGAGCACTCAGCTCATGCCGAGGGAAGCCTACAATCATCTAGGCAAGTCAGCGACAGCTCGTTGAGTTGCGTCATGTGATACCGGGGTGTGAGTTGGGTCAGAATATGTAAGAATTGAATATCATCGAACCTACGCCGTTAAGAGTCGCTGGCGGGCGCCTCCGGTCGCAGACATCAATCGCAAATTACCTCATCATTCGAGAGGCTGGGAAAGAAGACGGAAGAACGTACCTTTGCTGGAGCTGCAGCTTGCTGGAGCGCGCGCGAGGCACGCTGCGAAAAGTTTTGGAGAGAAGAAGTTCTCCGGCTCTGGCGGCGCAGAAAAGTCGCGAGGTGCGCCAAGGCCGCCTATGCCCAATCGGGCGTGGCTCGCACACAACCAAAATCATCGGTAAGCGAGCACCTCTCGAGATAGCGAGCACGCCGTGGATTTCGACCTCCCCAACTAACGACAACAGCAGCACCACCGAACCCGTAGCACAGTACGTTACCCACCGCCGCCGCGCACGCCAGCTCGCTATTCTTCTCTCGTTCGCACGCTCACACTCTCGCTTCAGGCAAATCAGCCGCAATGGGTGACGCAGAGGTCAAGGCATCGCAGTGGAGGCTCGTTGAGGTCGGCCGTGTCGTCCTCTTCGCCCAGGGCCCCTTCGAGGGCAAGCTTGCCACCATCGTCGAGATCATCGACCACAAGCGCGTACGTTGAGCGTCCTCGCCGCCAGCCGCCGCGCTGCGCGGACGCCGAAATACGGGCCCTTGTACTCACATTTCCACAGGTCCTCGTCGATGGCCCCGCTTCCACCGCCGACAAGGTCGTGCCCCGCCACGCCTCTCCTCTCTCCCACCTGTCCCTGACTCCCATCGTCATCGCCAAGCTCCCCCGCGGTGCTGGCAACGGTGCCGTTAAGAAGATCTGGGAGGCCGCCGAGGTCGAGAAGAAGTTCGGCGAGAGCGCATGGGCGAAGAACAAGGACAGGATCGCCAAGCGCCGGGCGTTGAACGACTTCGAGCGCTTCAAGGTCATGAGGTTGAGGAAGCAGGTTGGTAGCCCTGGAATCGGAGGGCGAAATGAGGGTTGAGGCAATGTCGCGACACTGCGCAACACTGCTTCTGCTCTTACTCGCCGCGCAAAGATATGAACTATTTACTGACATGTCTGGCTTTAGGCCAACTACGAGGTCAAGAAGACCTTCGCCAAGCTCCGTGCCTCCGCCAAGGCGTAAAAAGTTCCATCGGTGAGACGGGGTTCTTAAGGACGGGTTGTTTTACGGCATTACACTGGAGAAGGTCTTTTGAGGTCTGCATGACCCTGCGCGGCATTTTCCAATCCCGAGAACACAATGGAGACGGTTCATAAAAAGATATCAAGTATCCAAGGTTCTCAAAAATGAATGCAAATCCGGACAAGCGGGGCGTATGGGATTATTTTTTGAAGAGAGTGCCATGGATTCTAATGTGCAGGCGGTGTTAAGACGATGATACCAAACCCGAATGCCCCAAGCTCCCTTCTAATCCAGATTATGCTTGGGCAATTAGGCTGCATTGTGCAAGGCAGGCAAATGCCTTTACAAGGCTAGTTCACTGGGTATTGAAACAATCGACATGGTTGAACCTATTATCCGAACGGCCTTGTTCACATCCGGTGTGGATTGATATTCAGATGGATGCTTTAACAACTCGTCTTCTGTTGTAATACTAAGCGAACCGGCCTCGTGCTCTTGGTCTCCGAGCATTAGCAGACTGCAGATCTCACCTTGAACCAAACTCTAAATCACAGGAAGTCGGGAAATCAATGAGCAAACTCCGAGGTTGATTCACTTAGTATTGCCAGGAAATTGAGCGAGTCGAAGCTCTTCTCCGGACGCATTTGTCCGCATACATTTCATGCGTTAATGTCCGGATAGATCATTAAACTGCCGTTATCCTGTTGCAATACTAAGGGAACCGGCCTTGTAGTGTTCCTACTAGTCCTGCCCATTAAGGTTCTTCTCATCCACAAAGCGATTGGACCGTGCGAAGCACTATACTGGAACCCCAAGTCCCCACGGAACAGTTGATTTACACATCTTGAATCTTCACGATAACCTTCCCTTTCGCTCTTTGGCTAAGAAGTCGGTCGTAGGCCTATACATTCATTAGCTAAGTTCAGTGCTTGATACTACTTTTCCGCAGTTGATGCTTTTTGATTGGTAGAATTCCACTTACCTTGAGAGCATCTTCCATATCGAACACACTGTCCACAACCCTTTTCAAGTTGCCCGCCTGCACCAGTTTTACCAACTCCTCCCTTCGTTCTGGAGTTATAGGCGTCTGCTGGAATATGAATTTCCTCGGCGTTCCTCCCAAGATTTTGGGCCACCAACGATTCTTCGGCAGATTCCAAAACAACGTCGTGAACACCCCCTCCATGGCCCCAACACTCACAAATACCCCATCCTCCTTCAAATACTCCGGGCTGCTCTCAAACAACGCTTGTGTCCCCACACAATCCAGCACCGCATCAAACTTACCCTCATCCCCGCCCCTACCGTACTCGTCGGCCAACCAAGCAGTGATCCCTCCCGGCCCGCACTCGCGGTAATCCACGACCCTGTCCGCGCCCATAGCCTTGGCCAGCGCGAAGCCTTCCTCGCCCGACCCGGTCGCCACGACCTCGGCGGCGCCGAACACGCGCTTGGCCATTTGCACGACGACGGTGCCCACGCCGCCCGTCGCGCCGTTGACGAATACACGACTGCCGGCCCGCACGTTTGCGTTGCGGCACATGAGCAGCGCCGTCTGCCCGTTGCCGTCCAGCCCGGCCGCGTCCTCGGGCGCGAGGTCGGCCGGGCAGACGCTGACCGAGGTTGGTGTCGTCACGACGTACTCGGCCAGCGCGCCGGCGCCGTGGAGCAGCTGCGCTGAGATTGGGATGATGCCGAAGACGCGGGTGCCCGGGGTGGAGAGGTGCGGCGGCGTCGTGGGGGTCGCGGCGGCGATGGTGCCGGTGAAGGAGAGTTCGGGGATGAAGGGGCGCGAGGAGCGGAGGAAGGGGAGGATGGGCATGAGGTGCGCGATGGAGGGGGTTAGGGAGGCGTGCGTGATGCGGACGAGGATGTTGGGAGAGTCCTGGGGGAGGTGCGGGGTTGGCAGGGAAGAGAGTTGGAGGACCTTGTGGACTGGACCCCTGTGGTTGTAGGACCAGGCTTTCATACGATCCGGGATGGTGGATGGTGTTGAAGTGGTAGACATCGTGAGAAAGATGAAAACTGGCGGAGGAAATAGGAAGGTACTTCTAGAAATGATATAGAAGACTGAATGATTATTTGAGTACTAAAGGGCATTAGCAAAAATGATGGCTGAGATCTTGTAGCTTTATATTTAAGCGGTGGGCTATTAATGATGGCCTTTTCAGCGTGATGACAAACGTCTACGCCGTACAACACGGACGCGGGAAGCTGTCGTTCCGGAAGGATTGTGCAAGTGCTCACAAGGTTGAATTGCAGTATGCAGCGAAACGTGTGAAAAGATGGATCAAGTTTTCGTCCGGAGGTGGAGAGACAGGGTTCTGCCAAGCCACCCGGACGAATAGCTCAACTGCGCACTAAATGTGCATCTTCGCAAAGAGCTGGCATAAATAATGGTGTATTAACGCATGATTGAAATAAATAAAATGTTATTTGAAGGCTGATCGTCGTCTGAGCGAAAGAGCAAAGAATGGTTTGCAGAATATAGATTGGTCTGGTGTGGTGCAGTCCTGAACTGCCTCAAAAGCCGCAAAGTAGTATATGTATAGCTGCCAGTAGGCTTTCGTAAATTAGACCGTGCGGACATCGCAGAATCATGCTCACACTAGATTCTCTCGATCGCAGTGGAAGTTCCAGGGATGGTAGTAGTTGAGGCGAGGCGACGGAACACGGGTTCTCGCGAGCGCAGGATGCGGAGCGTGCACTTGCGAATTTAGACAAACGAATGCAACGGCCAAAAGTGCATTGCGCTCGCAGTGGAAATTGTTTGGGGCTGGGGTTGCGGGAGTCGCTGGTTGCGGGGTTGGTGCGGTGATGGATGGCATCACACCGTCTCGCTTGCAGCAGCTCCGCGCACAAGCAGTTTTCAGTCCCGCCAACAGCTCAACGCCCGGCGACGACAACCCTAGCATCGCTCCACCAACAAACCGCCCACCATGTCCAACCCCCGTGTCGAAGAGCTCCCCGACGAGCCCGAGAAGAAGGTCGCCGAGGTTGCCGACGATGAGTCCAGCTCCGAGTCTGGCGACGAGGGCGCCGGCGACGCCAGCATCCCCGCTGGTGCCCAGGTCACCGTCCACTCGCGCAATGAGAAGAAGGCCCGCAAGGCCATCGCGAAGCTCGGCCTGAAGCACATTGAGGGCATCACCCGCGTCACCCTTCGCAGGCCCAAGAACGTGAGTCATTTGTAGCTCGGGAGCCTGCGTCGTCTTCTGCAGTCTCGCGGCCGCGGGCATTGGCGCCTCCAAGCCTCGCGCCGGAGCCGCAGTAGACGCCGGAGCAGCTTCGAGCGCTATACGCATTTTCTAGAGCTCTTGCTGACTGGGTGCGCGTAGATCCTCTTCGTCATCAACAACCCCGACGTCTACAAGTCCCCCAACAGCAACACCTGGATGTAAGCATTTGCAGAACGCACAAAAATTTGGGAAAGCATAGTAACATTGCGGCAGCATCTTCGGTGAGGCTAAGATTGAGGACCTGAACGCCGCCGCCCAGGCCTCCGCTGCCCAGCAGCTTGCTCAGGCCGAGGCCGCCGGCGACCACGAGGGCCACGACCACAGTCACGGTAAGGGCAAGGAGCCTGCCACCGAGGAGAAGAAGGAGGAGGAGGAGGATGACGGCGAGGAGGTCGACGAGACCGGCCTTGAGGCCAAGGACATCGAGCTGGTCATGCAGCAGGCCAGCGTCTCGCGGAAGAAGGCCGTCAAGGCGCTCAAGGAGAACGACAACGACATTGTCAACTCCATCATGGCCCTCAGCATATAAGTTCGCGAAAACGCGGGCGCTGGGGCGCTATGACGCGCCGCTTTCTTTATCACCGGAGCGAAGGCTGGGCGAAGGGCTTATCGGCATCTGTACAAGATAAAAGCACTGGGCCGCGACCTAGGATAGGAGCCATTGGACTCTGCGGAGTCATGGTAAAATCTAAAAAGTTCCTTCGAGGCTGAAGCTAGGTTCTCGCTCTACTGATGCATGGCCGCATGTGCCCAATTGCTATTTGATGATTACCCCGCCACCATCCCAGGCCCAAAATGACCATGCATTTCGTATTGTGACAACGAGCAACCAATTGAGCTACTGAGCGCAGCTGTGTCTCCCATTTCCGGACCTTCGCGTCGGTGCGATGCGTCACGTGCACAGGGCTTGGCGTTGACGGGCCTGCGGGAAGCTCGAAAACGCAGCCGACTTCGTCCTTGCCAGCCCGGTACTCTCCACTCATCACCAACACCGCAACCATCACAATGGCCGTCGGAGTACGTGCAATCCCCCCGTCAATCCCGTCGCAGTCCGCCTCCACCACGATTGTCGCCGCGGCGCATCTGCGATGAAAAGACCCCCGGTGCCGGAGCAATTGGCAAAGCGGCTAACATTCCCCTCCCAACCGTGCAGCGCAGCGCAGCCCTTAAGATCGACTGGACGAAGCTGGGCACCCAGCTGAACCTGCGCGGTTCGACCGCGGCTTCGCTGGCCGCCTTCAAGAAGCGCAACGATGACGCGCGCCGCAAGGTGCAGGTGCTGTCGGAGCAGCCCACCACCGTCGACTTCTCCCACTACCGCAGCATCCTGAAGAACACGGCCATCGTCGACCAGATCGAGAAGGAGTTCACCGCCTTCAAGCCCGCCACCTACGACGTCCAGAGGCAGATCAAGGCCATCGAGGCATTCGAGGCGCAGGCCGTCAAGAGCGCCGAGGAGACCAAGGGCGCCGTCGACGCCGAGCTGCGCGAGCTGGACAAGACCCTGAAGAACATCGAGGAGGCCAGGCCTTTCGAGGACCTCACCGTGGTGCGTATATGCTCGGATTGGGGATGGGAATGGACCAAGGTTGGGGTTGGGATTCATTTGGCTAACAATTGGCACCTCCAATGCAGGACGAGGTTGCCGCCGCTCGCCCCGACATCGACCAGCGCACCGAGCAACTCATCAAGAAGGGCCGCTGGGCCATTCCTGGCTACAAGGTGCGTGTCAACAACCGCGCGCTTTCGTGCGTTGGGATCCAGACTTGCTTACACCCCAACAGGAGAAGTTCGGCGACCTTTCCGTCCTCTAAATGCATTCGTGGTTATCGAAGATCATTTCGTCCTTGCCGGGACTGTACTATTGTGCATAGCTCCGATTTCCCCGGCGTCAAGATAGATAGTTCAACTGGCTATTTTGACCGCGCGAAGAACAATATCCCACAATCGATTTCCTTTTTGCATTCACTACTGTCAACTTGCCTGATACCGCCAGAATTATAAAGGCATTGGCGTCTAAACACTCCTAATTGCGCTGCGTACTGTTCATGCCCTACTAACATCAGCACGCCGACGCCCTAGCAGCCATTGACTCGTTTGGCCATGCACTGGATCCATGGGAAGATGTTCATTGGCCTTTTGAAACCATGCACGGTTTTCTCAATAACCTGGGTCTATGACCCTGCTGTTCCACGTTCGTCTTGGTGCCACACACCCTGTCTCGATGTCTATGAGCGGAGCGAGAAAAAGGTCTTCACTTCAACCCGACGCTTAAAGCAAAGGAACTAGGAGAGAAAAAAATACATATCATTATGAACTTACAACTGTAGAAGCTGAGGACAATCTGCGTTTTCAAAATGTTATGTACACTTAGGAAAGCTTTAATAGGTAACCCATAACAAGGACGGGCTTAGACTGCGAATTCCAATTGGAATATTCCGGATCTTCACTAACGAAGTTCTAGCTACTGCGACATAAGGGGTAAAATTATTTGCCCATGAGACCATCTCTCAGCAAGACACATGTTTCATCAAGTGATTTCAAAATGCAGCTGCTCTTCTCCGTCCGATCGCCTCCTCGACTTGCGATGATGCCCAGCAGCAGCCCGACTACCACTGCCGCCGCCTACGCCGCTACCGTTTCCATCGCTACCATCGCTTTCCTCCCTCTCCCTCTCCGGATCCTGCTCTCCTCCCCCTCCCCCGAACAACCCGCCCGACCCCCCTGCGCGCCGCCCGCTCTCCTCCTCATCGCGCCGCACCTCTGCCTCCTCGGCGTCGCTCCACCGACCGTACTCGTCGTACTCGGCGTCCATGCGCCGCATCAGGGCCTCGCCGGGCAGCAGGATGCTGCGGTCGACGGCGAGCGGCAGGCCGCGGTGGCGGCCGCGCAGCATGACGGCCAGCACGACGAGCTTGCTGCTGGTCTGAAAGGCGCCGCTGAGGCTGTAGGAAGCGTGGGAAGGCCCGCCGGTGCTGAGGCCGACGGTGCCGTAGGCGCTGGTGGTTTCGAAGAGGAGGGTGAAGAGGGTGAAGGTGTTAGAGAGAAGCTTGGGCCGCTCGATGATGCTGAGGAGGAACCAGGCGAGAAGCTGGAACCAGAGGTCGTAGGCGAGTTGGTGGCGGAGGTGGGTGCCTAGGGAGGAGGGGTTGGAGGGGGAGGGGGAGGATAGGCCGACGGAGCGCTCTTCGTAGGTGTTTGTCTGCCGTAGGGCCATGACGATGGGGAAGGAGGAGATGTACATGGTCGCGAGGTAGGCGACGAGCAGGGCGGGCGCGAGCGAGGCGATGGTGACGACGTAGGCGCCGCTGTTGCGCAGGCCGGTGGCTTGGAAGAGGCCGTCTAGGATGCGTACGCGTAGCGGCGAGGAGGAGGAGGAGGAGGAGGAGGAGGAGGAGGAGGAGGCGGAGTTTTGGACGCCGTCGCCGGGCATCCCGATGTTGAGCAGCTCGTACAGCAGCCACATGGCTAGGTCGAGCGAGACCTGGATCGCGAACAGGTACCACGTCTCCTTGCTGGGGAAGAGGTAGATGAAGCAGCGCCGCGGGTGGTACAGCAGGAAGAGGCAGGTCTGCCGCAGCCGCGAGGCCGTGGGGCACACACGGGAGAGGGTCCAGATGGCCAGGCGGAGGAGGATGGGGAACTGCGTGTTGCCGGCGATGGTGAGGGCGCCGCAGACGATGAGGATGAGGGCGTTGCCTGAGAAGGGGATGAAGTTGGCGTTGAGGAGGTTCAGCCCGCCGTTGGAGAAGCTCGTGGTCACGGCGAAGAAGGCCCACCAGCCGGGGCTGAGGTTGCCTGGCTGTGCGGTTCGGATGATGGTGCTGATGGCGTCGCGGTAGGCGTATGGCACGAGGATCATGGCGCCCAGCGCGTACCAGAATAGTTGGTAGGCAAGAAGGAGCGGGAGCAGCAGATCCAGTGCCCGATACTCGACGCCGCCAAGCTCGGCGCGCTCGTGCTCGCTGAGGTTGCGGAAACGGCCTCGCTCATCCAGGTCAGCATCGAAGGAGATGTAGGACCGGTCGGGCGGTTGTAATTTTCGCTGGAGCCGGCGGAAGGGGTAATGGAAGAAGCGTTGGACGGTGTGGGACTCCCACGGCCAGGGGAAGAAGCCTCGGCCTGTAGCGTAGTGGTAAAGGCGTTGGTCTGATGACTCCCTTTTCGTATTCCTGCGGTGTGCTGGGGTTGAGGAACTGCGCAGTGGTCGTTGCTCGCTGCTTTCGTCTTCATTGTCGTCATCACTGCGCCGCTTGGGACGTTTCCGCAGGTGGGTGGCATCACGGCGGTAGTGACTTTGTCTTTCTTCTTCTTCCAGGTCCCGAACCATCTGCCGGCCTGACCGGGAGTGCTGAACGATGTCGGCTAGCTTGCGACGGAAGAAGTGCCGACGAATGATGACAACAAAGGACGAGACGAAGGGCACGTTGCCGATGATGAGCAGGATGCAAAGGATTGCTTGCTGGAAACCGGACAAGGAGCCAAGATTGACAGTGTTGAGTCCTGTATACAGGATTAACATCGACTCGAATAAAAGCGCTAACGCTCCAGCGTACCTGTGGTCGTCATTGCGCTGCAGCACAGGAAGAGTGCGTCGATGTATCTGAGCGGACTTCCATCTACAGCTTCACGGTTATTCGCGAGGCCCTCGCCATACACTATGATGGATGTGATGAAAATAACGATAATGAAATAAAGCATGTGCATGCGATAGAAGTTGAGATGGAAGACTTCTTTCTTCAGATAGTGAAGGAAGTGTTCTTTGGCTACGTGCGGGTGGCACACTTCATCTATAGGATCTAGCATATTTGAGATATGCTGCCGCGGATAGAATAATTGGGAGCACAAGCGCTGATTCCCTAAGAAAGCTGGTGGGAATTGAACACGGCGGAAGTCATTGATCGGCAGCCTTTCGAGTGGCCGCCCCCTTCTCAGGCTTCAGGGAATATGATGTAGTAGAGTTATCGACTTTTAGATCCTCAGGTTCTTAGAGATGGCTCACCCTCGGGCAGACGGAACGGAATGTCATGGTTGGGTGACGTCATTACAACGGGTGACAAAAGGGTTGGGCCCTCTCAACCGTCTCGCCAAATACATTCTCCCTTACTTACGTGGATATTTGAATCTAATCTTTGGAAATATTTCGGGAAACACTTCCATGCCCGGATATTCACCTCAAGTGCCCACTCACATTCTATAAGAATAGGGATGCATGCCGCTACTAGTTGATTAGCATAATGACATTAAAAGTATAAATGGACCCAATTCGACATTTTATTCAGAGGTAACGTATTATCTACCCTTTCAAATTCTCTCCGGGCGACCTGTGTCCAAACCAATCATTTGTAGCAAAAAGCCTAACCAAAATTGGAGTGAAGTTCGAACACACGACCATTCAGCAAAAAGTCAGGGCTGCAGTCCCCTATAAAATTCCCTTTCGGGAATTTTCCCCCTCTCCCTGGCGCTAAGGAAGGGTGGTGATGGGCGAACACACAATTCGACCACCCACCATAGGACCATTGAGGACACTCAATCCTACTTGATCCCTTAGGTGACAGGATGGATTGATCTTAGTACTTATGTAGATAAGATATGAATTGAGACCACGAGGTTGTATATTCTACAGTTTGACAAGGACTCAACGATCAAGTCACGGCGGACATTGTCTTCAGTAGAATCCAAGTTGTGGCAAATAATAACGTGAGAACGACTAAGACGTATACGTAAATCATCCCAGTCTAGAACAGAAGCTGTAAGTTCTTGAAGTCGTGGTATAGATTCAGCAAATCTTTCTAACGAAACACAACATCACCACAACGAATTTCCACCATCAAAATCCAAATCCAACGGCACCGCATCCAAAGTATTCGCCAACTCCAGCGCACTCGCCATCGGCCAATCCCAAACGTTCCACTGCGGCAGCTCGAGAGGCAGCGACAGCCCTCCTCCTCCTCCCACGATCGGACTACTCAGTCCCTGCCGCGTCGTCCACCCCGAGCCTGCTGCCCTTCCCCCTCCTCCCTCTTCCTCCCCCCTCTCCTCCTGTTCCCGTCGCCCGCTATTACTGCCACGCCCAAACGTCTTCACCCGGAGCATATCCAACACATCCGCGCACCTCCTCACATTCTCCTCGCCGCCGTCACCACCGATCCCGCTGCCACCCCCACCACCAACAGCCACCAGCCTCCTCAACACGGCCGCACACCTCACCACAACAGCCTCATCGTCCCCGGTGCTGTCGTCTTCGTCGACAGCAGCACCCACCACCCCGTGCCACCGCGCAAACAGCACCGTCAACCCGGCTTGCCACAGCATGTGCAAGCCATTCGGATACAGCAGCGCCGCCATCATGACGGAGTCCTGCTGTTGTTGCTGCTGCAACTGCTGTTGTCCCTCATCCCCGCCGTCGTCTGGCTGCATCATGGCCTCGTCGAGCCGCCTGATCAGCGCGACGGAGGCGCGGACGCAGGCGCGCAGGCTGGTGCCGAACTGCTCGGTGGTGGTGGTGGTGAAGGCGAGGGCGGGGCGGTGCACGTGGATGGTTGCGTTGCAGAGGGCGGCGCGGAGGAAGAGGGTGGGGAGGGAGGGTGGTGGTGTTGGGGATGGTGGGCTCTCTCCATCTTCTTCTGCTTCTGTTGCTGTATCCCCTATCCCGGTAGCAGTGGTGGTAGCGGTTGTAGCGGAAGAAAGAGGAGCCAAGTAGTGCTGCTCCCACACGTCGAGGTCAGCCTGCAGCCGGGCGATCTTGCGCGCGCCGCCGCGCCGCCGCGTCGTCGTGTACAGCTGCTCCAGCGCATCTCCGACTATCGCGGCGAGCTTGAAGAGCGCGATGGCCGTGTCGATGGGGCTGCGCTCGCCCGGCAGCGGGAACGAGGAAAGAGGGCTGTTGACGTTTGCTGATGATCCCTGCTGCTGTTGAGAAGGCGGGAGCAGCCTCCCACCACTCTCGTGATGGTAGTCGACGCGCGTCGGCAGATCCGCATCGACGTCCTGATCCCGTATCAGGCGCGGCATGCCGTGGTGCGCGGACGCAAACGCATCGAGCGCGTACACGCTCCACCACGCGCGCCGCCGCAGCTCCGTTTGAAGGGCGTCGAACTTGAAGCGCGCCGAGTGCCGGTGCAGCCCGAGCGTCTGCGCCAGCCGCACGGCGGTGCCGCTGAGGTGCGAGGCCGCCGGGTAGCGCGACGAGAGCTGCAGGTAGACTTGGGCGAGGACGAGGCCTTGCAGGGCGGCGAGGCAGGGGCGTTCGAGGATCTTGGTGGCGAGGGCGGTGGAGAGGGCGTAGTAGTGCTCTGAGAGGCAGAGGAAGTGGTGGTGGTGGTGCGGTTTGGGGCAGGCGCTGCTTGGTGAGCCTATGCTGCCGAGGGCGAGGAGGATGAGGGTTTGGTAGACGGTGCAGAGGTCGCCGTTGCTGGGGTTGTTGAGGAGGGAGCGGAAGGCGTCGATGGTGGATTGCTTGTGGATGACGGGGTAGAGAGGCGTCCAGCAGTCTATGGCTTGTTCGATGAGGCTTTCGGCGTTTAGAGGGAACTGGGCCACAAAGCTGGCAGCGATGTGAGGGACGGGATCCACTGGAGGGGCGTTGCATAGACTGTTCAAGTACAGGCTGTATACTTCGCTGGGTAGAGACTCGGGATGGATCTTGAGTATCTGAAGTTTCTGCTCTGCCTGACTGATGAAGTGCACGCCAGTGGAAGATCCTGCAAACATGGGGACTTGTTGATGATTCAGGACAAGTCGACCCATGTGGCCGATCACAGGTTCAGGCACTGACTTCTTTGCCAAATCTGGCTGGTTCTCTGATCTTCGCGGCCATGTTGGAGAAGATTGAGTGGTGTCGTTCCCTGCGGACACCTTCCGTCGTACATGAGAGCTTCCGGTTGCTTGCGGCGGTATAGTCTGATGTGCTGAAGTCGTCCGTCGCTCTTGAGCAGCTTCATGTTCGTAGAAGCTGGATTTCCATTGATTAGAGTGGAGACAAGAAGATCAGAGGCGAGTTATCATGCCTTTTACGCTTTCTATTTCTTTGGAGTCTTGCTGATCTCACGCAGGGCACGTCGGCTGCAATGCAAGGAGTGCACTGATCAGATTCAGCAAGGCACACGACGTTGCAACAGAACGCCTCACCTTTTCACCATCGCCATAGCATCTTATTTTCTTTCTGAAAAGGAAGATTTAGACCTTGATGCACGACATCGCACAACAGCCGCACTAGGAGCACAGCACATACCGACGGCAACGATCACTGCAGCACTAGCCATCAGTACTGTCTGAGGCCGGCCATGCGTGTCGGAGCGAAAGAGGCTTTCCTGCATACCAGACCTGCCCAAGGGTCGAAGCATTCGAAGAGATCGGCGCGCTCATACCTCGCACCCATGCTCCGAGGTCATTGTCAGATGAACACGAGAGGGAAGCGGCGGTGAAAAGACGGAGCGAATCACAACCGACTAGAGGCCTGAGGCATCAGAGATGGTCTGTGCTATTCCGCTATCCCGAGCCGTCATCGCAGTATCCCGAACTCTCTCCACCACGGCGAAAGAAAAGTGACAGAGTACAAAATCTGCAGCCTCCGAATGGAACCCGAAAACTCAAATTCCTCGACAGCCTCATTAGCGGCCGCTAGTCGACCGTTGTTGAAGAAAAACCTTATATTTTCTAATAATTAACCATGTCGGCGGCCACTGTGTTCGACTCGAAGCTTTTCGGCAACATCTTCGGCACTGATGAGATCAGAGAGTGTTTCTCCGAGCGCGCCTACGTGGCCAACCTCATCGAAGCCGAGTGCGCCCTCGCCCAGGCCGAGAGCGACGAGGGCGTCGTGCCGCCCGCCGCGGCCGCCGCAATCCGCGAGCACAGCGACGTCTCCAAGATCGACTGGGATCTGCTGGCCGCACGCACCGAGATTGTAGGCTACCCAGTGCTACCGCTGGTCGAGCAGATGTCCAAATGGGTTCCCGAGGAGCACTGTAAGTACCGTCCTCGGGGGAATACATACATACACAAAAGTCTAACGCCAATATTACTAGCCGGCTACATCCACTGGGGCGCCACGACGCAGGACATCATGGACCTGGCGTCGGTCCTGCAGATGAAAGCCGGCCTCGCCATCGTCGAGCGGCAGCTATCCTCGCTCGCCGCGACGCTGACGCGCATGGCCGCGCGCTACCGCGACGTGCCCATGGCCGGCCGCACGCACCTGCAGCACGCGCTGCCCATCACCTTCGGCTACAAGTGCGCCGTCTGGCTCTCCTCCCTCCAACGCCACCAGGCACGCCTGGCAACCCTCAAGCGCACCGCGCTCCTCGCGCAGTTCGGCGGCGCGGCCGGCACGCTGGCCTCCTTGGGGTCGTCGGACGCCGGCATCCGCGTGCGCAAGCGGCTGGCCTCGCTGCTGTCGCTGGCCGACCCGGTCGTGACGTGGCACGTGGCGCGCGACGGCGTCGCGGACGCGGTCAACTTCCTCGCGCTGGTCGGCGGCACGCTGGGGAAGATCGCACTCGACCTGATCGTCATGTCGTCGAACGAGCTGGGCGAGGTGGCCGAGCCGTACGTGCCGCACCGCGGCGCCTCGTCGACCATGCCGCAGAAGCGCAACCCCATCTCCTCCGAGGTCATGCTCGCCCAGGCAAAGATCCTGCGCGCGCAGGCCGGGTTGGTGCTCGATGCGATGGTTGCGGATTTCGAGCGCGCGAGTGGCCCCTGGCATCTCGAGTGGGCGGCGCTGCCGGTTGCGTTTGTTTCGTGCGTGGGGAGTCTGCATCAGGCGAACTTTGCTATTGGCGGGCTTTGCGTGAATGAGGGGGCGATGATGGAGAATTTGTTGAGCACTAAGGGTCTGATCGTTGCTGAGGCGGTCATGATGGGCTTGGCGGTGCATACGGGTAGGCAGGAGGCCCATGAGATCGTCTACAAGGCGTGCGTGGCGGCGCACGAGGGAGGCATTTCGTTGAAGGAGAGCCTGGAGAAGGTGCCCGAAGTGACGAAGCATTTGAAGGACGAGGAGCTGACTGAGCTGTGCGATCCGACAAAGTATCTGGGATGCTGCCGACTGATGGTTGATGAGCTGATTGGCCAGTGAGCAAAAAGGGCAGTCAAACAATTCATGTCGAGCGAACTGAGAAAGAACCGAAAATAGATTTGTATATGAAAGACGCTTGTGAAATTCTATCATGTCAGGGGTCATGTCCAGCCGTTAAAATGTAACTGCTCTTCTTTGAGCACTTAGGAGGAGGTATCAGAAACGAAGGGACCCTAATCAAAACGTTAGCAGATAGCCTCAACTTACACATCGAGAGTAAAACTTCAAAGCAAAACTCACCATATACACCAGATTCCGGTGCTCAATCTTCCACGTCCCATCCTCCTGCACCCCCCACCGATCCTGATACTGCCCGTACGCATACATCACATCCTTCATCCCCACCGGCTCGTCCAGCCCCTTCCCCTCGGTCCCGTTCTTGAAATGCGCCGCCGTGAAATACGTCACCGACACCGCATTCCTCTTAAACTCCCTCTCGTACTCCTCACCACCATCATCGCAAACACTAACCACCTGCGTCCCCAACACGTGCTGCGTCGCCGCAAAAACAGTCAAGTACGGCGGCAGCGTCTGCTTGATCTGGTCGCGACCGCCCGTCAGCACGCCGATCGGCGCGCCGTAGTCGGCCGTCGCGCCGGGGGCGAAGACGGCGTCCAGCCCGTCCCAGTCGCGCCCGTCGATGGCGAAGGCGTACAGCGTCAGCGCGTGCTTGATCGCGTCGACTGCCGCCAAATCCCAGGCGCTGATGGTAGCGGCGCGCGGAGGGGGGAAGGAGGAGGTGAGCTGGGCGATGGTGAGGGGGGAGGGGGTGAGGGGTGGGCAGAGGGAGGAAGAAGAGGAGTTCGCGGATGGTGGTGGTGGTGGTGAGGCTGATGACGATGATGATGATTCGATGGTACGGGCGGCGAGGACGTTCTGATTGGCTCCGGCGTTTCCGGGGGCGGGTAGCCAGCTAGTGGCTAGGAGGAGGAAGCCGGGAAGATGCATCTTTGGTTTTTGTTGCGCTTTTCTGCAGGAGGATACACAAGTGTGTAGTTTTGTTTCCCTTCTTCTTCTTCCGTCTTATATGTCCTGCAGGAACTGTGTGGGCTTGCAGAAGGCCCATATATGTCGTTGATCACAGGGCCACAGAATGCTCGTCTTGTGGAAGGTGTGTGCCCCCGAGTCATGGCATTGCAGTGTTGTCCCCACCGGAGAACACCGATTCCTATTGCTGTGCCGCAGGAGCTAGTACTCAACTATACCGATTTTTGTGTAGCCACCGAGAAAATGACGTGTTTTACTGGTGGTGTGGAGGGAGCAGCCGCGCTGAAGGCGCTGAAAATTCTCTGGGTCATGCATTATCCCCACTACTTTTTCGTGAGGACTGCTCGCTTTGGAAAAAGCTCTTTAGCGCCGCAGAGTTGCTGCGCCTCGCTATTGGAACAGCGGCTTCAGTGGCGGAAGAGCGCGGGACCCGCGTGACGATCGAATACGAAGAGTATTGGTGATGATGCAATATGAGCGAGAGACGGAGACTTATATTGTATGATTGTAAATGGAAATTTGATAGGGCTGTCAACTCACATCAGTCTTAGAAAGGTGTATGGTTCATACTGAGTCGTGTGGTATTCAGGGTCCATCGCATCCTACGTACAGCCCCTGTTCATCCCAGCAGGTGGGGACCCAAAGTCGATGAGAGTGGGGAGTTGTATAATACAAAAACGCTGAGAGGGGTATCGTATAATACAGACCGTCCTATGCCTCTTCCGTCTCTACGATATTCAACACCTACTCCACCTCCTCATTCCCTTTCCACCACCGCCATGCCCACTGACAGTAAAACCAAGTCTCCATGGTGCCGAAGACGCACAGAACAGCGATGATGCCGGTCTTCATGTTCCTGCTGATGCCAAGCGCTTCAAAGCTGAAAGCCGGATACTCGGGGTTGCTCGATGATTGTCTATGACGCCCCGGCTCCTTTGATGTGAATGAGGTTTTGTTCCGAAGGATGCGTCGGGTCGAGAATGCCGAATAAAGTATTGGTTGGCCGAGACGTAAGCGCGGCTGAGCGCCTGAGGTGCGCGTGACTTCTCTCGGAAGGAGAGCCTTGGAGCCAAGGTGTCGATATATTGCTGCGCTCATGATTTCGGTGCCTGATCGAGATGTTTCTGGAAAGGAAAGTGGGTGTGATCGCTGCAGATCTGGTCTCCGGGACCTTGGTGAGATGTATGTAGTCTTGCGACTGTGCCCCAGCGCCTGACTCTTACTCAGCCTTGTATAACTTGAATCCTTCGGGCGGCTGATCCGATCCACCCCGCTGGGCGCGCTTACAATTTACCCGCACCCGAGCTCCTCCTGCAGATATTAATGGTGCGCTGAATATCTAAAATTTGGCAGTAGAATAATGGGAGAGCTGATTGGTAGGGCTCTGCGCCCTCAGACGACCATACCCGCCATTCCCCTTTCCCCATAGGCTTTATCGTGTAATCAAAAACCGTCAGCCTTATCCTAAAAATGATATATACTATTCGCTTCACTTGTTAATTTTATTCTCGAATTTGTTTGGTGGGGATCAAGCAATACCATTGCATCCACATCCACTCCCAATTTCTCCATCCTCCTTCTTTGTTCTTTTTTCTCATTTCTTCAAAGATCAGCTTTTTCATAAGCACAGAATACTCACTTACTGACTTGAGGTAGGTTTGTAAGGCTTCCGAGACCTTTTGCTCTTGCACTGTTCAACGCTTTGTAAACCTTGCTTTGAGAATTAATCAGGTCTTGCTGTGTTTCATTGAAATACACACTTATGGATCATCCGCCATGCTTCACCGCACACGCGGACCTAGGCATCAGCCTCCCCATCTGACGGTCAGAACACGAATACGTTTAATAGATTGGAACAAGTCCTGGCCAAGCTTAAGGCCCGCGATCAACAAGCACCTGCTCGGGCCAATCTCGTCAACAGCCGAGAAAATGACGTCATCCAGGGCCTGGGGCAGTCGTACCCCGCCTTTAACCCTCGATGGTACCTGAACCACGCACAAATGCGGTGACCAGAAAACGCAGCGGTGGGGCAAACGTCCTCGTTGCTATCTCCGGGGCTGCGGTATTTTGTTTGTTTCTTGCCGCAACGAGTGCTCTGCTCCGCGAGCCATTGGGACGTCTCCGGTATCCGGTATGGCGTGCTTGAACAGGCGTGCCAAACATGATTCTTTTTCGCCGAAGCACCGCGATGGCGTGCGGCTATATGAAAGGCGGCTCTGCTGTCAGTCAATTTTTCAATTGTCCTCCTCTTGTGCTGCGCGCTGTCTCGCAAAGCATTGGGCAACAGCAGTATGCAGCACCCACTCGTCTGCCCCTCGACGACATCGTCAGCGGCTCTTGCTGCTGCCGCCGTTTTTGGCGCGCCCATTGTGGCCGCGAACAGCGTAGATACGTACTCGCTGGGCGCCTTTTCGGTCCTCGTCGACCAGGCAGCATCCTCCGTTGATGTATACACGCAGTCCGGAGCCGAAGTGTGGAAAAGTGAGTGAGCACGCAGCCCTCAAGCAGCAGACCTCAACACAATCACAAAAGCAAAAAGAATCGGAGGGCTAACCAAACAATCCCACAGCTCCATCCGACTACCCCCTCATCTCCGCCTCTACCGGCCTGACCAACTTCTCCGACTCGTCCGGGAACTTCGAGATCACAACCAACATCACCTCGCGCTGCACCTCCCCGACCATCATCTCCGTGACCCAAACCAACGGAACAGCATCCTCCTCCGCCCTGACCCTCTCCGGCGCCTTCGCCGACTCCTCCCCAGCCCAATGCGCGGACTGGGCCTGGACGCTCACCTTCACCGCCAACACCACCACCACCACGACCTCCTCCCACTCCCGCCTCCACTTCTCCGCCGCCATCACCAACAACAACAACGCCTCATCCTCTACCGACCAGCTCCCCTCCAACATCCACCTCGCCCACCACTCGCCGCGCAACGAGTCCTTCTACGGCCTAGGCGAGCAGACGGGGCTGGGCAACCTGCGCGGCTGGCGCATCCCCGTGTGGACGCGCGAGGGCGGCGTCGGCCGCGGCGCGCAGCCCGTGACGTCTTACCTCAACGACGACGGCGAGATTTCCGGCACATTCGCGGGCGGGTCGGCGCTGACGAGCTACACGGCCGTCGCGTCGCTGGTCAGCAGCCTCGGCCGCTGGCTGGTGCTCGAGGGCGCCGCGTTCTCGCTGTGGGATCTGGCCAGCAATGAGACGGGCGAGGCGCTCGTGGACCGCGCGGACGATTGGCCGGCTGTGGGGGATAGGAGCGAGGGGAGTGGGGAGGTGGTGGAGATTTTGTACGAGGGTGCGGCGGTGAGCGGGTTCGTCGGCGTCGCGGGCGATGAGGAGCGGGATGGTGGTAGCAACAAGCTGCTCGAGGCGACGGGCGCGCTGACCGAGGTGACGGGCAGGCAGCCGGCGCTGCCGGACTGGGCCTTCGACGGCGCGATCCTGGGCATCCAGGGCGGGCAGGAGAAGGTGGAGCGCATCGTGCGCGAGGCGCTGGCGCAGAACATGCCGCTCGTGGGCGTCTGGCTGCAGGACTGGAGCGGCACCCGCCTGCAGGCCGGCGCGTACAACATCTCCATCAGCCGGCTGTGGTGGAACTGGGAGCCCGACGCGGAGCTCTACCCGACCTGGGCCGACTGGGTGCCGCACCTGCAAGAGGAGTACGGCGTCAGGACGCTGAGCTATGTCAACACGTTCCTGGCGAATGTCAGCGCCAAGTCGTCGGGCCACAACAGGTCGTTCTACGAGGAGGCGGCTGCTGGGGGCCGCTTCGTGGTGAATGCTACGGCCGGCGATGGCTCGCCGTGGAGGCTGACCAGCGGGCCGGGCATCGATGCCGGGTTGCTGGACCTCTCGAACGAGACGACCGTCCAATGGTTCAAAGACTTGTTCAAGCAGCAGTACTATTCCGTCCCTATTTCTGGAGGTAAGCTCGCCTTTGTATCAACCACTTACAAAAAAACTACTCACTGACCCCCCTTTTTCTCCACCAGCCATGCAAGACTTCGGAGAGTACCTCGACGTCGACTCCACCGTTAGCATCTCCTCAGGCACCGTCTCACCGCGCCTCTTCCACAACGAATACCCTGCGACGTGGGCCAAGCTGCTGCGCGAGGCGGTCGAGGAGCTGGGCGTGGCCGACGACACGATCGGCTTCCACCGCAGCGCGTCGACCTTCTCGTCGCCGCACACGAACCTCTTCTGGGTCGGCGACCAGAACATCGACGCGACGCGCGAGGACGGCATGCGCGCCGCCGTCAGCAGCGCGCTGCACGTCGGCTTCTCCGGCTTCGCCCAGTCGCACGCCGACGTCGGCGGCTACACCAACACGCTCGCGACCGTCGGCAACATCACGCGCTCCGCCGCCCTGCTCGGCCGCTGGGCCGAGTCCGTCGGCGCCTTTGGCGGCGCTGCTTTCCGCACCCACGAGGGCAATATCCCCCAGGTTAATGCGCAGACGTACACGAATGCCAGTACGCTTGCGTATCATGCGTACAATGCGCGCCTCTTCGCTAGCGTCAAACCGTACCGTAAGGCTGCTCTGGAGGAGTACCGGCAGCGCGGCTGGCCGTTGCTGCGGCACCCGGCTGTCTACGCGCCGAAGGATAGCCTCGCTGTCGCGGTGGTCGATGAGGTCTTTTGGCTCGGCGAGGCGGTGCTGGTGGCGCCCGTCTACGACATCTACTCGCAGCGCTTGCCGGTGTATCTGCCGCAGATTGAGATCGATAGTGAAGGCGTGGCGGTGGATGGTATGCAGTACAAGCATCTTTGGACGGGCGAGCTGTTCGAGCCCGGGAAGACGATTGTGGTGGATGCGCCGTGGGGCAAGCCGGGTGTGTTCGTCAGGTGGCCATTGAGGGATGGTGAGGAGGAGCTGTTGCAGGGACTTTTCGACTTTGTGAAGAAGGAGAATGGGACGGTTTTGACGGCTTGAATGAAGAAATCAAAAGGGGGGACTGAAGAAACAGTTTAAAGAGAAAAGTAAAGATATAATTCTTTGAAGAGAATGCTTGCCCTTTCGAGTTAGGGTACTTACGTCACTCCATCGTGGCACTGTTGACCTTGTAGAGCTGAAAGCGATGGTCGAACACGACTAAATTCCCCGGATGGTCTTTGCTGATTCTTCCCCTGGTGTTGCACTTGTTGCAATAGTACAAACGCAAGGTCCCAGCACGATGGAGCGCCATAAAAATTCCCTTTTAAGCCGCACCAACCAGTGGCCCGCCCGCATACTTGGGCTGCGAGATAGTCTAGGCAATCGACGATATATCTTGGCTTCGAGAATACCTAGACCCTGTCAGCCGTCGGGATCGCGACAACGATGTTCCCGGTGGTTGGCATCCGTATGACGTTGCGACAGCTCAGGCGGCCATATCTGTTTCAGATTGTGGGGGAGACAAGTGTATTCTTGATCGCAAGCTTGTCCGCAGATCTGCAACAGAGTTGCGTCCGTGCTAGCGATGATGTGTTCGGCGCTGCTGGGCTCCCTCGAGGGCCCGTGTTTGGTGCGGAGTGGGCAGCACACTCAAGTGATGATCTTTGGTGTGATGGGTTTAGCGGGCACGGGTTGCGTCCAAGCTTCGATGTCATGGCGCGGGCTAGCTCATGACGTATTTGGGATTGATTTTGTTGTGTACAAGTATTGGACGAAGGAATGACGTTGACGTTGATGTTGTGCAAGAGATTTTGTTAGAAGCAGGGTCCTGACTATAAGGTAGCGTACCGCCGTTAATGCTCCGATCAACACGCACGTTTATTCGCAACATTTGGGATGCGAGATGGTGTCATCGGCGGCATGCTGATCCTATGCAATGCTATAGCTCGTTGCTATAGAAATCGGCTATCCCGGATACTGCGGGAGAGGCATGGGCCTATGAGGCTTCTAGCCGCTTCACTGGCCATCATTTTCCGATTTTGTCACTGGCGCCAAAATGGCTGCCGTCGTGACAAGGCTGGGAAGTCAGGCGGGTCAAGCACTATCGCAGGCGCTACTTGGGAGTGCCTCGGGTGAAATGCGTCGCATGTGTGCGACTTTGGTAAATGCAACTCACTCAGCCGCACCAGATTTAGTGCAGTGGCGACCTTACGGCAGGCGATGACTGCGATCTTCTCAGATGCAGTCAGGAAAAGTAACCTTTTGCTAGACAAGGCCAGGCCGCGGCCGCGCGAGTGGTGGGGTAGATGGCGCAGACGGCGGGTAATGTAGGCGCTTCCGTCGGGGCGCCGGCGCGGCGGGAGGGCGCTGATTGGAGCAGGTGTGCGGAAAATATTGTATTTTCCAAGCAGTGGGGGCTCCGGTGGGTGCATGGCCGTCGAGTCGAGTGCCTTGCGCATCGGCAGGTCAAGTGACAGCGGCGAAGGGTCGGGATTGGAAGCAGGGTGGTGGTGAGGGAAGAGTAGAAAAAAAGGCTGGCGCGTGCGCTCGATCGGCAGGTCGCGCGGGCACAAGGGGTCCCCTGCGGCCCGCCGTCCCAGCGCTATCTGCCGAATCACAGCCCTTCCGCTCACTGCCTCTGCTTTGCGCGTGTCCGTATCCTGCTGCGGTGGCGGCCGGTGCCTCCGCGTCAGACGGGAAGTCTGCGGCCACTGGTCGCTTCAGCTCTTGGGACCGCGGCCCCGCGCCCAGCCCAGACGACCCTGGACTGTCAGAGGCCGCCACTCAGGGTTCCAGGCGCATAGCTTGCGTTGCAGCATCGTCCGATAGCGCTCTGCGCCCCACCGATTGGCGCCCCGGGCATGGACGAATTTCGCAATCGCAAATCAATGGCTTCAGCACGCGGCCTCGGCTGGGGCCTGCAGCCCTGGAGATCCCTCCCGTTCAAGCAAGTCGTAAGCCCCCGGCCTCAGCTATCCACTGCTAAATCGCCCGTCGACCCTCCTGTTTCTTCACACTGCTCCTCCTTACCTTCCAAATTCTCCCTGTGCTGCACCATCTCCGCCCCACATCCCTGTCCTCCGTACTACCTGCACGTCCGTTTTCTTTTTTAATCACCTCGCCGGCAGGCCTTTACTGCCTGCATCCACCGGCTTCTCTCCAAAATTTCCTCCCCGTCCCATCCAGATGCCTCTCCGCAAGCTCCAAAGGCTCCGCAATGTGCGGCAGAACTCAGTCTCCGGCTCTGAAATGACCGAATCTTCCTCTCCCACCACTTCCACCAGGTCTTCCCAGAGCTCCAATGGCACTCTTGACACCAATGTCTCCAGTCTCTCGTCATTTGACCATTGCCATGATGCCCGCAACAATTCTCTCTACGGATCCTGCTATTTCGACGCCGAAGACTATTTTACCCAACTTCGTGAGGACGTAAACGTCTCCGATGACTGCCCAAGCAAAAAGACCCTTGAGGAAGCCGGCGAGATTGTTATTTACGATAGCCAAGGCATTGGCAAGCCCTTCAAGAGCTTCTTCCAAGGTGACATGGCCATCGGACAACGCCAATTGGTGCTCTTCGTACGGCACTTCTACTGCGGCGTACGTGCTCATTCTACCATATCAATTCACACAACCTCTAACGCCCATGACAGGCCTGCCAAGCCTACCTCAAGGCCTTGACCAAGTCAATTGATCCGCAAACCTACTTCACCATGCCGACGCCGACCAACATCATCATCATCGGCTGCGGCGCGCCGAGCATGATCCCGGCCTACAAGGAGTACACGGGCTGCCCGTTCCCCATCTTCGCCGACCCGACGCGCTCGCTGTACCGCGCGCTGGGCATGTCCATCTCCTTCGACATGGGCAACCGCCGCCCCGAGTACATGAAGGACATCGCCCCGCCCGCGTGGATCGCGGGCCAGCTCAAGCAGGTCGGCCAGCAGACGCGCCGGCAGGGCGTGCGCAAGGCGATGCGCTCCGGCAGCTGGCTGCAGATCGGCGGCGACTTCTTGTTCGAGGACGGCGAGGTCATCTGGTGCCATCGCATGCGCAACTATCGCGACCACGTCGAGGTGGCGACGCTGAGGAAAATTTTGGAGATCGACGATGATTGAGTGGGGGTGGAGAAAGAGACGAAGATCATTTCTATTCTTGTCTATTGGACTCACAAGAGCTGGGTGCGGAGGGAGGAAAAAAATTGTAATGGCTGCTCGCACCCTTGGGCAGTTCGACGGACGGAGGCAGCGGCTTCCTGCATGCTCAAACAAACGTCGGGGAGAGGGGTGGTGTCGGATGCCCGGGTACGGGTCCTGCGCAAGGGATGGATGCGGCTGTGCGACCCTCACGACCCAATTCTCTCGCGTGCCGCCCCTGCGGGACCTGTTGCTCAGCATGCATTGCAAATCACTTTTTGTTGCATTGCAAAAAAGTGTCCGGACGAACCCCCATCACCGGACCCAGCTCCCGCTGCTTTCCGCGAGACATCTTAAAAACTCGGATGACGACGATGACACGGGACGAGATGCAACTACGGGGGCCTGCGGCCGAGTCGGTGTGTCCGAAAGAGCCGCACCGGTGTCGAAGGCGAGAAGGAAGAAAAAAAGCAAATCAATCTTATCCGGTGACGCGGACATGTCCGGTCTTACGTTGCACAACATGTGGTGGCGCAAAGAGGCGTCCGGAGATTTCTTGTCTTTACTTCGCTTCCATACGCCTCCCCCCTTTTTTATTTTGTAAGGGTGCACATGTATGTCACCAGATACGACTCACGAATGTCACGAGGAGGAAGAACGTTAAGGGAGATGGAAGAGGTGTGGACGAATGCGAGGAGGAAGTTGCAGCTGACGGAGAGGTTGCGCATCGTCATGCACGGCTTAGCCCGTTTGTATGCGTGTGGAGTCGGGCCCGGGCCGGAAGGGGAGATCATTGATCGGCAAGGAGTCAGTATCGATGCACGGCTGCTACAGATAGGTGTACCTGCTCTTGTTGTTAACGATTCTAACGGCCTTTGCATACATCAATGGAAGAATTCAAATCAATCCGATTATTCTCTCGCATTTTCGCTCTCACCGCTGCCCAACGCCAAAACCGCATGTTGCCTGACTAACCTTCCCGTCTGACACAGCCACTATTGGGTGAGCGATAAACCACGGTTGGTTCCTGACGCACGATCAAACGGCACTACTGTCCGTGTGTGCTCACCGACAAAAAAGATTCTGGAATGGAACCCCACACCGATCAGCATCTGTCATCACTGACGCAATCGTCACACACAACTACCATTCACCTTTTCGAGATTCCCGCAGAGCAAGATCGTCGGCCTCCCGCGTCCTTCCGCCGTCGATCCCCGGTTCGGAACTCTTTCCCTACGAAAGGATAACTCTCGCGGTTGATCACCGGCAGCAAATCTTAGTGTTGTGCGCGCGCGCACGCTGTGGAGACACGTTAAAAGAGACACTAAAAAAAGAAATTTGATCCCATGGTACCGAGCGTGGAGCTTCCCACGCAACCCCCCGGTGTTTCAGTTCGGGGCGACTTGTTGTAAACGAACACGCGAAAGCAAGCGAAAAGGGAATAAGTTTCGAGAGAGAAGGTGCGTGCGAGCGCACTGTGATTAGCGCCACCGACGGGGGGATCCGTGTACCTGGGCTTCGGGTACACGGAAGCTGGCGAATCGATTGGACCTGAAGACCTACGGTACCGAGCTACGATACGAGTCCACGCCGTTTTGGAAATCGTGATTGGTGCGGAATGCATTGGCCTTGCTCTCTTTTTACTTTCAACGCTCTTTCTGCGCTATTCGCAGCTTCGCTTTTAGACCAATGTCGAGCTGAAGTCCAATGGATCCTTTGAGGCTGTGTTTAGCCTGCTGCTTACTATTCTCATCCGTGGAAAACTTGGTTGAGCCGCTGCTCTCCCGCAGGGTGTACCTGGCGAAGAGGGGGGCCAGAGCCTGATTGGCTGCACCGAAATTTCCGGATCCGGAGCGGGGTAAAGGTGAAGCCGGCTGACGGCACGCATGTGAAGAACAGCAAACAGGCAGCGGTGTCGTGGGAAGTGTACATCATCTTGCATGATTTTCTGCTTTTCTTACGTCGTTCCAGCATTTTGTTGAGAGTATTCCATAAAACTTGTTGAAGTGAGGTGGTGATGCGGAGCATGCTCGCAAGGAATTTGGATACACTTACCTGCAACTCGAACAGCTAATATGGGTCACATAATCTTGTCGGTGAGTCCGCCCAGCTGAACTGAATACTTGATTTGCTAACGGCTTATACCTTTATGTCAGTTGACTAGATAGCTACGTCTGACTGCCAGCTATGAAATACAGTCCTTGCGAAGAACCTCGATGGGATCGTGTATGCCATTGTGGATAACGGCTGAACGTATTACTTGAGCAGCTGAAAGAAACCCAAAACCAGTATCAGACACAGAGCTCATTTTTTGCAGAATTCTGGAAACCTCCCTCCCTGATACCCACACGCTCTGAACAGTGTTCCCCACTGCATGGAATAGCTGACTCTGCATATACCACAAGCGAATATGTTACATTGTCTCCGTAAAATTCCAGCGCAGCCTTATTATGACGTCAAACCTCGGACGGGGGATGACCCGCACATTGCGCCACCAGAAATCACAGGGCATATTTAATGATCATAACAGCTCCTCAAGTGTCAAGCCTCTTCCGCATTGCTAGCAGAATCAATTTTCGCAGATTCTCGCCCGTCCGATGGAAAGTCTTTCAATAATCTCTGGTCTCATTGTAGGTAGCGCCGGAGAGACGAGTGTGCACTCGAGGCGGCTGCGAACTGCAATGCCAAAAAAGAATTGTCAGACCTCTGTGCTTTAGTTTTTGCTGCCGCGTTTATTTGCCGTATATCTCGTGTTCTTTCTTCAACACCAAGGCAGATACCCTGCAGGTTTCACCACAAAAGCATGATCCAGTCAGGTTACTTTATGACATCACAGCAGACGATTGGTGTATATAATCAGGTAGTTTCTGCTGCATTCTGCTCTTCAGCAGTGTGCAATTCAATCACCTTTGCACTGTTCAACAAAAATATATAAAAAAAAATAAGGGAAGACATAATGATAATAGCGGAAGCAATATGAAGCCTCCAGTAAACGACGAGCAACACCTATTTAGTGAAAACGTTGGCACCAGTGCACCTTTTATGGTCCCAATTAGCGAAAAATCAAGATTACTTGTGTCTTTTCCACATATATTCTTCTTAGCTGGTTGAAGAGATGAGCACAGTAGCGAAGCATTTAGTGAGGTAAATGGGATCGTCGGACAACCATGTGGTCGCTCTATATTTTGTATTGGTTAGGCTCTGAGGTCGGCTGCTAGGGATTGTGATGACTTATTTGGTGTCTCACTGGAAGCCTGGCATTTAAGGCGCAGCTTATGACGCAAGTGTCTTCCTTGATAGTAGCCCAGGCATCCCTTTCTCCAGAAGGCGGGTGCAATATGGTTTGGAATCAGCAGGTGACTGCGACAGTGGAGGGTAAGCTGACTAGCGAGCCAATCTGCTAGCACTTCGCTTTCAGCCTTGCCCGGCGCAACAACATATCGCCCCGTTTGTATGGCTCGACTGACACGTTGCATGAATTGTTTGGCTGCTGCCTATCCAGTAACGACAGGCGGATGAGTTATGTTGATTCAGCCTTGCGAGAAGAAACCCTTGGCATACGTCAATTAAAGTAGCCTCGCCGGAGGGAGCTCTTCGCCCGGCTGATATATAAAGGGCCACGGATATTGAGCTCCGCTTTGCTAGTCATAGCAGCCTTTACCTCGCAAAGAATAACATCATCCGCCCACAATGGCAGACAACCAGGTCACCACAGCCGCAGAACATTCCGAACAAGATACTGTTATCCAGAGGGAGATGATATACCACCATAAAAGCTCTGGTGCAACACAGACACAAGAGCAAACGGTGTGTAGCCAAGATTTTCTGAATTAGCGAATGAAGAAAGCTGATAGTAGAATCGTTTCAGGACTCTGTCGCCACGCAGCCGACTGATTCAGGCGGTGCCCAAGCATATGCGGCCAATGCACAAGCGAATTCAGAGGGCGCCCAAGCAAACGCTGCCGGTGCTCAGGCGAAATAAGACCAGTGTTGACGAATAAAAGGACGAATAACGGAAAGGGGAATATTACAGGAGGAATGGAGTTGCAGTGATCAAAATAAGAGGTACTACGGATAGAATATTGAACAGTCATGGTGGAATTTACAGTCCTTCCGAACCGGCAGATAGCCATGGAATGCGCTGACAAGTTTGACTCTGCATATTATGGCTAAGTGCTTTCTACACCCTACATGTGCAAACGTTATGTCGTCGTTTAAGCCTCCAGAACCGCAGCCATAGCGGAGGAATTTGTCCTCACTTGAGTCTCTATTCAGTCATGTGAGCTTTGATAATAGAAAACTCAAAATCTAGCTTCGGACCCCGCAGAAATGCAAGCTTCGGTCATGAATGATGCTAAAATCCTTATTTTGTTATGATTAGCAGAAAGCAAGGAGCTCCGTATGACGCGTCAATCAATGAATTGCCGGGGGACTGCCAGGCGACTGCCTGGTGACTGGAATATATAAACAAAACCAACAGCCTCCTCTTCCACGTACGACCATAGGTCGCAGAATGCAGGGCTTCCCGTCCGCTCAGCCGTACTTAAGCTGCGAACCGGCCGATTAGTACTCAAGTGGGTGACCATTGGGGAATCCCGGCTGTTGTACGTTTTTTTTGGTGTGCCGAAGCACCGACCCCTTTTTGACCCATGCAACATTCATTCCTCCACAACCGAACGGGCATCATGGCATTTTGCTTCATTGTATGGAAATGTCTACTCGTGTTGTTGTCTCTCTCATTTTTGTCCTCTATCACTTACATACGCTCTTCGCGATACTACTTTTTCTCGATTTCCACGTCTTAGCTCTCAGCTTTGCACGGTCGCATTCTTTTCACAGCAGATTCGCAAAGCTAAGAAAGTGTTCATGTGAATATGTTTGGCCTTATAGTGTACTCAAGACAATCACGATGTGGTAGGCAAAAGTATGAGATAGGGGTGCTAAATTCGTAACTGATGCTGAACTACCCCTAAAACTCTCCCAACGATGATATTTACGGCCACGACCATTTTATATGAGAATCATATCTTACCAAAATCTCCCTCACCCAGAACCCTAGTATCTGGCATCCGGCGGGGCCCGATAATTGCTGTCTGGGGGTGGTTGGCCGTAGGTGCCAGTTCCTCGTCCATACACATTACCCGCGCCGTCATCCATACGGAGCTGCTGCGGTGGTATGCCACCACCACCGACACCTCCTCCCATGCCGTCCCCACGCATATCCCTCTCGTACACATCACCGCCCTGCCTGCCTTCCGGTGGGTAAGAGCGATGGCCGTAATCCAAGGGGATGCCGGCCTCATGCGCCTGAAGAGAAGGTGCCTGGCGCGGTGGTGGCGATTGCCCGTAGTACTGATCATCGGCCGTAGGCAAGCGTCGAGGGGGCTCGGGAGAATAGAATGGATCATTGTAATACGGGTCTCTATATCCATCCCGAGGGGGAGGACGTCCCTGCGAGTACGCTGTTCCTCCGCCTGCATGGGTTGGAGTGCCTTGATGAGTTGGGACTTCGCGATGATAATGCTGATTCTGATGGAGCCCGATGGTGGCGGTGGGAACCCCGGCGGCGAGGCGCGGATCGTTGCGGGTGCCGTCGCGCTTCGCCAGCACGCTGTCTGTTCCCCTCTTCGTGTGGGACATGTACTCGTCAAACTCAAGTGTGGCCTGGGCAACAGCTTCGAATTGTGCAGCGTCGAGAATTCCGGGCTTGCTGTCGCGAATATTGCGCCGCGGCTTCACGTGAACATTGTCGATGCCGGCGCCACCGGACGACGGCGTCGAGGAGGACTGGTTGTCGCCCGCGCTGGTCTCCAGCAGGTCGTAGTGCGCAAGCGAGACGCTGATCTGGAAGGCGTTCTTGATCTGCCGCCCGTTCCAGCGGCCGACCTCATTGTTCGTCTTGTTGAAGTGATTTTCAGACCACTTAAGGATGCTGCCGCTGTCGACGGCGACACGGCGCTCGCCGTGTGCCTCGTTGGCGGCTTCGATATCCTCAATCCGCTTGATGTTGAGTAGGAAGATCTGCCTGTATTGTTTCCAGTTGAGCGGCGGATAATAGAGGCTCATGTGGATGCGCGACTTGAAGGCCTCGTCGATGATGCCAACGCGGTTGGTGGTAAGGAAGAGAATCCCGCTATAGTATTCGAGGATTCTGAGGAACACTGACGCAGAGAAAAGGGTGGTAAGCGGGGCACGTTCGGGCTTTCGAAAGGGAAGGGGCTGACTTACCAGTGACCAATGCGTTTCTCTCCAAGTCGGTGGGCATTCTCTTAGTGAAAAAAACGTCTGCTTCGTCCAGCAGCAGAATGCAATCCCAAAGGTTGGCAAGGCGGAATATACGGGTGAGATTCCTCTCCACGTCTCCAGGCTTGAAGCCGAGATCTCCGCAAGTGATAGAGAAAAGCGGCTTACGGTTCTCCTGGGCAACCGCCTCAGCAGTGGCCGTCTTGCCGACGCCCGGCACGCCATGGAGAAGGAACACAAGGCCAGTCCCTTTGCCCTTGATGATGTCCTGGTACATCACTTCCTTGCCCTCATGACGCCGTTTCTTCTTTCTGAAATGTTCCTGCACAAGCGACCGCACCATCTGTTTGTGCGCATCGTTGATGCTCAACTTGTCAAAAATGTCAGGCTCCGGCTCGATGACTTTCAGGCAGTTGATGTCGGCGTTGATAAATTTGCGCTGCAGAAACGAGAATACCATCAGCCGCTTGGGAAGGAGGACCAGAGACTCTTCAGACAGAGCCGCGTCATCGCCCTTTCTCGAGGCAGAGAGGAAGGCGTCGTCGGCTATGGCCCGGTTACGTCGTCTCATTCCGACATCGTCAGAGCGAATGAGTGAAATACAGACATGTTCGAAGTTGCTACGGTCGAGCGTGTATTTGTACGTGTGGAGCGACTCGTCACTGCATGAATCTATCCGCCACGTCCCGATCTGGCCTATTCCCGGATTGTGGAATTCGGGAACCCATGATGTGACGGTCTGATAGGCCTCGGCAAAATCGACGATGACTTCGCTCTCAATGTGCTCGGGATACTTGTCGACGTCGTCAAGCGCTGCGCCGGTCGTGTTACGGGTCAAGGTCCAGCCGCGGTGATAGAGATGCTTCTTCTCTATGTACTGCTTGAATGTCGTACCGCTGGCCTTTTGATCGGACATGAAACTTTCCTCATCATCGAGGAATCTGGTTGGGTAAACGGGCAACGCTTTGATGTCTCTCTCGCCCTCGAACTGGCGGATCTGGAACTGGTGTTGGACCGGGCGATACGAATCACCATCGTAGTCGATGTAATAGCACCAGATCTTAGCCGTCTGCTCATCGTCGAATAGATCGTCATCAGCCCCAGTTACCATGTCGTCGTCATCATCGTCGTTCCTCACTTTGTCTTCGACGGAATCGGGGTTGCTGGGAACTTCTGGTGTGACGATTGAGTACACTCTCCAGCAGCTTTGATAGGATGCTTGCACAGTTGAGTTGCTCGCCGTTGACCCGTAGTCTGCCGATCTTTTCTTCTTCTTCTTCTTCTTGTGCGGGACAGGCGAATAGACGAGCTCGCTCTCCCGAAACAGGTACCAGAGGTCGGTGAACCGCACCTTGCGGGGCTTTGGACCTGGGCCCCTGAACATGTTTTGAAGGGGCACCACATTGTCTTCCATGTAATTGACATAGACTCGCATATGAATGAGAGCGTACTTGCTGTCAACGAGGTCGCTGTTATTAACACTTGCAATCTCCTCTTCGGGCTTGCCGTCTTCCTGGCCAGCGGCGGCTGGATTGTCTTCGAGCTTTCCGCCCCACTTCTCCTCAAGTCGAGCCAGAGCCTCTCTCATCTGCGGCTGGAAATGCATCAAGATCTTGAAAGGCCTGCAGAAGGTGTGCATGCGCCAGGGGTCCGAGCAGGTTTTGTCGGCCGCCTGGTAAAGATGTTGCAGTATGCACGGTGACTGGATACGGATGCGATGAAGCAATGTCGTTTCCACGTCCAGTTGGGGTGGCTTTCGCTCATCGATGTCTCGTGAGTCCTTCGCCTTGGATTCTCGCCTGTCGTTCTCTTTACGGAGATCCGGCTTCAGACTGGAACTGCCGTGGAGGACTTGCACGATAGGCCGTATTTCCTCCTGGGTGAAGAAGTTCTTGAACTGCTCCAAATTCGTGACTCTAACCGTGGCTTCCAAGTCCTCGAGTTTGCTTGGCTCCGAAACAAAGTCTGAGTGATGTGATTTGAGAGAATCAACATCACCGTCGTCCTGCTCCGGAATGCTGGTGTCATCAGGAATTTCCGAGTGCTTTGACGCGGTGTCGTCTTTGATCTCATTTGCACCGGGCTTTTCAGTCATCTGTGCTTCTTCTATCTGCTTTTACGTCAGAACTTGATTCCCATGGATGATAGGCAATTGACTTACCATAATGGTCTCCTCAGCACTCCCGGGGTCTGTTCCAGCTTGTGTGCCTGACTGGCTCGGTGATGCATCCTTCTCCGCGAGATTATTCTGCTGCTGCGAGCTCTCTGGAGGCAAAACATCCACTGTCGTGATCTCTGGCCCCGCAGCCTCGGTATCCGTTCTCAATGCAGACTGGGGTCGGCAAACGTCTACACTGGCTGACATATCCACGAGTAAGACTCAGGCTCGTCAAGATTGTTGGAAGGCTCGCGCCCGTTTGTGAATGAGATGTTGAGTATTCTAAGTGAGCTGTATTTCAGCTTTTAAGAACAGAATGGATCTTTGTATCGTGAGAGTCGAGGCCCGGAGGAGGCTGAAAGCGGATAGGATAAACTTGCATCACACTTGAGCCGTATATGCAAAGCCTCCACATATGCAAAAGTGGCCGAGTGATGTGGCAAAGCGCACTCCGAATCTCAAATTGTGTGGTGGGGCGGTGGGGCGGTACGAACCTTCCACCGGTGGGAGGTTCCTCCAATCGATAGAGCCGCCATATAACCAATTCGACCATGCCTGCATATGCGGCTATTTCGCATAGATCAGTTGGTTATAAATCGGCTGAAAGACGATCAGCTCGGGTGGGGGCCGTAGATGGTATCCGTAAATGGATGGGGCTTGAGCAAATTTTTTCAGCCTCGTGTCGCTTTCCAAACGGGATTCTGCAACTAATTCTTAAAGCTAGGGCTATTATACTACGAACTGTAGGACGTGGAGCATTTTATGATGCATTTTCTCCAAAAAGCCATATTGGCGGGCAGTTGATCGCCTGAGGGGATTCTATGGTATCGATACAATACACGTCGGAACAAGGGTATCTTCAGCCTCGTCTTAGATGATGGAAAGCTTATCGCTGTTGCCTAAACCATGGATGACACGTGTATCGAGCTAAGCCACTCTGTTACGCTTTTTCTCCATAAAAAGAAAGCATGTGACAATGTGCGGCTGCATAGGTAGCTGACTGATTCCGCCGATCAGGTCTGGAGTTCAACCCTCCATTTGCCCTTCCCCCTCATGTTCAAATTTTCGGGCAAATTTTGGAGATAACGTAAAGCGGCGGTTCACACCAGTCTTCAAGTCCTGCTGTTCGATGCCAAAGAAAGATGGCCAATTTGGACCATACAGATCTTCCGCTGAGGGTGTCATTCATCAAATCCGAAGCACCTCGTATCCATAAGGCTTTATCTATCCCTTCAGATTATGACCGACTGACTGATACATTTGTCCCTCCACGTCAGTTCAGGTAAGAGGTTGTTGATTCAAGCACCATCCGTTTTTATCTGAACAATTCTCATGGCAGTATTTCGGATGGCCAGTTTCAAGTCGAGAAGGAAGATTTGCAAGCCGTCATTGCTGAGTTTCAGAGCTCTTTCCCCAATAGCGGCCTAGAGCTTGATGCGCAAAATTGCAGTTGGGATGTTGTGTTCAAACAACTGGAATCTGCCCAGGTGCGCCATGAGGCTATGGAAAACGACGTCGGCATTGGATACCTGCGTAAGCTGTGGCGGAAAGCAGGAGAGAATGCGGACAAAGTCGACCCGTGGCTGGACTTCATTCCCGACGAAAAAGGCCTCAACTTCGTGCGAGCGGGCTTGGTGGTTATCTTGCAGGTGAGACCGACCCCTATGGAATCGCGAAAGGTTGTTCCAGGCCTAAACAAATTCCTGTAGCTTGCGAAACGGGCAGCAGAAGAGCGGGAGAGGGTGCAAAAAGCCGTCGTAGTAGTAGTCGATGCCGTCACCAGCGCAAGTCCGAAGCGGAGAATATTCAGATGGGACGACTCCCTGAAGAATTGTATACACAAGCTATACGCATCGGTCCTGGAGGCGGTTGCTGTGATCATCCAGTACCTTCTCCAACGAGTGGAGAAGCCAAGATTTCCTGAAAAGGGTAGGTCTCCCAACATTCCCCTTTTATGTTAGCGCCTGAAGTCAATATTGATTCTTTGAAGCCATCAAGAAGGCCCGGGGCCTGTTCAAAGACAAAGACGAAAAGCCAGCAAAGGCAAAACCGCCAACGAAGTCGGTGAAGCACGTTGACAATGCCGTTGAAAGCGTCCAATTGAAAGCCGAAGAGTTCTTGGAGCTGTGCATCAACTTGAGGGACGAGATATTCGTTGCAACGTACATGCAGGGGCTTGAATCTCGGGAATCGCTCCGCCGTATCGACGCATACACGAAGCACAATGCTATTACCAGCATCCAGATCCAGCAAACAGTAGACAGTCATATCCCGGCGATCAGAGAGACAGTGGATGAGTGCCTTCCGGAAATCCAAGCTCAAAACAAAGTCACGCACGACAAGCTGGACGACGTCAAGAAAGCGATCGAGGCCGAATCTGACGCTCGGTACGCCAAACTCGAGAACCTCATGAAGGAGGAGATAGGTCGATGCGCACAGAATCTGTTCAACGAGTTCTTGAAGAGTCACGAGAAGACGCTGGATCAGGGTAAGCTGCGATAATTGCCCGATAAGGAGCTAAGCCATACTGATTGCGATGAAATTCAGGACAAGATCGACATGGGGCCCGCCGCCTCGCTCTTTCCGCTCCAGAGATACCAAGATCGCGGACTCCCGCCCCGGGTCCTGCGCCACTTGCGTCTCTCGAGGTGCTAATAGAAGTGCTGGGAATCCCACTTTCGGTGCCCAACGACGACCTGGACATCATTCTGATGGAGAAGGAGTGGTTCAAAGAACAGACGCTATCGATGACGGAGATGCTCTTTCAGACACCTCATTTCGGCGAGTGGTTCTTCAGTGATGGCTCCGGCCTCCTCCTGGCAGACGGAAACGATGAAGAACACGCTAATGACGCAATATCAGCCATGTCGGTCGTCTGTCTCAGTCTGATCGGCAGCATCGTCAGCGCGCGGCGAGACAATCAGGTTATTCTTCACTTCTTCTGCAGCCTCCACCGCGACGACCGCGAGGGACCCGGCCTAATGATGCGGTCGCTCATAATGCAATTGCTGTTTGCCCTCCGGACACACCATTACTTGGATCTCGGCTTCATCCCTAACGATACCTGCCTGCAAGATTTGCAGGAAGGCGAATTCCAGGCATTTCTGTTCATCTTCAAGGGATTGATTCGGCAGTTCCCTGCCTACATGACCGTATATTGTGTCATTGACGGTGTGCAGTCATTTGAGAGCTACCCTTACCACTTCCAGAGCGATATGCTGGGTTATGTGAGGGAGTTGCGAAAGCTGGCATGGCCCCTGAGATCGAACGGATGGCATGGTCATCTCACAGGAGACTATGGAAGCTATGGAACCGCACGTTGCAAGTTCAAGGTGCTTCTCACGAGTGCAAACGGGACAGATTTGATCGGGCAACAAATCACTAGTCCTTCGCGGCGTGTTGCTCTCGGGTATGATTTCTGAACATGTTCTGTTAATGGACTGGGGCAGTGGGATTTCTTTGAGTGGCGCGAAGCTGATTGCGACCTCGTACTAGTACTTGTTCTAATAATTGAGGTCTCCTTAGGCTCACGCACGGGACCAGCATTGAAGTCTGTATTGAATTCGACTCTACCTCTAGATTAGGTAGGCACTCTAAGCAGGATTTTCTCGCAGTCTATACATCAATCTCCCTTCAGGATTCGTGACAAAGTCCGAGCCCACCGCAATTGGCTCCGGAACATCCTGCCCGTCAGCAAATTTCCAATCGTATTTCATGACCATGTGAGACAAAATAATCTTGACCTCGTTCGAGACGAAAAATCTCCCAGGGCATGAATGTATGCCGTGTCCGAAACCTAGCTGGCTCGGACTGGTGCTAGCGAACTGATTCGAGTTCTCTTTCCCAGGCTCGCTACGCATTCTGAGAAATCGGTACGGATCAAACCTCTCCGGGTTCTCGAAGATTTTCGGGTCACGGCTGCCGTCGTTGTACACCACAACGTGGCTACCTTTGGGAAGAACGGTCCCATCCGACAATTTGACGTCTACCATAGGTACCCTTTGAACGGCGGCTAATGTATTTTATGTCAGCAGAGTGGAAAGAAAACCTGACATTGAGGACATACTTTGGCCGATCGGTTTGAGTCTTTGCGTCTCCTTCATCAAACTATCCATGAACTTCAGCTGTTGGAAAGTTTTCTTCTGCCACCCATGCTCTTGAATGACTGAAGTGATCTCCTCTCGCAGTGGAGCAAAGTACTCCGGATGAGCGCAAAGGTCGTAGAGGATCTGAATGATCAAGTCTGTAGTGGTGTGTAAGGCCGCGGAAGCGATAGACAGTTGACCTTCGACCAAATCAAACTTTCGTCCTTTGGCAACGTCAATGAACATTGTGATCGCGTTCTTGTTTTCCTGTCTTTGCCTCCCTGCTTTCGTGTCGGCCATGTACTCTTTCGCTACGTGCTCAACCTCTGGACCAAGTACCCGACGGGTGTCCCTTACTAAAGCACGTAGCTTCCGGCAGTCTGAAAGGAACCAGTGGACGTATGGGCGGACGAATTCTGGCCAGGCTCGCAAGGACTGTGCGGAATCGAAGGACAGTGTTGCGTATGTTCGGGCAATTCTCAACCACTCTTCGTCCCGGCCCAGCTTCTCACCCATGAATACGCGAGAAGAAACCCGAATTATCACCATATACATCGAGTCGAAGGGCTTTATCTCTTGCCATTCTAGATGCTGTTAACGCATTTCCTAAAGCACTGGGAAAGAGGGAGCTAAACCTGAAGGGGTTCCAAAGAAATCTTCTACAGATAATCTCGTCTCGTCGAGAAGATCTTTCGTCATAGAATCTGTTCGTAAAACGGCGTCAGTCGTCTAGATTCCAACATCGTAATAAGATTCATTCACCTAAGCTTTGGGTCAGTTTGATTCTTGCCGTTTGCTGAAGAATATTCTCGTGGGTCGCGGCGTGAAACCCCTCGAAACCAGGGATGTCGGCCATGAAATTCTACATCAAGTTAGCAGTGTGCCGACTTCTTGAAGGGGAATGGAGATAAAACCCTTCGGAGAGCATCGTTAGCGGACAAACGCTTATCACTCTCAATTTCCTTCATATATCTTGACGGCAACACAATCTGTACACCGCCTTGCGTCATGACCTGAAAAGGACCGCCTGTCTAATGTTGACTGTGAATAATTCTGCTTTAGGAATTGCATGAGACAATGCTAACCTGTTTGTGCGCATCGGCAAGTATTGCCTGCGCTGAATGTTTGTAGGCCCTCTTGGCCTTGCTGTGGGACAACTTGCCCTTCATTCCCATCACAGGGAAGCCCTTGTAGAAAACAAAAGCATTTTGAAAGAGATATAAACATAGAAGACCGATGAACACTGAAACACTGATTGAGGGAGGGCTGATAATGTGGACAATCTCGGCAGGCAAGTGAGTCTCCATGTCTGTGAAGAATGATACTTGAATACAGAGAGAGGACTTGGAGGGCTCATTGTTCCTTTCAATATGGTCAGTCCAGACAGTATTTATCACTCCAAGTACTGTTCGACAGATGTAAAGAAGCCTGAGGGTCGGGTTACGGCTATTGCGCTCACCGCAAAGTAGGCGGCGTTAACGGAGATAGCTACGCTAGACACGTTGAAACAGTTGTGGCTCCCGGATTTAAGCTGTGCTCTGTCCGAGAAACAACTTCATTGACTTCTGGCTCAGCGTCGACATGTTCCAATCAATAACAAATACGTATAACTCGAAAGAGGGTCGCTAACAAAGCACTACAGACCCGCGGAGTATCTAGGATACAGCTGTGCCTAGTATTTTAGGTAGTAATCTTAATTCTCTGTATTTAGGAGCTGCTTAAACCAGGTTGTTAGGCAGATATCTTGACGGAGATAATTATCGATTGACTGATTGATTGATTCATACTCCGTCCCAGCTGGGACTTGCGGGCCTGTGCTATACGGGCTGAGATAATTATCGAGGGTTCGCCTTGCCAAGCCGTTGTTGCAGATTCTTCCTTGGAAGATACAACCTACTGATTCTCTTACCCTCTTCCAAACTGAACCAGGGTATACCGTATACCACGGAACTTCGGAAAGTTGAAACCCGACACGCCATGCGTAGAACGATGAAGATCAGGGTTCACCGCATGACACGGAACTTCGGGAAGTTGAAAATCCGACATGCCATGCGTAACTCGCTAGCGGGCACTGTGGGCCCTTGCTATATCTTTGTTGACATTCCTGCGTACCATCGAGTAGACCAGAGACGATTGTATTCGTAAGTCAGCTCCCAACATCTTCTTCCTTTGATCGATAACCCTACAGTCCACTGATCCTAAAGGCGGAGTATTCCAAATCAATGATGGCACAGGTACATGGATCATGCGATAGTCGCTTCAAGAAGGTTGAAAGGCTACTTCAATCGTACATCAACTCAGGAGAAGAGCTTGGAGCCTCATTTGTCGTTAACATCAATGGAGAAAACGTCGTCGACATCTGGGGTGGCTACGCGGACAAAGATCGCACCCGCTTGTGGGAGCGCGACACAATCACCACCGTTTGGTCCACCACCAAATGCATCACCAGTCTTGCGGCCCTTATCCTCATCGACCGTGGTCTCCTCTCCCCCTACGAGAAGGTTTCCAAATATTGGCCAGAATTCGCGACCAACGGCAAACAAGATGTCGAAGTCCGACACCTCCTCTCCCATTCCTCTGGCCTTTCTGGCTGGGAAGCCCCTGTTACACTCTCCGATGTTTTTGACGTCCCAAAAGCCACTGCGCTGCTTGCAGAGCAGGCGCCGTGGTGGACTCCTGGGACTGCGTCTGGATACCACGCGTTTACGATGGGCCACCTCGTCGGTGAGCTCGTCCGGCGCGTCACAGGTAAAACACTAGGGCAGTTCATATCTGAAGACATGGCTGGCCCGTTGGCAGCAGACTTCCAGCTCGGTGCACAGGAGAAGGACTGGCCACGCGTCGCAGAGACGGTTCCTCCTCCTCCAATGGATAGGCTACCGATGCTAGAGCCGACGAGTGTAGCGGTGCGGACGTTTCGCAATGCGGTCCCAGATGCCACGGCGGCGAACACGAATGCGTGGAAAAAGACAGAGATGGGTGCGGCGAATGGACATGGGAATGCGAGGAGCGTGGCAAAGTTGTTGTCTACTGTGTCTCTCAGCGGGCAGGTGGACGGCAAGCAGTTGTTATCGCAGAAGACGATTGACCTTATATTCGAGGAACAGTTTCATGGTGTCGATCTCGTAATGGGCACGCCGGTTCGCTTGGGTATGGGCTTCGCTATGGTTGCTAAGGATACTATGTGCGGATGGCTACCCGAGGGTCGCATCTGCGGCTGGGGAGGCTGGGGCGGCTCGATTGGACTCATCGACTTGGACCGGAGGATGACCATCTCCTATGTCATGAACAAGATGGAGAACAGTGTGGAGATGGGTAATTATCGGTGTCAGGCCTACGTGAAGGCAGTGTACGAGGCCTTAGGGAATTTGTAATAAAAAGAGGGGTAATTACCAAACCCAACTCTTTTTTCGCGAAAATCCCAAGCCCAACCATCACCGGCCAACCCTAACTCTTAGATGGGGTAGGTTGACCTTCTTTTTTAAAAACCCTTATAATAGATGTCTGTGGTCTTAGCCATTAGTACTTAGATTTTAATTTCGTTGAAGTTCTGCTGCGGTTGAAAGATGGTAGATTTTGGTGAAGAAGTTGGGTTTGGCCGACGATTGTTGGGTTTGGCCGGTGATAGTTGGATTTGGGATTTTTTACGAAAAAGGAGTTATGTTTGCCCTTGGATTAAATGACTACTGGCTATCTGAAGAGGGTGGGAGGAGAGGCTATATAATATATTAAAGTATAGCTACGAAAGAAGATAAAGGTGTGGATACTACTACGGAGAGTGCGATAGGACAGATTGTCCCCAAAGCACGAGCCTCAAGTGTGTAAACTATAAGCGACCACTCTACAGGCTTAGCCTAATGCATATACGACGTCTGCCCCTACCTAATCAGGTCCAATGCTAACCCACTACAGAGTATGGGTCCTACAGTTGAATATCTTACATCTCTCAGACCGTAACAGGTCGGGCGAGACGGATTTTGTAAGCAACCGTGACTAACGCAAGCAGGTACCGTCCACACAGTTCACTACGGCAAATAATGCTCGTGGCGCCACTAGGTTGTCGATGCGGAGTGACGGAGTTCTCTAATTAGGCATGTGGGGCATGGGCTGATCAAAAATCGGGTACCGATGTTCCAGGAACCCGTTTCCGATCAGGACCAATTTGATGAAACCTATGTGCTCGCCGGGAGTCTATATAACAAACTGACTGGACCTCAAAGTTACTCTAACGGAACAAACCTTGTCTGAATTTTGAAAACTTGGCTAAAGATATGTCTTCGCAGAAGAAAATTCTTGTCACAGGCGCCACTGGCGTTCAAGGTGGCGGGGTTACTCGCTACTGCTTGGAGTCTGGTCACTTTGTTTACGCTCTTGTCCGAGATACCCGCTCAGGAGCCGCCCAGGAACTTGCGAGGAAAGGAGCAATCCTTGTCCAGGGAGATCTCAACAACCGCGACTCCCTGGTGGCCGCTGCTCGAGGCATGGACGCCGTTTCGATCAACCTCTTGCCAGAAATCCACGACCGATCCTCTGAACTCAGGCAAGCTGAAAACATGCTCTCGGCGGCCAAGGCGTCCGGCACAATATCGACCGTCTTTTACTCCAGCGTCGTCAAAACCGGACAGCACGAATCGTTTCCGAACTGGAGCCTGCAGCACCCGATGTACGATTTCTGGATGTCGAAACACAAGGTCGAAGAACGGGTACGAGCCGCTGGTTTCCCTCACTGGACCATCATGCGCCAGCCTTTCTTCATGCAGAACTTCCATTCCCCCAGATCCCAGTTCATGTTTCCGGGTCTGGATGCCGCCAACACACCCAAGGTTGCTTTTAGGCCAGACACCAAAGTGGATCTCGTTGATGGATCTGACCTTGGCAAATTTGTTGCCGCTGCCTTTTCTTCGCCCACGCTTTTCGACCGTAAGGAAATCGAGTTGGCTGCAGAGCGTCCAACATTCGTTGAAATTGTGGAGAAGCTAAGCGCGGCCAGAAAGCAGGCAGTTAAGCTGGAGTTCTATACCGCTGAGGAGCTCGGAGCTGCGTCGCAAAACCTAGTTATTCAGACACAGCTATGGATGAATGAAGTGGGGTTCGAGGTTGATTTGGATGCGCTCAGTCAGTACGGAATTGTGCTGACGTCGGCTGCGGAGTACTTTTCTAAGATTTTCTCGTAGACCTTAAAGCTACCAGGATTTCAAATTTATACTGTATTTAGCTGTTCAATGTATAACGGCGGGCCTCTGCCTCGAGGAACCCAAACACCAAAAAGGGTGGAAACAAGAAAAAATGGATATTATGACAAACTTTCAATAGAAAGTGAGGCTCGATTATGATTTTGGCGTGTTGGTGAATTTGAAACGCTAGATCCTGGGGCGACACCTGGCGCTTCTGCCTGCTTAACAAGGGGTATAAAACTACCAAAAATTGTTTATCTTCTTAGTTCCTTAGCTAAATATCAAATCAATTCAAGACTTGAAAATTGAAAACCGAGACTCAAGATAATCTGAATTTTGTTTAATTTACTTACTAGGAGCCTTGTGTGAGCCTTGCCTGAAAATCTGAAAGCAGCTCCGCCTTGTTGTCTGCCTCGCGCTAATGCATGGCTTACTGGGCTGCAGAGCATTAGGCAGCCATGTGTTCTGCAGCAAGGCTCGCGATTGGCTCCTACGAACTGGCGAGGCATGCGAGCGCATATTTATTCGGGTTCTGCCCCGGCCAGGCTCGTCGGCTGAATTTTTGCTGCACAAACACGCCTCAATCTCAGCTCATTTTGAACAGGTTGACCGCAAAGTCAGGAGTCTGGTGCAATGGCACCAGATAAGTGTTCAAACTTTAGGTTGCGAGGGATTCCACTTAGTCGTCGAAGCAGAAATGAAGTGCGCCAGCTCATCCAAGATGTTCTGCTCATCGAAAGTGGAGCGATTGCCGCGGTGCATTCGCTTGCGACAAACCCGACTGAGCGCACGACCAAAGTCGCAACCTTGAGCTTCAACACCATCCCACCTCCATTGTCTGACAGGTCCAACAAACAGTGGATATTCCCTTTGCCATCGAGTGAAGATGCAGACGACGACGATGACGATAGTGGTTTCAAGAAGCCTCTTGTCTTCGATACCCATTTTATGGGGTTCACGCCGCTCCAACACACCGAGCAAGATGATTGTCGTATTGAGTAAGGACCATGGCTCATCCGATAAGATACTACACAGCTAACAAAATGTGGCAGTATCATCGCGCTCTCCGGCCTCGGGGGACATGCGTTTGGGTCTTTCAAGGAGAGGAACGGTCGTTTTATGTGGCTTCGGGACGCGCTCCCGCTTGATCTTCCCGTTGCAAGGATTCTCATCTACGGATACGACACTCAAACAGTCGAGAGCAGTTCGTTTCAGAACCTTGCCGATCTCGGTAGAGCATTACAGGTAGACATCAGATCTGTGAGGGTAAGTAGAAGCAAAATATTTTTTGAGCGATTCTTATTGAGTTTGATCAGGGTCAAGAGCCATCCAAGCAACGCCCCTTAATCTTTATTGGACACAGTCTGGGCGGTCTGGTGATCAAAGAGGTCAGTTCAGGTTTTTTCTTTCTTTCTTTATTTTTTTTAAGAAAAAAGGAAAACCATCCCCTACTAAAATACATGCGTAGGCTGTGGTGAAAATGAAGGAAGAGGGGGATGAAGAAGATGCAACGGCACTGGGTTGCATCTCTGCATTCGTGTTCTTTGGAGTGCCACATAAAGGGATGGCGACAGAATCACTCGTGCCTCTTATAGGGGATCGGCCTAATCGAGCTCTTTTAGAGTCTCTGGGAAAGAATTCTGCTCTTTTATCTCGCTCACATAAAGAGTTCAAGAAAGCATTCGGTACAAAATTCCCTAGGATTGCCGCATATTTTGAGACGGAGAAGTCTCCGACAGCGCTCAAGGTAAGTATTGATATATCCTTGTGTCTATGTAAAGATTGAGCGCCGCTTACAAAAGGTCAGAAAGGAGACAAGTGGGAAATGTGTGGGCCGTCGGAAGTCTTGGTCGATCCCGCTTCTGCAACGTGTGGAAGCAAAGACCAACATCCCGTGAATCGAAACCACTCAGAAATAGTGAAATACACCAGTCACTATGATGAGATCTACACACGCGTTCGAGCGATGCTGGAGCAACTTGTGAGCCGAGCACGCGTCTTCCCTTTTGCGGATATTAGTCTGTCCGAAGAAGATGGTGTGTAAATAAGACCAATGTCATATGTAATAGTATCTCTAACAATTTATTTCAGCATCAATTTTTCTTACGGAGGAACAAGAAGGTTCGTAATCAGAAGTAACCTCGAGATAGGATCTAACAAGAGTGCAGAATGTCTTCGATCTTTCTCTTTCCCAGAGCGAGACCAGAGACGTAATGAGATCTGTGTCGAGAAAGGGACCTGCGAGTGGCTTCGAGATTACCCGGCTTTCCGACGCTGGATGAGCAAACACCATGGACTTTTCTGGGTTGAAGGGAACCCCGGAAGCGGAAAATCATTCTTGATGAAGTATGCCTCTGAGATGATGAAGAAACGAAATACCGGAGATATAATCGTGTCGTTCTTCTTCCACGGCCGTGGAGTACCTCTGCAGAAATCACCTCGTGGATTTTTCCACGCGCTTTTAAGCATTCTACTCGGCCATTTCCCCAGATTCCTCTCAAGCCTCACAATAACATTTCAACATCGAGAGAAGCGCTTCGGACCTCATAGTCAGGGCAGGTGGCATTGGACGGAACCAGAACTCCAGGGCCTGACGACTCAGCTGCTGAAACAAGAGACGGACAGCAGGCCTGTAGTCATTTTCGTTGATGCGCTGGACGAATGTGGGAACGATTCCGCAAGAGCGCTGCTCGCTTACTTCAAAGAGCTGATGGATGAGGTTGCTGAAGGAGGTAGAGTGAAGGTTTGCGTGTCGTCGAGGCATTATCCAGTCCTTGGCGTCGATGCTATTCCAAAAGTTCTTGTTGAAGAAAGAAACGACAGAGACATAAGATATGTCATGAAAAAGCGGTTGAGAGACATCCAACCCGAAGAAAAGCGTCGTAAATATGAGAAAGAAATCTTGATGAAGGTACAAGGTGGATTTCAGTGGGCTATATTGGTTGCTTCAAGGGTTATCGAAGATAACGCAACGGGGATGAAAGCGGAGAAACTTCTCGAGAAGATTCAGACCACACCACAAGCCCTAGAGCACCTATACGCGGACATTCTCAACGGCATAAAAGATTCCGAGAGACAACAAACCAACAAGCTATTTCTTTGGATACTTTTTGCCGAACGACCTCTTCTTGCCCAAGAACTCCGAGATGCGCTTGTCACAGACAAAGACATGGTACACTGCACCATCTCCGAACTCAGAGATCATCAGGACTGGAACGACAGTGCTGATGAATTCGAGAAGCGAGTCAAACATCTTTCCAGAGGCTTAGTGGAATTCCGAACGCGGGATGTCTGGGAGCAATATGAGCCTGGTGGAGTCGAGGAATTCAACCGCGAAGCGCAATTCATTCATCAATCTGTTCCGGACTACTTGATGACACATTTCCTTGAATACAGCTCTACCTTCTCACTAGCCATGCCATGTTTGAGAGGAGCTGCCCATTTCGAAATCTCACGGTCGTGCCTCAAGTACCTGACCCTTCGAGAGGTTCTGGACGGAGTACATTTGTCCCGCGGGTCACTTTCGGCGAGATTCCCCTTGGCGGTATATGCAGTACGGCTTCTGTTCCAGCACATTCGCAAAGTCGAAATGGAGGGGATACTCCAGACTGATCTTCTGCACTTGATCGGTTGGTATCAGCAATCAGAATTACTGGAAAGAATTTCAGCATTGTGGAAAATTCTGGACCCTGAGAATGCTCACACACCAATGGGTTGGCCTTTTATTGGGGCAACTGTCATCCATGTTCTGATCGCGTCAGGCTCAATGACAACTCTCAAAGAGTTCCTGCAGAAGGATGATGTTGAACTGGACGGAACAGACCAAGAGGGCAACACCCCTCTAATGATTGCTATCAGAGAAGGTCATCATGATATGGCATCGGCGCTACTAAGCCGGTCCAGGGAGAATGAGCGCCGAATGGAGAGCATCATCAATGAAGATCCCTCCAACAAAGGTATGATCAAAAGGAACGGGCTGGTAGACGTCAACGCAGAGAACAATGACGGAGACACCCCAATGAGCATTGCCTTTACCGAGAGAGCAGACGATGTGATGCTCGAATTAATGGACCGAGGCGCGGAACTGCGATGCATCGAACCGCAAAAGGACCTCGTAATCTATGCTATCAAACAGAGAAACATCATGCTTCTCGACAGATTCATCAAAGGCAAGGTAGATCTCGACGGAGCTGTCTACTATGTAGTGAAAACAGTCTCCTTTTCGGATGTGGACAAATCAGCCTTGCAATTACTATCCCTGCTATTGGAGGGCGGAGCACCTCTCGGAAGACCACAAGACCATGACTATTGTAGCGAAGATTCTGATGATGAGCATGGAGACGATCCGTACGAGAACACCCCTAATGACCCTATACACATAGCTTCATACAGAGGCAAAGTGGAAGCTGTTAAACTTCTCTTGCTGTATGGGGCTGAGGCTGTTACCCTCAATGACGAAGGCGAGAATTCGATCTGGCATGCTATGGTGGGTGGCCAGAAACGGACTCTTGAAATATTGCTCAAAAGCAACCCCTCAATCGTTGAGGCTGCGGAATCTTGGGTTCCATTTGAAGAGGGGGTTTCACTCGAAGATTTCGACTGCGAAATACTGATGCTACTCGTCTCTGAAGGTCGCTTCTCGGATAACAGCGACAATTTGCACTTTCTATTTAGGCACGCCATATCGACTCAACAACACAGCCTTACGAGAGTCATAGTCGAGAATTACCCAGATATGGTATATGCCGAAGTTGTTGATGGTGGAGTTGAAGAACGGTTGCCAGCGTTATCCTATGCCTTCTATACTAAGGATGAAACGCTCGCACTCCTTCTGATCAACAACGGACATGATCCCATTACTATTCTGGATTGCGAAAAACAAACGCCGCTTGTAGTTGCGATCATACTTGGTTTCGCTAGTGTTGTCAAGGCTATACTTCAGAAATTGTCGCTTTTAGGGAATGCCGAAGACGGCGACCTTACTGCACAAGCCTATGCAGTTGTTATGGGGTTCCCTGACGCGGAGAGCGCTTGGCTTGACGAAAATGCACGGGAAGCTTTACGAAACATTTCAAAGATCGCGCCAATCAGTACGATTACCTGTCCAACACCAACTGCAGATCCGTCACATTTCCAAATCAACAATCGTGGCGAAACTGCCTTGATGTACGCTGTACGCGTCGGGAACCGGGGACTCGTCCAAGTCCTGCTTGCAAAAGTCGATTTGCTTGTGAATCTGGCGGATTCAAAGGGCCAAACTGCATTGTTGCATGCCATTCGAGCGGAGAATTCTGAGATTGCCAAAGATATTATCGAGTTCCAACAGAAACGTGGCTCCGAGCACTCACCCAATCCGGATTCAAAATATCCGCTCTGGTATGCTAAGCAGACGGATCAGCACGACATTGCCCTACCGGAAGCTGTAGACAAAAAGCTGTACGACATTGTCAGAAAGCTTTTTCAGGCTGGAAAAGTGAACACTATCAGCCACTGTTCATATACTTTGTCAAGGGTACCTGACACATTGGTCGCGGAGCTGTTAAGACTCCCAGAATTCGTCGTCGACTTTTCATCATCTCACCCAGAGTGGCTTTCAGAAAAATTGTATGCGGGTGTCTTCGACTCGATTGCCAGCTCTAAAGACACTCTGAAAACCACAATAGTCACCGAATACCAGCAATTCGCACCCATCGTGGTGGCAGTAGCAGCAGAACGAGCGCCTACCGTCGAGCTTTTGCTAGATAGTGGGAATATAAGCTGGGAATCCTTGGGAGATGCCCGCTTCCTTGCAGGTATACTGAACCTTCAAGGCATTGAAGATCTGATCTTCCGGCGTATGTGCCGTGGATAGCCAACTTCCCTGTATCCTTAGCCGAAGTCACTCTAACTCTGTCCATCAAATAATACTTCTTCTAGCATGGGACTATAGAGTGAATTACGAACGAGGGAGGATCGTGGCGGAAGAGATACGTACTAGGACGTCTCCTTGAGTAATAAATGAAGGGGAATAAGGCGACAAGGGGCTAAGAAGATGTTGGGGATAGGTTGTAGAAGAGCGGTTCACATTTTGCAGTGGAGTTAAGGGGTTTCTCACATTTCATTAATGCACACCCGTAGTGCGGAAGCTACTAGACAGAACTGGTAGGAGGTTGAGGACCCTTTAAAGGCCATTGTCTATTACACATCACCGTCGCTCTGCGCATCGGCCTTGATATCCAGCCTCGCTTCCTTCATGAAGGGACTCCGCGCCCGAATATCTTTCCCCCAAATAATCAACACGACAGGCGCAAACGAGAGAACCAACGACAAGAAGCCAAGCAAGCTGCTAGCCCACCTGAAACCGAGATCGGTATACATGCTCTGCGCAGCAAGGGGCAAGAAAGCCGCGAAGACGTTCTCGCCCAGCGACACAGCCGCGATAGCGCTCCCAGCAAACTTAGCGTAGGCATCAACAACGTAGTCCGCAAACCCTATAATAACAACCGTATTACCAGCCCCAACCATAGCCAGGCCGACGGCCGGCGCTATCCACGGCACGTCTGGATACGACGTCCAGGCGTACACGAACATGCCGCCGGCCATACCAACAAAACCGGCGACGGCGCCCACGTACAGCCGCGCCTCTGGGATGGGTTCGCCTGGATTCTCGGTGTTGCGCTTCGCGGAGGCGAAGTAGAGTTGCGCGGATACGAGGGCGCCGCACCAGCCGACCGCCTCGCCGACGACGACGGCGACCTGCGCGAAGCCGGCTTGTACCGGGTCGTCCCAGCCGTAGAGCCCGGCGAAGACCTGCTCGACGGACTGGGTGAAGAGGTAGATGTTGCCGACGATTAGGCCGGCCATGAGGGTGCAGACGAGCGCGACGGGCTCGGTGAGGAGCATGTAGAGCGGCCGCTGCACGCTGCGGAGCAGTAACACTGATAGAGGGGTCGTAGATCCCAGTTCGAGCCGGCTGTAGGCGTTCTTTCCGTGCTTGGTGCGCAGCTCCTTGGCGATTTGGGCGAGGATGACGTCGCCACGCGTCTCGGAGAGCAGAAGCCAGTATAGTGGGAATAGTAGGCCGTACCAGATCAGCTGGCAGTACGTGATCCAGCGCCATGAGAGATATTTGAGGATAGCGGCACCGACCACGGGCCCCGTGCTGCTTCCCATGAGATAGAGCGTGATCCAGAGACTCATGGGGATGGTACGAGCCCGATCATCAGCCCATATGTTGCCGATGACGCTGCTGGTCGAGTTGGCGATGATGGCAACGCAGCCGCCGCTGAAGAAACGCGTAATGATAATCGTGGCAAAGTTGTGTGCCACAGCTTGCGGGATAAGGGATATCAGAAAGATCAGGTAGCTGAATAGGAAGGCATTGCGGATGCCGAAATCCTCCATCATCGGGAGCACCATAAATGAGAACAGTGCCCCTCCGAGAGTCCAGGATGTGACGACCCAGTACGAGTGCGGGAATGAGGCATCGCTGACATGGAAGCGGTCGCCAATTGCCTCGTGGGCGATGGTGACGATGGTGCCGTTCATCATCATCGTGAACGTAGCGAACAGGGCTACAGCTGTGAGGATGATCTTCTTCTGCCGAGGCCAGTTGTACGGGTTTCGTGCATCATTGGGAGAGGTCCACTCCACAATCTCCACATCAGAATCGTGAAGTGAGTCTACTGGTGGTTAGCTTCAGCTTCAACCGAGATAGAGCGGGGGTGACTGAACCTCCATTCCCGGTCCCGGGTCTTGGGGCTGAAAGTGACGTCTTCTCGTTGGCTTTCATCGGCGAATGTGAAAAGCGGTAGAAGCCTTTTATTGTAAAGTGAAGTGATGATGATGCTGATGGTACTTTTGAAGTCTGATGGCAGTTTACTTCTTAAATACGTAGAAAGGGAGGCCTTCATGGCTTTGCCATAGCTCCGAATTACTCTGTGAAGCTATCCAAAGGGCAACCTACAGCGAGCGATTGGTCATCATAGGCCCCTGCATAACGAGAGCAACCGTGGTGGTGCGGCTGAAAGAGGCCTCCAGAAAGGCTCCTGAGAGGCTAACCCGTTTAGGAAATTGATTCCGCCAAGAACTGGCGGGCCCGTTAATGAGATGTCACCATCAGCACAGCTAAAGTGCACATTTTCTTGCCACCAATCGCTCAGCATGGTTGCGTAATCAGGCTGCTCCGGTGTGGTTGTATTAGAAATTAATTGTTGGAAGGATTTGGAAGCAAGTGGTGGCATCCCGCTATCCAAGGATAAATACCCTTCTTTGAAGCTCTCTAACACTACAATCACCACAGATAATCTCTCAGCTATCCCTACAACACCATGGCTTCATCATCGACAAAGACCAGCCTCTCCATCACCCATATCGGCACCGCAACCGCCGTTCTTGAGTTCGACGGAGTCAACCTGCTCACCGATCCCTTCTTCTCTCCGGCGGGCAGCTCCTTTGATCTCCAAATCGTCACCCTCCTCGTTGAACACGATCCCGCCTTGAACCTCGACCAGCTCCCGCCCATCGACGGCGTGCTCCTGAGCCACGAAGACCACGTCGACAACCTCGACGACCTCGGCCGCACCCTCCTCAACGGCCGCCACGTCCTCACCACCATGGACGGCGCGCAGAAGCTCGCGCCGCGGCCGGGCGTCCGCGGCCTGCAGCCGTGGGAGCGCATCACGCTGTCCATGGGCGGCAAGCAGTTCCACGTCACCGCCACGCCGTGCCAGCACCTGCCCGGCGGCGAGTCGACCGGCTTCCTCGTGCAGCACCCGGACGGCAGCGTCGACGCCGCGTCCGGCCTGCCCAACGCCATCTGGTTCGCCGGCGACACTGTCTACTTCCCCGAGCTGCGTGAGATCCGCAACAAGTTTCACGTTACTGCCGCCGTGCTTAACCTCGGCTCCGCACACGTCGATCTGCCCGACGTGGGACGCACGCAGATTACCATGGATGGGAAGCAGGGCGCTCAGGCTGTGCGCGAGCTGGGTGCAGACTTTCTCGTGCCGATGCATTATGACTCCTGGCACCACTTTACCCAGCATGGCGACGAGTTGCGCAAGGCCTTTGAGGAGGAGGGGGTGCTGGATAAGGTTTGCTGGCTCGTTCCCGGAAAGCCCGTCAAGATTTTCTGAAGACGTAGTGTTTGAGCTTTTGTTTGGTAGTCGTATCATTTGATAGACATCGATATGCAATACCACTTTAACGAAAATTAAATTTGACATGGACTGCAAATGGAATTTCTTTTCATGAAGCCATGCACAAAAGGAGTCTTATTTTCACTTGGATACATCAAATAAATGCGTTCAAACTAGTCGCATCATCTTCTCATCTTGATTGCCGCCTTCTGTGATCGAGCGTTCTATGAGCAGACCGAATAAGGGAAAGACCTCATTACCACTTCGCACAGCGACTTTCATGCTATTTCATTTTTCCAATCAATTGCCGGGAGCTTCTTCTGGCGAACATCGTGTCCTCAACGAATGAATTATTTGTATTAGTCCCACTGCAGTAATATACTATTTCAAGATATATGAGAACATTCTGGTCCAGAGCGCTGTCTCTGCATTTGGCGATGAGCAAACCAGTAATCGCCGTCCCAGCAGACACATTCTTCAGAAATACTCCAACTAAAGGACTCATTTTACGCTGCGGACTTCCACCAACTATCCGCCTCTGTAAAGCGTTAGTGTGTATTTATCTACTCAGAAGGAAGAAGTGAATTACCTGGATGGACTTTGGGGGCAGCGATATGCTTTCGAGCCTCAGCTTTGGATTTGTGATCGACTCCAAAGGTCTTGTTACGCTCTGCCAGGGCTTCTTCAAGATTGACCTGCTCTGGTTGAGTCGCCGATCCCATCAGCCGGGGAGAACCTTGCGAAATGAATGCGGTCAGCAGGACATCGTTGCTGTAACCTACACGTCGAAATTCTTACCAAATGGAAAGTCATGTCCAGCGTCGGTCTGCCAAAAGTGCCAAGTTTTGCCGTAGAGGCCGATGATCTCCTCCATGGCTTTGGTTTCGTCCATCTCCCATGCCTCTGCATCGTGTTCCTCCGGCTTCGGCAAGATGAGCATGCCCGATTTCACCTCAAACTCGTGCGAATGCCACAGCTTCTGCTCTTCTGGAGGGAACGTTTCGTACACGTGCTTTGGGACCATGTACTCGACACCAATCAAGCGTGCATTCTTCTCATGACTGTCGTATATGAGACACTGACGAAGATCTTTCCGCACGTGAGAGCAGTAGTGAACCGCAGGGACGTATCGCGTTTTGCCCTCTCGTGCTTCGTCGGCGTAGATGTGGATAGCCGTAAGGAATTCACAAACGTTTTGAAGTGGTTTGAACTCCTGATCCCGTCAACATGCTGGAAAGAGCATTGCTGAGAAGCCATGACATCTTACAGGTTTTGGGCCGGACATTGTGTCTTCGACGTTTGCGCGAGAATTCTCGCAAACTACGAGCAACTTTGACCTTTGACTTACGCTTATATGGAAGAGACAGATCAAGAGTGCTGTGGCGAAAGCTTCCCGCTGAATTCTGCGTGATACGTAACATGTCTCAAAGACCAATTATGACGTATGAAGCGACGCATGGTTGGTAATCACCGTGTTGGCCTTGACCGAATGTCTGAAAGTTTATGCATAGGATTACAGGTGACATGCTGACACGACAATATATTTGGTTCTTCAACTAATCCAATTTAGGCGAGTAATTCCGCCAAGACCGGCCAGATCTCGGTGGGTTGTCTTGCTCTCCATCGACCTCGACCTTCTGCCCCTCTCAACGTTGTCTTGGCTGGACAAGTTCAGTTCATCGTAATTGGCGCAGACGACAATGAAATACAAACAAACCAGGGTTTGCGGCACTTGCAGAGCCCACAAGATTGGTGTCAGTGTTTCGGCTATCCGCTACATGCACGTGATGCTGACCTCTTTGTAGTGTGATGGAAAGCGCCCATCTTGTTCCCAATGTCTTCATACCGGGCGGAAATGTGCCGGCTACCGATCAAACACGGAATTTGTCCCTTACACACCAAAAGCACCTACAAAAACGCCAAGAGTCTCATCCGCAAAAGCTCCAGCTGCGAGATTGACGAAAGCTGGTTCCTCCCCAATTGTCCACAGCCGTACCATCACGAACACATTGTGCTACCCCATGGCCAAGTCAATCGGGGCGACGACCGTGGAAGACTTCGCGGCTGTGATTCTCAACTGCTACATCCCTGTCAACCACCAGGCCTGCTCCATCTCCGACACAAGCACCACCCAAGTATGCGGAGCATGGGTGAATATACTTCCCACACTTGTTCATAAGGCACATTCCAGCAAACTTGTGACATCAGCGGTGAGGACATTGGGTTCTGCCATTCTTGAAAGAACCCCCGATGGGAATCGTATCGCCTTCCAGAACGTTGAAGCTTATAACTCCACCCTGTATCATCTCAAGGACGCTCTGCTATCACCAGAGCAAGTGTTCCTGGAGACTGCGGCCGCAATAAGTTGCTTGGCTATGTCAGAAGTACGTTCCACCGGCAACTTGCAGCGGAATTCTACTGATATTTGTCGCGCAGCTTCTGTTCTCAACGTCCCAAGATGCCTTCGGCGCCCACCTCACAGGGCTCGGTGCCCTCATTGAGTCGCACAAGCCGGAAGAGTTCAGTTCTGATATATTTCACGCCATCTTTGTGGGGAGCAGGCCTCTTCTTGTAAGTCTATCGGATTCAGGGGCCACAGTGGTTGTTTCACTGATATCCTCTTAGATTTTCCATGCCATCTTCACCCGAAAATCAACATTCCTTGCACAGAAAGACTGGAAGTCAGTACCATTCTGCCACCGTCCTCCGTCGGACATGCAGTCTATCTTGGGTGACGTCGCCAGCCTTCCATCTATCCTCGAAGAAATCGATCTCTTGCGCATCAACTTCGACGGAGCAGCTCCGATCAGAGCCTTGAAACTAAAGGTTGATGTATTGAACATCCTTGATTGTCTGTCAACATGGAAAGACCGCTTCGAGATGGCAACAACGTATTTGCCAAGCCCCCCAGACAGCGAACAAGATTCAGATCATTCCGACGACCCGGAGCAATTATTCTGGTTCCCAAACCTTTTGGCAGCAAACATCAACGTCCACGTTTGGGCGTTTGAACTAATTTGTCTCGCGGAGATGGAAAAGTTGGACTCGTTTCTGAGAGAGCATGGATGCTGCACAGAGCTTGAGGACGACTCCTTTGGTGAGAGAGATATCCGGACCAGGACAGTAGAATTGGCCGCCAAGATTTGCCGAAGCATCGAGTACCTCATTCAGGACGAGATGAGGCTTCATGGGCCAGCTTCCGCCATTTTCCCCTTGCAAATCGCATTCGAAACTCTGAACAAAAACCAGCGTGCAAATGCTACATGTATCCAGCGTTGCAGGGAATTCTTCAAGCGTATTCGCCACAGAGGTTATCAGGCTAGGCTTCCTCTTTAGCAGAATTTGCAGATCCAACGTATGATTACGAAGCATGATGAGTCGGGCTGTGAGTACAGACGATATAAATGATGGCGTCAGGAGCTCCGAATTTTGCCCACTTTTACATGCGCTGTTGTGTAACTAGTCTTGATTCATTCAATTCCACAGCCAGCTTTTGTCCGCACTTTAAATTGCCTGCGGAATTCTGCCGCAGAGATGACTCCCATAAGTCAGCGGTGCTGTCATTCCGAACTGCAGTATACCCCGCTAGATCGTCGAACCAATCCAGGTACCCACTAACCATATCAGGCTTCCAAATCCGCCAAGAAGCCCTATGAGATCCTGGCAGCCACAGATCATTTAGATGCAGCCGAGAGTCATGCGATATCGTCTTATTGATCTTGGGATACCTTTCCGCCCGAAGATTTGTAAGAATTCGTGGGGCTCTTGGTATTGCTACTACCATAATCTGGTGCGCTCAGTTGATTGAAATTGCGGATATCACATCAGCAGAAATCTCCTGATCTGCTCCCATTGACATTCACCTGAATTTTTCTCCAGAGACTTTACAACAAGCTATGCGGAAATGTAGTTGCTAGCTGCACATATCCATACCCTTCACCAATAAGTAGCTACAAGATCCAGAGTAGGCGCAATCCACAGCGCGAACAGCCCAGGCCACATGCCGCATTGGAAGTATTTCCAGCCCACCATACCCGCGATAAGAAAATTACTCCAAACTAGCAGTTTCTCCTCAATTCCTGTAGGAGGTCCGCTTCGGGCCCATTTGAGATTGAGTAGGGCTGGCAGTACGGGCGGGCGGTGTGCGCCTCAAAATTCAGCTCTCTGGTTCACACGCGGTATTGCTTTAGGAATGGGGGAGGTATTTTGGGACTCACCGCTGCCAACAAGAAACATATTGCATGACTCCCAGGTGGGGACGAGGATGCTCTTCGTCCGCGCAAGTTCCGGCTTGGGCGGGATGGTGTCAACCGCAGGCCCAACATTTTTGATGCCGACAAGAATATGTTTGGGGATTGTGAGGGCGTTGAGAGCCGCCGCGGTGTAGTAGAAGGTCGATGGAAGGAATGGAGACATTGTTGGCTGATATTATCTTTTCTTCTCTTTCAATATCCTGGAGGAAAAGCAGTCAGAGGAGGGTTGAGAAATCCGTTTGAATTGGAAGAGAGTGTAACGGCTACGGTATTTATAATTCAGAAAAGCTCTTTCCCCTTCTATTCTACTCTCAGGGTCTCTGACCCATGCTTGGTCACGGACCTCCCAACTAATCATGGTCCCGCTGGTGGGGCGCTTTGTCAGTCGGTCAAAGACAAAACACTGGCCTGCTCCGAGACGGACGGACCGGCGCCGCCCTCGACACGGTCTTGAAGCACTTACCCTTTCGGCCATAGGCAAGTCGCCAATTGGTATCTCCGATCGGTCTTCATCGATCCACTGCCTCCGTCCTTATTTTTCCAACATCTGTTGGTTGGGGTACGCTGATTGGTTTTCGCCGATGCTTCTGGCAGCCCCACGGTATCCTTGAATCTCGCTGTACACACCACTGCCCGCTGCTGCAAAAGGAACTCAAGCTCTGCAATATTGCTGCAATAAACCAAACAGATTGGGTTATCCAGTCCCATTTGCATGCTAAATGTCTGGTCACGTTGATGCGGTGGGCTGGGGCGAGAAGCTGAGGAGGTGAATGAGTGATGTATTGAGTTACCCGAAAGAAAGCACTAAATAGCCCCCTTGACCGTTGCACCTGCCAACAACGTCATGAAGAAGAGCGAGTGAACTGGGCGGACAGGATACGTGTAGGTTATCTGAGTAGCGAGGTTCTGAAGAAAAGAAAAAAAGAAAAAAGATAGTGACAGCTTCGCTGTTGATACGGATGTAACGTGGAAATCGTGAGAGGATAGCGCACTTCGTAATAACAACCTTTTGTAAAAAACAGCATCCATACCTCGTGACTTTTCAATACTTTTTCGTCTTACGATGACGCAATTGGGCAATTTATTATTTGAACTCGATGCGTGACTCTTTATCAGGGCTTACTATAGCACCTGCGTTATATGAGGAGTGGACTACGCTAAAACACTTCTGGATTACCCAATTGAGCTAACTACTTGGCGGTGCTGAGAATCTTGGAACATGCATGACCATGATTCATGGCCTACGAAGCGACCTACAGCTCCAAGGTCGAACGGCTGATGTGGGACACGATAAGCGGCAAAATTCGTTGCGTATCTCTGCTTAACGTAATCTCTTAATCTCTTCAGCTTGAGCTTATAGCGGCACAAGATGTGTAATGCATGCTACACCTACACATGTGATGTGCTGGAGCCTGAAACCCAGCATGACTCCCTTTATTGATGATCCGCTTCACATGCCGAACACTATGTCGCCCACCTCGTGTTCACCGGTTCCACTCCCAGTCATAATGGCGCCTAGCTCCGTCAGACAGATCTATTCTTGCCCTTTTTTTTTTTTTTAACGCTGAAGAGTGATCGGCATGCATTTTCGAAGGATTCAGAGGTTATCCGTGAATGACTGGTCTATCGCAGCGATGAGGATTCTGCAAGCTCCATAAGCACAACCTGAATGTGCACCGTCTGGAAATGATTGAATTTCCAGCCCATTGGAATGCTGAAGCTTGGATGCGGTGTCTATTTGTCCTTTGTGGGGCCTGTACTGCGAGCAATAACACGACTAGGCTGAAGCGTCGGCTAACTGAAACAGCCCCCACCCCAAAAGCGTCTGTCAGATAAAACCCGAAGCGTTGCCTTTCTGTTCCACAGTGCATCTTTTGATTTTCACTTTCACGCACGAGTCTTGCTAATATGGAGCCATCATGGTGGGAAAATCGAGGGAAGATGAAGGAGTCAAGTCTATGGGACCCCAACCTCATGAGAGCATACGAAAACATGGCAGATTTCGAGTCCTCTACATTCGAATTTGCTCGCTCAGACGGAATCACTGCCGATGCAGCCAATATTCATCCACACGATGTTGACAGATTATTTCCGCTGGACGATGTCTCCCACTGGGCGGAGGCGAAGAACAATCAAATTGAGCGCAATGCGGCTGATTTTGAGAATTCGCTGGAAAGCGCTTACAGACCCATCACCGATCGCCACGAGATACGGGTATTGAAACTCCTTCCGGGCGACTTCGACGACCAGCTGCAGGGCACTCTACACCACTGCTCGGTCGAGTTCGAGTTCGACGTCGAGTCCGATTCAAGGCCATATGATCAACGCTACTTCCGCACAAGACATGCGCTTTCCATGGAGGACCTAACGCAACCTATTTGGTATACCGCACTGAGCTACACATGGGGTGATCCCAATCCCGACACGGATTGTTTCATTGAATGCGATGGCTTCGAGCTCAGGATTACGCATTCATTGGACGTAGCACTTCGGCATTTTCGGCAAACCGATCACTCAATAAACATGTGGATTGATCAAATCTGCATCGACCAGAGCAACCAGAGAGAGAAAGAGCTGCAGATCCCCCTCATGTCAAAAATCTACAGATACGCCATCAATACGGTTGTGTGGCTTGGTGAAGCCAGCGAAGGATCAGACAATGCCGTTGAGCTGCTCAAGTTCATTGGCACCGCCTTCCAGCTGACGGTTGATGCTCCGGCACCCGAAGATTTCGAGAGGCTACTACTACCCAGCCCACAAGATCCTCTATGGAAACATCTTTGGGACTTGTCAAACAGAGCATGGTTCAATCGGCTCTGGATCGTCCAAGAATGCATACTTTCGGACAACCTGTGGGTCATGTGCGGCAGCACGACCATCATCTGGGAAGAGCTTACCAACGGCTTTGCTAATCTCATACAGAGCGAGCTCGCGAACTGGCTTCAGAGCGAGCACGGGACAGCAGCACCAGACGGGCAAACAACAGGATGGGAAGCCGTGTACGTGCTGAGCGAAGAGCGGGTGCACTACCATCAAGCCTGGAGAAGCATTTCTCTCTCCCTCTTCAACGTTCTGGCACGCACTCGCAACACACAAGCTTCTGATCCCCGAGACAAGATCTATGGCCTTCTCGGTATATGCCATGCCCCTGGCATTGAAGTCAACTACGACCCCAGCAATACCATGGCAGATGTCTACCACGCGGCCACGCTCACCTACCTGAGAGGTGACACGGAGCACTTACTCCCGAACCTCTGCTGCGTCGACCACGACGAGTCCTCGAGCGCCGGCCTCCTCCCCTCGTGGGTTCCGGACTGGAGCCGGAGCCAACAAACCAGCCCGCTCGGCTTCTCCACCAGCTCCGGCGCCATCTACCACGCCGGCGGCATCAACGCGAAGGCCTCCTTCTCCACCCGCGGCCCCGGCGACCGCGAGCTGCTCGTCCCCGGCAAAACCTTCGACGCGATCGCGCGCGTCAGCGACGTCTGCACCACCCCGGACATCTTCTGCGACGACCCGCAATCCGCAAACGCCCACTTCCTCCCCTGGATCGAGCTCGCCCAGCAGCAATGCGCCGGCCACCACCACCCTTACCCTAGCGGACTCTTCGACGCCTTCTGGCACACGCTCGTCGCAGGCGCCGACGGCGAAGGCATCCGGAAGAGCCCGGCTTCCGCCTTCGCCGAGATCTTCAGCCTGCTCCTCGACGCGACGACGGGCCAGGAACCCACTTTCCCGGACCAAACGTACTCGGCGCGGCAGCGGCGGCCGCGGGGGAGCAAGGGGAGGCTGGAGTTGGCGAACCTGCGGGGGCGCAGGGCGCCGGGGAGGACGTATCAGGAGGTGCGCCACGCGCTGCGGCGGGCCGTGAGGAACAGGCGGCTGTGCATGACGGAGAAGGGGTATCTCGGGCTCGTTCCGAGACAGGCGGGGCCAGGGGATCGGGTGTGTGTGTTGGTGGGGTGCCATGTGCCTTTTGTTGTGAGGAGGGAACAGGAGGAGGAGGAGGAGGAGGAGGAGGAGGAGGAGGAGGAAACGGACGGGCTGGAGCAGAGGTTTCGGCTGGTGGGGGAGTGCTACGTGCATGGGGTGATGGACGGGGAGGTGATGGAGGATCAGGAGGTCTCGTGTGCGCCGATTGTGTTGGTTTAAAGTGATTATGAGGACGGTTTATGCTTATGCAGTGTGCCCTGATGATCATACAGGTCCCATCAATGGCGCGTCGATTTGATATGTACGATTTAGTCTGCTGGGTGACAAGTTGCATGCATTAGCTTAAGGTACGTGGCGCCGAACAGCGCTTTAGCACGTGCTTGATCTTGCAAGGGAACTGCTGAGTAGCAAGCAATAATTGGTGCCCCAGTTATCGCAAGGCTGACGGTCGCTGCGGACGACGCGGAGATTGCGTCTCGAGAACAAGGGCTGTGGGGAGACTTCCGCTATGCCACCACTCAGGATATTCGCCAATGCTTAATAAGCCCTCTTTCGGGAGGGATATGGGCAGGGTGCATGCATTTGCAGGGAATTCCTTGCTAGGTTCTTGCATTCTGCAGTCGATCTGCAAAGCAGCTTTTCTTTTTCCCGCAGTGCTTGCAGTGGCTGAAGTTAGCACAGCCCTCTTCGGGAAACACATGAACGGCATTGTGTATCTTCTGCGTACCGTTTCATGCTTATTCCGGCATTTGTACTAGCCCGGCATTCGCGACCTCTTGGACTGACGCATTTTTCTAGGCAAACCATATCTCATTGCCGACATGGGTTCAGTTCTGTGTAAGTTTGGGGAGCTGAGCTTGGAGGTTGGCAAGATGATCAATAAGAAAAAGATGTTACATTGATGGTACTCAAGGCGGGCTATATCAAGGCCGGGATCAAGAGCTTGAAGCTCTCCATTAGCCTTATCATCAATACGTTCCCTTTCCTACTGTGCTGGATAGTATGAGCGAAAGCCGAGACAAGGCTTTCGGGAGGCGCACATGAGGGCCACCCGCACGATTGCCTAAAGCTGAATCGAAAACAGCCACCGCGGGATTGACTAAGCAACAAAGGCTTGGAAACAAATGGGCCAATGAAAACGATTACCACTCACACACGCGCGCACACAAGATCCCACAGCATGGCTGTATTAACTCATTTTCTCTTCTGGCAGAGAAAGAGGATATCACGCGAACTACGGAACAGGCCAAAAGTCAAGAATATTGAAGAGCCTCTCATGGCTCAAGCCCGGCCAAAATCAGACAAGAAATCTGCCAAGCGGAATGTTGCTGAGGGTGCGGCTATGATGAGAGCTCAAGGCGGAAGGGGGTAGTTTTTCCAAAGCGAGTGATCTTATTGCCTAACGCAAATAGTAGAAAGCTCTGAATGAGGTCATTGCTGCCACTCACGCCACAGGAAGGGCTGAAGAAGATGCAAAAGCTGCTAAGGTTGCAGCAGGCAGAAGCGGATGCCTGAGACTGCTGACTGCAGCACGAATTACAAGAGAAGAGCTGAAGAAGCTAAGGAAGTAAGGAGGGCGCTTTCCTAGGCTGTGAAGTAGTTGAGAAAGGTGAAACAAGAAGCGGAAGGCAAGGCTACTTCACAGGTCGACCAGACTTCTTCCTCAAACTATACTGCAAATAGAGCAGGAGAAGCAGCAGTAGCGCAGGACCTATTTAGAGATGTTACGAGACGTTTAAGATTTTTAGCATCAACCTTATGGTCTGAGACTACGGTTGATCTGCATGGCACTTATGCGGGCGGCAGCGCCACAGCGGAACAGCAGCCAGCGCTTCAGCCGTGTCCAGCCACGAAAGCTGCAAACTACTCGCCATCAGGACTGGGGCCCGCACATTTTCCTCGCTTGGCCATATGATCGCCGCGCGCCAGGAAATTCGGAGAATAGCGCGCAAAGCGGTGGATGGTCTGACGTGAGATGCGGGGTTCGTGCGGCTCGGACCGCTGGGATCAGGGTTGAACGGCCGTCCAAAGACAACACAGACTTCTTGCTCTTCCAGGCTGTTGGGCACTCGATCTCAGAGACAGCCTTATGCCAAGAAATATGACCGGGCTCTGCCTTGCAACCACGGCGATGGCCGTCGGCTACGTGTTCGGGGTTTCAAACCAAGCCAGTCAACACTGACTGTTGTACAGCAGGCGGTTGGTCAGATTGTCGCCGCGACCTGTGGAACTCTTGTACCACACACCTAAAAAAACGTGGCAGGGCTCCGATTCGGGCTCCAGAAATAGCTTACTCTTACGGCAGAAAGTGAGGTGAGATTCAGAAGCTGAATGCCAGGCTCCAACCTTGAGGCTGCACAGTGTCCAGGTATCAACACCGCTGGTTCTGATTGCAGGCTACATTTGCAGCAAAAGTGTGAATGTCGACTAAGCGACTAGTGGTAGTCATGCGGAAAGCTGAGCTGCAATGCCACCACACCGTCGCGACTGTGCCGCGACAAGATATTGTACGGCATGTAGGTAGCCAACAAGCTGGATACCTTTGACATTGTGCAGCAATTCAGCTTCCGAGCTGTTGAACCGGGAGAGGGGCCGAGTCGGCTCCTTTGTCAGCCCGACCAGTTTCAGCCCACCCGTGAAACATCGGGGCGATCATGGGGGGATCCGATACGTTGGAGAATGCTCGGCAGTCGGCCATTGGCCGCAGTCCTCGGAGTTCGAACAGTCCTTCGAAGGACTGGGAGGATGGAGCCATTGGTGTAGCTCTGTGTACCTGCAGCTGTTAGGACGTCCTCGGTAACATGTGATGATAGGCCAACCCAGATGGCAAGGTGAATGAGGATTAGCTCACGTAATAGTACACAAACATGCGCTCCGAGTACATGCATGTATTCTGCCGAATGGCAGGTACGTTTGCGGTCAACAGCTGCCAAGCAGCCAAGACACAAGTTACGGGGCGGAGAGAGCGAGCGCGTGCCACCACCTTATCCGCTGGCCCTAAAATGTGACACAGCCGCGGGCTAACAATAACATGAAGCCTCTTGGAAAAGGAACGTGTGCCGTGCCTGGCCCAGACATAAAGTCAAGCTTGCCGGAGACGAAGCTCACCAGGAGACGTCCAAGCCATCTCACACTCATCTTTCCACAATGATCGAGTCTCAGGCAGCGCCCCAAGCCACTCCGGCGGTCGATGGAGACAGAGAAGCTTCTGAGCACATCCTTCGGGCCGCCGCTGCCGCGCCTTTAGTTCCCACCGACTCTGCCGAGCACCTGCCACGGAGCTCGGGAAGCTGGTTCAAGAGAGACATCATTGCTTTCTTCCTTCTTGGGCATACTGTCAGTATTCACGTGCTTTCCCTCTTGGCACCACCTAACTATCCTCTGTAGATGGCTCTTCCGACATCCATCCTGTTCACTGCGTCACATTCCATGTTCCCTGGATTCACTGGAGCTTTCATGATAGTCGTTTCGCTGTCAACAATCGCCACTGTATTTCCAACGCCGCCCATTCTCCGCTTCATCCCCCATTGGCTCAGAGTCGTCCTCATCTTCGTCGGTAGCTGTCTCAGCTTCTATTTCTCCACCCTCGGTGAGCCAAGGATCCCGCCGGGCCAGATCAGTGGCACTTCCATGGCAATCACCGTCTACTTCTTCGCTGCATGTGCATTCCATGAGACAGCTGCCTTCTTTGATCCGAGGACCACTGCTGCTTTCAGCACCGGCGCAGGTAAGAGAAATTTCATCTCGACTTCCCCCGCGGAGAGCTGACATCACCCTCCACAGGCTCTTCCGTTTTTATCGGTCCTGTACTCTACATCGGAATCATGCAGGCCTACAACGGCTATTGGAGAACCGTCCTCCTCGTCTGCCTCTGCACCACTCCCTTGTTCCCCATGGTGTGGTGGATTCTCGTCCCAAGAGAAGGCCGCCGCGCCGCCGAGGAGGGTCGCCGCGCCGCGAGGTCCAAAAGGCGGAGGTCCACCGGCAGCTCTACGCCAGATCAAGACCCCGAAAAGAACGCCGGCATGACCGGAGTGGCACCAGTACGCACCAGTGGCTTCGGGCCCGAGCGCACCCGCATCGGTCTCTTCTTCAAGGTCCTCTTCCCCACATACGTCCTGCCGCAGATGATTGCCGTGTTGCTGGGTATCGTCGCGCTCTTTGGTCTCACGCCGATTTTCATGTACCTGAGCAGCTTCAAGAAGGTGCCGATGGGTGAACTTCAGTACGAAATAAGCTGTATGTGTGACCTTCAGCCTTTTGAAACTTTTACACAAATTGCTAACTTCTTGCCAGACCTGGCCTACGGCGTTGCGCAATTTATATCCTCGACATTGTCCACCCGCTATCCGCTCCCGAAGCTCTGGATCTGGGCCGCACTGCAATGCACGATTATCGTTCTCAGCCTCGTTCAGATCACCGAGCCCTTCTTCACGTACTACGGCGTCTGGATCCTGTTCATCTTCATCCACGGCGCAATCGTCGGCGCTTCCAACATCAACACCAACCACAAGATCGACAGCGACTTCCGCAGAAGGGGCGAGCCGGAGGAGGTTCGTTCTTTTGCCGTAAGCTACGGCGGTCTCGGGAATGTGATTGGTGAATTTTTTGGCGGCGGTTTCGCGATAATGGTCCAGCGGTTGGTGATGCTGTGGATCAAGCCGGCGCATCCGATCCCCCCACCCATTTAGACTACGGGCCATTCGTTCCTGATGAAAAGTGAAGGATATCCAGTTTGTCCTTTTTCCACGCGCACCTTTGTTTATAAAAGCTAGAGCATTAAGATTCGGGGCTGTGATTACTCAGTCAATTCCACCATTAAGGATCACCATTGGCTAAAATTGGTTCACTGTAACGGAATCACCTCCAGATAAATGAGTTGAATCAATATCGTTGAACAAAGCTTCATCAAAAACGGGCCTGTACTTTGTCGGTGCGTGTTCCTACTCCATTCAGAGACACTCCTTCACAATCCCAACGTTTAGAATCACATTAGCCACATTTTTTCCCGTAAAGAAACCATGGGGCGCAAACCCTGCCCACTGGTGCATGAACTCGTCGTGGCATCAAAAAGTATGTCAAACAAATAGTGTAAGGCTGTTTCTCGAACTTCGATAGTCCGCCACCATTCCGAAATCATCTTGAATTTTTAATAATTCATGGAGCGTGATTGGCGTATTTCTTCAACTGGATGGCAATACCGCACTCTTGTCCAGTAAGCTGTATCCGCCTGTGGGGCCGTGTGTAGATCAGGTGCGGGGAAGACAAGCCATGATACGCAACGCGCACAAGGCAGATTCCGTAGCCTAGACAGCCACTATTTCTTGAAAAGGAAGTAAATACAACCTTCTGTGGAATGACGCAAGCCCGCGGGCAGGGAAATCATCATGCGGCATTTGCCCGAAGAAAACTGTAAGGATATGGGAGGCATACGAGCGCCTAGACCCGAGAGTAGTTCACGGACACCACAACATTGTGTGTGCACCCGGTGTTTCTAATAATATCGATGCAGGAATTACCTGATGGCAGTTGCTCCAGCACCGGAGCAGTGGCTTATCCAAGCTACTGTGTGATTCTTAAAAGAATCCAATAGACGTGTCCCTTATTTGCAATGGCAGGTCACAGAATATGATGCAACGCAGCTGTCTAGTATAATCGTGGTACGTAATGGGTCCGTTGCCACAGTGGACTTATCGGACGTCGTGGATTGAAGGCCGTGTTTGCCGGGTTGACCAGGCCTCGTTTGCCCATGAACCAATTATCAAATATTTATTGGAGACGCGACGAGGTGTTTCAGGCACCGCGATTCATGGTTTTCTGCAGAGTGCGGCAGTTGGTGCAGGCACTTCGCATGGGAACGGGATGGAAATGACATACTCAAACGCTCACAATTCTTGAAACTCATAACCTGAACACAGTGATATTTTTCTTCTAAACTCTGATGCAAGCAGCCTCTCCCAGGGCAGTTGAATGACTTCATCTTCATGGAATGTGCGATTCAAAACGCTGTCGCTGCAGCGTGGTCGCGTTTTGACGGGGCAGTTTCGCCATTTCGGGGATGTCTGTTGTGATCGCCACACCCTGTCTAGCCTCCACCCACACTCCCACTTCTGTACGGTTGTATCATCGGGTCCTCCGATGCCGAAATTAAGCGAACGGCAAAGCCAACCAAACGGAGCTAAAAGTCGTGTACAGCTACCAATTCGAGCTTGTTTGGAGCAGGAAACCCATAAAAATGATGCATTGATATAAAGTCTCTGGGAACTGTTTTCTCGTTTTTCTCTCGAGTGCATCGGCATCTCGAGCAACAACACTGACCTCTCTCACTGCAAGACGCATCCATTCTCAGCCCTGCCTTGTTGCGCCTTGATACTTGTTCTCCCAATGTCTTGGCGGAAGCCATTTGGCGATGGCGCTGGTGCGCAGGGCACGGTGCTGGAAGGCCAAAGGGAGGAGATATCGGAAGGAGGCACTCAGTACATCGGCGAGAAGGGAGGTAACGATGCACCGCCTACCTTCCAGGATGCGTCCGGTGCGCCTATCGAGAACAATTCGCCGTTGGGATATTCGGTCGGCCCAGTCACGATTACCCTGCTGAACATTACCATGATGATTGGCGCTGGTATCTACTCCACACGTACGTTCTGCACACTAGCCAAGCCGGAAGTTTATACTAACTGCTCCAAGCATCCTCGATTCTGTCTGGAACCGGTTCTGTTGGAGTTAGTTTTGTTTACTGGACGCTTGGTTACTTGGTACGTTCTCGATGCCCAATACAGAGGTGTGACAGAAGAACAGTGACTGATTTGTATCCACACAGTTATGTATGGCATCAGGATCTGTCTACCTCGAATTTACCGCCTACTTCCCCAGTCGATCCGGTTCCGAAGTTGTCTTCCTCGAACAAGCCTACCCACGTCCCCCGTGGCTCTTCCCGACAACGTTTGCCGTCCAGAGCGTTATTCTCTCATTCGGAAGTGCCAATGCTACCGGTGAGTGGATTCTATAAGCGGCTTTTCTACAAATAAAAACTTATTCGAACAATAGTCATGGCCAACTATCTGATCGCCATCTCCGGGCACGAAGGAACCAATTGGCAGATCAAGGGTACTGCTCTGGCATGCTACACCCTTGCTACCTTGAGTAGGACCATCACAAGTTCCCTGTTCCATTTTTTAGAAATTAACGGAAAACAGCTCTTGTATTCAACACGAAGTATGCCTATCGGTTCTCCAATGCCGTCGGCGTCGTCAAGATCTGCACCCTGCTTTTCGTTATCCTCACCGGCTTTGTCGTATTGGGTGGTAACACCAAAGTTGAGGATCCCAAGGCCAATTTCCGTGATGCATGGTCCGGTAGCAAGACTGCCTCTGCTTACGGCATGACTACTGCACTTTACCGTATCATCTTCTCGTATGGTGGCTACAACAACGCCTTCAATGTTGCCAACGAAGTCAAGGTATAACGTCCTGCCACGCCGTATACGAAAGAAAAAGGACTGACATTGGTAGAACCCCGTCCGGTCGCTCAAGATCTACGCTACTGTTGCTCTGACCACTGTTTATGTTCTGTACATGTTTGCCAACGTCGCCTTCTTCGCTGCTGGTGAGTAGCTTCAAACATTCGGGAGGTCAAACCATAAATTTTAACCACTGACACACTTGCAGTCCCCAAGGAGGATCTTGAGAACTCCGGCCTTACCGCTGCCAGTCTGTTCTTCACCGCCGTCTTCGGAAACAGTGGCGCCGTACGCGGCCTCAACTTTCTCATTGCTCTGGCCTCTTTCGGTAACATGATTGCGGTAATCATTGGTCTATCTCGGCGGATTCGTGAGTGTGGCCGGCAAGGTGTCCTTCCCTGGACTACCTTCTGGGTTTCTACCAAGCCTTTCGGAACTCCCCTGGGGCCGTATTTTGTCATTTGGGCGTTGACAGCCCTGATGATTTTGGCCGTCCCCGCTGGAGATGCTTTTACTTTCGGTAAGTCCTCGTTTCAATGCTGCCTGGCGTGGGCTCGCGTCACTGACGATCGAAAAAAAAAAAGTCAACGATCTGGCCGTTCTCCCGAAGGCTGTGTTCGACTTGGCCATGGCCGTCGGTATCTACATCGTTCGTTGGCGCAGACGCAAGGCCAATCTCCCCGAGCCTGAGTTCAAAGCGTGGAATGTTGTCATCATCTTCAACATCCTCGTTCAGCTGTACCTCGTCATCATGCCCTGGTACCCACCCGCCGGTGGTCAATACGACGGCGATGTTAGCTTCTGGTACGCTACATACGCCGTTACTGGCATTGCAATGTAAGTAATTCTTCTTTCTGTCCTACGTAAGGCTGCGGGAATTAACATCAGTGTAGTCTTCTCGTTTGTGCCGGCTACTACTGGCTTTGGGCTTTCCTTCTTCCCAAGTGGAAAGGATACCAATTACGGCAAGAACTCATTCGTCTTGATGACGGCGCTCAAAGTCACCGACTCCGGAAGATCCCTAATGCTGAGGTCGCTGAATGGGATGCTACGCATGATGCGGCGGGGCGCCCCATTGTGTCTTCCTCTTCTGATTCCAAGCTGTCTTCAGTCACGGAGACTGCAGTAAAGGTGTAGAAAGGAGTGGACTTTGCTGAATGAAAAGCGTATGCAAAAAGGAGGCAGGGAGAAACAAGGCAGATAGTACGCTTCTCAAAAATACCAACGTGATCGTCAAAGCCTTCCTCCCCCTCCCCCAAATTCTTCCCCAACAACCCCCAACCCGCCCACCCTAAACGCCTCCAACCGCGCACACTCCCGCACCACGTACCCCACCCTGGGCCACCTCCTCCCCACCTCGCATAAGCCCACCCTCATCGCCCCCTCCACCGCCGGCACGAGAAACACATCCGCGGCCGAAACCCCATCGCCAACACTGAACCTGCCCTGCTCTCCAGTAGCCAACAACTCCTCATACGCCCCCAACCCCCTCTCGTACACCCGCCGCGCCCACGCTTCCCCATCGCCGCCGTAGTCCGTGGTAATGGCATCCCGCCACCGCTTGTTGGCCGGCGGCTGGACGTCGCAGGCGACGAGCGCGACGAGATCAAGGACGGCTGCACGACGGCGGAGGAGCGATGCGGCAGCGCTGGAGTCCGCAGAAGAAGAAGCGAATGGTGGCGCGGGGATCAGGCGCGGAGGGGAGGAGGGGAAGAGGGTGTCGAGGGCGTCGATGATGGCGAGGGATTGGGTGATGGTGATGATGGTGGGCTGCTTCTGCTGGCTGGCGTCGAGCTCGACCACGAGGGTTGGGATGCTGGCGTTGGGGTTGAGGGAACGGTAGGCGGGGGTGTGGTGGTCGGAGGCGGAGAGGTTGACGGGGTGGTAGGTTATGGGGAGGTTAATGTCGTGGAGGCGCTTGAGGTGCAGGGCGATGCGGATGCGGGCGCTGCAGCCGGAGAGGGGCGCGTGGTGGAGGTGGAGGGCTGTTGCGCGGATGGGCATTATTCTCCGATCAATGGCAGCAGAGGTGGAAGAGGGCTGTGAGATGTGGAGAATGGAAACCACCATGCAAGGGTGGATTCTTTGGCCCCACCTTCCCGTGTTGGTTAGCACTAATTGGCTGTTACTGTCTGTCAAGCACTCTCCACTGAATAAAGCTGGGCCAGAATAAAACAGGTCTTACATGGGTACTACGCTCCACATACGCCTACCGATTCAGAACAGGGTATAAAGCAAAAGCAAGCATGGTCCTCTGAGTTGGTTTCAAAGTGAGTGCGCACCATAGCCCATCTTAAAAGAAAGTGTGTAAGGTTGTATTGAAGGCGGTCGAAGCCATCGCTCAGACGTAGATGCAGAGCTCAAGGCTACACAAGAACGCCTGGACAGAAGGTCTCACTACCCGCATAAGCTGAGTGCAGTTGCTGGCGGACCATAGAAGATCATTTCTCTGATCTGCGGTTTTTTTTTTTCTGTTGGCTGATAATGATACCAAAAGATAAGCTTATGTGACAGAAATTGAAGCCCTGTTTTCGTTTCCTTATCTCTTCTAAGCATTGCCAATTTCTTGGCTTCTTATGGCAGCACCTTGCGTCCCCATGGCACACACAATGCTAAACACATATGTATAGATACACAATACTACATTATTGTACAGTATGTTCAGTGAATGGATTGCCCACTGAGAGATGTTATGAGGGCGTTGCATGCATGATGACAATGCGACTTGTCGCCTCTATCTCTGGCTGTCAGAGTGGCTTGTCTGGTAATAATTGACGGAATGGTTTCCGTCGTATCAGGATGAAACTCAACGTATGACCATGCTCGTAAGACTCTGGAATGACTCGCAAGCTGTGTCGTACCAGCCTTGACCGGATGGGGCAGGTATCTGCAGTTACCCCACATGGGCGCGCGCCGCGTCTCCGGATTCTTTGCTGCGCCGCTTCCCCCAGACCTGGACCTGTCGACCCCTTTCGCTGTACCCACATCCTTCAGCCCAGACGACCAACCATGGACGGGCATTTGGAGGAGCAGATTGAGTTTGATCCGGTACCTATGCCTTTGCAAAATGTATAGGCTCCTGTAGCTTACGGATCATGTCGCAAACGCCGTAGAGCGCTTTGAATGAGGACGAACCAGCCCTAGGAAAAGATGCGTAAGTAGCAAAGCGAAGGGCCGGATGACGTATGGCGGCCAACACTATTCCCAGGCAGAGCTATACTGCATCATTGAAATCAAGTATCCTCGATTACACATACGAGAACGGACGACGATATCACGCCGAAATAACAGGCAGATGTAAGCGTAACAAGTGTGTCCACGCCATCCCTGTGACTGATCATCGTTCCAGCGTACTGGCTCCCCAACGATGAAGTAAGGCCTGAGTCATTCCATGCATTCAGCATCGAGGTTCATGGTGCGTAGTCCGAACTCGATCGTCTCGATATATGCCACCACATAATCGTTCGCCGCTGCGGCGACAAACTGCACCTCGCACCCATTGACCCGCGAACAACCCACCGCATTCTCGACATTGGCACCGGAACCGGAGTCTGGGCCATGGAGATGGCTGACCAGTTCCCCAACGCTCAGGTGATTTAAGATATATCCCAAGCTTGACAAAAAGCTGCTAAAACCCTTCTCAAGATCCTCGGGAACGACCTGAGCCCCGTGCAGCCAAGTTTGTAAGTCTAAGAACCCATCAAGTCTACCACTTTTGGCTCACTGCTCCACAGCGTCCCTCCCAACGTGCGCTTCGAAATCGACGACGTCGAAGCCGACTGGCTGCACAGCGCGCCCTTCGACTTCATCCACAGCCGCTTCATGGCCGGCGCCATCAAGAATTGGCCGCGGCTGATGCGGCAGGCGCACGCCAGCACGGCTCCCGGCGGCTGGGTCGAGTTCCAGGACTTCGACATGCGCTTCTACACCAACGGCGGCGAGTACCAGCCCAGCTCGTCGCCGCTCGACGTGTGGTGCACCGAGCTCATCGAGGGCATCAAGTCGCTCGGCATGGACCCGGAGCCCGGCCCCAGCCTCGAGCGCTGGGTTGAGGACGCTGGGTTTGTGAATGTTACCCACAAGCTGCTGCCAATCCCGACGGGAACGTGGCCGAAGGATAAGACTATGAAGGAGATTGGCGCGTTCGATCTGATGCAGTTCCTCGAGGGGTTTGAGGGGTTGTCGTTGAGGCCGTTTACGACGCTGAGGGGGTGGAAGTATGAGGAGGTTCTCGTTTTCTTGGCGAAGGTGCGCCAGGAGCTGAAGAATCCGGCGCTGAGGCTTCAACATAATCTGTAAGTCTGTCTGAGAGGGACATGTAGAGTCCACAGCTAAGTAATTCGACAGGCACGTTGTATACGCGCAGAAGCCGCTCCAATGAAATACCCCGGAGGTATATCCCCTGAGTCAGTTTGGCATCAATACCACACGCAATACTGGGGCATTTGCAGCATATGAAGACTTCTAGGTGGTTTACGAAGCTTCGTTCAAAGGAGAAAGACGGAGAGGTTCAATGATTAATGCTATTACGCTGTCACTTGTTCACGCTTGGCCTTCAGAAAGATATTGCTAATCTACATATCCCCCCTTCCGAGAGAGAAATAGAGTATTTTATCTACTGGTGCTTCATCCAATAGAGTCCTCATGCACCGACGAGCAGACCGGCTGTTTCTCTTTTCACTGACATCTCGTCTCCAATTGTCCTCATGACCCCACAGCCTATCCAGAGGCGCTCTTAGTCGCCTTGCTCCTCAACTTCATCATAACAAACACCATAGCATAGGAACTGATGCAAAACAGCACCGTGATCCCCACATCCCTCCACCCGTAGTACCTCGCATTCAAATTAAACGTCCGCGCATACTCCGCCCCCGTCTTATACGCACAATACTCACAACCAACCCTACTACCCGGCTCAACCACGTACCCGGCGTTCTCTTTGAGAAACGCGGCCATGTACTCGCCGCAGGTGGTGCTGCCGTCAGGCGGCAGCGGGATGGATGTGAGTTCGCTGGATGAGCAGCGCACGTCGACGTCCCACAGCAGCTGCGTCAGCAGGCCGCCGACGAGGTACGAGAAGGGGTCGAGCCAGTAGAGCCAGTGGCGCCAGAAGGACGTGATTTGCCCGTACGGCACGACGATGCCGCAGAAGGTGATCAGGCCGGCGCCGAGCACGATCGGGTTCATCAGCGAGGCGAAGTATTCGTTCGGCGCGTACGTCGCGATGGCTTGGCCGATGGAGGTGTAGAGGAGCTCGTAGACTGTGGGGTGGGTGGTTGTTAGTGCTCATGTGTGGAAGCGGGGGCAGAGCGAGAGGAAGGTGGTGAACTGACGGATCATTTGGAAGAAGATCTGGCCCGATATCGAGGCCTGCACGGGCAGGCCGGAAGGGAAGTACCAGCAGATGAAGTAGAGCGTGCCGCAGAGTATGAGCCAGGGGATTTCGGAGACACATTGGGCGAAGACGAAGGCGAACCAATGGTAAGTCTTGGACTGTGGTCATTGTTAGCGCCACTCTTTCTTCTGTTGATGTAGCACACGAACGTACCTTTTTCTCACGTGTTTCAAATATGTCCCGGTTCCGCAAATAGAGAGGCTGCAGCTGGTTGATGACTCCAGGTGCGATGAAGACAAAGTTGAATACGGAAAACAAGCGCAGCTGGAGGTCGAAGGTTCCATTGCCAACCTTCCAAAAGGCGAAGCCGGAGAAGAGCGCCTGGACGACGTGGAGCAGGATTTTGTTCCACACGTAATCCGGATTCCTCCACAGCGCAACAGATTGCCGGATTGTTACTTGCTTCATTTGATGTAGCAGAGGAGTAGCGAAGCTGCGTGACGAATCTGTATGGTTGTCTTTGCTATGTCCTTGGGCAAGGGATCGTATGCTTTCGTTCAAGTGATCCAACTCGTCGAGGGTTCTCTTGCACTCGGGAGACTCTCGCCATATCTGCGCCCAATCCTGGCCAGAGCTCTGCCTTCCTTGAACAACATCGATGATATGCTCTGCCGGGTTGACGTCAGGTGCGCAGGGAGCGCCGTTGCGCGCAAAGTACTCAAGCAACTTGGAGGACCCCTCTCCCGTCTCGCCGAAATAGGTTGTGCGGCCGCCCTTGGCGAGGAGCAGGAGGGAGTCAAACGCATTGAAAACGAATGCTGACGGCTGATGGATCGTACATATGACAGCCTGGCCATTCCCCGCCAGCTTACGCATGAAGCGTACTATGCTGAAAGCGCTCTGACCGTCAAGTCCGCTGGTTGGTTCGTCCAAGAAGAGTAACTTCGGTTTCGCAACCAGTTCCACTCCGAGCGTCAGCCGCTTCTTCTGCTCGATGGTAAGGCCGGCTCCTGGCGTGCCCACAAGCGCGTCTTGGATATCCCGCAGCTCGAGGAGGTCGATAATGTTTTCCACGTAGTCAACTTTTTCCTGGTCTGGAATCTCGTAGTCCTGGCGAAGACGGGCCGAGAACAACAGTGCTTCCCGCACGGTCGCGGTGGCTTCGTGGACGTCGTTTTGCTCGCAGTATCCCGTGGTGCGTTGGAAGGTGATATCCTGAGGCAATCCATCAACGAGTATGGATCCCTCGATGCGTCCAGCATCCTTTCTTTGCGCCAAAACGTCCATTAGCGTAGTCTTGCCGGCGCCGGAAGTACCCATGAGGGCGAGCAGACATCCTGGTTTGACGTATCCGCAAACGTCCCGCAGCAGTTGCTTGTCCTCTCCTCTGTACTTGACGTAGTAGTTCAGGTTCTTCCACGTGAAGGTGGACTGGTGCGAGGAGGAGGCTATGTCTTCGGCCGGCGGCCCCGTTGGAGACCGCTTCTGATCAGTGGTTACGCTGGCTTTCTCCACATCTACAGGCACAGGGGTGCGTTGCAGCTTGCTTCCGCGTTTGAACAGGAGACGCGATGAACCACCGGAACTGTCTGCCTTCTCAAATCCAATGGCGGTGAGGCATGCAAAGAATATCCAGAAGCCGATGATGATACCGAATCCCCGCCAGACGTGGTGCTTGGAATGGTTGTACTGCGCTGCAATGTATGCATCACCGGGGATTACCTTGCCGCTCGACCCGGCCACCGTACACGAGCGGTACCGGTCGTCAGTGTAGCTCTCGCCATACGGGATGTACTGAGGCGTAATGCAAGTCAGCTCCAGACCGCTCCATTCGTTGGCCATCAGTGACTCGAATGCATGCGAGGCTGGGTTGATGTAGAAGATCCAGCGAAACCAGACGTGCATCGAGTTGAAGGGGATCATGTAGCCTGGACACCGTTGCTGTCAATGATTTGTGCAAACTCGTGTGGTCCTGGAGCAACTTACCTGCGCAGACCATCATAATCATGATCGTAAAGCCAGAGACTTTCGATGCATTGCCGAAGTTCTTGAACAACGCGCCAATGGCCCGAAACTCGGAAGCGAAGCAGAAGACGGTTACGTTGAGGACTATCCAGTAGGTAAAAAACTTGGCTGCGTCATACTGGAAGTGACACATGAAGTAGAGTACTATGGTGAAGACGGTGACTTGGAACATGTATACGGGGATATCGACAATGACGGATGCGATGCAAAAGGCCGTGGGTCGGTAGTAGGCGAAGCGTTTGTGGCGTGATAAAATCGGTCTCCCGAGGAATGATGCCGTTGTTTCTGCCAGAGACTGCAACCCAAAGTAGAGGATTCCAAAGAATAGAGCACCCGGGCGCAAGAAAACCGAGTCGCTGGCGTCTGAGAGATTGTAGAAGACGGATCCACAGACGAGGGCTTGGAGGAGAGCTGAGATGGCCTTGATAGCTATAGACCACCGGTCTCCCCACATGATTTCGAAGGACCTGCCATACCGTTAGTGCTTGGTTCAAAATTCTTGGTGTAGCTGATTACCTGATGGTGCATGCCCAAACTTGATGCATTAGACTGACGGTGTATACGCTTTGCATCTTCCGCAACAGCGATGACCTTTGTCTCTCAAGCGCCATGACGTCTCTAAGGTTATCAATCTCGTAAGAGAGGGAGTTGTAGTCCACTGTTCCCTGGTCCATGGCTTGCCAGATGGCACTTTTGTAGTACCTTGATTCGAACTCTTCCGCGGTGTTGGGTACTTTGTTTTCAAACCCAGATCTGATAACGCGTTCGGTATGCACAGGCACAGCCGTGAGGAAGTCCGCAACCGCACCTCCAGACGGACACACGAAACCCATGTCCTCGAAGTAAGACTTAGCCAATGCCCTCGGCCCGTAGTAGATGGTTCGGCCTTCACACAGGACGAGCACCTTGTCGAATTGGTCATACAACCCATTGCCGGTCTGGTAGAAGGTGGCAACAATTGACTTCTTCTGCTCTTGTGCCGTACGTCGAAGCACTCTTCCGAGATCTAATGCTGTACTTGCGTCGAGCCCTCTGGTAGAGTTATCCCAACATTGAATGGGAGCCTAACGTTGATCAGCCAAGGTAGCAACAACTGCTTGAACAAAACTTACTTGTCCGGCCATCACCTCTGCTATCGAAACCCGCTTTCTTTCGCCACCCGAAACCCCGCGAACGAATTCGTTGCCGACCAATGTACCCTTCGTGTGCCCAATGCCGAGCTGTTCAAGGATGTCGTTGCCCAGCTCTTCCGCAAAATCATCTTTGGACTGCAGGTAAGCAGGCCTGTTATCGGGAGCTTTGTTTCGCAGTGCAAAGCGCATCGTTTGTGTCACGGTCAAAGTGGGAAAGTGAATGTCATCTTCACTGTTGAAGAGCATTTGATGTCGGAACGTATTCGCTTCGACGTGGTCCGCACTGCCAAACCGCACTTCACCTTCGATTGCAGGGAAGGACTCGCGGTCGTTGGCAAGCATTCGCAAAAGCGAAGTGCAGCCAGCCCCAGGTCGGCCAAGGACAAGAAGCTGCGGTCAAACTTAGCCGAGAATGACAGAGGAGAAATAAGCCGTGGAGTCCTGACCATCTCACCCGGCCTTACTTGCCCGGAAACATTGTGAAGGATATACTAAACAGCATTAGCGGGAGCACGGCGTTACGACGATTCGGTGTGCATTCATACTTTCTTGGTCTGATGTCGCCGGCTGAAGCATGAGAAAAGCCTTCTTGGATCTATCTCGGAGAGGAAAGTGTCGCCGTAGTCGGTGCCAGCCTCGTTTGCGGTAATCGAGAGATTCCGAAAAGTGACCGTCAGGTACTTGAGATGTCGATTGTCTGTATCACTCCGTTTCTCATCAATAGAACCGGATTGATCGAGGGCTCTGGAATCTAGAGAGGAATTGGAAGCATTGGGAGCTGATGACTTCGCCATATTCAGACTGAAGGTCTTCTGAAGGGTGAAAAGAGAGCCTAACGCAGGAGAGAAAGCGGGAGTCTGGGTATCATTTAAGAAAAGATCTCTTTGTGGGAGAGTATTCAAGAGTGAGCCGAAGTCTTGATTACAGCCAGGTGTCATACAGGCATGGTGCGCACTATCTGATCCGACCATGAGTAAGCATCCGAATGGATGTTTCCGAACATTTCTTGCTCACCGGGGCGAGAACGGAAGGCGAAGTGTTCGGATACTGACGTTGGGTTCGAGTGATTTGCGATCTCGGAATGTCATCTTCGGAAGCAGGCGCAAGTCCAGGCTGATCCATTGGATAGCGATGATGCCATGTTCAGTGAACGCTTTACTGCATTGCTACCAAAATATGCTCACTTTTCCAAGGCACCAGTACAGAGGGGTACTGCAGCCGAAGGCTAGCGCGAATAAAAGCAGGATCCTCGACGGAACTATGCCTCAGCTGTTTTTTTTTAAAAAAAAAAAATCAAAACGACATATGGGAAGTTGAAGCTATCGTCCGGACGTGCATGTAAATTTTCTAATTTGGCTCTCTCGTCCGGACGATAGCTTGCAATACCACTCTGTATAGTGCATCGGCTTATTTTTCATGAAGAATAGCTCCCTAGCAGTGTCAATGACTCAAGCCAAGGACGTGTAGTAAATGAGCGGGCCGTTTGTGCATGTCTGGCTGAGAGGGTGGGCCCGATGACTAGTCCAAATCAGGAAATTCATTCCGATCCGTCGCCATCGGACCAAGCGTCTCGGGGCAAAGCGCGTGATCCATCGGATCAACACCAAAGTCGAACAACCCCTTCCGCCTTTCACTTGCGATCCGAAATCCCAAGGCATCATCATGTCGGTGCAGTCGTCTCCTTTCGGACGTTCCCCTCAACGTTCGGCTACTTTGGGTGTGTCCGCTCTCTCCCCGAATTCCCGTACCATCCAACCGGTGCTGATACTGTGTTTTCTTTGTCCATTTCTTAGATTCTGGTAGAAGCCCCAAGGTCTCAAAGGCATGCGAGGGTACGCTATCACTACCTTGTTTGAAACCGGGGTGCTTACGGTGCTCCAGAATGTCGTCGGAGGAAACAAAAATGTGACGGCCGAACGCCCTGTAGCATTTGCACCAGGCGGAGAAGCACATGTTCGTACCGCACTACCTTCCGAAACCGAAGCTCTCGGGTTCCTCCTTCCTCTCTTAGTGGGCGGACCACGACGACGAGGGAACCTCCAGCATCAGACCATGCCACGCCTCCTCGCATGCACATCTTCAACAATATCCGCACCACTCATGCTGCTGCTGGCACCGAGCTTTTCTATGGAGCTTCCTCTGTGTTCTCCCTCTTGCAGCATCTCGATATTCACCTGCCAATCCAGGCCACGCCGGTGCCGCAGCCGCAGCCTGGCGTAGATGAAGTCCATGATGGGGACGAGAGTATTCAGCGGTATAACTATCAGAACATCGCCTTCGACTGCATACCACAGCCCACATCTCGTGCAGTTCAAAGCGTGTTTATTAGTCAGGACCTCGCAAGAGCCTCATTACGCAACTTTCTCCTGACCGCTCACCACCTTACTCCGTTTCTGGAGCCCGAGAAGCTGAGTTTGACGCTCGAGAAGCTCTATATTCCGAGTGAGAATTCATCCTTGGAGCAAGCTGACAGGGCGCTTGTCGTTGTTGCAATGGCCACTGGCGCGGCACTCGCGAAGGACAATCCGTGTAGGGAGCACCTGCTCGCCCAAGCTCGCGCAGAGACTGAGAGCATGCTCTACGCTATCAGCCTCCGAGCAGTACAAGTCGCCCTCCTAATGGCTCAGTGCGAGTTCGAGTCCGGGAATCCCAACATATCCTACCTGCAGCTCGGCAGCGCTGTCCGCAAAGCATTCGCTGCCGGTATCCACCGCGCAACCTCGCTTGAGGCCAAACAGACAATGTGGGCGCTGTACTGCGCCGAGAGCATGGTATGCTTCATGATCGGCAGAAATCCCAGCATGACGGAAGATGATATCGTCGCGCCAACGCTTGAGCAGCCATCTTACATGGGCTCGTTTGTCCGCCTATGCACCATTGTTCGCTCCGCTTACAGCATCTACCGTCCCGATACCACCATGACCGTAGCCAATGATATAAGCCGCGCGAACTCCGTCTATCAACAACTTCTTGAATTTTCAAGCACTCTCAAAGAAGATTTGTCACTCGAAATCGGAGGACAACTATACGCCCTCACCGGCGAGGCCCTCTCATGGCACGTAACAATATCTTACCGTACGTCCAGCCGCCGATCTAGTCCCATACAATACTCACACCACCCTCAGTATACCACTTCACCGTCCTCATCGTGTACCGACCCTTCGTCCTGCTCGCCTCCGAGCTCCGCCGCCGCCAGCAAAAAAGCGGCCGCAAACCCAACCTCGTCATCGAAGCCGTCGATCTCAACCCCGCCGTCCGCGCCTGCCTCAACTCCGCGCAGTCCATCGTGCTGCTATCCGAATCTCTGTTTTCCCTCCAAATCGGTGCCGAGGTCAGTCCACGCTCTCTTCTCTTCCCTGCCACCACCCCTTTTCCTTCTCCACGCTAACACTAGCTCATCAGGGCTTCTACAACCACGCCTTCTTCCTCGAAAGCGCCTGCTTCGTCCTCGTCCTCGCCGCCGTCTACGACCACGGCAATGAAAATGAGCTCGGCGGCGCCGTCCGCGAGCGCCACGTCGAGCTCGTCCGGACCGGCCTGGCGCTGGTGCGTAGGCTGGGCAGCAGCCTGAGCCGCGAGCCCATCCGTAGCATCGCTGCGGCGCTTGAGCAAATGCTTGCGCGGGTGAATGCGCTGCGCAACTGCAATGCGCGGAGGGGTGCGAGCAACGATGCGGTGCAAAGGGAAGAAGGGGTCCTGCGGGCCGCTGCGGATGCGGAAGAGGAGGGGGATAATGGGCACAACCGGATGTCTCCTGCAGCGCCGGCGTTTGGACAGGGTGGTGCCGCCGCCGCTGCTGCTGCGGCAGTTCCGCTGCACGGTGGTGGGGGCGGAGAGAGCAGCAACGATGATGTGCTGGACGAGCTGTGGTCGATGACGGATTGGGATATGAGCTTCCCGTTGTTGGATTTTCAGTCGTATGCGCCTAGGTGAAACTAACTGGTTAATACAACCTAGACTTTTTCGCAGGGTTGTCTGCCTCCGAAACATTTCTCAAAAATTGGTGTAGAGACGAGGCAACAAACATGCCTTTAAACTGTCATCATGAACGCCTTCTCCAATTCGATTGCTACTAGCGAAAGTTAGGTCTACCGGCCGTGTTGCCTACCGGGGACTTGTATTAAAGAAGCATATCCGATGCTTCGAATATTCTCACTCATCACCACCACCGCCCGTGACATCCTTCTGCGTCACCCTCAGCACCGTCTCCACATGCTCGACCGCCAACGGCACGCCCTCAAAGCTCGCCAGCAACTGCGCCGACTTGACCAAATTCTTAATCTCCCTCCCATTCAGCTCGGCCCTCGCCAGCCTCTCCAGCTCCTCCGCCCCGATCCCACTCCTCTCCTCCTGCCCGCCCCCCTCCGTCGACATAGCAACCATCCGCTCCCAAATCTGCCTGCGCGCCGCGACGTCCAGATCCGGATACGCGATCTGCAGGTGTATGCGCGACTGGAACGCCGGGTCGATGGCGCGCACGCGGTTCGTCGTCATGAACAGCACGCCGCGGAAGTACTCGAGGAGGCGCAGGAAGATGGCGACGATGCCGTTGCGCTCCAGGTTGTTGCTGCCGCCGCCGCCAACGCTGCGCCGCTTCTCGAGGAAGACGTCGGCTTCGTCGAGGAGCACGACGGCGTCCCATTTGACGGCTACTTCGAGGATCATGGTTAGACACGACTCGAGCTCGGCGGCGGACCGGCCGAGCTCGGCGATGGACATGGCGTAGAGGGGGCGGCGGAGGCGGTCCGCGACTGTGTGTTCGTGTGTGTTCGGTTAGTCGAGAGAAGGATGGGTGGGGGGAGGGGGGGAGGTGTGGAGCTGGATACGTACGCGCTTCTGCGGTGAGCGTTTTGCCTACACCCGGGCTGCCTTCGAGGAGGATCACGATGCCTTGCCCTATAGCGATCGTCGTCAGCTTAACGCAAATTGCTACTTCTCACAAAGCGGGGGGAAATATACCCTTTCCTTCGATGACGTCGTCGAAGTGCTTCTTGTTGCGGAGCTGGCTCTCGACGAACGACAGCATCAGCCTCTTGTGATCGCTCGGCAAGACCAGGCTGTCGAAGGCGGTCTCGTTCCACTTGACCTCCTGTATGCAGTCGACGAAGAACGAGGCTGGAGCGGATCAAAAAATCAGTTACCCGCATGCGATGGTAGGAAGAATCCTCATCTTACCCCATTTCTTGATCTTGAAGGAAAAGCCTCGGACCTTGGCGCCGCAGAGGTACAACAGCTCATCTGGTATCTGCTTGCATCTCACTGCCCTTTATTAGCTCCAGGCTACAGTGGCTGGACCTCTCGAGCCATGCTTACTCAAGCTGTTATCTGATACAGGAGGTGGTGGACCGAGGCAACCCCGAGTCACCATGCCATGCGGGATCGAGGGGGGGTCGTCGTATATTTCGGAACCTGAGTGCGTCGGATCGGAGACATCCCACTGCCCCGGGAAAATCGTATCGTTGCGAAGAGGTTGCAGGAACATCCGCTCCATCGGATTGAAGTTGTTGTACGCTTCCGCATCGACGATGATCCGTCCGTCAACCTTTGTCGGAGTCGATTTCAGTAAATTGTCACCAGTAATAGGAGAGCACCTTGACAGCATTCCTTTGAGGGGAAAACAGACAAAAACTTACATAAGCTGACCTCGTCGTCATGCATGGCATGGGCATGGGCATCCTCCTTGACATAGGCGCAGGCTCAGGCAGCGCAAGATCGGCCATCCCCCCGTAGGACTTGTAGTGGAAGCCATATGCCTGGAGGTCCCTGAACCTCTCACCCCTCCTATGAAGCCTCTGACGCAACTCGCCGATGTTCGGATGGAGGTGCGCAGGATAGGCATCAAGGCTCGTCACAGCCGTAGTGCCCTCGAAGAACGGTATCACTGCAGAGGATGTTTTGTAGCCAAAGCCCGAGCCGTCGAAGTCGATGCTGCGGATGTCGAGTTGGAACGACACCGTGTCGCCGGCGCACTTCATGCTGGAACCTACGAGACGGTGGATGGACTCGTGGCCGCCGCTCGGGAAGAAGACATCGATGCCGGGCTTGAAGATGGTCCAGAGGTTGGCAAAGTCTATGACGCCGTAGCGAGCGTAGTCTCTGCTGAGGGCGATGACGTCGCGGAGTTCTGCCTGGAGGATCTTCCGCAGCAGCTTACCGTGCTCCTTGGTGAGAGGGTCCTCTTCTCGCTGGACGGCCTCCTTCAGTTGCTCCCACTGGTAGAAGAACGGCTGGAATGGAGCTTTGAAAACTAGCCGCTCCAGGTCCGTGGTGATGCTGCCGAAGTGTTCGAAGACTTTGCCCAAAAGCACTTTCAGGCGCGGGCTCTGAACAACGATGGAGTGGAGGGTCATTGACTTCGTGTCCGAGTCATGGTCCTTCTTCATGCGCACGAGCAGGGCGTGCTTCTTGCTCTCGGCGTGCTTCTCGATGTCGGGAGAGAGATCGTCAGGCGGGGTCTCGACCCAGTTGATGCAGCAGTTGCATTTCTGTGGTCCCTCGTACAATGTTTTGATGGTTGATTGCTGGCCCGTGATGCCTTTGTCCTGGATGTTGCCGGCTTCGGATTGCTCGGTATCGGAATCATTTGCATGCGCATCTTGGAGGAATGATTCATCGAGTAGATCCGAGAGACTCCTCACTCGCTAAGCCATGATCAGTACGATAAACAGAGAAAGAACTTGGAATACTGACGTTCATGGCGCTTTCTCCGTTCATTGTTTCCTCCATGGCGAATGTCAGCGTTGGCTTCCCAGAGATTGCATGGGCTTTCAACGGACAAGAGATGTTTCTAGCCCCGGTCGCAGCTGCTTCTTGTATTTACATTGCTCTGAGGCTCTTCAGAGGCCGCTGCTGCCTGGAGATCGCCGGCCAGGCTTTTTGCGTTGTGCAAGGCTGAGGAATGCTGCGTTGTAATCGGGAGCATGCGGGGTAGAACAGTGCTGCGCCGCCGTCATTGGCTACCGACGTAGAATCCAACACTTGTGTTATAGGTAGCATGCAGCTTTGACAGTATGCAGCTTGCAGTACGGGTGGCTTTTCATGACGTGTCTTAGCGCAGATCGCTGCAAGATTGTCTGTCGCCAAGCTTGGCCAGCACTGCATGCTTGGAAACGAAGGTCACGAAGCGTGTGGTTTCGGACCGGGTGCGCCTTATATTTGGACGGATGTCCTACCTGTACCGCAAGCCGGTGACACCCGCGGGACATCTTGAAACAGCTTGCGTGTTGTATGCAGGGTGAGGCGAGCAGTGGCGGTGATACCAAACACGCAGCTGACGGCGCGTTTGTAGAGAGCCGGCGCAGCATTGCGGCTCAACGCGAGCCGAACGCGCCCAGATCTTCGCGAGACGCGTCGTGTGTCGCCTTCCCACAACATTGAAAGCAGCCTCTGGATCTTCCTTGAAGCGCGCCGCAAGGGCACGAGCGTCAACGAAAATTGAGCTTAGCTCTGTTTGCCATCAAAAATTACCCCAGGTGTAAGCCCCGAAGAGATTACATACCTGTCAGCCTCTGCGTTGTGCAATGCGGGGTGCCAGGCAGACTCCAATCTTCATGATCATCGAAGCCCCGAGAAGGTAAGTATGAAGAGAAAGAAGAAGAAGAGGAGGAGGAGCAAAGGTCGGAGGGTTTATATAGGCGAAGGGTGGCGGAAGTTGGCTAGCGGTCACCGGGCCAGGTGTCCGTGCGGGAGGGTTGACCCGGTGATAGAAGCAGGGTCTGGACAGATTTGGAAAGCCGGTGGCAGAAGACCCGTCACATGGGCGTGTTTGTGGTAGAACGGGTAGCTGCACGTGCCGGTCCCCTACGCTGGCGGGCCACCCTCCAGGCAATCAAAGCAAGAGGCAGGTTCTGTCCTTCTAATGTCGGCAAGGCAGAAGCACATGGAGGCATGTGAACCCCCAACAGGCGGCAGGAATAGAAGGTGGAGGACCAGGCATGTGAAAATCCCAGGTATTGCGGGTGCCAGCCTGGCAGGAAGCTCAGCGCAGATTCCGACGGTGCGTAGTCTTACATCATAGCGCTGAAGCTGGTACTGATACTGATGTTGTTTGAATTTTGCATGTCCGTAATTGTACCGGATATGCCAATAGACCCTGATGCTCTGCCCGTTAGCCAAGGATCCCACATTGATCCGCTCAAGAGCGAAGATCACCACCTCAACGTACTTTCGACTGACCTCGTCATCTAGTTGCCCTCACCATTCACACTTCCATTACGGGCACTTTCATGTCCTGATTAACGGATCGGCATTGGTGAGGGGCTGACATTCCGCGCATACGCCCATCTTCTGTTCGAGGAGCAGCACAAAACATAGATCCCACTCCAGATGCTCTTCCAGCAGTGGCGTCGTACCTGCACAGATACGGCTCACCACCAACCGCCGGCGGCAGAGACTCTGCAGAGCTGGCACCGGAGCGACCACATCCAAAACCGCATGTAGCGCCGGCGGCCCGGTCCGGCTTGGCGTCAGGGTCCACGATACCGAACTGATGCAGTAAGGACACGGTGATAGCGTCTTTTCGCGTCGCTTGCGAGTCAGACCCGAGACGGTTCCGCATAAAGTGGCACATAATGCATCTCCCAGACCCATGGTAGGCGTTGAGAAGCATTGTTGCTGATGATCCACCGTCCCCTCCTGCCCCTCCAGTACGATAGCGACGCCATTCTGCGATCAGGGCTGGTAGTTGCGCCTTTTCTTTTCCTTTAATAGCTCATGCTTGGCGCGCAGCGCAGGTGTCTGATGCACAAGACGAAAGAGTGAACAATCCGGTCGAGGGATGAGTACTGAGCAAGCGCAATTGTCAGTGAAATCCCCTCTCGCAGCCGATGGCTAACGTGGATTTATTTTTGCCCAACTACCCATGACATGGGCAAAAATAAACCCACGTTAGCCATCGGCTGCGAGAGGGGACTGCATAGCTGAGGCTTGACACGATTTGCTTTTTTGCCCATCCAAGCTCGTGTCATGGGTAGTTGAAGCTATCGTCCGGACGAAAATGTAGAATTAAAAATTCGACATTCTTGTCCGGACGATAGCTTCAACCACCCACATATGTTCTTTTTCTGAAGAGCAAGGTGCCGGGTGGCAGTCAAACGTGATAAGAGCAGGGGGCCGATATCTGAGACTGTGGCAGGGGTTGCAGAGCTTCGATGCCAGAAACACTTCGAGTGATCTCGGTAAGCGGTAAGCTTATTGGCCAATTAAGCATCTCACTGGTGGTGTAGGGGACGTGAGTTTGATTTGCTGAACAAACGACGATAGTGTCGGCTCGGCACGTCCAGCTGCAAGCTGTGGATCCCCAGACGCCATCCGGTGTGCTGATGGAGCGGTCGCCGTGTCGCGATTCATGCCGAAATCGCGCGCTGCAGCGCGATGTGCAAGCTGAACGGCCATCTTCGACCTTGGTCTCCAAATATTCATGTGCGCACGTAGCGGTGTCGCATCGGAAAGGGGAAGAGTCGGTGTTGCATGTGCGGTGTCAGGAGTCGTGGGTGGAGTTGAGTTTGGAGAGGGGAGACGGGCGCGTGGAAACGAGGGCGCCCGGGTGGCTGGAGAGCCCCTGACCAAACGTGGATAGTTAATATATCGCGAACACCCTTAACCTTAACGCCCCGCCTGTGGGAACAACTCTGTTGTGACCTCACTGCAGAGAGCAATTCAGAGTTTAGGATGAGTTGGCAGGCATTCCAGCTGTTGCAGCGGTGGATGGTTTCTCCGAGTCGACATGCGTCTTGATGACATCATTGGCATCAACGAGATGCGGAGACGACACGCCAAGCATCTCCTCCAGGCGTCAATTGCACCTGCAACACATCGAAAATGATTTCGTTCAGCACCGTGAGCGCTGCCGTCTTAGCCGCCGCCGCAACATTCGCCACTGCCGACGACGGACAGACGCCATTCGCGCCTGACCAGGCCGTAGCTCCTCCGCTGCTAGGCTTCGGTACTTGGAACCTGAAGGTGTCGCCGGACAATACCACCGACGCCGTCTCCCTAGCTATCCAGTCCGGCTACCGCCACATCGACGCCGCCGCCGCCTACGGCAACCAAGTTGCCGTCGGGAAAGGAATCGCCGATGGAATCGATAAGGCCGGCCTGCAGCGCGAAGACATCTGGGTGACGAGCAAGCTGTGGAATGACCACCACGGTGACGCCGACGCCGTCGAAGCGGCCTTGACCAAGACGCTCGAGGAGCTCGGGCTCCAGTACTTGGACCTGTACCTCATGCACTGGCCTGTGAGCGCGTCCGGTGACTATGACTACGTCGAGGTAAGTGCAGAGATGCCCCACTGCCCAGCAATGCAGGTGCCAATGATCGCGGGTAGACGTGGAAATCCATGGAGAAGCTGCTGCCTAACAAGGTCCGCAATATTGGCGTGGCCAACTTCTCCCCGCACCAGCTCCGCAAGTTGGTCAGGTCGTCGACGGTCAAGCCCGCCGTGCATCAGATGGAGCTGCACCCATATCTGCAGCAGGCCGGGTGGGTGCGCTTCCACCAGAAACACGGCATCCACGTCACCTCGTACTCGCCCTTGGGGAACACGAATCCCATCTACCGCAGCTCATCTCGTGAAGCCAATACTCGCAAGACGGGGACGCCATTGCTGCTGGAGAACCCGGAGCTCGAGAGCATCGCAAAGCAGCGGGACTGCTCCGTGGCCCAGGTGGCGCTAGCCTGGGGCATGGAGAGAGGTACGAGTGTAATTCCAAAATCGAGCCATGAGAAGTGGATCAAGGAAAACTTTGAGGCGGTCGAGTGCGGCCTAGTCGATGCCGACTTGGACAAGATCGAGAAGATTGGAGAGAAGTATCTGACGCGCTTCAACAATCCCAGCAAGGCTTGGGGCGTTGATTTGTTCGAAGGCCTCGATGACGCATGATTGGAAGTTAGGAAGCGTGGAAGGATGCGGAAGGAAATGAAATTGCCAGCTGCCCGAGATAAGCCGGTTCGAAACGAGGCGGATGGATGCAACGAGGTGAGCGCTAAGCAAATTGTAGCGTAATCAGTTTGCCGTTGTGGTCCGAACTGTCCGCCGTCGCTTGCAAAGCAGCGGTGGCCGTTAAGGATGAACCGCCTTCCTTCGTCCCCCCTCGTCTGCCGAGGGGCTTCGGTATCTAATACCTAATCTCTGCAAAAGTGAATTTCAAGCCACCCAACAGGTCCCAAAGATGGATCGTCTATCTCGACTCCCGAAATGAACCAACGGTCGAGGGACCCTAGACTAAGCTTTCTCCTATCACACAATAGCAGGCGCTGGCTGCCGCGGGAGCGCCGTAAACGGCTGCTAGCTTGATGACCGGTCCTTCTAGCACTCGGATCGCCGTCAAGGGGTATGACTCGGGGATATTGCTCGAACGGCTGCAGCCACGCGCCCTTTCTCGGCGCATGTTCGGTGCGCGAGGACACCACGACGGCCAGAGACAAGCGGCATGACTTCCAGAAAATCCCACGCGCTTGGGGCTGCATCGGCTGTAGGGCTGAATTCATGCGGTGGACTCGGCACTGCCGCTCCTTGGCCCTCGCATCATTCTCGAGCTGATTACAATCGCGTTGTTCCCGGCGGTCGGATGGGTCGGCGGATTCGCGGTCAAACGCACGCACTCCAACGCCTTGCCCCTCGCGACTCGTACCCCCATCGTGGCCGGTCAGGAACAGCACCTCAGCAGCGCCACAACGCCCCTTTTCGGTCGTGGGGCCAAAGTTTAGCGTTCCGCAGCATTCCACACCAAGCAAAGACATTGGCCCAACTCGTGTTCAGCCCGGGGCCGCGAGCCCACCGCAACGTGCATCCTCCGCAGGACCGGGAAAAAAAAAGATGATGATTTTCTGGCCGCCAAACCGACATTCGGATGAGCAGTAGGGATTCCAAGGTCTCGCAGATTAGTGTGGAGATGCAGCAATCGTGGATCAGGCTTCGAGAAGACGGTAATGAGGCTGTTGGCCGGCAAACCCTGCCGTGATGGTCACCGCTCACCACGACGCGCGCCCCTTTGCCTCCGCATCTGGCCCGCCCGAGAGCCGTTCCCCTGCCGCTCCCGTCGATCAGGTCCCAATGGGGTGCCTTTCGGGACGCAGCCGCAGGCCCGTCCGCCGTAGCGCTGGGCTGTGCGCGAGTCTTTTGGTCTCTGATGTAAGTTCAGCCTCTACGCGCTAGCCGCATCCGGCATTTCTGGTGAAGAGCATCATTTTCACCGGCAGTCGAGCACGACGAGCCCACAAGACGTCCATCACGGGGGTCATGGCCATGGCGAGTTGTCCGAGTATAAGACTCGACCGTTGAACGCCGCCAGACATTTTTTCCTCACCATCGAGCCTCTCTCTTCCAACTCCAGCCTTTTGTGCTACAGTCACTCGCTCTTTTAGTCGCTCAGTCACTCTTTCGAGACCTTAATTTTTACAACTACAACCGCCAAAATGCGCTTCTCGTTCGCCTCCGCCTTTGCTTTCAGCACCCTTTTCCTCGGTGCCCTGTCGGCCCCCACCGGCACTGATGCCCTTGGCGCCTTCTCCGGCCTGACCCAGGGCCAGACCAGCCAGCTCACCAAGACCTACACCGAGAAGACGACCACCGTCACCAAGAACGAGACCGTCTACAGCGTCGTCCAGACCCTGTACACCAACGTCCAGCAGCACACCAGCTCCATCAACAAGACCGTCGCTGCCGTTCCCCAGCAGCCCACCGAGCAGGACAAGAAGTCCGCCCTGATCGAGATCAAGGCCGAGATCAAGTCCATCGCCTCCCTCATCGTTGATGCCTCCGTCAAGGTTGGCAAGATCGAGATCGACGCCAACGTCGACATCTCCGCCATCGTCGCCCTGGTCGTCAAGCTTGTCTTCGAGATCGTCTGCACCCTCCAGGGCGTTGTCGCTGTCCTCGGTGGCACCATCCTCACCCTGCTCGGCTCCGTCGTCCACCTCCTCGTCAACGCCATCGTCGCCCTCCTCCTCGCCCTCCAGGACATCCTCGGTGACGTCATCGCCACCGTCTGGACCCTCGTCTCCACCCTCCTCCCCTTCGTCGGTGACGTCCTCATCGGCCTCGGTGACGTCCTCAAGGGCGACTGCAACTGCATCAACTAAATTGCCTTCTCTTGAAAGCAATTTTCTCTCTCTACGAGCTGCAGTGGCACGAGTTGGAAGAGTGATGAAGTGTAAATAAAAATGGTGGTGGGGAGTTGTGGGATCTAGTTGTGTGAGTGGGATGGGTTAATGCGGTGGAAGTTGGGGAGTGAGTGGTGCGGGGAAGAGAGTGGCAGTTGCGGGGTTGGGAGGTTGCTGGCTGAGAAGGGGGAAGCGAAGTGCAGCTTAATATCTAATGCTCTAATGGGTACGACTATAGAGCTTATAGAGTTGTATTTGTAATTTTTAAAAATACCCTAACTGCGGCTTGGGAGCTTCGGCTCCCGCCTCATGAACTTTCTGTGCCTTTGATGCAAGTGATACTCGAAGTGAAAAGCGCAACCGCTGCTGACAACAACTGGCAAACACTCATAAGACGAGCGAGCAAGGACCAGCTTGATTTTTGCACCTCATAATTCATGTAGATCATGCAATTTGCCCTTGAACTGGGGTGGCCTCGTGGCGGTGAGGATGCAATAACGGAACTACACGTTTGCATGACTTGTCTGCACATCCAGTGGGGACATCGGGATTTTGCGGGCGCGGAGAATTTTGACATTGCAGCTTCTTGATGGACCTTTCGAAGAGTAGACTTTGTACTGCTTCGGATTTCCCTGTTCCAGCCCGCAAATACATTAATCAGCATCTCATCGTCTTACTCACGACCAGTATCCATCATCATCATATCCCGCTCTCCTTCGCCCGTTTAGCTCTCTTCGCACGTCCATATCTTGCCTCTATCCACTTTTTCACGTGTCATCTTGCACACCGACATGCAGCCCCTCCACAACGTACTAGTTGCCAATGATCAGATCCCCACGTTAAACCTCAAGCTAAAGGAGGGTCTTTGGCACGAGCAGCGCGAGGCAAAAGATGGGCAACGAGGAATTAGCCGCAACTGTCATGTAAAGAAACTCGGCGCTAATGCATCACGCTAAATTGAGCGAATGTATGGCATGATCGAAACGGCCCCCAAATTTCCATGAATAGCCCCTCTCTCAGCCGATGGCTAGCGCGAATAGCAGGGCTCCCCAGCTCTGCTTTAGAAAAATAACATGTCATGGGTAGGTGAAGCTATCGTCCAGACGTGTGTGTAGAATTAAAAATTCGACATTCTCGTCCGGACGATAGCTTCACCTACCCATGACATGAGCAAAAAAACAAATCCACGCTAGCCATCGGCTGCAAGAGGGTACTGTACAGCCTTGTTGGCGAAAATCACCGTTCGCATCACTTCCTCGTCTCCACACTTTACAGTTGACTCAGCAGTATCCGTGGTATCTCCACATGCTTCACCGCTACAACAGATGTGAGATACTCTCTTTCACGCTCTACAGGTACACTGCGAATTTCCCAAGTCCCCTGAGACGAACACGACCAGCACCGCAGCGTAGGCAGCTGTCGCCGCAAAAATCTCGGCGCGCTTCGCATTGGTCAGAAGGCCGAGGCTGAACGCAAAGAGAATCGTGAAGCATGCAATCATGCCCAACCTGGCCCCAGCCTTTGTGATGAAGTGCAGGACCACCACAGCACCAATCAACAGCATCGCAGCAACCACAGAGCTGATCACGGCAACGAGCCGTGCAACGTGGCGCTCCAGATAGTACTCAGCTCCGTCTGCTGAGCCTTGCTGCCGTTTCCCAAGAGGCCTCCAATGGTTGCGATGCGTCTTGGATAAGAGGTCTTGGTCTGGAGGGGTCTTGAGCGCCACCAAGTCGTTTTCGTCCTCAAGCAAATGCTCAGCTTTTCCACCGATGGGAATTGTTTCACCACCGCTCATGCGAAGGTAGGCACCAGTGAACCAATTTCTCAAGGCTGACAGTACTCGTGAACTGGGTCGATCCAGCCTTGCAATCCGTGCTTGAAGCAACAATGCTTCATCTGCGTCCCGTGAGCTGCCATCAGCTCTTCTTTAAATAAATAATAACGTACGATATTCATGGAGCTTCTTCTGGATCTTATTCTGTAGTTTCATGGGCCATGACTTTCTGCTCCGGATTACTGGCGTGCCTGGCTTGTTTCGCAAAATCCTCCTAATGCAATCGCGATTGTCGGTATCCTGCTGCCTCATCATAGCGGTCTAGCTCGACTTCCAGCTCAATCAGCTGGAATTGTAGAAAAAGTAGGTTTCGGGCACTCAAGCGGTTGAATCGGCGATATATGAGGGTTTCGTCATCTGGATCCCGGGCGATCTTAGCGGCAAGGGCTGGATATCCATTTCTTGCTAAGGCGCTCTCTATCGCTCAAGACTTTGTGGGAATCATAAAAAGATAATGGACGGCAGTGAATTTTTCTGTGATATTATGGAATCAGTTAAAGGCTTAGTAGAGTTCCCGGAGTATTTAATCCTGTAATCCAGCCTTTAGCCCGTTCATCCTTAAATTCCAGCCAACCTTCCGCTAGGATTATGTGGCAATGCACCACACTGACACTACTGGTCTAAGTGAGGCCGCAGTGCATACGCCCGCCTCTGAGCTCCATCTGAATATCAAACTCGGAAGGTCAAACCCTGAAACTCCCCCAGAAAGGTGGAATCCATAGTCTTGGAAAGGTTGACTTGCCATTTTCATTCTTGAACGAGCCAGAATCCTATTCATTGATATTCCACGTCTTTAAGGACTGCACACGGAAATGTATCTTGGGGAAATATTTCTTGAAGAAGACCAAAACTCTTGGAAAGCACTTCGCCACACGAGTCAAAGAGAGTGCGATCAATGTTTGCTCACCTCGTTTTGGCATCAACTTGATCGACGCGCCCGAGGAGCGGCTGATGGGGTCAATCAACGGTCAGACCATCGGAGAGCTTGCAGATACGGGAGCAGAGGTCAACATCATGTCTCGCGCCAATGCAGAAAGACTCGGCCTGACCGTCCACCGAGGAAAGGAACATATAGCAACTCTGGAATTTGCCGACGGTTCTACTACTGACACAATTGGGATGGCGCTGGGCGCGGAATGAACTTTCGGCGCTGAGAGCTCAAGCTCTCAACACATGCTGGATTTCCACATCATGGATGACTTGCCGTGCGGAGTGATTCTCGGCAATGAATTCCTATACGACAATCACGTATTTTCGTTGCATGAAGATCACCTCTACACCGAGCTTCCCGAAGATCAGAGGTCAGAGACTCCGGCTTATGTCAGTACCTCATTATCTTGCAAAAATGGAGGAAAACACCAGCTTCAAGTCTTCCTCCGGAAATCCAAGATGAACTAAAACAAGTTCATCGTAATATCCGCGCCTCGGCCACACCTTCCCAAAGTGTGACTTCACCAATAATACCTCCAGTACCAGTAGCAGACAACAGTTCAAAAAGAAGTCCTTAGTTTGTTCGAATTCTACGAAAGGGAATTAAACCCCTAAAGCCTACAACCGACACAAACTCTTCTATTTTGTCGTAGTTAATGAGTGGTGAACATCTCCTGAGTTATTTCAGTTCATTGAACAAGAGTACAGATACTGCTTGCAACTCAGCCTGTTGTTTGGAATTTTTTCTTGATTTTTTTTGTGGACTCAGCTGTTGGTATTCGGTTCCCCTTTCGCGGAGGTGTAGTTACTTAGCGATGGCAGCTACAAGTGATAACTTCCAGGCTTTCACAGTTGTCCAAATATTTGCATTTGACCGAAGTCTTGAATGAGATGCCGTAACTTGTACTCCAGCTTGATGGCCTACCAGCATCAAGCGAAACTTGAGCTGGCTTCTAGTCCAGCATGGTTGACCGGGCTATATATTAGCCTGCATTTCTCTTTTCTTAAAAACTAATAGGTTCCGAGGCCCTCAAATAGGAAATCCCGAAGTGGGTGGCCATTCGACACCTCCAATGTTTGTGAAATCTAACGAGTGGAACAAGGGTAGGACCAATCTCTCGCCTTCAAATGAACATGTTGAAGCAATTGTTGGTGGTGCCGCCTTTTGTTGGGATTATCGTTGGAACGGGCCGGACGTTTCAGTTACCATGTTGGGATTAATACTCGTGGAGGTATTATTTCATACGCTAAAGGGCTCTGACCCCTGGCTCAAGTGAAAGCATTCCTTTAGGCAGCAATCTAAAAAGGTTTGAGAATATGCAGCGGTTATGGCTGACACATAATTGACCATTCAGCGTTCAGTGACCGGCATAACCAAAAACAACAACAATAGGTACACGGTACTGCTACTCAACCCCAATCTGATCAGGTTGCATGTGGGTGATAACTTCTAGAACCGTAGCGACAACACTGCGCAATTTATTTTGTTGACTCTGTCGGCAATCACAGAGCGTCTCAACTGTGTTGTCCTGCACTCTGCATAATCGATCATGAACTCTCTTTACACTTCGCAAATTTACCAATTGGACATAAATGCAACCAGGATTCTCCGACACGATCCAATACCTACATGGATTCACTAACAATCCTGCTGATTTCATTACTTTCCCTTCTCCAACTCAACAGATTGGGCGCATATCTTGCGACCAAACTGATGCAGGAACCAAACCGGCAACACATCTTACCGAAAAGGCCTAGAGCCCATAAACGCCATGCAGCTCCTTGCTGCATACAGAACAGTCACGTGTGTATCAATACCTACAGTGCGTCTTGGCGTCGAGAAGTGCGACATGGCTGGATGAGACGGAACACGTCATAGCAATTCAAGTTCGATATTGGGAATTGCCGTATTAGGTACAGGCAGAGAGAAGAAAGGTTCCATCAGCTTTACGAATGCATGCTACCATGCGTGTTGCGACCGACTATCGGGCCGTGACGTTCTTGTGAGCTGATCATGCCTCGAACTTTAATTGGAAAGAACCGCGACGGTTCGCGTTTCGGGTTGAGTTCGCTGCGGACTTGGCAGGATCACCTACGTGATGCAATCACGATCTGAATCTAGTCTTTCCGGTACAACGATATGAAAAAGATGGCAAGACGGACAGACGTGACGGTTCTCGGCACGATGCGAGAGTAATAAGGTACCTTTTTCTTCTTAACCGCGTAGACTCAGCACGACTTCGCGTTGCAAAAAGTAAGGGCTGAGTACTGTGTTTGAGCGTGCAAAGACTCTCCCCCTCATTCGAGACTCGACATTTGCCTCATGCGCTGAGGGAGCCCAGCATGAAAAATGTTGGGGAGACTGGGACCATAACGATAAACCAAAGGACAGTGTTTGCACCAACAGAATAGCGCGTAACCGGTCGTCGCATTCATGATCACCGCCGAAATGCTTAGCGACGGGGTTCTGTTGGTACATGTGTTGGATGATATCATACAGCTAGACATGAGGCAAGGAAACCTGCGAGGGAGTGAGACCACGACAACCTTTATTGCTCTCCTGCAGACTGTCGAATCTCTTGGCGCCTCTTCTCAACATCAGCAGCCAACTGGCGCTGTTCGTCCAGAATCTTCTGGCGCTGCAGTGCCGCGTGCTTGCGCTGTGCTTCCTCTGCGGCTTCCCAGACTGCAGTAACCGGGTCAGTGTTAAGGACTCGATGGATACGGTCTAGCGGGCTTGCATACTCGGCTTGTCCGACTTGGAATACTCTTTTAACCTAGTGACGAAGTCGTCGAAATCCTGCTGCTTTCCGATACGGTTCTCCAACGAGCGCTTCTGCAGCTCCGGGTTGTATCTCTGTTGGCGCGTGAGCTACGGTCCTGACCAAGGAACCAAGTGGGTCGAGCCAGGAGGACAGAAGATCGGAAGACCTCGCCAATGATCTGACAAAAGTAGGGTAGTGATGCAGTGTCACATTGATTCCAACTCTGATGGAAATGGTGATAGAGGAAATAGAGGCATAATTGATGCAAGTAAGACGCATACCTTGAACAGCTCCTCCTCGGTGGGCGTTACATAGTAGGTAAGTGCGGGTCCTCCGATGCACAACACAGCGCCCCTGCCCAGTTGTCAGCGTTCAGTGGCCGCGCCGGGAGTGACGGCGGACCCACGCGGCGAACATCTTGAAGTAGGTCGAGGCCCCAGGCATGTCGGCGGTGGCGAGGGCGAATCGGGGTGAAACAGGCGCAGTGACGTTGATCAGCAGCAGCGACGCGGTAGCAGCACGGAGAGAGCGGGTTCTTCAGGTCACGCGCGGTCGTCAGCGAGTAGACTCGTTGAACGATGGGGTTGCGATTGGCTTCGGATCGCCCGTGTCATCGATTTTCGGGCGCGAGCTGTGGCTTAGCTGTGGCGCGAATACGTAAATTTGGGAAGGCGCTGACGGCTGAAATTGCAGCACGCTGGGCCGCCAGTGATTGGTCGTCATCGCGCCACTGCCCTGCCTTGTGCCGCCGTGGACTGGAGAGCTACGCGCGAAGCAAACACTCCAACTCGCCTTCTGCGGCTCGCGCTCGCCCGCCCCAGTCTCTCCTTTCGCGCGCTGCCCCGGGCAGTCCGAGCAGCTGTGCGACCCTGACGGCCCACGTTTCTGCGCCCAACAGCCGCCATTGGCCTCCGCCGCTCTCGCTCCAAAACCCGACCCTGTGCGCCAGGGTGCTTTGAAACGCATCAATCTCCAGCGCAAGCTTTGCTTAGCCTCCGACATATCCAGCTTCAGCTCCCCAATCCGGACTGTGCGGCGTCTGTAATTGCGATTGTTCCCGCCGACCCAAGCCAAGTCATGTCGATCTGCCTATAGCCGAGCAATTTCAACCTCGACACGCCCAGCGACTGCAATACGAAAGTCCGCAGCCCGTCACCTCTGCCTGTCTTAAGGTGCCAAAGCGCCTTATTGCGTGGCAGGCATCACGCGCCCAACCAACCCAAAGCCGTTCCTTTCCCGCCGCTCACTTGCGACCGAACTCAACACCACCGCTTTCGCTCCCCCGCCGCGCAAGTCGCGTCGCCCAACATGGCCTACGACGCCCACCAGAACTACCGTCCGCCCCCACGCCAATACTACGACCAGGGCGGCTACGATGACGCTCATTACAACAACGGCTACGGGCAGGCCCAGCAATACGACGGATACGGATACGACGACGGATATCAGAACGGCTACTACGATGATGGCTATGGAGGTGGATACTCCGGAGGATATGGCGGCGACTACCAGCAGCAGCAAGGCCCGCCTCCTCGTCAGAACGGTCCTCCGGCCGGCTATGGGAGACCTCCGCAGAGCTACGGTCAAGGCCCGCCGCCTGGAGGTGCTCCACGCGGCCGTGGCGGAGGCCCTGGTCCGGCCCCTCGAGGTCGTGGAGGATATGGTCCTCCAGGACGAGGAGGTTACGGAGGCCCGCCACCGCGTGGTCCCCCGCAAGGTGGACGGCCGCCGCAGGACTACGGTCCCAACGGCGAGCCGATGGGTCGCGGGAGGCCCCCGCCTCAGAACGCTCCGCCGCGAGCCGCCAGAGCACGTAAGCACATGCTGTATTCGAAAGGTCGAGTGTTCTACTTACAGCTAGACAGCGAACAATCGCCCAGCTTCGCCCCAAACGCTGCCCTTCGACAACCCTTTTCCGGTATTTTCGAACATCAAGAGCCCCCCGAGATCGAAAGGTCGCCCTGTAAGGAACGACGCAGCTAATGAGACCATGAAGAATGGCCCGGGTCCCGGAGCGCCCAATGGCGACCCTTATAGGAACGCTCCACGGAAGATGAGCAAAGCGAGCGACGGACCACGCCCAAGTTTGGATGGCAGCAGGCCACATATGCCAGGATACGCACGCGGGCACGATCAGTTCGACCATCCTCCGCCGCCGCAGCGATCGCATACCGCCAAACCCGACAATTCAATTGGAGGCTTTCGCATGCCCTTTGGTTCACCTGAACAACCCCGACCGCTTGCGCGCTCACAGACGATGCCACAGAACTACCAGGACGAGTATGGACAGCAGTGGCAAGAGCCCGGTCCAGTCGCAGGTTACTACGGCCCGGATTCGGAAAGCTATATTGCTCGCCCGACCACTTCCGGTGGCGAAAGGCGACCGCCGCCTCCGCAGCAAGCGCAGCCTCCTGCACCTTATGCCCCTCTTAAGTACCAGCCCGACAAACGTGATACTGTGGAAGAAGTGGTTGATCACTATTATAACAATCAGCACGGTCATGACCCACGCAAACCTTTGAGTCGTGAGGATGCTATTGAAGCTGAGATGCCGGATTTTGACAGCGCCCCACAGGCACCTACACATCGACGCGGCCTCTCCTTTGAAGAGCATCTGACTGGAGTTCCCGGCACTAATGCTCCCGCAGCCCATCAGCAGGACTATCCTCCTGAGCCGCGCGGACGGTCTAACTCAAACTTCAGCCAACCACTGCACAGGAGTAGATCTCAACCGGATTTCAACAGAGGCCAGGAACCCAATTACGCCCCCGATGATGCGCCGCCTATGCCGCAAATGTCGCGAACTCAGACCTTCAATGACCAGGGAGGGTACGGTGGCTATGGCCAGGCACCGCCGCCTCCACGCCCAGGAACATCGTCAGGATACGGACGTGGACCGCCTGGACAGGCTTACGGCGCTCCTGCGCCGAATATGCCTCGCGGCACCCCTGGTCCTCCAGGCCCTCCAGGTCCTGGAATGCGTCCGTACGGAGGCCGGCCCGACCACTTGCAACGCAATGCTACGGACATGAGCCAGTCATCTGACCCCGGACCAAATGGACGCTACAACAATGGCCCTCCCAATCAACCACTCCCCGACCATAGAGCACGCGGTCCACCATTGCAAACAAACATGGGCCAACGCGGACCGAACAACATGATGAGTCCCGTAGATCAACGGAACAACGTGATGAGCCCAGCAGACCAACGGAACAACATGATGAGCCCTCAGCGGGGAAATAATATGATGAGTCCAGTCGAGCAACGTGGCAACAACGTGATGAGCCCAGCCGACAATCGCAATGCTAATCCAGACGCCCTGCCGCATCATCCATCACCGGTTCGTCCTGGACTTCAGCAACCTGGTGGACAGCAAGCGCCGCAGCAGTCAGGAAAGCCAATTCCAATCCGTCAACATAATGGTAATCCCAATCCGGACGTTCCTGGCGGTCCTTCCACCAGCGGGTCTCAGAGAAAAGCTCGTCGCGGGTCTGACCCAATCACCATGGACCAATTGGCGAGACTTCGGAATGATGCCGCCTCTCGTCCGAATGATAAAGACCTTCAGTTGCGCTTCGCGAAAAAGCTCGTCGAGGCTGCTGCTGTGCTGGCAGATGAAGGTGGCCGTGCAGACCCGAAGACTCGTAATAAGAACCGGGAGCGTTACACCATGGAGGCACATAAGATTGTCAAGAAACTTGCCCATAACAAACATCCAGAGGCTATGTTCTACATGGCAGACAGCCTGGGATCCGGTCAGCTTGGCCTTGAGCCCAACGAGAAGGAGGCCTTCTCGATGTACTTGGAGGCTGCGAAGTTGGGACATGCTCAAGCAGCGTACCGTACCGCCGTCTGCTGTGAGATTGGTGCTGAAGATGGCGGTGGCACGCGTAAAGACCCAGTCAAGGCAGTGCAGTGGTACAAGCGCGCAGCAGCTCTTGGGGACACTGCTGCCATGTACAAGATGGGTATGATCCTGCTCAAGGGCCTCTTGAACCAACAAAAATCTCCGGCAGAAGCCATCACCTGGCTCAAGCGCGCTGCCGACCACGCCAACGAAGAGAACCCACACGCGCTGCATGAGCTCGCCCTCTTGTACTCGAACAAGGCCGGTTCCCGGGATGCTGCCGCAGACGTTGTCGCTCGCGACGAGCAATACGCCTTCAACCTGTTCAAGAAGGCGGCCGATTTCGGCTACAAGTTCTCGCAGTTCCGTCTTGGAGAGGCGTTCGAGTACGGATCGCTCGGCTGCCCGGTCGATACGAAGAAGAGTATCGCGTGGTACACGCGTGCAGCGGCCCAGGAAGAGCACCAGAGCGAGCTGGCACTGTCCGGCTGGTACCTCACCGGTAGTCCAGGTATCCTGGAGCAGAGCGACACCGAGGCGTACTTGTGGGCGCGGAAGGCGGCGTGCGCGGATCCACCGCTCCCGAAGGCAATGTGAGTTGTTCTTCCCCATCTACATGCCCTCCATGAAGCGTCTAACAACAATTTTTAGGTTTGCCATGGGGTACTATACCGAAGTCGGAATTGGTTGCCCAAGGAGCTTGGAGGAGGCGAAGAGATGGTATGGTCGGGCAGCTTGTAAGTTCATCTACTGTCAGCTCGAGTATGCCTACATCGGATCGCTAACAGAGTTGTGTAGCATACAATTTCCCCAAGGCGCGTGAACGTCTTGAGGAGCTCAAGCGAGGTGGTGCCAAGGTCCAGAAGGGACGTGAACGCCTGTCTCGTTCCAACAAGGAGCAACACGAAGAAAATTGCGTGGTGATGTAATTCTCTTCCCCCTATAAACTTGCCCCCATCATCCTTCACCGATATTGTCCATAGGGCACGCAAACGCCTTGGTGTAGTATTCGGCCAAAAAAGCACAAAGAGATGAGCTTGAGGAACCACACATAGTTTCTGTACGATTTTGACTCGGGAATGGCGGATGGTTGGGAATAGGCATTGGAATCGGGCGTATTCATTGAGTTTTCTGAAATTTTGTTTATTGCGGGTCATACTTTTTCTTGCTCGTGCTTGTTTTCTTGTTTGTTTTTCTTTGCGAGTAAAGTACTACCGGACGATCTAATGGGCGTAACTGGTATGGCTATTGGTGGGAGTGTGGAGGATATTGCCACCAGGGGGCCGGACTAATCTTTTTATACCAAACTTCGGGCAGTTCGGGGTGGGGAGACCTGAAAGCTGCGTTGTCGGGACATGTCTGCTTGCCTGGCGCTTGCGGCATTCGGGGCGAGGAGGGGCCGCTGCATGGGGTGAGGTAGCATGAGACTCGAATAATGGAGAAGTGATCAAAGATGGGGCTCTTCTGCCAGTCGTCAGGGGATGGGGTGCTCAGCTTCCGTTCAGTGCTTGTGGTCAGGTTGCACAGTCGGCCCGCTGAAAGGTGTTGCCTCTGCGGTGTCTAAGAGGGGGGAGCCTCATTGGAGTCTCGGAGCTGTTTCTGTTAGGTCATCCTCCAGCCTGTTGGTGGAGACGCAGCGTCCCCCGTGGGCAGGTGTGCTTTTAGCGCCCGCTGTTGCAATACCGGACGGACCGACCACAAGCTTATAGACGGCCCTCGTATATACACAGCCTTCAGAGCACGGCGCGCAACAAACGCCGAAGGGTTGCCGTATGGAGTAGGAATCGAAGACGATCGACGACAAAGCCTGTCGAATATCGTCAAAAGGCCCTTGCCAAGAGCGACGGACTGTTCAAGAGGCTCTGCTCTTCACTTGCCAAGCATCTAAGCTTCAGATCTTCGAGATCAGGGGTTGGCGGGCCTAAAAGTATATCGCGCCGTGTCCTACGTCAACGCGCAGTGGATTGCGGATCCGGAGGGGTAATGCCAACACCACGAAAACCGCTCACGATGTCCGTCCTCATCAAGGCTGCGTTTTAGTGCGTCTGAGCTTTTGCCTCTAGAGTGACTAGGACGGCTGACGGTCTCGCGACCTAGAGTTTCCGTTTGTCAACGCGTGCGTGGCTCTGGGTCGTTGGAGGTTGTGCCTGACGAGAGTAGTGTAGCTTTTCCGTCGTGTAAGTCTTGGGTCTGGAGATGCACATCAAATACCGCTTTTGGTCGGGTACCTTGCCTGTCTGCCGGGCTCCCGCTGATTGGCCGATCGGTCGGCAAAAGGCGGGAAAACGGCGGGTGCTGTTGATCCGGCGCGCGTCGGAGAATCTCCACGGAGCCGCCATTCCCTATCTCTGCTGTGGCCGACGCCCTAGCGTTCCTACTCACTTATCGCTGCTTTGCGTAAGCACAATTGAATGTCTCGTCCGACCTCGCTGCCTACTTTTGCTTCCCCCCCGCAGAGCACCAGGCCGGAATGAGGGTCGAGCGCGCTCCTTCGCTACTGGATGCGGAACATGGAGCGGTCACGATAAGGGCGTACGGATTCTATCAAGCAATTGCGTATAGCAACCATCGGTTTCGAGCGGGTACATGCATGGCGATTGCCGAGTTCCCCAAGCCACAGTCGTGGGCGAAGCCCCAGCGCTAGAAGAGATTCGTAAAGCCAAGAGAATCCAGTCTTCAGCAAAGTCTGGGTATGTCTGTTCCTACCATCGGGCTGCACTACCTACGCTCGGCCCTGCAGGTGCCAAGGCCGATCGTACCTTTGTTGGCCGGTGTAGACTGGACGTCTCCGCAAGGGTACCTGAGAAGACCCCACGCGTGCCCAGATGATAGCTACCCGCAGCTCTCGGCTCACTTCCGTGTTTTCTCCCCTCACTGCCGCCGTTCGACTCGGCGCCCATTGTGCCAATTCGATGACACAATGACAGACGGTAGGGCGCGCACCGTGCGCGGTTCACCAGCTCTCGGCATGGGGGCTACCGGGATGAGCTCTGATAGACACGGCCTGGGATCGGTGGGCTAGAGAGTCAGTTAACTGGAGGTAGAGCTCCTCTGTCTCTCGATATCCAGTATAAGTATCAGCGAGCAGAGCCGCCATTCTGCTCTTTTCCTTCTCCAGCTCCAGCTCTCTCCTCTCTCCTCCACCTACTTCTCCTCCCTCTGGTCAAGCAGAGCTCCTTTCTCCTCCCAAGTTCCTCCACCACCATGCTCTCCTCAACCTTTTCGGTGGCAGCCGCCGCCGCTGCCGCTCTCCTCCCCAGCACCATCAGCGCCACGCCCCTGGGCCTTCCCATCCTCCCGCGCGCCGAGCTCGAGCAGCCCAGCATCAACGCCTCGCTGCCCAACATCACCATCTTCGCGACGGGCGGCACCATCGCGTCGCAGGGCAGCTCGTCGGCGCAGACGGTGGGCTACCAGGTGGGGCTGGGCGTGCAGCAGCTGGTCGACGCCGTGCCCGAGGTGCTCAACATCTCGAACATCTACGGCCAGCAGATCGCCAACGTCGGCTCGCAGAACATCAACGCGACCGTGCTGCTGCAGCTGGCGCGCAACATTACTGCTGAGCTCGAGAAAGATGATGTGCAGGGTGTGGTTGTGACGCACGGTACCGATACGATGGAGGAGACGGCCTTCTTCCTCGACCTCGTCGTCAACAGCACTAAGCCCGTTGTCGTCGTCGGCGCCATGCGCCCCGCTACGGCCCTGAGCGCGGATGGCCCGCTGAACCTGTATCAGGCTGTTAGCCTGGCTGCGAGCGAGAAGGCGCAGGGTAGGGGTGTGATGATTGCGTTGAACGAGTGAGTGCTCTCCCCCTCCTCCCTCTATCCCTATACCCAAAAAAGGAGAAACACTAACACCCCCTCCCCCCTCCCAGCCGCATCGGCTCCGCCTTCTACACGCAAAAGAACAACGCCAACTCGCTCGACACCTTCTACGCCACCGAGCAAGGCCAGCTCGGCTTCTTCATCAACCAAGTCCCCTACTTCTACTACACGGCCGCCTCCATCCCCAACAAGCCGTTCTTCCCGCCCTCGCCCACCGCCACCACCCTCCCCACCGTCGCCGTCCTCTACACGCACCAGGACGACGTCGCCGCGATCGTGCCCGCCGCCGTCGCCGCCGGCGCCGAGGGCCTCGTCTTCGCTGGCTCCGGCGCCGGGTCTATTGATGATGCCGTCAAGGAGGCTGCCAGCGCCGCGTTCAACGCGTCGGGTGTGGCCATGGTCGCGAGCAGGCGCACGCCCGACGGCTTCGTGCCCAAGGAGGATGTCGAGGACTGGATGGTTGCGGCTGGGTTTTTGAACCCGCAGAAGAGCAGGATTTTGTTGCAGTTGGCGCTGGATGCGGGGTACAGCGTTGATGAGATTAGGGAGACGTTTGATGGGCTGCACCCGTAAGTTTTTGTTGCGCGCGCGGGGATTAAGAAGCGGAATATGATGAGTATGGATGTGTAATGTATTTTTTATGAGGGGGAGAGAGATGATGTAATGCATGTCTAGCTTATAGAGTGTCGAGCTGAAAATGCTCCGATGACCAAAAGTAGAGTAATGAAACGAAATATCCATCATTTACCTTCATGGGCTAAAGTGGAACATTGTCGTGTTTGGCTCAAGCGAGTCAATCTCATATCTTTGTAGCGGAAGTATCCGGTCTCGCAGATGGTGATGTGGAGTCTGATTCCTCGACTGCAGCAGAAGAGGTCACTGTGTATAGCTGGCCAAAAAGGAGTCACTGAAGCAATGAAGCTAGGATATTGAAACAAAAAGTTTTCCCCGTATATTTTTTTTTTAAAACATGAGCGAGAAGAGAGCTCGAAGAATATATACAACTGAAGCAATAAGCTGACCTGCAGAACACTGCTAGTACCCGTTCGAGATTCGTTTAAATGTAGCTGACGAGGGTGTCGAGGTAAGCGGTGTAAGCAGTACCGTCCGTGGGCTCGATGCTGTACATGTAGCTGCCCCACTTGAGGGCTGTTAGCACGACTGTCCAGACGACAGGGAATTGGACTACTAACCCAGGGACCGGCGGCCCACCACAGAGCACCCTCCCAGACATCGTTGTTCTCCTTCATGTAGTCGAGCATGCCGGTGACGGCCGTCTTGCACTGGTCGTTGTTGCCGCCGGCAAACTCGCCGAGGAGACCCTTCTTGTTGTTCTCCTTGAGCCAGTTGGTGGCGGCCTCGAGGCGCTCCTTGCCGATGGTGGTGCTGACGCAGGCCTCGTTGGTGCCGGAGCTGTCGCTGTCGAGGTACTGGTGCATCTGGTAGATGAGCTTGTCCTGGGGGTCCGTCAGGCTGCCCATCGAGTCGGCGTTGCCGCTCGACACCCAGCTCCAGGCACCGGTCCAGGAGTTGCCCTCTGCCGTGATGTACTGCGAGGTGGCGCCCGCGGCGCGGATGCCGTCGATGCCGGCCTGGTTCAGGCTGACGACGAGGTCCTGGTCCATGTCGTGGAACTCGTTGTTGATGTCGAAGATGACCTTGGTGTTGTTGGCGAACTCGGTCGCGACGTTGGTCCACCACGTCTTGAAGCCATCCTTGTCGCTGATGATGTTGCCGTTGAAGCCTGGGATGGGTCAGTATTGGCTGCAGAATTCGAGGGAGGGGAGGCATACGGCCATAGTTGTGGGGAACTATCATGGCATAGGCACCCTTGTTGGTGATGTAGTTGACCGTCTTCTTAAGGTCGGCAAGGTAGGTGGCGTCAAGGGAATCAGTCATGGAGCTGTGGGTAAGACGCTCCATCAGGATGTTGACACGGAAGGTGTTCATTCCCTTGTTAACGAAGGTATCAATGGTCGACAGAGTAGGCCAGACATAGTCGGTGTTCAGAGTTCCAGGCAGGTTACCCTCACCAAACTCAGGGCCAGACTCGTTGATGCCAAAGAAGGTGAAGGTAGAAGCACGCTTCTCCTGCTTGTTCTGCACCGGCGCAGCCAGTGCAAGGGAAGCCGAACCGGCGACGAGAAGAGTCGAAACACGCATGGTGAAAGGCTAAGAGAAACGAAGGAATTGGCAATTGCGAAGAAAAGAGTGTAGAGGCGGGGATGAGCAACTTGGCTTGAGGGGCAAAAAGCTTGGAAGGCTGGGCCATCTCTTATTTATACGGAAGTAGATAGATGAAGTCATGCTTTCTGGACTGACAGGCCTCGCTAAATTCAAGGAGTTGGCAAAAATGAGCTAAATGTCAGGCAAGCGTAGGGTTGCGGGCCGTCGGTGTTTCGACTTAGGCTTCCGTGTCGTGGACAAGGGGCACAACCCGGGTCACGGCACGCGTTCTGGACGTTAAGTGGACGCGCGCCGCCATTGGCGCTCTCTGCTACAATAGGTCGTACAGTCTCTCCACAGTACTGGCAGATATAGTACCGACAGCTGATTTCCCGGGGTAATGAACTGAGGGTTAGCTGAGGGGCCTATCTCGCGTATTGCGTGGCGCTCTTGGTTCATCAACTTAATCCGAGGTAAGCTTCGAGAACGATGGCAGAAACGGAGGGTGGACCGGCAGATGGCGAGAGGCGGTTTTCTCGGAGTCATGCGTTGGGCTGTGCTTAGCCAGCCGTCATCTCCGCGCGTCGCTCGGACAGGGGATCACGGCAGAATCGACATGTTTCGTCGAAACTTGAGCCTCTCAGAAACAGGAGGAAACAGGAGGATGAGATGGGCGCGCCGGCCGCTACTTGAAATTTCCGCAGGTAGCTCCTCCGCATAAGAGAGGCGTCTTAAGGCCCGCCATGGTCGATGGTGTACAAACAACGGGTCCGTTCGCGGGCGGTGGGCGGCACCAGGAACAGGGAGCCGGTAAAGGTGTGACGCCGACCCCACACGAGGCGCGAGTGCGTTTCAGAGGCGGTCGGCTGGAAGTGAGGTCGGCAGAGGTCGAAGGAGCGGGCCGGGCCCAGAAATGTCTGGGAACACGGGCCGCCAAAGTCTCGTGCCTGCGCGCGCGTTTCGACGCGACACCGATGTCATCGACCCTCCACTACGCGCCCGATGCCGCCCGGCGATGAGAAAGCCCCCGTGAAGCTCTCGCTGCCGCTGCAGTACCAGCAAGACATCTTCCAGGATCTGGTGCGTCTCAGATGAGCCCGCTGCTGCTCCCCGCTCCGTGCTGACGACTGCAGCGCAATGAGGACCAGCTCGTCGTCCTCGCCCGCGGCCTCGGTCTGCTGCGCATCGTGACCAACCTCCTCCACGCCTACGATGCCGCCGGAAACAACCTCGTCCTTCTCGTCGGCGCCGACGACCGCGAAAATGGCTGGATCGGCGAGTCGCTGGCTGAACATGCTGCTGTTAGCAACGCTCCCAAGGCCCGCGGCCTTAGCCTGGTCAACACCGACATGATGAGTGTGGGGACGCGCGAGAAGATGTATTCGCGCGGCGGCATCTTCAGTATAACCTCGCGCATTCTCATCGTGGATCTGCTCTCCGGTCTTCTCGACCCGGCCACCATCACTGGCTGCGTCGTGCTGCACGCCGATAAAGTTGTCGCGACATCGCTGGAAGCCTTCATCTTGCGCATCTATCGCCAGAAGAACAAGGCGGGCTTCTTGAAAGCTTTCTCCGACAACCCCGAGCCATTTGCTACCGGCTTTTCCCCGTTGGCTACCATGATGAGGAATCTGTTCCTGCGGAAGCCCTCTCTGTATCCGCGCTTCCATGTCTCTGTGGCGAAATCTCTGGAGGGCCGCCGGAAAGCTGAAGTCATTGAATTGGAGGTACCAATGACTGACAACATGGCCGCTATCCAACAAGCTGTTATGGAATGTGTCGAGGTGAGCATTGCTGAACTTCGAAAGAACAATTCTGGCTCTCTAGACATGGAGGACTGGACACTGGACAGCGCCTTGCACAGAAATTTCGATACCCAGATTCGACGTCAGCTGGATCCAGTATGGCACCGGACAAGCTTCCGCACACGTCAGATAGTGCGCGATCTTTCCCTACTGCGCCAAATCCTCCATGCCCTCTTGGCGTATGACGCTGTAGATTTCAACAAGTACTTAGACACCGTCATCGCCGCCTCGTCTCCGCCGCCCGGATCCAACCGGATGAATCAATCGCCCTGGCTCTTCCTCGATGCTGCTCATACCTTGTTTGAAACTGCAAAGCGACGTGTCTATGCCGGCAAGCTCACCGATACCAGCACGACCAACGCCTCCAGCGAGGTGCCGGATTCGCTCAGACCTGTTCTTGAGGAATTGCCAAAGTGGCGCATGCTTGCTGAGGTCTTGGAAGAAATTGAAAGGGATTTCTACTTCAACCCTGTTCCTCAGGACGACTCGAGCGGCGCTATTCTCATCATGTGCGGAGACAACAGCACTTGCCGACAGCTGCGTGAGTACCTGCAAACCATGCGTGTCAGACCGGATGAGCAAGATAACAACGACGAAAAACTGGAGGAGAGGGGTCCATCTGCTGCCTTCATGATGAGACGGAAGTTGCGGAACTATATCACTTGGAAAAGAGACTTTAACAGAGTCAGCGCTTCTCTCTTTGCGGAGAATAACAAAGTGATCAACAACGACACTCGCAGTGGTCAAGTCGGACCGGGAAGAGCACCTCCGAATAAGAGACGACGTGTCCGCGGTGGAGCGGCGGCTGGATCTGGCCCGTCTAGGACTGTGATGGGGGAGATGCAACAGAGCTTCAACCGCGATGCTCACATGCAGAGCCTTCTCGCCGACCTTCAGCCAACGGGGGAAGAGACGCAGCAGAAAGGCGAAATCGCAGCGGATCCTCTTGAAAACATGGAGGACTATTACGAGCTGTACGAGATGAAAGAGTTGATCGTAATTCATCCATACGATGGGGACATGGATGAACATGTCCTGGAAGAAATACGGCCACGTTACGTCATCATGTACGAGCCGGATGCTGCCTTTATCCGACGGGTAGAAGTCTACCGTAGCTCGCACACCGACCGCAACGTCAGGGTGTACTTCATGTACTACGGCGGGTCCGTTGAAGAGCAACGCTATCTCAGCGCTGTCAGACGTGAGAAGGATGCCTTCTCCAAGCTCATTCGTGAAAGAGGCAATATGGCCCTTGTCCTGGACAACAACAGCACGGCAGATCCGCAAGAGACTTTCCTTCGAACAGTGAACACTCGCATTGCCGGCGGTGGTCGTCTAGCCGCCACGGCAGCTCCCCCACGGGTAGTCGTGGATTTACGCGAGTTCCGATCATCTCTCCCGTCTCTGTGTCACGGTCGAAACATGGTCGTTGTGCCGTGTATGCTGACGGTCGGCGACTATGTGCTCACGCCCAACATCTGCATCGAGCGCAAGAGTGTCAGCGACTTGATTTCGTCGTTCAACAACGGTCGCTTGTACAATCAAGCTGAGACCATGCTCCAGCACTACAAGAACCCCATGCTGCTCATTGAGTTTGATCAGAACAAATCATTCACGCTCGAACCATTTGCCGACCTGAGCCAGTCGGCTGCCGCTGCCGCAATGGCCGCCCCCGATCTCCAGGCTAAGATTGTCATGCTGACAATTGCATTCCCCCGGTTGCGCATAATCTGGTCCAGCTCACCGTATCAGACGGCTGAGATCTTTGAGGAGTTGAAGAAGCAACAGGATGAGCCAGACCCCATCAAGGCGGTGCAGATTGGGCTCGAAGAAGGTGAAGACGCTGAGAGTAAGACATTCAATCAAGTGCCCCAGGATATGTTGCGTGCTGTGCCGGGCATCATGGGAGATGAAAAGAGACTCCAACGGATTACTTTCAACGTGGGTAGTGTTTTCGAGCTGGCGAACATGACGGAGGAGGCGCTGAATGAGCTTTGTGGTAAAGAGGCAGGAAGGCAGATTTTCAGGTTCTTCAATCGTGATATAGTTGATGACTAGCCTAATCAGAGTTCTGGGCACGAGCAGCACCCGAGAATTAATTACAAACCCGGGTCTAGCACAGGTAATGGTGGTGCCTTCCTGTTGAGCGGCAAGGACTTTCAGGAAATGTTGTCGAGTCAGACTCTTTAGCAAGCAATGCTAAAATGACTCGCCAGGATGTTAGATTCCCCGGGAGTGGAAGCTCCGAAATCCCCCAGCTCCATGATCATCTGTATGAGAACTGCGTCACCACGCTCCAGCCCTTCACTATACGCAAACTACTTTGTCCCAAATCTTATTTGCTCGCCCTGGATAAAACACTCTCTCATCCATTCAACGCATGATGAGCGGTACGCGCGGCCTCCCATATAAGCCTACATTGCGATGGCTACCAGGAAAGAAGCCAACGATCTTTTTCACAAACTTCACGCCGGATGTCCGCGTAAGCATAGGCGCAAAACAAATCATCGCTGACCCGTCGCACCCGCGCCATTACTTTTTGAAGCGCAAGTATGAAGCAAGGGACCCAAAGAGCCTCTGGCTGGCACCCATGGTGACGTTGGGCACCTCGCCCAAGCGAACAGTCAGGACTTGGTGCACACGCAGGCTGCGGGCAGCTCTCAAGGAAGAATTCGCGGCACGAGGGCTGAACGAACTGGGCCAGAGGATGCGGGATGGCAAGGCAATCGAAGGCCCTGCGGTTGTTTGGGGTACGCTGGTCATGCAAGTGACGCAGAAAATGATCACGGCAAAGTATGAGCAGGTACGCGAGGAGGCCGGTTGGACGGCGGATGCGCTGTTGGCGGCGTTCAGGCCGACGGGGAACTCGCGGCCGCCGCCCAAGGCCGCAGGCGGCAGGTTTCCACACGACTTTCCCAAAGATCGCGGCACAGCAGGCAAAGCTAGACCCCGCCAGCACAGCAATAATAGCGGATCGTCAGGAGCTGCAGCGGCCCGTCCTAGACGCTAGGTGGCGTCACAGATGGTGTTCAGAGAGCTTGGGAGCGCTTGGCGGGAAGGGGCTTAGTCACAACAGGGAAGCGCGGGTAACGAGCAGGGCAGAGCAGACGGGCCACTTGACTACTTCGCAACCACCACAACTGTTGCGAGGCTGTGCTGAGGCCGCGCACGACACCACGCCGCCGTTCGCCGCCCAAGCTGCACCCGGACGCGGCCCGCCGTATTCATACTGCTTAAAGCCCGCGCACCACCCTGGATCCTCGGGCGCTCGCGGATAATTCGCGAGAGACGGCTTGCACTGGCCCCTCTCTCCTGCTTATGACGCACGCCTGAAATTGCAGCAACCCGTTCGCCGCTGCCCAACCACACCCTTCCATGTGTACAAGTCGCGCGACCGCGACCCTCTAAGACCGACCGACCGCCCACCTATCCAACATGCCTACAATATTGTCCGACGACGACAAGCAAACGGTCAAGCGGACCGTGCCGAAAGGCTCCAACAAGATCCATGCCGTCGCCGTCGCAAAGCTCTACATCGCTTACCCCAACCGCCACAAATGGACCTACACGGGCCTGCAGGGCGCTGCCGTGCTCGCCAACGACCTCGTAGGAAACACGTTCTGGATCAAGCTGGTTGACATCTCGGTAAGTTGCAGCCTTAGCGCGGCAAGCCCGGGGGTATTTCAGGGAGAGGAGGTGAGCCCTTACTAACTGGTTGCACAGCCCTTGAACCGCGGCGTCATCTGGGACCAGGAGATTTACGACACCTTCTCGTACAACCAGGATCGCACTTTCTTCCACACCTTCGAGCTCGAGCAATGCCTTGCCGGTCTGTCGTTCGCTGACGAGAAGGAGGCGAAGCAGTTCAAGAAGAAGATAGACGAGCGGGAGAAGAATGCACACAAGAACACGAGGAATAAGCCATTTGGTATGGCGGCTGGGACTTCCAATGGCGCGACAACGAACGGTGGAGGCCACTCGCATGGGTTGCTAGGCAGCATCACCGGCAGTCTTTTCGGCCACAAGCATTCGTCGCACCAGCAACAGGAGAACCATTCGATTATTCCGCCCAAGAACTTGGCTTCACCCGCAAGCTCAAGCCCGAACCAGAGCGGCAGGAGCTCGGCTATCGACACCGCAGATCCCTCAATGCAGCCGGTGCTTCAGGAACTCCTGCAAATGGGTATCACGGAGGACCAAATCGAAGAAAATGCCGACTTCATCAGGATGTACATTGACCAGAAGAAGGCCAGCGAGGCTGCCAATGAATCTAAATCGAGAGCGCCGCCGCCGCCACCACCTGGCGCACCTCCCATCAGCAGGCTCAGCCCTCAGAACACAGGCAGCACTTCAACATCCCGGCGTGGACCACCTCCGGCACCACCGCCAGCTCGCAGAAAGGGCGGTGCACCCCCGCCTCAACCGACATCACCTGCCAGGGACCCATCACCACCACAACCAAGATTCAGAGCGCCGCCACCGCTTGCCGATGCTGGAAAATTCGCGAACCAGGCTCCTCCTCCACCGGCAAGAGCGCGGGCTTCCTCGAATACTGCGCATCCAGGCCCCCCACCGCCGCCGAGAAGGACAGAGGAAGACTCGGGGCACAAGTTTGGCGTCCCGCCTCCTTTCGCTGGACAGCGCGCTGTATCCAGTCCAGTCCCACCCCCTCCGCCCGCTCGTGGCCCTGTTCCTCCGCCACCGCCTGCACGCGACGCCACTCCGGCTGGGCTGCCGCCTCCCCCGCCTGCACGGGCTGTGCCTACTCCGGCTGCTCCCCCTCCACCGCTTCCACCCAAGACCCCAGTAGCTCCACCATCGCCCGCTGCCGTTCCTCCGCCCCCGCCTCCACCTCCAGCTTCGTCTGGGCCCCCCGCTCCTCCTCCACCTCCTCCGTCCGCCTCACGCCCCGTTCCTGTTCCGCCGGCAAGCCCCGCACCACCTCCGCCACCTCCACCGGCTGGCGGTGCTCCTCCGCCGCCACCACTTCCTTCAAGCCCGTCCCCCGCGGCTGCGCCTCCACCGCCGCCGCCTCCACCACCCGCTCCAAGCGGAGGAGCTCCCCCACCACCTCCTCCTCCGCCTCCTCCACCAGGTGCGGCTGGTGGCCCCCCTGCGCCACCGCCACCGCCTCCTCCACCAGGCGCCGCCGGTGGTCCTCCTGCACCACCCCCACCACCGCCCGGAGGTGCACCCGCGCCAAAGATGGCCATGCCAGCCGGTGGCGGCGGCAGAGACGATCTCCTGGCCAGTATTCGCGGTGGAGCCAAGCTTAAGAAGGTTTCCGACACCGAGAAGAACGACCGAAGTGGAGCATCAGTGCCCGGTAGCAGCACTGCGCCTCCTCCGTCATCCTCTGGTGGCGGCGGTGGAGCTGATGGCGGATTGGCGGGTGCATTGGCTAGTGCTCTTGCGGCGAGGAAGAGCAAGGTCAGCCACAGTGGTAAGTTTACTATGCTTTCGTGCAATAGATTAGAAGTCATGCTAACAGGAAATTACAGATGATGAGGATGACGACGATTGGTGAGCGCATCGCTACACGATGTACTACAAGGAAGCACCCCGACAAACGTCGCCTGAATAGCGCCAAGAAGAGCTGCTCGCGTGAAAAGATTTCAGGGAAGCAGTGGAAAAGTAGGGGGAATGGTAGAGTAGACCACCAAGCTCCAGCACCAAGAATAGAGCTTTTCAGGTCAGGGTTCGTGTTCGTGTGCAAAAGGATACCCGCACGCATCAAGGACGGATGGGAACCAGTTCAAAACCGAGGTTTGGATCACCGCACGGTGGAGCCTCATACTAGATGGTTTGGTCTCATCGGGCTTTCTGGGGACTTTCTGGGTGCCGGGTATTGGAAGGGAATACCCCCATTTTTGTGCGTTTGATGTGTTCTTTTTTTTATTTTCTTTTCAGGATGAGGGTCTGGGGTAGAATTGTTAACACAGAATATTGAAAAAATGATAATATTAGCGCCCAACGTTGGAACAAACTTTGGAATTTCGTCCTGACTAACTTCGGTTGCTTCAGGAGCCTACTTTTTTTTTTTTTGATCCCACTACCCCAGGTTTGACTCGTGCGAAATGCGGCGTCAATTCGTTACTTTTGCTATCAAACTACAGAGGGGTGGTATAAACAAAGGGTGGCTTTCGTTTGTTGTTCGCTCACATCATGGATTGTTGAAGTTATCATCCGGATGTGATGGTGACAGGAATTATACATCATCGTCCGGACAATAGCTCACATATGTTGCTCCTCACAAGAAAATTGCTGAGAGCATAATCGACCTATGACCAAGGGCCAGGCTCTTCTTTTCCGCGCTTGCCTTCGACTACAACACCTCTCTCTGTAGTCGAAGGGAGGTCAAGCAAAACTCACTTCAGTCTTCACCACAACTAAAAAAATCCCACCTTCTCCCCCTTTGTTCCCCAGCAGCCATCACTATCCCTTTTTTTTCCGTCCGTCTCCGACGGAACCACCACCACCACCCCTATGTTACACATACGCATACTTCCGAATGAAAGCATGCAGCTCCGCAAACGAATCCACCGACACGCGCCGCATGTACTCGTCCCCATCATCGCCAGCCACCCCATCTCCTCCCTGATTTTCCTCTTCTCCTTCTTCACTGCCGCTGCCGCTTCCTTGTCGTTGCTGCCCTTCAAGGCGCTGCCGCTGCGCCACCTCCACCACCGTCCGCACCAGCCAGCATATCTCGTCCGCGTGGCGGATAAACGTGTTTTTCTCATTGCTGCTGCCATTGCTGCTTACCGCATCGACGGCGGCGTTCGAGTGATGAGACGCCGCCTGCTGCTGCTGCTGCCAGAGCTTCTCCCAACGGTCGGTGGCGTGGAGGATGGCGGTGTAGGCGGAAGAAGTGGCGGCATTGTCGCCGAGCGGGGAGGTGCGGGTGGTGTGGGTGAGGGATTGGAGGGCCGATATCGCGACGTGCAGGTCGAAAGGGCGCCAGTGTTGAGGAGAAGAAGAAGAAGGAGGCGATACGGAGGATGAGGAGGAGGCGGGAGGATTGTCGTCGGCTGCGAGGAGGGCGTTGACGACGGACATCGGGGACCGTGGCGGTGGCGATGAGGATGATGATAATGCCTGCTGCAGCAGGTACAGCCGCTCGAACTCGGCCGCGTCCTTTGCGTCCCAGAGGTCTTCGGCGCAGGGCAGGTCGCACAGCATCTCGGACAGGCAGAGCTGCGGCGGGTGGGCGAAGAAGAGGCAGAGGTGGTTGTCGGTCATGAAGGCGTAGGTGGCTAGGCTGTGCACAAAAGGTGTGAGTGTTATATTCGCTTTCCACGGTCCGCTGCTGTTCATCCCCTGAATACATGACCTAGTTTAATGTATGAAGAATAAGGTAGGGGAGCTCACCGCACTCGCATCTCATCCGCAACGAAGACCTGCCAGGCGTCTTCTGGCCGTCCCTCCGCCGCTCCCCATTCCTGCCGTCGCCGTCGCCGGCTCGCCAGCAGCCCCTTTTCCCGCAGCTTAGCCACGAACAGCGGATGCCTTCGAGCCTTCAGCCTGCGCCTCGCCGCGCCGTCGCTCATGCCGCTCTGCAGCACGTTGATGATCAGCGCCGCCTGCAGCGTCTGGAGGTCCTCTTCCTCCTCGTCCCGGCCACCGACACCGTCATAATCGTCGTCATCACGCGCAAACAGCCCCTGGCCATACACAAAGGCCTCGGCAACACTCACGAACCGGCGCGCCGCCAGCGCAGCGTCCGTCGGCGTGCAAAACACGGCGCCGGCGACGACGACGGCGAGCAGCAGCGGCGTCGACGATAATCTCACGTCATCGACGCGGAAGCTGGGGCGGTGCAGGATCGGTATCTCCGGGTGGCAGCGGTGGAAGTAGGACCACAGGAAGTGCTTGGCGTTGGCGGCGGTGAAGACGGTTTGGGCGAGGGCGGGGTCGAAGAAGATTGGGGACTTGGTTCTGATGTTGGGGTTGGTGAGGACGATGTGGTCGTGCGTGGCTTGCAGGTGCTGGCGGATCTCGTCCATGCGCGCGGTGAGGGAGGCCATGATGGTGATGGTGGCCGGGTCGTCGTCGAGGCCGAGCCCGGCGTAGAGACCGTGGTCGGAGTTGATGTGGTCTTCGATGTTGCCGATGGTGGTGGGGATGGACGATTGGTGGTCTTGGAAGTCGGCGATGGTGTCCCAGATGGAGGGGGTGTAGAAGTTACTTGCGGGAGCTGTCGGTGGTCGCGGAGCTGTGGCGCGGATGGTGTGGTGGCAGTGCGTGACTTCTTCGTTGGTGGTGTAGCTGGCGTCTTGCACGAAGGCGTCGACGGTCGTCTCTTTTGAGGTGTCGGTAAAGCTGAGGAGGAAGGGCGCTTTGCAGATGAGCCCTGCGGCATTGCCCTCGCCGTTCTCACCAGCAAGAAGTCGACGACGCTCATACGTGCAGGTTTTGCTCTGAGCAACGCAGCGCGAGCATGATGGGATCAGTGCGTCGCAGGATAGTTTGCCTTGCGAACACCTATCGCACGCCCGGACTTTTCGGCCGCGTTTTGCTTCGGGTGGAGGAGGTGCATTGGACTTTTCTGCGCAGGCTTTAGCATGCCGTCGGGCGACCTCGCTGTGCAAGTCTCGAGATCAGCCATGAGTAGAGGATGTGTGAGGGGCGTGTACGCACACTTTGGCGAATGAGCGGTTGCAGTAGGGACAGCGGGAAGACTTCTCATTTGAGTCTAGGGCCTGTGAGTGAGCTTGCGGGTCAAGATATAATGGTATTCTTACGTGTCACCTCGTGCCGGCGTAGATGGCTGCTTCGATGGTACGATTTACCGCACGTGGAGCATTGATACAGCCTTGCCTGCGTATCATTTTGCTGTGCTGCTGACATGACGGCTTAGCTAAGGCGGGGAATAAAAAAACCGAATCCAGTAAGTCGAATTACAAATGGTAGTGCATGGAGGAAGAAGGGTAGGTTTTCTCCAGCCAGCCATGGGTTAAGCCGAAAACGGAATGGCGTCGGTAGGTTTGTTCCGATCGCCCTCACAACGAGACGCTATGAAGTAGGTTTGACCCGACTACGAGACTGACCGATGCATCAATACTTGTACTGGTGATACTTTCTCTATGGCATCTTCCATCGCCACAGAAGGAATTGTAAGCTACTGGTACAGTTACCGTTATTAGCGCAGTGACAGACTTCGCCTTGTGTCGGTGAGAGAGGGAGCATTAGATGCGGTGTTAACATCATGCAGAAATCCAGTGCCGGCCAGGTTTACTGTCTGCGGCTCGCCGGAAGGATGTTCCCGCGCACGGTGGGACGGATGCTGTTCGCAGTGGGGTATTCGGTTGTGCAAGAGTGATGTCTGATCAAGCACGAGGTCTAGACTTGTTTAGGAGCTTAGCTCGGGATATTAGACTCAGTGCCGATGGCACTTGGACCTTTTTGTTGATAGCGAATGAGGTGGTGCGGTGAATGAAGGGATACGAGCCATCAAGGTGTTGGAGCGAAGCAAGAGCGAGGGAATGTGGGGGGATTTATGTCGCTGCCGCAAATGAGCGGAGATTGACGCGAACATTAGGCTACGACTAAAAGTGTAACATCGGCGTTTGCGGCCACGGCCGAGGCGAAGCTTGCCGAAGGCTTAACGATGCTTGCTTCCCCACCGCAACTTCCCCGCAACAGCATGCAGCCACGCACTCGCTCATACGTCGAAATGAATTGCCTCTTAAGCCACTTAATCCGTCACCGTTACACCTGCCAATTACTCCAGAGTGCGCCCGAGACATGCGGAAAAGCGGATGCAGTTCAACGGCACAGCATCATCATATATGTGCCAAGCCACCTTCCGCTATACCCCTGCTCTAGCCTAATTCCTGGTCGGTGACGCTACCCCTGCAATCGCAAGCGTCAAAGGTGGTGCGTGGGGCGGAAGTTTAGTACAAAAACTACGGCTCTGCTGCGGGGACCCTTCAACTAATCTTCCCGCTCAGTCACAACAATGATCGGTAAACATTTGGCCCTCGCTCTCTCAGCGGCCGGTCTTTGCGCTGAAGCTGTTGTTATCGATCGCAGGCAAACCAATGCCGCGTCTTCGTCAGCCACCAGCGTTCCCGACTATTTCCAATCAACACTCCACCAATATGAAGGTAAGTTGGATTTCTGGACCAAGAGAGAAGCCAAATCGCTCACCCTCAAGGCCCTACCGCTACCGGCGAGGCTCCCTTCCTTGCCGAGACCAATGCTGCTCCGTTCTCCGGTGTCTCGTACATTGCACCCCAGCCGCTTGAGACACAGCAACCTATCCTTGGGAATACGGAGAAAAAGAACATCTTCCAGCTGATGGGGCATTTGACCCCCTACACTCCTAATCCGGATGGTTTCGGGGTCGACGAATATCCTCTCCCGCCTGGTACCAACATTACCCAGCTTCACATGCTCCACAGGCATGGCGAGAGATACCCCACTTCAACCGACGGTTCAATCACTCTAGCCGAGAAGATTGTCAATGCGTCGGGCACATTCAATGCCACTGACGACCTGGCTTTCCTAAACGGCTGGACGAACAAGCTGGGTGCCGAAATTTTGGTGCCTGTGGGGAAGCAACAGTAAATCTAGCATCCAACCAATTCTTGTCAAGCATGCGCTAATTGTTTCAAGCTTGTTCGACTCTGGCGTTACCCACTACTACAGTTACGGCCACTTGTACCCCAACAACGGTAGCAAGATCATCGCCCGTACTACTACCCAGAACCGCATGATTGAATCCGCCGAGTACTTTCTCGCGGGGTTCTTTGGTCTTGGGTGGACCAATAATGCTACGCTCGAGTTGATCATTGAGCAACAGAACTTCAACAACAGCCTTGCTGGCTATTACCAGTGCAATAACTCCAACGCTGCTGTCAGCGAAGGCGGTAAAAACGGTACGTTCTAGACCCTGAAAGCTGTCACGATTCTCGTTTCTGACGAATGGTAGCAACATTGGAATGGGCGTCCATCTACCTTGCCAACGCCACCGAGAGAATCCAAGAGAAGATCTCTGGTTTCAACTGGACCATTTCAGACTCGTGTAAGTGTCCCTTTATACAAAAAAAAAAAACTTGACACTGACACCCCCTACCAGACTACGCCCAATCCCTCTGCTCCTACGAGACCGTCGCTCTCGGCTTCTCGCACTTCTGCGGCCTGTTCACCTACGACGAATGGCTCGGCTACGAATACAGCATCGACCTCAGCTTCGCCGGCGGCTACGGCTACCAATCACCCACCGGCCGCGCCGTCGGCATCGGCTACGTCGCCGAGGTACTCGCGCGGCTCAACCACCACCTGATCGACGTGCCGACGGCCCAGGTCAACGTCACGCTCGACAACAGCACCGCGACGTTCCCGCTCGACCAGGCGCTCAACTTCGACTTCAGCCACGACACAAACATCATGTCCATCCTGACGGCCTTTGGCCTGAAGCAATTCGCTCCTTTCATGCCGGCCACCGAGTACGTCGCCGACCGGCCCCTCATCGTCTCGCACATGGAGCCGTTCGCCGCGCGCCTCGACATCGAGGTCGTGCAGGCGCCGCATCCGGTGCTGCCGAAGCGCCCTACTGCTGCCGGTGGCAGTGATGCATACTATAACAGCACCGGCGGACCCACCAAGTACATCCACTTCGTCCTCAACCAGCGCACCGTCCCGCTCCACGCGAGTTTTCCCGAGTGCGAGGTCAGAGACGATGGCTGGTGCGCGCTCGACACGTTCATGCAGGTGCAGCAGACGAAGGTGGACGAGGCGCAGTACGAGTGGAGTTGTTGGGGCGACTATCCCCCCGTGCCGTATGGGACCGTGACGGATGGCGTGCCGGTTGCGGGACCGGGCGCGGGGGCTGGGGGTGAGCTGTGAGGAGGCAGGCGCGCGTGAGGGTGTCGGGTGGTTGGTTTGCTGGGTGGGTGGGAGGGGGGTTGTTGGTGAGGCGCGCGTGATGGGGTGGATGGTGGTGGTGGGAGATGCTTGTATTTAAGAGCGATGTGACTGTCGTCTTCTTTGCTTATTTAATGCAATGGGTGCGGTGCCAACCACTTGTTTTAAGAAAGCGAGAGATAAGCTAGAACTGGCGTGTTTCTGCCTTGCTGCACTACCTTCTTACATTTATAATGCCGTTTGGGAAGCTAACGGTCGTCCACCATTTGTTTGTCTTGATGAACAACTGCATTTGACACATCACTTGGTCAGCGTCATCATACATACGTGCTGGTTCTATCCTCTCACACTTGGTATGACGAAAAGCACTCGAGGTATAAACTATGAGGGTTAATACAGAGCCAACGACAGCCAAGTGCTGTTGCTTATGTGAAAGCGGCGCTAAAGCGCCCACTGCTCTGCTGCCGATGTACCTAACAGATTGTTTCATTGAGCCTTTTAAACGATCCTCAGGTATAGAGTGAGGCGTCTGGGCGGTGCGTGCCATACGCCGTGCGGGAAGGCACGGCAAATGACTTCGCCGGAAGCTGCACGCGCTAATGCTAGACTTGCTGCTTTGCGGTGGGGTTAAAAGTGGTGCTCTGCTGGCTCTTCAAGCGTCTTCTCTAAGAACCATGAGCTCTTACTGAGATGCCAATTGATCCAAGAACCATACTTTCTGTGCCTTGACAGGTTGATGCTTCCACACTTGACTTGTTCCCTTCTTTGCCTTTCTTTGGGGCGGAAAGGCTATGAGTTTGATCTTATGAGCTGACATTTTATTTTCTGAGTTGGATAGGAATGTTGCTGGTGGACAACAGTTGAGAAAAATGCTGAATGAACGCATGACCCAGTGATGTTGTTATCTACGCCATTGCTGCATACACTGAGGTATGTGGCTAGGGCTAATTGACAGGGCTTCGGCAGAACGAACAAACGCGAAAGTGACCAACGTGATCATTGATGTTTCTTGTCACAGATCACCAGAGTGTCAGTGTCTTTCTAGCTTTTTGCGTGCTATGGCTCTCTTTTATAAACTCGCCAGCATTGTCATAAGTTAGGCAACGAGTATACCCACGGTGAGTGCGTCACAAGGCCATCCCTAGCGCCACGCTCCTTCCTCATAGGGCCTCGCCAGCTCCGATAACGGTCTACGGGAAAGTCCATTGTCATGTCGCCAAGAGCGCAAAGTGGTTGTGGTCGTCGCCCAATAGCCTTAAACTGGCCAATGAAGAGTGCAGATCTAACGCCGCGAGGATGTGACTTCTTAAAACCACCACCAATTTCTTTCCATGAGAAGAAACGGGGGAATAAGGGCACCTGTGCCTTGGAGATCTCAAAATAAGCAGGGCAAAATATTCTTTTATGGGTTTTCGACCACCAAATTTGTCCTACTGTTGATGTGAAGAGACGATCGAGTTAGCTGGCTTGTGGTTTCCTCATTGAAAATTGAAATGATGTGTCGGGAAAAGTTTGGGACAGTTTGATTCATCACCCAACCGGAATTCTGACATCTAGTATCAGGTGTTTGAACAACTGACGAAGCCAACACTTCGAAGAGCTTTAGCAGATATACTGGCCTATTCGTGAAAGATGCATATCAGAAGTTAGTGACATCTGAGTTCTTGATCACGTCTCAGCTCTTCGAGGGTCTCAGAATGCTCGCCAGCAAATGGGTTGCGAAGGCATCGGTATAATATCTGCTTATTGGTTGAACACATTTGTGGATCGGAGACAATGCATACAGTGAATATGTGAGAAGTTAACTTGTATGTTCTCTAGATGGGTGCAAATGAGCGGTCATTCTCAACCCTTCAGAATAGTAACTAGCTATTGACGAATTGTGCAAGTGCATTACTTCTACCATTTAGTCCTTGACGGTTCCCCTATGGGAGTTGGTGTCGTATCATACGACAATGACTATTTTTCCTCCGTGACGCGCGGCCGTTCAGCTTCATTCATCACTGCCTTCCATTTTCTCGCAATTTCATCTCGCGTTCACTCGCCAAGGACTCTATTTCTGGTGTGTTGTTTCGTGTTTCAAGAAATGCGGTAGCAGTACAGGATAGACCATTTAAGAAGAAAAATGAGGAGATCGCACCAGCCTATTAAACAGGTGCACCGGGAGTTCTTCAGCATACCTAAACCATTAATTCCTATCGTCCAAGCTTATACACATGCCAATCCCAGGCCATTTTGATGTTCGAGGAGCAGGCTCGCCTAAGCCTTTCCGCCCCCAATCCCGCCCCGCCTCAGCCACCACCGCCGTTCCTGTTTCGCTTCTCTCAAGCAAGTCTCCTTAATCTACTTCCTAGCGTAGGATTCCGCTTACGCGTCTGTTGCACAAGTTGCCTCATCGGGTATGCCACGATGCCGGGGCTGCGCTACGAGGCGTTTTGTTCCCACTTGACGTCACGCCATGTTTTACAGCTTTCCAAATCTCCAATTGGCCTGCGGGATGGCATTCGCAAGTCCGCCCAGATCGGCTATCTCCGGTCCGGCGATCTAGCCTACTGAAGCTACAGTCTATCTTTTTTTAGCCCCCTGTTTTGGGCAGGACAACAACACCGTGCAGGGGTGGATCCGGATAGGACCACCCTTCCGTAGGATTCTGAACCTGGATGCGGTGTCGTATCCCCTGAATCTCTTCGATAAAATGTAAACCTGATCGCCGCCGTGTTGCTTGGAGATCCAGGCTCGCTTACCTTCCTGTTCCTGAGTGACCTTTTGACGACGCCGAAGATGCAGCTTCTCCGGTCCGTCGCAGCAGCGACCGCGTTGCTTTCGCCCATCCTCGCGTCGGCTCAAAACTCCTCGAGCTCGCTACCTGTTGTGGACTTGGGCTACCAGCTCCACCGCGCCATCTCATTCAACGTAAGAGCGCCGTAACAGTATCCCCAAAGCGCTCACTTTGCTCACCTTTTTTTTTTTTCTTCTTTTCTCCAGGAGACCCGCGGCTACTACAACTTCTCCAACATCCGATATGCCGCCCCGCCCGTCGGCGACCTGCGCTTCAAGGCGCCCCAGGCCCCGGAAACCGACCGCTCCGTAGTCGACGATGGCAGCATCGACCGCATCTGCCCTCAGGCGTCGACCAGCAACGCGAACGTCAGCGACCCCCGCGAGACCGAGGACTGCCTCTTCCTGGACGTGATGGTCCCGCAGAAGATCTTTGAGAACGCAGGAAACGACACTGCCGGAGCACCCGTCATCGTCTGGATCCACGGTACGAGAACGACAACAACTCTCCCAATCCGCTCTTTGATCGACCGAATTCTTTTTTTTGCTAACAAAAACATCCACCAGGCGGCGGCTACATTGGCGGCTCCAAAGCCGGCGAGCGCACTCCAGCCGGGCTTATGCTCCGCAGCGCCACTGATAACTCGACCGACGCCAACGTCATCTTCGTCGGCCTGAACTACCGCCTGGGCGCCTTCGGCTGGCTGGCAGGCCCGACGCTGCAAGAAAACGGCACCGCCAACGCCGGCCTGCACGACCAGCGCCTCGCCCTGCAGTGGGTGCAAGACAACATCCACCTCTTCGGCGGCGACAAGTCGCGCGTCACCGTCGTCGGCGAGTCCGCCGGCGGCGGCTCCATCATGCACCAGCTGACGGCGTACGGCGGCCGCGCCAAAGCCCCCTTCGCGCAGGCCGTCCCGCAGTCGCCGGCCTGGCTCCCCTTCCCTTCGCTGTACGGCCAGGACCAGATCTTCACGGCCTTCGCGTCGGCCGCTACGGCTGGTAGTCTCGCAGCGCTGCGACAGCTGCCCTCCGCCGCCCTCGTCGCCGTCAACAAGGCCTTCGTCTACGCCGCCGGCTCTACCTCCGGGACCTCTCCCTTCGGCCCGGCCATCGACGGCGACTTCGTGACGCAGGACCCGAAGGCGCTGCTGAACCACGGGCAGTACGACAGCTCGGTCAAGATCATGGTCGGCCACAACGCCAACGAGACGCTGGCCATGGTGCCGGCGGCCGTGGCCTCCGACGCCATCGTCGACGCCTTCGTCGCGGCCGCGCTGCCGTACGCGCCCGCCGCCGTGCAGTCGTACATCACGACGACGCTGTACCCGGCGTCCAACGCGAGCGACCTGTACAGCACGCCCTTCGAGCGCCTCGCCCTGATCCTCGCCGAGGCTAGCATCGTGTGCAACGCCTTCGCGCTCAACACCGCGCGCGGCTCCGACAACGCGTCGTATGCGTACCTCTTTGCTGTTAGCCCGGCCTACCACGGCCAGGACGTGCCGCACACCTTCTACGACCCCGGCTCGGCGCCAAGCAGTGGCGATGGTGGCGTCGCGGCGAGCTATCCGTTCAACACGACTGTCGCGACGGTGCTGCAGGATTACATCACCGGGTTCGCCATGAACGGCGTGCCCGCGAGCGCGCTGGATGGTTTGGCCGAGGGAGTGCCCGAGTATGGCGCGGATGCGAGCTTGGTGAGGTTGGGGTCGGGCACCGGGATTGGCGTGCAAAGGGATGAGACGGCGAATGAGAGGTGTAAGTGGTGGAGCTTGAATTATCTTTCGTAGATTTTTTTCTCTTCTTCTTTTTGGCCGCCGGTTGTGATCGGGTTTGAAGGCCTAGTTTCCTTGGGGGGTTTGTGTGTCTCTGTAAGATAGAATTTGTAATAAGAAAATAGAGAGCATATCCAAGGGCTAAATGCTACTATTGGACCGGGCAGTTCCGTATTGGCATGCCTGCTTCATCTGTTCATGTAGTGAAAGCGTGGTACATTTTGGAGAAATGGAAAAGGTTCGCACTGTGCTACGTTGACCTGGAATAAGACGCGGATAATCCTTTGATATGCCGAGTTTATTTGAAGCATACCACGATTTTGATCTAAGCTTTGTCAGCATATTAAGAGACCTTTTGAGAACACGTCAGTGCGCAACTAAGTCACAAAGCCGGAGCGGCAGTGTCGTCCGTAGGAGTGATTGGTTCCAGCAAACGATCAAAGCCGACTTCGAGCACATCCTGACCCTAAATATCTGATTTGAGACTTCAAGGGCCTTGGTGAAGTCATGGTCGGCGTTTTCCTATTGACGAAGCCGAAAGACGCCGTAGTGGGTTACAACATCAAGGGTTCCATTTCGCGCTCGACTTGTGCGGGTAGTGAAAGCCAGCGTCCGAAACTTCTTGGATGACATTGAAATATATTTGCGGTAAGAAGTCTGGCTTCAAGTGCCCGCAGAACGAGTTCGTCTAGTTGTAATGGACCGTGGGGAATGGAACCTTGGCGGATGTCCTCAGCAGATCTTAATCGTCCGTTACAAAGCAACGCAGCGGGTGCAATCTTGCTTATGGACTGAGCATTTCTGGGCCTAGTTCCGGAGATTGAAGTGATTGCGTGAAAAAAAAGTTGGCGGAAAAGGTACAAGTATTTAGTCCCATGAAGTTACGTCCAGGCCGGAGGAAGGAGCGGGGAAGAAGACGTTCCGTTTCGATATTCGCCAAGGAGGAAGGAATACCAAAGCACAGGATGAGCAGAAGACCACAAGAAGAAGCGGTGTGCCCAAAGAGGAGAGAGGGTATCCAGGAAATCGAGTAGTAGCGGAAGGCGCTGTAAGGGAGAAGTTGAACGGGCCCTGGATCTCGACCGCACGAGATATCGGAGAGCCCCGACGAAGTTCAAATGGAGCGGAGACTAGCGAGATAAATTCCCGCCCCCTCAATGCGCGTGCAGAGCAGATCCCGAGGAATGAGGATCCTGGCGGTGAAAGTGCGTTTCCCCCAGACACTAAGGTGCACTTACATCATGAACCCCGCAAAAGGCAAAACGACTAGTAGCCAGCAGAGGCCCACGTGTCTCTATTGATAGTCAGGCACCGGGCTAGAAGGTTTCCCCTGATTTTTGGGGTAGGGCACATGAGAAGGGGCGGGACGGGTATCGACGGCCTAACGCAGGAGTAGCTCTCTGATAGTCAACGTCAGCTGAGATGCGCAGCGTTCCTGAGACGCATAGACCCAGGCGGGGATGTGCGGGAGGCGGGGACGATAATCGTAATGAAAATGGTGGTGGTTGGCCAGTGAGAGCAGTCGCCGAGCGAAGGCGCTGGTCCCCGGCAGGTCGGCGATCTGGGCTCGAGGAATGTGGACGTCTCATGCAGGGATAAACGATCCCGGACTGGAAGACCTAAGGAGAGAAGAGCGAATATCAGGCCAGCTGACGCGCCGTAGGAGGTTGGAGAATGAGCTGGCGTGGTCAGAGGTGACGCAAGGAAGGCTGCGCGCGGGCCCAGTTGAGACATGTTAGGAGATAGCTGAGGATATCACATGGAGGGCCAACGCGTGGAGATGACGACTCGGAATTGGAGCCGCCAGTATCAGAATGAGGCGTTCGTGGAGAGAGCTTTACGTCTGGGACCTGCTGGCGATGATGCGATTGACCGGTCGGGGAGGAGTACGTAGGCTTGGTGTTTCGAAGTGACTCTCGAATGGGCAAGCTGGGCGTCCCGCATGGGGCCCAAGTCGGCAGACTGAAGCCTGAGGTGCAGTTGGTGCTCTTATCGTGCATGTCGGCGACGAAGGAGACGGCGAATGGTCGACGCAGGGGCCATGTTGCGGTGCGAGCAAGGCTAGCTCTGGTGCAGCACGCAACTACTCGGGGGAATCACAACTTTATCCCTCACGCGCGTCGCGCCTGCAGCTGCTCCTCTGCACTGTCTCGCCCAAGATAACACCCCCTGGCACGCGCACAGAAGCAGCCATGGCCGTCGCCGACCTTCTCCTTCATAAGACGCCGAGGCGCGCGCCCGGCAGAGCGTATTTCGCCATCGCTCGCCGGTATAGCATCATGTATTACTCAACCTCTTCCAGCCAAAGAAATTGCGGCGCTGTCGTTGTCGGCGGCGGGCCCGCAGGCATCACGGTGCTCGGCAACCTGTTGGAGCAGCAGGACAAGCTTCCCGCCCAGCGCCTGTTCTGGGTCGATCCGCACTTCCGTGCCGGCCGCGTGAATGCGCGCTACAGAGAAGTGCCTAGGTCAGTTTCCGTTCCCGTCCTCAACCACAACTCGCTGACACCTCCAGCAACACCGCCGTCAAGCTGTTCCTGTCATGGGCCGAAGCCACCGCGCCGCTGCGCCAGATCGTCGAGAAGACCCCCCAGCCCAATGCCGCCTCTGCTCTCCGCGAGCTGCCCCAGGACACGGGCTGTGAACTCAGCAAGGCCGCCGACCTGTGCCTGATGCTCACCGACGGCTTGACCCGCCATGAACAAGTGCAGCCGCAGATGGGCAAGGTCACAGCCGCCGTCTTCAACAAGGTGCGCGCCCCCAATTAGTTCCCACCATGCACCCAAGGTGGCTGACAGCAACCACAACAGCAAACGAAGCACTGGACCGTGTCCCTCGACGATGGCGCCCCGGTCGTCACCCCGAACGTGGTGCTCTGCACCGGCTCCAGCCCCATCACGCAGCCGCTGCCCATCTTCGACCAGCTGCCGGACCTGAGCCTGCGCTCGCTGCACCTCGACACGGCCCTGACGCCGACCATCCTCGCCAAGACGTTCGACCCGGAGGAGCCCGCCACCGTCGCCGTTATCGGCGCCTCGCACTCGGCCATCCTGGTGCTGCGCAACCTCTACAACCTCGCCAGCACCTCCCACCCCAACCTGCGCATCAAGTGGTTTACCCGCAACCCGCTGCGGTACGCCGAGTACATGGACGGCTGGATCCTGCGCGACAACACGGGCCTGAAGGGCGAGGCCGCGCAGTGGGCGCGCGAGAACCTGGAGGAGGAAAAGTTCGCCGCCAGCCCGGTCAGCCAGTACATCAAGAAGGTGTGGACGGCCCGCGGCGAGGAGGATGACATATACAAGCGCGAGCTGCCCGCCTGCTCGCACGTCGTCCAGGCCATCGGCTACAAGCGCGACCCGCTCCCGCGCCTCGCCATCACCGACGGCGCTGGTGCCCCCGCCGAGCCGCTCGACGTCATCTACGACAACCTGACCGGCCGCTTCGTCAGGAGCGTCCCCGCCGGCAGCGCGGCGACTAGCATGGCTTCCACGGCTTCTTCGTCGGATCCCGCAAACGCCGATGAGAAGGAGTACGTGCCTGGGCTCTTCGGCGCGGGCATCGCTTTCCCGGAGCGCGTTACGGATCCGTATGGGAATGTCGAGTACGCGGTCGGCTTCTTCAAGTTCATGAAGTTCGCCAAGAGGGTTGTTCCGGAGTGGGTGATGAGGACTTGAGGAGGAAGAGGGGAATTTTGGGATAAATCTCAAGAGTTGGGCACTTCCGGACGGCCGAAGGTTTGCGCAACCGAATTTCGTTCCGCGACGGAACGATTCTTTGGGCAAACGAAAAGATCCGTGGCGCTGTACTTGTCACTAGTCAAGCCGCGGATCGCCTTCAGCTGCCGCGACGGTGCTAGGGCTTCGACACCACAGGGCTAGGCACGCGCGCGAATGCTCTCTGGAATTTGTTGGGAAGACCTACCCGCCCTCGCTTCGTTGGAAAGAAAGGACTAACTGTACATGGAAGTCGCTGGAGATTCTGGCTATCCTGTTGGCAATCTCTCGCGCACTTTACATGGTAAGGATATGGGAAGTAGTATAGTTTAGCAAGTCGACACAATGTTCGACATAACCAAGCAAGAAGACATTGTCAGCCTTCTCTGACACCAACCGCAAATTCAAAAGAATTATACCTTAACCGCCCTGGCTCAGTCACATGAACCAAAGTATTTTGCTGGTCTCTGCGGGGCACATCCTTGCTACTAAATCTGCCGTAGCTAACTTACTCAAAGCAAAAAAGCGGGATGCCTCGTAGCCAATGCCGGGCTCCATCTTGGTCTTGGGCACATGAAGTTGAATGGCCGTGGCTGTCACATGTGGACGCAGTGGGATTCCGCGAAGATTCACTACCATATCTTATCAGTATCGAAAAGTCAAGATGGTATAGCTAATAATAGCTCTTTCCAACCTATCACCATTTTCATGTACACTCTATACTCTATGGACATCTTTTTAACTTTTTCACAAAACCAACTTCAAACGTCTAGCAGCAAGATCGGGCAGATCCCACATAATCGCCGCCCCCTTGCTCTTCTTCCCTCCTCCCCCTCCTCCCCCCACGCACCGTTTCCATCTCTCCCCCCTCTCGTCATTTCTCTCTCTCTCTCAAGACTTCGCGAACTTGACCTTGATCTCCTCTTCGGTAAACGCCCTCGTCTTGCTCCTCAGCATCCGCGCCTTCTCCTCGAGCGTCATGTTGATCTGATCGCCCATGGGGACCAGACACTTGGCGAGGTGGTCGTAGTCCTTCATGGCCAGGCGGATGGTGATCATGATGTAGTCGATGTTCTTGAAGGTGAGGGCGTGCTCGCGGGCGTACTGGTCCTTCTGCTTCAGGAAGGCGACGGGGTGCTGGCGCCAGTGGCGCATGGGGTTGAGGTGGTGCGAGGTGTGGTAGCCGTCGTTGAAGCAGAAGCGGTTGCTCTGTTGTCGTCGTTCTCTCGCATCAGTCACACACATCCATCACCACAAGGAGAGAGAGGCGCGTGGGGAAAGGAAAAAGAAAGAAAAACTCACAGCGACATCGATCAGCGTGATGCTGGACCTAAAGTCAGAATTCGGATCCTCGTCGTCGACGAACGCGTGCTGGCCCCAGTTGCCGACCATCAGGCCGAATCGCAGCACCATGAAGGGCAGCAGGAACACGCAGAAGGTGGCGCGGCCGTCGATCAGGGACGACAGGTACCACATGCCGAAGGTGGCGAACTCGGAGGCGCCGGCGCGCAGGCCCGTCCGGTAGTGGCCCTTGCGGATGAAGTAGCGCGGCAGGTCGAACCAGATGAGGAAGACGAAGCGGCCGATGTAGCGCAGCAGGTCGCGCACGTCGTCGCGCTGGTAGCGGATCGTGGAGGACAGGTCGTCCGGGCCGTTGCCCTCGATGTGGTGGTGGCGGACTGGATAACCAGGGTGGTTAGCGGGGAGGGGTTCTCGGGGAAGAGGGTCTTTTCCTGGCCTTACCGTGGTGGTAGAAGTAGGTGTTCCAGGTGTGGCCGAAGAGCGGGTCGGTGATGAAGGGGAAGACGGAGTCGATGATGCGCCAGGGGTTGCGCTTGGCGAGTACGCCGCGCATGTGGATGTGTTGGTGCATCATCAGCATGTATCTGGCAGGCTTTAGTATGGGTGGCACGCGGAGAGAGTGGTGTGGACGCTTACGTTCCAACGAAGTAAGTCTGCATGACCCAATGGAGGATTCCATGGATCCAGGAGAAGTTGTAGAAAAGGTACAGTGCGCTGGGCAGAGAGGTGGTGGCATAGAGGATGAGGTGGTTGAACATGACGACATCAGTCTCGACGCGTACAACAGTGCGAGCCCAGCGGACGTAGGGTTGGAAGACATGTTGGTCCAAGAAGCGGGGCAGCTTGATGTTGGCATTGTCCCAGAAGATGAATACAGTAGGGTCAAAGTCGGCGTGCTTGGGGTTGTTCAAGGCCTCGAGGGCGTCAATAGTGGACTGGTTCTCGTGATCGCCCTCATTGGCTGAGTCCTTTCTCCGGTGCAGATCGCCGTTTTGTGGAGGAAGATCAGTAGTAGCCTCCTTGGCGTCGGATGACGACTTTTTCGCTTGAGCCTCGCGCTCCAAGCATTCCAGAACCAAGTGGTCGGCGCGCGTCAAATACGGGTCGACAAAGGTTTCAGGGTCCATTTTGGCTACTGCAGAAGCGGATAGGTCGAGCAGAGATGGCGCAGTGACGTCAGAAACAAGCTTCGAGAGCTGGCCGAGCTTGAACGGGCCAATGTGGAGAAGGTCGTTCCAGTGTGTCTTAAGGCCAGGAAGCCACGATAACTAGGAACAGGAGCTACTGTGGTCGTACGACGCTGGAAGAAACTGTGACTGGGACAACAGACGCGGACAGGAGTATAATACAAGTATATACAAGCACTGCACAAAGGCCTGGGGGTTGCCGCGCGGGAATCGGGCACAGGCTTCCAGATGTCACCAGGACGAAGGGGATGAAGTAGCAAGGAGTAGTTGAGCCGCCAGCCAGCTCTCTTCTGATTCTGCGTGGGCTAATGTCCCCATGCAGCTAGCGCCCGCAGATCTACGCCTTGGCAGGCCTAGGCCTTGGACCCTGGCGTTGGTTTTTGCTTCGGCTCTCGGCAGAACGCATGGCTGCGTGCGCTGTGTGCCATGGTGGTTTATTATCGGGTGCAGTTCTCAAAAGAAAACTTGCGTTGCATCTTTAGCTTCACATGACCATCGTTTGGTGGCAAAATACCCAGTGGACAGATATCCTCTCCGCGTAGGATGGTAGTGGAGCGGCTCACCGCCTTATCTTGCAGTAATCCCGAGCCGTGGCCGTTTGCAACGTAGGTATTGTGGCTTGCGCGCACAAATGAAACATCTCCAAGTGCGGATAGAACGCCGCAATGCCACGGAAGCTACTCGGGAAACTACACTCCATTCACCAAGACTCGAACAAGATAGCGTATAGCGGGTTGTTGCAGGAGAACCAGTTGTGGCGCAGTAGCCTGCGCACCGCCACCGCCACCGCCACATCGTTGCCTGCATGACGTCGCCTTCTTGCATAAAAGCTCACCTTTCATCACCATCCACAGCCCAACACCAGTTTATCACACCAAAACATCAGGTCCGCTCACACTCACACACAAACAACCCTTCAACTTGCCAACGTTTCGCGTTTAGTCATCATGCCTATTCCTATCCCTTCCACCGAGAAGCCCGACGCGAACGCAGCCGGGAGCACCACCCAGACCGCGACTTCCACATCCTCGTCTGCCCCGGCACAGCCGCAGCAACAGCCCAAGTCTGAGGCAGAGTTGGCGGCGGAAAAGCTCTACGAGGAGCGCATGGAAGAAGAGTACGCTAAGCGGGAGGGCGGCGCGTAACACGGTCACTAAGAACAGCACGAAATAACTTGTATTCTCGAGGTGCTCAATCAAGAAATCCACAACTTATTCCACATGTGCCCAATCAATAATCCTGTCCTTCGCCGATTCCTCCATGCGCTGGTTAACCCCAAATTCGTCAGCCTGAACGGTGTTGATATCGCGCTTTCCGGTATCGACCCTGTTCTTCGCCGTTTCCTCCATTCGCTGATTAACCGCAAATTCGTCGGCCCGCACGGCGTTGATACCGCGCTTTCCAGTGTCGGCCTTGTCCTTGCCGGCGTCCGCACTCTTGCCGGCGTCTGCACTCTTGCTGGCGTCCGCACTCTTCTTGCTATCGTCCACCTTCTTGCCGGCGTCCTCATTTTTCTTGTCGGAAGCAGAGGTGCGGTTTATGTCTTGTTTGCGCGGGTTGTCCTGCTCGGACGGGTAGTTGTACGGCTTCGGCCACACGAGCGGATCTTTCATCGCCATGTCCCGCATCATATCGTGATTGGACTCGTATTCGGAGATCCCAGTATTAGGATGTTTCCAACCCGTGGGACGAGCGACAGCAGTGGTGGCCAGGATGCTGGCGCCGATGATGAGCGTGGTGGCGGGCTTCATGTTTGTGATCGTGTGTTGAGCTTGTGTTTGGGATTGCTATGTGGTTTTTCTGTGCTTGGAAGGAGAAGGCTCTATCACACCAACATAAGCCCTTTATATGCGCTAGAAGAAATAGCTGGTCAAATGGCACGATTGCCCCAAATATACGCAAGGGTACCAAAGATGCATAACGGTTGTTGAGAAGTGTGGTAGGCGAGGGCAGTCATCATGTGACCAAGAATCGCTGGACCACAGGTCAGGGCTAACTGGATACGCGCTTGAATGTAGCTATGGGGAGAGGCAGCGTGACCATAGATGATTTTCGAGAGTGACGATGAGAAGGTGTGTGTCGTCGGGTAATAAGTGTGTGCCTATAGTGCCCGGCGCCGTTGCGGCAACGCGGGGCAGACCAACTTAGCTCGAGCCACTTCTCAAGCCATCGTCGCATCATCAAACCTCAATTGCCTGCGGCTGTTCAATGTCCTTTCCGAATCAAAGGAGGAAATGCAGCGCCAATATCATTGTTGTCCGGGCCAGTCTCAAATCAACATGGGACCAGCGACGATGACGTTCTTTGCGGAGCAGCTTGCTTCTTAGAGCTCCACCATCCGCTCATGAGAGAGCTCCCCAGAACCCTTGCCCATAAGCAACCCCACCTCCCGCAACCAAAGTGCTTTCCCACGATCCACAGCACCGCCCTATCTCTTGCAACCATGGCTCCTGCGACCGAAAACGCCATCCTCCCACTCAAACCCGACATCGACATCAACACCGGCGATGCCGCCAAAACCTGGCGCAGCACCCTCGACACGATCCTCGCGCAGCCCGGCCTGCAGCGCATAGCCTGGGGCCAGTGGCGCGAGAATCCGCACAACCTGCAAATGCTGATCGGTAGGTCTCCCCATCCCCAACCCAAGGCTATACCTAACCTGACCTTTCCCACTACTAACGCACCCTCCTCCCCGTAGACTGGGATGCCGTCTCCTCGCACCAAGCCTTCATACAGAGCCCTTCCTACGAACCCTTCCTCACCAACATCAGCACCCTCCTCGCCTCGCCCCCGCAGCTCACGCACCAATCCTTCCCAACAACGACGACGTCATCCACCCTCGAAGCCGTCACGACCGCCGCCCCCGTGACGGAGCTGGTCTCGTTCTACGTGCCGGCGACCTACAACACAGCCAACTTCGTCGGGCCGTGGGACGAGTTCGCGCGGGTAGCGGCGGAAAACGCGCAGGGCATAGTCGGCAGCGCCGGAGCGTGGGCGGAGGAGGACGACGTCGAGCATGCGAGCTTGAAGGACGTGTCGCCGGGGGGAAAGGGGAGGGTGTTCCTCGCGCTGATCGGGTGGGAGAGCGTCGACGCGCACATGGCGTACCGCGAGACGCAGGCGTTCAAGGACAGCATCGTGAAGCTGCGGGCGCTGGTGAGCGGGATCGAGATGCACCATGTCGAGTTCAAGAAGGCTTGAATGGTTGGGATCAATCATGACACGGGTAAGATGAAGCTTGTAGGCAGGATGGAAGGGTGGCTTGGGTCACACTCTTCTTTTTATGAACAGGACTTTCTTAAATAATTGATGGACGGTGTCTGCCTATTGCCTTTGTACTTCTCACGCGCACTCACCATTAGGGCATCCAGAGCCAGCAATCCACCAACTTCCACCCCGCATGAGACCATCTAATGCCAAAGATTCAACCCCATCTTCCGTGAAGAAAGCAGCAAATTATTCCAACGCCATGCTTACCCCCGCATTACCTTTGCCTGCAACAAAAACAAATCAAACCCGTCTATAACGTGACGAAGCACCAAGTTCATGTGCTAGAAAACAAAATGCGTCAAGCAGAGAGCCAGAGTCGAGAACCCCAGCACAACCAGCATTGGCCGTCAATTCAAAGCCTTCGCGGCCACTCCGGCACGCTCTTCGACCCAGTCGCGCCACTCCTTCCACTCGGCGTAGGCCAGGGTCGCCTTGCTGCCCTCATAGGTGATGACGTTGAGGTCAACCTTGCGCCAGTCGTCCCTGCGGCCGCTCCAGCCGGCCTTGCGCATCAAGCTGACAATCGTCTCTTCCTTGGTCCAGCCCTGCTCCTTGGCCACGTCCGGCAGGTACGTGGCGCCGTAGCGGCGGCCGTGATAGGTGAAGGAGATGCGCAGGCCATGCTTGCCCAGCTCCCACGCCATGGCGTCGGCAGCTGGCTGGAAGTTGGTGAGGAGCGTCACGCCGCACTCGAGACTCGGAAGCTCGCGCGTGGCGATCGGGTTGAAGCGCGTGTCGTCGAAGGCTCTGCGGGGTTTGCGTGGAGACTTACATTTAGCGCGTGGGGGAACAGACTTGGAAAAGCCGCACTTGATCACTGATGGGAGAGGATATTAGGAAATGGGTGACACTCACGAGGTAAGCGCGTAGCTTCGCAGTCCGTCCGACAGCTCTTGGTCTTCAAAGGTGCCGATGCAGCCGCGCAGATTCTTGCTCCCACTCCTGCTCAGTGTGTTCCATGTCACGAATAGCGGATAAGCGTCGTCTGAGGCGGCGGCGGGAGCAGAGCTCGAGGACTGGGCACCACGCACACGGCGGCCGAGACTGGAGAAGAATGACGTACGCGACGACGACTTGGAGGTGGCAGACGAGGCAGTGGTGGGGGCAGAGCTGCGCGACGATGCGGCCGACTGCACCGAGGAGGTACTCGCGTTGGTGGAGGGACTGTCAGCAGCCAGGCGGCTGATGGCGGGGGACGGCTTTAGGGCGGTCGTGGTAGCCTGCATATCCTCGGCGTCCGTCATCTCTTCGTCCTCTTCCTCGTCGGCGCTCTCATCATCGTCGTCCACCTCGTCCACGTCATCGGCGTTGTACTTGTTCCACAGCTCTTCGACCTCTTCCAAGCTCAGCGGATGGCGCTTTTCCAAGCTGGCGCTCAGGCTCTCGAAGCAATAGGCGCAATGGGCGGCAGTAGCCATGATGCAACAATGGGAAATGTAAGGGCGACACGGCGAGCAGAAATCAGCAGGCGGGAGGAGAGGGAAGCGAAGAGTTGGAGTGAGCTTAGTAGGAGCAGACGAGGTCGATGATTAATGATGCCCGGCAGGCCACCCAGCTTCTGGCACTCTAGCCCGATGTGTCGATGTCGGCTGCTCAAGCTTCGCTGGCACGCTTGGGGGCAGGTGGAGCAAAGAGTGGCTGAGGCGTGCGCAGGAGGCGGCAAAGCAAGAGCGACAGCAGGCAGGGCAGAGCCAGGCGCTCAGGCGGGCTGCGGGCGTTGTTTGGATTGCTGGGGAGCGATGGCCGCCGACGATGACGGTGGGACGCCCCACGCTCACGCGCGCTGCGCGGGGGCCAAGCACGGCTCTTCGCCCTCTCCGAAACCGACCTAAGCGCCCCAGCTCTTCAGGCACCGCACGTGATACTGATAGGACCCGATCTTAGCCAAAGCTACATACCTGGTGTGGATTTGTTTTCCGCTCATCTCATGGGTGGATGTGAGTGTGGGGTTAACAGGTACATATTCTCGCCCGGACAATATCTTTTACTACTTGCACATGTTGCTCCTCATAAAGCTAAAGTAGGAAGATTCTAGGGCCCTCTGATTTGATAGGGCCCAGGAGATAAAGAACGAGACTCGAAGCACAGAGGGGTATTGCAGCCAAAGGCTAGCGAAAAATAGCAACACTCTATGCCTGGCCTCCGTTTTATTTTATTTTATTTTATTTTAAAAAAGAACAGCATTCGTGGGTAGAAGAGCCTATCGCGTGAATGTTTCATTGTTAATCCCAATTTACACTCGGATGATAGCTTCAATTGCCCATTACTTGAAGCCTTATGAAAGTTAATTGATGGCCGGCTGCAGCTGCACCAGTCGTGCTTGCCATATTCAAGCGACATGTTGCGTCATCGCTCTTGATATCACAAGCACATCACCCGCCAGGACCGCATCACCCATCTCTTAACCCTTCATATATATACATTAAAGCCTCTTTTTTTCGAACCAAATTGTACCGAAATGTCTGTACTGGCTACCGGAGGAGTAGAGATCTACATGATGCGCGAGATGGATCGGCATTATCACCCTGAGCGCCATAAAACCCTCTGCGCCTGCCGCCGCGCAGAACAACGCCGCCAGGAAAGGGAAAAACTCCGCCAGGAATGGGCAGAATTCCGCCAGGAATGCCCAAAGGAGCCCAAGTCACCAAAAACTTCGAGAACGCCAAAGACCCCCAGAACCCCCAGAACACCAAGAACGCCAAAGACCCCAAAAACGCCCAGGACCCCAAAAACACCAGAGACCCCAAGAACACCAGGGACCCCCAGAACCCTAAAGAGTCTTCGTACTTGGTGGCCTTGGCCCCGCCCTGCTCCGACAGTACACTCAAAGGTCCCCAACCCGCGTCGTCTTCGACACCGCAAGGGCAGAAACAGCGCCGGCTTCTAGCCCAGAAGATGTCACTTGGCTACCAAGCATCGCCGTCTCAGGTACCGGTACCGGTACATTCCCCACCACATACGCCTCTTTGTATGTAGGATATTGACAATCTCCCACAGATTCCCCCTCCTACGATGCGCAGGTTACCTTGTACAAAACGTCCGCCATAGCGCCTACGCTCATTGTCTCCGCTCTCACCGCAGCCATCCTCCTCCGCACCGGCAGCAAGGTGATACTTGTCTCTAGTGAGAGCAGCAGCATCACCGTACGGCACAAAATTGAGGGTGGTGGCAAATATGGCCACCGTGCCAGCACAACCGCGCTGAACATGGTCGGCAAGCTTCTGCGTTTTTTGACCTGAAAGATAAGGGCGTTGCCGTCGGCCTCGTGCATCCTAGCATAATGAGGACCGAAATGACGAAGAGCGTGGAGTTTGGCCATTTTTGGGACTCTGGTATTGGTAAGTCATTCTCTCGTCCTCATTGACGCGTCGTCGTGCTGATATGGATTCCTGCAGCGGTTACACCGGAAGAGGCGGCCCATTCATTAGCAGATTGGATCGGTACTTTGACATATCTAAGATGGGAGAGTACTAGGCACCGAGGGGCCCTGGGTAAGTTTCGCCCTGTACATGTCACTGTTCGACTCCTTTTGCTGATCGGCGAATAGCAACATCGGGACTGCAAAGCCAGTGCTGGGTTCGAAGGACAAACTTCTCAACCCCTCTAATCCACCCACCCATTGATATTCTTCGGCTCCCCACAAATTGCACACTTCCCGGAAGGAGTCATTTGGTATTGGTAATGCAGTAGTAATCAGGTATCAAATTGATTATTTTCCAAAGGAGCGAGCTGAGAGTACCAATGGTTCAGCCGTTTCAGCCCTGTCTAGAAGGGCGTATCCGAGAGAATGTACTAACTACAAGAAATTATTATTAAAATCTTCGCTCAGTGAAGGGGACAAGCTCCGACGTCTTCAGGGCAGAGACCGTTCCCGAACGCCACAGAAATGCAAGATTAGACGCTTTTCGCGCAGCACGATCAGCTTCAAGAACAACACACAACGCTCACGAAGCACCGAAAGGCTGTTGTTGGGTATCTGAAGAATCGCCATCTATTATTACGCCATCTTGATCCAGGAATCCTTGGCCCAAATGGTGTCGCGACGGGGAACCAAAGTGGCCCGCGCCATCCGCAAGCGGCTGGTATGGCGAAAGGTATTGCTGGTGCGTCACAGGATGCTGATCATGATGGTGATGATGATGACGATATTGCTGCAGGCTTGCGGGGTCTATCGACGTGGCCAGGCCGTCCGGGTCGTGGTGGTGATGGTGGTGGTACGGGTCACTGAAACTTTCACCGAAAGACGATTGATGCAACGGAGGAGGAGACTGGAATGGCTGATGGGGGCCGGATGAAGAAGGGTCGCCGCCGCCGCCGCTGCCGCCGACGACACCGTCTACGGAACTCCCCAGATTTTGCACGGCAGAGCTTAGCATGGCGATGTTGTGTGGATCAAGCGCCATGTCGTCGTCACCGTAGTGCATTTCAGATACGGACGGAGAAGCGCGCGGAGTGGCTGCGGCGCTCCCGGCGGCCGAGGACCCGTCTACTACAGCAAATTCATGTTGGAATACGAACTCCAGTGGCGGCGCAGGCGTTGGTGCACTTGAAGCGGAAGCCAGCAGATTCTCTGAAGACGACGACTGGGACAGCGACGCATTCGCGATGCCGGCGCCGGCGGACATTTCACCGCCGCTGATCTTGCGCGCGCCGCCTCCGTTTCCGCCGCCGCCGCCGCCATGATTATTGTTGTTGCTGGCTGCGGCCGCGGCCGCGGCTTTCAGCGACTTCTTCTTCAGCTTCTCATTGCACTCGGTGCAGTTCTCAATCACTTCGGTGACGGTTGTCTTGATCCGGTTCCAATGGTATTTCTCCGACACGGTGGCGGTGGTCTTGTTGATGCCCGCGTGCGTGTCCTTATTCTGGCGGTGGTACCGCCGCGCGATTTCGTACTGCATGCGCGGCTCGGAGATGACCTCCTTGTCTCCCAGCATCAGCTTGTCCCCTCCACCACCAGAGATACCATCTCCTCCGCCGTGGCCGCCGCCACCGCCACTTCCATCACCACCATCAACACCGGTAGCACCATTCTTGCCGCCGCCACTCTCGACGAGAGTGTAGTTCCTCACTGCGGCGCGGAGTCTGTTCTTTTCCGCGGAATCAGCGTCGCCTGGATACTTGCCGGTCTTGAGGTAATACTTGATCCTCTCGAAGCGCCGCTCGTCGTCGGCGTCCTCCTTCTTGTAGCCGAGGTGGCGGCCGTAGATGATGGCGTCGACGAAGTGGCCCTCGGGCTGGGTGGCGAGGTTGCCGCAGCCGGGGACCCGCCCGATGCGCTTGAAGCCCAGCGCGTCCCAGATGCGGCACGAGGCGACGTTGGTCTCGTAGACGAGGTTGAAAACGGAGTAGGTGTAGCCCTGTTGGTTTTCGCCGCGCGCCCCCACGGAATGGGGGAGGAGGGGCGCGATGATCAGACCCTTATCTGCGAAAAGAAGAACAGTACGGATGTTGGGGGAAAGGAATCATTTCTGCTTCCAGGAGTACTTTATTGCTTTTCCCTTACCCCTGACCGAGAGACAGTGTGTACGACAGAACCAAGGAAAGACAAAACTTACCAGCAGCGGCGCCCATTCCAAGTAGCACTCACCCATGAGCCTTCCCACACCACGATTCCTGGCGCCGTCGGTGACGAGGAAGCCGCCATTGCACACGTGACTGGAGCGGCCGGGGTAGTTGGGCTTGATGTAGAAGCTGCCCAGGCACTGCTTCTCCCAATTGACGCCGCCCTCCTGCTCCTCCATGCGGCGCACCTCGTCGGCGCCGCCGGCGATGTCGCCCAAGAGCATGACGGCACCGAAGTTCTGGAACCAGTACGGGCCGAAGGTCTCAAAGGTGAAGTTGTCGATCATGGGATAGGTGTCACCCTTTTCGATTTCGCGGTTCAGCTGCTGCCGCAGGTAGTCGAGCAGCGAGAGCGGGACCTGCGACGGCGCCGAGAAGGGGATCAGCGTCGCTTTGGTGGTGCGGTCGCGCAGGACGAGGCTGCGCGGCTGGATGGACGAGGGCAGCGGGTCGCCGGGCTGCGGGTAGGGCGCTGCACCCGATCGCCGGTAGATGGCCGGTGAGGCCGGGTCGTCTATCATTGCGGGCATTTTTGTTTCTTTTTTGGTGTTGCTCTTCCCTTGATGAATTTTTGTTTCTTCACTTTTTCTCTAGTTTAGTCCTCCAGATTGGGAAATGAGAGATGGTGATTTGGACCAATCAGAAGAACGGAGTGAATGGATGGGCTGTGGTTGATGGCAGAAAGACGTCAGTGTCAATGACGATTGTTGGTAGAACCATGTGGGATGATCGGAAAAGGAAAAAACATCAAAATGTCCTCGGCAAGTGCAGATGACTGTGCTGACCGTGAAGCCGGCCGAGGCAGTCTAGTCACTCTCTCCGAATGGATGGGTGTTGTCAGGGTGGCGCATCGAGGGAACACTGACCAGGGTGTAGTTGTGGGAATGCTGCGCCGGAGTATGTGGTCCACTTGGAAAGTGTGGTTGTGGGCGCGCTTCACGTGCGCTTTTATTTGGCGGGGTCCGGCCATTCCTCGGCGACTCGGTGCTAGACTACGCCCTATTCGTGACATCGAAACGACAAGTACGCCCTATATGGTGGGACTAGAGTACGTATTAGGGAGAAGAATCCGAAGTTGGGAGAGTTCGAGGAGCTTCTATCTCTTAGACTGCACTAACTGTGCTTTTAGTTGTGAGAATCATTGCAATGTTAATCGGGACTGAGCATGCGTCGGCTACATTTCCCTTTTGGAAAAGACGAGATGCTGCTTTTTCAGATAGTCCAACACAGGGAATCGGTATGGTAGCATAAGAAGGCTCCTAAAATTCTAACTCCCCTACGTTGGTGGTGGTGGGTGCCCGTGTTGTTAGTAATTGTATAGTTATTAATCGTGCGGTTGGTAACTACACAGTTAGTAATTGCGGACCAGTAGGTTGTGCTAATAATATTGCGAGTGGTAATTCTCTGAGACTTCTCTGTAATCTTTAAAGTTTGCGGGTGAAAAATATGAGTGATATTTCGAGGGGTAGGTCAAAATTGTAGGCACCCAAAAGAAAGGTGCTCCCGTTGAGCTGCTACTTTAAATGTAGATGACACTGCTTCGGAAGACTGTCTACACTAGAACGACTAAATCCAGTCATCATCGATATGCAATTGGCAAATGATCCGTTTCTATTCACAAAATGCATCCGTCTCTATAAACACACCCAGTATGGAACATCTATACACAAATCATTCAACTCCCTTTACCAAGTAAACACCTCATCAAAATAATCCACCCAACAATCAAACTCCTCCGCCACCCCTTTCACCGCCGCTTCCACACCCTTCGCCATAGCCGGCGGTCCGCACAGCAGCACGGCCACCTTTCCTCTACCCTTGCCACTTGCCCTCAGCTTCGCCTCACACACGCTCTGCGCTGCCTCAGCGATGATGGTCCTGACGTCCGGCCGCCCAGGATGTATTTCCAGCTCCTCATCCCGCGCGCCACCTTCTCTCCGCGCAACCGCGTCCGGCACCGACGCCGTGCAGTAAAGCTTCGCTACGAAGTCCTCGCGGGTCAAGCCCTTGCGGAGTTCGCGCGCCGCGACATCTCGGATGAAAGTCTCCTCGCGGGCGGCCCAGACGAGCTGGACGATGGGCTTTCCCGTCCGACCTCCTCTTCCTCCTCCTCTCACTCCTTCTCCACGCTCTTCTACATCCGCTGTCTCATCCTCCACCTCGTCTCCTGCACCACCTGCTTGCGAGGATAGGTAAAGATGACGCGAGTATTCTCGCAAGTACGGTACCGCGGCGCTGATGCCCGAGCCGCCGGCAATGAGGATGGTCGCATCGTACGCCCCGGGCAAAGTATGCGTCGCGCCATATGGTCCCTCGAGGAGGATAAGTGGGTGACATACTGCTGTCCTGCTACTGTGGCGCGCGTCTGAGGAGTCTGAAGACGGCCGTCGAACTTTGCGGTCGTGTGCAATACACTGGTCGCGCAGCCGGCGCGTCCAGCCGTCGTAGGGCCGGATCCAGAACGTCAAGGTTGTGGGACCTTTATTGGATGCGCTTGCTGATGGGAATGGTCGGGCATGGAGGCGAGTGGGCGAGGTAGAAGGGGAGGAGTTGCTGGAGGAAAGAAGAGGTTGAGTGCTGGTGCAGGGGTGGAGTGGCCCTGCATCTTCTTCTTCATCGTGAATTGATGACGAAGACGTTGTGGTGGGGGTAAGAGGGTAGCCTTCTCCGCTGGTGTTTGAAGAATCTGCCCCGTGCCGTCGCCATGTCCCAAGTGTCATAGGGTGGTTCTCATAGCCGCGGAGGGAAAATGGTTGGTAGAGAAAGTAATATTGGCCTGGCCGAGGAGGCGCAATGTTGGGTCCTGGGATGATTTCAAGTGTGATGATGTTGGATGAATGGTCGTATGTGGCCGACGTAGTAGTACAGCAGATCCGGCGGCGGTTAAAACCGATGTTAAGGAAAATGATGCGAAACAGGCGGAGCGAGCGGTCCAACATCCAAAGTACGGCTGGAATCCAAAGGTACCAGTCGTATTCATGATTGAAGACGCTAGTGTGGCTGAAAGGGCAGGAGAAATTAGGAAGTATTCCGGAGCACTGTGTTTGTGTTGGTGGTGACTTACACGAAGAGACCAACTATTACCACGAGAGACGACACAACATGGCTGTCTATGAAAAGCTCGTAGTATCGTTCTCTAAGCCACACCGGAGTGGAAATTATGAGGAGCAGCGTCATTACAAAAGTTGCCTGGAAATAAGAATCAACTCTAATTCGTATCAGTATCACTATAACGGGAGTGTACTTACAATGACGCCAACAAAGAACCAATCAGCCTTCATCCAATCCCAAAATATGCCACCTATCATGCGAGTCAGCAACCATGTTTCTTTTAGTTCGAGTTTGGATCATGTACTGTTGACAGTGAGAGCTGTGTATAGAAACGAGTGAGCGATAGCTTCCAGGGTGGCTATCCAAGCAACATGCAAGTGAAAGCGGATGAAGGTAGGAAATTTCCAGCCAGTTGCCCACATGAAGATGTTGTTTCTGCCGGAAAATAGCCACAATATTGGCAGGTTCGCGTATGAGAGGATACCAGTACGGTCAGCAGAATATCTTCCTACCTGGCCTGGCATCTCGGGGAAACTACACCATGGTTAGCATTACTGAACGTCGTGGGGCTAGTGATAGACCCACTATATACTCTCGTTATAGAATCGATAGTTGGTAAAGTTGAGAGTGATGCTGAAGATCCAGTATGCCCAAATTACTATTGTCTCTCCCACAGGGAAAAACTTGAAATGAAAGCATGACCTTGAGTCCTTCTCTGTTGCGATAACGCCAGGAAGACGTTCATATGTTAGACTCTCGGGCGTCCAGCGCTCCACACGTTCTAGAATGGGTTGGAAAATAGAAAACGCAAATGCTTTGCGAGCGCCACGGGAAAGTCGAAATACGCGGTCTCTGAGGAAGTGACGGTAGACTTGGCCTGCTATGGCAACAAGACATACAACGCCCCAGAACTCATACATCATAGTTCTTCCACATCAGTCAGTAAGCTTCTCCAGATATCGGGGAAGGGAAGGAAAGAAAATCAACATACCCGCCTCTTTTATGTGCCCACATGGTATACCGCCACGAAAACTGCACTTCAGTCAGCACCATCGAATTTCCCACGGCCTTCCTCAATAGTGAGTGCAGAAGTTGGTTATTGTCACTCACAATCGTCTCAAAGCACCTCTTGTAAAACGCATCCGACATCATCACCACTTCATCCAACACCTCTCCCCTCGGCACCTCCTCATACTCCACCGGCCTCAACCCCTCCCTCAACTCCTTCACAGTCCTCTGTTTCACCAACTCCGGCACAGGCATCAATTCCCCACCACCACCCCACTTCCGGCAGTGCTCCTCCAGCATCTCGACGATAGGCGCGAAGTCCTCCTCCGCGTCCGAAGCCGCGCAGTGCACCTTGGCGGCGGCGTAGATGGACGTCTGTTTAAGCTTATTCCGGCAGAAATCCGCGCCACCCTGCGCTTCGACCGTATCGTCGTCACCATCGTCAGAGGCCTTGGTTTCCGCCGGCGCCGGCGGCGCCGCGCCCTCGGCGAAGCTGAGCGAGTTGTAGCCCATGAAGATGGCCTGCACGCACATTTGGTCGGGCGGCATGAGGTCGTCTGCCAGGACGGCGGGGGCGAGGCACGATAGCAGCAGTAGGACCAGCATCGCCAGCGGTGGCGAACTGCTGCGGAGTCGCCTGCGCGATGCTGACGGAACGCCGCGGGAGAGCTTCATGGCTGCGGGGGGCCGACGGCGACGACGACGACGACGACGTTCCGGCGTGGAACGCGTCCAGTTAATGGTTGGAGTCGGATGGGACTGTTGTTTCACAGAGAAGCTGGTTCAGGTAAGTTGCACAGCCATGAGTCGCGAGCTGACGTGTGGCCCGGAATAGGTATATTGATGTGTTTTGAGATGCGGGTGATTGATAAGATATGCGGCGAGTGGGTGAGAGGGTTTTGAGAGATCCGCAATCGGGGCCCAAGCTCGTATCTCGGCCGTTCTTTTGTCCTGAGGCCGGCCGGCCCAATCAGATGACCATTCGATGAGGCGTGACCAACAAAATGTGAAGGATTGTCCGCATGAACGGATGGAGCTTTGATGTATTCCCGTGATAGACTTCTATCCGGAGGTAAGTCGGCCCTGAGTCGAAAGTGTTGTGTAATTTGCTGATTTCTTCCGGGCTAATCGTTGCGAGATGCCTGCCGCCAACCAGTTACCTGGCGCTTATCAAAATCCACAGGGGTATACCTCTGTACCACCATATGGTCTCGAAGAAACAACTACTTATATGAGCAGAAGAAGCTACTCTGTAAAAAGTAAACATGTACCGTAGTTCATCTATACAAAGACTTACGGTCTATCTGATCTAGGCATCTAGCTATACGGTGCCAGTAACGAGTGATCCAAAGTCGCTGCAAAAGAAGCCGCCCATATCTGCGTTCGTATATCCCTCTCGGACCATTCCATAAACGTTTCCCAATTCTTTCCATCCCCGCAATCTTACTCTTCCCCAACGACCTCCGCACCCACCTCCTCCACAGCCTTCACCAGCCCTTCGACCGTGCCCACCCTGGTCTCTCCATTGACCACGACTCTGAAAAACTTGCCCTTCTCGCCGGGAGCGAAATCCACCATCCAACCCCTCTTGATGAGCCTCCTGGCAATCTCCTCCGTCCTCTTGCTGTTCGTCGCCGGATCAGCGGCAAGCTGGCCGCCAGGGGCATAGTAAAAGCAGACCTGCAAGCAAGGCAGGGGGCTCTTGCTCACGAGGGAGATATTCGACGACTTTGCCAGCAGCGAGTACAGCAGCTCTCCGCGCTCGAAGGCAGTCCGGATGCGGTCCGAGAAGCCCGCCGAGCCGGCGCTCAGCCAGGCCAGGAACAGCTTCAGCGCCTCACCCTTGCGGCCGCACTGGGGCGTGAAGTCGGCGAGGTCGTACAGCACGTTGGTGTCCTCGAGCTCGTCCTCGTTGTGGAAGAGGTAGCCGGCGGGCAGGGTCATGGCCTTGCGGACGTGGCGCAGGTCCTTCGCGAGCAGGAAGCTGCACGTCACGGGCACGCCGAGCATCTTGTGGGGGGTGAAGGCGACGCTGTCGGCGCGCTCGACGCCGCGCAGCCGCTCCCTGCGCACGTCGGCGTTGAAGGCGACCGGCCCGCCCCAGCTGCCGTCGACGTGCAGCCACAGGCCGTGGCGCGCGCACACGTCGGCGATGCCGTCGATCGGGTCGAACGAGCCCATGACCGTCGTGCCCGCCGTCGCGTTGACGTAGAAAGGTGTCTCGCCGCCCGCCTTGGCCGCCGCCACCATCTTCTCCAGCTCCGCCACGTCCATCCGCCCGTCGCCGTCCACCGGCACCGCCCGCACCGCGTCGCTGCCGAACCCGAACATCTGCGCCGCCTTCTCCAGGCTGTAGTGCCCGTGGGCCGACGTGAACAGGACGAAGCGCCGGTCCGAGCCGTGGATGCCGCTGCGCTTGGTCTCCGGGTACAGAGTGTTGCGTGCTACGACCACCGAAGTGGCGTTGGAGGCTGAGCCGCCCGGCTGCGAGATACCGCCGGCGTACGGCCCGTTGAAACCGAAGAGGTGGGCGAGCTGGGTGGTTGTATGCTTCTCGATGAGGGCAAGGGCAGGTGAGACTTGATAAACATGAACCTAAGGGTGTGCGTTTAGCAGAGGAAATTGGTATGCCGATTTATTTGGTGAGCATTACGTTGGTGTTGAGGACTGCGAGAATCAGTTCAGACGCGACACCGACCTGAGGAGTACAAATTCGTATCAGCAAATTGTTTGATTTGGTTACTACTGCAGGCTTCATCTGCAGCATCTACCCTACGTACAGCATTCGTGGAGGCGTAGAGTTTGTCCATAAAACCCTGGTCCCATGTGTTGACCGAGTACTGAAGGATGCGTTGCACAACATCAAGCAAACCCTCCTTCCCAACACCATTTTCCGGTAATTGTAAATTAAGGAGCGACTCAAGCTTCTTCGGCGGGTGCGATTCGACAAGCACGGTGCGCGGCTCGCTGCCGTCAATTGTCAGGCCACGGCCAGTGGGCTTGATGGCAGCATCTTCGTCAGCGGCGCGAATAAATGGGATCAGCAAGTTCTGCACGGCGTCGAGCAGCTGCGTGGAGAAGACTAGTCAGTGCTTGTGCAACAGAAGCAATATCGGAGGAGCGCGGACCTCGGCAACTTCGTCAGCCCTCGAGGGCAAGGCATCGACATTGACAGGGTGCGCTGCACCGTTGGTCGCGCCGTTCGTGCCGTTGATGGTCATGATGCAGACTTGAAACCCAGATGATGCGCAGATTAGATTTAATGAAGTGCAGACGCGCGTAGGTGGGGTGTTTGTCGGCAGGCGCAATAAGCAAAAAAAGTTCGATATGACGGAATCGGAGTGCTACGTGCTGACTTTTCCGCTCGGCAGGGGTCGACTGATGGCGCCATGCAGCTCCACTCCCGCCGACCGAAGGCCAAACTTAACCCGCCGATCTGGGTCCCCGATCTCGCCCCGCCCGTGGCCCAGACGGGCCTCCAGTCTGCAGCCACCCCGACGCTCGACACGAGACATGCCACATCCTCTACTCATCAGCCGCGTGCTGCTCGTACGATCTCTAGGCCTTCCCGTTGGCCCTGTGCGACGCTCGCTCCTTGCCCTTCTTCTTGTCTCCTTCCCGGTCCTTGTTTTTGCCTTGTTTTGCTGCAAGCTTCCGTGCCCGAGCCGCCTCAATCCCCGACTTGGCTCCTTTGCCCTTCTTCTTGTCCACAGTGCTCTCCGGAAACGGAACAAACGCGCCGTCACCGGCGTTGTTGCGCGATTGAGACACCCACTCAGACCGATGTCGCTTGTAAAGATCCATCTTCCAGTTCCTCCACACCTTTCGGCCCACAAACGACTCTCGCAACGCCGCCTCGTTTTCAGCCAGCTCTTCCGCGATGCGCTCTCGGATGAAAGCTAAGCCGTGTGTGCCCTGCCAGATTGCATCAATTACGTGCGAGGCCGAAGGATCCAGCGCCATCTCCCCAATATGGCCGTAGAACTGCTGGATCATCTTACGGCGGAAGATGATCGTGGCGATCGGTGAGGTCAGCGCCCCCTGCAGCGCCCGGCTCGGTGATGCAGATCTTGCCATGTTCAACGCCAGAGGCGTTCCCAATCTGGCCAGAGAGTCGAAAACGAGCGCGCTGAGTGGGCCATCAACGGTGAGCATTGCCTGAGCCAGAAGGGACCCATGCAGGCTATCCGACCCAGACGGGTTGGCGGCGGTCTGCCCGTTGGATGTGGCTTTGCCTCCGTCGCCTGTCACCGCTTCGCCCAGCCGGAGTAATCGTGTAATGTCAAATCCGTTGGGACCGGAGAGGGCTGTCTCAAGTTTCGCCGCAATTGGTGCTGTATCGACCGATCGTGCCGCGCATCGTTCGATGAGGGTCCGGATTACCACGGTTCTGTTCCGCTCCATCATGTTCGGGATTTGGGACAGAATCAGCTCCGTAGCGTCTTGCAAGTCCTCCTTGCTCAAACGGCCCAGGACCTTGGTGACGACGTAGCCAGCAATTTCGTTGCGTGCCAGAGTGCCCATGCGCTGCTTGAAGAGCTCCTTATACAGTGCCTTAAACATCTTGCCCGGCGCAAACTCGACGATGGTTTCCACCAGACGTGATCCGATGGGGTCGTATATCAAGCCATTGAGGAACTTGTAGCTGTCCGTGCCTTCTGTGATGGGGTCGTCAGGAAGCAGAGTGCGAATGATCGAAGATTCATCCTTTGCACGCTGCTTCCCGAACTTGTCGAGTTCCAGTCTGACGAGGAGTTGTAGCACCGGGTTGCCGGTCTGGTGGGTTGCAAGAGCGCGGAGGTACGTCGAATCCAAGCCGGCGACGCTGTTCTTGATCATCTTCTCCATGGATTCAATGAAGGATTCAGGTACCGATCGGCTTTCCAGAATGTTTTCATTCTTCTCGGATTGTGCAACAGTGACCTTTTCCTTCTTTTTGCTGTGAAGCAGCGACTTGTGAGCGGAGCGCTCGAGAGGCTCGCCGGCCAGTACAACCAGGAGTACGCGCAGAGTGTGAGATGCGAACTTGTCCGTCATGAGGTACCCGAGATTACCCTCCAGCTCGTTTATGGCATAAAGAAACAGGTTCTCCATGGACACTTGTACATCTTGCGGGTCGATATAGGCGTCCTCTGGCGGATGTATGAGCTCTTCCGAAACTATGGGTGCCGACTGTATGAAGAGCGCTTCGCAGCAGTGGGAGGCGAATCGATGTTGAATCAGGTTGAGGAAGCTACAGAGTCAGCTGAACATTCTAGTCACTTCGCTGGTGCTACTTACTGGCCGCTGAACTTCTGAAAAAGATTTTTCAGCTGCTTGGTGTCTGACAGCTGGATAAGGCGCTCCATTAGCCGGGAGCAAGACTGGCTGTTCGCCAGCTTCAGTTCCTTGCCGTCGGCCTCACGGTAGACGTTGGCTAGGAACAAGGAGCGTGCTTCCGCGTCTTCGAATTGGTTCAGCTCCAGTAGCTCGTCTGCGCGCTTGAAGTATTCCTGCTCCTCCTCGTCCAACATGCCGTAAAAGACCATGTCGCCAGCAGGACCTTCCGGAGCTTGCTGCTCTTCGCCCAATTTTTGTGCATCCTCTCCACCGAGCGCGACGTAGTCCAGCTGGTTCTCGAGGTCCTCCACACGGGTGCGCTTGTGCTCGTTTTCCTCGCCGTCGGCAGTGTGCTCGAGCTTGCGCTTCTTGCGCACCTCGCGGCGACCGCGCTTCTTGTTTTCCTTCGGCATGATTTTTTTGCGACGGAACGGACAGCGGCGCGGCGGCGGGACAAGGCAAAAGAATTCGAGGGCGCGAGGAACTCGGAGCGGTGGAGTGAGGCAGAGCCGGTCGCTGGGTCAGCAGGCGTCGGGTGAGGCAGAGGGCAAACTAAAATATGGGTGGTGATGGCAACGGCAAGGATGGTGGCTGCAGGATTTCTCGGTGGATGCGGCTAGCGAACGATTGCCGCGAATCCTTGACCAGAGCAAAGATCGCGGCGATTCGCGGGGGCCGAGATCTGGGAACATGCGTCTGTGCCGCAAGCCGCAGCCAGCCTGGCACCTGGCATCAAACGGCTTGCTAGCCAGAACGCCCCCCGCGCCCCCGGCCAACGGCGACGGTGCCACACAATAGTCCTGCCCGACACGCCAGCAACACGTCCACGTCACCACCCACCATGGCCGACATCCACGAGCGCGTCGCCGCCTACCTCGACGACCGCCTGCAGACGCACGCCGACCTGCACCAGCTAGATGAGCTGCTGTCCAACATCCGCACCCAGCACGGCCTGCTCCAGCAGCAGGTGAGCCCGCCCGGCCCCCATGCCCGCCCTCGTCCGTGTTGACGCCGCAGTAGCTCGAGCAAGCCGAAAAAGACGCCCATGATGCACGCAAGGACGCCGACGACCACCAGCGCCAGCTACGTCACCAGCATGATCAATTCGAGCGCGACCAGCAGGGCATTGACCGCCGCCTACGCATAATCACCGCCTCCGACGCCAGCGACGATGCCGTGGCCCGCTTTGAGCAGAGCATGGCCAAGCTGCACACACTTGACATTGCCGCCCGCTACACCCAGCGGCTGAAGGAAGTCGGGGAGCTCAGGTATGCATCCTGCGCGCGACCTGTGCCACAGCATCATGCTGAGATTCATGCGCAGCAACGATTCCGATCACGCCCTCAACACGTCCGGTGAAGCAGCGCTTGCATCCTACCGCCAGCTCAAGACCCTTGACGCCAGTCTGCAGCCTCTGCATGAGGCAGCTGAGGGCGCCGCTCCGCACTTGATCGACCATGTTGCTAAGACCACCCAGCACGTCCGTGGACAGCTCCGGGATGCCTTTTCCAAAGAGTTGGAAGCTGCATTGAAGAAGATAGATTGGCCCAAGAGACCGGAGACGACCTTCCTTGGTTCGCTCCAGGAGCAGTGGGCATCTGCTGTAGGCAAGCTGCTTGATTTGCAGAAGCCTGAGCTACAGACGGTTGAGAACAGCGCGCCCAGCGCGAAGGGGGGCAAAGCTGCACTTGTGCTGTTGCCACTCGAGGTCATGGTACAGCCGCTGGAAATGCGCTTCAGGTACCATTTCGAGGGCGACAAGCCGACCAACCGCCTGGACAAGCCCGAGTATTTCCTGTCCCACATCATTGACTTGCTAAACCAATTCAATCCCTTCATCGTCGACAATCTCCAGCCCATTCTACTCAGCCACTTTAGGGGAACGGATCTAGGTTTGAATGCTGCGTACATTGATGCCACTTCTGCTTTTATAACTGCTCTTCTCCCAATGCTGCGTTCCAAAATCTTCGCGACCCTACCCAAGGTTGCCAACCAACCACAGTTGCTCAGCCACCTCATGCACGAAATCATGAGTTTCGACACCAACTTGAAAGAGGACTGGAGGTATGACGGCGGCAATGGATCCGACGGTTGGAAGGGTCTTGCGTGGGAAGTGCTCGTCACGCAAGACTGGTTTGGCCGGTGGCTCCAGGTTGAGAAAGACTGTAAGTGCACGCTCACTCAATTCACCAGCGTCGTTGTGAAAATCACTTTGTTACCTCATCCTCCACCACGGGATCGAGGCGTTGGAGTAGCAATCTTCAGCTGCAATCAGATGTATACCAAATCATTCATGTGGACCACTCGGGGATGCTACTCCTGCCTCTGTGATATTTCGAACGGATATTCGTGCATCAAATGGTCCATGATCTAACCATACCGCAGTTGCTCTCACAAGATACCAAGCCATCGTCGACAACCCAGAGAGCGGGGAGCTTGATTACGACAGCGTGGACGCAGGTTCTACGAAACCCACAAAGGGCGCCATCCGCGTCAACGACCTGCTTGAGACCATCACAGGTATGTGTAGCATCAAATGAACTAGTTTCGTAGCCCTAACCTCATACAGACCGATACAGACCATTGTCTTCATTCTCTCAGAAGCTTTCCTTCCTTATCGACGTACAAATATCCATCTTCGACCGTTACCACGAGCGTTTGCACTCCGGTCTGGAGGCTTACCTCTCATTGACGTCCTCAGTCGGCCGCGCCGTACAAGGCATAAGCCGCGAAGAGCAAGCTAACCTTCAGGGAGTCGCCGGATTGGATCGCCTCTGCCGCGTCTTCGGCAGCGCCGACTACCTCGAACGCGCCATGCGCGACTGGAGCGACGACGTCTTCTTCCTCGAGCTCTGGGACGAACTGCAAGACCGAGCCCGGCGGCGGCGCTCCCGCAACCTGGCCGGGCCGCTCTCCGTCGCCGACGTGGCTGAGCGCACTTCGAGCGCCGTCGGCTCCGACGACGCGGACGCAACAGGCGCGCTCTTCGACGAGACGGCGGGCGCGTACAACCGGCTGCGCGTGCGCTCCGAGGCCATCATCGCCGACCAGCTCGCATACAACGTGCGCGAGGCCCTGCGCGCCTACCGCGCCATCAACCCCTGGACCACCCTCTCCTCTTCCATCCCCTCCGCCGCCGTCTCCGGCCCCACCGCCGCCGCCCCGCACTCAACCGCCACCACCATCACGGCAGAACTCGAGCCCCTCCTGGCCTACCTCACGTCCTCGCTCTCCTTCCTCGCCCGCGCCCTCGCCCGCGCCCCGCTCCGCCGCATCGTCCGCGCCGCCTGCCGCGCCGTCGAGCAGGGCTTGTGGGACGGCATCCTCATGCGCCACTCGTTCAGCACCGCCGGCGCCGCGCAGCTCGCGGCCGACCTGGCGGCCATCGGCGAAGTGGTGGGTCGCTGGGCCGGCGAGGGCTGTGCGGCGAGCGGGTTGCGGAAGGTGAGGGAGGGCGTGGCGTTGTTGGGGCTGCCGGTGAAGGGGCGTGGTGGTGGTGGCGGTGGTGGGGATAGCAGTGGTGATGAGGAGGAAGGAGTGCAAAGGGTGCTGAGCTTGTGGGAGGTGGAGAAGAGGGTCTTTGCGGATAATGAGCAGGCAAGGGAGGTGTTGGAGGAGTTGGGGTTGGAGTGCTTGACGGAGGCGGAGGCGAGAAGTGTGTTGGAGAAGAGGGTGGAGTTGGGGAGTTGAGCTGGTTCGAAGAGTAGACGTGTGCTAGATGGGTATTGCGATCCAGGTAGAAGGGTGTTCGAAAGGCCCTACAGCTTCGTGTGAGCTTGCTAGAACCGTCGAATGATCCGTTCGAGTTAGGTGTTAAGGAGAGAATGACATCAATGCTTTGCGTCAGCCCTGTGACGTGGCTGCTGTGGCGGTGGCTCGTGAGTTGTAGTAGAGAAGTTAAAATAGCGTTGGGCAGAACGACACAGCCTTACAGGGGATCATCACGGGCAGCAGACGACATGTCGTACGTGCACGGATCGGAGCAGGGCAGGTAGATGGATTTAGCTCGATGTTTAGACGTGGTACATACGACATTTAGCTCGAAAGGGTATTCTTGGTTTTAAAGTTTCGATAGTCCAACGAAGAGAATGTCTAGTGTGGTTGGGCCTCCACCGAGCCGCTACTTCTTTCGGGTATTCCTACGAAAAGGATCCGGGTGAAGATCTGCCGTCTAAAGCGTTTTGCCTCGTTCTTCGGGTCCTTAGCTCCCTTTTATTTCCTATTTGGATCACGGCCTCTCGACTAAGGGGGACGTGCTTTCCCCGTTTCACGGGGGGGACCTAGTCTATACAATACTATAGCTTAGCAGGCTTTGGGTGTAAGGCTGTTACAGATTTTACCGGAGTTTCCGGAGAGATACAGGGAACAGCTTACATGTGCTTTTGAGGTGAAGGGTGGGTGTTGATGTTTATTGTTGTTTCAGTGTCATGGAGACGATGCGGTTCCGACACGATCGTAGTTACAACGACAGTTCACGGAATTTTGCTACGTGAATAGAAATCATGGGAACTCATTTCTGATTGAGACTTGCTCAAGTTTGATTTAAACATGGGCATTTATGCCCTCTCTAAACGGCGCATTTGATGCCTCGACCGCTACATTTCTCGCAAAACGTTTGTGAGCTTAAGAGTGAAAGGCTTAAGATGCTTCTAAAACATTAGTGTAGAATCTCTCGTACATTTATTAAGATTATACTATTTATCAACTGTTCTCCCTAGACTTTTTGTCGCACTCTTTGCACTATTTCAGTTTTGCTATGCAATTCAATCACAGCTACACCAACAACTGAGCCTTCGGCTTTCAGCGCATCTGACCATTGCTTTTGCTACATGACAGCCAGATCGAGATGAAGATTGGCTCGTCCCGCACCCTGCTGTACCACCTAATGCAACGTAGATCGGTTCGTCCCCCTCCCAACTTACCCACCTTAAAACCCGCACTACCAGGGCTGTCACGCATGTCTCTTCCTGTTCGCCCCACAATCTCCTGATAGTCAGACAGGGGGGGAGGGTTTCAGTTTTCGTTTCCTTTTCAGCTCTCCGCAAGAAAACCGTGCACCACATTCCTGCAGCAGGCATCTGGCCCCCGCGATCGATAGCCTTGCATTGTGGGTACAGCGGATCTCGCAGATCGCGCAGATTTCTATATTTGCATAGATTGGAAAAAGAAAGCAAGTGCAAAAAGAAAAAACTATACACCGCAGTAATATACATGCGCCTCGCCTTCTAACCTTGCAAAAAAAAAAAAAAACTCTTTCTCTCTGCATGCATCTTTTGCCAACCAAGCAAAAAACATCACGAGGCAGTTCCCATGCAGAACGCACATGCATCTAAGCTGCCGCGCTGCCGCCGCTGCTGCCGCTACTACTGCCGCTGTCGATGGTAGCCTGCATTGCTGCCCACGCGACCGGCCCGTCGTGGAACCACGGGAAATGCGGATAGATGCGCCGTCGCACACGGCTGAAAAGTGTGCCTCACTCTTGAGTAACAGCGGGAAAAGAGCACAGGGGAAAGGGAAAATCAGGTGTGAGTGGGGTGAGGGCAAGCGTTCAGGAGAGAGAGCAGGGAGCGGGAAGACAGGGTGAATCAAATGAATTTATTGGTGGCTGCATAATGGAGAGCTCTTATGATTGCAATGTTCGGGAATGGAGTGGGATGGGGAAGCCGGGGTGGGAAGTGTATTTCTGCCTTGCGGCGCGGGGAGGCGGACTGCGGCGCCGACGACATGCCATCAGGGCCACAACCGCAATCACACTTGGTAGACATGCAGTAAGGCAGCCACGAGAGTGCAGAGACGAGTAAGACTATATGCTGGTGGATCTATCAATCACTGTTCATGGCCGCGTTAAAATCGTGCATTCTCTCCCCTCATCCTTGTATGATTCTATTGTATCACTGGTGATTAACGATACTCTTGCATAGCATTAAGAGACGGTAAGCATATAGACAGGCGGACAATTACTTTTAGCGAACCCTATTTCTTCCTTTTCTCCCCCGTCCTCTTCCCTAGCAAATCGTCCAAGACCAGGAACCCATGATGTAGTAGGCATGACAGAAGATAGACACTTCTGCATCAACCCGACCGGACATGAGAAAAAATTCTCTGGCTTCATCGCTGGTTCCTTCTATTTCAACCAACCATAGACGAGACCGTCTGCTCGTTCAGTAGCGTATCTTTTCGAAGCCTGGTCATTTGGGCCAAATCTGACATCGCAGGTGCTGCACAGAATACACATTTGACCGAAGCCCCCCACTCTCCACCATGGAAACTCTCATATAAACTCAACCTCACATCACGCAAGACTGCAAGTTTGCACGCAACTGCTGAGGGAGAAGAAGTTTGTTAAGAGATAAGGCCTGTCAATGACCGCATCTTGAGGGGTGCAGCCAATATCCGACAGCATGAATGGGACGAAAAAGCTAACGACGCGCGGCAAAAACACGCAGAACTTCTCACGAGCGCCAGTTTCAAACTCTTCATGTGACCACCCAAACAGAAAGTGAAAATTTTGATTTCAATTGTTCCTCGACTTCTAGGTAGTGGTGGGCAAGGAAAGAGCTAACCATTAGAAGCAGCTGGGTTGATTGGCGGACAGCCGCAGTTGCAGCGGTGAGGCAAAACAGCAGCAAACCAACAACGATGCGGAAGGTCATTCAGAAGAGCGCCGCCGTAGGGCTCAGCCATTTACCACGGCGCTGCGCTGCTGGAACCGAAGGTCTCCTACAACCTCGCTAACGAGTCGTACGCCTTCCCCTCGCTAACACGGTACCAGCGTCGACTAAAAACGCCAACACACGTGCCCTACCATATGATAGGGCGCTTGCGTGCTCAGGTCGGGACCGAAGTACGCAGCAGTCGGCTATCCTCCCATCTCGCATGCTCCCCTGCATTCGGGGAAGAACGGGAGAAAAATAGATGGGGAGGGGGGAAAGGGGGAGGAAATGCAATTATCCCCCGCCGGTGTCATGTTGCGCAGCATGATACTACCTGCCATGTTGTGTGACACTCGACACTGGGCCCGTGTGGTGGCCGGAAGACAGGCCAGAAAAAAAAATAAAAAATGTCAAGGACGAATGACAGCTCGCATTGGGACCACGTTTCTCTGTTCATTCCTCAAAGGGAAAAAATAAAAAAGAAGGGTGGAGAGGGAGAGAAAAAAAAAATGGGCGGGGTGGGGGTGGGAGAGAGCAGCAAGAGAGGACTAGACGCTCTTCGTCGACGACGCAAGAAAGGCCGAGGAAAACTCAGGGTCTAACGTGACTCGCCGACGATCGTCTCGTTTTTCTTCGCTGCGCGAGTGGGGAAGCGCAATGCAAAATGCATGCAAGACGGTTTGCCTCCACTCGTCGGTGGAGTGGAGGGGAGAGGAGGGCGGCGGCGGCGGGGGCGCTTGTAGCGCTACACGCGCGTGGCGGAGACGTGAACCGGGGGCTCTGATTGGAAATTCGTCGGAGCTGCCACCGTCCCTTTTTTTCTTCTATTTCCGTCTACTTACTTGCGCTCACCGGTCAGTAGTAGTCGTCGTAAACTTCATTTAATTTTGGCGGGCGAGGTAGGTCGGAGCGGCGTCCGGACGAAGATGTTCCCGAACGGGCTATGGAGATGACTATGGTGGAATTTCTGTGGGGAATGTTGGGTCTGCAGAACACCGGAGACCACAGCTGGTGGCCTAGGGGTCCTCATGTGAGATGATTGCGCAAGTGGAGTGAGAAAGGAACAAGTATGTGGACCGACGATGATGAAAGAAAGGAGAGGTTGGTGTTGGAATTAGTGGTGGCGGAGGACACGACCAGCTCCGCGGATTACGTAGGTAGAGAGGTAGCTGGAGAGCATGTAGCTGATCAGCACGGGTGGCTTGCCTTGGTGGCAGGTTTTCACCAACAGATGGCGGACAGGAGAAAGCAAGCGCGGGCCGGCGGTGGGCGCTTTGCGTCATATCACGGTGGGGAGTTCAGCAGTAGTGCGTATCGATCAGGGTCCTGATGATCTCCGTGGTGGCCCATGTTTTGCTGCTTGATTGCTCGCTCCGCTTCGCTTCCGGTTAATTAGTCCCCTCGATTATTCACTGTCGGCGACCAGCGCAAGAGGGAAGGAGGCGCGAGGAGATCTGCGCGACGGTGTTGTGTCTCGGCCGGCTTGGGGGAGTCACCAGCCAAGTGACTGCGCAGCTTCGCGTGCCGTTTGTTGCACAACAGCAATATTCTCATGCACGCCGTAGGATCGCCCTGTGCAGCGGCACTGCGCATCCGCACCTCCTATCTGCCGCGGGGAACAGCAAGCGAGAGGCCGATAGATTAAAGCTTAACGGCTGTGCATCTGTCAGTGGCGCCGCCGTTGAAACTCTGTTGCTGAGTCGACGACTCGTTCTCAGGAGAACGAACACTTTCCCCGCGATCAGATCGTGGTTCCCGATCTCTTATCTCTCTCGTGTGAACTATGATAAGAATTAAAGTTGGCGAAACGATGCTCCAACCCGGCCGCTTTCGGCCACGCCGATAGAGAGCCAATCGATCCTTCGTTTTACTCCATCGCGCATTCCGTGGGGAAGCGCTACGTGCATAGCATAGCATTGCACAATCCTCTTGCCGTAACCGTCCACGCGGCCATGCTGTCGATGATGTAGTAGGCCCGAGACCTCTGTTTTCCAAGAATGTCCAAGGCTGCCAGACTGTCATCATCCGATGTTGGTTGCGGGGTACTATGACGTCTTTGTAGAAATAGCAATAATTACACGATCGTGACGGAGAATGCAATGGAGATTGCAATGCAGATTGAACATGCTGGTGATGGCAATGATTGTGTTTGTTTTCGTGGTGGTGCGGTTGACGTGCCTCCGTTAGCGGAGCTGGGCGGAGAAGGCGGAAAAAGCAAAATCACCACCTTCTTCCCCTTGCGACAGACCGCCTTGCGGAAGGGTTTCAAGAACACGATCAAAACATGCGCGAGGCACACTTCACACGGCGCCTAGCTGAAGCGCTAGCTAGTCAACTTCCCCAAACGGCCAAAGGCGACTTCGGCCTCACTCGTCGCTACGCTCTACGAATGGTCGCCACACTCGGCTATTTAGCGGGTTTTAGCCCACGTGCGAGCAGCCAGCCCCGACGCAAGCATCAACCCAGTATCCGGGTCCCTTCGCTTTGCTCTCGCAACGAGACAGAGTCAGCGCCGGGATAGACCCTGACCGCCCGTTGCCGCTGCCACTACCAAGCGAAGGAACGACGCGCAAAGTTCCGCGAATTGTACGGCACGACGACGACTGCAGTCCATCCATGCACGCAGCATGCGAGTGATGTCTCTCTTCCCGCCGTTTCCTGTGCCACCTCGACTCCAACCGTCGTGTGCATCATCTACACTCAAGTCTCGCATGCCACCCGGCGTCTGCAGTCGAAAAGTATCCCTCGCCCCGTCTGTCCGAGGACAAGGTCGCCTGGACTTGCAGCTCCGAACATGTGAATGTCAATAAAAAACACCAAAGACGGCAGGCAGCCACCACACCCATATATCCTTGTCATCCATCCCGTCCCCTGCCATCAGCCGCGCCATCACCAGCCAACCATCAACTTCATCCCTGGCCCCCTGCATCGTACCGCGCAGCGCTGCCGACAAGGATGAGAAAACAATTGCTTACTATCCTGCAAAGCACCGCGGAGATGTGAAGCGTATGAGGTACAGTCCACGTAGGCCAGTAGGGCGGGACGTGACTGGCGGCAGGCTGCCGCGAAACAACACCAAGGGAAAAAGTAAAGGAATGTGATCCTTGTCTAGCCTTCCTTCGTGGCCTTTATTCCCACGACGTCTTGCGTCACCGCCCGTCTTCGTTGAAGCTCGGATTTTTTTTTTACCTTTCGCTCAGGCCTGCACACCTGCGTCTGGGCGAATCAATACTGCTCTGAGGGGCGAAGCAAGAAGCACAGAGCAAGGCCAAGGGGAAACAAGCCCCATTGTCAGTTAGAACGTTGGCACTAAAGGGCAGTGTTGAGGGGAGGGAGAGAGGTGAATTGAGCATTCCTTGATCTCTGCATTCCCCGCCGCATTTTGCTCCGAGCGGTGTTGGTGCTTTGACGTTCCCTCTGGAAGTGTGTTTACGCATTGCTTAGGGAGCACCGTTGCTGCAGCAAGCACAGCCGCCGCGCCCGGCTTGCATTGCAGACGTCCGTCACACGCGCAGCGTGGGTCCCGGCGCGCGAGCGGTGCTGGCCGCATCGTGAGTCGAGAGGGCGTTTAATTGCGAGTTGCTAATGATGTGCAGGCGCATCGATTCGAATACGCTGCAAGATGCGGCTCTCTCCAGCCTCAGCATGACTGATGCGAGGAACAGAAGCGTGATTGGAGATGGATGATCGTATCGTCGATGATGTAAACCCCTGTCCCTTTTTCTCTGCGCCGTGACTCGTCGGTTTGCTCGAGCATCACCAGATTCCGCCTCAATACAGCACACCGCAGATTCGCAGGCGGGCGCGGAGACACCGTTCGGGAAACGCATGCCTGCGGCGCCGAAGAAGCCCAAAGAAATGCCGCGGCCAAGGTGGCGAGCATCGTCAGGCAACATGGCTGCTGCACGGCAAGCTTAGAGGGGCCAGGGATGCGCGAGACATTGCAACAGATCAATATATGCGGTGCGGCGGTCGCCGTGGCAGATCGAGTCGTCTCGACTGAGGATCATCAGCTTTGGGCAAGCCGACGCGCTGCATCTTTCCTTGCAACAAGTCGGCTGTTTTGCAGCTGAGCCGCTGCCGTTGACGCTTTCCGGGGAAGATAGGCACGACGAGTGCGCCACGCGGTCACAAAGGCGCGAGGCTGATGAGAACGCGTACGCTGTTACTCGTCGTAGCACACGGACGCCTCGGGAGCGAGCCAGTGCCGGGTGCAGGCGGGCGGATGCTGGAGGTCGGCAGGCAGGCGGATGCTGAGGGTCGGCAGACGCGCGCGGAGCTCGTAATAGCGCCGTGCTGTTTACTGAACCGTTTTGCTAGGCGAGCGTAGCAGCTGGCTGTTGATGATACAGCGGGGCTGAGACAGAGGCCCGTTCGAGACGATTCCGCAGCACTTCCGTTTCGGGCAAGCTGCACTGGGGCGCTATTCCCGTCGTTGCAAAGGGACTTGTGAAGGCGGCACCGAAGGCGTGCCGTGTTGCCGCCCTGGATCAGCATGGGAAAGTGCTGCTGGAGAGAAACCCGACCCATCCACCGGCCGAGCCAGGCCGACCGACCGCCGCGGCCCGCATGTGGGCTCACGACACGCCAATGCTGCCTAGCACACGAGCAACTGCCATTCATCTCAGTCAGGGTCAGGGCGCGTGCACGGCGACGGATGCGGCGACGGCCGTTCGTCGCTGAGGCACACACGGCAGCGCGAGCAGGCATGTTGCCGGCGGTACAAGCAGCGAGGGCTGGCGCAACGACGATCCTCCAGGATCCGGGCTTCTGGGTTTTCGCTGACTGCTGGTATGTGCTTCCTGGTGTGCGGGAGGCGCGCTCCCAATCGCTGGCGGCGCGGAAATTTGCCAGAAGCAAGAGACACATGGCGGCGCGGTGGAGCGCAGGACCGGCCAGGGCGACTCGCATTAGCCGAGAACTGTTGCAGGGCTAACTCAAACGCGCTTCTCCACGCCCAACGCCGGCTGCAGCATCGTGAGGCTCGCCAAACGCCAGAGCGCCGCTGCTCCTGTCGGGCTCCAGCCTCGCCTGGTGCCTGGCTAGGGACGGCCGGGCGGCTGGCCGTCGGGCAGAAGGCTCGCCGGCGCCGTGCTGATGAGCGTTATGGTGTTGCTGCGAGCCCTCGAGTCGCATGCGGCCGGGCTAGAGGTAGCTATTACGCGAAAGCAAGCCGCCGCGAGTGGACTCGCTGATGGGGCTCGGCCGCTGCCGTTCTGGACCCTGGCAGGCGCGACTGGATGCAGCAGCTGATCTCGTGAGGGTGTTTTTGCCAGGAGCTCCACCTCGCTGCAGGGCAGAGTTGCGCAGCGACTGTTGTGGTAGCGTGCTGCACTCCGGCGGCGCGCGGATCATCGAGCCCAGCCCGCCCGATGCGGCACCCCTCCAGGCTCGCCGCGCGCAGAGCTGACATCACCCTCGGCGCGCGGCGAATCATGGCGGCGCACCGGATCGGAGCATCTGGCATTCGGCGCAGCTGGCGCTCGGGGCAGCGCTATGCGGTGGATCGTTGGAAGCGGGAGGCGTCGTTTAGCGGAGGTGTAAACCATGCCGTTACATTCGCACCATACCCTGGTCGCCAATGGCCGTCGCGACGATTGCTCTGACCGCTTCACGCCCCAGAAGATAATAAGCCGACCGGGGTAGGGCGCATCCGTCGTTTAAAGAAAGACTGCTGCCACACCACCCGCCAGCCCCAGAAACCCACGGTCCCTGCGACACCCGTCCGCCTCCCTGACCTCATTCCCGACGGCGTGGGCTGCCTCAGACACTGCCCTCTCCACCCACACCACCTCCTCCTCTTCCTCCACTCGCAACCTCGCGGCGATCCGCAGCTTACCGCCTGTCTCGCTCCCTCGGCGCCACGCTCCTCTCCCGAGATCCTACGGCAAGCTTCGGAGTCACCGCTTGCCAACCTCCCGCCGCCCGCCCGCCGACTCTCCACCGACATACGAAGCTCCGCGCAAGATGGTGGTCGCATGAGCTCTGCGCGCCCACACGCGTTGCAAGATGGATTTCATTGTACGCTCCTCACCCCGATCCCGTCTAAGACATGCTGCACGCGACGCCTGCGAGATCGCGCTAGCACCCTCGCCCGCCCACCGAGCGCGTGCCTGGCTTCCCTTGTTCAAAACGCCCCTTTGCTCTGGCTAACCGCACCGCGACAGATCTCTCTTGCTCACTTCTGTGAGGTCCACGGTCCCACCTCCGTGCTTTGCACCCAGATCACCCAGGGCAGTTGCGCCACCTGCCACCCCTGCGACACTCCGCCCGCCGACGACCAGTCCAAGGCCTCTTATTTCAACGACTCGCCCGCCATTCCTCCGCTCTCCTCGCCCTTTGAAACCCCTCCCACTAGCCCAAAGTCGCCCAAGAACTCGCACAACCCCTACTTTCCGAGCCTCTCGGCCAAAAACAACTCCAGCTCGACCTTGGGCAGCAACCTCGGCGACGGCGATAGCGACAGCTGCGAGAATTGCTCATTCCTCGTCCCCAAGAATGTCACCGAGCAGCTGCCGGACGGCGCTCCCGGCAGCCCGAGCAAGGACGGCCGCGGCCAGAACGGCAGCCCTGTCTTGCGCACGACTCAGTCGGTGATGGCACGAGGCACCCGCTCCTCTGACGACCGCGATACGAACTCAGAATCATCCGACGAGCAGTCGCACGCCTCGACGTCATTCTCCCGCTCGCCGCCCAGCGTCACATCGTCTTCTCCCGCCTCGCCTCTTTTCGGATCACGCAACGCACATACACATACGTTATCCTATCTCACCACCCGCCAGCCCATTTCTCCGTCGGCGTATTCTCGCCTCCGCCGCATCTGTATCCGCACGCTCTCGTGTGAGCAGCTGCCGCGCGGTGCCCCATCTGGCCCGCTGTACTTCGGTGATCCCGTCCTGGGATACACTGTCGCCTACGTTTTCCGGATCCCGGATCCCCGTGCTCGCGGCCGAACACGCACGTACGCGCTTATTGCCTTGGGAGGGCGCGACAGTTGGCGCGTGGGTAAGGCCATGGTGAAGATCACCGAGATGTTTGAACAGATCGCGAACCAGATCATTGCCATGGCAAAACAGGTTCTTGAGCAGGAGTCCACATATGCCTCCTCCACCGCTCACATGCGGCCCACTACGGCCGCTGGCCCGGGCACCATCACTCCGCCGCTCAGCTGCTCTAGTGGCAGCAGCGTTCCGCGCCGCGCCAGTGTCCAGGTCTCTGGCGGAAAGCCGAACACCATTATTCCTACGCCCGCAGCTAGCACTGTTGGGTCTCCCGCATCCCCAACGACGCGCAACATCACTCCCGTATCCTCCTTCCTAGCGGCAAAGAAGGTTGACCCAGACGGATATCCGCGCGTTAGCCGGGACATCATGCGCGCTAAGGGCTTAGCTGAGATTGTTGGCAAGGAGAACTTCTTCGTGGAGCTGCATGCTAAATTCTGCATGCTTCTGGCCGGACTTGTGAAAGAGTTTGGGACCGGCTGACAGACCGGTTGGCCTGCAGCTCCGCCACTTTCTCGTTACGTTATGCCGCGGCTTCGACCGACGAGGGACCGTGCAGTCTAGTCTGCATTGACTAGGAGACGGTTCTTCCCGCCATTGACTTGGCTCCAAAATCCACTGTGGCTGAAATGATGCTTCAGTAATCAAGAAGTAGTAATCGGTCCCCACCTGCACGCGGTTCAGGTCCCGGTCCGGGGTTACTCGCACGAGCTTCGATGCTCCTTTCGGAAGTTGCTACGGCGCCCCTTCTGCAACAGCTTTCATCCCGCTCTTCTTCATCATCTTGTCTTATTCGCTTCGCTTTTTTTCATCCTTCATTTTGAGCGTCTTCTCGGCTTGTTTTTGCTGCGTTCTAGCGACCTGTTTTAACTGTTTCGGAAAGTCTTTGTAATGGCGTTTTCTGCGCGTTGTCTAATTGCTTCTTGTTTTATTCCTGCTCTTTAACGGCCTCGGTTCTTCCGCATCGTCGATATGCGGAACTTTTTTCAACTTTGTTCTTTGCATTGCTCGCAATCTTCTGGCTTCGCAACCGACAATGTTTTATGATACCCCCAACCTTGGCCCCGAAGTTATTTTTTGCTTTCTTGTTGCTGTTGCATACAGCGGAGAGGGGGGAGAGGAGAACGCGCGGGTGGGGGGCAAACGGCGCCTATTATGGTCGCTTTAGAATACGTGAGATTGAAAGAAGAAGATTCCGTCGTAGTAAAATGGATGTGGGTGGCTGTGCGCGCGTCGTCGCTTAGATCTCTCTCTGGTGTGCATCATCTCGGTTTTCCAACACGTTTGAAGATTCTCTTGTTTCACTCTCGGGTTTTGATCGTCTGGCTATACGAGATGGGGGGAAATGGGCCCGTACACGAGGTCGGAGAGAAAGGTATAGAATGTAACAGTGGTAGGAGCAGAATCTGTGGGAGAAAGACAAATTAGTACAAGAAGACGAATGTAACAAGGTGTGAGACGTCAATGCGTCTCCTTCGGCAACAAATCTTTTATCCTCGTGTGAATTTTGTGGTTGATGATGTACCGCGGACTTCCTGGTTCCTACAGGGCCTGTTCCAGTCTCTTCCGTTACCTTGGTATCCTTAACAGGTCGCGATACGATTTGACGGTGGTGGTGGTAGTCATGGTCGTCGTGATACGCTCCCTTGTCTTCCCTCGTTCACCTATTTTCTTTCCTCTTCTCTTCCGAGAGGGTCTCTCAATCAATCTTTCGCCCTCCCCTCAACCGCCAATAATGTCAGTGGCGTGTGTGCCCAGCCACTGTATTGTCGAGTCTCCCTCCCCCCTCCATCAAGTCCCGCCCAGCAGTATTATCAATCCCATCCATGCGAGTCGGAAACGCAAGGCAAACCGAGGAAGGAAGAGCGGGAGGGTCGTTTAGGCCTTCGTTTGTGCATGAATGACGTGAGCGTGGCGCTGAGTGTCCTTTTTAATAATCGGTAGGCCCAACGGTTACCTTGATGGTCGTCGTCGTCGTCCTTTGTCCGGCAAACGGGGTTCGGTTCGGCTCCGCACTTTATGCTTACTCACCTGCGGCGTTGAGCTGATGGGGGGTTGGTGGAATGCGAGGCGCGAGAAAATGGAGAGGGGAGACGGGGGTTGCATTGGATTTTTATCAGGCGAATGAAATAAAAGGCAAGAAGGCTTGTAGGTGGGGAGGGGCGAGCTGTTGCCTGGAGTGCGGCGTGGTGCGGCGCGTATTCGAGGCTGGTGTTTGCCTGAGGCAGGGGCGACACTTAAGGTATGTAGGTACGTACTCGGCTGAGGCTGAAGCTGGAGGGTCAGTGGAAGTGTTAGTATGCGATTGCGTTTGCGATTTGTATGCGCTTGGCTATTCGAGCTCGTGATTGCGTCCTTTGATGGCGTAGATGTGGATGGGATCGCTGGGCGTCATGTGGGCTGCTTCACTTTCGCACGGAGCCGCGGCGCTGCGTTTTCCTTGAAATAAGCTGCCAGGAGCTGGGAAGGCCGGATGCAAAGAAAGTTTCTTCTCGTTTGCGCTTGCATGTGTTATATGCAGGAGCGTTCAGCTTGAGACTCATAAGCTGTGGCCGAAATCGGACGCGAGCCATCATGGTAGCCTAGACTCTTTTGATTGACCCGTCCTTGCCGGATTCCACATGCCGCAGGCCGACCTGAGCACCTTGCATCCTCTTTCGACTCATCGTCCTCTTCGATCTCCTAATGAGCAATGCTAGTGGGGCCGCACGTCCGCACATATAGTTGTTGCCTCAGGCCCCGGAAAGTAAGGGAAGCGGAATGCTGGTAAACCTTGACAATTTCTTTCCATTCTGAGAACTCAAGATGAAAATCGTCATCAGTGTGGTTTTTGTCGTCCCATGGTTTGTTCAATGAATTAACCAGACTTAGCGCCAGTTATTACCAATTTTCATTTGGCATTAATCCTAACTGTTAGTGAAATTCTGAACAGTGTCTATTCTTGAATGATACATATTAGTACGTGATTGAGCTTTCAAATAGACTCATATACATCCTAAACACTCGCACATGCCATGGCCACGCTATGCATGGGATTAAATAAACAGAGCAAGAAAAGAACCGTCAAGAATACACATTTGAAAGGCAATACAGAGACAAAAAAGAACCCATATCTACCGTTCTGAATGATTCTGTACCAACATGTTGATTCAATGCTTCTGAAACCCTGGCTCAGTGCATTGTCTTTCCAACCATTGCTCATAGCCGGCGTACCCTTCTATCAAGAAAGACAAACCTGTGCTTCAACCAAACGAAAAAACAGAAGCATTAGAGCAATTGCAGTCATGTTCTAAATAACTGATTTACAATGGGAACGGAGGGAAGGCGAACACACCCTTGGGCGTGCGCTTACGTTTGCCGAGCCGCCCGTTGCGCCTACTTCCGTAGACTACGACTTCCAAGCCATCGTCGATATCGTCCAGTAGGGCCTCGTCCGCAGCAACCGCCGAGTTGCTCCGACGCCTCCGTAAGAACTGGGTGAAATCAACAAAACTAACATGTGCAAAAGCTTCATTAGCTAGCCTGATGGAATGGAAAACTCAAAAGCAGGAATAAAATAAAGCCAAGAAGGAAAGTTCAGAACAGAGATCAAGGAGCGCGGTGGGGACAGGTCAAGTAGAGCCGCAGTTCACTGCGTAAATGCTCATAATTCACCATTGACCCCCACTAGGCTTCGTGTCCAGCTGCGAAGTGTCATACCCATCCTGGCTGTACTCGGGTAACTTCTGTGAATCATCCGTTGGGTCGATTCCTTCCGTGAGCTTTGCTTCTGTCCAGTCATCATTGCTGAAGCTCGTCATCTCAATATCCTGTTGCTGCTGCGGAGACTGCTCAGGAATTTCGATAGGTCTGCGATGAAGTGCCTCCACGAGATCTCCATCCCAATACTTGAGGTCGGCTTTGACGTAGACGACACAGGTCGTGATGATCTTGGAATACGTGTCGCCTTGGCCGAAGATGTTCTTCTCGACATCTGTGACTTCGGTGATGGTTTCGTCATTGTAGTTGCGCCATATTCCGTTCTTGAAGTCTTTGATCGATACGAGGTAGTGACCGCCTCCGGTACCACCACGGTGGATGAACAAGGAATGCAGTTTGTACGGCACCGAATTCATGTCTGCGAAAAGCGAAGATATCTCCGCCTCAAGAGTTGCAATGCTTTCATCCAAGTTGCTGATCTCTTTTCGCGTCTCTTCGGCCTTTGCTGCCATATCGTCTCCGAAGACGCCATTTGTTTGCTGTTCGTTAGTCGGGTCCTGCTCATCAGCTTCAACTGCACTGATGAAATCTGATGCAGCTCGAACCGCCTCTGATAACGACACCTCGACCTTGGTTGCAACAAGCTCAGCCTTGCGCTCACGGAGAGACTTCAACTTGGCCTTCTTTTCCCACGACTGTTTCCTTCTTTGCAAGGTGGCTTCGTCACGAAGATATCGGTCGATGTATATGGTCTCCTCCAGTTGCAGATGGTTCTCAGAACGGATCGTCTGCTTTTTCACCTTGTCGAACCCCAATCTCTTTACATCAACTTTCAAGATGGGAGGTGCTCGAAGAATCGTGGTCCACTTTTCGGCATCGTCTGAATCTTCTATCGCTCCCTTATCGAGCGTGTCGTCGATGGCCTCGTAAATGTTCTTGGGCTTGTCGACCACTGTGACGTACTGAGTATTGAAGAGGGCCTTCTGTTCTGTTGTCTTTCCTTTCCTCTTGAGCGAGGCGGCTTCTTCGCCGTAGAATAGTCTAGGTAGGTACGTTAGCTAAGGTGCCACTTATGAATCGGCCAGGGTCGTACTCTTTGACAAAGTCGAGCTGTTCACCATCCTCCCTGAATTGGTCCGGACGAATGGCATAGCTCAGTTGAAGCAGAATGTTGATGAGGATTTCAGAAGCGTCTTGCTGCATTGTGTAAGGAATGCTAGTCGGTTTATTCCGAGGAGGAACCGGTGGTGGATGCTCGGGTTGTGGCGGCTTCTCCGTCGTGTCTTCGACTGGAATATCCTTCTCCACCTTGGTTGCCTCGGCATCCGGTAGAGTCTCAGAATCTCTGTCTCCAACAAGCGTGGCATCACTGTCTCCAGCTTCAGTTTGAGAGCTTGCCAAGGCATCGCCGTTTACGGCACTGTCCGCCATCTCGACGTCGTTCTTGTCATCGCTCTCAGTCTTCGGCCCTGTCGTGTCGGTCCCGGACGGACTCGGTTCTTCAGTAGGAGCTGCATACTCCAGAGCTCGCTGGACTAGTTCTACTTTGGGTCGAATGGTTGCTGTAGGGGCCGTAATCAATTGCTCGAACAGTTCCTTTAACTCCTTGACAACTGTTTAGATTAGTCAAACAATGTCTCATAGAAGGTTAGGATCATAGCTTACATTGCTGAGACCGCTTGACTTCGTCTGCAGTGACCATTCTGCTTCCAACCCGTTTCTTACGGATGTTCTCCTCGTTGACTTCCATAAGGTGCTCATCTATATTAAGGACGTACTCTCTCAACGGCTTAATCGTGAAGAGAAATTGTAGGATGGCATTCAAGTAGCAGGTGTTGCCAAGGTTCTCGATACCAACCGGCCATTGATCCAGCGGGTACCTCGGCGGCGGAGGGGGTGCCGGTCCTTTGCCGCTTTCAGCCCTGATGATAGCCGCGTAGCGATCATACTCATCACTCTTTGACGGATCGCGTTCCTTAAGGTCGCTCAGCGTCAGCTCGAGCATTTCAGGATCAACGGCGCCTTGATGGTTGCTGAGCCCGAAAGCACTGAAAGCCTTAGTCTTCTCCAGTTCCGGGTCGTTTCCCATTTTGATCTCGCCTGTCTGTAGCCAAACCCTGAGACCCTCGCTGTCACGGTGGTCCGCGATAATCTTGATAGCTTCGGCAATCTTCGGCTCGCTGGACGGCTCCTCAGATTTCTATTTCCTAGTTAGCAACGGATCGCCTCGCCTAAAATGCTTCCGGGTCTTTTGGTTTGCATATAGGAATATCCCGGCGTATTTTGTTCCACGCACCTTTAATCCTGCCACGGCGATGATTTGATCATCACCGTGGCCGGCTTCTGCTCCCAACCATGACAAAGCTTGTTCGTATGTTTGGATGACTGCCCGCCGGTTAGTCGTCGTTGAAACCATAAGTTGAGCTAATACATACTGTCGCCAGCGGCATCCATAATTGTTTGGCTTTGCCTGTACGCGCCGATTTTCCAAAGGTGTCCGCGCAAATCTTGCACTTCTGCGAGCCCAACATTGGGGACGCGCACACGAAACTGATTGATGATATACTCATCGGTATATGTGGCAAACCGTTCGGGCTCGAGATTGAAGCGGCGAAGGGACTGCATCGCCTCTTTTCGACTAACGATGTCCTTGGATGCCTCTATGGCCTTCTTCATGTTGAGCTCGTCGCTTCGTCGCCCCTCCGCAAGGTCCGCGAGACACTCGTAGTAATAGGCAATGTTCTGCGGATCAGATGCGACTTGTCGATCGTATGCGAACGCCAATAGGCTGTCGGAAAAGGCCCCAAGAGCGCCCAGACCGGCGTAGTAACTGGAACGGTCAGTGGTAACACGTGAAGGATACCACAGAATAGCAGGGCTTACGGGTGGTCTTCAACGCCTTGTGTCTGTGTGCTTGCAGTGTAGCCAGGCCTCTTGGGATCTAGTACAAAGTCAGCTTCTAGGAGGGGAAGTGACAGAGGGTGAAACTGACAATTGTAGGCACCAAAAACCCTCTCCAAGGTTTCACGTGCAGACAGTGGTTGGTAGCTGTACCTCTTCAACTCTTGCTTCGCGGAATGTGGCATGCGATCAATCAGGCACATGAGTTCCTGCATCGAGTCGTCTAGACGATCTCTTAGGCAATCACCCTGCAGGCGATCCCAATCCTGGGGAGGGGAAGGAAGGAACCACGCGACCTCTTCCTCAGCCTGTGCAGATCGCTTGGAAAATCCCAGCCGCAAGAATAGCGCGTCACAGTCCTCCCCATATGTCACCAAGAACTTCCTGTTCCGCAAAGGTATGCGCGACGACTTGCCAGCTAGCGCGTCCCGAATGTACGCATGCAGAATGTAAAGACCGTCGATGGGCTTGGCGGCTTGGAGTTCGGTTCGTTCGGGATCTATTTTCTTGGCAGACTTGAGACGCTCTTCCAACACTCTCTTGTCTGACAAAAGAGCCATGTCCTCTTGCGAGAGGCGTGGCGGGGCAACCTCTACCGTAATCACCGCTCCGCACAGCGGGGCCGAGCATTGGAAGCGATAGCTCTCCTTAATGTAGTCATCCTCCAAGCTGTCACGGCGCCCATCAGAAGGAACATGTATGAAGTGGTGTAGCTTGTATTCCTCGTATGGGCATGGCGTTTCGCAAATACTCTGGCGAAAATCGAGTAGAACCGAGATGTGGTGTCGACACATCCGACAGTATGAGGCAACTTTGCATATTGTCTGTCCATCCGGGCGGCGATCCCAACTCTCAGGCAAGACGCACTGATCCGGCTTCAACGTAAGGTTGTGGCGACAGCTGCCGCCGGGCACGGCGGCCATAGGCGGTTTGGATTCATCGAAGTGCGGCGGGGGGTCTGTGAGGATGTTGCGCCCACAACGTATGCGCTGCCGAGGATCATAATTGTACAGGTCTTCGAGCAAGCGTGGAGCGGTCTTGCCTGCAGCTTTGGTCAGTCGTAAATGACAGTCGTTAACGGCGGTGCGGCGGGTAGAAACCTGGCTTAGAAGGCAACATGTGGACAGTGGGTTCTCGACGAGTGTGTAGAAAGCAGAAAGCGGAGGAGGAAGCCGAGGTAACGGATATGTGCTGGAGAAGTGCGAAAACGTAGGGCGCTGCTGTGTGCCACCGCTATGGGAGATGCGACAAACAACGCGGCGGGATGATGAGGCGGATAATGTGTGAGCGGCGAGCGGATGGCGAACGCGTAAGCGGGTGACGGCAAACGAAGGACGCGCGCTATAGCGGCTTTGCTGGGCACGCCACGTCAAGTCGGCTGGGTGAGGCACAAGGAACAGGCGTGTGAGCTTGTCTTGTCCTGGTTCTGGGTGTGATGTCAAAGCTCCTGTCACGTAGTGTTGGCGGCGGGCAGAATCAGGCGGTGAGCGGTAGCCGCAGCTTCGATAGCGGAGAGCCAATCCAATCTGGCTGACACCACAACCTCGACCATCGCATCGCTCTCGACCGCCGCCCAAAATGGCCCACGACGACCACCCGTACCACCCCAAGGACACGATCGGCCGGACCATCAAGACCACGATGGTCACGGCCGGTGCCGGCACCTTCGTGTCCGGCATCCAGAATACCCTGCAGAAGCAGAACTACGGCCCCATGGGCATCTTCACCCGCTCCGGCACCACCATTGCCTTCTTCAGTACGCCGGCGCATCCGTAAATGCAATTGATTTGGCAAAATGCTGATCCGCCGTAGCGGCTATGGGTGGCGCCTACGAGTTCTCCCGCTCCGCCGCGGCGAACCTGCGCCAGAAGGACGACACCTGGAACGAGGCCATTGGCGGCTTCTTCGGTGGTGCTATGGTCGGCTTGAGGTGTATGGCATGCGGCTTTCTGATGGAGTAGACGCATTGGCTGATTTTGGAACACCAGTTCGGACTATGCCCGCCGTCCTCGGCTATGGCGTCGGCCTTGCCGCTATTCTCAGTACCTTTGACTTCTGCGGCCACGCTTTGACCGGATACAACAAAGATCCCAACTCGGACGAGTTTGAAAGGAAACGTTTCCTGAGGACGAACTACAGGACGCCGGCGGAGGAGACCGTTGCCAGGATCGGCGAGGGCCGCGGTATGCGCTATGGTTGAAGATATGGCGCGAGATGAATTGCTGATATTTTACAGGTATCTACCCTCCTGGCTACGAGGAGAGGAGACGACAGAGGCTCCAGGAGAAGTACGGCTACGAGATCACGGCGCCGCCCTCCCACTAAATGATAAAGTAGCCTCAAGTTTGCGCAAAACGAGCAGATCCGAGGATGTGGCGGATGTGAAGCATGGAGAGCTGATGGAATGGCGGGCAATGGCAGCACCATGGCGCCTTTCAGCTGCTCAAAAACTAGAGCAAGATACCGCCAGCTACAGCTGGCCTACATGTACAAATCGATTTCCTTACGTCAGAACCGCGTTGGATTCTGGACGTGACCGCAAGTCGCTTTCTTGCACGAGCATCTCGACTTACACAGATCTTCACTGGTTTACAACGACATCCCGGATCCATGACGTCGAAGGCCCATGTTCACTCTTTTCAAAATATTATGTATGCACGTCGATGTAGATGGTCGTAAACACTTCGGGTCTTGTGCAGAACGTATGGCAGCATGCTCAGGAGGCGTGCTCTGTCAATCCGAAAGCCCCGACAGATATTATTGAGCTAGGGCAATCGATGGGCTCCATGTGGCCATCAAGGGGTTGTGGAGTTTCTGCATTTCTGAGTCTGGTTAGGTCAGTGAGGCGGTCATGTCCAGCCGAAAGCTATGACAAAGGCCGCATGCGACCACTTTCTAACACGATCACGCTACATATTGCCTCAGCGGACGTGCAGCATGTGAGGCTGTCTCCCTGTATCGACGTGGATAAAGAATGTTTTAGAGAATTAGCCGCAGGACTAGCGCTGAGCAAAGGTGAATACGGCTCCTTCTCTATTTGAATACGACACGGGCGTGGAATGGGTTTCAAAGATGTTAAAGGGATTGGCAGGAGGATATCAGATCACCGACGTCGGTTTATGCTTTTTATAGCGTCATAGCTCTGCGGGTGCATTGAGCAAGAGTATCGCCTTGCCGCACTTGCATGGTGTCCCTGTGCCCCCGGAATATCGACTGACTCGCGTCCGCCCGCGCACATGACATGGACGACGGAGAAAAGAGAAGTCATCCACCAGACGCCAGAGGCGTTGGCGAAGGCTGCGGGCTCGGCAGTTAATGCTCCGCCTCGTTGCGCTGGAACGCGGGCAACCAGTTGGGTGCGGCATAGCTCGTCCGCAAAAGGAATGTCATGGGCGTCATCCCTGACGCTCCCCCGCCGCCACCATCTTGACGTGCAGGAGGGCGTGAGGAGACGTCCTGCGGACTGGCATCGGGATCGACCGCCTGACGCCCAGAATTTTGTTGACTCCACGGCGGGGCACTCTCTAGGGCCTGGTCCCCGCAACGAGCCTAATAAACGGTCTTCTACCTAGCTTCCGGCACAGTGCTGGCCATGCATGCCGCTGCTTAAAGTGAACCACAAACCGTCATCCGCCAATCCTACTGATCTCACTTGAACCACAGAACCTTCGTGCAGCAAGCGCTTCAATTGCGCGATTTACACGCCTCACCAATGGCTACTCTTCCGCCACAGCAAAACGCGGACAGCGGCTTGAAGGAGCGCTTCTTCCGCTACTTCCAGCATGAGGTGACAGGTGAGCACGCGAACACCCCCGCATCCCTGCCACACACGCTAACAACCGCCCGCCAGAGCTCCAGGAGGAGATCAACCGGCTCGCGGACAAGGCAATCACGGGCGGCGAGCGGGCAGATGGCGTGGAGCACTGCCTGGCTGGCATAGCAAGGCTGTCGCGCGAAGTCAAGGACGCCTCGAGCTACATCCCGGCGTACGACCAGCGAACATATTCTGAGGTTTGCGCGCGCGGACCCCCCACCCACCGCAGCTAGCTCACGGAGCTCTAACGTTCTTCTCTTTCCTTGCTTGCCACAGGCCATCAAAGCCCTCAACGACAAGCTGAACCAGGCCCGCGCCGCTTTCGCCCCCCGTAGCAAGTTTTCCTTCAAGTCCTCCCGCCAGTCCGGCGCCATCTCCGCCGTCTCGCACCACAAGAACCCGTCTGCCATCTCGCTCGAGGACGCGGCCGAGCTCGCCTCGCAGCAACGTCTCAAACTCCCAGGAGCGCGCCAGCTTAACGACGCCACCGCCAGCTCTGGAGACACGTCGACCGCGGAATCCAGCGCCTTCGCCTCCCCCGCCGCACCCGGCACGCCAGCGAACGAGGGCGCAGGAGATGGCATCGGCAACGACGGCACGAGCCTTAGCAGTCAGAACGGCGTGGGGCTAGACGGCCACGGCGGCACGGCGCAGGATGGCTTCGTGAACCGACACCTCAGCAGCTCGCAGCAGCAAGGGTCGCCGGTGCGCAAGCCGTCGTTCAGCGGCACGAGCAGCGTCACCATCGCGGGCCATTCCGGCCTGCACATCATCCTGCCGCCCACCGCCTCGCACGCGACGTCGGCCGGCACCATCGCGAACGTGCGCCGCTGCATCGTCGACATGAGCCAGCCCACGGCCGAGGCCAATGGCGGCGCCCCCTTTGCCGGCCTGACGGTCAAGAACGTGCGCGACTCGCTGCTTGTCTGCGGCCGCGTTGCCGGCGCCATTCATATCACCGCTGTCGAAGGTAGCGTGTTGGTGATCAACGCGCGCCAGTTCCGCATGCATGATTGCAAGAACGTTGACGTGTACCTGCAATGCGGGAGTAGGCCAATTATCGAGGATTGCGTGGGCATCAGGTTCGCGCCGTTGCCCGATACCTACGTGAGTTCTGCTTGCTAAACTTGACAAATCTGTTTTTCTATCACTTTTAGATTGAAGATCATTGCTTTAATGAATGCTGACTTCTCTACTAGACCCACGAAGACTCCTCCGCGCAACCGAACTTATGGGACCAGGTCGATGATTTCAAGTGGCTTAAGGCCGAGCACAGCCCCAATTGGAGCGTTCTCCCTGTTGAGTCGCGCATCTCGGAGCACGTGTGGAAGAACTTGGTACCCGGCAGTCCAGACATGGGATTGGAGGAGATATTCAAGGCTGTCAAGATACAGCCAAAGCATTAATTGGTGTTAGAAAGAAACAAGAGACGGTGACAGAGGAGTGATTTCACCAAATTCTTTCCAGGCGTTGGATGGTTGGTGATGACTCTGGGTTCTCCAGGATAGCGATGATATGATAGCATCTATCTCATTAGTACACCAGAGCAAACGAAGGTAAGGTCTCGGTCTTGTGAGCACAAGTTATTTGAAAATGGAAAAACGGCCATAAATGCGGGCAGAATCGACCAGGTAGTTCTTTTTTTTTCTTGCCTGCATTACACATCATTTGAGCGGCCATCTTGTTGAAATACTGCATTTATTTTGATTCCATAGCTTGTACGCACTCATTACAATAATGTGTGGAATATCTCGGTAATTTCTTCGTTCCACGAATTTCTTTTTACACGGCCCTCTTCTTCCTACCGCCACCCTTTCTCCAGTACCATAGCGCCTCTTCTGCGAAAGTCTTGGCAGTCAAATGCCCGCTCTGCTTGTTCACCTCCTCCGACAGCGTATCTACGACGCGATGCTCCTCAACACAGTCCCACAAGCCCCTCGCCAGCATTGACATGTCCTTCTCGTTCTGCCGTTCTAGCTCATCTTCATGCCCCTCCTTCAAAACCTCCGGACCGTCCACCTCGATCGTACCCTCAATTCCAAACTCGCCACGACCGAGCCGGAACAGTATCCGTCCAAGTGTCTGAAAAGCCATGCATCGTTGGGCTGGCACCTTGCTGCGTGCAAGAAGCGCGAGCTCTGGGATCGTGTAGCCTGCCGATTCAGGTGCCTCGCCGTGATGGTGAAGGCCGAGGGTGACGGGCATGTCCCGTGCGACTTTGGGCGGTATTATGGCGCCGTTGAAACCAAAACGGATGTCTTTCGCGTCCAGGCTGCGGAGCGACGGGTGGTATGGCGATTGCTTGTCTGCTGCAGACCCGGGTGTAGGCAGGGGCGCCGCCCATGCGAGCGATTCCGGATCTGCTGCGAGATCAGGGAAGTACTTGTCGTGGAGGTCCTGGAGGAAGTTGGGGTCATTGGGATCGAGCTCGGGCGGTTGCAGAGGGCGGGGAAAGTGAATTGATGGAGCTGCTGGGAGTGAGTTTTCGGGCGCTGCCTCAAGTTTCGAAACATCGACTGCTGCATCGTCTGCTGCGCTGTCTGCCCCGTCGTTCCCTGTATCATCTGCCTTTGCAGAGCCTGCTGATGGCATATCCGTCTCGGGCTCCTCGAATGTTACTTTCTTCTCTGATTTGGGTAATTTTGGTTCAGTAGATGTGCTCGGAGGTGTTTCTGTCTGCGGTAGATCAGTCGTGGAGGAAAATGAGCGCTCATTGCTGCCCTCATCTATGTTTGCTCTCGCCAGTAATCTCTGAATGAATGCAGGATTGAGACTGGCGAAAAGCTCTTGCCTCTCAGCCTCGATCTCTTCGGGCGTCATCGCCGCCAGCCTCATCCTATTATCCTCGTCGATCTGACGACGCTCTATCTCCTCAGCACTAGCACCCTCCCTAGGCACTGTAGCGACCGGAGGTGAGACATCCTCTCTGGTCGGTACAGGCGGTGCGACGGCGGGGCCGGCGGGTTCTCTGTCCTGGCCCTTTTGCCCGGAAGGGTCCTTCGCGGCGTTGCGCTGCTGCTTGAAGGCAGATACGCGCGTGCGTTTCTTGTGCGCAGGGAAGCCGGTGGATGTACTTTTAAACGAGGGCGCTGCGGGTGGCTTCACTTCCGAAGTGTCGCGTTCTTTGACATCGGCAACGAAGCTGAGACCAGGAAAAGCCGGCAGTGCGTCATCGTGCGCTTGCGCGGCGTCCACGCGGTCGCCGATGATGCCGCGCTCAGGGTCGTCGAAGTTGACGTAGAAACGCTCGCCCTTGCCCAGTGCACTCATGGCGGGGAGAAGCGTGGAGCGTGCGGAGAGATGGCGTGGCGGGTTGTTTTTGGCGGGTGCGGTCGGTGAGAGAAGGTTGACGCACTTACCGTAGTTGTACCCTGGTTTGATCGCCCGCCAAGCCCTACGGCTAAAGCTCCGCAACTGTGGCTTGACTGTGGCGCCTTCCGAGAACGAGAAAGATGCAGTTGCCGAAAAGCAATGAACCAGCAGCACGCGCACCTCATGGGGCCTGTGATGCCAGTTGGCCGCGGGAAGCGCAGAGATGATGCTGCTCGGACGGAAGCACCGGCTGCTTCGGACAGGCTTCACCACGACGCCGCAGCAAGACGGAGCACGATGCTGGGATGCGGAAAAGCCATATGTAGCGGGTCTTTGGGGTCTCTAATCGATGAGAGGGCCCTCGCTCTGGCTTTCGCAGGCCCTTGGTCCCCGCGGCTTGTTTAACTAAGTCGTCTCTGAGGTGTCGCACGCTGCGAACGCCGCCCGCAATGAAATGGCCTCTATCGCCCGCTGCCTTCCTCTCCTCTTAACACCCGCCCCGTCCTCCTTCGTCTCTCGACGTCTTCCATCAGCTACCGCTGCTACGGATCTGCGTCCATCAACCATCCCCTGAAACCGAGTTGCGGCGCCCCCGCTGCAGCTGAATATCCGATTTAGGTCGCCCGCCGGTGCCTGGACAGCTGCGTCCCGTCCGATCGTTACGTGCAGTGTCGTCGTCGCCGTCGCGGTGGAGGTTTGCGACCGCTGTCCCTCGCTATTAGGTGTTCGTGCCGGAGACCAGTCCGCGGTTGTCTCTCACTGCACATAATGAGCTCGTCGTCCCCAGACGATCTCTCGACGCCCCCTGGGTCGCCCGACATCGATCCGTCCGGCGCAAGCGCCGCCAACTCCAACGGTCACGGCTCCACGATCCACGTTCTTGGTGGTGCAGCACCACCGCCCGCACCCACGTCCGCCGCTAAATTTAACAACACCACAACCACCTCTGCACCAGCCACCGCTGCGCCCAAGAAGCCGCGCAAAAAGCGCGAGCCTGCCGCCGCCGCCAATGCAAACGCAAATGGCGAGGAAAAGCCCAAGCGCGCTCCGCGCACCCGCGCACCCAAGGATCCCAATGCACCGCCGCCGCAGCGGAAGAAGCGCAAGACTGCAGCGGAGACGGCTGCTGCCGCAGCGGCAACGGCTCCCGCGCCGCCTCCCGCTCATGCGCCTGAAGACAAACCCGCGCCGCCGCCGCCGCCGCAGCAGCAGCAGCACCAGCCCTCAGTCTCGCGGCAGCCTAAGATCACTGACCTTGTGGGCACAATTCCCGCCGCACCATCTCCGCACATAGCACCCAGCAACCCCGAACCCATTCCCAACCCTGCTGTAGCTCATGTCGTTGCTGCAACTGCGCCCAACCCACGCCCGGCTTCGAGCGGTCAGCTGTATGACCCAATTCGCTCGTCCACTGTTCCTGTGACCCAGAACCACCATTCGAGCAGCCTCCCGCCTGTCTCCCCGCCTGCACGCGTTGTCAACCGTGCCAGTGCGTCGCCTTCTATCAACAGTCTCATCGACCCGCCTTCCATAACAAACCAAACCCACCTCACGCAACAAAATCGCTTCCAACCGCCCATGTCCGTCACTTCTGCACCTGCGTCGCCCGCACCTATCCAATCCAAGCCAAATCCATTTGGTCCTCCAAGTGAGACAACGCAAATGTCTAAGCCTCCTCCAATGAACGCAACACCTATGGAGGGCGTCGAACACCACCAGCAACTGCCACCGTCGACGCATCAGCAGCAACAGCCGACGCAATCGCCCTATCCTCCCGCTCAACTGCAACAGCCGCCCCAGTCCCAGCCACAAATGCAGCCGAACCTGCAACCTGTGCCGGCGCCGAAGAAGGCGGAATCTGCTGGGTCGTCTGGTGCGCCAACTCCGCCTGCACCACAGAAGTCCAAGCCCAAAGAAGCCGCACCGCCTCCTCCACTCCCAGGCGGCAGTGGTCTGCTTTCTAGCGTGCCTTTCGTTGGCGCCGCCTCCGGAAAAGGGTCATCTACCGAAGGCACCAATATTTGGCTTACTTTTCCACTCAAGGGCCAGACCAACGTCACTATCAACTTTGCACGTGAGGTCGAGAAGAAGTATGGCTTCGCTGCCCTTCACCCGCGTGTTGCTGCTGCACGGGAGAGGAGACGTCAAATGGCGGCCGCAGCCGCTGCTCTGGAAAGGGGTTCAGGTGCCGCGTCTGCTGACGATATGTCCGTCGACCTCTCGGAGCCTGAGAGTAACGTGGAGATGGGTGGCATGGAAGATGACCTCACGCAAGAGGGAAAGAAGAGGCAACGGAAGAAGAAGGTTGAGGACTACGACAAGGATGACGACTTCATTGACGACACCGAGCTCGCATGGGAGCAGTCTGCCCTCATGGCCAAGGACGGTTTCTTCGTATACAGTGGCCCTCTCCTCACGGAAGGAGAGAAGCCCACTGTTGAGAGGTATGTACTAGAATATTCTCGAAAGCTCGCATTCACTAACCCTGTTTAGGTCGGATGGCAGTGTTGCACGTGGCCGTGGCAGGGGCCGTGGCAGAGGTGGGGCCACTCGGGGAGACACTGCTGCTTCTAAGACCCGTGGAGGAGGTCGTGGCTCTCGTGGGGGCCTGACTACGCGCAAGCCTCGTGTCACCAAAGCTGATCGCGCCATGATGGAGGCGGAGAAGCTGGAGCGTGAGAAGATGGCAGCGAATCTAGCTGCGAAACCCGTGGCACCATATCCTGGAACTGTTTCCTAATTCACTGTACTCTAGTGCATTGACGATCCAGGTATCACCAGCGGGTACCGGACACATTGCTTTCAGACACGATTACCGGGCTGCGACTACACGGGAATTCTGGGATGTTTCATCATGTCCATTGTGTCTTTTTTTATTCAGAGAAGAGGCATTTTTTTCTTGCTGGGTGCCATGGCCTGGAGTTGCTGGAAGGGGTGGAGGTAATGGGGCGTTTGTTGATACTGGCTTTGGGGGCTTTCGGCATTCGGCTGAGTGGCTGTTTTTCTGTTCTTGTTGCTACATCCTTCTTCAAGCATTTCGGGTTTCCCCCTGGGGTTCGGTGGGACCAAAGACATTCAACTTGAATGAGGCGCTGGAGTAACGTGTACCATAGATTAATCCAGGTATGCGATAGAAAGTTCATGAATAATTGGCTGAGCTGGTAGTTTACCATGTGGCAATATTTGTGTTTGTGCTGTTCTTTCGAACGCGGAAAAAAAAAGCAAGGCTGCCTTGAATCTGCAATAGTTGTTGGGCAAAACGAGGCCAGCCAATGATTTGTTTATTTTTTTTCTCTTGCAAACATGTCCTGACGCACTATGAGACTTGTTGAGACATTTCCAAACCATACAACCCAGCTCCAGTCCCTGTCATTATGCGTGGCCTCCAACCAGTCTTTCCTATTGGCACAGTGTAATATACAATATCGTGACGCATGAAATCCCCAATGTGTCTACCTCTTTATTTCAACCTCAGTAGTCCCTTCCACTTGTTGGTGAGGCGTTCGAACCACCCGCGCTCCGGAGCCCGGGAAAGCTCGACCATAAGGTCGTCGTAGTACGAAGGGTTGCTGCGCGGCTTCAACAGTGAGGGCGAGGTTGGGTACTTGTTCGCATAGCGGTTGTCCAGCAGTGAGTAAAGCGCATTGACGTTTCTCAGCTCTTGGGCTTCGGGTGCGGCGGAGGCTGCGGCGGCACGCGCTTTCAGGGCATCTTGAAACTGTACAGTGGGTCGCAGCACGTCTTTGGGCCAGGCGCCGGCGATGCGCGCGTAGTGTTTCGCGATTGTCTATCGGGAAAAGACGCTAAGTCAGAGGGAGCGTTGGGGAAGGCAAGGAAAAGAAGTGCGCGCACCGATGCCATGCTGAAGACCCTGGGCGATTGACAGACGTTGACAGGAGGGGTGGGGTGCGCAAAATGGTGGAATGTGCGGGCGACGGCGATCAAATATCGCGAGAATGGATGGCAGATGGATGACCGCATTACTCCATCCGCTTTGGGCCTAAGGCTGTGGCGGTGCCGCCGAGCGCAGCACCAGTCAGTCAAGCGCCCGGCCCGAGACGTGACAACCACATCGTCGTCTCATCGACCAGCCTTACTCCGCCGTACCTGGACCACCCCCCAGCTTGTCGTTGCCGCCGCCACAAAGTCCCCTTTTCCTACTCCGCCGGAGGTTTTCTGCTTCGACCTGTGCCCTTTCCATCGCTCCCTAGCCGCTCTTTGCATATCAGCTCCTTAACGCGACCGTCGGCCGCCAGCAGCCGCAGCCATGCCTTCGCAGCGCTACGAGCGGGTAAGATCTCCACCCACGCCACGGAGGCACCCCCCTCAATGCGACGTACCTATCGCAACCTCTGCTAACACCAAGTCCTCACTCTCAGGTGTCCGCGCATGACGAAGACGACCATGTATCGTCGTCCAACAGCAACGCTGCCGCCCCAGGTCCGCAATACCCGATACCGTCGTCGCCACCCCCATCGTTCAGATCGCGCGCTTCGTCCCCGTCGCAGCAGCGCCTGCTGAGCGAACACGATCCGCTCTCATCCGACGCCGACCGTGAGCTTGAAGACACTTTCGCCAGCCCTTCCGACGATGAGTCCGACGACGAGCACGGCGATGGCATGGATGACCGCCAGCGGTTAATGCGCGGCCAGCCTGAGTCAAGCAGAAGTGATGATGGTCATGAGGGATCCAGCGAGGAAGAGAGCAGGCCACGTCCCATCGTGCGAAGAGTCACGCAGCTGCCGGCTTTCGTGCCAGGCGGCCGCGTAATCGGGGGTGGGTCGGGCAACGATGGTGTATTTGCGAACCTTAGTGCGAAGCCTAGCAGGGAAGACGAGGCAGAGGAAAAGCCTCCGGTATGTTTTGTGTCCATGCTGCTGTCGCACGATGGATGTTTGCTGACGATGCTTTCCAGTCTTACGAACAAGCGGCAGCAGACGCTACTCCGCCCTACTGGGAAACGACAATTCTCGCACCTGGCCTCCACTCGGACGAAGTCTTCGTGGATGGCCTTCCCGTCGGCTCCATATTTTCCTTTGTTTGGAACGCTATCATTTCCATGGCCTTTCAGCTGGTCGGTTTCTTACTCACTTATCTCCTTCACACGACGCATGCCGCCAAGAACGGTGCGCGCGCTGGTCTTGGTATCACTCTCGTTCAGTACGGTTTCACGATGAAGGGCGCCAGCAATGAGATGGCCGGAGGCACGCCAGATGCCGGGACTGGATTCGGGAACGCACCAAAGGACCCCAACAACGTCGATTTTGATCCTAATGACGTGACTGGCGACGGCTCTGGGAGTGGAAGCGGGCAGATCACAACCAGCGAATGGTTGTCGTACATTCTTATGATTGTTGGCTGGTTTATTCTCATCCGGGCGGTCTCGGATTTCCTGCGCGCAAGACGGCATGAGCAGCTTGTGCTGCAGAGCTCCAACCGTGGTCTCGCTGTGCCAATCGTGGCTGAGGGCGAGAGCCCGTCCCACTCTGTCTAAACAGAAAAAAAGAAAGGCAGAACGGGCCGCAGACGGCACGAGTGACTTTTCCAGGAGTTTTAAAGGTATAGGGAGTAATGCGGTATTTGGAGAACGCTGGCGTGAATCTCAGGAGGACAGGGACACATGGGAACAGCATCCATCGACAGCGGCTACTTGACTTCTTGTTTTTCTTTGTGTGGGTAGTGAATGATATCCTCTCTGGTGCGCTGATTCGCAAGTGAAATTCCCGTTCGGATGTGTACGTTGGATGCATCCCCGCAAGGCCGCCGGGCTCGTGGAGCATTTGGTGGCGGACCCTTGATTCGACACGAGCAGCCCCGCGTCGTACATGGAACACCTGACCATGAGGGGCGTTTCACGGGCTGTTTGATGCGCTCTTTCCCCTCACAACAATTTCCGCAGTTGCGAGAGCGCGTATTCAAAATTTGAAGCCGGTGCCGTCCCGTAGTTTACGACAGGAGGCGCCGTCGCGCTGATCATACCGCTCCGCTCACAGCCCAACTTTCCGCCCCGGAACGCGCCGCCCGCGCGGCCAGCCTCGCGACACCAATCCTCTTCATTGCACCCCTCGTCGAACCGGACGGTCCAGATCCAAGGCTAAACCGGCCAACTCAGACCCACTACACGCTCCCCATCCTTCCCCGATCCACCCTCTCCCACTTCTCTCGCGCCCCGCCCGGACTTTTGTGAGCTTCAGAAGCAGTCGATCTCAACATGGCGGCACCTCCGAACGGCGCGCAAGCGCAGATACAGCCTTGCAGGTACAAGACTGGCAAGACCTTGGGTGCGGGCAGTTACTCGGTGGTCAAGGAGTGCGTCCACATCGACACTGGACGATACTATGCGGCGAAGGTGATCAACAAGCGCCTGATGGCGGGAAGGGAACATATGGTGCGTGGACGCGCTCGTCTTTCCAGCCTCGTATAGGAAGCTGATCGAGGTGCCAGGTCCGCAACGAGATTGCCGTGCTTAAGAGGGTCTCAATGGGTCACCAGAATATCCTCACGCTGGTGGACTACTTTGAGACCATGAACAACCGTAAGCTCGCCCCACGTCTTCCTCAACGTTCCTTTCAGGCGCTGATGGAACAACTCGCCAGTGTACCTTGTCACCGATCTTGCTCTTGGTGGAGAGCTCTTCGACCGCATTTGCCGCAAGGGCAGCTACTACGAGTCCGATGCCGCAGACCTCATCCGTGCCACTCTCTCAGCCGTCGCATACCTGCACGACCACGGCATTGTCCACCGTGACCTGAAGCCCGAGAACCTGCTCTTCCGCACGCCTGAGGATAATGCAGACCTTCTGATTGCCGATTTCGGATTGAGTAGGATCATGGATGAGGAGCAGTTCCACGTGCTGACCACCACCTGCGGCACGCCTGGCTACATGGCACCTGAGATCTTCAAGAAGACTGGTCACGGAAAGCCTGTGTAAGTCACACGCGGCATGCCAGATGTTGAGAGAGAGCAGAGAGGCTGACAGTTCCAAAACACAGCGACATCTGGGCCATCGGTGTGATCACCTACTTCCTCCTCTGCGGTTACACGCCGTTCGACCGCGACTCCAACCTCGAGGAGATGCAGGCCATCCTGGTGGCCGACTACTCGTTCACGCCGCTCGAGTACTGGCGCGGCGTGTCGCAGACGGCGCGCGAGTTCATCAAGCGTTGCCTGACCATCGACCCCACCAAGCGCATGACGTCTCACGAGGCCCTGTCGCACCCGTGGATCGCCGACCCCACGACCAACACGCCCCAGCCCGGCGGCGGCAAGGAGGATTTGCTGCCGACGGTCAAGAAGAACTTCAACGCCCGCCGCACGCTGCACGCCGCCATCGACACCATCCGCGCCATCAACCAGCTGCGCGCCGGCGGCGGCGCCGCGGCCGTCATGGACGGCGCCCGCAGCGGCGAGCCCGGTCGTGATCAGGGTCCCGGCGCCGGAAACATCCCGCGCCCCGTCGAGGGCGAGGAGGAAGCCATGGACATCGATGGCCGCGCCGACGGCCGCGGGCAGACGGAGGAGATGATCAGGGCGCAGGAGCAGCGTATCAGGGAGACGCAGCAGGGCATGTGGGCGGCGCAGCGGTGAGTCGGGTCCCCTTGAGATTAAAAGAATATGTGTGGACGTTTATTGCCATGTCTTGCCCTTTCGTTGCTGTCGGAAAGGCCTACCCTGTTCAATTTTTCCCCCCCTGCATGATGAACACAACTCAAATATTATACCATATTTTCTTCTGTGGGAGCAAAGTCCAGTTACTACGTTCGCAGTGACGCTTGGGAAGAGAGCGAGCAACAGAACATGCATCATGAGCGTTCGGATCTCCAGCACCAGCGGCAACAGCAGCAGCAAGGCGACGATCACCAGTTCACTGGTCCATTGTATGCGAGCAACCTGCACGACTCTCCCGTTAATGCAGGCCCTAATATTCGGGGCGAGTTTGTTGACGAGTGCCTCATGGAGGATGATGATGGGCCTCATCGTCGCCGGCACCACCATTGTTGTTTCCCTTGCGTTTTACTATGATGGGGATGATGGTAAACTTACCCCAGAACGATCCTTTGACCATCCCGTTTCGGGACAGGATCGTTGCCGGTTATGGGGGGTTTAGCGATCGGAGGCGTTGTCGGGATGAGCGAGCGGAGGATGTTGGAACTGAGGGGCGGCTTGTTATGCTATTGTACCTACGTATATTTCTTTTTCATAAGCAGAGTCGGCATAATTTTACAGTATTGATGGAGATTATATATGAGTGTTCCCACGCATGTGGAATGGGTGGCTCGGGGTTAACATTCCTGCGTCACAGAGTAATAGGTACTACGCAGCATTGTATGCTAACTTGCATGAGCTCAGCGATAGGAAGCTTGGATTTAATATCACTCATTGGCTTCACACTCGATTTCACTAAATGTCAGTCTTGCTTCGTCAAATTCGCTGAACCGCTCTTATTTCGACTCCGTCTTCAACTCCGCTGGTATATGATCACAACTTCCGCCTTCAACCACCCATACCCGCATACGCCAGCCTCCTTAAAACTCCGTTCAACCCATCAAGCGTAACTCACGCACCGCCAGCGCTCTTAATAATGCTCTCCATTTCTTTCCCCTCCTTCATAGGAATCCCTTTGTCCATTGTGTCCTATGTTCGGCCTTCGTATGCCCCAGCTTTCCTCATCTTTTTTCTTTACATCTTAGCCTTGATCTCCTCGAACAGCTTCTGCAGGTCCTCCTTGGCAGGGCTGGTGGTCGGCCAGCCAACGCCGAGGCCCTCAGTCTCGTTGGGCTTGGGGATCATGTGGAAGTGGACCTGTGGAAGAAGCAACAGCGTCAGCAACTAGGAGCGTTTTTTTTTCTTTCCCGCATTGGGGACTCTTGGAAAGAGAGTTGGGGTTGTTCTTTTGCATGTGGGAGGGAGGGGTATTATCGTACGTGATCGACAACTTGGTGCGCGATGCGGCCGTTGTTTTGCAGGATGTTGTAGTCCTCGCAGCCGACGGCGCGGGCGATGCGCGCGGCAACGGGCAGGATCTCGGTCAGCTGGTCGTCGGGGATGTCGTGCAGCTTGGCGCCGTGGTGCTTGGGGATGATGAGCTATTTTTTGCGGGGACTTTCGTTAGCAACTAATTGGCTCTCGAGAGTGGGTCTTGGGTTTGCCAGCTCTAATAGGAGCTCTGAAGTTGTTTTGATGTAGGTTATTGTGTGGTGAAAGGGCTCTAGTGAGCCATGGGAGACGTACAGAGTGACCGCGCGACAGAGGTCCGATGTCGAGGAAGGCGTAGGTCTTGTCGCTCTCGAAGAGCTTCATCGAAGGGATTTCGCCTGTGGGTAGAGATTGGATGGTATGCGGTTAGCTGTGGTGTATTCTTTCCTTCCGCTGTAGCTGCGGCGCGACGCAGGAGGGCGGGGAAGTAGAGGGAGCTATGGCTGTGCTGTGCGGCAGGTGGATAGCGTGACGTACCCTTGATGATCTTGCAGAAAATGCAGGAGGCGGCCATTGTTGCGGTGATGCTGCTGTGTTTGCTGAGGCGGAAGGGGAAGCAATGCAAGCGGTCGGGAAAGCAGAAGTTGGGAGCTCGGATGTTGATGGAATGGATAAATGGAGGTGGGGTAGCAACCGGCAAGCTGCAGGGATCACGACCTCTGACGTGAGCAAAATAGAGGGCAACCGCAAATTCGGGCCCTTAATACGATTTTATATGGTAACCGCATAGTAATTGCAATCCTATTAGTCATGAAGGTAGCCGCTTCAGTAACGGCTGTGCTGCTAATAGCTGCATTATTGCTGGTTCTCTTGGTTTTTCGCGATGAGATCTTACTCCGTCGCGTTTTTTCTCGGTCGACGCGGAAAAGCGACTGACGCATGTTCACTACTCTTGCCCATTCGCCGGTCACACCCGCTTTCCTACTCGCTGTCATCGTTCCACTTCCAGATGTCGCGAGCTTCGTAGTTGGCGTAGCAGCGGAATTCGTTGTTGAGGCAGTTGGAGTGCTGGATCTCGAAGTCGGTGGTCCGAACGCCTGCTTTGCCGTACAGTTTGCAGATCATGCTCTCCATGCGCTCGCCCGTGCAGATGATCAGGCGCTGGGCGCATGAGTCCCACGACTTGGCGAGCCAGCGGACGGTAAGGGCGGCTATGTCGGCTAGTGTGAGCGCATGGTCCAACAGCTGGGGGAACTATATATGTTACCCTTTGTCTGGCAGTCGACGCTGATGAAGGGCGGGTCGCAGATAATGCGGTCAAATTGGCCTTTGAGATCAGCTGTTTTCCAGTCAGCATCCGATACTGCTATTCAATGGGGATTTGCGTACGTGGAAGACGAGTGGGGTAAACAAAGTCGTATGGCACATATTCTTTAAACACTCCGAAACGCTCGTCGAACTCAAGCAATTTGACCTCAGGGCGGGCCTTGTACTCGCCAGATCGCTTTATGTTGGGCGATTAGCGTGCGTGGTCTTTCCGTCCTTCAAGAGGTGTCTCAACGTACGAGAAGATTCTTAAGCTGGATGAAGACGCTAGGAGCCGAGACGACGGCTATCTTGGTGTCGTCAGTGGCCCCATCGAGGAGCTGCTTGGCTAGGATGGTGGCAGTCTCGTCGTTGTACTAGCAGCCATATTAATAGGTTCATTCTTTTCTAGTGGCGAGATCATCTTGCATGCCCAGAACTGACTGGCGTTCCAGTCTTCAGTGAAGGCTTCCATGGTCAGAGGCTGGGAGCTCTTGCCGAACTCGTCCTCGGCCGCGGTCTTCAGGTCCTCAAACTGCTTGGCTCGCTGGTCACGCTCGCCAAGGAACTCCTCGAGTGCACTGAGAGCGTGCGCGGATAGCTGGCTGTTCAGGCTGTGTCAGCACACATATTGGAAAGTGAGATGGCAAAAAGCACGAAGGTGGACGAAAGACGTACGGGACGTCATCGTAGTCGTGAATGGAACCCATTGCTTGCATCGGTGGATTCACGGGCTTTTTGACTTTAGATTCAACTTGGATACCTTGGTGGAGCGCGCGGAGAGATCTCTTCCCAAGAGGCGGCGCTAAAGCTTATCGCCGTTTACTTATCTAGCCGAGGCCCGCGCGCCAATCCGGCAATGTCGCAACCGCCTCCTCCGCCTTCATCATCAACCTTCATCATGCGCGCTGATGCGGGGTGTTGCGCTGAAGCTCTACTCCACCATGGCCACCACACTCGCTGCACTTCCAGAGGTTGAGCGCCTCAGCCCCAGGGTCATCCGCATTCTTGGCGGGAACCCGGGAAAGGTAAGTTTTTATTGTTGTTTTCTATGTATTCGCGAAGCTTACCGTCGTATAGTTTACTTTGCAAGGTAACTCGGAAACCTATAGATCTCGCTTGAGCTGTATAGCAGTTGACTAGCCCCAGGCACGAACACCTACCTCGTAGGTCAGGGCCCGAAGCGTCTTTTGATCGACTCCGGCCAAGGCATGCCCGCCTGGATAGACTCACTCAAGAAAGTCCTGAAGGAAGAGAACGCGTCTGTGGACCATGCAATCCTCACTCACTGGCATCCGGACCACGTCAAAGGCGTTCCAGACTTGCTGTCATTCTCACCGACCACCAAGGTCTACAAGAACCAGCCGGATGAAGGAACCCAGCTGGACATCGCCGACGGCCAGCGCTTCGAGACGGACGGCGCCACGCTGAGGGCGTTCCACTGCCCCGGCCACACGACTGACCATATGGCTTTGATTCTGGAAGAAGAAGACGCCATGTTCACTGGTGACAACGTTCTCGGCTCCGGCACCGCTGTCTTCGAGGATTTGGCTACCTACATGGACAGTCTGGGGCGTATGGCACAGCAGTTTTCTGGACGCGCCTACCCTGGGCACGGTCCTGTGATCGAGGACGGCAAGGCAAAGGTGCTGGAGTACATCAAACATAGGCAAGAGCGGGAGGGGCAGGTTCTTGAGGTTTTGGCCAGATCGAATGGGGAGGCATCGAGCTGGCAGTCTATGCAAGTCGTCAAGGAGATTTACAAGGACGTCCCAGAGACTCTGCATGAGGCTGCACAGAGAGGGGTCCTGCAGGTACTTGGTAAGCTAACGAATGAGGGGCGAGTTACTCATGACCCTTCTGCAGAGACGTGGAAGCTGGTTGGTAAGTCTACTCTGTAAGGACTCATGCGGCTCGACTTTGACGATACAATACACGCTTAACTATTTGAAACGATCATTTTACCTTCAGATTGAATGCCAAGGTCCCCAAGACTTGGTAAACTTGAAGTCCAAAAGATGCGTAAAGACATGAGAATAATCATGGACAGATTTGTCAGGTGGCGCTGACGCTTTCCAAGGCCCATAAGGATCATGCAGCCGGACCAAAATTAGAACCATGGCCATGGAGCTGCTGCACATTTCGGTTACACAATTGCCACGTAGCGCTGGGCCTCCACGTTACAGCACAGCCTTGTTCACAACCCAACTTCAACTTTCCTTGCAACCAAGGCTCGCCTTGAAGGACGACACCTATGGCATGTTGGCCTGCTATCAAGTAGCAAAGAAAGAAGTCATCAGATCCGCCAATATAGCGTTCACAAGACTTGTTCGCGATCATGAACCAGCCAAGATTGACGACGGAGGAGTTCGAGAACGCTATCTCGAGTCTCATCACCTCAACATCAGATAAGACTTCCTCCAGGACGTGTTTCGATGATAATGTCTTCGACAAAGTCAGCAACCTTCTTGCCTGTGTTGAGCGGCAGGATTGGAGCCTCCGCCCTAGGACCTATGTCCTGCTGCGCATGATACATCGAACGGATTACATGCACCACTTTGTCCGTCACGGACTGCGAGACATCCACCTACCTTATGATCAGAAACGGCTGCCGAGCTTTCTTGACGACGTCTCGAGACACATGTTCCTGGAGAAGCAATCGGCTGTCCTTACCAAGGCGAATGACTTGGAACTTGAGAATGGCCGCCATAGACACTTCAACTTCGATGCTGATCGCTATTTTCACATTTTGGGAAACCTCGGGAATGGCAAATTTGGGGTTGTTGACCACGTACAGAGCAAACTCTCCATCAACAGATATGCTCGGAAGCGCATCTACAGAGCGAGGCCCGCCATCAGAGATAAAGAAGCCATGAGGTCATTTGAGAATGAACTCGAAAATCTGAAGCGGCTGCGGCACCAACACCTGGTCACCTATATTGGGTCTTACACAGACCCTCATTACGTGGGCATTCTTACCATTCCGGTTGCCGACTATGATCTTCAGTGGTTCCTCAAACAAACCCCGTTCCCAGCAAATGGCGTTTCTCTCTTGCGCCAATTCTTTGGCTGCCTGTGCTCGGCGGTCCAATATCTCCACATCAACAAATGCCGACATAAAGACATCAAACCTGGCAACATCCTTGTCAAGAACGGACAGGTTTATCTGACCGATTTCGGCACAGCGCGAGACTGGAGTGACCATACAAAAGCTACGACTGTGGGCCCAAGTGGACCGCACACCCCCCGCTATGCGGCGCCTGAAGTTATAAACTACGAGCCCAGAAATCAAAGTGCAGATATTTGGTCTCTCGGTTGCGTTTATCTTGACATGTTGGTACGTAAAGCCAAAGCATCCTTCAGGGCGCGTTTGCAATTGTAAAAGCTAATTGAAGATCAGACTGTCATCAAAGGCAAAACGGTAAACGAAATGACCGAATTTTTCTCAAAGTCCGGCTCGGGCGGAACTTCCCCACAAAACAACCGCCAAGCGCTCGATTCGTGGTTGAACCAGCTCAAAGCGGACCGACAAGATAACGAGCCAATCCAGTGGATAACGCAAATGCTGAGTCCTGTCCGTTCGAACAGGCCTTCGGCTGAATCGCTGCTCGAAATAATTTTCGAGTATGAGGATGAACACGTTTATTACGGGTTTTGCTGCTCAACACTTGAAGAGTCAGACTTGGATATCACATATGACGGCTCGGAGTTACTGAACGAGACCGACAGTAAGAGCGCTTTCGGTGCTGTTCCTCCGCTTCCTCCACGCGCTGTAGAGCAACATGATGGTCTCCCAACAAGAGATCCACAAGGCGAGGAATATCCTTATCTGGCACGATCACACAGACACGGTAGCCGGGACAAGTCGCGGAAGGTGACGAGATCCACCGCTGCTGATTACAACGAAAAGCCTCGCACCAGAAGTTGTTGCATACTATGAAGGGAAGTCTCAGCCGAAAGCATCCCATCTGCGTACCGAGCCTCCAAGGCATATGCATGAATATGGCTACTCATCGCCTAGCATACCTTCTACCTCTGATAGGGAAAAGGAGAAAGAAAGCCGAAATGCAACCGCATCTCGAAAGACGAGGACTGCGTACCGGTATCGTCGCGATGGCGGTGTTGCAGTAAGCACGGACGATGACATCTACAATACTATTACTATTGAGCTGGAGTTAGCTTAGTTAGCTGAGCAGAGTATATAGCCGCCTCCCAGTTAGCCACCCTCTCAGCCCTCATGTCTCTCATTCAGTACATCCAATACAGGCGATTTTCATCACGTATTGCAACATCGTCTCCCCCTTTCGCACCTGCGCAACGCTGGTCTTTTTATACCATTTCATCAGCTCCTCCAGTTGTAGCTGCTGCCCCATACTCAAAAACTCCACCTCAGCCACACGCCCTTCAAGCTTCCTCACTCTCTGCCTCAAGACCGCCTCCACACCACTCCCATCTATAGGCCCCTCGCAATCACCTTCAGGCAATCCCACCACCCTCCCCACTTCCCCCGTCCTCATAATCCGGACCGCGCACCCTGCGGGCCCCCACACCTCCTCGTTTCACCGCCGCACCAGCCGCGCCAGCTCGACCCGGCGTGCAGGGCGGCGTTAAGCTGGGCAAGGAAAGACTAGGACGACGAGGGCGTGATGGGGATGGTGGGGATGCGCAGGGCGGTGAGGAAGGGGACGGGGCATGCGGGATGAGTTGCGAGAGGACGATTGGGCGGGTGAGAGAACGGGGAATGGGAGGTGGAAGGGGTTGGTTGGGCTGGTGATGGTGGCGGTCTGTAGCGAATGTACTGGCTCACAAGAGCTGCGGACCGTCATCTGGTTATACCCCTTTAATTCCGCCTTGATGTCCCATGGGCTCTGCGTGTACTCAACGCTCAAATGGGGAAGAAGAGCGCGGTCACGGTATATAGATGTGTAGTTTTCTTCCATTGACGTCCAAGTGCTGGCGATTGACTGCAGTGATAGCCAGTAAATGGCATAAGGGAACAAATTGAAGTTAAAGTGCTTAGTATTGGCGCCCTTGTGCACAATAGGAGGAGAGTACCTGAACAGTTTCGGAATTGGGAGTATGGACTCCTCATCACGCCTTTCCGCCGTGGTGATGATGGGGGATTGAAAGTTGATTTCGTTATTGTGCGGTGGCCTAGGGTGGTGGATGGTGGACTGGCAGCTGTAGAGTTTGGATGGAGCTGTAGGAGTATGGATGGGGGTGGTGTTGTGTATTTGTCGTTTACGATGAGTTGAACGGGCTACAGGAGGCCGTTTTATAGGACCCTTTGGCTCACCCCTTACTTGGAAATCTCACTGCCTTATTGTGAATAACCTCTGCTACATTTACAACTGTAGCATACTGGGTTTCCCGATTGGGAGGAGTGCGCGAGCGCCTAACCGAATGAGGTAGGCCGAAGAATTCTGTTCTGTGATAGAGAGAAAAGACGTTCGATAACATTTCAGTGTCGATCGGATGGCTCCAGTCCATTCCTGGTTCGTCTGGCGAGGAGTGCATGTGGTTGATAACAGTGCTGTGTTGTCACGACTTGTGTTGCGTATACCCTGGTCATCGACGTGGGTACAGGGGGGTATCGCAGCCGACGGCTAGCGTGAATTTATTTTTCGCTCATACCATGGGTAGTTGAATCTATCGTCCGGACGTGAATGTATAATTATTAATTCCACGTTTACATCCTAATGATAGCTTCAACTACCCATAAATGTTCTTTTTCATTAAAAAAAAAAAAGAGTTGAGGCATACTTACGCTATGTTCTAGAGCCCTGCTATTCTTCGCGCTAGCCATCGGCTGCAGTAACCCCCTGTAGAATGGAATGGGATGCAGGCTTATCTGCATGCTTACGCCAAATAGTACGGTGTCAGCACGACCATCACATGGCACGCTTCGAACGATATTGATACAGAATTATCGCGTGGAGAAAAAAAAAAAGTACTACCCACGAGTGTATTGAAGAAGTTATGGCCTTCTTCATCAAACAGTAAAACATGCATAGAATATAGAGTGACTTATGTGGTGCGAGTTGGGCGCATTCTGTGTAGCTTACCTAACTCAAACCGGAAGCAATACGGCCCTCATGATCATTTTCGTGTTCGTGATGTCACTGAAGTCATCCCTGCAGGTAAATTTAGGCAAGCTTTTGAGACGGGGCCACGTAGGGGCCACATAGCTGAGTAAGTTCCCTTATCCGTCCATAGAGCTTGTATGACAACCGTGAAACTTGGAGTACAGGTTGCCACATGCAAGGCAAGATTAATCACAGTCGCTCGCGTCGAATAATCTTTGCTATATGTCACTAAGACTGTGTATATCAGTGCATGATATTGCTTCTCCATTGTAAGTGATCAACGTTGCTAGGAGTGTGATGTCAGCTTAGGGTGACGCTTGGCGGCCTCGCTTCAGCCCGCGGCTTGCATGAGACCCGTGCTATTAATACCTAGTCTAGGAAGGCAAGGCGTAAGGCTTAGAGCTGAGCGGGAATCCTATTCACCCCGCAAAATAGGACTTGCTAACGTGCCCACGCTTATTTGAACTTTGAAACGATCTCCTCGCATCTCGATGATCACATTTCGAACGCGCAGAGCCACCAGAGGGCCCCATTTGAAATGCCCCAGAATTCGAGCGAGCGTCTCGCTGCTTACTTCCCCGCTGCGCCTATCGGAAGCCTTGCGCCACCCCGCCGATATACCGACACCGACATCGAAGAGATAGCGGCCCTTCTCGAGGACCATGAGAAGCAATGGAGCAGTGTTCCTCGCACCTACATCGTCCTCCGAACGATTGGTCACCTGGACCTACTCAATAAACTGATCCAACTCGGCTTCACCGACCACTGCTTCCCCGTCAAGGCATCGGTTCTGCCGCCTCGCCTGCAGCCGTCCGTGCGCAACGCCATCGTGCAGGCCCAATCCATCATCATCACAAAGTCGCTGGACCTGGAAAAGGGAGAATACGGAAAGCACTGGCATTTTGCCAAGGGAGAGCCGCAGCCTTTCAAGGTGATTGGCTTGCTGGGCGCCGGAGGCTACAGCCATGTGCATCGCATCAGGAGCACCATCAGCTTCAAGGAATACGCACTGAAACGAGTCCGCCGCCGTCGAGCGTTCGGGAACAATTCCAAGGAATCCGTGCGCCAATTCACCGCCGAGATGAAGTTGCTCAAGTCTCTGAGTCACAGGCATATGGTGGAATATGTCGGAAGCTACACGGATCCTTCAAACCTTGGCATCTTAATGGCTCCAGTTGCGGACAAAAACCTTGCTGAGTACCTCGAGACCGTCTCGGATCAACCAGAGAATCTACGAAAGAATGAACTAGTCACACTTCGTAGCTTCTTCGGCTGCTTGGCATCTGCACTACAGTATTTGCATGACAGATCTATCTGCCATGGAGACATCAAGCCAGAGAACGTGCTCGTTGACGGTGGTAATGTTTTGTTCACCGATTTCGGATTTTCGAAGGAGAACACCGGCAGCACTACGTCTGGCATCACAAATACGACCCCGCGTTATGCACCACTGGAGGTTCTTTCCGGAGATCCCCGGAATGCATCGGCAGATGTCTGGTCCTTGGGGTGCCTCTTTCTCGAGATGGTTCTTGTGCTCAAAGAGAAAGACGTCTCTTTTCTGAAAGCGTACTTTCTCAGGAATGGATCTAAAGAGCCATACGCATCCAGGAATCCCGATGCTGTGGAGAAGCTGCTCAGGGAACTGAGGTTCCTCGGGAATGGTTTCGACAACATACTGCTGGACTTGATGACCGATATGCTGAAAGAAGACCGTTTCTCTCGGCCAAAAGCTGCCGAAGCACTCGCGATCTTATCAACACCCTCTTTCGACGATCCTGCGGTGCGATTTTGCGGTCTGTGTTGCCTTGGAGATGAGGTTTCTGATTCGCACGATAGCTTATGCGAGGATCTTTACATGCCGGGGGAGAAAGATCCCTTACCCACCTTCTCGCTCGAGGAAAACTTCAGGGAAGTTTCCGCCGACACGATCCAAGCCGCGAGCGACAATCCCCGGGTCTTGGAAAGTTTTGGGGGTCAACCATTCGAAAACCAACAGCCGGAAAGCCAATCACCTGAAATTCGTCCACCGGAAAACGAACCATCGGAAAGCCAACCCAGCGAAAGTCCACCGCTCGAAATAAATCTCTTTGAAAGCGAATCCGTTGGGAATCAGCTATCAAATAGTCACTCCCTCGAAAGCCAACCGCTTTCGGACGAGTCTTCCGACGGGGACCAAATGGAAACATCGGTTGAGAGAGGAGGGCCTATTGATGACAGTACCCTCCAAATCCCAAGTGATCACCAGGAGAGCCATATGGAGGACGAATCAGGCCCGTCGGTTGAAGACAGCACAAAACCAGCAGAAGAGATGTCCATGGAACAACCTCGAGCAAGATACTTTCATGGATCAGCTGAAATCCCAGATTCTGATCAGAAGTCAGATGTAGACAGAGCTGAGATCAAGAACCGTGCTGACAATGCAAATTCAATGCTCGAGATTCCAGGAAACCTTGACAGGCCCACAGAAGAATTCCAACCCGCGGAGATGAATGTCTCATCTATGAGGCTCTTACTGGAGCGTGAAGCCCTCGCTGTCTTTGGAGTTGCGACTGCTGTCAATCTGAAACAGCAGTCATATAAGGCGGTGGGACAGCAAGGAAAATTTATCCAGCAGGAAGACTTTGGCAAACAAGACGTGGATCAGCAGAACAACTTGAACCCACCGGACAGCGTGGGCCAACAGCACCAAGCAGAGCGGCAGGATGAACTGGAACAGCAAAAGGAAATATATCAGCAGTACAAACAGGATCAACAGGATGGTGCGAGCCAGCAAGGCGAGGTTGACCAGCAGGAAATATCGAATCGGAACTTGTACAAGTTCTTGCCATTCAACGTTTCTACGGGACCACCTTCCATCACTGTGTCACAGGACGGGTCCTTACCATCAGACTCTCCGAAAACATCGCCAAGCTTCTCCATACCACGCCTGTTCAAGTCAAAAAACAATGAAAGCCGAAAACCCAAACTTTCCAAGCGCCTTACAACACTACTCCGTCGGCCCCTATCTCGCAACAAAAACCCGGAAAGCTCTCAAAGTAGTAAGAGCTGTCTTGTTCAGATTTGCCAAGAAAACAGAAAAGGTATTTAACATATTGAGCTATCCAGGCCCGAAAACGTATATGTCCGCTGACATCAAAGTTATAGGCATCTTCGGTGCCAGTCTCGAGGATACCCTCAAACATGCCGGGGTGGCAGTAGGAATCTTTGACGAGAGCGATGAAGCATATGTTTTTGGATCAGTGCCTCTTGTAGTGGCGCAATGTGGTGTGTTTCTGAAAGAAAAGGGTAAGTTTATCCCAGCGTCATGTCAGGAAGGTTCTTATGCTAACTGGATCCAGCCCTTGATGTCAAAGAGATATTCACCATGAACTCCGATGAGATGGTGAACTCAGATCTATGTCTGGAGTTCAACGCCTCCCCGCATTACGGCAAAGACATCGACTGGAGCAAGTATACCGCGCAGGACGCGGCAAACATGATCATATACTATCTCGAGTGGCTACCCGGGCCCGTGATTCCCCCACAGCTGTACAACAGGTTCACGCAACTTGTTCGCGACGAGGATTTTGTTGCATCTTTCGCAGCGGGTAAAGCTTTGCCAAATGCCGAGTTTTGGATCAAGCACTACCAGCAACTGATTCAAGAGCTGTCTCTCGCGAACGCGCGGCTGCTGCTCTATCTTCTTGATGTCCTGGCCGTGTTCACCAGCGACTCGGGCATCAACCGCATGAACTTTGAGCGGCTGGCAAAGCTGTTCACCGGGAGCCTTCTGAAGGGCTTGAATCACGAGTTTAATGACAGCAAAAGCTACCTTGTACTTGTTTTCCTTATAGTGAACTCGAACAGGTTCCTCTTGAGCGGGTTTGTGGAGTCAAATTGGCGATACAAGGGCGATTGATCATTTGTCAATGCACATTAAAGGGGATGTCTATTTTGTTTCATATTATACCAATACGTGTACATAATCTATCTTCAACCCTGAAAAATCCTCTTTGAAAGTTTGCGCGCTGATTAATTGCGGTTTTATTTAGTGCTTGGCCTGACGAAAAGTTGATCACAGTTTTCAACACATCTGAGAAGTGCAACGGCAGAATCTTTCCGCAATAACCTTTATATCTAAAGACTTGGAAGGCGAAACGCCACTGACAGACAAATCGCCTTTCCTTGAGTCCAACGGGAGATTCCTAGACGGTTGCTCTCTGTAACATAGAATATGCGACTCATTGGCATAGTCGTTCTGGAGCGCCCAAATGTCGTCGCATCTTGCAATACCGCCGGCCTGATTTCCCTACCGGTCGCTTTATCCTTTACCCACTCCACATAACCGGGGAAAATCTTCCAATAAGCCTACAAGAATACTATCACATGTCAACCATATCGCAGAGCATGGCATGTGCGAAAGCAGCCAACTCTCCCGGGCTCGGAGAGCCCTCCAAGTTACGGAACATGAGATAGCATACTCCAGCAAGAAGAAGAGAGGTCGTTTTTAACTTGATCAACAAACTATGTGCTCATACACAAACTATATGAACCAGAAAGCTAGTTTGTGTATGGTTCGTGTATGAGCGCATAGTTTGTTGATCAGTCATTTAGGTTAAGGTTGCTCCTCCGCCTATCGTGGAGCTAAGACCAACGTTACGGCGACCACACACCATCACTTCACACATTAGCCACATATCCACAGTATCAGCAAAAAAACACTTTTCTTGATCCAAAAAGAGATTTCATTCAAATCGACCCTTCAGGTCCGCTTACTTGACTTCGCCTCAAGCGAAGCGGGGAATGCACCCCTCCTCCCTCTAACCCACCCCTGCTGTGCAGGGGTGTTCAAAAAAAAAAACTCTACCGACACTGCAACCCCGCCAACCTCCTCTGCCTCCTCAACCTCTCCTCAAAATCTCTCACCTTCCCCTCCAGCTCCTCCCTCTTTTTCTTTGCCGCGTCCTCCTCCTCCTCCTCACCCCTCCTCCTCGCCTTCTCCCCCAGCCTCTCCTTCACCCCCTCCACCCACCTCACATCCAACCTCCGCCCGCCGACCGCCACCCGATCGCACGCCTCCCACCTCCCCACGAGCCCGGGCCACTTGCCCCCCAACCACCCGCGCATCTCCTCCGCCGCCGCCGGCTCCACGGCGCCCCTCCGCGCGAACCCGGCCGTCCGCCGCACCACCTCCTTCACCAGCCTTCCACCCTCGTCGTCGTCGCTGCCCTCGCCCTCGTTGAACCCGGTGGCTAGGGTGTCGACGGCGTCGACGAACTCGGCGAGGCTGAGCGGCGCACAGCGCAGGCGGGATTCGATAAGGGCGCGCAGCTCTGCCTCGGCGACGGGCACGCGCAGGGCGCGGGCGGCGGCGTGGAGGCGGAGGAGCTGGCGCCAGTTGTCGATGGCACCGGCGGCTGCTGGTAGCAGCGGTTGGGTGGCGGTGTTTTGTGAGGGGTGTTGGCAGGATTGCTTGAGCCACTGGATGAGCAGCTCGAGGGCGGCGGGGGTGCAGGAGGTGGGTGGGAGGGTGATGGTTCGGGAGGGTTGTTGGGTGGGTGTAGCGGAGGGCGAGGAGGAGGAAGAAGAAGGAGCGGGGGATGAGGAGGGGGTCGATGGGGTAGTGGTGGTGGTGGTGTTGACGCCGTCGGCGACGGTGAGTTGGGCGGCGGCGAGGTGGGAGAAGGCGAACAGCATGCGGCGGGGCAGCGAGGGGATGGTGTGGGTCATGCCGATGGAGGGCATGGGGAGGGCGAGGGAGATGGTGGGGCCGGTGAGGAGGGCCTTGCGAGCCGAGTGGGGGAGTCGGAGTGGATTGGAGGTCGTCATGACTTACCGGTGATGGATATTTTTGGGTTGAACCTGTGTGAAATGGTAAGATATTATTCCCAAGTTAATTTCGTTTGAAGGTAAGGTTGGTAGTGTCGGAGCTGGAACGTTTGTGGGAGGTGCGCTGAGTCTCAAGTAGATATAAGACGTCTGGCGACATCATTGTTTCCATTGTCCGTGAAATGGATCGCGCAGTACAGACAAAGCCATGTTGTCTTGAATTGTTCGTGAACAATGTCGTAGTTTCGAACATGACGTAGAACAAAGAAATGCTAGAACTTCCAAATTCTGGTCCGGACGATAGCTCCAACTACCCATGTATGTTATTTTTCGAAGACAAAGCTGAGGCATGATCACTTGGAGATATCGGGGTTTTCGGCGAGTTCTGAAACGACTCAAGATTTCGGCGAACGGGAAGTTTAAGTGCGAGGCGTATTTGTAAGTGATAGACGCGAGTGCTCGGACTCGGTGTCCTTGGCGCGTAAATAGGCTTTCTCAACTGCACCGCATGACCCCTTTAACCCGTTGCTATGCGAGAGGCATGTCTGGAGTTACGAATGCAGAATCGAAAGGGAAACGTACGAGCCTCGGCAAAGGGGCGTTTTGTGAAATGTTGAAAGGGGAAGCTTTGCTGGCGGCTTGGCGGTAGCCACAGTAAAGAAGGTGTGGATCTGTGGCGTCAGCCATGCAGGTGCAATCTCCGAGGCTGAATGCTTCTTGAGACATGAAATCAAGATTTCCAACGTGTTTTGGGGTCTTGCATGTGTGTTCAGGTGAGGGATGTGTCTTTGGTAGGAAGGGGGGAATGCAAACGACGGGTCGGACCAGGGATGTGGGCGGGGTGTTGGTGCTGCGATGGATACGTAGATGGCAAGATGGACCAAAGAGCCAAGAGCGGGACGGCGCGTAACGGCCGACAAGGTCGACTTGTCTGTGATCGTCGTGAATCCAGATGCGATGTGCAGGGCGGGAGTTGCCGACGGCCGAATGGTGTGAATTTGCGGGCCTTCGCTCGGTTTCGGCAGGCTCTGAGCATCCGGGGAAACTTACGTGGCCGAATATTTCCAATCGTACGTCCTGCAATTTTTTTTTCTCTTTGACTGTTTGGCTTTTCTTGGTACGCGGACAAATGCTTTAACTCCGGCCGAAAGAACGAGGGCGCAGCAACGAAGGAAGGACTGGCGCGCGTCAGGCCTGACTAAAGCTTGTCTGCACATGACCCCATTGTCACCGAAGGACCGGGATAACTCTAGTAACGGAAGTAGGTAGTAGTTGATGCCTGAAGGGCTGGAGGCTGCATGTAGCGTAGTCGCATGGGTCGGCGATCCCGACGCGGTGGTTCTTCAATCCGAAGACGGAGTGCTACTGTACAACGACGGCGCGCTGTTCACCGCTGACAGAAAGAAGTGGCACGGTCTCACCCCACCCTTCAGCACTGCCCCTTTCGGCTTCGGCGTGTGGAGCGGCGAAAAGGCGACACGGTGTTGCGAGTGAGACATCAGAAAAGGGAAGGAGATGCGATACGACCGATTACGTCCGTTTCAAAACCCAGCGCCGCTCGATTTTCATGCCGGCAAGCGGATCCACAGCCTCGGCCGAAATGTGCCAAGCCCGTGCACAACTAAGTTCTAGAAGCCGCGACGGAAGGAGCCTTAACTAGAACCAGAGCCGCAAAAGGCTTGTCTGCCGCTGTGCCGCCCTGATTGGCCGCCATTCCGGATGCCGGTCTGCAAAGTAGCCGAGGCGCAAAAGTTGTGCACGATCAGTCAGCCGGCAGATGGCACGCACACGGGCGCTTTTGTGCCCGAGCGTGATGTCATCTAGGCCCGCTGTAGAGATTCTCTTAACGCCGCTACAATGCATCCAGCCCACTGGTTCTTTTATAGTACGCCCTGTCTCGCTCTCCAACCTGCCGATCCACAAACCGCCCGTCGCTCACAATCACAGCGCACCCCTCCCTGCAAACCGCAGTGCGCTTTATTCACACCTCACCTGACGCACAGACTCCCTTTGAACAAAAATGGCGGCCGAAAAGGACGTCGAGTCTGGCCGCATTGCGAGAATCTCGCATTTCAAGCGTGTCTTCGACCAAGCAGCAATCAACGACGACATCATCAACGCACACTATGAAGGCGCCGGAACCGAAGAAGATCCTTACATCGTCGCCTGGCTCGATGACGACCCAGTCAACCCCATGAACTACCCCATCGTCGTCAAGTGGACCATCACCGCCCTGGTTGCCATTGCCACCCTGGCCGTCGCTTTCGTCTCATCGGCCTACTCGGGTGGCATTCGCGAAATCATTGTCGAATTCGGTGTCGTCCAGATCATCGCAACACTAGGTGTCTCGCTATTCGTCTTGGGCTTTGCCATTGGTCCGCTGATTTGGGCTCCCATGAGTGGTGCGTTCACATGTCCTGTTTCAGTAATCGCTAAGACAAGTGCTGACACGCTGCAGAACTGTTTGGTCGCCAGTTCCTCTTCTTCGGCACTTACATGCTTCTCACTGCCTTCAACGCTGGCGCCGCCGGTGCCAACAGCATTGGAACCTTGATTGTTCTGCGATTCCTCGCCGGTTCCTTCGGTTCCTCGCCGCTTACCAACGCTGGTGGTGTCATTGCCGACATGTTCCCTGCTGCCCAGCGCGGTCTGGCTACCAGCCTGTTCGCTACTGCTCCCTTCCTCGGTCCTGTCATTGGCCCCATCGGTAAGTAGCTCTCTTATACGTATTACGAATGGCACTAACGCATGTGCAGTCGGTGGCTTCGTCGGTCAGACTGTCGGCTGGCGCTGGGTTGAAGGCGTCATGGCCATCTTCACTGGTGTTCTCTGGCTCGTCTGTGGCCTCTTCGTCCCCGAGACCTACTCTCCTGTCCTCCTCCGCAAGCGCGCCGCTAAGCTGTCCAAGATCACCGGCAAGGTCTACATGAGCCGCGCCGATGCCGAGCAGGGCAAGGTCACCATTGGCGAGGCCTTCAAGACGGCTCTTTCTCGCCCCTGGATCCTGCTGTTCCAAGAGCCCATCGTCCTCTTGCTCTCCATCTACATGGCCATCATTTACGGAACCCTGTACATGATGTTCGGTGCCTTCCCCATCGTCTACCAGCAGGGCCGTGGTTGGTCCTCTGGTATCGGTGGCCTGGCATTCCTGGGCGTTGCAGTTGGCATGCTTGCCGCAGTCATCTACTCGATCTTCGACAACAAGCGCTACATCAAGGTCATGCAGAGCTCGGCTTCTGGATTCGCCCCGCCCGAAGCCCGTCTGCCCCCGGCACTCATCGGTTCCATCGCCATGCCTATCGGTCTGTTCTGGTTTGCGTGGACCAACTACCCCAACATCCACTGGATGGCTAGTATCGCAGCTGGCGCGCCTTTCGGCTTCGGCATGGTTCTGGTCTTCCTCTCCATCATGAACTACCTCATCGATGCTTACCTCATCTTCGCCGCCTCGGTCCTCGCCGCCAACGCCGTCCTCCGTTCGCTGTTTGGTGCCGCATTCCCGCTCTTCACCTCGTACATGTATGCCGACCTCGGCATCCACTGGGCCTCGTCCATCCCCGCTTTCCTCGCCCTCGCCTGCGTGCCCTTCCCCTTCCTCTTCTACAAGTACGGCCCGGCCATCCGCGCGCGCTGCAAGTACGCTGCCCAGGCCGCCGCCTTCCTCGAGAAGCTCAGGGGCCAGGCTGCCGAACAGACACCCGATGAGGATAGCGTCTCTGACGCCGAGACGCAGAAGGAGGATGAGACGGTTTCTTCGCCCAGCACTTCGCACCACCAGCACGAGCAGCGCGAGCCTGTGGACGAGAGCCTCGAGGATGACGACCACAAGGAGGACGAGGGCCGCTTCGCAGCCATCAAGACGCAACCGAACCAGCTGCACAAGACTCACACCAACGCCAGCACCCGCACCGCCCGGAGCGTCACGTACGAGGCGAACCCCTTCGATATCGACCGCGTCAACACGCACGAGAGCTTCGCTGGCCACAAGACCAGGAGCCGCGCCAACTCGGTTGCCAGGAAATAAGCACTCTTTCTGCATTGTAAAAAAATGTTTTCAGCTGTTTTTCAGTTCAGCCACATACCCGCATGGTTTTGAGCGCCGGAGTTGGTCTGGGTTTTTCATGATATCACAATGAGCGCTTGAGTCGCATGTATAGAGGGCGTGGTACATATACACCAGCGCCATACGGATGTAAAAAGCAGCCTCACGGCACGATTACGAGCTTTTTATAGTAGTGGTATTTTCTAATGACGGGGAAAGAGATAGCGCGTTTGATACCAAGAAATCTACACTTTCAAAGCAATCTTCACATCTACAATCATTTTGGCTCGTGATCTGGACCATGCCACCACCCTAGCTTGACCCACCGCCAGGAGATCTTATATCGATCAAGATCGACGGCTCCCGAGCACCTGGTTGCCGTTATGGCGGGTAGATCCGCGCAGCAGGCTCAAGGATGTGGTCCGGAGCCGTCCCGATTTGGGCAATAAGGGCACGGATATGCAGGTGCCGCCCATTTCAGGGTGGAAGGATGGTGATGTTGTGAGAGCACGTGAGAGGTATGGGCGTGGCTGCGCTGTGGCTGGCTCTAGATCAGGGGCCCGCCCATCGGCCTGCGCCTCGGCACTTTTTCTTCACGCAGCCTTGCGCCCAACCTCAGCCAGCCCTGCTTCTCGCCATGACTGAGTTTAGCACTAACCTCCCCCGCCTTTCCCTGATATGGGAATGGATAAGCCTCCAGACTGGCCTAGCGTTGCCCGAATAGCGGATAGAAGCCACCTAATTTCCTCAATTGCCAGCTCTAACCGTTATTTTCTCCGTCTTCCCGTCAACCGCCGCTGCCAAGATCTAGTTTCCCTGTCATGTAGTTCAGCTATTCTATCTATACTTAATGAAAAGCGCCTCTCTCTCGCGTGCTCCCTCGCTGCTGCAACCCTTCCAGTCCCTCGACTCTCTTTCAAGTAGCGCGCATGCGCAGTCACTCTTTTACTCCTTTCTTGCACTCTCTCTGACCCACAAAGTCGCCCGCCCACCATGCGTGGCGCATCCTCTCTTTTCTCACTGTTGCTGTCATGCACTATCCTGCTGAGCGATGGCGCCAGCGCCCAGGGTCCGCACTACAAGATCGCTGAAGTGCAGGACATGGTCGATGGCATGCTGGACCAGTTCAAGCAGTACGCAACCTTCCAAGGCGCTGACAAGGCTCCGCTGCCCATCGATCCGCACGCCGAAGCTCCCACGAATCTGAACGGCACCGCTGTTGTTGCAAAGCGACAGACGTCGTCGTACTGCGCGCCGTATTGGCTGGAGAACATCAAGCATCAGGGGAAGGCCGCGTTTAATAGCAACTCGACGTATGCCGTGTTTCGGAACGTCAAGAGCTATGGAGCCAAAGGTATAACTTTTCGCATGTCTGGCTTCCGAACCGTTGAGGACTGACAAAGTCGGGTATCTAAAGGTGATGGCGTTACGGATGACACGGCCGCCATCAACCGCGCTATGAAAGATGGAGGACGCTGCGCTCCTGGTACATGCTCGTCGAGCACTACGACGCCGGCCATTATTTACTTCCCTGCTGTGAGTGCCGCCATGCTATCTCATGGTCGGGCGCTCATAATATGATCCAGGGCACTTACGTCGTCTCCTCTTCCATTGTCGACTACTACAACACCATGATCATCGGCAACCCCAACTGCCTCCCCACGCTGAAGGCTACTCCCAACTTCTCAGGCTTTGGCGTCATCGATGGCAACCAGTACCAGTCCGGTGGCGCGCTCGGCTGGGGCGCTACTAATGTATTCTTCTCGCAAGTCCGTAACTTCATCATCGACTTGACTGCCATCCCGGCCTCTTCGAGCGCAACTGGCATCCATTGGCCCGTTTCCCAAGCCACGAGTCTGCAGAACATCGTGTTCAAGATGTCTGATGCTCCCGGAACCCAGCACCAGGGCATTTTCATCGAATCCGGTACGTTTCGTCCATTTACTTTGAAGTGTCGCACTAATTTCCAAAGGCTCTGGCGGCTTCGCCAACGATCTGATTTTCTACGGCGGCCTCAACGGCGCTGTCTTCGGCAACCAGCAGTTCACGATGCGCAACCTGACCTTCTACAACGCCGTGACGGCCATCAACCAGATCTGGTCGTGGGGTTGGACGTACAAGAGCCTGTCCATCAACAACTGCACCACCGGCGTCACCATGAACGGCGGGGGTCGCACCGCGCAGACAGTCGGCTCCGTCACCATCCTCGACAGCTCCTTCACCAACACTCCCGTCGGCATCCTCAGCGCTCACGACTTCTCCTCCTCTCCCGCCACGGCCGGCAGCTTGGTCCTGGAAAACGTGAACTCTCCCCTTCTCCCCCCCCAACTCCTCACCCCCTTAACTGATTCCACCCCAGATCCAACTCACCAAAGTCCCCACCATGGTCAAAGGCCCCTCCAGCGTCGCCCTCGCCGGCACCACCGGCACCACGACCATCAACGCCTGGGCCCAAGGCCACGCCTACACCCCCTCGGGGCCAACCAACATCATGAACGCCATCAGCAGCACCACCCGTCCCGCCACCCTCCTCAGCGGCAGCACCAAATACTACGAGCGCTCCAAACCCCACTACGGCGACGTAACCCTCAGCCGCACCCTCTCCGCCCGCACCATGGGCGCCCGCGGCGACGGCCGCACCGACGACACGGCCGCGCTGCAATCCGCCATCACCTACGCCGTCAAGTACAACGCCCTGCTCATCGTCGACGCGGGGACCTACAAGATCAGCCGCACGCTGTACTTCCCGCCGGGCCTGCGCGTCGTCGGCGAGGCGTACCCGGTCATCATGGCTGCGGGTGCGTTCTGGGGCGACATCAACGTGCCTCAACCCGTGATCCAGGTCGGTGGGAGTGGCGCGGGGCAGTCGACGGCGGGAAGGGTGGAGTGGTCCGACATGATCGTGTCGACGCAGGGCGCGGCGCCCGGCGCGCTGCTGATACAGTGGAACCTGGCGGCGCCGAGTGGCAGCCCCAGCGGCATGTGGGACGTCCACACGCGCGTCGGCGGGTTCGCTGGGAGCGGGCTGTCGTACGCGGACTGCCCTGCCACGCCTTCCGTCGTCGCGACGTCCGCGAACATCAAGGCTGGGTGTATCGCTGCCTACGCCAGCATGCACGTCACGAAGGCCGCATCGGGGCTCTACGCGGAAAACGTGTGGCTCTGGGTCGCCGACCACGACGCCGACGACAGCCAGCTGCGGCAGATCACGATACATGCCGGCCGCGGCTTGCTGGTCGAGAGCGCCGGTCCGACCTGGTTGGTCGGCACGGGCGTCGAGCACCACGCCAAGTACCAGTACCAGTTCCGCAACGCGGCCGCCGTCTTCGCGGGCCAGATTCAGACCGAGAGCGCGTACTACCAGCCGAACCCCGACGCTGGTGCTGTGTTCCCCGTTAATACGACCATGGGGGATCCCGTGTTTACGGCGGCGACGGCGTATAATGGAGATAATAAGAGTGGGTGGGGGCTGAGGGTTGTGGATAGCAGCGTGTTGGTGTATGGGGCCGGGTTGTACAGTTTTTTCAGTAATTACAGCACTAGTAAGTTTCCCCCTATTTCCCTTTCCCTCCCCGCTTTATCGAATCCGTTGGGAGGTGGATTTTGGTTCGTCGTTGCTAACGTAAATATAGCTTGCTCCAACGCACCCGGTGGCCAGTGCCAGACCCGCATCATGAGCGTCGAGGGCAACAGTTACGTTTCGCTCTTCAACCTCAACACCGTCGGCGCCAAGAGCATGATTTCTCGCAACGGCGTCGAGGTTGCTAACTACAAGGACAACCTGAACGTGTACCCGGACACTGTTGCCCTGTACCGTAGCAAGTAAGCGCGAGTGCGCTTATTACAGGGGGTTATGCGGAGGGTGGATCTTACGTAGTTTTTATTATATAGAGAAGATACATGTACGCGTTCTTCATATTTGGCTTCTGCGCGTATGTGAACGTGGTTGAAGAGTTCGCTCACTGAAGCTGTCCAACTAAGTTAGTACAGTTCAGGCAATTTATCTTTAATATCTTGGTCATTGGCTTCCATTTGTCTGTCAGTGGCGTTTCGCCTTTTAAGTCTTTAGATGTAAAAGTTACTTCGGAAAGATTCTACTATTATATTTCTTAGATATGTTAAAAATAGTGATTGAATTTATAACAGGTTAAGTCTTAAATAAAACTATAGTTAATTGGCGTATATAATTTTAAAGAGAATATATTAGGGTTAAATATAAATTATATACACGTATTAATATATTAGAGTATACTATCTCATGTTTCGTAACTCGGAGGGCTCTTCGAGCTTAGAAAAGCTGGCTGCTTTCGCACACGCTATGCTCTACGATATAGTCCGCGCGTAATAAGATTCTTACAGGCTTACCGGACGCTTTTTCCTGGTTATATGGGGTGGGTAAATAATAAATCTGTGGGTAGAGATAGGCAAGCCGGCTCGGCAGCATTGGAATATAGAACGACATTTAAGCACTCTATGACGACTATGACAAGGGGCGCAGATTCCATCCTACGGAGAATAGCCGTCTAGAGTATCTCCCGTTAGACTTGAGGAAAGGCGATCTTGTCTGCGTTCTTACTGGTGGTGAGTTCCGTACATGATACGATCTACCGATCTACCAGAAATGGGAAGTATGTAACTATACATACGGGATTTCGTACAGCAACAAGCACATGCTCTTATCACACACAATGAAGACAAGTATATTCCGTTGTTCACCGTGCGCTTCCGTACCAACAAACACAGGTGTCGATCTTGACTTTTGTAAATTTCGAGCCTTTTCTAATCTGGTGTTCCTTAACATTCCCATCCCATTCTCCCAGCAAGATCGTGCCGAAGCTCGAAGAATAATTAAGCCACTAAGAAATCCCTCACAGTAACGGATCGACGGCCATCAGATCATCTTATCCTGTGCTGCTTGCACCATGTGCAGGAGTGTAACATGCAATATCGACACTCCCAGATGTACTGCCAGAGCTCACCGCCACATACCTCGCACACGTGCGTACCGCGAACGTAGAGCCAATTCCCGTGGTTGCAGCCCGGGTTCTCGCGCAGGCGTTGTGCCACCATTTCAGCATTCAATCCCCTTGTGGCATTCCTACCTCTTCCGTGTAAAACTTGCTGGACTCGCTCTAAGAGGCGATGTTCATCCGCTGAACGGCAATTACACTCCTTCCAGCACTCACCACACAAATAGCAGAACTGAGCCCCACAGCGGCAGCTGTATTAGTTTGAGCACGGTCAGCAATCACCGTGAAGAATGAGAAGAAAAAGAAAAGAGTACAGGAATCTGAGGGAGAATCTGGATCACGTACCTAATGTGATAACAACCAGTGTTCAGCTCAACAAAGTGGTTGCAACTGTAGCAACGCTGCCACTCATCTCCGCCAGCTGCACGTAGCAGCTCCTTCATCGCCTCATCTCCAGGGCAGTTCTCCTCGCCAACTTCGTGCGCTTTCTCATTGCAAACCACGCAAGTCCGAGCTGCGCACTTCGGACACGTTCCGACCTTCTCGTCATCCGCAATTTCTGTTGGCGAGATCCAAGTAGAGCAAGTGGATATGTGGCAATACTTCTTTCCCACCGTCTCCAGCTCAGGTCGCTTGCGCTCGAAGTCGCGCGCTGTGTCGGCAGATAGGTAGACGCGGACGTCATCGAAGGAGATGGTTTGGCTACAGCAGCGCGGCGGGAAGACCATTTCGTCGGTGAGCGAGAGTGAGAAGAGATGGTCAAGGCAGGCCCGACAGTAGCGGTGTTGGCACGCGGACAGCGTTGTGACGTCAAAAAACGGGTACTTCGAGCGGCAGATGTCGCAGATGAGGTGACTCGGTCTCTCGCTGTCTTCATCGTCATCGCCAATGGGGGCTGGGCGCTTGCCTTTGCCTTTGATGGCTCCCTGAGTGGATGACTCGCCCGTTTCGATATCGTCGTCAATGGCGCGGGCGTTGTGAACGATGTCGTTGGTTGACTGAGGTGAGGCTGCGGTGAAGGGCTTTGTGTCTTCTGCTTCCGAGACATTGGAAATTGTTGGCTTGGACGGAAACTCCTTCAAATCCTCATTGTGATGGTCGTCGGTGGTGGTGACAGTGGCCTCCTCATCACCAGCAGAAGTAGGATTCGTAGTAGTATCAGAAGCAGGGCCTTCAGTAGCAGCACCGCTACTGTCATCAGCATTACTACGGTCTGCAATATGACGAGCGGAGCTCTGGTCTCTGGGCGTAGCTCGTGTTACTTCCGCTGTGGTGGTGAGGATGCGTCGGCCGGCCTGGACCTCGCGCGCTATCCTGCGGTCATCGAGAATCGTCTTCTGGGTCGAGAGTTCCCGCTGGTAGAGCTGAAGCGCGTACGTCCGATCACTCGCGGCCTCGCCGTTGCCATTTCTTTCGTCGGCTGCGGGAGCGAGGATTGACGCAAGATCTTCGAGCTGAAGTTGAAGAGCTAGCGCAGCGGTTTCGTCGTCGGCCTCCATGGTGCTCACGGAAGGAGCGTTGCACGGCGGAAGGAGGACGCGTAATCAGTAGGCGGGCATAGGAATGGAAGAGCGGGTGTTCAGATTTTCAGTGCGTGTGAGACAAGTAGCGGCCTGTATGAAGCGAAAAGGGAAGGCACGCACGGCGCCGGCATGTGACAGGCTAAAATGAACATGGTGCATGGGTTCAAAATCACTACCTAACTGTCTCCAGGGTAACGGGTATTGCCTACTGTGAACGCGCACTGCTGTTCTGCGCTTGTTGCTGTGTCATCATGGAGTGTTTAGTTGTCGCCTCCTTGTTCGACGTGATTGTGCTTTTGTGGACACCCTAAAGATGGCATTCTTACTTCTTGTTAGAAACACTACAACACTAGGCTTGAGATACTGAGAGAGAATGGAAAAACGGGAACAGCCAAGTCAGAAAAGATGGGAGAGGTAGCTATTTTCTTGACCTCATTCCTTTTTAATTGTTGATACTTCAGGAAACCAGTTCTTCATCAATCAAGGCTGCGTAACGACATCATTTGGAGTTGCTGATCATGCGGCAGGATCAGAAAGAGGACTGCAGCATTACCAACGAATGGAGACAGCGGAGCCGGATATGCTAAGGATTATTGCTGGTTACCAAAATTTACACAGGCCGACAAACAGTGACAGCGTGGTGAGTTCATGTTTCTCATGGAAGTATACTAAAGTTTGTATTCACAGGGAAGACGACATAGATGCAATTGAGCAAAGGCTTTTGTACTCCGGTGAACGCTCAGGCAGCGCATGCGTCACGAGCGCTCCGACATTCAAGACCGGCGCACCATATTAGGGCGAACATCACCGTGCACCAAAAAAGTTTAAACACTTTTCATTCAGAGCATATCCTTCTTAGACGCCGAACTCCCTTCCCACCTCCCAAAAAGTCCCACGATCAATCCCTCGCCGCGGCACTCATCACTCTCGCCTTCTCTGCTTGCGAAAAACACGCCTCGCCCTGCTGCAGCGCATGCACGAGCAGCGGCAGCGCCGCGTCCCCGAAATCCGGAGCCCCGCGCACCTTGTCCAGGTCTTCGGCCAGCTCCTGCGTGACGGTGCGCAGGTACCAAGACGGGAAAGCGGCGGCGGCGGCCGAGGCTGGGAGGGCGTCGGATTCCGAGTCGGATAATGAAGAAGAAGAAGAGGAAGAGACGTCTGAAGCGGACGAGGTCTTTATTCGTGTCAGTTCAGAAGCACGCCACTTTCTTTACATCTGGGAAGGAAGAGAGAGCAAGAGATAGGTGGTGATTGGTAGGCTTACGCTGTTGTCACGTGCAGTGGTCGTCTTTTGCTTTTTGCTGGGGTTGGGCGCCGCGGCGCTGGCTGCTGAACTGCTGCTCTCGGTGTCGCTGCTGGCTTCGCTTTCGCTGCTGCTGCTGCTGGATTCGACGACTGTTACGAGACAAGGTCCGTTAGTCATGTAAGCTCACGTGGGGGAGCTATGAGAAGCAAAGCGGAGACGATCGGAAAGGCCATATCAAAATGAACCAGGGGGTGGAGGGCAGTTTGACTTACATTCGGTGCGAGATTTCCTGATCCGTTTGGTGCTGAGTTTCGGTTTGCCGGCGACGGCGGTGGTTTTGGGAGGCATATTTGGGACTCGACAAGCTCTTGCGAGAGGATCGTCAAATGAACGCTTTGTGGAGACCAGGGTTGGATCAATATCTGAAGCAAGCTAGACTTATTAAAACTGCGCCGAGATGTTCGTTGTGAGAAGTCCAAGTGCAGCGCGATGTGAAGTCGAAAAGAAGTTGCCGCTCAGAAACTTCGACGCTGAAGATGCGGGTGACGCTAGTCCAAATCTGTACAGAGTCTGGCGCTATGATTGGCTAGCTGCTCAACTGTAGAGCAACACCATCCTTACCTCTTAGAAGACAGAATATGCGAATCTTGGAGTAGAACTTGCGATTCGCGATGCACGGCACAAATTCTCAAAACGGTCTCTGCTTTTATTCACCTACAAGCGCATTATCACCTCTATACCCTCAGTTAAACAGGAGAACAGTCTATTTACATTATTACACACATCTTACACTGCACTGCTAATCTACCTTCTGCGATACACTATTGTTTTCCCAGAGACTTCAACGTCTGACCCCACTCTACATATTCCTCCACCTCACCATCGCTAGGCCAATGACCCCACTTCGCGGCCAGGTTTTCCACCTTATCTCTCACAAGCATGACCAGCTCCTCAGGCGCATGCTCACCTGTCGTCTCGTCCTCTTGGTCCGTTGACTGAGCCAATTCATCCAGTTCGGAGAGTTCATCGCTGATGGCGGGCAAAGCCTGCTGCTCGGATTGCTCCTCCCAGCTGCGCTCCAAAAAACACCGCAGAGCGACAATGGTACGCCTCAGACGGACGTATCCGTTGAGCTCATTGTCGCAATGCTGCAGCAACCCAGAAACATTGTCATGCATGAAAGATGCAACAGATAACAGACCCTCATAGTCACCCATGATTCCAAGCGCGCGAATGTAGGCGTGAAGGGTGGCTGGCCGGGGGACACTCAGAGCTTTTCTAGCGGTCACAGGCTCGCGGTCACCAACTGTTGCGAGATGAGGCTCATTATGGACAAGGGTGTCTTGGCCGACAACCTTGTTGAAGAGAGAGCGGAGGAAGTGGGAGTCGTCGACATTATGCTGGAAGTGGTGTGCTTGCGCGTCTTCCGGAAGCCCTTCTCCACGGTCTTGGGCAGTGATGATGCGATTCCTGCGGATCACGGCGCTGAGACTCAGCGAGAGACAGACGGTATGGAAGCCCTCCTCATCAAGCTCAACTCCTGCACGATCCAGGACTTTGAGAGTTTGACGCATGAGTTCAGAGGTCCCATTACCTCGGCGCCTGGAGTCAAATATATGGACTGCGTGCAGAATTCCGTTCCATCCGGGGCGGTATGTCGACTTCCTGCGGTCCATGAGCGCAATCGCTCGATGAAGTAGGATACGCCCATCGCCTTTCGGAGCCCCATCGACATAATGATACCAGTCAGGAATCGAAAAATATCGACAGAGCAAATGAATGTAGGCGTTGAACACCTGTTCAGGGACATCTTCTATTTGTTGTTCGGTGATGTCCAGCAACAGAAGCGCGCGGACGCGCTTGTCGCGGCTGGTGAGCATGGTTTCCAGCCCTCGTTCAAGTCTGGGCACTATCCGAAGCAGTACCGCCAAGCAGGCATTGCTCGGGTATATGCGCTTGGAAATCATTCTCTCGAGGAGCTCATCCACTGAAGGCAGCTGAAGACGTGGATCCAAACGTTCATGCGGCGAGTCCGGGGTAGGCAAGGCTTCCCTCCTATCCCCAGGCAGTTCCTCTTTCATTTCGACATAGCCAGGACGAAGGGCGACAATCCCTCGCCTGTCGCGAGATGCAAGCTTCCGAGAACCAATCAGCCGCTCAAACATTGCCAAGTACACATCTCTTCTTTTCAACAGTGGCCTCTTCTGCACTGCCATCTTCCGCAGTGCCTCGTCGGCAGTGTCCTCATATGCGAGGAAAATTGCCCAAGATTCTTCGACAGTCCTTGTCGTTCGCACCCTCGCAGCCCAAACCCCGTGGTCGATATCCTGTAGGCAAGGAAACTCTCTTGGCATCATTCCCTCATTCAATGCAGAAACCATTGCGTTTTGGATTCGAGGGAGAGTCATCCTAGTTTGAATGACCGGGCTTCCATCAGGATCCCAACCGGAGTACAGTTGAATGATGCGATCCCATCCAAAACTGGGGTATCCGGCCTCATTCATGCGTAAGATCATCTGGCCAGCGCGTGAGATACCACGCTCCGGTCCGATGTCCGAATCCATGGCAGTCCGGTCTTCTTTCCACGGTGGCCATGAGGTCGACTTCAGCTCACCCCACCTTCGTTCATCTTCTGTCTTCATTTGCATCAGCTGAATGCGGGCCATAGCTCGGTAGCCCATCTGAGTGATTGTCAAAGGAGGCTGGTACTCCGACATTCGCCGGATGATGTCAAATTGAGCACGTAGCTGGAGTGCGGCATAGATGTGGGGACGTATGTGTGTGGGATAGGAAATTAAAGTGAGTACCCGGTTATACAGAAAAGCAAGGTAGATACGCCGCTTCTCCCGCTTTTCCTCATTTAATGGCTTACTCGATGGAAGTTCTCTGGCAGTACCAACATGCGAAGGGTTTATGCGTGTAGCAACGAGATTCGCGACGTTCTCTATGCTCTCCGGATGGACGATCCGGGCCTTCCGCAAGAGGCGAATGCAAATAAGAACAAACGTCTTCTCGTCCGTGGCAAGGCGGCCTGCAGAAGTATCTTGAGCTGTTTCAGATTCTACAATCACCATGCGTTCAACATACGCCACGAGGTGCCGAACATCCTGAGCTGAAAGATCCTTCCGCCGGCAAAGAAGGGTAACCATCCAAACCGGGACTGGCTTTGACAGGGTCATCTCGCCAATTTTTCCGTCCAGCAGCGCCTTGGTCGCATCCAGTGCCTTGTCCGCAGTCAAAATCTTTCCCCAGATCCGGAAGTCATTGACGGTGAAATTCTGTCGTTCAAGCCAGTTTCGTACACGCCAGATAATGTGGGTATCCCAGTTGGGAGTTCCGTTGCTGTAAACTCTTCGGAGATAGCGGGCTAGATAGAATTGAAGAGAGGGTCGGAATTTTTCAAACGGATGGAAATAGCCTGGGTGATCGTGTTTATGCGGGGAGTAAGGTGCCGCATAGCTCAAGTTTGCCTTTCCAGGACGGACTCGACGAGGGTCCCAGGCACGGCTGTGCTCTCCCAGGATCTCGGCCAGATACTCAGTGGGACTCCTGGTCCTCCTCTGCATCTCGCGGCGCTTACCAAGTGGCATCGTTTCCTTCCAATGAGTTGGGATGTTTTTCCATCTCTTCCGCAGGGCATACCAGCCGTTATCCTGGATGAAAATACCCCCGCCATACTTTTCCTTTTTCTTTTTCTCCGCCTTCTGTTCACGGAATCTGCGTCTTCTAAGGTTACCCTTCACCAGCCCTTCCAACCGCATAACGGAGCTACGCCATCGAAGCTGGGAACGTTGAAATTGCGGAATGGCGGCCGATGGCTTCGCGAACGGCGAGCACCTGACATGACGAGGATTTACAGAAGACCAGTGTCTATGCTTTGCAGCAAGAAAGCACCTCGGAGGAGCCTGGGACTGAGAGATCAGCAAGGGCAGGACATTTTTCTTGGATGGCTACGACCATACCCTCACGAGGGATCCGAAAGGGCGGATGGCGGCGGCGACGGCCGACTCAGCAGACAGAACTCTGCGCGACGCGGGTAGCAGGGCATTGAGGGGCATTCATGGATCTGACGGCAGAGTGTGTGGAGTTGAGGCGGAGAGCAGCAGCTGGCTGGCCATGTTTGAAAAGTCTTGGCGCGCGATCCGCACGCGTGCCTTGTAACGGCGTTCGCGCCGCAGCCCTTCGTTCACCCGCCCAGCTTGACCTCACAAGGCCCATCGCGCACACCCCCATCCGCATCGCGTCTGCGGCCCCAGACAACCACCGCCCACGCGAGCCATGTCGACCGCCAACGGCGCCCTCACGCCGCCCCCGGCGCCGCAGGACGCAGAACCCGCCAACGCCTCCCCGTCCGCAGCGAAACGCAAGCGCTCGACCAGCCAAGCAAACGCGCTCGCCGACCGCGACCAACCCGCGCAAAAGCCCCAGCCCGCGCGCAGCGACGCCCGCACCCTCAAGGCCCTGCTTGAGGACGTCCTTGAAATTCTCAAGAGGTCCGCGCTCGCCCCGCCCTGCACCACGCGCTGCAGCGCAACACCCGCTAACTTTGCATCTGCATCAGCTACGACACCAACCCGTCCATCCTCGACCAGCCTGTCCGCAGCAATGGAGACCGCGCAGTATCCGGCGAGCCTACAACGAAGCGCACCAAGCTCGCACAGCTCCCGGCCGCAGCCTCGTCCATCACCGCAAAAATCCAGTCCGACGCATACGCGTCCCTCGACGAACTCGTCGCCGATGTCGAATCTGTCTGCTCCCAGCTTCTCGCCTCGGTCAACGCGCAGCATGCATCTACCGAAGCCGACACCAAACTCCTGACTGGCACTCTGGCATTGAAGAAGGTCTTGAAGAACATTGTCATCCGGGAAACACAGCGCAAGGCCGCTGTAGCCGCTGAGGTGGCTGAAGAGACTGACGGCGCTGAAGACGAAGAAAAGGCGGAGACCAATGGTGTTATCAAGAAGGAGCCCGTGGACGATGCGGTCGATAGTTTCGCGGGCAGCAGAGCAGTCCTAACCCTGTTCGCGTCGGCGCAGGGCAACAAGCAACTCTTCTCCAGTTTGCAGAAGCCGGTCAGAGTTGAGGGCAAGAAGACAACGGGCGAAACGAGCGAGCTCGAGAGTGCCGTCGATGTTACCCTTCCGTTGGACGAGAGCGGCCTTCCCAGCATGATCTCGTCCACCAAGATCATCCCCGTCCACACCGAAGATGCTATTGGCGGGAAAAGCAAAGGTCCAACGTTTGGAGAGGTCTTTGGTCCTCCGCCGAAATTCAGAGATCTGAAGCCACCGGTCCCTGCGACTCAAAGTGCGACCAAAGGAAACACGATTACGTGGGGCCAGCAGGATTTAGCTTTGCGAAGCGGACGTCGCGGCTCGTCCTACTCCAGTCAAAAACTCACCACAGGAGATTGGCTTGGCTACAGCGGCATAGATGTTGAGAAGGAGCCATCATCACCTTCTGCGAAGAGGAAACAAAGGGACCGAGCACTCAGCACCGGCGAGGTCAACCCTCCCCTCCCGGATGAAGAGCAGGCCAAGTTGGATAAGGCAAGAGCAGATGCCCTGTTCCGGAGCGTATACTCCAGTTTCGCACCCACCCATGATGATGGCGTGGCGGTCATCCCGGAGGAAACAAAGAACCGTGTGTGGTGGCAGAAGGTTGGTGAGAAGAGATTCAACGAAATCTTCGCTCTTGACCCGGCACTGCTGGATGCGCAGCCTGGCGAGGCTGTGGAGGATATGTCTACCGACGAAAATACAAACGAGGAGGAGACTTTCAAGACAGCTGCCGAGCAGTTCATTCCCGAGGAACTCAATGTTCCGGAGAGTTCGGAGAACAACAAAGAGGATCAGGAGATTGATGAGCTCCTGCAAGAGATTTCCGAACTCTTGGAGACCCTCCACTCGTACCAGAGAATCAGACAAAGCACACTGGCGCCTCCAACAAGAACTCCTGCAGGTCAAGACACTTCCGTCCAACCGTCGACGCCTTCGTCGGATGAGATGGACGTCTACAACTTGTTGAAGACGCAGCTTTCGTTGATGATTTCTCAATTACCACCGTACGCTGTGGCAAAGCTGAATGGAGATCAGTTGGAAGACTTGAACATCAGTAAGAAGCTTGTCATTGAGACCAAGGACTATCGCGGTGTTATGGAGGAGGATCAGGTTTCCAAGCTCGCAAAATCGGCTGCTATCGGTGCTACCGTCGGCGCCTCGGCTGTTCGCCCACCAGGATACCCACCAGCGAGCCAGTATGCTCGCACCCCGGCCGCTCCTCCGTATGCATCCAGGACTGTTGGTGGTCCGCCATCTTACTATCCACAACAGCAAGCACCCAACCGGACGCCATCGGTGCCGCGTTACGGGCCTCAAGGCTACCAAACCCCTGGCGCATATGCATCCACTGCCCAGCGCCCCCCGTATGGCGGACCTGCGTACGGGCAACCTCCCAGGCAGCCATCCTACGGTGCAGCTGCGTCAACGTACGGACAGACGCCTTCTTCTTACTACGGACGAGGACCACCCGCTGCATACGGTATGGCACCCTCGTATTACCAGGGCACACCGCAAGGCGCGGCACAAAGTCGCTACATGCAGCCCGGCTCAGCCTACCCGCCACGGACGCAAGGAGCCGCGCCAATGTACAACTATACAGCAACCGGTAGCCCGCATGTTCGCACGGCATCACCGTTGAAACAGGGCCAGCCCGGTGCTGCACAAACGCCGTATCCCCCGCAACGTCCTCCGTCAGGAAATCCTTACGGAACCCCTGGACAACAGCCTCAACGTCCTTCATACTACCCCCAAACACCGTATGGCAGTAGTGCCCAGGCCACACAAGCGCTCACTCCGTCAGCAAGTGCCAGCTACCACGCGAGTATCCAAGCACACGCCCGAGCAATTTCAGGCGTGGGCGCAGCGCAAGCAAATATGGGGAGAGGATCCAGCGGTACACCTCAGCCCCCTGGCAGCTCTGGTTCCAGCAGCCAGCCCCCGGGTCAAGGCAGCACCACGGCAGTAGCGTCGTAACATGCGTGCGAAATTCATGGCGCGATACATCGGAGTCCGTTTGGCTACTGGGTGATTTGAGTAATGGATCGAATAACACATGGCGTTTTCAAAATTCTCGAAAGATCCCTCCGAAGGAATTCTGCTTCTTCTTCTCATTTGATGCATCGGCGACACGTTATGGACCAGCTGCTGGTCTGTTGGGCAAAAAAGGGAAAGAGCAAGAAGGTTGTTATTTTCTTTCGTGGCAGCAGCATCTTTTGAGCTGCGGTGGAACTTCTGTAATCTTGCTGCCCAACCCTCTTCATCTTCGCAAGGGGTTCTTTCTAGTTCGAAGTTGACGCGCGATGCATGATATAGAATTTTTACACGAGTGGTGGCCGCGAAGGCTATTGGCTAGCAAAATCGAGGAATCCTTCCTACTAGACATTGTGATTCCGCGCCTGGAAGTCGCGTCCTTATTTTCTTGAAACGTCTCGTCTCTAAACAGTCAGAGATGAGAGCTCTAGTGGTTGGCTTCTTATCCAGCCCTTGTTGTGATGATGCACGAGTGGGCCCTTTTCGACCCAGAATGGTGGCGCGCATGAGGCTCTGCTCCACAACTGCATGCTGCAAAGCCGGACCCACGCCATGGTTATTTGCACCTCTTACGACGTCCGCCGACGAGTTGCCGCCCCCAACTGTCGGCAAAAGACAACACCGCATTCTGCTCGTCCGATTGGACGACGGCCGGATTTAAAGGCATCCCCGAGAGCATACCTTACCGCATGCGTCGCATGTTGTTCAAGTAGGAATCCGATGGGAGCCACAAGTGGAAACTTCCGAGTAATCGAGTTGACTAGTTCGCTGACCAACCCACTGGTCAAGCTCCAGATGGAGATACAAACGAATCGTATGCCTGAGTGACATCATGGAAGCTGGTCGATTGAGTTTCTAATGCCCCTCTCCGCACGTCTTCTACGGCTTCACCACCCGTGTATCCGAGGTTGTCAGAGAGTACTTTAACCAGACCTCTTCCCCTCCCAATCTCTTTCCGGGTTTTGTGTGCCGCAAAGTATATTCTTACTACTCCATTCTTATCCGTCAAAAATGGTCACCGTCGGCCTCGGCGTTCCCATGCCCATCCTCACGCCCGTCACGGCGACGTGGACCGCGCCATTCGCGCTATATCTCGTCTTCCTATCGAACCGTGTCGCCTACCACCGCATCCAGAACAGCACGTCCGTGCAATTTCCCTGCCGCATCCCCAGGCACCACCGCTGACACGAAACGCACAGCTACCTCGGCGACCGCGCCAAAGCGAGCAACACGCAACCGGAAGACGATGCGCTCTTCGTGGCGACGCGCTGCCACGCCAATTTCCTAGAGAACGTGCCGCTGGCGCTGATCGTCGCGGCCGTGGCCGAGCTGAACGGGGCCAACCGGCGCAGCCTGCACTACGCGCTCGCGACGCTGTTCGCGCTGCGCGTCGCGCACGCCGAGCTCGGCCTGACCAAGAGCTTCCGAGGCATGAAGGGCCTGGGCCTCGGCCGCATCACCGCGTTCTACGGCAGCCAGGCCTTCATCGCGGGCGTCGCCGGGTGGGCGGCGTGGTTGTGCAAGGGGTATTGGGGATACTAATAAAAAGGTACTCACGTGGTGTTGAGCGGGTGGGGTGGGGCAGGGGCGGAGACAACCAGGGTCTGCGGGGTGCGTGCGCGGGGAGAGTAGAGGGCGGGTGGAATTGAGGAATGAAAATTGGAAGATTCGGGAAGCATTGCGGCTGAAGAGCAAAGAATGGGCGCTCAGTGGGCGACGCGGTTGTTTGCACGAGCAGAGAGCGCTGCAATGGTGCGCATGGTGGATCATTCGATGCTCTCTCTGCTCAGCTATCCTTGGCAATAATTATTTTGTAGCAAGCCCCGGCTCAATGGAATGAGAGTGCAATTCGCCTCCGGAGCTTATCACCACCACCGACGTCACAGGTACTGGTCGGGTCGCACTATGGGCAGCCGGGCGTGTGGGCAGGCAGTTATGGAAGCAGCGAGGCCGAAGGGATGAAACGCTGGACGCTGGTGGGCTCGCCGCAATTGGATCGCCTTCCCCATGACGTATCCCGGCCAGCTGCTCTAGCGCCGCCCGCCCTGCGGTGCCTTGCTGCCCTACCGCGACCTCGCAGACCACGCACCAAACGCCCAAGCCACCAACGACTTCCTGCCTGAAAGAAATAGAACAAACTGCACTCCCCCCATCTTCCCAACAAGCAAACACACCTACTCACAGCCGATCCCGCCGCTGAGACACCACTGCACACCACTCGACCGCGCGCAGTCACTCCACCCCGCACATCCACCAACCGCATCCCATCCCTCTCTTTGCAGCAACCATGTCTAACGCGCCCACTCTCATCAACCTGCCGCCTCCCCCGTCTGACCCGGTCACGCCCTCAGATGTCCCGTAAGCACCCTACACGCCTCTCTCCCGCAGCCTCAGGCACAGAATCCCCCAATCCCGGCGCTGCGACACCACACGACACAAGGAGAGCAGAGCGCATGTGACAGTGAAGAATCGGGCAATGGAGCAACCATGCTGACGACAGTGACTACAGCGGCACGCCCAACTCGACGACGACGTCCATGTCGGAGCTGAGCACCGTCGCCATCAAGGACGGCCACCGAGGCCACCTGCCGCACCACCACGCGCAGCAGAACCCGATGGACGCTGAGCGCGCCGACCGCATATCGCGCCTCGCGGGCCTGGAGCGCGTCACCGCGGGCGGCGGCCGGCCCTCCAACCTCAACCCCTCATCCGCAGCGTACGGCCATCACGCGACGGGCAGCAGCGGCAGCATCCCGCCCATGACCCAGGGCTACTTCGACGCCAACAACCAGCCGCAGATCGTGCGCGAGCGCAGCACCGTCGGCTCCGCGTCGGCGACGGGCTCGGTGGGCGGCCGCACGACGACGTGGGCCTCGGGCAGCGACGTGACGGGCTACGACCCGAGCCTGGCGGACCGCATGAGCGAAGACCAGGAGATGGAGACGGCCAGCAGCGTCGGCGGCAACGACGGCTTCAGCGACGTCGAGGGCGCCAGCCTCGTCGGCTTCGGCGAGGGCGCGCGCACCCCCGCCCGCGGCGCCGGCAGCGTCGGCAGCCCCGTCGTCGGCAAGGCCACGACGCCCACGTCGGCCGTGCCGGGATACATGCGCGGCGATGCCCCGCCGTCGCCGATGACGGGCGTGAGTAGCAGCGCCGTGGGCGGTGGTAGCGGCGCGAGCACTCCCAGCACCGAGGCGCAGGTCCGCGACGCGCAGCGCATCGACGGTATCACCTATGACGCAGGCGTTACCGACACCACCGCACGCACCCCACCGCCGCTGTCGGGCGAGGTCGCCAGCCAGCAGCAAGGCGCCGCGAATGCCGCGCAGTGGATCAACAGACAGGCTGAGCACGAGCAGGGAAGGCAGTAAGGCGCCTTTGGGAGAAAAAGTTGCTTCTCCTCAGGGGTTCTTGCCCTTTTTCTTCTTGTGCTTTTTAATCCTTTTCTGTACGATTTGCGGTGGGTTCAAACGTCATTTTCTCTTTGTTTCCTTTCCCCCTTGCTATGACTATACCAGAGACTATAAACATCATCCGCCTTTTCGAGAGGACAGTCTGGTGGATGGATGGATGATGGCACGAGCGGAGAAAGTATGATTTACGCGCAGGGGCAAGAATATGTTGCGGAAAACTCGGGTTTTTTCGAACGAGATTGCTGAGGATGGGAAAGGGGGTTGGTTGAGTTAGAGCAACTACGAGGGAAAGTTGATGGATGGGGTGGTGGGAGGAAGAGATCATGTATGGCTCCTCGGGGATGCTCAGGCAACAACAACTTCTACTTGCTATTACAACTATTGCACGAAGAATTATGGAAAAGCTATTTTCTTCATTTCTGTTGTTTTTTTCCTTTTTTCTTTTTTGTTTTGCCTTCGGTTATGACTGGATGGCATGGTGGTCATGACTTTGTTGTTCTCCTTTATCGGAGGTAATCCTTGAGCGATGACATTTGTTTTCCTGTTTCATTGCCCTTTTCTTTTCCACTGACGGCTTCCGGAGAGTGTGATATGGGAATCGTGGCTGTATGTTGTTTGTCTTTGTGGGAGCTCAGTAATCAGACACAACGGCGGAAATGATAGGTTGATGTTGGGATTGACTCGTCCATCAGTGCGTATGGTGCCTTGAACTGATGCTGTGAAGTTACCGTGTGACCTAGTGTCGACAGGTTCTGATGACGACGAATCACTGTTCGGAGCCTTGGAGCAACTAACATGTGTCCCACTGGGTGTGGGGCAACTTGTCCGGTCAATGCGCGACAGCAAGGTATACAGGTTTTGATGGAACTCAGCGTTAGTGGATCTTGATGCAGTGGCCTCATCATGTGAGGCTGCTGATTGGGGAATCGGCTTTGCAGGTGAACGGGTAGGCTCAGTGACACGATTTTGTGGTTTGTTGAGACGAAGGCGGGCGGCAAGTCACAACGCTTGCAGGGACTGTCTTCTATATAAGGAGGGTGGTCTGGACGCTTCTCAATGGAAACTTGAAGGGGTATCCTTAAATATAGAAGATGAAATGGGTATCCACTGGTTCGCTCGCATCACCGGAAGCCCGGACGTGGGCATGTGCTTGGCGGATATGATACGCTAAGTCCGAAATGTGATTCACTCGTGGTCAGTTGCTCTGAACTATTGATCACTTGTGAGTTGCCAATGCGCGTAACATGGAATTGGGCGATTCGAGTACGACCAGGAGGAGTATATAACTTGAGTGGGCGTCCACTTTCTGTGTCAGTCCTCAACAAGAGTCCCGGGAGCCAAGAAAGACAATCGAGCCATCAAGCGACTTCGGCGTGGTTCTTGCAGTTTTCATCTTATCTAGAAAGATAAGCTAGTTAGCGATGATTCAACGCCACATCTTCTAGTCATTTAGGTCAGCAGCAAATCTCATTGATGATGATTTGCAGCTGTTCATGGAGAGCTACTCAGAGACGTTGTATAATGAGTCAGTGTACGGAAACTCCAAAGTAGATTTATCGGGATGCATCTGTATCCATATGGACGTCAACAAATGTATCGTACGAGATATCAATTAAAGAAGCATTCTTCATAGCACAAAACTGTTCTATGGAAGAAATTGTAGCTCGTGAATTTCAAGCGGTTTTCAAAATTCTAGTATCGGATTGCACTAGTTGAATGGCTTCGATTGCACACTCTAAGACCTGCAACTACGGTACCATTGTCTGTAACCGTACCACACCTCAACAAGTACAGGAACGAATACAGTCAACGCCACGATCTGACCGAACCCCCACTCCAAATCTGCTCCAGCTCTCCCATTTTTATCCAAGAGGTCTGCTTGATAACGTTCGAGTCTGAAGTATGCCCAAAGCTGTAGTGCGGAAAGTGATGGGGCCACCACCATGATCATCAACTCCACCAGAGTTATTCTGCTCGGACCTCCCCGATATCTTGCAGGCAGCAAGGAAACCTGAATAAAGAATGCCTCGGCCTTAGAGTCAGGATGGCGTCTCCGGATACCGAGCCCGATCATGGATGCTATAGCCAGCAGAGAGACCAAGAGCCAGCTGATGATTCCGCTTATATTGATCGCTTGCATCTCTGCTTCGCTAATTGCCGAGACGCCTTGATGGCAAGTATTGTAGATGATGGCCCAGTCGGCGTCAGATATTATGTCGCCCTCCTCGTTTCCAATTTTCGACGGACCGTATGTCTCAATCATACGGCTTAAAAAGGGGTAGAGAGAAAGTATCCAGCAAAGGATGAATAAATAGTGTCGCAGGGTTTGCCGTCGGTATGCCTCGTCAGTCTGTCTCCTTTCAACTGTTTCTTGGCATTGACAGCATTCTATGGCCTCTTCCGCAGAAAATCCAAGGCAGGAGATGAATGTGCAGTAGAGAAGTGGTAAGATGGTAAGAACTGAGACTGTCCACGTGAGTTTGACCGTCACGTCTCCCATTCCGTTGTGAGTGATGCCAAAGTCCGTCCGCGCAAGCACCACAATGCTTGCTACCTGGAGAGAGAGCGCCAGGAACGTCGCGCTGCTATGATAGGCATCGAAGATTCCGGATGCTGCTGTTCGGAACGAGCGGCGCCTTGTGCCTCGTCCCCGGGAAAGTCGGGGGGCCAAAAAAGCAAGCAAAACTAAGCTGAACCCCAACGCGCTGTCTAGGACGTAACCTGCAGACATCTGCGTGCGCCACATTAGCCCTTCTATGGTCTGATTAATTGATCTTCCTAATGCTTACCCCTTTGCCGGAGATGTCAGCATTTCCCACCCCCCAGAGCGCACCGCACACTTCAGCCTTGCATCCTTCAACGCGGTGCAGGTTGTCGCCCGTGACATTGAGAATACTTTCGATATATTCCTCGAAAGACTCGTAACTCGTGAGCAGATTGCAATCAAGGGTATTGCTGGTCGACATTCTGTTTGCACAATGGGGACACGCATTGCGATGAGGCTACCACTGATTATATACATATCGCTCCAGCTACTGTGGGTGCATCGCCAAGCCCTGCCTAGATGAGCCCCGCTCCTGAGCCACCACATGTAGGCGGTCAGCTTAGCCTTCTGCCATAAGCCTGCGCCTTACTTTAAACAGGCATACATAACTAGGATACTCACCTTGGATGGGCAAAATGGCATCCTCTAATTTTGCGTGTACAAGCACGTAATCTCTTCATTTTCAACGGAAATTCCTCAACATGCATTTTCTAACAGAGGTTCAGAATGGAATCAGAGTATTAGTTGTTGCATTTTGTTTGATTTATCTCAGCTCGGTCAGTTCAGTCTCCTCTTTCCTTGCAGTTGCGAGATGTGCTGACTTCAGGGAGGCCGATGGAGCTGCAGTGTTGCAAAGACAAAATGAAGTTGCGAGCACCGATACGGTTGAACGGACGACGTTCCAGACAATCACACAATCCTCAACAAGCGTTTCGATAGGTAACATTGTTACGGAAACGTTTGTGTATATCACTTCTGCCAACTCCACGACTTCAACCCCTGTGACCACAACGGCGTCATCATCCCCAACGAGCACACCGCCATCTAGTAGCTCCACATCGGTCTCTACGGGTAAGAGCATGTGTCATCACAGTTATAAAGCGTAGCTATTAATGACTGGGTGTTGAACGATCAGGTTTTCCTGGCTGGGCACTCGGCGTCATCATACCATGTGCTGTCGGCGTTTTGGCCCTCTCAGGATGGTGGTATGTAGTCATGTGCCCCATTCGCACTCAGAGATCTATAGTGGTTGCATCGCTGACATTGGCCTCTGCAGCATGTGTTCCCGGAAGAAGAAGAAGAAGAGTGATAATACAGCGAAGGAGGAGAAGCCAAAGCAGAAGGCAGAAAAAGGCAAATATCGCAGTCGCTGTTAGTGTCACAAGGAAGCCTCTTGCGATATAAAAGTTTTAGAAGAACCTGTATACATGCGCAGAGTAATGTTTCCTTTCGCAGGGTCACACTTCATCAAGTGCTGAGGTTGTTCTCACATCCAAGCACTTATCTTAAGCCAGCTAATGACCATGCAGAAGCGTTTTAACGTTATTACGAGCAACGCCGAAAGCTAGCGTGAAGAACAATAAGGCCCCAGGCGTAACTATACCCAAGCTATTTCTTAGAAAAATAACATATGCGGGTCATTGAAGCTATCGTCCGGACCGAAATGTCGAATTTTTAATTCTACATTTTCGTCCGGACGATAGCTTCAGCCACCCATGCCATGAGCAAAAACAAATTCACACTAGCCTTCAGCTGCGATACTCCTTTGTACATTGAAGTCACCACGTGTGCAAATACGGCGTTCCCCGAATTGATTTACAGCCCAAGAGACAGTTTCGAAATGTGGAATGGTTAGTTGGACTTCCACCTCGAGTCTTCCTTCGCGCCGGCTTCGAGCACAATAGTTTCCCGGACAAGAGCCCTCCAGATCTCATACCATTCTCTTCAAGAAAGGAGTTTCCTTGGGTATAAACGGTTCAGCAAGCTGGGGGAAAGCTGGGTTGGTCGTACCGCGGGTGAGGTCCATGAAGGTGCATCCTTAATCTTAAGCGAGTGACTTGGCAGATCGTGACGATGATGAGATGGATTAAGAAAAGCGTCTCCTCAAAATGTTTAGCAGGAGGGGCGATAAGGCAGACCACACGTGACTCGCCCCAGGCAACAGCGGCTCATTCTGACGTATCACAACTCAAGTGCTCCATCTCCACAGTTGCACCATCTGCTTTAGTCTTGATCCGTCAATCTCTTTCACTCTGCAGCGAAGGATCAGAATGTATGCTTGACCTGGAGAGAAAATCCATTGGGTTGACAACCGGACTCCTCCGCAGCTCCAACCCCCCGCCTTCGTGACCATCGCGGAGTCAGCTGATAGCGCGAAACCCCAAGGATCCTGGTTCTGGTCCACCAAAGCCGCAGGCATAAACAACAGAAGAGAAAAAGATCAAACAAATAAAATTTTCAGCAACCCAAAGAACAATGGCCAGAGAAACGCGCGCAACCAGCAATCGGCGAGCCAAACGCCACAACCCCGCCGCCGGACGCATCACCAGGTCACCTCCCTCTCCCGCAAAGCCATCACCGTCCTCTACGCTCAACCGCCCTTCCAACCATTCAGATCTCACCACCACCAACCATGCCTCATCTTCCTCCTCCTCCTCCTCCTCCTCCGCCGCCACCGCTGCCCCAATCCAGCAAACTGCAGCAGAAACCGAGCCCCCCACCATCGACGACGACGACCTCTGCCCCATCTGCCACCTCCTCCTCTACCACCCCGTCCTAACCACCTGCAACCACGCGCTCTGCCGCTCCTGCATGTCTCGCTGGGCGGACATCTCCACGACGTCCGGCCAGATGACCATCGTGCCCCTATCCGACGCCGTCCCGCCCCCGGAGCCCGACGCTGCAGCAGACGTGCTCGCAGACGAGGCGCGCTGTCCGATGTGCCGGACGCCGACGCGGGCGGTGAGGGACGCGCGCAGGGAGGAGGTGTTGCGGGCGCGGTATCCGCGGCGGTGGGGGGAGAGGGAGAGGGAGGAGAGGGGGGAGGGGGGCGAGGAGGATGGAGGAGGGGGGGAGGTCAGGGCGATGACGGTGTTTGTGGGGAATACGCATGAGTTGTTGGAGGTGCGGGAGGGGAATTGCCATGAGTGGACGTTTTTCGTGAGGCCGGGGGATGTGGATGTTGTGGAGGAGGTGCAGATTTTGCTGGTTGGTGGCGCCTTTTTTCTTTTCTCTCTCTTAGTTTTCTTGCGCGCTTGGCTTCTTGTTTCTGTGCTGCTCCTCTTTTCTCTGTTTTTTGTGTGAAACTGTGTCATCCTCGTGTGGAAAAGCTGACGCGAAACTGCAAAGCATCCGACCTTCCGGCCTCCGCGCGTCATTCGAGCCATGCCGCCGTATCAGATCACGCGCATCGGATGGGGCTACTTCACTGTGCAGGCCTACATCATCCTCAAAGCCGGGTACACGTGGATCAGCGAAGATGCCCAGCCCACTCCTGATGGAGTCGAGAAAGGCATGCTGCCTCTGGAGTGGATGCTCAGTTTTGATGGTGACGGAAGCATGGGGAGGTGTCGACTGAAGTACAAACACGAGATCTCGGCTGAGGAAAGCGACAGCAGCGATGATGACGGTAGTGAATACGAGGAGTGAGGGAATGCCATTGAAGAGGCTGTGGAGCGAAGGACTTATACCAAAGAAAATAGCGAGAAGCGAGTATGCTAGCGCTCAAGAAACATCTTTTTTTCCTTTTTCCAAGTCCTTTTGGTCGAACCCATGTTTTGCTTCTCTCCCGCAAATTCACGAGATCACGAGAAGAAAATTCATACCCATCAAGAAAAATGAAGTTTAGTCACGCTTCCACTTTTGGCAATTGCAAATCATTCTCCAATAGACCGAAATGTGATTGAGCTATTTGACATCTGTTCGATCTTCTATGTACAACCTTTGCTTCCCGACACATACCTCATCAGTAGATCCCACCAGTCATTTGGTATCCGTTCAAAGTCGTAATGCGCTACATTTAGCAGCCGGCGTACAGAGCTAAACCAGTCAGTTAGCAGGATGTCTCAAAAAAATCAACGGCTTCTATGGGGGATTCAAAAACTTACCCTGGGCGTACAGGGTGTAGGTGTCGGCGTGGTTCAGGTTCTGGGCAGCGGACAGGGACTGGACGAAGTTGTATCCGTATCCACCGTAGTCGGAGGTGCCCTTGATCTGGGTGAGGTGGGTCATCTCGTGCAGGATGGTGGTCTGCTGGTCCTGGGCGTGGCAGGCGGAGCTGGTGGGGGACAGAGCGGAGAAGAAGAGCGGGCAGTTGACCATGATGCTGGTGGCGGGCTGCGTGTAGGCCAGGACGCCGTTGCTGCACGCGCCGAGCACGTCGTTGCAGTAGTAGCGCGACGAGCCCGAGGTGGTGCTGCCGCACTCGCTGACGATGCGGCCGAAGACGGCGGCGACGGTGCTGCGCGTCGACGACGACGTCGACTTGAAGTACTCCTGGAACTTGCTGGCAGAGCCCGAGGAGGCGGCCGTCTGCGCGCGCTGCGCCAGGCTGCGGCAGGCGCTGATGGCGTTGCGCGTGGCCGTGCCCTGCGAGCCCGTGCAGGACGACTGCACGACGGTGCGCTTGACCTTCTCGTGGAAGGAGTCGTGCACCCTCTTGGCCGCCGCGCCGTCGACCGAGGTCGAGACGACGTTGCTGATGAAGGGCAGGACGCCGGCGATGGTCGTCGAGTCGCTCTCGGCGAAGGAGAAGGCGCCCTGGCTCAGAAGCTCGACAGCACCGCCCTCGCTGAGGTCGTGAGTCTCGGCAGCATCGAACTCGACCTCAATGGTCTCGCCGGCGGCGATGCTCTGGAAGGCCTCCTCGGTCAGGCCTTGGGTGGAAACCTGGTAGCGGATACCATCGAAGGAGACCTGCTTGTCTGCATTGGGCAATGTTAGTATATTGGAAGCCGTTGTATGGGAGCGGTCCACATACCAGCAGCGTGGATCTCAACCTTCTCAACCGGCTGCTGGTCCAAGAGCGTGCCAGTCTTGAACAGCTTGAGAGCCGAGGAGCCGGTGTTGGTGATCGAAGCCTTGACGCCGGTGTTGCCCAGGAGCTCGAGCTTGACCTCCAGAGGAGTCTCGCGCTTGTTGACATCAACCGAGGCGGCGGCGGCCAGGGAGGCCAGGAAAGACAAGCCGGCGATGAACTTCATGTTGAACGATGGTTGATCGGTCGTGAGGAAGACTTGAGAATTGCTCTGCTGCTGATGGAGACAGCAACATGGCGAGGAGAAGAGCCCGCTTTATAGTACAACATGCTCGACGACCATGTATACATGTGGCCCTGATACCGCAGTGGCCAAGAAACAGACCAGGCGCAAAAGAGAAGGAAGAAATGCGGAGTGGTTTGATGCGATAAAGCTGCTTGGTGTATCGTGTTGGCTGGTGACTTTGATGGTGTCCACAGCTCCAAGCGTCGAGTGACCAGGTGTGTGCCAGCCAAGAAGCTATACGATGCATGGTTTCTGGGCACTCGTCCGGAGATGCGCGACAAGTTGCTTCGTCCGGTGTCATGCCAGGTTCTTTAAGCGATCCCTTGTGCCGTGTTTGTGTTCATCTATAGAATGACGTTGCTGGTTTATTCTATCAAGATCAATGAGATTTCTTTGGAATGCGTTTAGCATAGGCCTTTCTTTTAGGTCAGCTAAGGGATAGTGGCCACAACATGCGAGCAGTGGCACAGTCTACTGTCTCCATTTAGCGGGTGATCACGACATGTCGTTCTGGAGAATGAATGATTTAGCGATGGACCGAATGCAGTCACGCTGGTCAATGAAGGCTGGAGCAGGAGTGTTCGAAACGATGGGCATGTTTTTTGCCCTGTCAGGCAGGCGGCAAAACAAGAGACGGAAGAAGGAAGAATAAGAAGTTAATACTCCGAAGGCCTAGGAGAGCGGAGAGCTTGGCGGTCGGTGTTTAAGACGCCAAGATGTGCCGCCGGGGGTTGGCGGAGGGTTGGCGGAGGGTGATAAGCCCGGAGCTTGGCATGAGCGTCGCTGTCCGCCGCCTCCTCTCCCCTCTGTGGCGTTATCGAGGCCAAATTGCGCCATCCAGTCAGAAGCCACGATCCGAGCTTTAAGCAGCGCGCCGTGTCTTGGACTCTGCCGAGAGATGCCCAGTGCCGTTCGTACCGTGCCATCACCTTCCCTTTTCGTGCCATGTGGAGGCACAAGCCTTCTTTCGAGTCCGTCTTGGCACCACATCTTGATTGACAACTCTTTTACCTGCTTATTTCGATTTGACATGCCCCCACCTCGTCCGGGTCCGGTGCTAAAATCCTTGCGCATTGTTTCGAAGTACCTGTCAGGCGCTGGGCATTTAGGCGGCCGTACGCTGATTGGCGTTGGTGCCGCTCTTTGCATGTCGAGAACCGCCGAACGACCTCAAAGATTCCCTGCCTTAACAAATGAGTGCTGGGCAACATTGGATAATAAAAGGCGGAATACGGGCTTGATTGATGATACGAATGTATGCAGGCCTTGGTATAAGCGTCCGCTTGCCTCGATACAGAAGCTGAATGCCCGCGAGCGGGGCGCCGAGTGCAAGATAGGTGAAAACAAGACTATAGAAGTGATTGACGAGATCCAAGTCAAAGGGGGCAGGTATCCTCGGAAACCGGAAGCGAGGCAGGTCCGACAGGTAAAAATCGACTCGAAAGGCGGTCCCATTCGGTCATTGAAACAGAAATTCCATGATCCTCATAACAAGAACCGAATTTGCGAAAGACGTCTGGTAGGTCGACGATGTTGTCTGTACCAATGTGCCAATCTTGCTCGAACTCGATGTGTTGCAGTGCGGTGGCGAATTTCGCCACGCTGTACATCATGGTCTTCAAAGTGTACGCCTTGATTTCGTCCTCACTGTAGCGGCGGTTCAGGCGCATTGCATCGGATCCACCTTTCCAACCACCAATCCTCATGGTTTTTAGGTTTGGTGGGATCATGTTTTGGAGAACAGTCTCGCGTGAGGTAGTATACGTTACGAAGTCATAGCCAAACCACATGTCAAGGTCGGCAGATACGTATTTGAGAGCCTCCATGTTCTTCAACTGTAGGGGGCGCTCGCACGGTTGCCCGTGTTCTTTAATCAAGACCAGAACTTGAAGTGTTTTGGATACCGGATCCAGAGCGTGATCGTAACCACTATAATCCCACTCCCATTGGTATAGTTCGTGGTCGCTCATAGAATGAATGACTAGCTCTTCGAGATTCTCCATGGCCGACATGAGTTTGTTGAGGGATGTGGGATCGATGGATGAGCTGAAGAAATGAAGCTTTCGAAGCTTTGATGTCGCGGCCGGTTCATCATTGAACACGCCGCCTTCGGTGTTGATATTGTGAAGAGTCAAGCTGGTTAACGTTGGCCATGTAAGGAGCGTTCCAAGATAACCTAAATCAATCCTGTACGGAGCAAAACTTCGGATGTTGATGTCGCCTGCAATGACATTAGTGACGAATGCATAGATGGATCAGGCATTTATTACATGTGGTCAGCAGTGGTAGATGGCCGGTTATTCCAAAGGCATCGTGGATATCAATCACTGATACGTAGGTTATGGGTGCATCAACAAGGAGAGATTCGAGTTTTGGCAAGTCTCCTAGAAGATCAAGTCCTATGCTCGGCGGTTGTCCATCCAATTTCCAGTGGTATTCGCGGACAGCTCCGAAGCTCCGCACTAATTTCGAATACGCTGGGTTTCGCGTTAGAGCCTGACGGAAACACGCAAGCCGTTCGTGGCTCCGAATGACGACTGAGTGGTAGAGACGTGGCTCAGCTATGGCGTGAAAAAGCCTGCACGTGCAAGTAACGGAGAGCAAATCCTCGGCTGGGACATGGTCGAAAATGAGACCGAGAAGCTCCGCAGGCAGTTCGGTGAGCGAGTCACGGCTCTCCTGCTGCTTGTTTGACTGGGAATGACTAATTAGCGCGGCCATTGAGCATTGCCATAAACAAATCGAAGAAGTAGGTCTTTGTGAGGAACAGAGAAGATTGGGCGCGCGAGTCGGGCTCGCTCCAGGCAGACGCCAAGACCGGCTGTTTTAAGCCTCAGCACACACCGCCTTCCCCATGGGGCCGTTCTGCCTTTAGAGCCAGAAACTATCACTATTGAAAGTAGAAAACATACCAGGTATATTATTTCTTTAGCCATGGGAGACTAAGGCTTCTTTCTAGAATGGGACCGCAGCTCGATCAGGGTGAGGATTCCAGCGAAGTATGTCTCGGAGGCAAACACGTGGGTGTTGAATGGTTCGTACAGTAACGACTGATGCTGGAGGTCGAGCAATATTTTTGGCAATTGCTTCGTAGATCTGATTGCGGGTAGGATTTTCTGATGAGTCTAGTGATACAACGAGCTCCTTCAGAGGTTGTGGCTTGGAAAAAAACTTCTCCAGCTCGCGGCTCATATTCATTGTGAAAGCGCACTGGGAAATCTCGAGCTTCTCGAGAGGTGTGTCTATTGAGGTCGTAGAACACAAGTTTAGGAACGAAATTGATGTGAGAGTTATGCTCTTCAATGTCGGATGGAGAAAAATACTTCGGCAACCGAACTGGACCTGCCTTCTCTTGCCTTTAGGGTTATAGCTAGAGAATTGTAGATGAACTAGATGGTAGGTAAGAATGCGCCAACAAGAACCAGGGTACCAGCATGGCTTACACGTTTGGAGGGATTGCAAAGCTTCTCCCGTGGCCGCAAGTTCAAACACGTCATTCAGGTCAAATTGAACCGCAAATGTCCCAAACAAAGATCGGAAATCCACACCAAGTGTGGCTAAATTCATGAGCTTGAGAAGCACATCTTTCAGGGCCTTTGTCATATGGGTGTCGGTACATTCACATAAGAAATTCCTGGTGATTGTCGCACGCGTCGGTTTCGCGTTTAGAGCTATCTGGAATGACTGGAGTTGTTTCGTAGTGGAAACGATGACAGAGCGATAAAGATATGGATCGACTATTTCGTGGAAAAGCTTGCATGAGCGAGCAACATTGGCCAAGTCACTCGTCGAATGTATTTCAGAAAATACAAACTCAAGGAGCTCGACCGGCAAGCCAGCCAGCATGGCCTGAGGTCGGTGGCATGCTGGTGCTGCGACAGGGGCGTTCACGAGGAGGCCGGGAGAATGCAGAGTGTGTTCCATTTTTGTGCCAGTCTCTGTGTCGCGACGGGGATAGGTACTGGGCGTCAGGATGGTGTTAGGTAGAGGATGCAGCGTCATCGCGGACAGCACGGGCCACGGCCGAATCCGCATCCGCATCCGCCGGTCCGATTTTCCCCGGACATCAAAACCCCACACCCCTCCTGCAGCGCTCTGACTCTCGCCCGCCTGCTCCTTGTGTCACCGTATTCTCGCCAGTGTCGCATTCCAAAAATTTTCCGGGCTAAATAGACAACCATCATGCCATTCACCGAAGGAGCCCCCGCTCACGGAAAAGTGGCGCATTTGCTTCCCCAGACCTACAAGCGGCTGGTCTCGGAATGGCTGGAAGAGGACACGCCAAGCCTTGACTACGGTGGCTTCGTGGTAGGCGAGGACATGGCTGAAGCGAGGTTGTTGGGTAAGAGCAAGGTCGGTTTCGCCGCTTACATTTCCGCCACGAGAAAGTGATGTCGTGGTGAAAAATGACCCAAAAGAGCATAAGACACCTCTAAACTACCGGGATGCTGACTTATCCCGATCAGGGTGTGTTGGCCGGCGTGCCATTTTTTGACGAAGTGTTCAAGCAACTCGACTGCACGTGAGTCTTATCTCCCATATTCCTATCATCTTATAAGCCACTGATGGCCGGTTTCAGCGTGGAATGGCACATCCAAGAAGGCGAGACTTTCGAGCCCGTGAAGCACTGCGCCACCGTAAGAGGACCAGTTAGGAAAGTACTTCTTGGTGAGAGAGTCGCCCTCAACACTCTGGCAAGATGCTCTGGCATCGCTACCAAGTAAGTAAATTTCACTTTGATAATTTTCACCTCCAAGAAACACAACTCCCACCCCTTAACAGTTACACTTTCACCAATCGTCATATAATGACACCCATATCGGGTCCAAGACACACTCTCACCACTTGTCTATAACGAGAATCCAATGCTTCACTCCGTTCCAAACTAAAGTCATCTAACCTTACCTTCAGATCCGCCTCCCTGCTTTCCCTTTTGCGCAACGCCGGCTACCGCAACACGCTTGCCGGCACGCGCAAGACGACGCCGGGCTTCCGGCTAGTCGAGAAGTACGGCATGCTCGTGGGCGGCTGCGACCCGCACCGGCACGACCTGTCGACCATGACGATGCTGAAGGACAACCACATCTGGGCGTGCCAGGGCTCCATCACCAAGGCCGTGCACGCCGCCAAGGCCTCGGGCGGCTTCAGCATCAAGGTCGAGGTCGAGTGCCAGTCGTTCGAGGAGGCCGACGAGGCCATCGCCGCCGGCGCCGACGTCGTCATGCTCGACAACTTCACCGGCGACGGCGTCAAGGTCTGCGCGAGGAAGCTCAAGGAGAAGTGGGGCAACAAGGCCCTGGTCGAGGTCAGCGGCGGCCTGACCGAGGAGAATGTCGAGGCGTACGTGTGCGACGACGTCGATGTGGTTAGCACGAGTAGCATTCACCAGGGCGTCAAGCATGTGGATTTCTCGTTGAAGATCGTCCCCAAGGGACAGGCCAAGAAGGGCGGGGAAACGGTCGACGTGTGAACAGCCCCCGGGATGAAACAGGACAAAGGGCGGTCGCTGCTGCAAGGAACGCTCGCTACCACATATTATCAAGGCGTGTACGATCTCCATGTAAAAGCCCGATGAGGAATTGAGAATTTTCTGGAATTCGAGCCACATTCCTGTGCAGCCTACAGGGCATCGCGTGCATATGACGCGTATCCAAGTGGACCAATTTGAAGCGCTTCTCTAAAGGATTTGAAAAAATCCAACTGGCATGGGGGAAAGTCATCACCCCCCAACAAGGATTCATTGCGCCCAAAAAGCAGACTTGCTCCTAAAAAGCAATCAAGGAATAGGAAAGTGACGAACGCAACAATAACGCCAGAACCGAACCCTGGTATCTCACCATCCATAGATCAGTGGATGCCCTATTGGTAGAAAAACGCCGTTGACCCGCTTCTGTGACGAGCCCTCATGATTACCAAAAATTTTATGCTAAAAGAAAAATATCGAGACTATCGTGAAATTCATACATTGAAAACGAGGTCTTATGCGAACCTGACCATGCGTTTCTGCGCCTCCCCCACCTTCCTCTCGGGAGCGATAGCGGCTAATCGTCTCCTCTCACTCCGCTTCTGCCGCGCTTCTCTCGCTTCTCGCGCACGCCATTCCAGTATCTGCTGGCGGCGCTTAAGCGCACGGTGCTGGGCAACGGCATGCGTTGGGCGGAAACCGAGGCCGTTGATCCCGTAACCGTCGTCGTCCTGCTCGCGATCAATCTCGTGCCCTGTGATCTCCGAGTCCTGCCACGTCAAGGCGGCTTGGTCGGACGGCGGCGGTGGTGCCGATGGTAATGATGATGCGGAGGTCGAAGAGCTCGATGACGTCGCATAAGTCCGGACCGAAGGCGACGGCGACCGGCGATGCAGCTTAGGATTGGGACGGCGCGTTGAGAGGAAGAGCTTTACGGAGGGCGAAGATGAGGGCGGCGGCGGCGACGATTGCATTCCTCCATCATCTATTGTTGTTGTGGTGGCGAAGGAGACCCTCTGATGCTGGGGGGTCTCCGCTATCTCCAGTACCGGCTGCGACGGACTGCTTGGCTTGTGTGGATTCGATGAGCGGTTGCCCCCCTCGTGTAATCGTTGATCGACAAAATGGTCGCTGTGCTTGGCTTTCTTCGTCGCGATGGCGCCTGCGTCACCGCTGCCGAAGTCTATCGCCGGTAAGGCGCCGCTTCCTCCGCTGCCTTTGTGGAGCTGAAGGCGTTCGAATTGACTCGCAACCCGCGAGCGCGGGCTCTCGGAACCGGACTCGACGGTAGCTGCGGCGAGTAATGCGCCGCTGTGGGGTTCGGAAGCGCTGGCGCAGCGCGCATCGACGGGTCCGGGGAAGGCGGAGGTGTTGAGGCGGGGCGCGAAGGGTTGCGTAGTCGGTACGGCGGGGTCAGAAGAGCCGCGCTTGCGCTTGGGCGATACTGTCATCTGCTGCGGCTCGGCAGGACGAGCGAAACTGGTCTGCAGTCGAAGAGGGGGTTCCGGATCGTGCATCTCAAGGGAGCCAGGGTGGAGCCAGCTTGGATTTGGAAGATGTGAAGTGGGTATGGGAGGGGGCGGAGCTGTGGTAATACTCGTGTGCGTGCCTTTCGATTGTGACTCGTTGACGCTGACCGGGCACGCCTGCCTCGTTCAGGCCTGGACCCTGTCGCGCTCGTGCGCCTTACTTCTGCACGCAGATCCATCCACCCGTAGGGCTGAGGCTGCCTACTAATAATAAACTCCGCCCATGCATGAGATGCAGTTTGCCGTGCAATAAGATCTTTGCATTTAAAGATGGCGAGGCAGATATGCCATGGTTTTCTTTCGGAGCGCGGCACTGTCTCACTTTGACACATATGCTTCGTCTTGGTCTCATTTCAAGGCTGGCGGCAAACTTTCTTCGTTAATTGACTGGTCAGCATCATCGGCTACCGACCGCCAGCGCCAAAAGCGGAACAAACATATGCGGCCAACATGCAAATATCCGAAAGCGCAGGGGAATCGTTATACTCGGTTAGTGGAGGTTTGTTTTCATTTCCGCTCAGGGAATCTTCAATCGCTGTGAAAGTAAGCAGTACCATCGATTGCTGAAGACTTCGCGAACGGCCCTATACAGTTAATCTACTCATACAATTAAAGCTGAAGTGATTTTGGGAAGCTCGATGACATCACCAAACCTTCCACCACGGCTTCTGCGCAGCGTTCATGCGCTCCTCCTCCAGCCTGTCGCTCTCTTCCTTGGCCTTCCGCCGTGCTGCAATGATTTCTTGCCTCTTTGCCCGCTTTTCTTCCCGCTTTCTGTCCATGATTTCGACCGCCCTGGCCATTCCTTCCCGCTCCAATCTCTGCTTCTGCTTGCAGAACTCGTAAGATGCCATGGATGTAAAGACGAAAACGCCGGCTGCCCAGTTGCACGATTTCGCGATGCTCTCTGGAAGCAATTGTTTAGTATCCAAGCAAGAAAGCCAACTATTATTGCTTTGCAACAGGACTTACTGCCCCAAATGGCCATCAACCCTCCCGTGCCGAAGCCAGTGCCAATGCTCGTTAAGATAGCTTCCCTAACGCAGGGATACTTGTGGATCTCAAGGAAGTCCTTGGGCTGAATTGTCTTGAATCCATCCGACAGGCTCACTCCCCCGATTTTCTCGCCGCCGGCCGTGTGCTGTGTCCCGCCAGGCATAACATTGGGGTTGTCGCCTGATGCGGCGGGGACAAAACTTTCGTACTTCGTGCCCGATTGCCGCACATTAGGGTCGCTGGATGATGCAGCGTCGGATGTGGTTGTGGGTATCCGTCTCGTGTCGTCGGCCATGGTGCGCTGATGTTGCGGAGCTGAGCTTGGGGAATTCTATGATCGCATGAGGGTCGGGGTTTTTGACGTAGCTATCGCCGACTGCCGACATTAGCGTCTGCTACGCTCTCATTGGCCGACGCGCGCAAACGCGTCAACGCGACTCAAGCTCGCGTCGTGCATTGGTACAGCAAGCCCGAGATTCTCATCCCGCCAGTGTACGCAGACAACACAACCTGCCCCTCATCTCCGCCCTCCGCTCTCTCCGTTCCGGCCGCTTTCCAATGTCGACATTTAGATGATACCCCAATAATTCGTTTTTACCGCCAAATACCCCGAACCGCTCCCAGCGGTTCCCTCGCTCTTTCACAATGCCTCCACGCCGCCCTGGACAGCCTTTCAGGCGATTGGGCAAGAATGGCAACACTTCATACGGACCACGGAATGGCCCCAGAACCGTAGACGCATCCACCCTCCGCAGCAGCGAAGCGACGTCGCAAAATGAGAAACTCGAAGCCACGCGGCTCGCCCACAGCATCGACGAGACTTTTGGTTTTGCGCGCTACGAGTCTGGCAAGAAGAAGGCTGGCTGGCTGTTCAACATGCACAGCACAACCATAGAAGACGAAAACTACCCTGGAGGACGCGCCGGAGTCGACTTCTACTTTATCGGCGACGACAACGAACAGTACTTCAAGGCGACTGTGGGATATGATCCATACTTCTTGGTGGCAACAAAAAGAGGGAAGGAGGCAGATGTTGAGGAGTGGTGCAAACGCAACTTTGAGGGCTTGGTGAAGGGCGTTTCGAAGGTCGACAAGGAGGATCTCAGCATGCCGAACCATCTCTTGGGCTACCGTAGGACTTTCCTGAAGCTCACCTTCGTCAACGTTCCCGATCTGCTGGCAGTACGAAAGTCATTAATGCCGATTGCGGAAAGCAACAAGAAAAAGATGAATGCCATGGACACATACGCCGAGGTTGCAAGGTAACCGGCCCCCTTGCTTGTTGAACGATAGAGGCTGACTGAACTGGTAGCGCAAATGCGGGCTTTGACATTTTCGATGACGACCAAGATTACGAGAAACGACCAAACGGATTCGTAGAAGCAAGCGATTTCATTGTTGATATTCGAGAGTACGACGTACCATACCACGTCCGAGTCGCAATCGATCTGGGTATGTCCCTCAGGTCTTCGTTTTACAGGCATGGCTGACTTTGGCTAGACATTCGCATCGGAAAATGGTACTGGGTAGAGGCGAAGCACGGCACCACAACATTGTCCTGCATCGAAGACCGATTAACGCGTGCCGACCCTGTGGTGATGGCGTACGATATCGAAACATCCAAAGCACCACTGAAATTCCCCGATTCCACAGTCGACCAGATCATGATGATTTCATACATGATAGATGGGCAAGGTTTCCTCATCACTAACAGAGAAATCGTGTCCGAAGACATCGCGGATTTCGAGTACACTCCGAGGCCAGAGTACGAAGGGCCGTTCATGATCTTCAACGAGCCGGACGAAAAGGCTTTAATCGAGAAATTCTTCGAGCATATCAAGATCGCAAGGCCTACGGTCATGGTCACGTACAACGGTGACTTCTTCGATTGGCCTTTTGTTGAAGCACGAGCGAGTATTCTAGGTATCGACATGTACCAGGAGATTGGTTTCCGGAAGAACAGCGAGGATATCTACCAGTCCGATCACTGCTGCCACTTGGATGCCTTCGCATGGGTCAACCGTGACAGTTATCTGCCTCAGGGAAGTCGTGGTTTGAAAGCTGTCACAGTCGCCAAGCTTGGTTACGACCCCGATGAGTTGGACCCAGAATTGATGACGCCTTACGCCTCGGAGAAGCCCCAAATCCTCGCCGAATACTCAGTATCAGATGCCGTCGCAACGTACTACCTGTACATGAAATACGTTCATCCTTTCATCTTCTCCCTCTGCACAATTATTCCTCTCGGTCCCGATGACGTGTTGCGCAAAGGCACGGGAACTCTTTGCGAGATGTTGCTGATGGTGCAGGCATATCAAAAAGAGATTGTGCTTCCCAACAAGCATGTGGCGCCTCGAGAAGCGTTCTGGGACGGTCACCTTCTGGAGTCGGAAACCTATGTCGGTGGTCACGTCGAAAGTATCGAAGCTGGTGTTTTCCGAAGTGACATACCCGTCAACTTTGCTCTCGATTCAGCGGCCTTTCAACAGCTTATCGATGAGTTGGATGCTGCTTTGAAGTTCAGCATCACAGTCGAAGAGAAGAAGTCTTTAGACGACATCACCAACTACGACGAGGTCAAAGAGCAGATTGCGGAGAAACTACGGATTTTGAGAGACACTCCAAACAGAAACGAGCGGCCTTCCATCTACCATTTGGACGTCGCATCTATGTATCCCAACATCATGACAACGAATCGTCTCCAACCGGACTCCATGGTTACAGAAGCAGATTGTGCCGCATGCGATTTCAACAGACCAGGCAAAACATGCGACCGCCGCTTACCGTGGGCTTGGAGAGGAGAGTACTTGCCAGCCAAGAGAGACGAGTACAACATGATCCGGAACGCGTTGGAGAACGAGAGATTTCCTGGAAAAAGACCAGGCACGACAAGATCATTCCAAGAACTCTCGCTTGACGAGCAGGCAGCCATGGTCAAGAAACGGTTACAGGACTACAGCAAGAAGATCTACCACAAGATTCACGAATCCACAACATTACAGCGAGAGTCCATCATTTGCCAGCGCGAGAACCCTTTCTATGTCGACACAGTCAGTACGTTCCGTGATCGCCGGTATGACTTCAAGGGAAAGCAAAAGGTTTGGAAGGGCAAAACGGATGCTTTGAAAGCATCTGGCGCAAGTGCTGGCGAGATCGATGAGGCCAAGAAGATGATCGTTCTGTTCGACTCTCTCCAGCTTGCCCATAAAGTTATTCTGAACAGTTTCTACGGCTACGTCATGAGAAAAGGCTCTCGCTGGTACTCTCTGGAGATGGCTGGTATCACTTGTTTCACCGGTGCCAGTATCATCCAGATGGCTTGTCAGCTGGTCGAGAGGATAGGAAGGCCGCTTGAGCTTGACACGGATGGTATCTGGTGCATTCTGCCTGCAACTTTCCCCGAGAACTTCGCATTCAAGATGAAGAACGGAAAGAAGGTCGCCATTTCTTACCCTTGCGTTATGCTGAACCACAGAGTCCACGACAAATTCACCAATCATCAATACCAGGACCTCAAGGACCCGGCCACCTTCCGATATGAGACTCGGAGCGACAACAGTATTTTCTTCGAGGTTGACGGACCATACAAGGCCATGATTCTGCCCACTTCGAAGGAAGAAGACAAGAACTTGAAGAAGCGTTATGCTGTGTTTAACCACGACGGCAGTCTTGCTGAGCTCAAGGGTTTCGAAGTCAAGAGAAGAGGAGAGCTGAAACTTATCAAGATTTTCCAGACTCAAATCTTCAAGTTCTTCCTCGAGGGCAGCACCCTTCAGGAGACTTATGCAGCCGTGGCTAAAGTGGCCAACCAGTGGTTGGATGTCCTGTACTCCCAGGGAACCACGCTTGCAGATGAGGAACTCATTGATCTCATTTGCGAGAACAAGAGCATGACGAAGACTGTTGAAGAATACGGCAGCGCGAAGACTACTGCCATCACTACGGCGAGACGTCTAGCCGAGTTTCTGGGTGAGCAGATGATCAAGGACAAGGGCTTGAACTGCAAGTATATTATCTCTTCCCAGCCCAGGAACGCCCCGGTCACGGAACGCGCTATTCCGGTTGCAATCTTCTCAGCCGAAGAGTCTGTAAAAAAGTACTTCCTACGGAAATGGATGAAGGCTGATCCTGGAGACTGCGATCCGAGGACTATCACCGATTGGAACTACTATCTTGAACGTCTTGGCTCCGTCATCCAGAAACTCATCACTATCCCAGCTGCACTCCAAAAAATCAGGAACCCTGTGCCTCGCGTTGCGCATCCCGATTGGCTCGAGCGGAGAATCCGGATCAAGGACGATGTCTTCAAACAGAAGAAGATGACGGACATGTTTGGGAAGAAGGCGTTGGCGGATATCGATGCCAATGTTGTCACCAAGAAGGTCATTGATCTGGAGGATTTTGGAGGGTCACAGGTGGACAAGCCTAAGAGAGGCACAGTGACTAAGATGGTCCAGAAGCGCAAAGCGCCAGAACCTGCGGCACCAACGGATCCCTATGCCAGTCTGCCATCGAAGATGCCTTCCATCACAGAGGACTATCAAGGCTGGTTGAAATACCAGAAGCAGAAGTGGAAGATTCAGAGACAACAAAGAGCCCGGAGACGACAGCTTTTCGGTGAGAAGAGAACGGACGCTTCTGACGGCCTCGGGACGTACTTCCGGAACCAGGCGGAGTTGGTTTACATGAACACATGGCAGCTTCTGCAATTGCGCGAGGGCGACTTGCCCGGCGAGGTCAAGGCGTTTGTGCTCATCGACAAAAAGGTCCATATCATCAAGATCATTGTGCCGCGACAAGTATATCTCAACCTCCGCAGCGACGATCTGCCAGATGTGTCCATCGAGGGCTGCAACGTGGAGAAGGTTGTCAACCACACCCTTCCAAATGGCCACCCGTCCGTTCACCTCTTCAAGCTTACCTTGCCTGAGCAAACATACGTCAACGAGTCGAAGAATCTCAATCTACTGTTCAACCACCCAAGTGTTGAAGGAGTTTACGAGACTCAGGTACCTCTGAACGTCCGCGCCATGCTCGAACTTGGTAGCATATGTACCTTCGATGAGACGCAACGTGGTGTCCTCGGCAAAGGCTTGGAACAAGGATTTGACCTTTCTGCCCTTCGGCGAGTGCCAAACCAGCAGCCCTACCTGACGGAAAACCCTCTCGGCTATCTCTACCTGCACCACATCATCGCTGGTGACCGACAAATCTTTGCTTTGTTCTCAACTAGCAAAGAGCAGGCTCATGTCGTTGTCTTGAATCGCTCGAGAGATGTCCAGGGTCTTCCAAACTTGGACAAAATCTACAAGGACCATCTCGCTGCTCGGCTCAAAGCTTCCGATGGCCAGCCCTGGCAGGAAACGTTTGACTATCAGAACGCTATCCATTTCAAGACGGTGCAAGTTACGACCAAGCGAAAGGCGCACCTTGAAGTCGCAGATGTAATCAAGAAGATGAGGAACGACGAATCCAAGCCCATCATCATGGTCGTGCGGGCGGAAAATCAAAAACTGCTTGCTCACGATATCCCGGTCCTCAAGGACATACCTGTCCTGCCTCTACAGCCTGATGATTCTGACAAGCAGCTGCCTCCTCTCGGCTGGCAGTCCTTTGTTGCGAGGCGTCTGATCGACCATTACCTTGATCTCGGAACCTGGGTTGCGCACTTAGTTGGGCTGGCTCAATACGGCAACGTCCCTCTCTGCAATCTGGAGAGAGATGACCCTCGCTTCCTCATCGACATTGCGTATGCAAGACGATTGCAAAAGGACAGGGTCGTTCTCTGGTGGTCTGAGGGCCCGAAGCCAGATCATGCCGGTTATGAGAAGGATGATGTACTCGGCCCCTTGGAGACGGTGGACATGCCTTCGATCAACAATCCCGGAACCTACTCCTCAGTGTGCATTGACCTAGAGATAAAGAACTTGGCCATCAGCACCGTCCTTTCGTCCGCTATCATCAATGAAGCGGAGGGTTCTGATTCCGTCTCCTTCAACCCTGCAGCGCCAACAGAGGATCAGGCAAGTGACGGCTCAAACGTCATCTACTCGGACAATGCCTTTGCATCCGCGGGTATTCTGGTCCTTCGGGAAATGGTCAAATCCTGGTGGTCCGAGGCCGAGAAGGGCAGTTACATGGCGGACGTCATGGTGCAACATCTGGTCCGCTGGGTGGAGTGTCCTGGATCGTACCTATACGACCGAGCCTTGCACTACTACGTACAGATGATGTCGCGTAAAGCACTCCAGCAACTGATGTCTGACTTCCGTCGGGTGGGCTCGCACGTTGTCTTTGCAAGCGCAAACAGGCTTCTGCTGCAGACAACAAAGGCCGAAGTTGGTAACGCGTATGCCTACAGTCAGTACATCTTGAAGACTGTCCATGCCAAACCGCTCTTCCAGAGCTTGGACCTGCAGATCAAGGAGTACTGGGACTATCTGGCGTGGTACGACGAGTTCAACTACGGCGGTAAAGGATGTCGGGAGGTCGTCGAAGCAGAGAACCAGACACTTGACACGATCATGTGCTGGCACTTTGCAACCTTCCTCCCGCCGGTCCTGCAACCAGTTTTCAATGACTGGGTGGTTGAGTTCATCGAGTTGATGCACGCACGAAAGCGACCACAACAGCGGCCATCATCCAGGGGAAACGGGAGCGACGTCCAAGTGGAATCAACACCGCGCCAAACCCAGCTGCCCTTCCGCCCCATGACGCAGGAGACTCCCGACAAACCGACCTCGGTCCTCAGCAAGACCTTCACCAAGCCGCTCACGAAGGAGATCGCGGCCCTCCTCCGCCGGCAGCACCAGGAACAGCTGCACGCCGAGCTCGCGCCCGATTGGCACTTCCCCTCGTTGCCGGGCACCAACCCAGACATCGCAGCCACGCTAGCAAACCCGACGCTGCAGCTGGTCAAGTCGCTCACGCAGGTGCTGTCGCTGGACAAGAGCATCAACCTCGAGGCGCGGCTGCTGCGCAAGGACCTGCTGCGGCTGTTCGACGTGCGCGAGTTCAGCGCCGAGGCGGCCTTTGCCAACCCGGCGGCCAGCCTGTGGGTGCGCGGCCTGGTGTGCGACGACTGCACCGCCGTGCGCGACGTCGACCTGTGCCGCGACGGCGAGATTGCCGTCTCGTCGAATACCAACAACGCTAACTCAGAAGAAGGAAGTGGTGGGCCCAAGGGCGTCTTGAACCTGTCGTGCCCGTCCTGCCACGCGCCGCACGACCCCAATCGCTTGGAGACGCGCCTCGCGGCCGACGTGCAGGCCCTGGCGCTGAAGTGGGTCGGGCAGGACGTCAAGTGCGGCAAGTGCGGCCGCTTGCAGAGCGAGACGGCATGCTTTATGGAGCATTGCGCGTGCAGCGGGCGGTGGGTGCCGAGTCTGCGGAAGGAGGAGCTGGTGAGGAAGTTGAAGGTGTACGAGGGCGTGGCGAGGTGGTTTGGGTTCGGCGTGTTGGGGGCGTGTGTGGGTGAGGTGTTGGAGGGGGTGCAGGTGTAGATGGGATAAGGTGTTTTCGAAAAGGGGCTTCTATGGAGGGAAATCATTGTCTGGCGTGTTCCACGGCTTTTTTGGCTGGATTGTATCGCGACGGATGGCGTCGTGTGGGCGAGCAAGGTGGGATGGTGTTGAGGCGTTTCTTGTCTTTTATAGGTCTAATCCGCAATTAAGAGCTTTCCGATCATGCAGCCAGGGTATCTCAGGCACCAGCGTACAGTCCCCTCTCGCAGCCGATGGCTAGCGTGGGTTTGTTTTTTTGCTCATGTCATGGGTAGTTGAAGCTATCGTCCGGACGAGAATGTCGAGTTTTTACTACCCACATATGTTATTTTTCTAAGGCAAAGCTGGGGCATGGTTACGCTATGTTCTAAAGCCCTTCTATTCTTAGCGCTAGCCATCGGCTACGAGAGGGGGCTGTGGGATAAACCCTAATGCAAGGTGATCTCCCCTGCAGGGCTCTTGTCAGCTTCGCCACCTATTGGCGACTATAAAGCCCCCACTCCGAGGCTACAGCGCGAGTTTCAAAACGACTCCCTGCCCCAACTTTCCTTGAAATTTGACCTGCTGCAGCCTGGGACAACACGCACCAGAGGGAACCATGCTGTCTGTCGGCGACCCAGGCGACAGCGAAAGGGGAAATACGTTAGTATTGTCGTTACAACATTACATAGGAGAATTTGCTGACTTTTGCTACTTGAAAGCCGAGCGTTATCGGTTAAGAAGCGTACCTCGCTCTCCACGTTCGACGAGCGAAGGTTTTCGCGATGCGACCTATCCTGGTTGGATGTTGTGAACAGTGCGCCTGAGTTCAACTCGGGTCGTCCCCGGAGCGAGGTTGTGCATCCGTCAACGATACAGGAAGAAGAACCCTCGGACATCGTGCCTGAATCCGATGGGGCCGATCCTGCGGCTGAGGGTATGGCACATCCTGCGAGTGATGTCCTAGAATCATCACATGGTCGAGTGCGCCGTGGCGTTCACGGCCACATCCAGACGCCACCAAGAATCAGTTCTGGCATTCTGCCGGCCGCTCGCTTCTCAAACTACACCTCAGTCAGGACAAGCAGCTCATCAGCCAATGTACTTGTCGCAACAAATGCGACATCGAGCCAAGTCTCTCCCAGATCAAGTGTTGCATCCGTCTACTTGTCCGCGAGGACGAGCATATCCGCCAGGACGACCAGCTCATCAGGATTTGCGTCTGCCAGGACAAGCAATGCATCGTCTTACAACACACCGCCCAGCCACTGGTTCAACTCAGACCGGAGATCAGGGCTTCCAAAACTTCCGCTTTTTAACCCAGATTCGCGGCTGAATACTCAGGCTCTGGTGAACGCAATGCCGAGCACTGAAGATATAATCAGAGACATGGTCATTGACAGCTCGTTTCTAAGCATGCCAGATCCATCCCGATTGAGGAACCAAAGTGTGCCAGAGAGTCCAGCCCACAAGAGTAGAGCTTCAAATAGAAGTTCGAAATCGAATCTAGAATTCTTCCGGAGAATACACAACATCTCAGCTCTCCGCAAAGAGGACTTTGACTCGTGTCAGGAACCGTGGGCTTTGGGTAGCCTTTGCACGTGGCTGCAGAATATTTTTCACTCCGACTCCAATTTCACGTATGAAGAGCTCGTGCTATCATTAGCAGCCTTGTTCCTCTGCAAGTCATTGATTAAATGTACCACCAAGGCTCTTTATCATGGCTCAGTTATTGCGTCGAGGCTTCGAAAGGAAGATCCACCAATCGTTTCAGTAACGAAGGATGGCATTTGCAAGTGGATCAGCCCACTAAGAATGACACACGGGGTAATCCCTGAACTTACAGGATGCGGATGTTACTCGAGGAGCCATGACTCAACGACAGACAATCCACGCTTTTTACGATGTTATTCACCTCACTGTTCAAAGCTTCCAGCCCGGTGGCCGCCTTCGAATGTTTATACGGAACCTCTGTCTGAACGCTCCTCGTTTGGCAAAGGCTGTCCGAGTCTGAGTGACTGGAACAAGTTGTTGAAAAGAATGGATCTGCTCCCAGCGCTCGACGTGGAGCTCAATTGGTCTGGGCGCGGGCAACATGCGGAATTCAAAAAGACGGAGAAGATTCCTCTCCATGTAGAGAGAGCTCTCGGACACGGGACTTCTGCCCTCGTGGAGAGCGTGATGTGCAGGAGAATACGACTAGCTCGCAAACGAGTGAGATGCAATTGGAGTCTGAAGAGGGAAGATGCCATAAAAGAAGTCGCCCATCTACAGCGCGCTCAACATGCACACATCCTGCGAGTCGTGGGAACCTACATTGTCGAAAGAAGCAAGGACCTCTACATCCTCATGTACCCCGTCACGGAATACAACCTGAGCGAGTTCATGGACGAAGAAGTGGATCCTGACTTGCCGAAGACCTTGCGTTCCTTCCTCCCTTGCCTGGCCAACACCTTGACGTTTCTTCACGACAAGCACCATATCAAACACATGGACATCAAGCCCGAAAACATACTCGTCCGGAGCATTCAAAACAGTACGAAAAAGCATCATTCTGGCGCGTACAAGGTGTACCTCGCCGACTTTGGCATCTCCCGCTCCTACGCGTCCCCCGAGGAGTCCGAGACGAACTCCATCACCAGTTTCACCCCGCTCTACGCAGCGCCCGAAGTAGTGAGCCAAGAGCTGCGCGGATTCAAGGCCGACGTTTTCTCCCTCGGCTGCGTCTTCACGGAGATGATGGCCACCATATGCTCTTTTCGCGACGCTCTCGAGGAGATCAGGGAGCGGAGTGGCAGACGCCCGTTCCACGCCAATCTCGCCGCCATCCAGAAGCTTCTGAGCGCGATTTATTCTGGGGAGGAGGAGCACGAATACACGTACGGCCATGTTCTCCCGAGACCGTGCATTTGGTACGCCCGCTGCATGATCAATGATCAGCCTCAAAACAGGCCGAGTGCGGCGAGGGTGAGGGACTTTCTGGAGGTTGACGGGCTCGTCTGCAACGCTGAACTGCCCGAGGCTTTCGAGGTGGCGCAGCCTCTGTCGGAATGCTGATCTTACACTACTGGGTGGTGGACCTCTTCTGACAATCAAAATGTACAATACTAACTTTCCCTTACCAACGTGTCTTTATCACTGGCTGCGTGGAAATAGGCAATCAGGGCACGCGATACATCGTCACATCAAGATATGTCAAGCAAGTTCGTCAAAACACTATATCAGATTCATCCATCGCAACTCGTAGCGAGCGTACATAACATCCCCATTTCCACCTCGAAGGCGAGCCTTAATGAGAGAGAAGACAAACGGCATTTCAGCAGTTCATCTCCATCATCATCAGTACTTATCATTCTCAGCCTTCCTCTCCTCAAAGACCTTAAGCACCTCCTCAGCCGCCTTAACACCGCTCAGGGCCATAGCGCCGAAAGTCGGGCCCATACGGTTCGCGCCATCGACCTCGGACAGCTCCATGCCGCCAACAACCAGTCCCGGCACGACCTCGCGGGTGCGCTTAACGATAGCGTCCTCGGCGGAGCTCATGTCGAGGCCGCGCATGCCGCCGAGCTTGTCGAGCTGCTGCATGCTGACGAGGCGCTTGACGGAGAAGGCGCCAAAGGGGCCATCGTGGCCGGTCGTGCTGACGACGATGGGGGCGTTGATGGTGTTGGGGTCCATGCAGCTCTGGTCGTCGTGGTGCATGCTGACGAGCGTCCAGTTGGTGACGACGCCGGCGATGCGCACGCCCGAGGCACCGTTGGGGAGGGGACGCGTGATCAGGTCCTCGACCGTCGTCGCGTTGAAGAGCTTGACGTTGGGGAACTGCAGGACCTTGGACAGGACGGTGGAGGTGAAGAGCGCCGCGTGCTTGACGACGACGTAGTCGTCGCCCTCGTCTTCGTAGGGGACGCCCAGCTCGCGCAGGAAGGCGTCGGCGGGCCGGCGCATGACCATGGCTGAGAAGAGCTGGCCGCCGAGCCAGGCACCGCCGCCTATGAATCGTTAGTTCAAGATCAGATCAGGTGAGTAGGTTTGAGGCTTACCAGGAGCGACGCCAGCCTCGACGATGGCGATCTTCAGGTCGGGACGCGCCTTGGCGAGCATGTAGGCGGTGCTCAGGCCGCAGGAACCGGCGCCGATGATGACGACGTCCGACTCGGCGTACGTGTCGAGGTCCTTGAAGTAGCGGCGCGTCATGGCGCGCGACACCTGGCTCTCGCGGATGGGCGCGAACTTGAAGTTGTCCCACTGCCCGGCCATCTCGTCGACCGTCTTGGACATGTTGCCCTTGACGGCCATGCCGTCCTGCTGCTTGATGGGCAGGTCCTTGGTGACGGGAGCAGCACGCTGAAGCGTGGGCGAGGTGGCGATCGGGGGAGACATTTTTGGTTGGTTTGGTGGTGGTAAGTTGTTGTTACCTGTCGCAAGTCAGGAAGACTGTTGACACGAGTGGGGGTAAGAGCATGATCCTTCGACGCAGGTATTATCCTGATCAAGTTCGACCGTATAATCTCAGCAAGAGCTCCTGGCGCCTCAATCGCAAGGAGAGAGGCACCGAAGAGCTCGAGCACCGGTTCATGCATCAATACAAACCTCATAGTTTCGTTGATGATGATCACTTGACCATAGATGGACAACTCCATTGAAGGCATGATACTCCCATGATGGGGATCATTACTTGACAGAGCTTCTTTGAGACCTAATGGTGTTAGTGAGCTGCCAATTAACGGGGAGGGCATTGATACTTTTGAGATCAGCTAGATGAAGTGCTATGATCGAGAAGAACGGGAAGGCGAGGGCCGTAGAGAGGGTTTTATGCTGTTGAGTGCCCCGCACACGTGACGAGACGCTAACGGAGGGGCAGTTGACGATGTTCTCACGATTGGCGCCGCGTCTAGCCGTGCTCCACTCAAAAACATCACATCAGCACCATTGGCAAGGAAGACGCCTGGGCGCCGTAAAAGTTACCCACCCATGACGATTCTGATCGTCCACCAAAGAATTCAACAAAGCTGCTACCGCTGTCGAACAGCCTACCATCGCTTGAGCCAACCTTGCACTACACATTTCAATCGGCGATAGATGGCACAAACGGTGAATCCAGTCGGTTGAGTTGTCCAGCCAATCAACCCACCACGGCTGAGCCGGATCGTCTCCCTTCATGGCTTGGAAGAAAATGGCGCATTCGGCACGGCTTGACTCATTCTGCAATCCATCGCCCCATCCATGAAGAGGCATTTAGAGAGACAATCCATGCATCTAGCCTACGATAGACCTGCTGGCTAAGCACCCACAGGCAGGGGGGTTGACCTTGTTATCCGGCGCTTTACTTATTCTTGCCTCATCACGTTACACCATCTTCAAAGCTCTGTGCAGCAATACGGATCAACACTGTCCATAGCTTGATTCTGATCAAGTATGACGAGCATCAATGCATAATGTTAGGAATTCACTGTACAATTGCCACCGGTCTAGCTCACCACCAGAGTCGTTGGGGAATTGATTCTTATATCGAGAAGACATAACCCCCAGGTCGAATTATCGAGTGTAGCATTTTTCGTGTAGGGGCCCTTTTGTAGGCCGCCACTATAAACAAAACCCGTCCCTCCCACATATGGTCAAGAAGATAAAGCCCGGTATTTCGCAAAACGCCAGATACGCCCGCCGCCGTATCGGTACAATGCAGCATTTTCCCTCCGAAAATCCACGCTGTCCCTAGAATCATGCTCCATGCACCGCGTGCTCACATCGTAGCAAAGAAAACCGAAGAAGCATCTTACTCCGACTTCCTCTTCTTCTTCTTGTCCTTCTTCTCACCACCTTCGCTCTTGCGCTTCTTCTTCTTCTCCTTCTTGTCTTCCTTCTCCTCCGTCTCAACCATCGACACGTCGCCATCCGCATCCTTGGACTTGGACTTCTTATCCTTCTTCTTGTCCTTCTTCTCCTTCTTGGCGGCCTTCTCGTCTTCGCTTGCTTCATCAACATCAACATCGATGTCGCCGAGGACCTTGTCCATAGCGTTTTTCTGTCAAAGTCAGTAAACTGGAGTAGAGAGTATTAGAATCAGCTTACCATGGCAATCTCGTTCTTGGTGGGCGCAACACCAGTGCGGTAGAACTCAAGACGCTCCTCAACCTGGGCGCGCAGAGCCTCACCGAACTTGGTCGTCGGGTTCTCGGAGAAGTTGTCGATTCTCGAAGCAATCGTGCACTTGTTGGCAAGGAAGCGGGAAATGCGGCCCTTGTTCTTGGCACCAGCCTTGCCGATGAACGACGAGTGGTAGATAAGACCGTACTTGGGGGTGTTGCCCTTGGTCTTGAGGGCCCTGAAAAGGGCCTTCTCGGCACCGAGAATCTGAACAGTCGAAGCGGCGTACTTGGACAGGTTGGTCAAGCTACCGGCCTTGGAGATAAGGCGGGCTGCGACAGTCTCGCCAATGAGAGCAGCCAGGTTGGGAGCGACAACATTCATCTTGCTGACAAGGTAACCGCTCAGAGACTTGCGGTAGTCGGCAAGGCTCAGGGCGCGGTTGGCGAAAAGCAGAACGTTGTCCATATCGGTCTCCGAAATGTCCCTACCCATGCTGACGCGGGCGGCGTTGATGATATCCCTGGCGACGGACTCGTCGTCATCCACAATGGCAGCCAGGTCGTGCAGCTTATCCTCGTTCAGGGTGCTCTTGTCGCCAATGAAGATGGCGAGCTTAACATACTTGTGGTTGTCGGGCACAATCTTGACAAGTTCCGGGAAGTGCCAGCCGTACCATTCCCTTGCGCGCATGCAGAAGGTGTTGACAGCCTTGTCGAGCTGGTCGAGAGTAGCAATGGCCTGAATAATGTGGTTGTCGTTCTTCTGGACGCTGAACTTGACCTTGGCGCGAGAGTAAGCGTGGCCGAGACCGAGCTGAGCACGGTCGACATCGCCGTCCTGGAGCTGCTTGAGAAGCTTGGGCGCATGGAGACGGAGGCCACGCAACAGGTCGGCGACAACCTCGCTGACTTCGGCAGTCTCGCAGTTGATGTAGGAGAAGTTCGCCTTGATGCTACCAGCCAGGTTCTTCTCCTGGACGCCGAGTGTGATCTCCTTCTTCTTGCCAGGGTTGGGGATGTGCATCTCGAGGATAGACTTGAGGTAGTCCGAGCAGATACCCTCAGAAATGTCGTTCTGGTTCTCGAGAGCCTGGGCAGCGCCTTGGAAGGGAGCGAAGCCCTGGACAGCGACCATCTTGCCGAAGGTAGAGAGGTCCTTGACCTTTTCCTGGACCTCCGGCAGGCGGTTGCCGATGGTTTCAGGCTGCAGCTGCACCTTGAAGACCTACGCGGGGTGAGTACAGAGCTTCACTTTTTTTGAAGGCGGACACTAACGGCATAGCCCACGGGGGACTCGTGCAGAAGGTAGTGGATCGCAGACATGGCGGCGACGTCGCGGGGCGATTGCGATGAGCGAGAGAGTTAGCCCAGACCGGGGGCTGTTTGGTGGGCAATGGTCGTGCTTCGTCGTGTCGCCGGCTGCTGGTCTGGTTGTGCGTCTTCATCGCGACAAAAAGTTTCGGGCCAAGACCTTTCACCCGCGCCTTTCCTGATAGGGACTAGCATCAGCCTTTTGGCGAGGCGCCGCAGATTCCGCTCTAGCAGCAGCAACTTGACTTGGGGCCTGAGCCGGCTTGTGCTTGTCGCGTCCACCAGCTCCTGCGACATCAGCACCGCGCTCTCTCGCGAATCACCGCGCATCGCAGCGCGCACTTCCTACCCTCGCTGCAGTCACCCCAACGCCGCATCGCCCACCATGGCCTCCCAGGATGCCGGCAGCGCGACCCCAATTCCAACCACGGAAACCGCTCCAGATGCGCCAGACAGCGACATTCCAGAGGAGAAATGGAAGGCCATGCAAACAGTCCTGAACAAAGTCTACAACCACAGGATGGAAGAGTGAGTCTCTATACACCCGCATCCTGTCTCTGCAGCCCTTGCGCCCCTCTGCACCTTTGCGCGCCACGTTGCTAACGACGCGCAGTGGCTACGACCCGTCCAAGCTCTTCCAGCGCAAGATCAACAAACGCCAAGTTCCCGATTACTACGAAGTCATTAAGGAGCCAATGGCCCTGAGCATTATCAAGCAAAAGGTCCATGGCAGAGAGTACACGAGTTTCGAGGAATATGTCCGCGACTTTAGCCTCATTACCTACAACGCCCAGGTCTACAACCGTCAGGAATCCCAGGCACACCAAGATGCGCTCGTTATCAAGGAGTTCTTCGAGGCGGAGCTGAAGCGCTTGATTGAAGAGAAGGTTATCGTCGAGGACGAGGCGAAGATACCGTATCTGGGCGAGATTCCCACCTATGAGGATCCTGCGCCGGAGGAGCCCGAAGAGGAAGAAGAGGAGGAGGAAGAGGAAGACGACGAGGAGGACGATGAAGAGGATGAAGATGAGAAACCGAGACGCAAACGAGGAGGCCCCAGGTCCACCGCTGCCATCACAAAACGCGAGGGCGGCGGGAAGGATGATACCAAGGAAAAGGCGGCGAATGACGCCGAGTCGCGCAAGAAGAGAGGACGCCCACCGCGGGTCGACACTCCGATGGAAGCTCGGATCAAGGCCATCATGAAGGCCATTCGGAAGCCTAGGAACGATCAGAACCAGTTGATGGTCAGCCATTTCGAGCGCGTCCCCGACAAATCCGTCATGCCCGAGTACCACAACGAAATCAAATACCCTATGGCCATGGACGGCCTCAAGAAGAAGCTCAAGAGGAAGAAGTACCAGTCCATCGACCAGTTCATGAAGGATGTCGAAATCATGTTCGAAAACGCCAAGTCGTACAACCAGGACGAAAGCCAAATCTACAAGGATGCCGTGTACCTGCAGAAAGAAGCTCGCAAGGCTGCTGAAGAAGAAAAGAAGAAGCCAGACTCCGATTACCTCATGGAAGATGGCCGGATACCGATGCCCGAAGGCATTCTGCATAACGGCGAGTGCTGGAGGGTTGGCGACTGGGTGCACATCCAGAATGCCAACGATCTCACCAAGCCTATCGTCGCTCAAATATACCGAACCTGGCAAGATTCCGAGGGCGGCAAGTGGGTCAATGCCTGCTGGTACTACAGACCAGAGCAGACTGTGCATCGCTTTGATCGCCATTTCTACGAGAACGAGGTCGTCAAGACCGGACAATACCGTGACCACCCCATTGACGAGGTCATTGATCGTTGTTTTGTCATGTTCTTCACGCGCTACAACAAGGGCCGGCCAAGGAGCTTCCCCGCAGACAAGGAGATCTACGTCTGTGAGGCGCGTTACAACGAAGAGAAACACAAACTGAATAAGATCAAAACATGGGCCAGTTGTTTGCCTGACGAGGTTCGGGACAGAGATTATGAGATGGACTTGTTTGATGCACCGCGCAAGATTAAAAAGGTGCCAAGCCCCATCGCCTATCTGCTGAAGGACGACGCAAAGGAAAGCGACCCTCTACCGGAACCTGAATGGGGGGCAGCAAACGCCCCGCCAAAGATCGGTGCAGTTCATAAACGCCCTCGAGACCCCAAGGAATCGCCGCCACCAGAGCCAACACCCTCACCACCACCGCAACCTCCGCCACCGCCGCGTCAGGACTCCACCATGTCGGCTCACGCAGCAAATGGCGCCAATGGCCAAAGACCAGACTTCCCCATGGGAGCTTCACAAACGCCAGGCGCTGCTCCAACGCCGCAACCTCACCACACGCAACCCAACTACACACCTCAACCGCACGCCTACCACCAGCACTCTGCCTCTCCAGCGCCAATGCAACCACTTGGTGCATCGCATCCAAACAGCTTCGCCGCCGCCCTCACACCACACACAGGCGCCTACGCTGCCCCGCCTAGCGTCGCGACACCCGTCTCCACCTACTCCACCGGGCCGCCCATGCCATCAACCCTCTATGCCCAACAGCTCCGCTCCCAACAACATGCTCAGCACCTCCCCAGCAGCGCCGCTGCCGCCAATCCCTATGCGACTGCACCACCCGGCGCGACGCCCTACGCACCACCTCACACGCCTTACGGCGCCGCAGCGGCAGCTGCTGCGCTCGGCGGCGGCGTCCTCAACACGCAATCGTACAAACCGGCGCAAGCGATCGAGGTCTACCGGCTCGACGACCACACCAACGCGACTATCCCGCCGCGCATTCGCGCGCAATTCCAGCAGGACGAGCAGGGCCGCGTGCTCTTCTTCACCGCGCCCCCGATCGACGCGCTACCGCCCGGTTCTGGCGGCAGCGACGCCGAAGGCAACGCCGGTGCCGGCGGCCTTGCGCACGACGTCCGCTACCTCGCCGCCAAGAAGAAGCGCGAGGCACTCCTGCGCGAGAGGAAGCGCAAGGCGGCCGCCGAAGCATCATCTAACGGCGCAGAAGCAGCCAAGAAGGCCCGCACGAACGGCAGCAGCGACGCACAACAACAACAGCAGCAAGATGAGCGCTCCCTGCGCCAGCAGATCGAGCAGCTCACCATCCGCGCCGCCAAGGTCCTCGAGCAGCAACTCCGCGCCGCCACCGAGCGCGACTTTAAAGAACTGTTCGCCTTCTCGTCTCCCGCTGACGGCGACGACGACGCCATGATCATCGATGGCGACAGCAGCGAGGACTGGAAGAAGCGCATGCAGCGCGAGCTGGACCGCCTGGGCGAGACGCAGCGCGAGCTGCTGCGCAAGGAGCTGGCGCGCGAGGAGGAAGAGGAGCGGTGGAGGCGCAGGCAGGAGGTGCAGGTGACGGGGATGCTGCCGACGTTGGAGGATTGAGGGGGTGTTTGTAGAATTGAGTTAGGTTGGGCATGCATGAAAGGAGAGAAAAACAAAAAGAAAAGAGAGTTGCTACTGCTAGATGAGAAAGTCGAATCACGATTAGAAGCGGATTTTAAGGGATGATGTTCACATTTGCTGTTTTTTTTTTCTGTGCTGTACGAGTAGAAATATTGGAGGTGGGAAAGAATGGTACGATGGGGAAATGAAAGACTCATAGAAATCAAAGATTTTGGGAATAGTGAATCTTGAGGTGAACGTGAAGATGTTGGCGAAGTGTCAAACTACTAGCATTACTTTCCATTCTGAATCATTCCGACACGACTTATGAGGTTGTGATAGACTCCCTTCTAGTGGTGAGGACGAGAAGAGATGACCAGTCAAAAATTGTCCCACAAGCATGTTCAAATTACATTTGTTTCGATATCCCGAGCATCATAATTTCTAATGCAGCACCATTGAATGATTTTGCAGACTGAATGTTCCGCACTTCAAATCGATTGCATACGAACATTTACCAAGATTAACCAACAAGTAGAAAATCCACCCGAGATCAACACCGAAAGAATAACTATCGCTTTTGTTTCGTTTTAATATCAGCCTCCAACGGGAAGAACCCATGTACCCAATCCCATCCATGGCGCCTGTACAGCAAATAAAGAAAAGGTCCCTCCGATATAAAGTGAGGGTTCTTGTCATCCAAGCATCTTATTCTATGCATGTCATCTCACGCGACATCGTCAAAAGAATCGGCATGTAATGATGAGCAAGCTCAGATGCCAGCTTCCTCCGGGGGAACATTGAGGCTCCAGTCGATGGGACCGTCCTCCTCGCCGTAGCGTTGCTTAAGCCATTCATTGGCCTTCTTGAAGTGGTCGGTTTCAAACTGCGTTGAGAATCATCATCAGCCAACTAGTCTTCTAACCATCAATATGGAGGGAGGTGCATGGTGCCCTCAGAGCTCTCTTTGAATATCAGCGCCTATACCCGAAGCAAGCAATACACCCATCTTACACGACTACCTGGTTATTCCAGCTGGAATGACGCTAGGTGTCATAGCAAGACGAGGTCTATGCAGCCCGTGCAACGAGGCTCATAAGTATCTGATTACGACAAGAGGTCGTTCATCACCGGACATCTGTACACAATGTGCAAGTTGGAGATGAAAAAAAGTAAATAACTTACCCATCCTCTCGATGCGCTCAACGGGCTTGGATGAACGCTCTTCAGGACTAGGTGCCGCTGAGCGTTGACCCCTTTGCATCTGCTCTGGGCTGAGTTGCCCCATGCCATGAACACGACGCCATTCATACGCACACGGTTCACCGTATCGATGACCTTCTGCGTGAAGCGCTCCCAGCCCTTGTTCTGGTGACTAGCAGCGCTGTGCGCACGCACCGTCAAGCAGACGTTGAGCAACAGCACGCCACGGTCCGCCCACGGCGTCAACAGTCCGCCATTCTTTGGCGGCGGCTCAAACTCGGGGAACTGGTTCTTGAGCGCAGTGTAGATATTCTTGAGGGAAGGCGGGGCTGGGGTTGGCGGTCGCACGGAGAAGCAGAGGCCATGGGCTTGATTGTAGTTGTGGTAGGGGTCCTGGCCCAAGATGACAGCTTTGACCGTGTTGAGAGGCGTGTGACGAGACCTGTGTGAGCGGAAAAGTCAGAAGTGAACATTAAAAAGTAAGACAACCGAAGCTACAGGCATGCTATGGGGGGGAAAAAAGGCTCCCAGTTCGACTGGTCGTCGGTGGCAGGTGTGGAAGACTTTAGTGGTCGCGGGAGAGTTCTAACTGGCCAAACACGGCCAATTGATTCCACATCACCACAAGTAATCGGCCCAGTGGTCGATAGATCAGGATTTCATGCGAATGGGTATGCGGGAGAAGTGAGGTGACGCAATGGAATGCAGGAATGACGGCTGGTAGGCAATGCGGCATAGCAGCCAGTAAAATAGGATACCGGTTATGCACTTACCATGAGTAGATATCAGCCTCCGGCGGGAATATCTTCTGGCCAGACTCCTTCTCTTTTTGAAGAAAGCGCTTGAGGTTGAGGAACTCTGTGGAGGTAATCTCTTCCTTGAGATGAAGCAGCCAACTTTCGTCCAGGGTGTCGATCTCGAGCTTCAGCAGCTCCCTCTGCTCGTCAGTGAGCTTCGCAACCCACGCGTCCTTGTTGAATTTAGCTGTCGGCTTGATGATGGTGGTGCCGTCTTCGGCTACGACAGGCTTGGGCTTTGGCGGGCCAAAGAAGGCGGTAATGCTGCCATTGGCCTTCGGCTTTTTCGCCTCGCTGGCAGCAGCGTCTGCTGCCTTGCGTTTGAGCGACATGAGGACGGGTGTGCGTAAGAAAATGATGTCGGTGGGATGGTTTGGGGAAGAATAAGTGGTTGTTGAAGTGTCGAGGACTAGGCGGCAGCTGCGCGTCGCGTTCGATGAGGCAATCGCGGCCGGGGTCCGTCGCGCGTCGCGCGTTCCGCTTGGAGGACGCGTCTGCGCGTGGAAGGCACGTCCCACCTGACTGATATCGATCTTGCGTCACTCGCCGCCTGACACCCCAGAATATGGAAGGAAACAGGCTTCAACGGGTTTCAAGGGTCATTTTGCGGGGAAGGAGTACCACCATGGAGGTTCTATAAAATGCCAGATGAGATCTTGCTAACGGGTCTCTTCAACAACTGAAAGCAACCATATCAACCTCACCGCTGCAAACAATATAGCCGATACCGATCCAGAACCAACAACAAAAGCAAGCAAAATGGCTGACACCAACCCCGGTAACTTTGCCAACCGCCCTACTGAGGAGGTACGTTCCCTGCTGTCATTATTTCCGCTGAGGATGCCACACCACGCCGACCAGCACCAGAGCTTCTCCACAAGTACAGTGTTCTGCCCCAAAGACCTTCACAGCGACCTTCGCGTTCTTGCATCTTCAGCGCTCAGGCGATGCTATGTATCTTCTCAGTCTTGCTGACTCTACCAGGTCCGTGAGATCGCCTCCAAAGGCGGCCACGCTGCCCAAGGCCACACGGTAAGCCGACACACTCTACATCGACAGGAAGCATAAAGCTGACACAAGCGACGTAAAGGGATCTGCTTTCACGCAGGAGCGCAACCCCGACGGCACCTTCGCCGGAAACAAGGAGGAAGTGAGTTCAGCAGAACCCCGCGAGGCAGTGTGGCAGATGCTGACCCGAGCACAGGAGTCTCACCCGCCGGGCCGCAACCCGGACGGCACATTTGTCAAGGGCAGCGAGGCGGCCAAGGAGGCCGGCCACAAGGGTGGTATCCACTGAATGCTCGACACATAATAGTCGGGATATGATACGACTTGACGAAGTGATGCAATCTCCTTACGAGTTATGACGGGGTGCTCGGGCCTGTCGGCTACTGAGTCGCTAGACGGGTTTGCAGACATAATGGCATGATTGAATTCACCGCTGGCTGATGATGATATGACGGTGACGGCAGCGCCCAGTAAACCTCTGACAGAACCCGGCGGGACGGCTCCACAGATGGGGTGGATGCCTCGGCGATGGTAACGATTTTGGGCGATGTGTGGCGGGAAGCCCCGGGCTAGCACCCCGCTGTAGGAAGGGCCGGAGAATGGGAGCGACAAGTGGCCCCCATCTTGGCGCTGAGTAAAAGTGACACGGTTGGCCAGGCGCACGTCGGCAACCCTAGAGTTGCATCGAGTGAAACAGGAGCTGAGCGGTGGTTGGGCTGAGGAGGAGGTCCAGGCTAGCGGGGGGCCACGGGCTAGATGGCGGTAAGCGACCCAGACTGGCGGGCTCGCCGACAAGAGCAGCGGCCGCGGATGCTCAGGTTCTGGCTGAAGCCTGAACCACTTCTCCGGAATCTCTTCCCAGCACTGCGGTAACTGTGGATTCACCCAGTTGGTGAGGCAGGCAAAAATGTCCCACGAGCAGCGCAGACTTCCCGTCCCGCCAGCCTGCCTGTCTTCGACCTCGTCAACCGTCGGCGCCAACAGCCCCTACTCGATTATCGAGGCTGATGTTCGTTCCCCCCTCCCGCTCTGGCTCTCGCAGCGCGCCCGGACCCTCCCCGCTCGCAGCGCCCGCACCGTCACCGCGTCGTCCCGTCGCACGCCAGCGCGCCAGTCCTAGGATACGCCTGCTAACAAGTAATAGTCCGAGCAGTCGGAGGATTCGCAGAGCTGTTCGAAGTGCGCCGCCCCAACCAACCAGACGGGAAGACGACTGACGCCGAAGCAGCAGCACCAAGTCGGTCCGCGAGAGCATATTCGACTACATCAAGGAGAACGGCCGCACCTATCATCGCTATGCCTCCGGCTGTAAGTGCAAAGCCCGTTTCTTGCGTGACCTCCGACTCTTGTGCTAATTGCCGGCTTGACAGCGTACCTTTTTCCGAATGATGAGGTTTGTGTACACCCCCTTCGCTCGCGTTTCCGTGCAGCCACAGTACTCACCATGGCGACACAACGCAGCCCGAGAGCGAGCGGCTAGACTTGCAATATGAGCTCCTGAAGGTATTGTTCGGCATGCGCGACTACTTCGCGCCATTGCACGATCCGCGGAAGATACTGGACATCGGCACTGGGACGGGGAAATGGGCGATCGAAATGGGTATGTTGCTGAACTCAACGCGCGGCTTTGGTCGGGCCTGTTTTCTATACTGACGGTTACTCTGCAGCGAGCCAATTTCCGAATGCTGATGTGGGTGGTCGATGACCGGTTCTCGAGACACGATGAGGAGCTTACCAAGAAACGCAGATCACCGGGACCGACCTCTCGCCGATCCAGCCAGAATGTAGGATAGCTTCGGTCTATTTGCACGTCTCGTTGGCGCTGACCGTCCTGCAGGGGTACCGGAGAACGTTCAATTCGTGATTGACGATGCTCAGGAAGACGACTGGCTGCTCAAGCCGGATTCCTACGACTACATCCACACGCGGGTCCTGTTAGGGTGCTTCGAAGATTTCCGAGAGATAGTAAGGAAGTCATACAAGTACCTAAAACCCGGCGCGTGGATGGAATCGCAGGAGTTTTACTCGACGCTGTATTGCGACGATGGGACAATGGCACCGGACTACCCCTTTGCCGAGTGGACGCGCACGCATGATGCTGCGGCCATGAACCTGGGGCGACCGCTGCGTATCGCGAACAAGATGAAGCGCTGGTATGAAGAGCAAGGCTTCGTCGACGTGCGCGAGGAAGTCTTCAAGCTGCCCATCAACCCTTGGCCCAAGGATCCACAGATGAAGATGCTGGGCCGCTTCAGCGAGAACAGCCTACTTGAAGGCATCCAGGCCTTCAGCTTGGCCTGGTTCCACCGTGGCTTGGGCTGGACCAAAGACGAGATTGAGGTCTACCTCGTTCAGGTTCGCAAGGCGATATCGGATCGGAATGTGCATGCGTACCACAAAGTGTGAGTCTCTGTAACTTCTGAATACTGGCTTTCTTTCGTTGTTCTTGGTGTCAAGGATCGCGTGGGCGTTGAAGACAGTATATGCATATTTTTGCGGGTCAGACTTGCTAACTCCGCGGGCGTGTTTTCAGATACGTGGTTTGGGGACGTAAACCAGAGCAGTGGGAGGTCGAGGCGAGAGAAAAAGCTAATCGTGCCGGAACGGCAGAGGCAACAACAGCATCGGCAGCAACAGCGTCATGAGCCGGCTTCTCGAATAAGGCAGCCTCAAAAGATGCTACGGTTTCATACTGCTAAGCGCAAACGGCCATGACACGAACATGATTCGCTTCGTTATCGTACCTTTTCACGACGGAATGGCTTTTATTCTTGGCTTCAGATTGGGCGTTCAACGACTTGGGTTCTGGGCTCTGTGGGTTCGGCGTTCGTCATTCATCCTTCGATTGTGCGGACAAAGCAACTCCGCGGGATCTCGTGTTTATCTCTTTTCTGCTGACATTCAGGATTGGCTGCCGCTTTTCCCTGACTCCGCTGCTCGGGCCAGTCCCCGCTGCAGGACGACGTGGGCTGTTCCGGGCCCACATCAGGCAGGCTTTCCGGTTTGCGTTGGGTGGGAAGCATTCTATTTCGGTATTTGATTTGTAGGAGGCTTTCTGGCGATTCTCGGTTCCAAATTGTTTTCATGTGGGCGCTCAGATCCGTATTAGCGGCACGTTCGAGGCAACTGAGACTTGATAGCTTGGATTTATTATGCAATAGAAGGATTCTCCAGTCTCCGGCAGCATCGGTAGTTGAACTGGCTCTGAGATATGGTTCGGGTCACTCAGTCCTCGTTGTCAATCACCAGTCCCTTTACACTTGATAGCATGCAGACAAAAGCTTCAACTCTTTCAGTCTTGATGGTTCTATTCGAACCAACTTCTGGCCTTCAATACCTCGAATCAAACCTCAACAGAGTCAGACAGACATAGTCCAGAGGTTAATGGCGTAAGGATAGTCATTCTCAGGATAGTCGATACCATCCCTGGAAAATGCACATGGAGCAAAAAAAAAAAAAAACACCCTCCGGTGTCTTTCTTTACTAGGAGCAGACGTATTCAATGGTAGCCCTTCGGTCTGCGTCACGTGTGTGGGATAACAAAAGGTTGGTGGTGCCAGCCGGGGGGGTAGCGACGGAAGCGGTGCCGGGCGCTGATTGGACGAAAGTAGGCAGAGATAAGAGATGGTTTGAACATCCCGCGCAACAGCGCTAAACCCAGTTCATTGCTCAACCACAAAGCGTGTGTGCCTGGCTGACAGGCGGGAGATCCGGTCTGCCACACGACCGATCGATGAACGGGCACGATCTCGCAGCAATCCGGCAGTGACGAAGGGCGACAGCACTCGACCATGGACTATGGTTGTGCAACGGTAGGAATGGAGATTTAGGCCGTTGCGTGGGCTGAGCAACGGCACCGTCAGCACGAAGCCGCCGGAAAGCGGTCAAATCGAGAGCCGGATCGATACAGGCGCCAAAGAAGTGTGGCTGAAAATCTTCCGGCGAGCATTGGGGAGAAAGCAGCGTGGAGCGCCGCGGAGAAGGAGCATCTGGAGGCCATTTATTCTTCCTCGAACCGGGCGCCCAGTGATAAGACGGAAACACGCTATTTGGACGCACTGCAGGGGTCGTTGGTGTTTGCGGAGCGATAAGGTACATCGGGCAATGGCGCGGTTCGGGAGTCGAGGGCCAAGATGTGCGGCCCTGAGTGCTAAACCCACACCCTTCTTCCTTATCAGCCAAACCTTCCAGCCCAGCCACTGAGCGCACGCCCAATTCGTGCGCCGACCCCCAAATCGCCTTCTCCAGCGCCCCACAGTCGCGGATCTGCAGCCAGGGTCCATTCACCCGCGGACATGCTGTGTAGGATGACAGCGGAGAAAACTTGTCTAAGAAACCTGACGACCTGCTAAAGGCCTCATATTAAACCATACGCCTCGTCCAGCTTTGGACCTCCGCAGGCCAGGGCTTCGCTTCGTCTCTCTCCGTACTTACGCTCCGATTCCGGCGATTTTGCAGCAACTCTTTTGCAGCATCAAAATGTTCGACCTGTCGCTGCTCTTCCGGGCACCGGATGTCAACCCCATTAACCGCAAAGCACGGTCTATTCCCGTGCTCAACCCGTTCGACCTCTATGGACGTGTGTTCTTCTTCGCCTGGTTTGGCTTCATGATCGCCTTCTGGTCGTGGTGAGTCTCGCAGATTTTTACTCGGCTTTCCGCAGTTGCGCCGTGCGGGCGATGATGGCACCACGCATGAAAAGGATTTTTGGCAACTGGCTCACCCCTGCGATCAGAATGGCTAACACATCTGGGGTGCATCGACAGGTACGCCTTCCCGCCTCTGCTATCGGACATTATCAAGAAGGATCTGGGTCTCTCGCAAGCCGAGATCGCCAACTCTAACATCATTGCCCTCGTGGCCACGTACGTCGCCCTAATGCGCGGGAGAAACAGTAAGCTGATTGTCTCACAGGCTTGTTGTGCGACTGATTGCTGGCCCGGCCTGTGACCACTTCGGCCCCCGCTGGACCTTTGCAGGATGCTTGATTCTGGGCGCCATCCCGACCTTCCTAGCGGGGACGGTTCGCAATGCGACTGGGCTGATGGTGCTGCGCTTCTTCATCGGCATCCTGGGCGGCAGCTTCGTGCCGTGCCAGGTGTGGACGACGGGCTTCTTCGACAAGAACATCGTCGGCACGGCCAACTCGCTCACCGGCGGCCTGGGCAACATGGGCGGCGGCATCACCTACTTCGTCATGCCCGCCATCTACGAGTCGCTGGTGTCGGACGGCCTGCGCAAGCACGTCGCCTGGCGCGTCACCTTCGTCGTTCCCGGCGTCATCATCACCGCCACGGCCATCTGCATGCTGCTGTTCACGCCTGACTGCCCGACGGGCAAGTGGTCGGAACGCCAGGCCGTGGCCGACGCCAACCTGCGCTCGCATAGCATTAGCACCGGCGTCGTCGACATCCCCGGCTCGCTCACGGGCATGCCGGCGAAGCAAGAGAGCGGCACGCAGTCGCCCATCGGCTCCGTCTCGTCGTCGACCAAGAAGGAGCTGGGCGGCGGCAGCGGCGTCGTGCTGCCGTCGGACCACCACTTCGCCGACCACGAGGCGCAGCTCAGCGAGGAGCAGATGCTCGAGGCGGCCAAGGGTGAGGTGATCCAGAAGCCGTCGTTCGGCGAGGCGATGCGCGTACTCGTCTCGCTGCCCACGCTCACCCTCGCCGCCGGCTACTTTTGCAGCTTCGGCGGCGAGCTGGCCATCAACAGCATCCTGGGCTCCTTTTACGCCAAGAACTTCCCTGCCCTCTCGCTGCAGGAGCGCGGCAACTGGGCCGCCATGTTCGGCCTGCTCAACGGCGCGTTTCGCCCCCTCGGCGGCCTCGTCGCCGACTGGGCCTACAACGCCACGCCCGGCTCCGGCGGCGGGGGGCTGTGGGCGAAGAAGGCGCTGATCCACGCGTACGGCGTTATCACCGGCGCCTTTCTTATTGCTATCGGTATCGTCAACCCGCACAGCGAGAGCGCCATGTTCGGCCTCGTCGCGGGGATGGCTTTTTTCCTCGAGGGCGGCAACGGGCTCAACTTCGCCCTCGTGCCCCACGTCCACCCGCACGCCAACGGCATCGTGTCGGGCGTCACCGGCGCCGCGGGTAACCTCGGCGGCATCGTCTTCGCCATCATCTTCCGCTACCACGGCACCCACTACGCAAAGTGCTTTTGGATTATTGGTGTCATGAGCATCGCTATGAATTTGGCTGTCAGCTGGATTAGGCCGATTCCGAAGGGGCAGGTTGGTGGGCATTAGGGGTGGTTGGTTTCTTGGAATGTGTCATGATGTGTGCTTTTGATGATGATGTAGTTGGGCGTTTTTGGAGTAGCTTTTTGGGGGGTGCTTGTGCTATGATATCCATATACGTTTTGTCGTGGGTTAGTTTGTGTAGGAAAAAAAAAAGAATTGCTTAGACTTGTCCCGATTATCATGAACGATGCTTCCGTCTTTGCTGTGAATCACGATGCCTTTGCTTCTACTAAGGAATAAATTTGAAAGGCAACGGGAGACTAATCATATCTCAAACATCCTATAGCTAAGTTGTGAAATCGTAAAGCAGAGTGAGCAGACCTCGCAAGTGATTGGGGGGCCAGCCAGACCCCGAGTTCCCGTGCGAGCACCAACACCACCGTCGTCATTATCATCACGCCAGCTCGCCAGCAGCCCAACACTGCCACAGATAAGAGACTCGAGCACTAGTAGCCATGAACCAATCAATTAGACGCCGATTTCCCTAAAATTCCCGAACCAAAGTCACTATGCGACCCGCAATATCGCTCCCATGACGCATGCGAGCAACCCGCGCTATCAGCTCGTCAATGAGGCACCCTTCGTAATCAGCAATGTCACTCGTCTTTATCTGAGGTCAAAAGAAGATTTTCCGCTCGAGGCCGGATAAGGCATGGGCTCGGGGCTGGGCAGCTGCGGCTCAAGGTTCTTGTGATTTGCGCATCTCCGCGGAGCGAACAGCTCCCAAATATGGAACACAGGCAATCAGTGCCGCTGCGCCACTCCCGGCCGGCAGGTTGCCGGGCCGTCTTCGATTTCTGTGTACCGCGAGTGTTTTGTGCCCTGTCTTACCGCTGATTTTCGATAGGAGTGGTGTTTTCGCGGCTTGGTGTACCTTTGCGAATATATGCGACGTGGCGGGGATGAGTGGCTGTGGGACGTGCGTACAAGGACGAGGAGCAACTTGCACGACCGATCATCGAAACTGTTGATTGTCGTCATTCATGCTGATTGGCAACGAGATGTTGGAGGACGAGACGAAATCGTGGTAAAGAAGAAGTGACGACGCCATCCGAGACCGCCCAAAATCGCCGCACGCCCGGCATCGCCCACACACAACGCCCCCCTTTCACCCAGAGGAAAATGGCCAAATTGTAGACATTAGTGTGAGAAGTAATAGGAAATGACAAGGAACCACCACCACCGATTCCCTCACAACCTATTCTCCCTGCAAAACCAACACGCCCTCACTCCACACCCTTCACAAACCATCACCTCATCACGCGGATACCAAATATCAAACCCATACGACCAAGCGCAAACCTCGCACCTCTCCATCCCCGTGTCATTACTGCCGCCGCAATCCCCGTCATGTCGCCTCCCCGCTGCTGCTGTTCCCCCCCTTTCCCCTCCTCCAGCCGCCGCCGCCACAACCCCCCACCTCCTATGCTCACAGCGCCCAGTGCCCCCCGCAGGACCTCCTCTCCCTGGCCCGCTCCTCCCGCCATTGGTTTGTCCTCCTCCCACCTCCGCAGCGAACCCATAAACCCCCGCACCCCCACCGGCGGCTGTGCCCTCCTCATCCATCCCCGCCAACACCCCATTCAGCGCATCAACGACAGTGCGGACGGAGGCGCGCAAGCGTGCGTACTCGGTGCGTGTGAGGGGCCGCTGCGGGCGCGGGTCGTCGCCGAAGTAAGGGTTGTGGTGGAAGGAGGAGTCTAGCAACGACGTTGCTAGGGGTGGGCCGGGGTAGGGGGGTGGGGGGTCGTTTTCGTCGTCGGCGTTGTTGTTGTTGTTGCCGACGGCATTGTAGTGCTGGTGGTGGTGGTGGTGGTGGTGGTGGTTGGGAGGCACGGGCAGCGGGTAGGAAGGAGGGGCGTGGGGTGGGATGACAGGGTTGCGGTTAGGAGGAGGTGGTGGTGTCGGTGCTCGTGGCGGGACGGGGTGTTGTGCGGATTGGGTGCGGCGCTGGCGTTGGCGCTGTTGCCGCTGTTGCTGACGGGTGGAAGCTTCGTCTCTTCGATTGGGCTGAAGAGGCTCGGTGTTCTGTGGTGTGGGTCGCGGTTGGTTAGGGGTGGTGTTGTGTGCTGCTACTGGCGCCGCCTCTTCGTTCGGTCTTCCCGCAGCAGGGACGACGAGGTCTGCTGCCCGCCTGAGCAGTCTGTCCTCGTCCCATTGTGCGCAGTTGCACGTCTTCCACGGTTTTCCGCAGGCGTAACAGAAATGCGCACCGCAGCAGCATCTGCGACGGCCGTAATGGTAAGTCAGTGCGGTGATGTATCGTTACGGAGGAATGAAGCAGGGAGGCAGTTGGTGATAGGAGTCCGAAGGAGAAGAATGGCGGCAGGTTTTAGGAATAGGTAGAAAGTGCACATACACCATGTGGTTGCACCCGAACTCCAGCTCCACGAATCTTCCACACCCATAACACTTCGCCCATCCACACGCCTCAGCCATGCGCAGGAACTCCTCATCTACCTCAGGACTCGTCGCAGCCGCAGCTGCTGTTGCTGCACTTTGCTCCACCGCTGCTGTTTTTTCAACTATCGTCTCCTTGGCGCTCTTCAGCCGTCGTTCAAGCGCCGCCACCGTTTCTGTTTCCAGCCATGGCCTGTAACCTGCTCCTGCACTGCTTTTACTTGCTCCGACCTTATTTCGCGCCCCTCCCTTATCACTCTTCTCTTTACCACCCTCATCATCCTTACCGTCGAGAGGGATGTGTACACCGCAACATCGCGGCGGGAAGAGGGACAGGTCGTTGACAGCAGCGCGGAAGAGGTTGTTCAAGCAAGCTGCGCAGTATGCATGGCCGCACGGAAGGACAGCGAGACCCTTTCCATCTTTGGGGCTTGAAGACGAAGTGGACGATGACAGTGGAGGTTCGTTGCAGACCGCGCAGACAGCAGTCGACCTCTTCGTCACAGGAAGGGGCGCGGGAATGCGCTGCGATTTCGAACTCCCTGCCGATGATCCCTTCGTTGTGGGGTCCTTTGCCAGCTGTGCCGTTCCGGTCGAGGTGGTGGTAGCACAAAGGGTAGTGGCGTTGCTTCGGCGGTCCGCCTCCTTCGATGCCGACGACGACATCCCCACCCCTTCCTCATGCTGATCCATCCACCACCCACCCACCCCCTCCAAAGCCATCAACAACGCCAACTCCTCATCATCATCACCGCCTCCCTGTAACCCTGCCGCCTTCTTCCTCATCTTCTCCGCCTCCTCGATCTCCGCGACCTGCTGCATCATCGCGAACTCCGCATCGCCATCCCCATCGCCCCAGCCCGGCACCTCCTGCAGAGCCTCGAGCTGCAGCCGCCACGCCAGGTCTTCATCGTCGTCGACATTCTCGTCGTGGCCGGCACTGCTACTACCATGCTCTTTTCCCTTGCTCCTCGCATCTTCCTGCAAGTCCCAGGTGTCCCAGCTCCAGTTGGTTTGTTGCACGTCACGGAGAAGGCAATTGCTGTTGTTGGCCTGAGTGCGAGCGGCGGCCATGACTTTGTTACGTCTTTGAAGTGGTTGTCTTTCGAGCTCACCTCAGCACAAGGCGTATTACTCGAAAGCTGAATGGGGGGGAGGGGGGAGGAAGTCGAGAGGGGTCCCTGAAAAGCTCGGTCGTGGTCTAGCAGCCCGAAGCCGGGGGGAGACTGTCAACGACGAGCCATGGCGAACGGAGATGGGAGGAGGTGTGTAGGTTCACGGAGGATAGGTAGGGTGGAAGGGGAGAAAAGAAAAAAAAAAGGAAAAGGTGAGCGCCTCAAACTTATCAATGAATATAGAAAAAGAGATGAGTAGTAGAGGAATCCTACAAAAGTAGTAGACACACGTATGTACCCTCCCCTCCCCCCCGAGACACACCGTCACTTCTCCGTCACCATCCAACACCATCCACACCACACACGAGAAACCCGAACTATCACACTTACAGAGCCTCTTCCTCCCATTCCTCCAATCACTCAGCACGACCGCCAAGCGCGCGTGACGCCTCAGCGCCCCAGTCGCCTCATGAAAGGACGAATGGGCGTCCGCGACGTGGCCCTTGAATGCAGAATCAATCCCGCATTTTCCGTTCGACATGCCCACAGCGAAGTCTGCTGGTTGGATCAACGTGGTACCTCTGTACCGCGTCACCGAGTATGCAGTCGTACGTTTTGAGACGAGCCGAGTGTCGAAAGCCGAGGAGATGCAACCGAAGCATTGATGTTCAGAGGAGGACCTATAATCGGTTTGATCAGCATCATCTCCTCCGACCAATGAGGCAGTTACTCGTGTGCGATGGTATCGTGAGAATTGTGACAGGGATTTTGCTCAGGGGTAGAGTGAAGGACGCTGATACTAAGATGAACTCTAAGAGTGGTTACTCTCAAATCAACTTCTGGAGCACTGCATCGTGAAAGAAAATACGATATAATGAATCGCAGCGAGAACAAATGAACAAGGGATCAATCACAATCAAACGCAAGCGTAAGAGGGAAAAAGGTCTTGTCATTAAGAGCACAGATAGCTATACCGCTTCGGCACACGAAAACTTCTCTTTTCTCTCACAAAAGAAAAGCTTCCGGTGCCCCAGACCATCTGGTTCCCAATCCGGATCCTTCTTAAAAGTTTTGTATTTGATTCTTTGTTCTACCGGGTCTCATTTCCAGGACAGGTCTTTCCGATGGCCAAATCTCCGTTCGTTTTGTTCGTATTGCTGTGTGAGGTTAAAGGAGATCGAACAGTTTGTAGCGGCCAACAGAGCTGCGAGGAGAAGCCCAGACTGATCCGGTCCGTTTCAATTGCTTGAAAAGGCGATCAACCGTTGATGTAGATTTGTATGAGCCGTGGCAGTAGCGCTCAGAAGAGTCAGAGGTCTTTTCGTTCGTCCGTCGCAAAGAATGTACTCGCCGTCGCGAGCACATCTGTCCAGATTAATATGCTGTTACTTTGAGGAAGGTGCAGAACCGCGACAGGGCCTGCATCGGTGTAGAGAAAGTCGAGTAGACGTTATTGGTGGCTGTTGCTCCCTTAATCGTCCGGCGTCGTCGATGCCATACCCATGAGCCGTCTAATCAAAGAAGGTAATGGAACTTTTTTTGGTTCAAAAGGGACGCCGCCTGTCGTGAACACCCATTGGAACGGCCCGCAAAGCTGTGGAAAAGCATCGGGATATCGAGCGAAGTGAAGGCCGATTCAAGATCGCGACTGGCGCCATGCTTGACGCAAATCCGAGGGAAGAAGAAAAGTGAAAGGAGAAAATAAAAAGCCCGTAAAAAACCCAAGGCGCATATTTTACAGATGCGACAACCAGAAGATTCGTGACCGTTCATGCGCCGGCATGGACCCATTACACCCGATAGGAAAAGAAAACCAGGCGACAAGTCCCATGGCCAGCCGTCCGGATATCGTGGTCGTCGCGGAAACGTGGAGTATGTGCAAAGGGAAAAAAGAGAAAAACGCTCATGCTCGGGGAGCATAAGACCATAGCGAATAACCGGGAGAGATGCCGACGATGATTGCAGGTGGAAGTCTGAACGTGTGCCTCAACCTCTAAACTCCGAAATCGGATCAGAAATCAGAATTTATGCCTGAGGCCGCGGTGCACGCTGTCCGTTGTATCCGTTGCGCTGGCCACCCCCACGGCGTTGGCCTTGGAAGCCGCCACGAGGTCCTCTGTACCCACCACGACCACCGTGTTGGGCATTTCCGCGGGGAGCGTTGGGGTCTTGATCCTGGGGTTGACCCTGCTGAGGCTGCGGGAATTGCTGCGGCTGCGAAGGCTGCTGAGGAGGCGGCCTGTTTGCCGGAGCGTTGGAAATGGGACGAGGAATGCTCTCGGGGGATTCGTAGACGTAGAGCTTCTTCTCAATGGTTTGCGGAATCGGCTGAATCTCGGTGCCGAGCTCCTGCTCAATCTTGTAGAGGTTGAAACGGTCGTCCCAGTTGATCAGGTTGATGGCCAGACCCAAATGGCCAAAACGACCAGAACGACCGATACGGTGGAGATAAGTCTCAGCATTCTTGGGGAAGTCAAAGTTGATGACAACGTTGACGGCCTGAATATCGATACCACGGGTAAGAAGGTCAGAACAAACCAAGTTGCGGCACACGCCGTTCCTGAAGTCGTGGAAGACACGGTTACGGGCGTGCTGGAGCATCTTGGCATGGGAATAGAAGCAGGAGTAGCCAAGCTCGGTGATTTTCTTGGCGAGAAGCTCAACGCGGTTCGTTGAGTTGCAGAAAATGATGGACTGGTTAATCTGGAGCTTGTTGAAGAGGGTATTCAAGCAGTGAACCTTCTGCTTCTCTTCAACAAAGGCATAGTACTGTGTGATACCACGGAGGGTGAGCTCGTCCATCAGGTTGATTTCGTACGGCTGGTTCATGTGCTTGTCCTGCGCTACCCGTTAAAACAAGATCGCCCACTGTGGCGACTAGACGAGGAACTCTTCGCGTACCTTGAAGCTTTTCACAACAATGGGGAAAGTTGCGGAGAAAAGCATGACCTGGCGGTCCTTGGGGTGGAAGGCCAGGAGCTGTTCAATGACCGGAGTGAATTCGGGGGAGAGAAGCTTATCAGCCTCATCCATGACGAAGGTGGGGCAAGCCGACAGGTCGGCCACGCCCTTGCTGGCCAGATCCAATATCCTACCCGGCGTACCCACGATGATGTGGACCGGTTCGCTCAAACGGATGATGTCGTCTTTGAGGCCTGTGCCTCCGGTGGTGACCATGACATTGATGCCCAGGTGCTTGCCCAGGGTCTTGCAGACCTGCGATGTCTGGAGGGCGAGTTCTCTCGTCGGCACCAGGATCAGGGCCTGGGTCTTGGTGCTCTTGGGGTTGATGCGCTCGAGGGTGGGAATAACGAAGGCGGCAGTCTTGCCAGTGCCGTTCTTGGCGCGAGCCAGAATGTCACGGCCAGTCAGGGCGACGGGAATGGTCTCTTCTTGGATGGGCGACGGCTTTTCAAAGCCAGCTTCGAAGATGCCCATCATCAGTTCTCTCTTAATGTAGAAATCCTCGAACTCCAAGCCCTTGGTTGCCGTGACATCTTCAGTTTGTACTCTGTTATCCTTCGGGGGTGCCTTGAGGCCATTCTTCCAATCGGGCGACGACTCGTTCAAGCTCGCTGCAGCGAGCTGGTTCGTGATGTCTGCTGCCATTGAGGGAAATGGATGGGGTCGGTGGTAAGGTGAGGAGGTAAAGGCGTGGTCAGGTCAGCCCAGCTGGAGGCAGAGGGCAGGTGTCGCGCGGGGTTGGAGCTCAAGGGAGTCGACTCGAGCACGTGGCCGCAGGTGTGCGAGTCGGCGTGGGCGTCGGCAAGGGAGATGACGCGAGGCGCGGAGAGTGTGAGCGCGCGAAAGAGGACGGATGTCGATGTCCGGGCGAGAGGTGGCTCGGCAGCACGGAGTGGTAGCGTAGTGGCGGAGCTGTAGGCGAGGCTCGCAGTCACGGAGGAGCTGTCGCGGGGATGTGGGCTGGTGAAAGCGGGATGACCTGCGGTAGCGCGGGGCAGGTGCGAGAGCGTATGCAAAGAAGAAGAGGAGGGTGGGATTGGGCGCAAGCGCGTGGGCGTTTAGTGTGTCGGGTGGAGATGCGGGCAGAGCGGAGGGTGTGAAGAGGCAGGTTTGGTCTTGCCCCAGCATGCTCAGACCCCAGACACGCACCATGCCCTATGCGGATATTTTGTACCGCTAACTTCTGAAGACACCGATCGCCAGCGCCAATTATTGATACTGAGTCAGCAGAGCAAAGGTTACACCAATGAGCAGCCGTCTGAGCTTCTTGTCGGCACACGGGCCAACGCCACCACCTGCTCGACGCGAAGCTGTGAACTGCGACGCGGCTCGTCTCCATCAGTCTGCCTCACGCCACACCGCAATGTTCTTTCGCCCGGGTCTTTTGCGCGCGGCAAATCTGCGCACAGCGAATGCGCGGCTCTTTGCCGCCTCTACACGCCGCTTTAAGAGCTCCAGGTTCCGCCCGCCGGTTGGCCCGCCGGCGGGCCAAAAGGCGTCCGAGAACTGGCTTATGACTATCCTTGGGCTGAACACTGTTGTTTTCGCCGCGTGGAAATATGCGGACAACACCATACCGATCAAGTTCACGGAAGACCAACTCGAAAAGATCCGTGTCTACAAAGGCCTGATCGACAATTTTGTATTCAAACGCGACGACCCGCAGCATGGCCGATGGTGGACTACCATCACTCACGCCTTCTCGCACATGGACCTCCCGCATTTCATCTTCAACATGATAGCGCTCAAATCCTTCGGCGAAGCTCTGATTGCGTATCTGCCTGGAATCCGCCCTCTCACCTTCCCAACCCTCTACCTCGGTGCTTCGCTTTCTGGTTCTCTGGGTTGGTATTTGCAGAAGAGGACAGATACATCCGAAAATCGTTCTGCTGGCGCTCTTGGAGCCAGTGGCGCTGTTTCAGGCCTGGCAGCTGCATGTGCCCTAATTGCCCCTAATGCGAAATGGGGATTCGTCTTCCTTCCTATTGGCATCCCGGCTTGGGCAATGTTTTCCGCCTACATCGCCTACGACGCTTTCTACTTGAACGACCCGAACAGCAGGATTGGCCATGGCAGTCACCTTAGCGGTGCCGCTTTTGGCGCTGTCTACTATCTGATGGTCCTGCGCCGCTTTCAATTCCCCATGCGCCGTTGAGATTGGAACACGGCTCAGCACACCTGTATTACTAGCGGCTGTCTTCTTCAGAGCCACAAATTCGGCCACAGCCAAGAATGCTGTTTATTTCCTAGGCGGATACCCGAAAATCGAACGACGGAATTCAATGCTATCGAATCAAGTGCAATGCAGGAGGGTGCCATTACTGCCTGATATGTGACTGATATTTCGCGAGCATTTCCACTCTCTATCTCTGGTACTTGAGTGAAATGATGGGGTATTCGTAAAGTTGCACGCCATGCCGAGAATTAAACATCTAGCTGACCTCTTGTATCAGGTCCTTCAGAATTCCTTCCTCGGCCAGCATCCTCAGCCACGTTTGGATCGCTGGTCCATAATCATGTCTCCGGCTCTCCGCTTTCTGCATGTCGGCAGCTGCAATGTTTTCCTCGTCCCTGATAGCAGCCCTCAGGCCAGCCTGGTCGGTGACCGCCCTCTGTCGTAGGTCAATCATTGTCGTGATATCATCGTCCACATTTATCCGTTTCTCAGTCGCTTCAGGGATTTCCGCCTGGAGGATGTCTGCGATGGTTATCGAGTACTCGGAGGATGGTCCAGTGATAACGGAATCGCCAGAGCCATCTTCAGTGACTGCAAAAGCCTTCCACTCCGGGTTGATCTTGGAAAGCCGATCTTCGCACGCGCGGATCAACTTGATGTTTTCGGCCAGATGTCGACGGTGGTCTATTAGCGGATCCCTTACGAGTGCCAAGAGGCCAAACTCGATCTGACCTTCCTCGTACTGAGCCATGCGCGCCTGCAGGTTGGGTGCAATAACTTCGAGCCAGTCAACCCCCTCGACCTTCTCTAACTTCTGAGGCTGCCGGTCAAGTCCATCAAGCTTCCAGATTTCACCAGCGATGGGCATGAAGGCGATGAAATGGAACGCAGCATCTGCGTTCTTCGATTTCTTGTTAGTGGACTTAGACTTAGACTTGCTCGTTGAATCGTGTTGCATCTGAAGGTCGATATTCATCATGTCAATCTTCCTAGAAGGTTGTCAACATGAGTTTTTGAAATGAAAACGTATGAAGGTGGCACACCTGGCGAAAGAGTTGTGGATGTTCTTGACAAAATCGTAGTGAACAATCTGCTCCCCGCGAGTGGCTGGCGTGAAGTTTTCGGTAAATTCCTTGAAGCTTCGCAGGTTCTCGCCAAGCTCGACGTTTGGAATATTCATGATGATGTTGAGCAAGGCAACGGTGGCACAAGCGTTGCCGGTAGTCTGGTTTGCGAACCACACATGATCTGGGCAGGTGCTCTCCTGCTGGATGAAGTCATCCTCGACATAGCGGAAGAGGAAGATGAGACCATGTACGGGCTTCCTGGCGCGGAAATGAGCCGTTGGAAGGTGAATCACGTGCAGGGTTACTCACGGGAGCATGGCCAGCAATGCTTCGTCCAGACCAAAGACTTCCTGGACCTTGACGCCCCTCACCCCAAACTCCTGTATCATGACGTTGAAGAAGGCCTGGTTTCGATTAGCCGAGGAGAAGCTGAGACAGTGCTGTACGTACGGGGTCATTTTCGATTTCGCAGAATCCTTGCCATTTGCGTTTGTCTTCCACGGTAGCAGCAAGGGAAGCATCGTTCGGAAATATTCTGTCTTTGTCCTCCGGAAGGCCGTTCGATGCGCCGTTAGCGTCCTTGACCTTCCTCCTCTTGGGTGCACGGGTCGCCATAGTTGCAGATTTAGGTGTAGGTGAGGCGAGGCGTGGGGGTTGCGGAGGGCTGTGAACTGCGGACGGCCGAAGGCGGCATCCTGAGCAGGGTCTGTTCGTTTGAGTGGTGCAACGCGCGGGAGCGCATGGTGAATGAGGGCGACGGAGCTTAGGCGGAGCTCAGCCCTACGGCGCGTCAAGAAGCGAGCTCGGGGCAAGACGCGAACAGTTTTCGGACAGCGCAGACGCATCAACACCAAACAACGCACCGCGCCTCCATCCCAGACACCCTGCCGCCACCCGCTCGCTGGCTCTGCCCTCTGCGTATCCGTGGATGCTCGCCCCAGTGGATTGGACCCCCCGCCACGGCATGAGATGAGCGCGACTCCTCGCATGCGCTACGGCGCATTTCCCCAAACGCCCGATACAGCTCAGAGAGCTCCACGAACCGATGGCGCTCCCGACGCCAAGCCCATTCGCGTGCGCGCGCCGCTCACCGACATCAACATCATGAACAAAAACCCGGCCGACGACGGCACCGCTCCTCTCGTGTCTACCGACGTCATCCCCGCTCCGACACAGCGCCTCTACGCCTTCTTCCTCTACGGTGCCCTTCTGGCATGGCGGGCTTACGACTTCATAAATTTGCACAACGAGGAAGCCGACTCATTATGGCTGTTCATGAAGTGGGTCATGATAGACGGGCTCTTCCTGTTCGGCCTGCCCGTGCTGAGAATACCATGGCTGGAGTGGTCCACCCCGACCATGGTCTTTTTGTTTCTTGTGCACGCGTTAGTCGACGGCATGCTTATGTTCAGGATCGGCGTAAGTCTGGAATCGCGTTACATCTAAACATGTGCTTACGTGGAATAGTTGCCCATCACGTCGTTCCTGACCGGCCTCTTCAAGCTCGTCTACGACCGCGAATTGGCTATCGAGGAACACAACGTTGACCCGTGGACGGTCTTGCACAACGAGTCGCTCATTCTGGGTAAACAGGTCATTCATATCCTTCCGGAGGGGTAAGTTTCGCCTTTTGGTTTTCGTGACCTTTCTCTGACAGATCATAGTTCCGCTGTGCTCAACCCGAACCAGGATTCCTTTTGCCTGGGCGGCTCGACCAAGGAGATCAAAATCCCTATCCAGATCAACCAGACCACTCCCATGCTCATCGAAATCCTGCGTTTCGACCTGGACAATGGCGGCAACGAAACCATTTCGCTGTCGCATAAACAGGTCAAGAATCTTGTAAAGGAAGCAAAGAAGGCCAAAAAGACGCATTTACCCGAGGAGCCTTTGCTGCTGCATCACAGCGTCAAGAAAGCAGGTTACTACAAGCTCAACAGGGTCATCGACGAATCCAAACTCGAGGTTCAGACGCGGGTATCGGAAGCAATGGTGGTTTCCTGTCCAGAAGCGCGCATTAAACCCAGCAGCAAAACTCGCTGCAAGGGTGAAACCGCGGATATTGGCATTGTCGTCACTGGCACTCCCCCGCTCCAGCTCAAGTACCGCAGAATGGTGGAAGGAAGGGAGCGTGAGGCCCACAGTGAATTCCTCCAGCCGGAAGATTACGTTTCGCCGCTTTCTCGCTACCAACTTTACGACGCTGTGGTGCAAAGTGGACAGGTTGACGTTTCCTGGGCTCGCACTCATTCTATCGAGCTCTCGCTTAGTGATGGCCTTTCTCAGTCTGGTCTATGGTCGTACTACGTGGATGAGGTTACCGACGCCTTGGGCAATGCTGTCAAATACTCGCCCGAAATCGAAGAAGGAGAAACTCTCAAGCTGGACGAGAAACTGCACCGCAACTTTTACGTCTACGAACGGCCGACGATCAGCCTACATGGTTGCGACTCGCAGCATCCTCTCCGGGTTGCCAAGGGTGAGAAGGTTTCCCTCCCGATCCGCTTTGCCTCGACGGCTGCGAGCCGGGAGGCTTTGCTGGAGTCACCGCACACGATCCAGTACATGTTCACTCCGGAACACGAGCTGTCTTCAGATGGAGAGCACACCGCCGCAAACAGGACTGAGCGCCAAGTTATCAAGTCGACAAACCAAAAGATCCCGATTTACAAGAGCGGTCTCTACACAATCAAGTCTGTTTCTACAGACAACTGCGATGGAGATGTTGAAGAGCCTGCATCGTGTCTCCTCCTGAATCCACCAGAGCCCGATCTGGACATCGCCAGTGCTCCGATCTTCGACAAGTGCGCGAACAGGCCTCTAGGTCTACGGGTGAACCTCGACCTAATCGGTACCCCGCCTTTCAGGGTCATGTACTCGATGCAAAAGAAGGATGAAAAGAATAAGCAAACAATGTACGTGGATGTCGCAGGACTCAGGGGCCAGGTGGAGATTATGCCTCCAGAGGCAGGTCATTACACGTACGAGTTTACGAGCGTCAGCGACGACGTCTACAAGGGTCACTCACTCAAAAGCAAGAACCTTGTGCTGGAGCAGGATGTCAAGCCGTCAGCGTCCGCACACTTTGTTTACGCACCAGCCAAGACGGAGGCCTGCATCGACGAACCTGTTACGTTTGGCGTCAAGATGCAGGGCGAGGGCCCATGGACGCTCGAATATGAGCTTGTGCACGCACGCAAGAGGACCAAGAGAGAGATTGTTGGTATCCAAACCGAAACCTTCACTATCACTACGGATCCTCTCGATCAGGGTGGTGAATACACCTTGGCGCTCGCAAGTGTTACGGATGCTGTTGGCTGCAAGGAGTTCTTGAAGGAAGAGGCTAAGATCAGCGTTCGTCACGAGCGTCCCAAGGGCTACTTTGGCCAGGTCGAAGGCAGGCGTAGCATACGCACTTTGGAGGGCAAGCGAGTGGCGCTCCCCATGCGTCTCACCGGAAAGGCGCCGTGGGAAGTCAAGTACAAGAACGCTCAGGATCCCGACGACCCTGTCCACACGAGCAAGCTCAACAGCGCAAACGACTTCCTTGACGTGGATGGCAAGGGCCTGTATGAGCTTCTTGACGTCCGCGATGCTATCTGCCCTGGTTCCGTCGACCCTGCTGCGAAGATATTCGAAGTCAGCTTGATTCCCAGACCAACTCTCAGGATCCCGGAGAGCTCCACGGTCACATTCGATGGAGGAAAGTACATCAGACAGGAAATTTGCGAAGGCGACCAGGACAGTCTCGATGTCGCTCTCACCGGCAGTCCCCCATACACCATCAAATACGAGCACCATGCTCCCGGCTCTGGATACCAGGTCAAGGCAATCAACGCGGCGCTTAATATCGCCTCCGTTTCAATGGACACTTCCAGACCGGGTGTCCATCAATACAAATTCACTGAGCTGGCCGACAACAACTACGACCACAGCCCGAGATCGTTCCAACAGATCAAGGTGGACCAGTTGGTCAACCCTCGCCCGACCGCCAAATTTAAGAGCCCCGGCAAAACATACAGCTACTGCAATACCGAGGAAGATGGCGAGGAAGTCATTCCGATCGAGTTCACTGGTCTTCCTCCATTCCACCTGGAAGTCGATCTCAAGCATGCAGGCTCCAACAGGGCTGAGACGCTGTCCTTCCCCAATATTCCCTCTACAGCGCACAACATCAGGATCCCTCACCGCCACCTTCACCTGGGCATGTCCAGCCTCACAATTCGCAAGGTGCGCGACGCGCGCGGGTGCCGCAACAAGCCAGCTCTCTCCTCAGCCAGCCGAGATGCGCCGCGGGTGCAAATCGCCGTGCACAACGCGCCATCCATCGTCCCGCTCGACACTCGCACCGACTTCTGCGTCGGCGACCGCTTGTCGTACGCGCTGTCGGGCGCCGTGCCGTTCTCCGTCTTCTACACGTTCAACGGCGCCACGCTCAAGGCCGTTTCCCAGGGCACCACCTTCCGCCGCCTGGCAGAGAAGCCGGGAGCGTTCGCCATCACAAGCATCACGGACAGCGCGAGCCAGTGCCGCGCCAACACGCATTTGTCCGCCACCATCCACGAGATGCCGTCGGTCCGCGTTTCCCGCGGTAAGGAGACGCGCGTGGATATCCATGAGGGCGGCGAGGCGGAGATTCTGTTCGAGTTTGGAGGCACGCCGCCGTTCGAGTTCACGTACACTCGCTCGACGAACGCTCGCCCTGGGCAGCGGAGTAGGGTGCTCGAGACGAGGACGCTGACGAGCGGCGAGTACAGCATGCGCATCAAGGCGAGCGAGGAGGGTACGTATGAGGTCATTAGCATCAGGGATGCGTGGTGCAGCTTCAGCAAGAATCCGGACGGAAGTACAGGTGGATACATGGAGGACTATGTCGTGGGCAGCAGCAGTGGACGCAAGGCAGTGAAGGGCGGAAAGGGGCAAAAGAAGTTGGGGTATTAGATGGCTGAGGCTTTTCAAAGCCAAAGAGGCGTGTATGTTTTTATGTTATGATAGCGAGGAAGAAGGGCTGACCGATTGATATCAGCGTATGGAGATGGTCAACGGATGCGAAGTAGCATTGATGGGCGTTTTTTCCCTTTTCCTTGAGAAACTCTTTTCTCTTTGGCGGGTAATCTTATGGATTGAGGCAGTTTGGTAAAAATAGCGGAGACTTGAATCTTCTGAGAAGGAATAGCAGAAATGGACATGATCATGTAAGATTGCAAGCGCGCGTGTCCTTCGCACATTAGAGGTATTAGCCAGCTGACAATATCGACATGCCTAAAACTAGAAAATAGTATTTAAACTGCCGAGGCTCAAGTTCGAACTGAGCGCTTGCGGCTTCCTCGCATACCTATGACTTTTGATGTCGAATTAAAAATTCTACATATACGTCTGGACGATAGCTTCAACTACCCACATATGTTAATTTTTTCTAAGGCAGAGCTGGGATATAATTACGCTATATTTACAGAGCCTTGCTATTCTTCGCGCTAGCTATCGGCTGCAGCATCCCTCTGTATTTTGCTATGGTTGGTCTGTTTTCGCTCCAGTTACACAGGGATAGCACATCACGGTAGCTAAATTGGCTCCTGCCGGTATCCTAGGTATTTTTTCTATTACACGTCATTTCTGTAAGGGAATACCACCGATATATTTTCCAACCAGCCCCCTTGCATGGTCCCCCTCTGTTTCACGTCCTGGCACACTGCATATTCCCCATTTCCCACACCACCGTCCCAACCCCACAAAAAGAAAGAACCACAAACGGGCAAAAACATACACAACATCAAGAGCATCAAGCAAAAAAAGCCCACGATGACATCGTCGTCGGCATCCTCAATGGCAGCGCAACTCGACCCCACCGCTGTCAATATCATCGGCGCCATGGACGAGCAGTCGGCGGCGCTGGTCCTGCAGCTGCAGCTCGAAGACATCGCCACCATCTTCGCCACGGCCAAGGGAAAGGGGCGGGCGGACGACAGCACGGCCGACGATGCCGCCTACGCGCTACGATTACACCAGCAGGACCTCGAGGCCAGCATGGTTATCTTGGAAGACCGCAAGATGTGCCAGAGCATCGCCCGCGCGGTGCAGGACGACCAACACATACTCGCCCGCGAGGCTGAGGCCGAGGCTGTCGCGGTCAGGGACCGCAGGCTTGCGCACCAGATGGATGGCCAGCCGAATGCTGCTGCCACTGCTGCTGGGTCCGCTGGTGGCATTGGGTTCCCTGGCTTCCGCCCCAGCGGAGAGGGAGAGGAGGAAATGTCGGATCGTGCCATCGCTGATTGCGAGAACCTGGCCAAATTGACAGCTCTATACATGTCCGAGGCCGATGGAGCTGCCATGCTGTCTTCGGGTCTATTCTTCGACGACGACGATGAACCCAAGGGCGAGTCTTCATCCCGCGCAGCCAAGCGCCAGCGCACCGCAGCAGCCATCGAGCGCCGCTGCGAAGCCTGCCGGGACGACAAGAAGTTCTTCGACGTGGCGACGGTGCCGCACTGCCGCCACGACTACTGCCGCGACTGCCTGGACCAGCTCTTCCGCCTGTCCATGACGGACGAGAGCCTGTTCCCTCCGCGCTGCTGCCGGCAGCCCATCTCGCTCGACGACGTGCGCATGTTCCTCTCGACGGAGACGGCGCGCGAGTTCCAGCGCAAGAAGCCGGAGCTGGAGACGCCGAATAAGACGTACTGCCACGTCCAGAGCTGCTCCGCTTGGATTCCGCCGCAGAGCATCACGGACGAGGTCGGCGTTTGCCCCCGGTGCCGTCTCCAGACTTGCACGATATGCAAGGGCAGCACGCATGTTGGAGACTGTCCCTGGGATGAGGCGACGCAGCAATTGCTGCAAACGGCCGACGGCAGTGGGTGGCAGCGGTGTTATAAATGCCGTCGCGTGGTTGAACTGCACACGGGCTGCAACCACATAACGTGAGTGGAGTATTCCGAGGTTGATATACGTGCGACTTGCTGATCTTGAAGCCAAACAGCTGCCGTTGCGGTGCCCAATTCTGTTACATCTGCGGTAATCGATGGAAGACTTGCAGCTGCGAACTATGGGACGAAGCCAGGCTCGTCGGACGAGCTGTTCAGATCCAGCAACGCCGGCGTCCCCTCGCTGCGCCTGCTCCTCCTCTTCCTCCTCCTATCAATCATCCACCTCTTCCTCAACCACGGGCACAGCAACGCGTAGTTCCCACCATGTTCGGGAGACAGCCACGACCCGCTGGTCCTCGTCCTCCTCCTCCTCCTCCTGCCCGTCGTTTGACACCACCACAGCCCAAACACCGTACCGAGCCACCCACCCGACCAACTCCAGCCCCACCCCGACCCACCACACCACTAGCCATGCGCCCATTCCCAGCGATATTCACGCAGCCACCAGCTGTCTTCGCGCCGATACTAGGCCATCGCATCGCCAACGATGCACATCCTTCCATCCTTCCACCCCCCCGCACCAACGGCGGCGGCGGCGGTAGCAACAACACCAGCAGCAGGAAGGCCGCCGCCGACGACCGCAAAGAAGACAACCGCAGCCGAACAAACACCACCTCTTCTTCCTCGCCGCTGCGACCCGTGAGGCAGCAACAAGAAAGGCCGTCGTCGTCGTTGTCGTCCGCGACGACGGGGGACGACATCACATCGATCGAGGCCATCGCGCTGCACCTGCGGGAGAACCACGAATGCGCGCATGCGGACTGGTCCTTCGTGCGCGGGCGGCACCGGTGCGAGGAGTGCGGCGACGCGCTGCCGCTGTTCATCTTCGAGTGTCGGCAGTGCATGTTGCACGCCTGCAATCGGTGTAGGCGGAATAGGCTGTGAGGATGCTGCTGTGGCGGTTGACTTCAATAGGTTTTCTATTTTCTTTTTTTCCTCACTTTTTCTTTGTCCTTCTGAGTGAGTGCTTCTGATCCAGCCATGCAGAGCGATTGAAGAGATGCTTCCGATCTTGTGACTGAATCTTATATGCGGGTCATAACTGCAGCAATGTGATCATGCAAAGATAATTCATTTCTATCGTACCTTCTATGTATATGCAATCATCCCACCATGTCTCAGTGCATGGTGTGTAAATGGGGTATCACCCTTTACGCGCTGGTCCAGGTAATCGCGATTGCCACGTCGTGATCACTGGTGTAAACAACGCCCTTGGTCGTACCGGACGGCACCGTATCGGCGTAGAAAGCCGTGCTGTCTTCATACGCCAATTTGCCATCCGCAGCCGTGAAGACGGTGGCATCGCTGACGCCAGAGCCGCAAGTCAGCTCGCCGTCGGCGATGCCGCACTTGCCCTTGCTGCTAGACAGAGTGAAGCCGTCGCCGCTAGCCGAGGCCGTGAAGGTGGCGCAGGTGCCCGTCGTGTACCACGCGCCTGCCGAGATAATGCAGCCGTTCTGCGCGCCGTTGACCTGGACCATGAGGTTGCCCTTACCGGAGAAGGAGCCGGTGCTGGTCGGGACGGCGGTGGTAGAGGTCTTCGTCGCCGTGCCCGTGGCCGTGGTCGTTGTGCCGCCACCGCCAGAGCTCTTGGGAATGTACTTGACGCCGCTGCTGGGGCAGGTGGACTTCGTTCCGTCGGGCTCGGCGGCGACGAAGTCACCACTTTGGACGGAGCCACGGACGTTGTAGTGGTACCAGACTTCGTTGAAGGCACCGCTCTTGCAGCCGATCGTCACTTCTTGGCCGTGTTTCGCCTTGAGCGCGGCCTGGATCTCGGCCGAGGTGTACGTCTTCGAGGTCGAGGGCGTGATACCTGCAGCGGACAGCCACTACGAGCTTTTGTTAGCTAGTGGTCGACTCCTACTTCAATTGTCCACAACTAACCTCATATGTTGGCAGCGCCTTGAACAGGGCGACGGCGCGGTCAAAGAAATCGGGCACCTCCTGAGTCGGATCGTAGTCCGTGTAGCACGACGGCTTCAGCGTCGAGATACAGGTGCCGTGCTTGCTCCACTCGTGCTCCCAGAAAGTCTCGTCATTTCCATTGTAATCCTTCCAGTATGTCTGCATGTACGAAAGCGTGTCCTTGGCGTTGAAGGACTCGAGGATCTCGGTGATGTTCGTATAAGCTCTGGAGGAGTCGCAAGATGCCTCGTACGTGCCATCGCAACGGTCAGGCCTGTATCACCCCCAAAACAGTAAGCTTTCCGTCTTGTCTCGCAGCCACAAAAGCTTAGCCATAGGATGCGCCAACGTACCAAAGACCATGCATGGTCCACGAATCAACGGGACCCGTCACGGGCTGGGTGTCCCAGAACTGGGTCATCAGGAGCTGGCCACCTGGCGCGTTGAAGCAGCACAGGTCCGTCTGGACGGTGGTGTTCTGGCACGACAGCGCGCCGTCGGCGGAGCAGCTCTTGGAGGTGCCAGCGTGCGCCGACGAGCCTGCGCCCAGCAGGACCTGGGCGCCGCCGAGGGCGAGCTTGGAGACGGTGCGGAGCGAGGGGAGCGAGGAAGCCATGGTATCGCCGAGCTGCTGCGGTATCCGAGGAGCTTCCTCAGCGGCGGCGCGGGCCGCGTTATAAAGGGCTTGGGCGGACATGGAGAGCTTCTGGCAGGTGGAGCGCTTCTCTCTATGCGGGACAGGGTTTCTCGTGTTCTTCGGTGTTTCCCTGGTGGAGCGCGGAGTACGTAACGAGATTGGAATCGGGCGTTCGGGAAGATAGGGTGTTAGGGAGCGATCCGGTAGGTGGTAGGAGGCGGTCTATGGGATCTGCCCGCCAGTCATTGGGACGGATAGGGCCCGTGACGCCTGACGTCGCTCACGCTCATCAGGTACACCACCAATCAGCTCGCGAGAACCGGGACCTGGCGTCCACGAGGCCCTGGTACGCATAGATGACAGGGCGGATCGACAGAACATGGTGAAGTGCGAAACGTCGAAGAACTCGGGCTTGCCGACGCCTGGGTGGAAAGAGAGTCAGGGCAGACCCGCATCGCTTCTGCGCGTCAGCACCTGCTTGATTGAGCGCCGAGGCCCGGCGATCTCCCGCGCTGCAGAGCTTGATTGGCGGCCCACCTCGCCGGAGGCCCGAGTTTCCCAGCAAACAAAAAGCTTTGTGCTGCTCGAAATAATATTATGTTTTGTGGAGCAAGGGCAAGTCGCAGCCAGAAACACCCTCAAACAACAGCTGCAGGAGCAGCTGTAGCCCAGAAGCCATTACAATATTGTACATGAACCCAACCAAAGACGAGATCGAAACCGTGCAGTCTATCGGATAGCGATATTAGATCCTTCACCTTCCACCTTCCCAAAGAGACATCGCCTAAAAGCCATCGCCAGGCTTGAAGGGCCTCTCCACTTCCACCGCGCGGTTGTACGGGTCGCTGCCTCTCAGGAAGGCGTTGCGCAAGTCAGCCTTGACCGCCTCTTGCGCCGTCGAAACCAGCTCTACGTAGTCTACCGGCCAGGTTTTGTTGCCGCCCGCCTCGACCTGCGCGTTGCTCAGCCGCTCCAGCACGTCGACGTGCGACTTCTTCGCGTAGTAGTCCTCGTAGTACGCCTCGCCGCCAAAGCACACGCCGTAGAGGTCGCAGTAGCAGACGTGCTCCTTGGGACACAGCTGCGGCACCCCGAGCCAGATGTACTGGTAGATGTACTCCCACACCCGCCCCGACACCCGGTCCTCGAGCGTCGTGTACATCAGCCACCGGCGGAAGTGCTCGTACTGCGCTCTAGGTATCAACCGGATGCGTTCCCGCGACACGGCGAACTGCCCACAGCATGGCTGCGACACCACTTCCGGCACATCTTCGAATGGCAGGATCTCCTTCCACGCGTCGGCGAAGACGGCCTCCTCGGGGATTGACGCCTCACTGTTGTTCTTGGCAATTGGGAAAAGATGGTCCGGGCAGCTTGGATATCTATGGCATCGGAGGTTGACATATCCTTCATCGTGGTTTTAGCTAAGTTCCGATCTGCAGCGTGGCACACTTACCGTCGCGAATGACTTTCCGGATGTTCATGTGCTTGAGCATTTCAGCTGAGCTCATTTCAAGGAGTTCATTGTTATGCCATGCCGCCGCATGAGCATGCATGAAAATCGAGATATCTGGTAAGTCGTCATAGAAGTCGATAATAAACGTCAGGTACGCCATCACTTCATGGCCCTTATTCGCCGGTAAGATGTATGGCTCCACCGGATTATCCACCGTGTAGATTGCCTTTTCCAGAAGTGGGTCGTCTCCAAAAGCCTCGTCGATCCACGAGATGTCCTCTTTGGTAGTGCGTGCAATCACCAAGGCGCGGCTGTACTGGTAATCTTGAGGCTCTGGCTCAACAGTTTCGAAGGACAACTGGGATATTATGGCATAAGAGGGCTAGTGACAGAGTAGTGATCAGCCAATGAAGGGAAACGCCTTCCAAAGTATCATAGTATACACTTACCGACTGCGTTGGTGTTTCATCCAATAGGGCAGCCGTCGGAATCTGGTCATTACCCTGCCAATCGGAATCTTCCCATTGTATGCTCATAACCTCTTTCGGAAGAGACAAGTCTGTCGGGAGAGGCAGCTCTGTCGGAGGAGACAACTCTGTTGGAAGAGATAACTCTGTTGGAAGAGACAACTCTGTCGAGGTCGTTTGAACGAGATTCAGGAAGTCGGGAAGGTAGTTGGAAGTGCTTGTCTCGACTGGCGCTACGGTATGGCCTACTAAAGTCTGATCGGGCGCACTGGCTGTCTCAGTCGATGTATCAGGAATGTCGATTACACCTGCCTCGACGAGTGATGCTACTATAGCTTTGAGGTGGTCGTAGAAATCTGTAGCCGTGCTAGACTCGGAAGAGGTCGTCCCAGTCGTTGTACTGAAGGCAAGCAGCTGCTCAAGGGGGTCATTTGAATGATCATCTTGGACGGGTTTTTCTGCGATGAGGCGCGCCCGCACATTCTGGTGGATGTTGTATTCGAGAATGATAAGGAAAATGATAGCAAAGGCTATGATGCCAAATTGCTTTTGGCGATGAGTGATCATTTTGCTAAGGCCTCAGCCAAATGTCAAGCGATATTCATGAGAGTATTCGTACAAGACAGAGCGTAGTCGACAAAGAGAAGAGGAAGAAGGGCGATTGTTAGAGATCAGTCTGCACAGGGGGCTGGAGATGGTGGAATGCAACGCGTCGCCACATGGTTCCAAGCAAGGACAATGACAACATCTGGAAACGGCCATGCAGGAGTTTCAAGTAACCTGCTACGACAGGCCGCCCTATAGGCAAGCTTAATGTTCTCTTAATCATTAAGAGCCCGCTAGGTACGCGATGACCGGGCCGTGAGTCTTGGCAGCGTCTCGTTAATGTGAGGAGAATGCTAAGTCTTGAAGACAATCCAGGGATGAGTTGCCGCTATGATTTCCCTTGACGAATTCCAGAGCCGAGGTTCTTCTTGGAGTAAAGGAATTGAGAATCGTACATTGTAAAAGCCCGTATGGAGAAATGATCACGTCCAAGCTGCTATGATAGGCTTTTCATGACACCACATAGGATTCTCCTGTGCTAGTGGAAATGGCTAGAGAGGCAAGTCTGAGTGTAGAAAGCAGCAGTCAGCTAGACCTTCGTCATCAAATAGTGTTGTAAAAGTGTGGTTTTCTAATTGCGGAGAGAAGGCACCTCCGGCGCGCTCAAGCATGACTCGCAACGTGCAGAAAGCTCAACTCCAAACAACGCGCCCGCATCCACTCGCGCGCGCCCTGCTACCAACAGCCCTTGCAACCATGCTCGACATCAACGACTTCGAGGCGGTCTTCGCCTCAGACTTAACCGGCGGGGACATCTATCCGCATGCCACCGTCAACACAATTCGCGCAAACCGCCGCACGCTCGGCGGCACTCTCTTCTTCGACAGGTTGCTCGCCCAACTGCACGTTAAGAGTAATTGACCATGATCCCGTCACTTTCGCTCTGGCAGCATTAATGATTCGAAATCTAGGCGGCTACCTCTACCCCCCTTCCAAGAATGCCGACCTGCGCGAGCTGCACGAGCGCATCACGGCCTCCCCCATCGCCGACCACTACAAGCAGTCACTGCTCTTCTACCTCCTAAAAGACAGCAGCGGCGAGATTTCCAGCCAGCCCGAAGACTTCGCCAAAAGCGTCTGCCTCCCGCGCAAATACTGGGTCGTCATCGAAGGCCTCTGGCACATGGACCGCCTGCAATTCACCGTACGTCCACCACGCTCCTTCTCTCTTCTCACAAGAAGACGAAAGCCTTTGTATTTGACCTCCTAACGCACCAGACGCCGCGCCAGAACGCACTCGAGTCACTGACGCACCCCTCGCTCCTCCCCACCTTCCCAGAAGAAGTCCTCCGCGTCCTGCTCGAGCACGCAACCAGCGAGACCTCCGACCAGCACCACCAGCGCCGCCACCACCACCAACAGACCAGCGGCACGCAACACCTGCCGCTGGCGTACTACAACGCGGTGCGGCCGCCGCTCAGCAGCGACCCGGAGCTGCAGCGCGCCTACTTCCGCTACCTGGCGGGCCTGTCGGTCACGCAGGCCTACTTCTTCGCGCGCGCCCAGCCGAGCCAGGACCACCGCGCGCTGCTCGAGCTGCTCGTCCACGAGGCCATGGCGCCGTCGTCGGCCGCCCGCGCCCGCCGCACCGAGGAGCTCGTCGACCTGCCGCTGACCGACGAGGAAGAGGGCTGGTTCGAGGACTACTTGCTCGAGGGCAAGGGCAGGTCGCTGCACGCTTCGCGCGACACCGTCATGGCCAGGCGGCTTGCCACGGGGAGGTACCCGGACGCCGTCGACGTTGGCAAGGATTTGAGCGGCAGGAGGTTCAATGACGTTACGTGGGATGGGGTTAAGGATATTCTGAGCGCTGGACTGGGATCTAGGGGTACAGAGGGCGTCTTTCAGATGGCCGACTTCGATTAAGCGCGTGTCGGATAATACACACGCGCAAAAGCATAGCGTAAGGCGCCGAGGCGTTGACGGGCAGATAGGGCGGTTAATGGCTCATTAGGTTCATCAATTGGGGATTACGTCAAGATCAAAATCAAATTTCACACGAGCAAGTAGAGGGCATTGAAGGCAGCTCGAAATGTCTGAAAGGAGCTTGTTGCATTTCAGCAAACAAACTCCGAATGGTCATTCCCGATTTTTCAGGTTCTCATCCCGGCCCTTGAACACCGTGATATCATGAAGTTCCTCCATTTTTGACTCGGGAACCGTGGTTGCATCCGAACCTTTCAAAGAACCCACGACGCCCCCCTTAGACTGAAATTGCCGACTTTTTTAAACCATTCCGGATATCGAATCTAGTTGGCCTTGGCGGTCTGCTGGGGAGTGATCTTCTTGCCGTCCTTGTTGTACCTGATCCTGGGCGGGGGGGCACGGTTGCGGCGACCCTCACGGGAGCGGACACTGTTGCCGCGTCAGCATTGCGCCAGGAAAAGGGCAGAGCAGTATAACATACCGGACGATCTTGCCGTGGATAGCGCACGAGACGCAGTACTGGAGCTTGAGGTACATCTTGGGGACGGTGTACTCAGGGAAGACAGAGGCATCCGAGATATCACCTGATTAAGCAAAGCGATGTTAGCATCGCATTCCGCCAAGGATCTTCTCAAACTCCTGCTCCAAACCCTCCAATGGAGCCGAGTATATTTATTGTGGGGTGTGCGGTAGACGTACGGATGGCGGCGGACTCGACCATGTTGCGGATGGTGAATCTCTTGATCGCCTTGTCCTTGGGGGTGCAGCGCGAGCAGTTGGAGCAGCGGATGGGCTTGACGTGGCCGCGGCCCTTCTTGTTGCGGCCGCTATAGGTGCTGTTAGCAGGCGGATTCGTGGGCGCGGACGCGGGGGAAATCGTACTTGGAAGCTCTCTTCTTGACCATTTTGACTGAACCTGCGCGCGTCAGTACTCTGGCGGTGTGCGAGCAATTAGGAGGTTTGCACTCACGAGAAATCTACTCGGAGTTCCGGGAAGGTGTTGGAGTCGTCGTTGGCAGGAGAGTCGGCGGTGTTGTGCGCAGAATCGCTAAGCGTGTGGGCGTGCCAAGACTCTCGGAATAGCTGTTTCCCCGGATCGGCCAGCCCAGCTGACTTACTAATTAGGCATGGACAGGTTCTCCAACCACCTGAGCCTCCAGCTTTGCATGTCGCGCTTCTCTGCGCTTTCGCGGTACTGTTGGAAGTTTGCACTGTGGAGCAATGGCCATGTTGGATTGGACTATGCTTAGCAGTCGCCCTGGAATTCCCCGTGCCGTGCTCGCAGCCGGCTTCACGAAGTCAAGTCCATGCGCCTTCTATCCACAAGATGTCGCTTTCCACGCTTTCATCCTCATGATCGGCACCCTAGCGTGGGTTTCCATCGCAAGGCTAGTCATATGAGACCGGTTTGCCGCCTGACTGTGGCCAACCTCTCTCTATATTTCGCGCATGCTCAACTCTGGGGTCATAGTTTCTGAATGCCTGTTAACCTTCATTTTACCTTTGTGACGCGGTCAGCATGGTGCATGGTCAAATTTGCGTTGTGACGTATCTTCCACTAAGCCATGCAGAGTGAGTTGGCCAATACCGCTAATTTAGCCCTGGTCTGCATCTCTTATCTTAACATCGTTGCAAAACGACGCATCTGAGACCAATCAAGCAGGTACCAGCTGCAAGCGAATGTTGTGGAGCGGATGAAAGAGCGCCTGTGTCCACAAATCATCCTGCACGGCATTGAGCAGTTTCAGCAGCTTCGTGGCCTTACGAAAATAGTCGGAAATGTTGTGAGCAGCTTATGAACCTAGCAGAGAAGGCCGTGAGGACTGAACGGCGAGCCACGTGAATTACAGGGTGTTTCAATAGTCATTTCGTACGAGTAGAGCGCGGGCCAGGCCAGTATTGACATCATCAAAATGCAGCGGAAATTGCTACGTCAGGAGACGTGGCGTACAAGCACGAGGAATCGCAGATGACAAGACTGCACTCGACGAAGAATTAAATGAGCAGACAATGGTCCGCAGAAACTAGCTGCTTCTACGGTCTCTAATTCGTAGATGGCTTTCTAGCTTTCTTTTTCGGTCCCCTTTTCTCTTCCTCGGTGAGACTTCTCGAAACATTCTATTTTAGGCAAAGACAGCCTGGGAATCTGAGAATGACGGCACTGTAGCGGATACGGATGTGAAAAAAGGAGTGAAGCTTACTTAGGTACTTCCAGAGCACAGCCTCGTCGCTTTGCTTTATTATTGAGCATTCTTACGAGGCATGTGGATCGCAAGGCGTAATGAAATATGCGAACTGATTGGCTATCAGGTGTCGCTCATTTCGACTAAACCGCCCCCTGGTCCAGTGCCTGCTGGTACTGTGTACGAGTCCCTGACCTCTGCTTCACCGCCCCACATCCCTGTCTTACGCGTGATCCGACGCGGTCATCGAACTTGAGCAGTTGTGATTTGTTGTCTGCGCCGGCGTGGCCTATCAAGCACCCTGCAACACATCTCGTCACGCTGGCCAGCTCCGCTTTCGGCTCCGCACCGAGCATCTGCGCAGAAAATTTCACCGTCTTGTGGTGCAGCGGGGCGTCGGGAGCTACTATCAGCCAGTACAGGAAGCGCGGTCGAGAGGCGTCGCTGCCGGCCCAAAATCTTGCCCCAGCCGGAGCCCCAACTCCCTGTCAGGACATCCTCGGACAACCCACCTGCCGGGCCACAACACGGCCCTCTTTCACACCACCGCTGCTCCATTCTTCTTTGCACACGGTGATACGCCCAAATGTCAACCACCGGTACCTACCGCGGCAACCCCAACAAGGGGAGGGGCGGAATCCCCTCCTACAACAGCCCATCCGGCATCCCGCGTCCGTCTGATCATCAGAGCGAGGTCGGCGGCAGCTCGACGCTGAGTGCGAGCCGCGCGAAGCAGTCGAAGCGCGATGAGGTATGCGAATGCCCGCACGCTGCGGGGCACGTAGCAGCAGTCGCTGACGATGCGCCAGGCCATTCGCAAGAAAATCGAGAATGACCTGAACAAGAAGAGAGCCCCCACCAGCCGTCTCCAGCGCGCGCGCAAAGCGCCGCCGGGGACTGTTCTTGCCCTGAAGCCCAGCTCCGCTCTCCAGATCAAGCCGCATACGACGGTCGCCGAGGCCGCGCAGCTCATGGCCGCGAAGCGCGAGGACTGCGTCCTGGTCACCGATGACGACGAGCGCATCGCCGGTATCTTCACCGCGAAGGATTTGGCTTTCAGGGTTGTTGGCGCGGGCATCAAGGCTAGGGACATCACGATTTCAGAAATCATGACCAAGAACCCGCTCTGCGCGAAGACGGACACCAGCGCCACGGATGCTCTGGATCTTATGGTCAGGAAGGGTTTCCGCCATCTGCCCGTCATGGACGAGAACCATGACATTGCTGGTATTCTGGATATTACAAAGTGTTTCTACGAGGCGATGGAGAAGCTGGAGCGCGCGTACAGCTCTTCAAGAAAACTCTACGATGCCCTAGAGGGTGTCCAGGCGGAGCTTGGCTCGAGTCAACCCCAGCAGGTCATTCAGTACGTCGAGGCTATTAGGGCTAAGATGTCTGGTCCTACGCTGGAAACGGTCCTCACTGGCCTTCCGCCCACTACCGTCTCTGTCCGGACGTCCGTTAAGGAGGCTGCTCAGTTGATGAAGGAGAACCATACGACCGCAGTCCTTGTGCAAGACCAGGGCTCCATTACTGGTATCTTCACCAGCAAGGATGTTGTGCTCCGTGTCATCGCCGCTGGCCTTGACCCAGGTACCTGCAGTGTGGTCCGTGTTATGACGCCCCACCCCGACTTCGCTCCTATAGATATGAGCATCCAGGCTGCTCTGCGTAAGATGCACGGTAAGTAATTGGTCCCTGTTTGTGAAGGATGCAAATGCTGAGAAACACCCAGATGGCCATTATCTCAACTTGCCCGTAATGAGCGATGCTGGCGAGATCGTCGGCATGGTGGATGTGCTCAAGTTGACGTACGCCACGTTGGATCAGGTATGTTCAGTCAGCAAAGCTGATTTTAGAGTGTTTATGGTCTAATGCCAGCTAGATCAACACCATGTCGACGAATGGGGACAGTGAGGGTCCAGCATGGAACAAGTTCTGGCTCTCTCTCGACCACGAGTCCGAATCAATGGTCTCCGGCGATGGCGGTAGCCTCCATCCCCGCACGGAACTCTCACGATCGCACGTCATGTCTCCCGGCCTCGACCGTCACCTGGATCGCGTGGAGAGTGTCATGCCGAATGATTCTGCTTCGCACGTAGGCATGGAGACGCCGGAACACTCCGTTGTTGCTCCTTCGCCGTCTATGCCCATTGAAGACATGCCCTTCGCCTTCAAGTTCAAAGCTCCTAGCGGCCGGACCCACCGTTTCCAGGCCGTTCCCTCTGCCGGTCTCGGCGAATTTGTTGCGCAAGTTACTGACAAGCTTGGCGCTGAAATCGAGGCTGTTGGCGGCACTCCAGTTTTCGAGGATGGTCACCTGAGCAACTCTGGCTTCGCTCTCAGCTACCTGGACAACGAGGGCGATAGCGTCTCCATCACTACTAACCATGATCTTCTCGAGGCTGTCAGCCTTGCTCACATGCATCACAGCGAGAAGGTCGACCTCTTCGTGCACCACCCCGAGCACCCGCCCCTTCCCAGCACAATGGCTCCTCAGGGCGCGCCTTCAACTGCTACCCCTGAGCCCTCGGTTCGGGAGCGCAAGAAGCACATCTCTTCTGACGATGAAAGCGACGAGGAGGTGCAGCGCCGCAGGAGGAGGAAGCAGCAACCCGCAGCTCCGGAGCAGGTCATCCAAGGCGTCCCCAACGAGCTGCTCCTGCCCGGCGCCATCGTCACGCTGGCGGTGGTCATTGTCGGAGTGTTCGCTCTCGGCCGTGCTACCAGCCGGTAAAGAAGAGAATTCAATGGCATTGCGTGATTTCACTCATGGTCATTATTCTCAGAAACATTTGCGTTTCCCTTTCGCAGGGGTCTGCAGCAGGAACCCCTTCTTGGTTTTCTTTTCCAGTGGCGATACCACGGCGGAATTTAACTTCTCTTGCGTAGACAGTCGGTCGCTCCGTTTGTGTTCGAGACTTGTTTCAACGGTGCGCTGTACGACAGTATGTTTGTAGCGTAAGGCCTATCAGTTGGCTTGGGGGGCTGGCAGGTGGAGGGGGGACGTCTAGGGCGGGAAAGGAAAGGCAAGCAAAGAGCTGAAAGGAAATATTAAGTAATCTCAATCATCCTGAAAACTCCTTCCGTGTCTTGCGTATGAAGACCTGGGAAAATGGCGCATGCGGATAGCCGCTCTTCTCAGACTAATCGCTCTTGCTCACCACAGGGGAAGCCGAAGAAATTATTCAGAGGCACGCGAGGTATCAAGAATTTCAGACAAAGTGCAGCTGGATCTACATATTGGTTTACAACTCTGAGAGGAAATCCATACCCTCGACCTTATGGCCTTGGCTGCTATACAGCACCTGACCACCATCTGTCCGCACTTTTATTGGAATCGGGGCAGGCGGCCATCGCAGCTGACACTTTGCATACTGGCACATTTAGTAATTCGTAGTTGCTGATCATATAGCCTTGTGGTAACATGGGGAAATGAGCAATACATCCACCATTCTCGGCCTTCGTCGACTAATAGCAGATGTCCAGAAGCGAAAAAAAAGAGCAAGTGCTGACGATGAGGAGCTACTCGTCGTTATCGCAGGCTTGTTCAGCGCAATTACCCTGAAAGCATTCTTGACGCGTGAAGTGAAGGCAGATCATGGAGCTGCAGCGCGTTGCTTGATTGGGTGAGAGGCGACGAGCTAGCGCGAGGAATCAGGGTCTCTTGGCATGGAAAGAATGTTGGGGCGTCACGGTGAAGTAAAAATCGCACAGGAAGCTCACGATACCGTGTTAGGATAGCCGATCGTAGGACAGTTGCCGGGGAAGCGCGGAAATTTTGTCCTTGCCTTGCATCGACATGTTCGTGCTACTCGGTGGGGTTGAGGGTTGGGGCATGGACGACAGACGGTACGGACCGGCGGCTTTGCAAGAGAGCCTTAACCGCAAGTTAATGGGCTGTGGACGTGGCACAGAGGGCGTCGCCTCGCCCAAGGTGTGGTCGGCGATTGCTCTGTCCTGAAACAGGTGCGCGCGAGAACAGGCCCGCTCGTGCAAGCAGGGGGACTGCCGGTGAGTCACGGGCGTCGTGTTGAGCGCTTTCCGCACTGCAAACGCGCGCTGGACGTGTCGCAGCAGCTCACTACGTAAGCAATTTAGCGTTTCCAGTCAGAATATTCACGTGACTTCCGTGTGTGTTTTGGCGGGCGCCGGGTCAGCGCTGGCAGGGAAAATATACGGTCCTACGCTCGCTTTCGCCCCGCCAAAGTTTCTCGAGAGGGCCCGGCTTCGAAGACCACAACACCCACTCCACGCTCAAGGCCGCAAGCCTACTCTCCGCAATCCCCAAAGAGAGCTGACACGGCGACCCATCTGCACCCCTTGCCGTCGCCTGTAGCTCTCGCCTGCTTTGCGCGCCGCCGCCGCGCACTTCTTTTCAGCAGCCTCCCCTCGATAGGCAGAACCTTCTGCCACACCTCCACCCCCCAGAGCAGCCGCAATCATGTCAATCCTCCCGCCGGACGTACACCAGGCACTGGCTGCGCTCCTTCAAGGTTTGCAGTCGGCCGATAACTTGGCTCGCTCAAATGCCGAAGAGCAGCTCAATGCGGAATGGGTCGTCGCAAGGCCTGACGTGCTGTTAGTCGGGTTGGTTGAGAATATCCAGCTGTCTGAGGACCCTTCGGTATGTGCGGCCGGTTCCGCTTGCCTACAGCCGCTGACTTTCTCGACAGACGCGCTCGTTTGCCAGTGTGCTTTTCCGGCGCATAGCTACCAGGAGTCGCAAGGACCCCACGACAGACCAGACCAAGGAACTTTTTCTCACCCTCCCCCAACCCCAGCGCAACGTCATCCGGGAGAAGCTTCTCCAGTGCCTCGACGGCGAGCAGAATGCGCAGGTCAGGAACAAGGTTGGCGACGCCATTGCCGAGATCGCTCGGCAGTATACCGAGGAGGGTACGGATCCCACCCAGGGTTTTCGAGTCGCAGAACCCGCAGTTAACGGAGGTTATGTCGTAGGTGAGCCTTGGCCTGAGCTCCTCGGCGGTCTCTTCAAGGCCAGCCAGTCGGCAGAGCCCGGTCAGCGCGAAAGTGCTTTCCGCATATTTGCGACTACCCCCGGTATAATCGAGAAGCAGCACGAAGATACCGTGCTCGGCGCCTTCACAAATGGCTTTAAGGACGACAACATCATGGTACTGTACACCTTGCACTTATTCCATACCCTTCCGGGCCCCTCGCTTGCTCGTGAGCGTTGCCAAAGCTCATGGGCTTGGAGCGGGCGCCGGGTCACATGCAGATGCTACTGATGGAGCGGTTACAGACTAACGGGACCCAGGTCCGCATTGCGGCCATGGAGGCGTTCGCTTCCTTCTTCCGCTCTATCAACAAGAAGAGCCAGCAGAAGTACTACCCGCTCATCGCCGAAATCCTCAACATCCTCCCGCCGATCAAGGAAGCCGGCGACTCCGATCAGCTCTCCAAGGCCCTCGTTTCTCTTATCGACCTCGCAGAGATCGCCCCTAAGATGTTCAAGCCGGTTTTCAACGCCTTGGTCAACTTCAGTATCACTGTGATTCAGGACAAGGAGCTCGATGACCAGGCACGCCAGAATGCCCTCGAGCTGATGGCCACCTTCGCGGATTGCAGCCCGCAGATGTGCAGGAAGGATCCTAACTACACCCCCGACATGGTTACTCAGTGCCTGTCTTTGATGACTGACGTCGGAAACGACGACGACGATGCTGCGGAGTGGAACGCGTCTGAGGATGTGAGTAAGCCCTAGACCTGCAAGACCACGTTATCTGACCCCAACAGCTCGACATTGACGAGAGCGACCAAAACCACGTCGCTGGTGAGCAATGCATGGACCGTCTTGCAAACAAGCTCGGTGGTGGAGCAATTCTCCCTCCCACCTTCAACTGGTTGCCGCGCATGATGACTTCTTCGGCATGGCGTGACAGGCACGCCGCCCTCATGGCTATCTCGGCCATTTCCGAAGGCTGCAGGGATATGATGGTTGGCGAACTCGACAAAGTCCTGGATCTCGTTGTCCCAGCTCTGCAGGACCAGCACCCCCGTGTTCGTTGGGCCGGTTGCAATGCTCTTGGCCAAATGAGCACCGACTTCGCCGGCACCATGCAGGAGAAGTACCACCAGGTCGTCCTTCAGAACATCATCCCGGTCCTTCAGTCTGCCGAGCCCCGTGTCCAGGCACACGCCGCCGCCGCTTTGGTCAACTTCTGCGAGGAGGCGGAGAAGGAGGTTCTTGAGCCCTACCTCGACACCCTTCTGACCAACCTACTCCAGCTCCTTCAGAGCCCCAAGCGCTTTGTCCAGGAGCAGGCCCTCTCTACGATCGCCACTGTCGCCGATTCTGCGGAGGTTGCTTTCTCCAAGTACTACGATACCCTGATGCCCCTTCTGTTCAACGTTCTGAGGGAGGAGCAGTCGAAGGAGTACAGGTTGCTGAGGGCGAAGGCCATGGAGTGTGCGACGCTCATTGCGCTGGCTGTTGGCAAGGATAAGATGGGCCAGGATGCTATTGCTCTTGTCAATCTCCTTGGCACGATCCAGCAGGGTATTACCGACTCGGACGATCCTCAGGCCTCCTACCTCTTGCACTGCTGGGGTCGTATGTGCCGTGTTCTGGGTCAGGACTTCCTTCCTTATCTCCCGGCCGTTATTCCTCCTCTTACCGAGCTTGCTGGTGCCAAGGCCGACATTCAACTTCTGGATGATGATGAGCAAGTTGCCCAGGTTGAGCAAGAGGAGGGTTGGGAACTGGTTCCTCTCAAGGGCAAGGTTATTGGCATCAAGACCAGCACTCTGGATGACAAGCACATGGCCATTGAACTCATCGTCATCTACGCCCAGGTCCTAGAGGGTGCCTTCGAGCCGTACGTCAACGAGATTATGGACAAGATTGCCATCCCCGGCCTCGCTTTCTTCTTCCACGACCCTGTCAGAGTCGCATCCGCCAAGTGCGTGCCGCAGCTGCTTAACTCTTACAAGAAGGCCCACGGCGAGCAATCGCCTCAGCTTGGCCAGCTCTGGGCCAGGACGGTCGAGAAGGTTCTCGAGGTGCTCAGCACCGAGCCTGCCATCGACACCCTTGCCGAGATGTACCAGTGCTTCTACGAGTGTGTTGAGATTCTGGGTAAGAACTGCTTGACGGATCAGCACATGGCTGCATTCATCGATGCCGCCAAGTCTGTTCTCGAGGAGTACAAGGAGCGTGTCAAGGCCCGTCTGGAGGAACAGGCTGATAACGAGGAGGGTGAGGAGCTTTCCGAGGAGGTTGCCTTCGCCATTGAGGATGATCAGACTCTCCTTTCCGATATGAACAAGGCTTTCCACGTCATTTTCCAGATGATGGGTCCCGCCTTCCTGCCTCACTGGGAGCGTCTTCTTGAGTTCTACACCAACTTTGTCACGAACCCTGACCCGACGCAGAGGCAATGGGCCATCTGCATTTTCGATGATGTCCTGGAATTCTGCGGCCCGCAATCCTGGAACTACAATCAGTACATCATCAACCCCATTGTCAATGGTATGCGCGACGACGTTGCTGCCAACAGGCAAGCCGCTGTGTATGGCGTTGGTGTCGCGGCGCAAAAGGGCGGCGAGCCTTGGTCTGAATTCGCCAACAACTGCTTGCCGATTCTCTTCGAGGTCATCAGCAGGCCGAATGCCCGCGAGGACGACGACGTCTTTGCTACCGAGAACGCTTGTGCAAGCATAGCAAAGATTCTGCACTACAACAACACCAAGGTTGCCAACGTGCAAGATGTCGTCAACGCCTGGGTGGACACTCTTCCCATCGTCAACGACGAGGAGGCTGCGCCTTACGCATATGCTTTCCTTGCGCAACTCATCGACCAGTAAGCCTTTTCCCCCTTGTTAATCAACCGTATTCTAACGATCCTTTCAGGAGCAACCCCGCCGTTCTAGCCAAGGCTCCTCAGTGCTTCAACCACGTCGCCCTTGCCCTCGAGGCCGAGACCCTTCAGGGCAACATCGCTAGCCAGGTCGTTCGCGCAACGAAGCAGCTGGTTCAGACCGCCGGTCTGGACGCCAATCAATTGCTCCTCAACCTGACCCCTGAGGCGCAGCACACCGTGCGTGCGTACTTCGGTTAAAAAAAGACTACGAGTCATTACGAGAAAGTAATATTGTATGGAATGGGAAACGGGTCTTTGTTTTTTTTTTTTGATGAACAGAAGGGCGGAATGGTGATGAATAGCTTTGGCTAGGGACCGAGTGACATTCGTATTTCCGCCGGCATTGTTTTTCTTTCCTTTATTTTCCATGTAGACCTGCAAAGGAAGGGCCCGGCTCTGAAAGGGATGTGGAGGAAACGGCGATGGAGGTAGTGGTGGAGGAAGGAGACAATTGACTGCATATGATATCCAAGGCAAATATGAGAGAGGAAGAGACCAAAACGATTGGGGATGATGGAACTGCCCTACCTGCCCACTTGCTTGCCTTGATATGATGTGGATACGGATCTTTGTGCTGATTTAGAATTACTCTTCTTTTCCTACTCCGAGTTGTAGCTGGCTTCGTCGATCTTGGGGTGGATAAGGGTGTGGGTGATTGATGGAGGAATAGAGGGACAGAGGAAGAGGCCGTGTATATGGCGTGGAGGCGAGCTCTTCATCGAACTGCTTGCGGAAAAGATTTAGGTGAGAGGCGTGGAGGCGCCTGGTTTTTATTTTCATAGGCATGGATACAAACGAAACTGGTGCATCTTTAGATCTGGTGGACATCTTTTCTTTCTTTCTGGCTGTCTAAGTAAGATTCCATAGCACAATTTTATTTTGTCTTTCTAGAGACCGATAAGCTTAAGTCTTTTCTATTTCTAGTGTTTCGTTTCTATTTAAAGAGTGATCCTCGTGAACTAATCTATCTAGAGTTTGACGTGAGGAAGAAGATTACCAAAGTGAGCCCAGCAAATATAATGGATATCTATGGACTGGTAGGTCACAGTATAAACCGCTAGCTAGGTCTCTATTATTTATATTCTTTTCTTTACACAAGTTTTCACAATATTCACCCAGCTTAGAAAGATAGTATAGGGTGTTTTCCCCTGAATGATCTGAAGATTAAATGCTTGAAATTATGCATAATCCGTTCATGCTTCGTGTGGAAATATAGTTCGAATTCTAAATAGCAGTACGCTAACAGTTACAGCAGATCACCACCCAGTTTCATTCTGATCGTTATACATACGACGGGGAGTTCGTTCCTGTCGGCCGAAAGAGGCATGCGGGCGAAGGCCCAATCAGAAAGACCAGCTACCGGCGTTGATCTTAACTCGATCATCTATGACGTACAATTGTCATTGGAATATATCGTTTTCCCGTGACGTCTCATCTCAAATACAAAAGTTTAGTCGTCCCGCTTTTTGGCGCTCTGCTCCGCAGCGGCGTCGCTCTTGCCAGCCTGCGCAGTGTCGGCACCGCCGTTGGGCTCCTCAGGCGCCCAGTCGTCTTCGGCGTTCTCGTCCCAGTTGTCCAGTTCCTCCTCGACGGTCATGCCCTCGCGAACGACGCCGGATTCCTGGCCGCCTTCGCCACCGTTATGCACGTTCTCGCCCAGTTCAACGTCCAGATCCTCGCCAGGGACGGCCTGGTAGTGTTTCGCGCGGCGCTTGCGCTCGAGCATGCGCTTGTGGTACCAGCTGCTGAGCAGGACGGCAGCGACGGAACCGACTATGTTGGCCAGAATATCGAAGGGGTCGAACATGCGGTCATTCTGTAGGGAGATATGTTAATGTTGTATTGCGTGTCTCGAAGGTGCGCAAGCACATACGGGGAGCAGGCTTTGGATGATTTCGGAGCCGATGCCAAGTGCCAGTGTGCAGACAAACAAGGTCATCTGGATGACGCGGCGGCGGTTCGTTTCCACAATCCAGTAGAAGCATAGCTGTGAAGAAATCACGATTAGCGGCGTGCGCTGGGAGGCGGGGGAGCGGCGTACCGTGAGCAGGAAAAAAGTGACAAAGTGAAGGACCTTGTCACTCTGCTTGTATTGCGGCAGCTGCGAGCGGCCAAAGCCGGCAGCCGACGCAAGCAGACATATTACCACGAAGGCGCCTGGCGGAGGGTCAGCGGCTGGCGTAGCGTGCAGGCGACGGCATGCGGAGCGGGAGCGGGACAGCTGCGAGCTGCAGGCGGCGGTAGAGGTCTCGTGGCCGGTCAAGCTTACCTGCGGGGGCTTTGCGGATGCGCATGGCGAGGAGAGGGCAGTGGGAGCTGGGCGGACGGCAGGAAAACTATCGAGCGGCGACCATGCCGGGGCTGGGAGATCGTGTGGTCGGGTTGCGGCGCGGAGCGGTGCAGCAAACAGAGTGGCAGGCCGGCAAGCTCGCGGTGCATGAGCTCTCCGCGCGGGCGGCGATCGGCCGGGGCGGGACACGTGACGCGGTTAGAGCCAGAGGCAGACTGAGGGAGCGCGAGGCCGCCGCGGCAGACAGAGCGCAACACGCCCGGTCAACCTCAAGCCCGTCCGCCAGGCCCTTTCATCACCCCATCTCGCCCTCCCATCGCATTTTCATCGCCTGCGCCTGCCTTCCATCTCACCAGGCCCAGCAGCGCCTCTCATGCGCACTGGTTCCACGCTGCAGCGCGCGTTGACCGTGGAACAGGGGACATTCGCTCGCTGAGGTGGCCGTCGCTCGGAGCGCGTGCCAAGCTCGCGGATGGTGATCCCGCCATGGCCCTCCACCAACGCTCATCCATGCGACACTCCAGTTATGGCGCCCATCGCCCCGGTTCCAGCACCCCGAGCGCTGCAAAGGTCCACCGCCCCAGCATGAACTCCGAAGACACCTCCTCCCAGCATCCGGGCCCCGTGCCCCACGATGAATCCGACATCACCCTGGCCGACGACGACCCCAGACATCAAGAGTTCAGGGAGCGCTTTGCGAAGACGGAGCAGCGCATCGCCGCGCTCCTGTCCGGCACCTTCGACCTGCCCGCCTTCGCCGGACTCGCCGATGGCGATGCTTCTGCCAACACCGCGTCGGCTGACCGCGCCGAACCCCAGTCGCAACCCGCGCCGGCGCCCAAGAAGCCCGCTCGGACAATTGACGAGGATGATTATGGCGACGACGACGACGATGACGAGGCCGACGAGCCTCCGCAGGCCGAGTCACCGCTGCAGACAAAAAGCGCCGCTGCTACCAATGCCTCCAGCTCCCTTCTAAAAGTTCCCTCCTCCCTCCCCGCGAAATCCTCCATCGACCGCGCTGCCTCCACCTCCTCTGCCGACCAATCCAAGAACGCCGAAGACGTGCGCAAGGAGCTCAACGAGCAGAAAAAGGCCGCCGAAGATGCCGCGCGCCGCTCGTCCCATAGACTTTTCTACACACTTGAGACAGACCGCGATGCCATGTTGGAGCAGCAGAAGCTGGATGATCTGGACCGTCAAGTTGAGACGGAGATGTCTGGCCAGTCTGCCCAGGCCGTGAACAATGCCGCCGCCGCCAGCGCAAACCAGCAAGGCTCTTTGAGCAGCGCCAACTTGGGCTCTTCGAGCTTGACATTCAAACATCTCATTTCTCGTATCGATGCGAAGCGCAACTTGGTCAGAGCATCGGACGCGCAGCTGCGCAGCTTGATGAGCGACGTGCGTAAGAATCGGAGTAAATGGGCTAGTGAGGACAAAGTCGGCCAGGAAGAGCTTTACGAGGCTGCCGAGAAGGTTCTCATGGAACTCAAGGCCATGACGGAACATGCAGCCCCTTTCCTGCAGCGCGTCAACAAGCGCGACGCGCCAGACTACTACCAGGTCATTAAGCAACCAATGGACATTGGTACGATGATCAAGAAGCTCAAGTCCCTTCAATACCGGTCCAAGAAGGAATTCGTCGACGACCTGAACCTCATCTGGTCCAACTGCCTCAAGTACAACGCCGATCCCTCACACTTTTTGCGCAAGAAAGCGCTTTACATGAAGAAGGAGACGGATAAGCTCGTTCCGCTCATCCCGGATATTGTCGTGCGCGACCGCGCCGAGGTGGAGGCTGAGGAGAGACGGATGCAGAGCATTGATGCTGACCTTGAAGGTGTCGAGGATAGCGATGATGGTAGGTCACAATGCCGTGCCCTTTTTGACAACGTTGGCTAATTAATGACTTTCCTAGAACCCATTATGGCTTCGAGAGGTCGCAAAGCACCCAGTAAAGGCAACAAAGGATCTGCCGCAGTGAGAAAAGCCCCTTCAGCAGGCACTGAAGGAACACCTGGAGCGGAGACCAAGCCCATGCCTGGTTCAGCAAGTATTCCTAGAACAGAATTTTTGCGTGCGGATTCGGAGATGGATGGTGGCCAGAACGGCTTTCAGACACCACCTCCGCCTGGTACTCTCACTCCGCTTGGAACCAATGGCATCCCTGGAACCGCAAGTCAAGCTGATGCTTCAGACATTGATGCCGGTAGCTCTGTCGTTGGTGCTGCGCCAACTGAGGATGCAGATTTGGATGATGCAGAATATAAGACATGGAAGCAAGTGACGAAGAAGGACAGGGCTATGATTGCTGCAGAACGGCATCGCCTTTTCCGGAACGATCACCTCAACGTTGAAGAGCCTGCTTTGATCCGTACAAAAGCTGGGATGCGGCGCTGGCTGCGCCAGCACAAGCAAGCTATCCACGGAGGCGTTCCTGAGGATGAGATTGAAGTAGTAGATGGCAAGGACGGTGTGCAAGAAGCATCGGGTGAAACCCTCGCCGAAGGCATTGAGGGTGAAGAGGAGCGTCAAGTCCCGGATTATTACGACACCCTATCTGTTATGCCAGAACTGAACGAAAGATTGAAATGGGCCGAAGACTCGGAAGGCCAGGTCATCCAGCAAGGCGAAGAGTTCATGCGCATGGTACCCAAAGGCTATTTCCAGTCGCCGAAAAGTAACCTGGCGACAAAGATGGAAGCCAATATGCGCCAGATGCAAGATACTCGCAAGATCTGCGCAAAGATTGGAATTGTCAAGCAAATGCAGTTGCAGTCGCAGGTAAGCATTACGTATCAACATTTTCAAGAAAAGGTGCTCACTCGACCAGACATATCAAAACCAGTTCCAGAAATATGATCCTCAGCCTTTCGAGGAAGCGGATGCAGGACCTGTAGTCGTATCCGATGACGGTGCCGTCATGTCTCAGTGGACGTGTAGAGCTGCTCTCCAGCGCAGTGTTGCAAAGGTGTTCTACCATGCCGGATTTGAGGAATTCCAGCCTTCTGCGTTGGATTCAGTCACCGACATTGCGAGCAACTTCTTCACTCAGCTTGCCAGGACTTTCAACGTTTACCGCGAAGCACCTAAAGTCCGATCTGAAACTGGCCCTCCTATGTGGAAGCCTCGTTTCACCAGTGAGGAAACCATTCTCCATGCTCTGCGTCAAAACGGAGTGGATCTGGAGGCGCTGGATTCGTATGTCAAGGAGGACGTGGAGAGGCTGGGATCCAAGCTGGGTGTCATGCACGAGCGCATGAAGGCCCACCTCAACGAGCTTCTGGTAAGACAGTACTGTCAAGGTCAGTATGATGCTAAGGCTAACATTTGTTTAGCGTCCTGCGCTGGATTTCAATGCCGGGGCCGATGGTGCCGGTGCTTTCAACGATGGGAGCGAGCAGTTCTCTTCCGGAGATTTCGCCGACGAGATTGGAGAAGATTTCTTCGGGTTCAGGGAGCTGGGTTTGGACAAGGAACTGGCATCCTTCACAGTGCCTTTCCACCTGCTCCAGAACAGAATCCACAATGCTTACCAGGCGCAGAACGCAAGGTTCGTTCTAGCCCATTGGACCACCATGAAAGATTGTTTGCTGATCGAATCCTTGCAGTACCACTTCTACGGCTGGAAACTTGTGGGAGAATCCTGCACCATGGGAGCCTGTTACGATCCACACTGTGCGCAACCAAATCGGCCTTGTTCAAGGCTACTTCTTGGAAAAATTGCATGCGAACAACGATCAACCGCTCGTCGAAGACGAAGACCTACCTGCGAAACAGCGCTTTCCGAAACCGCGTCTTCCGCCAACGGGCAAGATCTCCAGCCCCCGAAAGCGTCCGCTTCGGGAGCAGCAGCAGATGGCCAAGAAGAAGCGGAAGCTCGAAGAAAGTCAGGGGACCGGAAATACGCAAGATTCGTCGCAGCAGCAGTCGTCGCAAGGTGGCGCCAACGGTACTTCGACGGCCGGTTCGGGTGCAGTCAAGGGCATTGCCAAGCCGGTTGGCAAGCTCAAGCTCGAAGCGCCGTCGAGTAAGGAGAATGTCGCGGAGCCAGAGAAAGACGACGCTAACGGGGTTGTTGGGATGATGAGTCCGGAGAGCATTAATGGCGCTGGGTGAGATGGGGAATTGGTCTGCTCGTCTTGACTCTGTCCCCTTGGTTTTTTTTTTCTTTTTTCATTCGTCCACTTCTCTTGTTGCATAAGAGGTTCCAAGATTTCTTTCCATGTTCTTCTTCTTGAGGCCTTCTCAGGAGAAGACATGAGCCCCATCATTGTTCATATTGCTTCCTCCTCTTACTTCGATATTATTGTTTTTTTGTTTTGGGCCTTCTGCGCTTTATTTTCGATACACCTTCTGTTTTTTCTTCTTCGCAGCTCCTCGGTTGCATGGCAGAGTCCGCCGATTTGGGCCTCCTTGGGAAGTTTCCGGTCTAGGGGGAGTTTTTCCAGGAGCACGAGGAACCTGCTCATTGCATAGGGGCCTTTTTGGGACAATTCGGGTCACAACGGTGATAGGATCTTCGTGATGAGGCGTCGGTTTCCAGGGGTACCTTTTTGCTGTACAGATGAATATTTCCGAGTCTTTTTTTGGGTTGAGGTATTGAGCTGGATTGGGTGCTCACTTTGTTTTTTCTGTCTGCTGCTGGAGAGATACCTGCTTTTTCTATTTGATCATTCGTGGTTGATTTTTTGCTCATCCATTGAGACGGTGGTGATCGTTGTCTTGTTGGTCGGCTGGCCGGAAGGAAGGAAGGAAGGAATCATGGGAAATGAAGATCGCAGTTGGGAGCCGGCGGACAAAAAGACGGAAATAGCAGGGACCGGCAGGCTTTTGTTTTTGGAAATACATATCAGTGGTTCTTGTATGGTTCTTCTTCCTTTCCGAGAGATACCCGCGGCGAAACGAAAGAAAAATCTAAAGAAAGTTTAATCATGCCCGGGGTTTCGTTCGTTCTGTATGCGCGGCGTAGTGATGTTCTATGTTGTGTGTGTCGTGCCGTCATCGTCTGTGGAGCTTGGAGAGTAGCGAGTGGAAGATCGTGGTATTCGCCGTATTGCGGAAATGGTCGGCGGATATCGGAAGGTTCGAATTTCTGAGTGCTGGAGAAAATGAAGACGGGAGGCTCTCTGCCTGAGAGGGCAGTGAACCGGGGAAGGAAAGAGGCGACACGCACGCGCGAGAGTGAAAAGGGCAAAAGGGTCGGGGTGGTAATATAATAGAGAGAGCACGAGCGGCGGCGGTCTGCCGGGGGGGCAGCAAGGGTACCCACACTACGCGACGCTCCGAATCTCCGCCGGTCGTTACCGTCATGCGTGGCTTTTTTGCGGGCAAAGCAAGCAAGAAAAAAAAAGTCTGACCACGCCGTCCGCCGAAAGTCACGCCGTGAGTCGCCGCCCGGGATGACGATAGTTATAATGGGGGAGGTAGCGCGCGGTCGGTAAAAAAAAATAAATGGAGGTTGAAGTATCTTTGCAGAGTTTTCCCTCTTGGATTTTTTGCCTCACTTGGCTGAATCGGTTCTCGTGTTACTAGCAAGTCATTCGGCGGGAACTTCTTCCCTCTTTCTGACTGGGAGAGATGAGTAGCAGATCTGGGGTAAAGGGGGCGTTACGCCACCAGTCACATGTGATCATCGTGTTTCTCATTCACCGGAACGAAGGGGGAGGAGGAGGAGGAGGAGGAGAGGATCGAGGGTCTTTGTTGAATTGTGGGTTTTTCTACTTTTATGTTGCTGGTTGGCCGTGTTCCGCGACGAAGCATGGGGCTGTCGGCAGCGGACGGGCAGGCGGCGGCGGCAGCAGCAGCTCAGCCAGCCGTTTCCGCTCAGACGATATATGCTGTGTAATAGCAATTTGATTCGGGGACGCAAAGAGCAGGGGTGTATTGGCAACAACCATGCATGTGTGTACCCGATTGGCTTTTGACGTCATGTATCGTGTCGCCGCCCAATATCCGCCAGTCTACCTCCTTCCCCGTCCGCCTCACCTCCCGACGCCCTAGTTACAATATTCTTTTAGTATTCCCTCGGTTGTGGGGCCAGGTGGAGGCTGCCGTTGTCAGGGTCTAGGAGGGTTGCCTGATGAGGGATTGGTGAACACTCGTTCTTCTTTTAAGCCTCCCAACGCTGCAATCTTCCGAGAAGTGGCGGCTGATGTGGGTGCCCCCGGTGCAGCTAGTTTTCCGGGCATTTGGTTGTTTCGCGTGGAAGCCCTTTTTCCAGGGCGGAACATGGCCTTTTCTTTTTCCTCTCACGTGGCTGGCGGGCATTTCTTTCATTCGAGTAATCATCAACAGCTGAGTGGCCTCTGCGGGAATACCTGGGCGGTATTGGGCTTTAATCTTCTCGTAATCGAGTGTCGTTGGGTGCATGTTGTCCAGGTCAGAACTGAAGCAGCGAGCCGCTCAAGAGCCGCCGTGGTGGGCGCCTCGCGGATCATTGCCTACTTCTCTTCTCCCACACATCAGCTGCTGCACTACCGCGTCCGCGTGATATAGTCGCTCCCATTGCAAGAGTGTGTTCCTTCCATTATTGGACCCTGATTATTGCGTCACAAGCGAGCGGCACATCTTTTCGGGGGTCGTGCAGTGGAAAACAGCAGGGCTGCAGCCTTTCCTTCCGTTTTGCGGCCTGCCTTCGCACGCGTCTGTCTGCTGCAGGAGGCATTCTTTTCGGCAGGGCGCGCATGGTGAGTCTCGCCAGCTTTTCTGCCATGGCGTCTGTGTGCGTGGTTGTGTGCCGATCGCGTTCCCCGCATCGAGGCAAGCGCAGCACCCAGAAAAGCCAAGATGGAACAAGGAATCAGCCACTCCCGCCGTTGACCCCTCCTCCATACCCGGGGATCGACCGCGGCGCCTGGCCTAGACGTCATCGTTAGCCGCATGATGATGCTGCTTATGCTGCTCCTTCGGCTCTTCGTGCGCGAGGTTGGTGAGGTGATGGGTGCGATACTACTGATAAGAAGACGGGTGAGTTGCAAGGTGCAGCTAAGTATTATGGCAGGGTATTTGTACCGCACCACAATCTGCTTTTTGTCATTATCAGTGGTGATCTCTATGCTTTGCCGGGGCCTAACACGTCTCCGCCGTGAGCGCGCGATCGGAATGACTGCCGCTGCAGGATGATCGGTGGCCTCCGGGGGTTGAATAATTATTAAAACCCGGTGATCGGTTACGTAGTTGGAGGGGCTTGTGATGACGAGACGCTGCTTGCAGGCCTGGCTGGTGTGGGATGCGGCGATGGAGCTAGGGTCTTCAATGGTTGGTTTACTTACCGTGGTGGCCGCCTCTGACGCCAGGCTTTTCCCTTTCCTCCCTCCTTCGTGTTGACGTCGTCTCCTCCCCTCGCCTGGTTCACTCGAACCCGCTGTACCATTTTCATCTCTTTTTTCACTCAGACCCTTTCCTCGCACGTTCACGCGCGCCTTAACCCGCGTCTCGAGAACATGTCAACCACCAATCATCTGGGCGCTGCCACCAGCGGCGAGGCGGAGAAACCACCGCGTGACGCGTCGTACGAAAGCAGCAACGACATCCGGCCTGCGTCGACGAGGGATATCGAAAAAGGTGACCCCACGGACCCGGCAAGTCCTACTTACGATGGCGAGACGAGAAAGAGGAGACGCTCATCAGCGTCGGTGATGGCGGGGAGGAGTGATCCGTTCGGAGACGAGACGGAAGCCGAGATCAAGTATAGGACCATGTCTTGGTGGCATGCTTCGATGAGTAAGTACCTGAGGGGTGCTTTTTGATTCTTACTGGGGACCAAAGAAAGAAAATCTAGAGAGAGATTGCTGATTTCTCGCATAGTCATGATCGCGGAAACTATCTCGTTGGGAATTCTGAGCTTACCGTCTGTACTAGCGGCGATTGGGATTGTGCCCGGTGTGATTCTGATCGCGGGACTGGGCATCCTGGCGACGTATACGGGCTACACGATCCATCAGTTCAAGATGGCGTATCCGCATGGTAAGAGACATCATTAATTCTTGGGTTTGGCGGTACGGAAGAGCAGGGGCTGACTAGAGAGACAGTGCATAACATGGCGGATGTCGGCGAAGTCTTATTCTCCTCCTGGGGCCCGACTGCCGCTGCGATTGGTCGTGAAAGTGAGTGCATATTTTGAATGACCGAGATGTGCACACTGACGAATTTGTGTGCAGCACTCGGAGCATGCCAGACCATCTTCCTGATTTTTACTATGGGCAGTCACGTCCTGACATTCACCATCGCGATGAATGCCATCACCAGCCATGCAACCTGCACTCTGGTATGGGGCGTAATCGCCTTGGTAGTGTTGTGGATCTTGACGCTCCCGCGGACACTGAAGAACGTCTCGTATCTTTCCATTGCCTGTAAGCACAGTGCCGCCATCCGGATTACAGAAAATCTTGGCTGACAGCGCTCTCTACCTTGCAGCCTTCATCTCCATCGGAGCCGCCGTCATCATCACCATGGCCGGCGTGGGTGCCGCGCCGCCAGATCCGCACGTGGAAGCGACGATCAAAACATCGCTAGCGTCGGCTTTCCTGTCGACGACCAATATCATCTTCGCGTATGCGGGACACGTCGCCTTCTTCACCTTCATTTCCGAGCTCAAGGACCCGCGCGAGTTCCCCAAGGCGCTGTTCACGCTGCAGGCGGCCGACACATCCATGTACATCATCGTTGCTATTGTCGTGTATCGCTACGCCGGCCCAGACGTGAAGAGCCCCGCCCTCGGCAGCACAGGCAGCGTGGTTAAGAAAGTGGCGTACGGCATCGCGCTGCCGACCATCATCATCGCCGGCGTCATCTACGGCCATGTGGCGGCGAAGTATATTTACGTCCGCGCGTTCAAGGGGTCAAAGCACATGCATAGTCGCACTTGGATCGGCTTTGGTGGCTGGGCGCTCATTACTCTCGTCATCTGGGTCATTGCCTGGATCATTGCCGAGAGCATTCCGAACTTTAACACGCTGCTCGGGCTTATTAGTAGTATTTTTGCTAGCTGGTTTACGTACGGGCTGAGCGGAATATTCTGGTTGTTTATCAACTGGGGTGGTAGCGGGAAGAAAGGAATGGCCGGATGGTTTGCGGGCGGAAAGAAGAGCGCGTTGGCCGTGCTGAACCTAACCATTGTAGCCATTGGAGCGGCAGTAATGGGGCTGGGTTTGTATGCCTCGGGCAAAGCGATTAATGAGGAGAGTGGGAGCGGGAGTTGGTCGTGTGCGGATAATTCAAGTGGCGAGTGATGTAGAAGTCTTGAGATTGGGAAGGCAGGAAAGAGAGAGCAGCGAAACGTCTCGCCGAATGACTGCAACAAGAGAAATACCAGGATTACATGAAATTGATGATGTTGTCTGAACGAGTATTTTAATAAAGGACACGTGTGAAGGCTAAGGATCCGTGGAAGCTGCTTGACACGTGGCCATGACTTCTGTGTTGGACATGCTCAAGCAAGAAGATGTGGCCGCAGTCTCAGCTCATGGGAATAGAGGCATTGGCGTAAGATATAGCAGTCTGGATGGTATTGACGGCGTGTTTGATAGATTGCTGCTCGTTTCACGTCATTAGAGCTGCCGTCAAGTGGATGCGTAGTGGATGGCAGCAAGGCGGGTGGGATGCGGTGAGGGGCGGAGCGACAGGGGCGGTGTTTGCACGGTTTGACGGCGTCGGAGGAAAAAGTGCCGTTGCGCGCGGGCTTGGAGAGCGCGTTTTGGAAAGCCATCGTTGCGTGCCCCTCGGAGCTAGCTACTCCTCCAAATTCCCACCACCGCGCCGCTGCGAGCCCTCCGCTTCCCGTTACCCGCGTCTCCCGTCATCTCCACGCCCGTAACTCGCCCCGCAGAGCTCCCCGGAGCCCCACCGCAATCATGTCGTTCGGCGGCCAGACGCCCACCATCGTTGTGCTGAGGGAGGGTGTGTAGAACCTAGAAGAACCCCCGCTGGAAGAGCTGCTTTTGCTGACGGACGCGTGCGTGCGTGCAGGCACCGATCAGTCACAGGGTCGCGGTCAGATAATATCCAACATCAACGCCTGTCTTGCCGTGCAGTCGACCATCAAGAGCACCCTCGGACCCTACGGCGGCGACCTGCTGCTCGTCGATGAGAATGGCAGGCAGACGATCACCAACGACGGTGCTACCGTCATGAAGGTGCGTTCCTACTTCTTTTTGGCTCTGTCCAAGCGCCCATACTGATGTTGCGCCCCCAACAAACAGCTGCTCGACATTGTCCACCCCGCCGCCCGCATCCTGGTCGACATTGCGCGCTCTCAGGACGCCGAGGTGGGCGACGGCACCACCTCCGTCGTCGTCCTGGCCGGTGAGATACTCAAGGAGATCAAGGACTTCGTCGACCAGGGAGTGAGCAGCCAGACCATCATCAAGGGCTTGCGCCGCGCCTCCCAGATGGCCGTCAACAAGATCAAGGAGATCGCCGTCAACACCACCGAGGGCAACCAGCGCGATACCCTGCTGAAGCTGGCCGCTACCGCCATGAGCAGCAAGCTCATCCACCGGAACGCCGATTTCTTCACCAAGAGTGAGTGGGATAAAATGCCAGCATGAATACGGGGGATGCTAACAGAACTTAGTGGTCGTCGACGCCGTGCTCACCCTTGACCAGGACGACCTCAACGAGAAGCTCATCGGCATGAAGAAGATTACTGGTGGTGCGCTGCAGGACTCTCTCTTCGTCAACGGTGTTGCCTTCAAGAAGACCTTCTCCTACGCCGGTTTCGAGCAGCAGCCCAAGTCCTTCAAGAACCCCAAGATTGTCTGCCTGAACGTCGAGCTGGAGCTGAAGGCCGAGAAGGACAATGCTGAGGTCCGGGTAGAGGAGGTTTCGGAATACCAGGCTATCGTCGACGCTGAATGGCAGATCATCTTCAACAAGATGGAGGCCCTTTACAAGACCGGTGCCAAGGTTGTGCTGAGCAAGCTGCCCATTGGTGACCTGGCAACACAGTACGGCCCTCGTAACCCCATACGACACAAAGCTGACGGATTGCAGATACTTTGCCGACCGCGACATCTTCTGTGCTGGCCGTGTCGCCTCGGACGACATGGAGCGCGTGTGCAAGGCTACCGGTGCGTCGATCCAGTCGACGTGTTCTGACATCCGGGAGGAGCACCTCGGTACTTGCGAGACCTTTGAGGAGAAGCAGATTGGCAACGAGCGCTTCAACTTCTTTGAGGGCTGCCCTGGCGCGAAGACTTGCACGCTGGTGCTCCGTGGTGGTGCAGAGCAGTTCATTGCTGAGGTCGAGCGCTCGCTGCACGATGCCATTATGATTGTCAAGCGCGCGATCAAGCACCAGAGCATTGTTGCTGGTGGTGGTGCCTGCGAGATGGAGGTCTCGGCATACCTGCACGCCTTTGCGGACAAGAACGTGCCGCACAAGCAGCAGGGCATCATCAAGGCCTTTGCCAAGGCCCTTGAGGTCATCCCGCGCCAGCTGTGCGATAACGCTGGTTTCGACGCTACCGACATCCTTAACCGCCTGCGTGTCGAGCACCGCAAGGCCAACATCTGGGCTGGTGTCGACTTCGTCAACGAAGGCATCGCCGACAACATGGAGCGCTTCGTCTGGGAGCCCGCTCTGGTCAAGGTCAACGCCATCCAGGCCGCAATTGAAGCCGCTTGCCTTATCCTTAGCGTCGACGAGACCATCAAGAACCAAGAATCCCAACAGCCCCAGGCCCCCGCGCGGGGTCTGCCGCCGGGTGCCGCCCAGAGGGCGCTCCGTGGCCGTGGCAGGGGCATGCCAAGGCGGTAAATCAATACAACTTTACTTAACGCGGGAAAATTTTGCAAGAGGAAAGGGTTTAGTTTTGGGATACGGCTGGACGTTGTCAATGTATCAAATCACGACTTAGCGAAGTTAAGTGGGCGGGATGATTACAGGACAGATGGGGAAGAAGATGAAGAGAAATTCAAAAAGACGACAAAGGATGTAATATACAAAAGGGTGATGCTGATCCTGCAGCCTTTCTCCTCTGCACATCGATAATGTCCTGTTATGCTATACTGCTACCGTGATGGCACTGGGATAGGGAGTCCAGTGTTGAATGCGTTGAGGTGAGTTCATACCCTCTTCCGGAACAGATTTGCTTACTCGTTGGGATAGATTGAAAGGTCTTCACAGTGATCGGTCATGATCCATCCTCTTCTGACTTCTTCCCGTCCGCTTATACAACAGGTGCTTTAAATGTTAAGATTCGTCAGATCTAGGAAGGTAATCAACAATCTTCAACCCCGCTCCATTTCGTTTCACCCAACCACATACGGTTACCTGTGATCGTGTGCCAGTTCAACTATTCCATACTATACTCAATTAAGCGTTGAAGCCGTGGTTGATGGTTGCGCTTTGGGACCGCTCAATCTAGGAGTAGCCTCACATGACCCACCCTTTTCCCACGATTGAAAACGCGAGGCAAGCGCGTCCTCTCAAGGGTTTCTACGCGACAGCCCAACGAAATGAGCGCGTGACTTGTTCAGATCCAGGACGATCCCTCGCAGGCCCATTGCCCTTTGACTTTGCGACTACATCACATCAGCAGGACCTATCTCCCAATACGACGAGCACAGTTGGACGTCATTGACCCTACTTAGGACCAGCGGTTGACTAAGCAATGATGTGGCGTGGAGCGACGTCTTGATCCAGTGCTTGACAGACTCCGTCCACTACAGCTCTTCGGGGAGGGCCCGACTTGGAGCACCTGCCACCCTACGGTGCCCTGTGATATCATCAGGGTAATGTCCTATGAACTAATTAGAGCACAGGATATGCTGACAGCCTGCTTCAGCGCGGAACCTTACCCATCATACCCCGCCCCAGCCGCTCCTAATAGTTGTCCTCTCGCGTATCAGCTTGACATTGCGAAGCCCAAACAACCGTAGCGACACCTTACCGCTTCTCGTCCACCACTCAACACATCACATCGGAGCACAAGTTAGACGCGAAATCTACTAAGACACCACACCTTAACACCGTTTATGTACCAAAGCTCGTGTACTTCCACTCCGCGGATTTAAGTGTCCCAGCATAATTTCCAACATGGAACAGCAAGAACCCGATACTCATGCTACGGGTCTCCGGTCAAATGGGATGGATCCAAAGTTGCAATCGCACGCATCGTCATGCGCGCGGTCCGTTTCTCATGGCGAAAGTAAAACTTGCACGGATGGTAGCAATAGAGATCCTCCACCCAACACTTCTCGCCAAGTCCCTCTCCCGACCAAAAAGAGAAAAACGCTTCACCTTCCCGAGGCGGGGCAGAGTAGCGTTAACCACAACGTACATTTCGCTAATGGTGGCTCATCACTCTTGGTTTCTTCCGCCCATCACGGGTCCGCTGGCACTCCTGGCCGTAGAATGGAGAGATTGAAGACATATTTCACCTCACCATCTAGACGGAGGCGCGACAATTCGCAAGGAACCTTGACTCCGACGACACCTAGTGCTACTAGCCAAAGCCGAGACGTTGACACCGTGGATGAAATTGCGCCCCGCGACACCCTCGGGAACCAGCAACAGCAGCAAGAGGGGCAGCAGCACCAACAATCGCTGCGACCACGATTCCTACGCAAGAAAAGCAAGAGAGAAAAGAAAGAGGATGAGGATAGGGATAAGTATACATTCCCAAACGGCATCGCCTGCGCGGTCACATTCCTCCTCCGCACTCGTCATAAAAACGGCGGCAATGACAACACCAACAGCAACGGTAACGGAGCGGCATCTTCGCCGTCAGCATGCGAAGCCTCTGTGAAGGAGCTAAGCATAAAAGGGGGCGTCCAGTTACAACAGTCTACTGATGTTATCAATCCGATTGACGCTCAGTTGCAACCCCTTACCCTCTCCGCAGCTGATAATGCCACCAATCCAGCTTCCTTCGACAACAATGGTGACCATCCCGAAGGGAACACTAGTGACAACGTAGGTGGTAGCCCGGATGATAACCTAGGCGACAACCTGGGCGACAACTTGGACGGGAACCCCAATGGCAACTCAGACGAGACCCTGGACGAAAACCCGAGCGACAACCTAAGCGATACTCGGGGCAACAACCAAGATGGCAACCCGGACGATGTCCCCAGCAACGGCGACGATGATGATGACGGCAGCGCCACAATCACCTTACCATCACACCTCATCCGCCACGTCAGCAGCTTCCGCGGAATATCACCCATGTCGTGGGAAAGGCGTGGATGGAGCACTCCGTTCTCGTTCAACGTGAGAGACTTCAGCGTAGCATCATCGCCATCCCTATCTCCTGCTGACCCTCGCTCAATTGCCGCCCGCCTCGCCGCCCTCAAGCGGGAAGAAGAGGAGGCGCCCCCAAGCCATTCGGAAAACCGAGACAGGAGAGAAGCCGACAGCGACAAAGCTGACGACGACTACAACGCAGATTTATCTGCCTGGTGCCACTTCCTCCGAGCCTTGCACACGCAGGAGGAGCGTAGCAATAGCAGCCGTCGCAGTCGCAGTTGTAGTCGCGGTCGCTCCCGCCACCGCCGTTGCCGCCACTGCCACCACCACGATCACCATCACCACCACCACCGCAGGGCCATCGCTGCTGCTGCCACCCTATCTGGAGAGCCAGCTACGCTAGAGGCTTCCGGCACCGGCGAGCGGGGAAGCCGGAGTCGGAATAGCGATGGCGAGCACTATCCAGACGAGGTTTATTATAAGGTGGAGGTGATTTGGAAACTGGCATGTTCTTTCAATGAGTGGTTGCGGCAGGGCGAGCGGGGGCGCAGGAGGATGAGATCAGGGTCGCCGGAAGCGGTGCGCAGGCAGCTGGAACAGGGCCAGGACCAGGACCAGGACCAGGAACAAGAACCAGACCAAGAGCAAGCCCAGAACCAGGAACAAGGAGAAAGACAACAACTGGAGCAACCGGAGCAACACGAACAGCAGGAGCACCAGGAGCAGCATGGGCAACAGGAGCAACAGGAGCAGCACGAGCAGCATCATCATCAGAATGAGCCGTCAGCTGAAGACCTACATGAAAATCGGGATCAGCAAGACGAGCAAGACTCCGAACCTGGTGAGTGGGCAGGCATGGGCATGGAGCAAGCTATGGCGAGGCCCGCATCAGTGATCAGCGAACACTTCCATTCCGGCGCAGAGACAACTGCGCGGAAGGGCGGGACGCGACGGCGAGGATCCAGGACGGACGGCTGGACAAGCCCTTTCGCGTCCCTCATCGGGAAGAGGAGGGTTACTCATGATGATGCTCATCAAGATGTTGCTAAATACCGGAGAAGACAGGATAGCAGTCCCCAAGCTACTCTGCCAAAGCCCGCAAAGAAGGGCCGCAAAGACGGTTTGCGTATCTGGGAGCAAGAACAGGCGGAAAAGCAAAGGAGATTAGCTGCGGAGTCGAAAATTAAGAGCACATGGTGGAGACATGACAGCCATGTGAAAAAGAAGAAGCTCTCCGAAGAAGCTTTGCGGACAAGCGAGGGACGGCTCTCTACGCAACCACAAGCTGAGAGTGTGGGTGCAGCGGTAATTCCGTCAATGGTGGGTCTGCATGCATCTGCTAATCTGCGTGTGCCGTGCCAAATTCCTGTTCGGGCAGATACGGTACCGCTTGCCTCAAGCACATTCAAGAGACGACTTTTCGGGAAAAGGGTTCTACAGCAACCCGACCCAGGGCCAGATTTGGAAGAGGGCAAAGCTGGACGAATGTCACGTGGATCACTAACACGGTCTTCGTCTTTCAAAAGAATCTTCGGAAAGCCCAAAGATGTTAATCATCACCACCGAAAAGAAAGAAGAGTTTCAGAAGAACAGCCCAAACCCCCCTTCATTCAGCGCAAATCCTCAGGCAAATCCTCGGACAAAACAACCGGGAATTCATCATTCGAAACTGTCAAACCCGATGAGCTGAATGGAATAACCCCCACTCTCACACTGTCCCCGCCCACGACACCTCCCCTTATTAAAGGTCAGAGCAAAGAGGCTACCCGCGAGGGGCCAGCCGTCGATCGCGAAGATGGACGAATAAGTCAGCTCGACGCCATCACCGAGGAGAGAAGTGATGACAGCAGTACTGGTACGATGAGGCAGAGAAATACAGACGGCGTTGAGATCGACAGCTCGGATGATGAGCACCCTAGTGCCGCGATCCACCTGGATGAGGACAGCAGGAAACAGAAAGTGGAAGATATCGCCCTGACCTCCGAAACGAAACACGTGAAGAAGGAGGAAAATGATACGCACACCGAACGAGACAGTGCAGACTCGCCTGGTGTTAGTCAGCCACCCCTCAGCGTGCAGGATATGGTCCGGCAGCAGCTACACCAGTCCACGCCCTCTTCTTCCTCTGCAGAATCCGCCAGTCTCAAGGCAGACGAGGTGGCCCAGTCTTGCAACTCCGATCAGATGTCACAGCAGCAGCAGCAGCAGCAGCAGCAGCAGCAGAAGCAGGAGGAAGTGATAGTTGATGCACATCTTCTCCCACACCAGCCCGGCGTCAGCAGCGACGACAACATCAGCGTGAGAAATCAATGTCGGCTATCCCACGAGACGATTGAAATGGAGAGCCAAAAGATCTCACCGTGCGACACGCTCGACCAACACAGATCCCCTCAAAGATCCCCTTCGCCGCAACAGGACCACGCAGACCACAGTTTGCGGACAGGTGCGGCGGGACCAGCCAGGCGGCGTCCGTCTGAAGAAGCTGTCACGAGGCCTCGTGTTCGATCAGACCAGGGCGGGACGGGGCGGAGACCGGCGGCGAGTAGCCGCGCTTCTACTGCTCAGAGTGCGGCAAGAACTACTACTCGGCCGCCGGCGCGAAGCACTCCGTCTACTGCAAGGACCGCTCAACCTACTGCACGAACGACTCGTCCTACTGGACGCGCGGGCCAACAACCTACAACACGAACAGCCCGGACTCCTCCTACACGACCGGCTCGAAATGCTGGAGGAACGACTCCAACTACTGCTGCACGGCCGACTCAGGCTTCTGCGCGAAGAACTCAAACTACGACGCGGACTGGCCAAACTACAGGGCGGACTGCTACTCAGACCGCCGCGCAGACGGGGAGAGGGGTGTCAGGGGGACCGGCCGCAAGTGGGAGCGGGCGGAGGTCGAGGGGACCGAGGACGTCGATTCTCGAGGAGATGGGTTTGGTGAGGGGCCGGCGATCAGTCCGTAGTGATCGTGGAGAGGAGCAGGGAGTGGGAAGCTCGGGAAGGGGAAGGTAATGGATGTGATGGTATGTAATGTTTGCGGGAGCGAGGTATTTGAAGGCTTGTTTCGATGGGTATGCTTAGAGTAAAGACGTTCGCGAGGTAATTGGTTTCTTGCTGTAGATTTGGAGAAGGAGTGCAAACTTCGGGTATATTCGATCTAGAGCGGCATAATACCTACACAGAGTCAGGAAGCATTCAGGAATTAGTTAAGGAATTAGTTCATGCACGGTTATTCATCGCTATTCTACAAGATCTATCTACTTAGCACAATGAAATATCGCGATTCATATATGTCTCGAGTATCCATTTGCACATGAAGTGGGAAAGGAAATGTGGTGTTCAGTTGTGTAAGCTCACAAAAAATTCATGAACTTTTAAACTCTTACTCATGATCCAAAGGCTTCTCATTCCAATAATTCATACATTCGTTACAAGAAGGATTTGAAACATTAAGAGGATCGTAACTATACAAGAATAAAGACGTCCGACTCGTCTTCCGCCCAAGTAACCGCTTCTCCCCTCATGGCCCCTTGTAAGTAACACTCACCTACCATCTGGTACCTCTCGGGGTCGTCCGTCTTTCTCAGAACGTGAGGAACACAGCAACCGTGAAGGATGACGATGACATCGTCAGGTGCTGTGAGAGGGGGCACCAGACAGAAATTTCCTGCCCTGGTTCGAGTGAAGCACAATGCTACGTCATGGGCTACGAACCAAAGAAACTCTTCAATGTCGCGGTCCTTCTCATGTGGTTTAGAACTAGAAGCAGATGCCGAATTTTCCTCATTCATCGATCTCCCGTTGTTCCAATACGCTTCACAATACGAAAATAAATCCTCAAAGCTAAATTCCTCATACCAACTCCCAGTGTTCTGAATGTCACTCATCATTTTAAGGAATTCTGACTTTGACATAAATCCTCCCTCTATATTTGAAAGCTCGTTGTATGCATCCAGCGGCCCATACAAACTCTCACTGGACATCATGTGGGTGACCGTTGTCGCAGTGTCGATGCATTTCCCAGCCACATGGACTTCCAAAGGGGAGCCACCTGGAATTCTTTGATGAAGTCTTGATGCAGATGCGTTCCATGCGGGAAGTCTGACATCAGCAACGTCCCATATAAGTGCTTTAAGTTTTGTGTGCCCACTGAAGTCAGGGACCCATGAAGGGAGTCCACGTAGATCCCCCAACGGCGATGTTTCCAGGGCATGGCCTGCGCCAATAACGTCCAACATCCCGAGCTCGTCGATCACGTGGCGCGTAAATCGGATGTACGTTTCGCCTACGGCTTGACGATAATCGATATTAAAACCTGGAGGCAACCAGATGCCCATGTAGGCAAAAATACGGTCTCTGTGGTCCTTTGTGGTGAATAGACCGCAGCTGTATAGAAGTAGTCGGCAGAAAATAAGAGCTCTTATGCTATTATTTTTGACTTTGAACGTAAGTGCGCTCAAGGTGTCCTGGGCATTCCAGAGTAGAATCAGACGAAAGATATTGGAACTGTTCATGAAATCTCCGAAGGAAATTCCCGTGGGAGCAAAGCGTATGGCGTTCCACTCGAGCTTGTATCGGCCAATGACAAAAACGGGGGAATTGGACAGTGCAAATTCTTGGACGACCCAGCCTCGTGTAAACCACGGTCGCGATAACAGCTTTTCGATCGTTGAGATGGCAGCTCGGTTGTTCCCCCCAGATTGAGCAACCAGATTCTGGCCTTGAGGATCTTCCAGGGCGTCGTAGAACCAATTAAAAGCGGTTTGCGAGTGAATTTTCCATTCCTGCAGGTAGTCCAGTAGTTCGATCGCGGCGCGTGTTTCTCGGTCTTCAGTCCCGAGCCAAATCAAGGTTCGAGTGGCCGAACGGTACACGTCGCTCATGAGTGCGACTTGGTATCCTTTCTCGTCTGGATCATCCTGATTAATGCAAACCTGGTCGATCCAGAGGAACCCAGTTATGGATTCGTCCAGGAGAAAAGGAATCGCCTCAAACACGCTCTTGGTGATTGGTACAACACCTCCGTGGGTCGTCGGCAGCTTTTCGACTTGCATGACGCTACCCCAGGCATACGAAATGGCTTCGAACTTTGGCGCGTCGTCGAGAGAAATGTGAACGAGGCTGAATAGTGGACCCCGTCTCTTCCAGCCTTTCCACCGAGGACCGACGTCGTGGTGGAACGTAAGTAACCTAATGTGCCGCTTGCTCTCCAAGGGTTTGTATTGGTAGTAGGTGTTGGCGGCCATAGTTGCGCGTGTATCGGTTTTTGCGAGGATCAGACAGGACTTGGCGAAACGAGAGAGAGTGTGAGAATGAGTTTGGGGCTTGCATAGCTGAATATATACCGCGCAGCCAGGCTTACACAGCGGCTTGGCATGCATCCATCCTCCGCCCCCACTTGTACGCATGCAAGGCAACGATTGGATGGTTGGTATGCATGGAAGCCTGCCAGGTAGTTTAACTATTAAGCCTATAACTGTTAAGCCTAATGGGGTAGCTCGCCTGGTCCAGCATATGACAAGGGCCATGCCTGTAAGCATCGATTGCCTCAGGCATCTACAGACATGATCAGCACAAAGAATAGCTGATTAGGGAAATCAAAGCGCGGAAATATAGGATACCGATACCGTAGAGCAACGTCATCGATCTCGTAACGCCTCTTAACGGTTGATGCGCCCCGTGAGTAAAACAGGCCTGAATCATGATATTACTTAGGGATATATATGTTTTGTGTGTTTACAATGGTATCCTTCGTCTTCGCGTGCCTTCTTTTCTCCTTCTCTTCACGCAGCAGTACTCTCTCTAACAGCTCGAAAAAAAGTCAAAAAAACCCCTGGTATCCCAAGCGGGTAATGCGGCTCGCGGCCTATCGCCAAAATGCGCGGACAAAAGCCCAACAAGACCGGATGAAGAATTAAAGATGTGGTGGCATGATACCGGAGAAAACCGAAAAAGAAGGAAGGGCGAAAAAAACGGGAGATGCTGCCAAGAGAAGGGCGGCAGATCTACGCAGACGTCGTCGGATGACTTCCGTTCTTCTCGCGCAAGAAGTCCTCAACCTGCTTCCCATCCATCTTATCAACCCTCTCATCCTCCTTCTTCTCTTCAACAACCTCCTCCTTCTTTTCGCTGCCTGCGCCGCCGCTTACCAGCCCGGCCGCCGCACTAGCTACCGCACCCGCCTTCTCCGCCACCGCCGCCGCCGCGCCCTTAGCCTGATCGATGTAGCCGGGGGCCTCCTTACCACCATCGTTATCTGCTGAGGGCAGCGGCTGCGAAACGTCCTTGGGTGCCTGGCCGATGGTGCCGGGCTCCATGGTGACCGTCTTGTCGCCATGGCCGTGGTCGTTGACGGCGTCATGAGGCGTGCCCTCCTTAAGCTGGTTGTGCGCATGAGTGTCGGCCTGGTCCGCGAAGCGAGTTTCAGACGTACCGGTTCTGGTGGCGTCGTCAGTAGCACTGACGGCGGCGGCACCGTTAGCCTTGGGCTCTTCCTCCTCCTTCACCTTCCCCGACACCGAGTCGGCCGGGGTGTTGTCGCTCGGCGGCGTCTCGATGATCTCGCCATTCGTGTCGTCGGCGGGTTGGGTGTAGGTGCCGGTGGTGGTGGCCAGCGGGTCGGCCTTCTCGTAGACGGGGGTGACGCCGGCGACGGCGCTGGCGTGCATAGCCTTCAGGCTGGTGTCGGCTTGCAGCTCGGCGACGATTTGGCGGCGCGGCTTGCCGCCTTCGCTGCCCACGGCCACGGCCTGCACAGCGCCGCCGGGCGACTCCTCCCACTTGACGGGGCCGGTGGGGATGGTGTTGGCGCCCTTCTGCACGCTGGGGTTCACGAACTTCAAGCGCTCGGCGATCTGGGGCTCAAGGACGGGCATGTCGCCGAACTCGAAGTCCAGCTTGCCGCCGTACTTCTTGGGGATGTTTTCGACGTCAATATACTGCTCGAGCGTCTCCTTCATGTTCTTGTCGGTGAGAATGAAGATCTTGGACACGGTGATCGGGTCGAACCAGCGCTTGATCCAACTCCAGACGGTGGGGAAGAAGGAGGGGGCGCCGATGATCTACACAGTCGTCAATCAGCCGTCCACTAGCAGCCACAACAGATACGTACGAATATCCTGTCCAAAGTCTCCGGGTAGTGGGCAGTGGCCAGGGTGCTAGCATCCTGCATGTGTCCCTTCAAGTTCCAGAACTGCTTCAGCCCGACGTGCGAAATATCAACGATGTTGTTGCTCTGCGAGATGGGCGTCTCTGGGTGGGCGCGCCCGGGGACAGCGGAGCACAGCGGCATGACGAAGCGGGTCAGGTTCTCGTAGAGGGCGAACAGGCGCAGCATCTTGGTGGGGACCTTGTTGTCCGAGGCCTTGGAGGCTTGCTCTTTGTGGCTGGAGTCGTAGGCGGCCATGTTCTTGGAGTTAAGGTGGGCGACCTCGAACAGGTAGACGGGGATGCCGCGCTTGTCTCTGCGGCCGGTCCATTGGGGGTACTGCGCGCGCGAGGTTAGTGGAGGGCAGAGAAGTTTTGAGCAGAGGCGGAGCTCACTAATCTGCGCGTTTCTTCGTACTCGGTGACGTCGATGGTGTCGTACAGCTCGGCGAGACTGTTCTCCTTGCGCCAGTCTTCGGTGTCCTTGAACTGCTTCAGGGCCTCGGGCGGAGAAAACTTGCGAGCCCTCAGGTAGCGGCTGTGCGGGGGAATCAGCGTCAGATGCGGGAGGCACGCGCTCCGGCGCGTACTCACAGCATCGTCTCGTCGTCATGGCTCGCAATCTTCTTGCCGTCAACACCGGTCGGGCGGTAGTAGCCGGCATCCTTGCACAGGTCTTTGAATTTGTCCAGGGCGGCCTGCTGGTTTGCGGTAAGGTGCCCCAGGTGCGCGGCGGGGTACTGGTACGAGTCAACGCGCTGCAACTCTGTGTCGTCCTTGGCCATTTTTGCGGTGTTCGGTCTGCGCAACTCTGCTCTGGGGGGTGTCTTTGGGGAGAAGAGGCACAGCCGGACTACCGTACATAAGCAGCTCCTTCGCGGCGGCTGACGGAAGCTGAAATTCCCGCTGTTCGTGCCGCCGCACGCCGTCGGGCCCGTATGTCATCATCCAGCCCGACCGACCGGGAACGACGGATCGGCCGAGTCTTGTCCGCCGCTCAAGCAGCCAACGACAGCACAGCGACAATCCTCAGAGCCGCAGTCTCCAGGTCGCTGTCCTACAACCTCCGGCCCGAGCGACTGCGCGCCCGCGGCACGGCACGGCTGTCTTACTTATCAATCCTGCAGCCACACCGCCGGCGTAAGAGGAAGCCGGCACCTGCGACGGCTTAGCCCCGGGATCCGCTGCTCCCTTCCTCCTCCAGAGCGGAAGAGGCCTGCGCTCGCCCGCCCTCCTCGAAATACTTGCGGAGACCGACCGCCGATCGTCATCCGCTCCACGCCCTCCTGCAATTCACACGCGCGAGCGAGCCGTCACTGGCCAACAAGGCCGCCCATCGCATCCTGTTCCTCCATCAATCACAGGAGCGCCTGTCGAGAGCTCGGCAACAACTCCCGTGCTCTTGTTTGCATTCCCTGCGAAACGGCCGCTACCCGCCCGTTGCGTCGGACACGATGCTTCTCTGCAGGCTCTGCAACCCCCGTTGTTGCGGGAGATGGTCTTGAAGCGCCCGTCTACTGCATGCCTGTGACGCCAGCAGCCGTCTACCCGAGCGGCGCGCAAGGCCTCCTGAAACGCTGCCGCCTTGCACACCACCACAGGGCGATGTACATTGCTTGGCACCGATGTGATGTGAACAAGCGACGCGCTGGTTGCCTACTCTTGCGCCGCAAGTCATGAGAAATTCCAGATTGCGCGTTCACTCCTCTACCTGATGCTCTGGGCTTCGTGTCGAGGCTTGTTCCGCTTGTCCCGTTGCTTGTGTCCCTCTGCTCAGCCTTGTCCGCTCATCAACGGGGCTCTTGGCACTCCGCGATTTGTTTCGAATCTATGGCTTCTCTCCACCCCCAGTCATCCCGATATAGACGCCCGGAACCGTGGCCGGAATCTGCACGAATCGACGTTGAGCATTTGCCGAGTGTTTGATACCCGCAAGCCGGCCGCATCACCTATGGGGCTGGTGGAACCAGGCATAGCGCTGTTTCGTTTACGCACCATCCTTGTCCCAACCTTCTAAGGCCTGCAAGAATAGGGATACCGAGAGGAAGCTGCTACCAGATCTGCTTTTGCCGACTCAGATGGACTCCAAGGCCCGCTGTTCTAGCGTGAGCCTCGCTTCGCCGTTGTGACGGGCCTCCCATCTTAAAAGCCTTGAGCCGCCAGATGCATCTCTCGTTCTCCAGGATACTCCTCTTTCTCTCTCTATTCCACTCGTTCTTGCCAGTGCCACGGTCACTCTTTTCCATCACAAAGCCCTGATTGTAGTCCGGAACTGCAATCACTTCACCACTTTCTTTTTCCAAGACCAAATCAACCTCTGCCAAAATGGTTAACATGGGTGCCGTCTGCCGTGCTGCGGCTTTCTTCCTTCCTGCCCTCGTCGCTGCCCAGAGCGGTGTCGTTGGCACGCCCTCCGGTTTCGCCACTGGTGTCACTGGCGGTGGTGATGCTTCGCCCGCCGCTCCCTCGGATGTTGCCGAGCTGATCTCGTGGCTCGAGGACGAGACGCCCCGTGTCATCCTCGTCGACAAGGAGTTCAACTTCATCGGCACCGAGGGCACCAAGAGCGACACTGGCTGCCGCCCCGACAGCAACACTTGCCCCGACAACGGCGGCCAGGATGCCATCAACGAGGCCAACTGGTGCAGCTCCGACTACCCCTCGGTCGACGTCAAGTACGATCAGGCCGCCATGGAGGGTATCAATGTCAAGAGCAACAAGTCGCTCGTTGGTGTTGGTGACAAGGGTGTCCTCAAGGGCAAGGGTCTCCGCCTGACCGGCGGTGTTGAGAACATCATCATCCAGAACGTCCACATCACCGACCTGAACCCTCAGTACATCTGGGGTGGTGATGCCATCACCCTCGCTGGCTCTGACAAGGTCTGGAGTAAGTACTACCCTTTCCCCTTTAGCACTGCACCCCAATCGGGAAACACGCTATTCCCCATTTGGCAATTCTGGACCGAACGTCAAGGCATCCCAGTGGAGCCCGAGCGTTTCACCACATTGTTTTTATGCTGTTGGGATCCCTTTTACATCTCGTATCTGGATGGCCTAGCGTGTTTCTCTGAGACGCATCATGCTATCGCAAGGATCCGTGTGCTAACAACGTGCCTACAGTCGACCACTGCAAGTTCTCTCTCGTCGGTCGCCAGATGATCGTCACCGGCTACGACAAGGCCGGCAAGGTGACCATCTCGAACAACGAGTTCGACGGCACCACCGACTGGTCGGCCTCGTGCAACGGCGAGCACTACTGGACCGTCCTCGTCTACGGCGCCGACGACCAGATCACCTTCGCCAACAACTACATGCACGACACGTCGGGCCGCTCGCCCAAGATCGGCGGCGCCGACGGCGCCGGCATCACCTTCCACGCCGTCAACAACGTCTTCCAGACCAACAAGGGCCACAACTTCGACATCGGCTCGGGCGCCGAGGTCCTGCTCGAGGGCAACGTCTTCAACGACTGCAACCAGCCCATCACGGCCAAGAGCGCCTCCGAGGGCGGCGCCATCTTCAACACCCCCTCCGGCTCCGAGTCCAGCTGCTCCAGCTACCTCAAGCGCGACTGCGTCGCCAACAGCCTCACCAGCTCCGGCGACTTTGGCGAGTACAAGGACACGTCCGTCCTCGAGGGCTTCAACGGCGCCACCTCCATCTGGGAGGCCGTCAGCGCCGACGAGGCCGGCTCCGACGTCGTCGCCAACGCTGGTATCGGCAAGCTTTCTGGCGGCGCGAGCAACTCGACCGCCAAGTTCAGGCGTTTCTAAGCGACGCCTTGCGTGGTTGATTAAAAAGTGGGCTGCTTTGTGGTACACACGCTCTTGTAAATAAGGCTTTTTTTTATTTTCTCTGCACAGTGTTTGTATATATTTTTTATGCTGCCCAACGCGGGTAAATGCAAATATCTCGAAAAAAGTATAATTTCAAAGAAGATCAAAGTCCAAGTTGTGTCTAGCGAACTTGAAAGTGATTTCTTGAGTATATTTAGTCTGCTAAAGCTGTACTCTAACCGAACTTCTGGGCTCAGTTCACGACTATTTTGATGTTCAATGTCTCTATTAGTCGGATGTCGATCTGAATCAGTAACTTGAGCTGGTAAGGGGGCTGTGCAGATAGGCGAAGCGGAAAGGTCAATCCCCATGTTACGCAGGGTTGCGCATGGCTATAATCATTGGAAAAAACAATTCGGAAGAAACATGAGGTCAACGAAGAGCCGTGGACATCGTGGCGACCTGCTTGACTGCTAAGCATGTAGATATTGGTTAATGATAAAATATTGGGAAGAGAATACCATGCTTACTGAAGTTGTAAGCCATATCGAAGTCAAAATTTTTTGTTGGAGGTGAGTTGGTGTCAGAAAACGAAGAGTGAGTGGGAATCACTAAGGTCTTAATGTTTATTCGGGGAGTCTTCGGATGACGGACAATACCTACATGACAAGCTGCACATTGCCTTTTTAGATAAAACTTGCGGGGCTATACGAGATTTCCGTAACCCCGCCGTCATCCCAAGGCGGACTTTAGCGGATTTATAGAACATCTATAGCTCAACTGAGGGGATAAACTCCCGGGCAGAAAACGGAGGTCGAACGTATTATTCTGTATATAATCTCAAACAGGCGCCCGAGAACTTATTCCACAACGTGCTCCAGCTTCAACCCCTCTGCAACTCGACTGTTTCAAGCTTCATCACCACTCCAGCCTCACCAGACAAGATGCTCCTCTACGACTCCTTCGCAGTCAATCCCTACGTCGTACGCCTCTTCATCCTCGAGCGCGGAGGTCTTTCCCTCGACGTCCAAACCGTCGACATCATGGCCCTCGACAACCGCAAACCACCCTACCGGACCGAAGTCAACCCGCGCGGCGAACTCCCAGCCCTCCGCATCAACGAGTCCTTCGTCCTCACCGAAATAACCGCCATCTGCGAATACCTCGACGAGGTGGCAGCCAAGGGCGGAAAATCGCTGTACGGCGACACGGCTCTCCAGCGCGCGGAGACGCGCATGTGGCTGCGGCGGATGGACCTCGAGATCGCGCAGCCCGTCATCGAGTGGTACCGCAACGACCCGGAGACGATCGACTTTTACAAGGGGAATCGGATTCCGACGCCCGAGGCGCGGGTGAATCAGAAGGTGGTCGTCAACCAGTTCTTGAATCGGTTGGATGAGGAGCTCGAGGGCAAGACGTGGCTTTGCGGCGAGAGGTTCTCGGCCGCGGATATCCATTTCTACGGGCTTTTGAGCTTGATGACGGAGAAGGCGGCGCCGTGGGTGCTCTTGCCGACGCGCAGGAATGTGGTTGCTTACTTCAAGAGGATGGATGAGCGGGAGGCGAGCAAGCTGGCCAAACAGCTATTTGGGTCTCGGATCACCGTTTAATTTTCGTAGATGCAATGCCAATTGGTTCATCTTCGTTATTTTCAAGCGAAGACTGTGCTACACACGCTGGAATCTTGGTTGGTCTCAGATTTAGACACTGTATGTACATACGTATTATCCCTAACTAAGTCCTCCCCTTTTTTTCTTCTCCTTAGGAGAGATATTAGGTCCTAGACTTTGTGTTGGTGGAGCATACGTTTCAATTCTCATGGGTTTTAAGGTAAATTTGTTGGGAACCACAGAAAGTTTCATACTAACGACAAGTCCCTTCCCCCATCATGCAACTTCCGGGGCTAGCAGATGAGCTATAAGTACACTAAATCCTAATTTCACCATACATTAATAGATTGTAGCAAAAGCGCAAACGCTGTGCGAGTCCCAACACTGTCCCATTGAGCATCCGCATGAGAAATCCTGCCAGGACACTGTCTCTCAGCTTCTTCTATTCATCCCGCTCGCGCAAAGAAGGCAGTCTGCTAATAGTTCGATGGTTGTTGGAGGTTGATTGAGAGAGTTGTGACCTCAACGTGCCAAAATAGAGTGGTTCTTGGGATGAAGCTGGCGCCAAATGTCCCGTCCGCCCTGGCAGCTTCCTCGCAACACTGGAGACAAGGGATTGGAGTGCGTTGAGGTCCTGTTCCCCTTCCCCTGTCGAGGTTGGTGGCTCCGCCGCGGTCCTACGGGCGGGCGGGCGAGGAGTCCGGGCTATGACCGGCGAAGAGGGCATCGGCGGGGGTCTGAAGGGATCAGCACTGGATAGAGGAGGATGGTCTCGCATGTTGTTGGGATTAGAAGTGTTTCGCTGCGCTTCATTTGCCATGAAGAAGGCAGGGTTCAGCCTGTGGCCGGGACACGCCGTCCAGTCGCTACCGCACCTGAAGCAAAACTCGTAGCCGCAGTGGCAACTGCCACCAGATCATTAGTCTCGGGTCCGAAGGCCAAAAAAAAAAAAAGAGCGAGAGGAGGTAGGAACTCACACAACGTGCCTGCACCCTACCGAGAGCTCCACCCACACCCCACACCCACCGCACCTCGTCCATTTCATACCATCGGCCATGGTCTCGAGCCGCACCGCCCCCTCGTCCACCGGGCACTCCTTCCACTTCCCATCGCCGTCCAAATGCCCCCTCCCCAACTGCTTGCAAGCAGTGCACGTCCGTTCCGAGCACCTGCTGCACTTCCTGAGCTCCCTCGACGCAACCACTCCCTGGTCCTGCTGCTGCTCTTCACCACCACCACCACTCTTCCGTCCCATCCACATCCCACCACCCTCATCATCTTCCCGAATCGCCTCCTCCGCCGTCAACCACATCCCACAGTCCGGCGCCGCGCAGTGCGTGCGCTCGCGCAACGGCAAGCGGCTGCGCGCCCGCTTGAGCATGTACATGTGCAACACGTCCGCATCCAGCACGAGCCGCAGCGCGTTGTCCGGCAGCGACGTGGGCTGGCCGCAGCAGCGGGGCGGGAACGTCCGGGTGCTGGCGGACGCGGGGACTGATCTACCGCGATCGATTCCTGCCTTCTCCTCGTCGACGGTGGAGGGGCCGTCGCAAGAGAGCCGGATGAAGTGGTTGAAGCAGTAACGGCAGTAAGCGTGGTCCTTGCAGGCGTCGCTGAACGTGAGGCAGTAGGCGTGTTTGAAGCAGCCGATGCAGCTGCGGAAGTAGCCGCGGCTGCTGGTGTTGTTGCTGATGTGGAGCTGTGGAGAGCTTAGGATTGGAGCGCTCGGGATTGTTGGAGGGCTCATGCTCAGGGTTGGACGGCTCATGCTAAGGGTTGGAGGGCTCATGCTCAGGGTTGGCGGGCTGTAGACCCATGTCTGCGGGGTCCATGCTGGTGTCTGGGACCACGGGGCTGGTAATATGACTTGTAAGCGGAGAAAACGTGATAATGGTGGCTCTGGTGTCATTGTTCCTGCACCTCCTTGTGGATTATTGTACCATTCTTCTGCCGGATGGTGTTGGCTATGAATGGCTTGTTCGTCGGTTGTGGGCCGGGAATGATGCTGTTGGCCGTCAGATCTGAACGGCTGTGATGCCATTTTCGTAAAGTGAATTTTCGCCATGTTGCGTGCTTGAGTGAGAGCAGGCACGCGTCTTTTAACACGCCGAACATGTATTGGGGGGCATGCTCAAGGTGTGACCGACCCATGGTACCCTGAGCCTTCGGACCACTGATAGAACCCCCTTTGTACTGCAACCCTTGGAAATATTGTTGAATGCTAGAATCTCCCACCGAGTGTGAATTGATAGAGAAAGATAGGTGCCAGCGCTGCCTAATTGCCATCATAAGAAAATACCAAGGGCGACCCTGTCCCCAACTATCCCCCCCCCCCCTCCTGGGTACGCAGGTCATTCTATTGCTCCTAAGATCACTACCGTAACATGATGCAATACTACCTACGCGCACTTCATAGAGTCTCGTAATAATATCGCGTGGCCGAATCATACTCAAGAATCACCTCAGATTCCATGTGGCGCTCGTGAACCACGCACTGCAGCCAAGGATGTAGTTCAAACGCCCCAGGCATAATTCCCGGCGCCACAAAGGCACAGCGATAGGCTTTCATGTCCGTATCCGACGCCTGCGCCGTCGAGTCCGTCTCCGCGGACAACAGCATGACGAGATTGCGGCCGGTGCCACTGATGAAAGGGCTGCCGGAGCCCTCAGGGAGAGGGGCTAAGGAGACTACCATGCCGGGACGCAGGCGTTTCTTGAACGGAAGCGCCTCAATTTCCGGCTTAGGCTCGCGACTGGAATGTTCCCACGCATCGGACGGCTCGGCCGAGGAATCGGTGGGTTGCTTGTCATCTTGACCTCGCGAGTTGTGGGCCGCAGGAGTGCGCTGAGAATCGATGTGGAGTCTCCAGAACTTGGCTTGGAAGGCTACGGCCTGATCTTGTGATACATCCGGTGTTTTGAGGCAACGGCTGATGAACTCTGGAGCAGGCAAGTGAAGCAACTGCTTGCCGGATTCGGATGGGGCGAGTAGGTCTGCGGATACTGGCGGTGTGCCTGACTGTGACGACTGTGAGCCTCTTTTATTCTTGACATGCAAGTGAGCCGTGACTTACGTTATTCACGATCCAGTCTTTGAGCTGTTGATTTGACCAGGTGACTGGCTTTGCTGGGTCGTACTTCAGTGGCACTGCCTTCGGGGATGTGATTCGCAAAAGCTCGGCGTATCTCAGGGTATTCTTGGTGGCAGCTACGTCTGCAAGGTTAGGATTGAGGCACGCGATGACGGCAGTCTTGCAGCTCCGGCCCGCGGCTGGGTCGAAGACGTGCTTGAGGAGCTTGGTCAAGGCAGTTTGGCGAAAGGGGATGTAGGCCTTCCGACCAGGAGTTGTTGATTTGACAAGTCCGCCGAGCCCATCTAGGTTAGCACTGCCCCGGATGCAGTCTTTGAGGACGGAGAGACTGGCGTTGATTTCGCGTGCCTCTTTCATTCTCTCGGATGAATGCGCTGACACGTCTCGTGCCGCCTCGGAACCTGCGAGGTCGACGAGGAAAAGCAAGCCGTCATCGGCTTGCGGGAGAGAAGGGTTCTCGAGCCGGATCTTGCAAATAGAGTGAGACCGGGAAGAGGCGTCATTCTTCTGCGTCGAGGCGGTTTGACGAAACGAGGCAGCGTAGTCGATATACTTGATCAACGAAGCCGAGTCGACAACGTGGTATTCCGACGCTCCGGCCAAATGGGTCGTGCCGAATGAATCCTCTAGTATAGAAACCGGCTTTCGAGCGCTGAGAAGGTCCGAGGCCGAGTTTCCCGCTAGCTCGACAATGGAGATGAAGATGTTGCGAGTGCCTTCCAAAGCTCCAGAAAACAAAGTATGAGCAACGAGACGCTCGAGGCCGCTGACAGTGTAGGTTTTGCCCGAGCCGGTCTGTCCGTAGGCGAAAATAGTGCTCACACCGCCACACCATGCCCATGGAACGAGAGGGTGCACCAGGCTACCGTAAATCGCATCGGTGGTATCGCTTGGGGAGAAAACCTTGTCTACGAGGAAGCTGGATGACTTGCTCTTGGTTAGTCGTGCGCACCCTTATACTTTCAGAAACTTACGCTCAACGCCGCACTTCCCCTAACAGTCTTGCGCAGCTCATGGAGGTCAAGGACTCCCGGCTCGCCCTCGCGTGGGTAAACACTAGCCACGGCACCGTTTGAGCTTTCTTCTTCAACCATTGGTCGGATTCGAGCGCCGATTATGATGGGCTTTGCCTTATCCTCAGCTACATCGGCTCTGGACGCCGCCGGCTTGAACCTCTCAACGAGCTTGAGGTAAAGCGGAGTGTTATCGATGAGAAATTGGTCCATCGTTGGTGTACGAAGCGAAGACAGAGAAATGAAAGGCAAGTGGAAAATGAGTTATTCTCAGCGAAGCGGAGGCGACGTGGCAATCGAGCGTGCCGAAGGGGAGTTGGGTGTTACCTTATGTAGAGACGCGGGTGTACATCGGGTGAAATATATAGTGGTCGAATAAGAGGCCTGTCATGTGGATGTTGACGATGAAGGAAGGAACCGCCGAGATTTACCTTCCTCGTCGCAATTCTCGCCCCGCCAACGTACGCGAGAATTCTATTATCTTTCTCCTATCTTAGCTCTGAGACATTGACCGGTACAAGGTTAACAGAAGTTTGTCAAGCCAAAAGCACAAAAGAGGAGAGGAACATGTCCGTGACTTACAAGACGTTGATGGCGTGTTCCTAATTTGGTATAGCCTGGCCGCAAATCAAGCGCACGGCTCGTAAAACACCAAAAGTGGCAAGACCTATACGACCCTTGCACTACTCGAGTGCACGGCTCGTAAAACACCAAAAGTGGCAAAACCTATACGACCCTTGCACTAGCGTCGCACTACTCGAGTGCACGGCTCGTAAACCCTAATAGGGGACTGTTGTTAGTAAGCGACTGGAGCGTACGCATCAAGCTTCCTTGAAGGAGGTGAGATACCATAAGTATCTGAAAAATCCCAAACTTAAGTCCTTAATAGAAATCTGTTTGATCTGCCAATATGCTTTATTAGAGAATACATATAGTTGGCATTGGGGACGAAAAAAGCCATGAGGGGTACCGAGACATGGCTTCTCCTATACCTCAGCTTTGAATAGTCAGACATAAATTTTGAGGTTGTCACCTACTATTTGTCTTGACTTTTTGATTGCATTCCAGATAGATGAAGAACAACCATAAGAAATGGTAGGGTCGGTTGTTCCGCTAAGACACCCGAAAGACCGTGGGGGCTGAAATGCAACTCTTGCTTGTCTGGGCTGTTGTATCCCTAGTTTTATCCGATGAAGGCAAGCTAAATTTAGAACGGCTTCAGCCCCATGAGGAGCTCGCTCCGAAACGCAAGTGTTTGTATCCGCGATGCACCGGATAAGCTGTGCTCTTGGACCACCCACAGAGTGCTCTCAGCCATGTCAACAACAGATGTTCGCGATGAAGCTAGCGAGGAGGGGTCGTTTTACGCGTATTTTGGCCCGGAGTACCGAGGGCGCCTGGTATGCATCAGCATACAATGGAATTTTCAGGATCTGCTGACCTCCCCCAGCTCTTCTTCCGCGTACCGGTTATTGAGGAACCCGGGAGGGTCGATACCGTCGTCTCGGAGCTCTACAGGCTGAACGAGGAGCCATCGGCGAAACCTGGTGAAACCGCTCGGACGGCATTCTTGCGTAAGTGTTCTACTTCCCTTACCTCTTCATGCTATTTCCTCTTCTAACGCCATTCATCCCACAAGACCCAGTACCGGAGCCCGAGGGAATCGTACCACAGTCAACACCGCAAGTGATGGAGTTGTTTTTCCAGTTTTTCGTGGACTCGCTTGAGCCTCGAGGCCATTTCTCCAGGATGAGTGAGAGGCTCAGTTCCACTTTCACCTTTGCGCCAGCCGCACAATTCCCGCACGTGCAGACGCTGAACGAGCTTAAGAATATACTGACACGCCTCCCTATCATTCCACAAGGCACCGTGGAAGCCATCGTCACGGACTATCCTTTTGTCTTTGCGAATCCCACCTGGGAAGATGATCCAGACCTCGTGAATAAAGTGGCAGTACCGGACGAGTATCTCAACCGCTTTTTGGTGTCAGACGAACCCTTGGACAGAATCCCACCGGGTAACAAGGATGATCCGTACAATATCCTGGATTCTCAAGTATACCGCATTCAGCTCTGGAAAAACCTCAAAGTCAACCGACTGTTCGACTCGACCACTTTGCGGATCATCCAGTCGATTGCATCCATGCAAACTTTGGGTACTTACTCTTTAGAATTTGCTCGAGAGCTGAAACGCTACGTCGAGTTCCTCTCGTCACTGAACTCGATCGCCGTCACTTTACACGACGGCGCTTTCTCGATAGCTGACGCTGCGAAGCAAATTAATCGGCCGGCCTACTTGAACTCCTGTGATTTCGTTTCAGACGCTGTGCTGCAGTCCGGTCCGTACTCCAAAGAGTACCACGCTGCGCGCATCGTCAGCCAGTCTTTCCTTTGGACTGCATGGCAGCGTGCAACCATGCTCCTGTTCTACCTCGCGCTGGTTGCTATACTCAACGGGGAGAAGCCGGACCAGTGGCTGGATCTCCTGTCCGTCGCCGGCTTCGACTTGATGGAGAATATCGTGTCGGAGATAGAAGACGCAGTCGCGGATACTACAGAGCTTGGGTATCTCTGCAACTGGACGTTCGAGCTCCTCCGAACGAATCGCGCATCCCTCACCCTGGACTTCCGCACCTTGTTCCATCGCCTGATCGCCAAGTTCGGTAATCGGGAGCCGCGTTGCGTCAACACTCCAAGCGGATTTGCGACCTGTGATGGGCGGGATTCAAACCGCTGCCAGAGGTTTGCGAATTCGGAAAGGAAAGATCAAAGTATGCACGCTTCATGGTGCAATAGACGGACCTGCTCTTTGGTAAAGTGGGACCGAGAGTCGTATATCCATACGCCCAGTCCACGAGCTGTTGAAATATCCATTGATGGTGGCTATACGTCCATTCAGTACACGAGAGCGGGGGAGAACACCATGGCAATCTCGCACGTCTGGAGTCACGGCCAAGGGGGTCGCCCGGAGACAGGAGTAAACTCTTGCATGTTACGAAAATACTCGGCGATCGCAAGGGAGCACGGCTGTGGTTCGTTCTGGATCGATTGCGCATGTATCCCGGATGAGGTGGAGCTGAGGAAAGAGGCAATCCGGAACATTAACAACATATTCCAGTGTTCCAAGATCACACTCGTGTGCGACAGGGACGTGATGGAGTGCACAGTCTACGGCAAGAATACCGAGGATCTTGAGACATTGCTATCGTCGTGGCTTGTTAGCGACTGGAGCGTGCGTGCATGGACCTTGCTCGAAGGATTCCGGGGCTCTCAAAATCTCTACCTGCTATGCGGGGAAGACCGCATTATTCCTGCAGTTGAGGTAGTGAGAAATGTCTGCGCCAAAGGAGCGATTGACCTGGCTGTTCTTTCGCTCGCCGCCTCGCCGTTCATCGTATCCAGAGGAAGCGAGACGCCTTCGTTCGAACTGGCTGGATCTTTTCTCGCCCACAGACATGCAACGCGCGAGACGGATATGGTGATCATATGGAGCCTGCTGTGTGGGGCAGAGGTTTTCACACGCATGGAGCCATTTCTTCTCCAAGTCAAGGAAATTAGAACGGCTTTTCTGATTTCCAGCGCTCCGCGGCTCGCATCTCCAGGCTTTCGCTGGGCACCGGCAAGTCCAAATTTGAGAAACAGCTTCGAAGGTGACAGTCACGGTTCTCCTTGGAGGGGATACCATTCGTATGATGGCGGTGGCAGTGTCTCCGGTATGATCACAGAGTGCGGATTCGTTGCAAAATGGCTGGTGTGGCAGCCGACACTGGAGACATGTCCCCGCTGGTTGATCATTGGTTGGCACGATAGAACGAAGTACCTTTTCCCTCTTCTGGAGTCTGGAAAAGATATACTCGTCATCCGACCTCTAGCGCTAGATGGGACCGCATACCGTGGATCGGCGGGTAGAGGCGACAATGCAACTACGACAGCTCCTCTTGTCGCTCTTTGCGTCAAGGACGAAGCGAATGATTCCTGGATATGGGAAGGTGTGTACATCTGGAAGGGATTTGAGGTGGAGCTTCTCCGAAGCATTGTACATTTCGAAATTCGCGAGTTGACGCTTGTGTGAATGTTGTCCTATTCTCTCGGACGTCAGTTATGATACGTTTTGATGGTTTGACATCTCACGAAGTGAATCGCCTTATGCTGCTCATGGATCTTGATCCTTAGCAATGGTGTCTTTTCATTGCCTAACGTTTGCACCTCATTTCAATTAGCTACACGAAGGCGATCTACTGTCTTCGCACTACAGGGTACTAGTGAGACCGTTTTCCGCATGACAAGGAACTCACTCGCGCCTGAGCAGAGACAACGCCGCTCGGTATCGCTTTCGATGGAGTAATAATAGCCGAGAGAAGTTGAAACCATCATGGAGTGGTTTTATTGCGATTGGGAGCGGGCAAGTGCCTTGTACTTTTTCATGGCCGTTATCCTTGGGTTTTCCTTGCGATATCCCGACGTGAGGCCAGGTCGGGTGAGCCTCTTCGTTGTGGCAACAGCTTGGGCAGATCCGGTGATACTTTGGTAGAGAATGACTGGCGGCAACCGTTAGAGATGTCACAATGTATTTAATCGAATGCACTTACATGCAGGGACAATTATCCATAATGCATTCATGGCCACAAAGTACACCCAGAAATACAGCGCTTCCGGGCGAGAATGCAAGACACCTCGTCTCATGTCCAGGATACTCGTCACATAATACAAAGTATCACTGTAGAGATGTCCGGTGGAGACAAGAGCTTGGAGCGAGAGCCTGTGCGGCGACTCAGAGACGATGCACCACGAGGTCAGAAAGGAAAGCGGGCCCCAGACGAGCTATTATACAATAGTGAGTGAGTGTGCATAGGTCTAGGGCAAAATGAGAAAGTGAAATACCACGGTGATTGTCTCGAGGGTCAAGACCATCGGGTCGGCAGCCAGGTAGCGGGAATCGGACTTTGCGTACTCCTTCCATAGCTGGCCAAAGAAATCTTGAGCGGCGGGCATACGAGCATGGTTCAAGATGAAGTAGCCTTCAAAGAAGCAGTGAAGGGAACCAGCTGATACGGATTAGTGAGTGAAGGCATGCGTGGTATGCTCTGCCCAGGGTACTTACACAACACGAACCATAGTACGAGGAATCGATCGAGAGCACTGATTGATGGCCGGCGCCTTTGCGCAAGAAGCAAGGCGGCGCCCAAGATGATGGAAACACCAGTCGCGAAGCCGGCAAAGAGGGTGGCCAGGTCGACAGTGTTCTCGGTGTAATGATGCAGCTGAAGGTCTTGCGGGTAGTAAGGATGCCGGGCCATGATGAAATGGCTGCCAAGGGAGGCTCGTCACGTGCAAACGTGTCCGGAAAGGGTGGATGATTATAGACTCGTAGGATCACCAGAGGGAGGGGAGGCTTGCGCATTCAGCCACAGCAGGATTTTCAGACTCTCGCTTAGAGAATGTGTGCTTAGTCAGCTGCAGTGCATGGCAAGAGCATCGAATCTGCAGGCTCCGCGCAAGCCTCCTGCTGGAAACGGCGATGTGACGGCTCAAAGAAAGGTGTTGTATCGGATCCTGCATTCGACGGCTTAGCGTCCGCCGGCAGGCACGCAGGCCCCCTGATTTTCCCGTCTACCCTTGCTGATCCCTCTGTGCCATTGGTCCACAAAGTCACGCGGGGTGTCGCCTTGAACAGCCCACGCCACCTGCGCCACGGGCTGCGCCTGCTTGGAGCTTCTTAACCGCAATCCTGCTGCCTTATGCTCGCCACTCCAACCTCAACTCACCTACTCCAGCATGTCGTTCACAAAATCATCGCGCGACGTTTCCGTCACTTCGGACTTTCTGCTGACCGCTGAATGCAAGCAATTCGATGGCCACTTCAGGCGGTCTTTCGTGCAGCTCGACCCCGTGCTGGGGAACGCCGATGGGTCATTCCATGTCGAAGGACGTGACTTCTCAAAGTCCGCTAGGAACGTGTGCCTGAAGGTGGAACATGGCTCGACGATCCTGCATGCGAGTCTGCGCAAGATGGATGGATCCTGGGAGGATACATCCTTTAATCTCGATGTCATTGTTGCGAACAGAAACGGGGTGCTCGTCATGTAAGCTCCGTGCATGCGACTCACTATGCATTGCTACGAGGCGCACTGACACTGAGACCACTGCGCAGAGATACGAGCACCATCCAAGCACCCGATGGGATAGTCACGTGTGATACGCTGGAGAAGCTTGTCGAGGATTGCAGGCAGGCTGCGAAGGAACTAAAAAGTCAGACCCATGATCAACTCAGGGAGGAATCTAGCGGAGCATCGCAGTCAATCAATACAGCCTTCAAAAGCATCGAGCAGATGCAGGAGGCGCTAAGTGACGGCGGAGCCTACGTCGACAGGCAGGATTTCGGCCCAGAAGCTGGCCACCTCGGATTCCTCCTCAGTGACGCCACAAGCCAATGGTCGAGGATGGAAGATGCCGTGGGAAATGCCAGCCAACTCATCAAGGATTTCCAGCGTACGAAACTTCACAGCGTGATTGAGGAAATCGAAGCCGCCGAGCGCAAAATAGCCGTCGACGTGGATGACACCATGTTGAAGCAGAAGGAAGCCAAGGACCACCTACAATCACTTGGCGACCAAATTGGTCAACATCAGAAAGAGCACACAACAGCTCTAAACGAAAGACATGATGCAGCCATGAGAACTATCGGTTTCTCCATTGTAAGTTTTTAGCCTTGAGTTGTGTCGATGGTGAGCTAATTCATCAAGGCTTCTGTTATCGTGCCATTTGTTTTCATCCCGCTTGCCGTGTGAGTGTCATCCTCTACCCTCTTACACCTTGATACTGACCTTCCTCCCAAAGCCAAGCATCAAGTGAACGAGAATCATGGGACAAACGCGCGATCGAGCTTGAAAATACAATCACGGAGACGTCTTGCCTCAAAGACAGGCTTGATGGATTCCAAATTGGCCTCGAACGCGCTCTTCAGACCGCCAGCCAGAGTAGCGAAAAATGCCGGCGTCTGAGGGCGGAAGTGAAGACTATTTCCGAGGAGCTGGACGGTTTGGAGGGGCGTATCCATGAGAAGAAGTGCACGATGACAGAGTACGTGCAGACCCTCAAAGATGCCGAGAGTGATGGCGTGACTGCTTTGGAGTACAGTCAGACACTGCAGGAGGGCCGTGAGATTCTGCAGGAGGTCCTGCGCGTTAAGGAAGACTTCGATCCGGAGAAGCTGCAAATCATGCTGCAACTGTAGATAGCCTGACTGGGACTTCTCCACTCTTGTCTCACTACGTTAACGATTTCCACTCTCGTCACGATAATTTAACGATACGATCCTTCATTTTTCTGTCTCAATTAGTCAATGTCATACATCAGCCGTTAAAGTCCTACTCACTATGTCTGCCCCTTCTCCATACCAAACTCAATTACTAAATCTCGACACAAGCGGCGGCCGCTCCTCCTCCGTCTTCTCCTCTCTTCCCTCCTCCCCCTCCGTCGCACCCTCTCTCCTCATCCTCCCCCTCCCCCTCTCCCACCTCCCCACCACAACCCTCAACCCCACCGCCCCAACACTCACAAACACCACCCCCGTCAACACCGCCCCGGCCGCCACCGCCAACGGCAGCGGCACCCCCTGCGTCGCGCAGAAGCTAATCTCATTCAGATCCTGGAACCCGAGCACGAGCTCGACCTGCGCCAGCGCGAGCACCAGCTGCGCCGCGACCGCGCTCGCGCGGCTGACTAGCCGCCTCTTCTTCTCCCTCTCCTTCTCTTCCTGCTGCCCCTCCTCCCCCTCACCCTCGCCGCTGCCCCCGTCCTCAGCCATCCTGCTAGCCGCGTAGTGCAGTCCCCCCGCCACCGCCGCCGCCCCCACCGTCACCCACCCCACAACCTGATGCGGCGTCCGCCCATGCGCCGCACTGCCCACCGCGACGGCGCCCAGCGCCGCCCCCGCGGCCGCGAACGCGGGCACGACGAGCGTCTGCAGGACCGTCACCGTCTTGTCGGCAAAACGCAGGCGGTCCGGGCGATGAAGTAAGACGGCGAGGCCGCGCGCGGCGTCGAGGGCGAGGGCGGCGGGGAGCAGCAGGTAGAAGGCGAGGGCGACGGCGAAGACGTGGGCGGCGAGGAGGGCGGCGAGCTTGACGAGGGGCAGGCCGTTGATGGTGAGGGAGAGGGTGGGGAGGGTGAGTTGGAAGAGGTGGTCGGAGGAGGGGGAGGTGATGTTTATCGTTTGGTTGGGGAGGTTGGAGAGGAGGGAGGGTTGGGGAGTAAGGTTTGGGGTGCGGCCGTCGAGGAGGTTTTGCTGCAGCCCCAGGCCGACTTGGATGAGGCCGCCGACGCCGGTGCAGCCGAGGGCGTTGGCGCCGTCTTGGAGGAGGGCGTTGACGGTGGTGAGGTTGAGGGTCTGGGCGAGGGCGGTGGCGATGGTGGTGGTGTTGAGCTGCTGCTGCTGCGCTTGGCGCTTGGCGGCTCTGGAGGATATGGAGATGGAGCGTTTGCTCGTCGTTGGACTAGCGGCTGAGGGAGAGGCGGCGGAAGGGGGGGTATTGACGAGGTCGGTGCCAGCGCCGAGTGTGCCGGCGAGGTTGCTGGCTACATCCTCGTTCCCGAGGGCTATGAAGATGGCTTTGACAGCTTCGCTGGATAGGCCGCGCCCGAAGCCAGTGGCAGCGCCACCGACGGTATCGTTGAACTTTTGCGAGTCTTCAGCCAGGCTGGCATCACCCACGCCCGTCTGCATGAAGATGACCATGCTCCCGCCATCTATGAGCCCGATACCAAGACCTTCGGCGACTTTAGAGAAGTCGATGTTGTCGGTCAGTCCGCCTCCAACGTCCATGGCTTGCTGTGTAATCTTGTCGAGCGTACCATTGGCGAGAAAGCTGGTAGTCAGAGCTCTACTGAACCCTTGCGCTATTGCGGGAGCGTCGGAAGCGTTTGATTCAGCAGCGGCAGACTGGAGGCCAAGAGACTCTGCCGCTCCGCTACCGAAACCCTTTCCAAGGCCTTCAGCAATGGACCCAAGCATTGTCGAGCCCTGATCTCCAAGCAGAGAAGTGAGCCTCTGTGTAGTGCCGTTGGATAGGAAACTCTGGGTAAGCGACTCCGAGAACCCCTGGGCAACGGTGGGGATATCAGTTGCGCTGGGGTCTAAGACAGCAGCTTCCTGCAGACCCAATGCGGAAGCGGCACCGTTACCGAAGCCCTTCGCAAGGCCCTGGACCGCGGGGATGACAGGAAAAGAGTCAAAGCTGCCAACCTTGTCCTGGATATTTTGTAGTGTGCCGTTGGCGAGGAAGCTCGTTGTCAGAGAGCGACTGAACCCCTTGAGGACCGACCCAATATCCTGGCTGTCAATAGGCTCATGTACATCTTTCTGCAGACCGAGTCCAGTAGCAGCCCCACTTCCAAGACCTTGGGCCAATCCTTGCACGGCTGATCCGATCATGTCAGAGCCTTGACCAACTGCCTTCGACACAAGGGCGCTGAAATTTGCATTGGAAAAGAAAGAGGATGAAAGCGAGCGTGTGAAGCCTTGAGCGATATCATCGATACTCGAATCGTCATTGTTCTGTCCCGAATCTTGTCTTTTTGTGGTTCTCTTTCTGTCTGCAGATGTGCTGCCAGTAAGACCAAGGCCCTCCGCGGCACCCTGGCCGAGCCCAGAACCAGCGAACGGCGCAGCTTGACTGAGAGTCTCGAGAAGTTGCTTCTGGGCTTCAGCCCCGCTAAGTTGTGATACATCAACATTCCCGATGAAGCTTTGGGCGAGATTCTGGGAGAAATTCCCGGCAATTCCTTGGAGATCCAATGATCCAGATGCTGATGGTGGTGAGTCAACCTGGCGTTTGGTGCCGGATCCGTCGGCAGGAGCTGTAGACGACGCTGGAGAGGAAGAAGACGATGCGGCAGAAGCACAGCATTGCTTCAAGCCTGCAGCTGCACCTCTACCGAGACCTTGACCAATAGCCGGGGCTACCTGTGCAAGAGTTTCAAGGAGCTGCTGCTGATCGACTTGCTGGAGGTTGGTATTGCCTAGAAATGAGGAGGCTAGCTCGCGTGTGAAGGACTCGCTGGCCGTGGCAACATCGAAAGTGTCGTTGCTAGAATCTGTCGAGTCGGAGCTGGAATTTACAAGCTTCAGGCCAATCGCAGCGCCTTTGCCGAGCCCTCTTCCTGCCGGACCAGGAATCTGCGCCAAAGTCTCCATGAACCCCTGATTCGCTGAGCTATCCATGAATGATGCGGTATCGATGTTACTGAAGAGTCCGTCGGTCAAGCCGAACCCGAGATTGCCCGCCAATCCAGCAATGCCTGTCTGGGTGGAGTCAGGGCCAGAGATGTTCTGCGTGAGCTTGAGGCCAGATGCGCTGCCGTTTCCAAGACCGCTTCCTAGAGCACTCGCCGCCAGCGCAAGCGTTTCTGACGATGGTGTCAATTTGTCGAGATCAAGGCTGGAGAAGATGGCTTCCGATGCCCCTTCACCCAAGTTCTTAGCGATACTTGATATCCCAGAACTTTGAGCATTGCTCACTGTTTGAATCTTCGTCATGTTCTCGAGCTTGAGGCCTTTGATAGCACCCTCACCCACACCGGCCCCGAGAGCGTTGGCACCTGAAGCAAGAGCAGTCGTGATGCCGCCCAGGATACCTCCAAGAGGCCCGTTTCCCGACACTCCTTCGGCAACCATGTTCCCCAGCGCGTTGACAAGAGGCTTAGCCAGTGTAGAAATAGTACCGCCATCTTCTCCTTGTCCGCTTCCAAAAAGTCCGCTGAGAAGGCTGCTCCCGCTACTGCTGTCATCATTGGTCCCTGTTACTGCTCCGTCGGTTGCGTTTCCTTCACCGTCGCCCTCTTTGTTATCGCCACCAAAAAGACCAGCAAAGAGATCGGGGATTAACTGTCTCTTCGCCGGCCTACACTCCTCTTTCGGTCTCCTTAACGGATATGTCGACATTCCGGAAGGGTGAGCCTTAAGCTCGGCCATGAGTTGGTTGAGAATTTCATTGACGGCATCGGTAGCCTCCTTCAGGTCCGCTCGGGTGACAGAGGGGGCGATCTCCTCGATGATGAGATCGAATCGACCTTTTGGCTTGTGGATAATCCTTGAACCAGCCAGAAGGAAAAAGGTAGCGACCAAGGCACCAAGACCGACGAGGAATGTCTTCAACGATATGTGCCATTGGTGCTGGGGAGAGTTGACCAGTGCAACTGGTCCCCGAGAAGGATCATGTGTCTTAGAAGACATCATTAAACAAAGGTGTAAACGAATACATGAGATACAAAAAGTATGCTCAGCGATACTTTGGTGACCAGCACAAAAGTACCCGAGCGGTCGGCTGAACGATCCAGGGTGTGAGGGCCAAGTTCGTCATTGACTTGGCTGCTGCGCATATTACATAGAGCCGGTCGATCAACCGGGTCTCGCTAGCTCGGAGGCGAGACGTCGTGGTCGAACGGAGGCTCTCTCGCGTGTTGTGTTGCTGATGCTTGCATAGTTTCAGCTGGCGCTCGATGAAACGCCAGCCCACAAACGTCCACCTCGTCATGACTCCTCCGAAGCTGGGTAGCGAGACCCCCCTGGTTTGATAAACGTCGCGGCTGATCTACGGGAGCTCGAGCCTACACTCAAGCAAGCAGGTATAGGTCGCAAAGTGGGTTGCAGAAGATCTTTCCCGTCCGCGTGCTTGCTCCGTAAGCAACTGAAGCAAGTATGCAGCATCATTCACAAACAACGCCACGAAGTCCCCAAGCGCAGGCTTTTTTGTGGGGACCTGTTTGAGAGAGCAGATCATCTTGCAAGTCGCCGAGCAAGGTGGAGGAGCTGTACGTATAGTTCCAAGCAACACCAAGCTTCTGCGAATTCATGCGCGGAAACACGTTTCCCACAACAAACATTTCTCGAACGATTCCCGAAAATTATGGAAAGGACTCGAAGAAGAAAGAGTTAAAAAAAAAACTGAGCACTGCGGCAGGAACCAAGGTGTAGCCGAACAGTCAATGATCTGATGTTACTCCCAGTTGTGCTCGCCCAACTTTAGCGCCGTAATCATTCCATGCGACCATTCAGGAGGCCCAGCAAGCCGGCGGCTCCTCGCAATCACATTGTTAGTGTGCAGAGCGCGAAACAACCTAAGTTGAGACCGTGCCTGGCGCTAACTTCTGACGTATTAAAACCCGGTATCTTGACTTCATAGGATGGTACCTGTTTCGTCAGGAAGAGACAGGGATCAACGGAACGAATAAAACATCGCATCTGTCCCCAACAGGCGCGAAATACCATTCAATTTGTTTAAGAAGAGTCGGATTTCCCGGCTGAGACAGGCTCGACGCATTCATGGTTCTATACAGGTAACGATGAGGGCGAGGATCCCATCTTTCCTGGTCGTTACGCGCCATTCACGAGTACATTTGTGGGCTGGTTCAGACGACCCAAGACTCAAGATAGTCCCAGAACAGTCAAAGGCGACGTCAGATCCAGTGTAATTCAGCAGGTGTGAGAAGCCATGTTGAAAGGAGGTAAATGGTCTACGCGGAACGTAGACTCGGACTCTATTCGCCGAAGATCCTATTAGGAGTGCGCCTGGAGTGCATCTTGTACCCCGGCTGATTTTTGATATGTTATCGAGATATCGAGGGCGCTTTCGAGCATGGGCGCTTCCAAAGGCCCAGAATTGGTCCGGCCATACAGGCTCATGTGTTAGCGCCCACCGTCATTAGTAGTAACTGGAAGAAGCTGATTGAATGGATCTGCCCGGGCGGCTCGCCTCAGCCCCGCAGCTGCAGAGCCACGTGTGACCCAAAATCAATATCATATGGCGAACACAATACGTCCGCGGTTTCCGGCAGTAGTACCCGAGCCGGGAGTCACCATTGATCCTGCCTCGGGCGGACAGGATTCAACTTAATAATGGACCAGGATATGCTGAGGGACCTACAGCATCTGCTTCATCTCCGCCTATCACCGCCAATCTCCAACATTCCACGCTTGTGGTGAGTGTGAGGAGGTCAGGCGGATGTCCTCACACCTCCTCATCTTTCTCAAGAATCCTAGCCCTCACGATCTTCACTTCCTCATCAGGCCTGTCCTCCTTGTTGGTCTTGACAAGACCCATGCGCTGGACGATACGCAGACCGCTCTTGACGCGACCGAAAATAGTGTGCTTCCCATCGAGCCAGGGTGTGGGCGCCAGGGTGATGAAAAACTGGCTGCCATTGGTGTTAGGCCCACTGTTGGCCATGCTCAGGATGCCCGCGCCGGTATGCTTGAGAGAAGCCGAGATCTCGTCTTCGAATTTTTCGCCGTAGATGGACTGGCCTCCGCGACCGGTGCCGGTGGGGTCGCCGGTCTGGACCATGAAGTTGGGGATGATGCGGTGGAAGATGACATTGTTGTAGTATCCGCGCTGGGCAAGGGTAGCGAAGTTTTTGCAGGTACGCGGTGCATGGTCGTTGTAGAGCTCGACGACGATGTTGCCCTGTAATTGCGTTAGCTGTAGCTGGTGAGTCACTGCGGTAGGAAATGCTCACCATCGAGGTCTCGAGCGCGACGTCAGTAGCCATGTTGCTGTTCCAAGAAAAGTGCTTGTAAGACCGGGGAATTGGCTGCTTGCGCGTGGTTGGTGGTGAGGTGGGTGGAGAGAAGCTTCAGGCGCAGGGCCAGGCACCGTGCCGCAGTTCATCCGCCATTCGCGTCATCGCTCGCCTGCTGCCTCCGACACCGACAACCCCGGGTCTTACTTCGTAGACTATTCTAAGCCTCGACAAAACTGCAATCTGCAACAAGACCGCAGATCTGTCTCAGATAACCTGACCGAAGACTGTTCGATAACGTGCAGAACACGCCACAGATGCCCGACGCTACCCTGGTCACCTGGGCGTTGCCTCAGCTGGAGCGCTTGCTCCCTTTGGACGAGGAGTCTCTCAAGCAGATCATCACGTACAGCGAATCGCAATCGCCCGATGCAGCTGCAGACCACCTCAAGAACCTTTTGGGAGACTCACCACAAGCTTTGGAATTCATTACCAATTTCAACTCTCGCCGCAGCCCCGCGCCTTCAGCAAATAATGGCCCCTCAGAAGTACCCAAAGCTAAGAGGGGAGGCCAGAAAAAGAAGAAGAACATCCACCAGCTGCCCGCCCGCCAGGTCGAAAGCTCCGGCAGTGTCGGCGGCGCTTACATGAAGCGGGATGAAGAGGACTACATGTCTGGGAAATCCAAGCCGCGCAAAGACAACAGGGAAGCCGCCCACAGCGCATTCAATCTGCAAGAGAAGCCCGAAGCAAAACAGCAATCTACTCCCCAAAATACATCGACCTCGACAAACCCGCGCGTCAAACCGCCCCCTTCAGCAGCTGGTCCTCTGATCTCCGACTCCCTATCTTCCTCCAAGAACGCCTCCCGCAACGCTTCCCGCAATGCCTCCCGCACCGCCTCGCCCGCCCCCAGTAAAGCGAAAGCCAAGGTCCAAATCACTGGTGGCACCCCCGGTCATGGCCAGTCCTCGGTGCTCAACGACCTAGACTCGGCCATCCGCGCCCTTGAGGTGCAAACGAACCCGTCACTCTCAGCCACGACGCCCGAGGAGAACGCGAAGCGACGGTGCAACTGCATGGCCACGCGCCACCCGCTGCTGGAGGCCGCGCCCAACTGCCTCAACTGCGGCAAGATCATCTGCGTCAAGGAAGGCCTGGGCCCGTGCACCTTCTGCGAGAAGCCATTGCTGTCACAGGCCGACATCCAGTCCATGGTGCGCATCCTGCGCGAGGAGCGCGGCCGCGAGCGCATGGAGGCCAACAACGCCGCCCACAAGCGCGCCGAGGTCGCCGCCAGCAAGCCGCGCCACATGACCGGCGCCGCCTTCCTGTCCTCGCACACCACGACGAGCCCGGCCCTGTCGCCGTCGCCGGCCACGTCGGACTCGGAGACGGAGAAGCTCAAGGCCGCCCAGGCGCACCGCGACAAGCTGCTGTCCTTCCAGGCCAACAACGCCAAACGCACCCGCATCTTCGACGAGGCCGCCGACTTCGACACGCCCACGTCCGGCACAAACATGTGGGCGTCGCCGCAGGAGCGCGCGCTGCAGCTCAAGCGCCAGCAGAAGATCCTGCGCGAGCAGGAGTGGGCCGCCCAGCCAGAATACGAGAAGAGGCGCGTCGTCGCCTCCATCGACTTGGCCGGCGGCAAGATCGTCAGGAAGATGGCCGCCGTCGAGAGGCCCGAGAGCCCCGTCAGCGATGCCGATGTCGAGGAGGTGGGGGATGAGGGGCCGCTGCATCAACCTCCGCCCCCGGACAGGACGAGGGGTGGTGGGGCTTTCAGCAAGAATCCGTTGCTCGGTGCATTAATACGGCCGATCGCTAAGGTGGACGAGGACGAGGGTGGTGAGAAGGGTAAAGGGAGGGAGAGGGAGAAGAAGACGTTGTGGAGGAGAGTGCAGGATGACAATGATGACAATGAGCAGTGGATTCTGGATGGTGGCGCGTACGGTGGTAAGACAGAGGGTAGAGTGTTGGGGGCTGAGGAGCACGCCTTTGCAGCCGACTGGTCTTGAAGGGAATTTTCATCTTGAATTGGGCGTAGAGATAAGTATTAGACACAAAAAGGAAGTTTTCCTGCGGCTGTCACAAGTCGCGTCGAATATTGAAGTATCTTGTCTGGTCATGTACCCAAGCTATATGCCGTTCCAAAACTCTCGGGTGACTTTGTGTTGGCGAACTTTGATGGAACATACATTGGCCCCGAATAGGACATATCTGGTTGCGTGCTATCTCTGCGCGCGACTTGCCTTCCGCAAACACTACAGACGTGGTTGACTTTGACGCATCGCCAGCACCCGAGGAGGCAGCGCCAGAGGGCTGCTAAGCTACATTATCATCTTGTCAATTTATCTCGTTGTGGATGGGCCAGACTTGGTTCAAGGTCGCTTACCCGCCTTTGTCTGAGACGGACTTCTCAACCCTTGTCCTTGTCCTTTTGGAACAGTGCGGGCAGTCGATCCAAGCGGGCTCTTCACCCAGACACTCGAATGGCACCACCTTGTTATTTCCATAGATTGGCGGAGATTCTAGACCACTTGTTTGTATTCTGGATCATTGAAGCCATTAGTAGGCATGAGACTGGATTGGCTCGACATTGTAACTCACGGCTCAGTGTATCTCTCCATCTTTCGAGAATCAACTCAAGTATGATCTTCAGAGAACCAGTCTTTCGCACTTAGAAGCTGCTACTTTCGCCGCCTGAACCTCCGCTCCTCCAATTGTTTTTACGCTCACTTGATGATGATGCCTCAGTCGACTACGAATATGTAGTTGATTTGCATTTGTCCTTAGGTATGGAAGTATGATAAAGCTCAAGGTGGTTTTGTAAATAATTCCATTAGATTTTCTGGTCATCACAGGGTGGCGTTAGATGAGAAACTCCGGTAGATGGTCTTGAGATGATCGGGGTTTTCTTTTAAACAGCCCCGCAATGTCACACAGAGCTGACGTCGACCCCTCTGCAGATGATGGGGTGGCGTAATCTCTGGTTGCGAGCCTTGCACCGTTGTTATCGCCAAGTCTGCCTTGCTCCATCGCGCAGCAATATTTTCCGGTAGCTCCAGTCTGGGGAACAGGATGGTTTTAACTAAAATCCATCTCCCCAATTGCCATCTCCTTGGCTCTTAAGTGCTAGTAAGAAAGGGAGGAAGTTGATCCGATGGAGTTCCGACAGTTGCTTTCTCGCGTCGGGTATGCGCCAGGTTTCATATCCTTTGCGACAATACACGACGATCTAACGTATGCATATCAATCCTTCATACTAGCGTAGAGTAATCATCCCATGGTTGGAATATCGACTGAACAGGATTAGTGCTTACGCGGAACGGCCATCCCTAGTGTCAGTCGCCTGTATCACTTCCAGCAGAGATCTACAACGCCCATCAAATCATATGAATGAGTCTTATTTACCTATACAGACGAGCGTTGCAGCCGAATGTTAGCGTGAATTGATTTTTGGCTCATGTCATGGGTATTTGAAACAAATGTCCGGGCGATGACTTCGAGTGGCCATGATTGGCTTTGTGTTTTGTCTGCGTGCTATTCTCAAACACCTCTTCTACAAGATTTTAGCATTGATCGGATCAATAGGACTACGTTCCGGCCGATTATACTGCTGATACGGCTCTCCGAGATAGTGATTCTGGCTTCGTTGTCGATCGTGTAGGCACTTTACAACAGCATGTTAGCAAATCTAGCAAATATCCATTGGATGGATGAGAAACTCGTAGATTCTTAACAGTTCGTAAGAATGCAACACCTACATACTAAATTTGAGTATTAATAAAGTTAAATTCACACTTCACAGCTCGCTATAAACTACTTCTTGTGCCACAAAGAGAATATCGACCTTAAGATAAGAAAACTGGGCTCTTCTTACCATTTTCAAATCTCTGGCGTATGTACAATGTTAGTCACATGTAAGAACTAAAATGGCCCCCGCCATATCTCATGGCTTGCATGGAGGAAGCGCTACTGGATACGAGGCGCCATCTAGACCACCACAACCGCTCGCGGCGCGTCCGATGAGCCCTCTCAGTTATCTCTCAAATCGGAGAAAAGGTCTACCCTTCGTGCTAGTTCACCCATATCTGCGCTGCATCAACTTCCGGTAGCAGTAGGTGACAATCACGATATACCTATATGACGACTCTGACCCGTATGGCAGTAACCTGTGGAGACAAGCTCAGAAGACATCGCGTTATGGCAAAGCGCATTATGGAGCCTGGTCCGGCTCCTCCTGTCCGTGATGACGCAGTCAGGGCGGACTTCCCTCTGAAACTCCGCACCTGCCTACGACGCTTCTCCGGTCATCTGCGCAGCCGACGTCGCTCGGCATTCTCGTGCAGATGGTAGCCTTGCTCCGGAAGGGTGCCAGTCCACGTAAGGTTGCGGCCTTGATAATGACCAATCGCCAAGGTCGCCAAGCGGCTGAAGCACCGCGTCCCAGACCGAGCCTGCAGTCTGTGAGAGACTTGTCTTCGTCCGCGATCTGCTATTCGTCCTGGGGATGCTGCCGCAGGTCGTCGAAATCATGTCCATGTCCGGAATTCCGCGAACGAAGGCATGGCCAGGGATATACTTTGGATCTTTTGTGGTTACGGAATCCCTCTTTCTCCTTGCGTGCAATGTGGACTCTATCGAGGTCAACGCGGGTGAATATTTTTTTTTCATCGATATCGGCGCAGCTCCGACTACATTGAAGGACAGAAGTGCGCTACTTCATTCAGTGCTTGGAAAAATGCCCTGCTAACCCACCTGTGCCTCTGTGTCTGGTCCTTACAAAGCATTATATTTGGGCATTGTTTTGGAGCTCAAAGTTCCGAATAGGCTACTCAGAGATCCATCGGAGCTTTTACGTTCTTCGTACTAATATTTCTGACTGCCATAAACGCTTGTTGTGTAGTTATTTGCTTGGACTTGTGAGACAGCTTGGCAGCTCGACCTGAAAGGAGATTGGACACGAAAAGGCGCTAAATAGAATTGAAGAAGAATACTGTACTGCAATAGCTTTTGATTGGTCTCATTAGACTCGTTGGCACAGCTGACTGTTTTTAAGTGTATAATGTTTCCTTTTTGCCTCTATTCTTTTTGTTGCACCTTTTTAATGTGCCCTACGCTATTGAGATGAGTTTTCCAAGTCTTTTCTCTCCCGCTGTGCTGAGCGAATTCGCGGTATTGGTCTGGGATATCTTATCGGCCTTGAAACTGCTCCTTAAAGTCGAACTCGCATTTTCATGTTGACAACCTGGAGCCTCTTCAGCTGTTGCCGCCAGTCTCGTTGAACGCCTTGTCCCAAGACTTCCATCTTTCCTCGGCCAGCTGCACCACACCACGGAGAACATCTCTGCTCACAACACCACCGCCGCTCTTCTCAATGCCATGCAGCACACACTGCCCATCCACCGCATCCACCAGCACGCTGACCGTCTCTTGGCAGTTTGCCTCCTCGAACGCATCAGGATCGGCCAACACCCACGCCCTCTCCTGCTCCTCCGCAGCCTTCCCGCTGTCCCCACCAACACCCAACACCTTCGGCGCCCCGACGGCCCTCCCCTTTCCGGGCTCGAAGACGGCGCAAGTCAGCGCCACGGGCTGACCCCTCAACCGCAGCCCCCTCGCCTCTCCCACACGGTCTGAGCACAACACCGCCGCCATATCCGCATCCCACCACGCGCGGGGCAAGACGGTGTCCCTCAGCGCCGCGACGACAGCGGCCCACGCGGCGTCCCACGCGTTGCCATCCAGGCTGATGAACAGCACGTCCACATACAGCGCCCAATACGCCTTGACCTCCCTCCTGCCCGTCTCTTCCTCTTCATCCTCCATGCCCTCGTCGTCCGTCCTCGGCGGCAGGTACGTGATCCTCAAATCCCTCGCCCTCACCACCCTCGCCGCGTGTAGCGCTCCTAGCAGCCGGCTCGTCAGCGCCTGCGCCTGCGCCGACGGCGGCTGGCCCGGCATCAGCGCGGGCGTCGCGCCCGTCGCCAGCTCGACGTTCGGCACCAGCAGCCCCAGGCGCTCCAGCTCCTCCCTGTCGTCCAACGCTTCCTCACTATCCTCGTCATCCTGCACGTCCGTGATGTCCACCAGCCCTTCGTACCGCGGCGGGTTCGGCACGTCGTCGGCCTTCAGGATCTCGGCCCGCACGCCGCACACGACGGCCGTGTCGCCCACGCGCACCACGGCGCTGCCGTTGCAGTGCGACAGCGAGCCCGTGTTGATGGTCGGCACGCGGTATTCGGTCGGCGTGCGCCCGTTGGGTCGGGTGGTCGAGGCGGCGGTGGCGGTGGTTTTTTGCTTGGTACTGCTGTCGGATGCGGCATCGAGGTGGGCGAGGAGGAAAGGCGCGGGCGAGAGGGCGGCGAAGATGTCGCGCGGGAAGGAGAGTTGCGGTGCGCCGCCGTTTGCGCCCTGTGCGGCGGCCGCTTCGACTGCCATTGTTGCGTTTTGGTGTGGCTGAAGTGATGTGAAGTGTGGTGTTGTTGGTGGTCTTGCTTCCAGATAGAGGCCGGTGGTTTCTCAAAAAACGCTTATCGATAAGACGCGCAGCTCAATCACTAACCGGGAATGCCCATACTACGTAGGCATATTCACGCTTTCAGATAGATGACTCCAATCCAACAGTGTAAATTCCTTTTTGATACATTTATTACATATATTCACGGCGTTTAGTCCCGCTCTAGGGAATTTATTTCTTCTCCTTAGGAGCAATCATGAGCTCAGGACGGACATACTTGGTGAAGTCCTCGTCGCTAAGAGCCTTGAGCTCCATAGCGCTCTCCTTGAGCGTGATGCCCTTCTTGTGGGCGTTCTTGGCGACCTTGGAGGCCATGTCATAGCCAATGACGGGGTTCAGGCAGGTGACGAGCATAAGACTGGAGTACTGGTTAGAAAAAATTTCAAATGCGCAATGAATCACTTTGACTCACCTCTCCTTCATGATGGAAGCAATCTTGGCCTCATCGGCCTCGAGACCCTCGACGAGGTTCTTCTCGAAGCTCCTCATACCGTCAGCCAGGAGCCTGGAGCTGTGCAACAGGTTCCTGATCATGACAGGCTTGAAGACGTTGAGCTCGAAGTTACCCTGAGAGCCAGCGAAAGTGGTAGCGGCCTGGTTACCGAAGACCTGGGCGCAGATCATGGTAAGAGACTCGCACTGAGTGGGGTTGACCTTGCCGGGCATGATGGACGAGCCAGGTTCGTTCTCGGGCAGCTTCAGCTCGCCGAGACCGCAACGAGGGCCAGAGCCAAGGAAGCGGATGTCCTGAGCAATCTTGTAGAGCGAAGTAGCCAGGGTGTTGAGCTGACCGTGGGCCTCGACGATGGCGTCGTGAGCAGCAAGAGCCTCGAACTTGTTGGGGGCAGTGACGAACTGGTGGCCAGTCATCTTGGTGACCTCCTCAGCAATGCCCTCGGCAAAGCCCTTGAAGGTGTTGATGCCAGTACCGACGGCGGTACCGCCCTGAGCGAGCATCTTCAGGCGGGGCAGAGACGACTCGACGCGCTGAATGCCGAAGTCGAGCTGCTGGACGTAGCCAGAGAACTCCTGGCCAAGAGTCAGCGGCGTAGCATCCTGCAGGTGCGTACGGCCGATCTTGATGAGATTCTCCCACTGCTTAGCCTTCTTGTCCAGAGCGTCACGGAGGCTGCGGAGGGCGGGGAGCAGCGACTCCTCGAAGTCGAGGACGGCGGCAATGTGCATGACGGTAGGGAAGGTATCGTTGGAGGAAGCGGACATGTTGACGTGGTCGTTGGGGTGGACGGGCTTCTTGGAGCCCATGGTGCCGCCCAGGATCTCAATGGCGCGGTTGGAGATGACCTCGTTGGCGTTCATGTTGGACTGGGTGCCGGAACCCGTCTGCCAGATGACGAGAGGGAAGTGGTCGACGAGCTTGAGGTCAGCGACCTCAGCAGCAGCCTGCTGGATGGCCTCGCCAATCTTGGGGTCTGGGGCACTGTCAGCGATTGCTTGCGCGGTAAAGTCGGAGCTACGTACCGAGGCCGAACTTCATGTTGACAGAGGCGGCAGCGCCCTTCAGGATACCGAAAGCGCGCACAATGGGCGGCGGCATGCGGTCCTGGGGCTGGTTGATCTTGAAGTTCTCCAGCGAGCGCTCGGTCTGAGCTCCCCAGTACTTGTCGGCGGGGACCTGGATCTCGCCGAAGGCATCGCTCTCGGTCCTGGTGTTGGCAGCCATCCTGGAGGTAGTCGCAAAGGTGCGCAGAGCGGAGGTCTTCTGGTGCTGCAGCTGGGGCCTCGCGGATTGCAGAGCGCGAGTGTTGATGGAGCGGGCAGATGACCTTGCTATCGAAGTGGGGAGGGCAGCGCGGGCATGTGCAGCAGGGCGGAGAAGGGCCTCGGCACCGGGCCGGGCGATGGAGCGGAGCTTGAGCATGGCGGGGGATGAGAATTGGGACCGCAATTGGCTTCGGAGGCCAGGAGTTGATGAAAGCAGAACACACGAACGCCGCAAACTTGAGACGGGAGCTCTCTGGAGTTGCGGAGCCCCATGGAACGAATTATTTGGTCCTCGGGTGTTTCCGGCCCGCAATGACGGCACTTGCACAGCTTCGCGGCAACGACATTCGCGTTCGCCCGAGAATCGGAGTCCTTGCGCGCCAGCCACCCCTTCTATCAACGTCCAGCATTCAAGCTATCGTGCAAGAACTGACTCCTGTCTTGGTGCGCATTCCTCGGGCAATTCCAGTCGAGCCAAACGCCACCGATGCAAGCCGCTGAGCGACAGGTTTCTGAGCTTGCTGCACGAGTACTTATTGTTGCTCTAGTAGGAACACCGGGCCGGCCATTATGCTTTCCAGAGTCTATGGTTCTTCTGCGCCTGCCAAGACAACAATGATGATTTCCGCTTCCCGTGTCAAGCTCTGCTGGAATCGTATCTGGGGAGACAGCTGTCACGCGCAATGAGCACGTTGGCAATGCCCAAGACGTGGTTGGTCTGACAAGCCCGAAATCGGTGAAGTTCTCGACACAGAAAACCTCGGCTTCCTGCTGGTAGAAGCTACAAGATGGCCCCTTCACCGCTGAGTATATTATGGAAAATATCCAGCAGAACCGATCCTCATGCCAGTATAACCGGTGTATACCCAACTCCCCAGGAATGGGCCCATATTTGGATCACCCAAACGCTGTGCATCTGGAATCGACATACCCGATACGGCGGCAGCACCTGAGAGGGCAATATAGATGAAATAATAAAGGTCATCACGGACATTTATGAGTAACTATGGAAGAGTTCGAGGGTTCAATGGCGAGCAGGTGACTTTTCCGGGGTTCTCCTTTCATACCATCCCAAGAACCGTGGAGAGAACGATTAGCTCCACGTTTGGCTTCAGAGCCTACGTATTTGTTGTACAGTCCCCTCTCGCAGCCGATGGCTAGCGTGTTTTTTTTTTTTGGTCATGTCATGGGTAGTTGAAGCGATCGTCCGGACGAGAATGTCGAATTAAAAATTCTACATACACGTCCGGACGATAGCTTCAACTACTCACGTATGTTATTTTCTAAGGCAATGCTGGGGGCATAGTTACGCTATGTTCTAGAGCCCTGTTATTCTTCGCGCTAGCCATCGGCTGCAGCACCCCTCTGTACCTGATCAAAGTAAAAGGCGGACAGAAACCGAGTTTCCTGATGGGGTAAGGGAGCTGTGAAGCTTCAAACAGCCGAAGCCGACGGCCGGGCACAGCCGTTGCTCCATCCTGGAGGCTGAGGGGCGCTGGCAGAATGCCCCGAGTTCGGCATGCTGCGCGATGATCTCACCCGTCGATCGTCCGGGCGGTCTGGAAGGCAGAATGCTCGAGGCCAATGACGACGCCCGAGATGGCTTTGCGTCAATAGCCTCGCGCTAGAGCACCGGGACTTGTTCGAGACCGCCGCTGACGACAGACCGGCTTTTCGGTGTGTGTTTGCTCCTTAATTACAAGGTAGGTTCGCCTAGTGCTACAACGCTACAACACTAAAGATGGGTAGCTAAAGCGTCCATTACATGATATGTTTGGGGAACCAAAGCATTCAGGCGAGAGTCACTGCCTCGACATTTGTTCGCAAAATCAAGCAAACAGGCCTCGCGATTTCGGCCCTAACAATCGGCATCGGGAGTGCTCTCAGGCAGTTGGGCAGACACAAGTGAAAACACTGCCGGATGACCCGTAAACAATCCGCCAGGTTCCTTAGCTCTTCAAGAAGATCAAGCATTATACGTACCATTTGATGTCTCCTGCCGTTGGTACAACATTTCCTGGCCGGCAGGGATTAGGCCCCAGTTCTCAAAGTTGTGCGCGAATTCCTTGCTCCGCGTGAAATAATAGAGCTTCAACAGAAGCATCGTACGACACATGAGGAAATAATGCTGCCTGACTGATGGCAAGTGGGTCCCAGCCCCAGTCCTCAGCCGCACTCTGCTCCACACGCCGCTGTTACCTATCTCAGAAGCATCCAGCGCGTGTGAGCGCCAAGAATATATCCTGTTTACCTGTAAAGTAGCAGAGTGCTAAACAAAGCATCGTGCGGTGTGCTGGGTTCGGTCTGAGCCGGATCGCTGCAGGATGACGGCGGACAGAGGCGCTTTGGCAGCGAACAGACCCACTGTATGGCGCACATCACGCGGGGCGCCGGTGACTTGACTCCGCAGCGTCGATTCTGACTCGCAACCTCGCTGGGGACGCAGGGACTTGTCTGTTATTTTTGAGCCGGCGCGCGCCTCGCGACGGTTGCGAAGGAGAGCACGGCAAGGTGTTTCAGTGCCGGTGGCACAATGCGGCGGGCTGCAGCAGGGAAATGGATGCTGCTGCGCTGGCAGCGGGTCCGAGCTTCGTGGTTGCCCGGGCGTGGGCTGTTGATTTCATTCCCGGCCAGCGCCCAACTGAGCTGAGCTTGCCTGCCGCGGGACGCCAGACATACATACATCAGCCCCGCCAGGCGATCCTTCGACCTCGCTCGCTCACACACCAACAACAGCGCCCGTGCCTCGACGCCGTTTCCCGCCGCTGCCAACGAGCAAGCCCGCCCGCTCTTTGCGCCCGCCTCAGGCCCCGCTGACCGCTACGGCGGCCCAAACTAGCCCGCCATGGCCGACAGGAACGCCTTTAATTCCAACATCCCGCTTCCTCCGCCGCTGCACACCCGTCGCGCCAACGACATGTTTGACCGTCCCACCACCCCAGGCGCCAATGCCTTCTTCTCACCGCAAGCCACCCCGACCGGCAGCCCAAGCAAGGCCCATGCCCCGCCTGGAGCCTACGACTTGCCCAATGTCTTCGACAATGCGCTAAAGCTTCAGCCTACCGGCGCTTCTCCCACAAAGATTGGCCGACCCTCGCCGCACTCGCCCACTAAAAGCGGCTTCCAGGACTATCCTGAAGCCCCCGGTACCCCAACGCGTAGAGCAAACAAGGAAAACACTCCGCCGAGCCGCTCAGGCATGCAGCAGAAAGATAGCTACCTTACCCACGCCGCCGCCTCTCGTCAAGAGCCCTACCGTCCATCTACCCGCGGCGGCTCCGTTGGCAAGAATGTACAGCGCGGCCTCTCTCCGGAGGACATTGAGAAACTTCAGAAGCCTTCGGTGAAGCGATTGGCCAATGTGACTCAGCTGTGTAAGCTAGTTTCCCCTCAATCAATGTCTCTAAACACTGACGATCCCAGACTTCCTGGACTATTACTATGACCTTCTCTCCTACGTCCACAACCGACAGAACCGTCTCGCCGCGTTCAAGACGCAATTCCCCGCTCCGCCCGATACACCTGAAGAGGAGTACAACGAGGTTCTGCACAAGTATCTTGGGCGCGAGCGCGCAAACTTGCGGAAGAGGCGCACCAGGCTGAGGCATGGTGACTTTCAAATTCTCACGCAGGTCGGCCAGGGTGGCTATGGTCAGGTCTACTTGGCCCAGAAGAAGGACACCCGCGAAGTCTGTGCTCTGAAGGTTATGAGCAAAAAGCTCCTGTTCAAGCTCGATGAAGTCAGGCACGTTCTCACCGAGCGTGATATCCTGACGAACGCGAAGAGCGAATGGCTGGTTCGGCTGCTTTACGCCTTCCAGGATGAGAAGAGCATCTACCTTGCTATGGTAAGTTGCGTTCTCTTTTCAAAATGGCAATTTCGAAATTCACTAACAATCCCTAGGAATACGTACCCGGCGGTGACTTCCGGACTCTCCTCAACAACACTGGCGTCTTGCACAACCGTCACGCGCGTTTTTACATCGCAGAGATGTTCTCCTGCATCGATGCCTTGCACGTGCTGGGCTACATTCACAGAGATTTGAAGCCCGAGAACTTCCTGATCGATAGCACCGGTCATGTCAAGCTTACTGACTTCGGTCTCGCCGCTGGTATGCTGGCACCAGCCAAGATTGAGTCAATGCGCATTAAGCTTGAATCCGTTGGCAACGTTCCCGTGCCGTTTGGTCGTCCCGTTGAAGAGCGTTCGGCTGCGGAGAGACGAGACGGCTACCGCTCGTTGCGTGAACGCGAGGTCAACTACGCCAAGAGTATCGTGGGCAGCCCCGATTACATGGCGCCTGAGGTACTGAAGGGTGAAGAGTACGACTTCACCGTGGACTACTGGAGTCTTGGCTGCATGCTGTTCGAAGCCCTTGCTGGTTACCCGCCTTTCGCTGGTGCGACCGTCGATGAGACCTGGCAGAACCTGAAGAACTGGAAGCGCGTTCTGAAGAAGCCTGTCTACGAGGATCCGAGCTACTTCCTTAGTAAACGAACATGGGATCTGATCATCCGGTTGGTTGCGTCCAAGACCTCGCGCTTCCGCGGCATAAGCGAAATTCATTCCCACGCGTACTTCGCCGAGGTGGATTGGGATAGGCTCCGTGAGCAAAAGGCACCCTTTGTGCCCGAGCTGGACAGCGAAACCGACGCTGGTTACTTCGATGACTTCGGCAACGAGGCTGATATGGCCAAATACAAGGAGGTCCACGAGAAGCAGGCCCATTTGGAATCCATGGCAGACAGGGACGACAAGATGGCCAAGAGCTTATTCGTCGGCTTCACATTCAGGCACCGCAAGCCTGCAGACGACCCCAGCAGAGCTGGAAGCCCTCGCAAGCAACTTCAGACGGTCGACGAAGATTTCGGTACCATCTTCTAAGACTATCAGCGCATGCCTCTCTATACTACTACTCCCGTCCTACTCGGCCACGTTGCATTTTGATTTTGACGACGAACAAAGAGTCTGGCTGGCTCCCGCCTCTTTTCTCGGATCCCTTTCCCATTTCAAATGGGAAGAGCTCAGATTCATGATTTGTTCTTTCTTTATTTCCTTTGCCCTACCCTTTCGGAGCTTCTGGTTCTCTATGCTCTTTCTCGGGTTGGGGTTCTATTGCAGACAACAAAAAGGGGATCGTACACAGATTCGGGGGGCGTTTTCTCGGGTGGACTCTTTTTTTCTCTTTTGCAAGCATACTCTTAGGCCCCTTTGCTTTTGCGAATCAAGGTTCTGCTGTGCTTATTTTCCTTGGGTCTATGCATTGCTCTGGTCGTTCGTCAGAGGTGGGGTCGTCAAGACGGTCGGGGCGCTCTTGGAATTGAAACGCGGCGCTGTTGTCCGGTGGTTGACCGCTGTCTTTCAGTGCGCATTTCTCAAGAGCGAATTGGCGGTGCGTCATTTGTGAGTTAGCTGCCGTGTATTAGTATTGCTTTAAGAGAAATATACATATCGATTGACAGCTATGTGCGACTTCTGCGTGTTTATGTGATGCGTCCACGAGCCCATCAGAATGCGCGCCATATGATTGAAGTGATAAAGGCACAATACTCCACAAAAGCTCCACATATACGACCATCCACCGCTAATGAATTTAATCCGAAAACATTCATGCTTCGTAAAAAAGGAGATATTCTGACGCAAAACCGTGCCTCCCCAAACCACCATCAGTCATCATCTTCAAAGTCCGATGGCTCACTGGCCGCGCCATCACCACCACTGCTACTACCCAGATCGCTCAACTCACTTTCCTCTTCCTCAGATACATATTTCTTCTTAGACTTGCGTCGACCGGTCGAGGGAGTCGCTGTCGTCTCCTTCCCAGATTTCTCGGCTCCACCACCCTTTCTTACGCCCGTTCTCTTGACCAGGTGGTCGATGGGACATCCTTTCTCCCAGCCCTCGCTAGCAACTCCCGTGATGGCTCTGCACCGCGGGCAGCTCTTGCCGTGGCGGATCAGCAGGGTGTGGAGCGGGTACTTGAGCTCGTCGGGAATGCGGACGTCGAGGTGGGCGTACGTGGAGTCGCGAGTCACGTTTTTGTCCGTTGGAACCCATTGAAGCCACTTGGCGAGACGGAAGACGTGAGTGTCAACGGCGAAAGAAGGTCGCTGGAAGCAGAAGAGCAGGACGCAAGAAGCCGTCTTAACGCCAATGCCCGGGTAACGCAGGAGGTGCGTCATGATCTCGTCGTTCGACGAGAGAGAGTGGAGATGGTCAAGAGACAAAACGTTGGATTCGGCGCGGGCGACTTCGAGTTCGCGTTCTTGCGCGCTTTCATTCTCTGCACCAGCCGGATCGTTGCTTGAATTCTTGACGAGGGCGTCGTGGCGGGCTTGGTTTTCCTCGTGGACCATCTGGAGAATCTTCTTGATGTCCTTGCTCTTGACGTCTGCGAGACCGCCGCTCTTGATGGCTTCGAATATGTCTTTCGTGTCGGCCACTCGCACTGCGTCCCAATTCACGCTTCCTTTGCCGATGCCTTCCTCGATGATGCCGAAGCGTTTGACTAAGCCTTGGAAAGCGCGTGAAGAGTTGGTGTTCGAGGTCGCCGCGCTCAAGCGGGTCCTGATCAATGCATCCAACACTGAAGGGACCTCACCACAGCCAGTTGTGGTAAGAGACGGCGCTGGTACTTCCTTCGGCGCCTGAACTTGACCATGCATTTTTGACAGCAGGCGCGTTACTTCTTCGCATTCCTCAGGTGTGGGGTGAGGGTAATCAGGATAGGGGGTTTGTCCAGGAGTCAGCCCGTAGTTGTTCTTGCCTTTGCTACTCTTCTTGGTGGACTTGCCGGTCCCTTCCGCTCCCTTGGTGAGGTTTTCAGCTAAGGGAGCTGCGTCTTCAAGAGCCTTAGAGACATCCGAGTTCGAACTCTTGGCTGTCGCCCTAGCCTTGCGTTTCTTCACAGCAGGCTTCTCGTCTTCGGCTGGGTCATCGTTAACTGACGGGATGGCGCCGAGGCCATGCGGCAAGTCGTTGACATCGTCTTCTTTCTTTGCAGTAGCTCTCGCTCTCTTGCGACCAATGTTAGGAGTGATGGGTTCAGCTTTCACTGAGTCCTTGTCTCCCTTGTTTGCAGACTTGGAGTCAATTGCCTCGTGAGATTCTTTTTTAGAGGCACCTCGTTTCGAAGGTGCAGGCGTGGTGGGCGGACTAGATAGCTGTTCTGTCTCAGACTTCACCGCAGCCCTGGACTGACGGGCGGTCGACGCCCGCGTCATTCGAGTAGCCATACTCGAATTGGTGACTGGTGAGAAAGTGAAGGATGAAAGCCTTGTTGCCGGGCTGAAGCTCCCACTTTGTGAGGGGGCCGGTACGCGACGGGCCACTCGTTGCCGGAGAACCCCCGACCTGAATGGTAAAGAGAACAGGGTGATGCTCGCTTGCTTGATGGTGTAAAGGGTTTCAAGAGTGATGAGACAGATTGAGCAAAAGTCCCACCGATGGTTCCCAAAGAGTTCAGATGTGGAAGAGAGAGTTGGGGGAGGCGCAACCTGCGAGTGGAGGCAGGAACGGCAAGTCCATGACGTCTTTGGTTCGAACCAATGATCGGTCGCGGCTAAGCGGCGAGTCATGCAGGGTCTTTCCCGCAGTCTGCACTCAAGGTACGATGACAACAGCACCGTGACACCGCGACCTCCACGCGTCTACTCTTTTCTTTTTCGACCTTCGTCCATCTCGCGCACACTTCATACCCACATACCCACCATGGCAATTCCCGCGCCACTTGTCGTCCCCGCTCTCAAGCGGCACACTGCCACCGTCATCGTCGCTCACGGCTTGGGCGATAGGTATTTCCCCTCATTCTATTACACAGTACCCCGCCATTCCACCCCGCGTCCCGCTTCAGCCTTCCGTCGGAAGACTTGTTCAGATTGCAATCAGTGCCATGTTTTCAGCGGATCATGCTAATGCATACTAACAGCGGTGCCGGCTGGATGTTCCTCGCTGAGAACTGGCGCCGCCGCAACAAGTTCGAAGAGGTCTCCTTCATCTTCCCGAGCGCCCCTTCGATCCCCATTACTATCAACATGGGCATGCGCATGCCCGGTTGGTACGACATCCTCTCCCTCTCCGACATCAACCAGCGCTCCGAAGACGAGGCCGGCATCAAGCGCAGCATGGAATACTTCCACGGCCTGATCAAGCAGGAGATGGACAAGGGAATCCCCAGCAACCGCATCGTCATCGGCGGTTTCTCCCAGGGTGGCGCTATGTCTCTTCTCTCTGGCCTCACCTCCCCGAACAAGCTGGGCGGAATCTTCGGTCAGTGATTTGGCGCTCTGGTTTTAGCGCATGTATGCTGATCGTTCACGCAGGTCTGAGCTGCTACCTTCTGCTTCAGAACAAGATTCGTGACATGGTCCCTGAGGAAAACCCGAACAAGGATACCCCCATCTTCATGGCGCATGGTGACATTGACCCTGTCGTGCGCTACGACTGGGGCCAGAGGACTGCGAGCAAGCTCAAGGAGTGGGGCTGGAAGGTTGATTTCAAGACATACCAGTAAGGCTTGCATAATCATGTTGGGATTTTGTAAGTCCAGAAGACTGACTACGTTAGGGGACTTCCGCACTCCGCCGATCCTGAGGAGATTGAAGACCTCGATGCATACCTCAGAGAGAGGATCCCGCCCCTTGGCGACAAGGAGGAGACCTCTGGCAGCCTCTGACTAATTGCTGTATCGAGCCAAATCTCGCCATCCACTATCAGTTCCCTGGTGGTGCTCCTCTTGTCTGTCCTGCTGTGCTTTGTTGCATACAGGAAACGAGGTCTGGGCATGGCTGCCCTGATCGCGACGCTCTGCTTATGATTTTTAGAGCATTGGTTCTCACCTGACTATCTGTGATCCAGATAAATAGCTATTTGCAGTGTGCTTGGCTAGATGACTTTCAAGTTCTGAGCACTGCTCAGACTCTATACCCAAATGGAGTTCGCCTTTTTCATACGGTCCGCGATCCTCACGCATCTGGGGCATTTACATTGAAGTATTAACCACCTAGTTGCTCTCCGTCGGATGAAATGCCTTGTAAACCTGCAAGGCTCCTTCTGCGGATTGGATGATGCCGAAAAAGATAGTGAGCACAAGTACCATTATAGCGATCCAGAAAGTGTACCATTGCGGGCCACTTCTTCTGTCCCACCACCACTGCCGAAATGTCTGCGGCGTACCCTCATCGAACTCCTGCTTCAAAATACATATCCGGTCTTTCCAATAGTAAAAGTTGTCTATCAAGCGATCTTCCGCCCGCAAGGATCCGTGCTTCGCAGCCGTCGGATCGAGACCGTGCTCGTATCGATGCTTCTCGTACCAGAGCCGGACTTTGGGATCAGAAGACGGAAAGAGGAGGTCAATGGTCTTCAAGGTCTCGTGTATGAGGTCCTGGCGTAGTATGCCGCTACAGATGTCAGGATTACGATCAGAACGGTGGGGGCTGCAAGGTCCATCACTAACCATTTGTGATTCTCCAAGAAAGCTACATGATGGAAGAGGCAGATCTTCTTGTCGAACTCGCACATGCGCAGATGATCGGCAAGGTTATCGGTCCATTCGATCCGCATGTTTGTGAAGCGCTGCAGGTTGCGAGCGTTGAAAACTTTCTCGAGCTGTATGGCCTTCATCGACAGAGTCGGCGTCTTGTCGAAATACCGATGGCATGACTGGCTCAGGGAGCCGTCTGTCCACGTCAGTCGACCGCAGGGGCCCACGCCGATATCCAGCCCGCCGAAGTTGATCATGGTGAGCAGTCGCGCAACAAGATCAATGGAGCCATAAACGCTGTCCTCTTCGGCGGCGTCAGCATCCTCCTGGGGCTTCTTCAGCGTCACCAGTGTGTCAGGCGCAATGCACGAAGAGCTTATGCTGATGGTATCGTCGTCATCGTACGGCGAGCACAGCCTGTGCGCTACGTCATGGCGAGTGTTCTCGGGGTCTTTGATCAGCGAGGCGAGCTCAAGAATGTCGCGGTGTGTGCGGACAGAAACGTGCTTGCCGCCGTCGCGCAGCGCGTGCGTGCACTGGCCCAGGTAGTACTCGAAGAAGCGCTCGCAGACGATGCGCTCGTCGTCGCTCTTGCCGCCGGTGGAGAGGATGGAGTGCTTCCTCGCCGTCACGAGAGCCTTCTCCGCGCCGCCGCGTGGGGTGTTGCCGGGCGGGGCCCAGAGCTGGCGCACAAAATCCAACTGCAGGTCCGCCGGCAGAGTTTCGATGATGAGGCCGTCGAAGGGGTGGAGCTCTTCGTGTGACATGAGGGTCTCAGCCGTCGAGGGGAACGACTGCGCGTCACTGCTGCAGGTGCTGGAAAATGTGTATCGCCGCTGCAAGAATAATGACATGCTCGTCTTACGTCCAGGTGGCCCTGGAGGTTCTCAGCCTTGCAGGCAGAGGGATGGTGAAAGGAAAGACTGGTTTGGTTCAAACATCATTTTCGCTTCCCTTCGACCCGGAGTGACTCTGGCGTTCCGTGTTCTAGGTTTGCCTCGGAGCTCTTCACTCGTTGGAGGAGGGGCGTTGGTGGGAAGCAAGGGATGGATTATACCCGTTGCGGTCGGTAGCCAAGAGAGGGAAGCCGGTTTTCCGACGCGGGTTCTTTGAGAGCAGCAGCGAACAGAGGAGGTTTTTCTGTTTGGATGTCGGAGAGTTCCCTTCAGGTTTCGGGCACCCCTCCGAGAGTCGCGGGGGCGTTTGCCACTGCATTTGGCAACTCCTTGACAGTTTCCGTCGCCATGACTTTCACGCGCCGTCACCGCGAGTTATGAAGGGTACGTTCGCTCGCTTGATGACGCGCCCCCGTTCTCGACTCGAGCTCAGGACCAGGTACGAGGAGCGAACGATCGAGACTTTTTGGATTGACGGGGACTGGGCACATGTCAACTACCATGATGATGGAGCGAGGGTCCGCAGGAACGATCACCGCGCTAACCAGCACCTCGGCCGAGTCATACTGCAGTTCCCCCTTTTGGCTAGGTGCAAAATCGCTTTTTTCCACGATACCATGTGACTGATGGGCGATCAATGACGGGACGACGGGGATCTTTCCTTTTCTTCTTGTGTCTTTGGACAAGATTTTGCAATGACAAGGGGAAGCTGGATGGGCCGGATCCGGGCCCAGCCGCTTGGTTTACCTCAGTCGCACAAACCAGGGACGCGGTATGTGCAGTTGCCATGGAGGCGGGTGGAGCGTGGGGACGGGTTTCTGCGCCTCTCCACTTGGTGTGGAGGGTCCATCGATGGCGCTGCTATCAGCCGCAAAGACGATGGAAGTTACGGGAGTAAACTCAGCGCATCCCGGCGCGCGGAATCGACCATAACCCCGCCACCACGGTCCACGGGTAAAAAAAAAAGTTTGATAGGAGCTGAAGAATGGTTGTCGAAGCCTTCCCGGCTAGAGCCGTGCCGTGCGTCCAGCTACAGCTAACTTCTTTAGGAGGAAACACAGCGGCTAGGAACACAATAGTGGAGTTGGCAAGAGCCGCGGGTCTCTGGAGGTTACCGACGTGGCGATGCGCGCATAGAGATGGGTGGGCGCAGCATGCGAGAAGAGAGAGCTGAATTGCAGCCACAACGACCGTTGCTCACTGAAAGGTGGAGTGGGCAGAACACGGCCGCTTCCGGCAAGACGAGATGCGCAGCCCACCGAATCAGGTCGAGACCAGGACCCCATCACCGCTGCGCCTCACGCTTGAACCTTACGTAACCTCGGAAGGTATCGTCGACTCCACCACGGCAAAGCACTGAGCTTGATTGCCGTAGGGAGGTTCGTTTAGAGCGATTGAGATAGTTGAGGGGGATTCCTCGACACCGGAGATCGATGCGCCATTCAGCCACCCAGGCAAGTTAGTGGACCGGTGAGCAGGTCGGTTCAGCCAGCTTGGAGTATCACAATAATTCACTGGGGGTGAAGAGAAGTGGGATCTACCTCGTCTGCGCGGCGCGAGGCTCGTCTATCTTCCCGCGTCCTGTGTCACTCGGCGGGTAGACGTTCTGGGCGAAGATTTTCGAAGCCTAGCCACGAGCCGCAGTTTTAGCTTGCCAAATAAACGCAAGTCCTGGCGACAAGCGACGCCGCGTGAGGCGGGAGGCAGACTGGCGGACATGGCGCTCAGGACGAGAAGGGGCTGATGCTTCCTTGCGCTAGAAAGAACCGGAGCATGAACCGAGAGCCCGAGCTGTGGCTTGCTTCTTCTTTCCAGCAGCGCATATTCGTCATCAGCTGTCACTAATCAGCGCCCGCATATGAGGGATACCCTTGCGATAGCGCGAGTGGGGACGTCGGCGCAGCATTTGGAGCGTTGCGGACATGCAGGCTAGCGCGCAGCCCGAACAGGGACCCAGGTACGAGGCAAGCTGAGCGTTGGAACCAACATGCAAGACATCCTTTAAGATCGACGGGGATCTTCTCACCTAATTAACAACCTCCTAATCGCGGACGACGAGGGGGTGCCGCCGAGGGGTCATTACCGTAAACTTATTCCCACCCGCACGCCTTCGCCTCCGCATGTAGATTGACGCCCATTGCGCAGACCATGCCCGACACACGGCCTCCCGGCGCACAATCGAGATGCTGCTGGCGTTGCCATAACGAGCATGGGCGCGAGATGAATGGTCCGCATCCTTCCAGAAAACCTCCGATCTGATCGACCTTCACTTCCCGCTCCCGTCCCTTGGTTGAAGGATCGTAGAGGCTGGACCCTGCTGTGCCCTGTGGCGGAGTGAGTGACTGGTTGAACCGCGGTCGGGCTGTCAAGAAAGGGACTCAACCACATCTCGGCCCTGTCATGAGAGACTTGTCATTTCCCCGCAATCAGGAAGCAGAGGCTTGCGCGGTCTCTGACCCATGGCGCTACGGTCTAGAATTAACGGGCCGGGCAGCGACAAATTTCGTGTTGTCCTACGCGCTGGCGCTCGTGGTTGGCTGGCCAGCCGGCGGTCTTTCGCGCTGCTGGCCCGCGCCTCACTCTCTTTGTTTCCTAACCGTTAGAGAGATGGCGCGGTAGACGGGCCGTCAGCAATGCTGGGTCTGGCACGCGCCGCCCGTCATTGGCCGGGATGCTCCCTGGTAGGCTAAAGGGAATGGCTATCTAGCGGAGCCATCGGAAAAGGCGGGAAGGCTGCGCTAGCGGCCTCAGATGGCGGAGATATGGCCAGGGGCCGGATGGTCTTCCCCAAGTGCTAGCGTCGTTGGAGTTGGAGGGGGCTTGCGTCTCGTCGCTTGTGCTGGATGTTTGACTGTATATATTCCCAGCGTATACCTCTTGTCCCGCGCTCTACCATTCTGCCTTCCCTCTCTGTCGAAGCCTCTCTGGTCTCTCGTCCTCTTAATTCCTTCATCAGTCTCGGATCTATATCCCCGCAATCTCGCGCCATCTCCCGCCCCGGCCATCCATATCCAAAAATGCCTTCCAAGGTCCCCGAAGCTGTCTTCCCTCCGCTCGAGCTCCGCGAGATCGTCTATGAGATTGTCGACTTGCTTAAGGATAGAGGCGAGACTATCTCTTGCGGTGAGACGGTAAGCCATCCACCTCCCATTACTCGAGGTTGCCGGCGATTCGGATGTAAAAGGCTTAGTGGCTAACGCCTTGTTCGCAATGACAGGCCGCAGGTGGTTTGATCTCGGCAGCGATCCTCTCGGTGCCCGGTGCGAGCGCAGTGTACAAAGGCGGCCTTACGGTACGTAACAACCGCGCCATACCCCCCGTAATCATCAATTTTTGTGGGCCCATGGGCTGATCTTCGAAACCTTCTAGCTCTACACTCTGGAGTCTCGCCTCGTGTATGGCGGCTGGACGCAAGAGCAAATTGACAATTTCACCGGCCCGTCGATTCACTGCGTGCTCGGTCTCGCCGAGCATGTGCGGGGGCAGCTGGGCTCGACCTATGCCGTGGCCGAGAGTGGGTCGGCTGGCCCTTCGAACTGGGGCAAGACCGGTAGGTGCCGGGCGAAAGGCTGAATAAACATGGCTTTGTGCTGACGCAGGGACAGACAACATGAAGGCGGGCTACGTTGCGTTGGCCGTCGCGTCGGCCTCGGGCTGTGTGGAGCGGGAGATCGAGACGGGGTTGGTGGACCGCGACGCGAACATGGTCCGGTTCGCGGTCGAGGCATTGCGGCTGGTCAAGGACGTGATACAGGCCGACATGGCCAGGTTCTCGGGGTGGCTGAACTGCTGAGCGACTTCTCTTTCTTTTCATCCGTTCTTGTTGTATGATACCGCGCGTTGCGTATAGCCACCCCCCGCCCTTACGATACCGAAACATCCATAATGCGAATAGTTTGACTTTTCACCTTGCTTTTTCCCGCACCCGCTGCTCCCGCCCGATCAACAGGCGAGAGCCCGGCACGCGGGATGCTGTGACGAACCCTACTGCATGAACGACCTGACTCGGCCAATTGGAGAGGCGAGCGGACGCGGGTTCCCGAAACCTTCGTCTAAACTTCTGTTGGAATGATCGTCTCCGCGGCGATCTGATGAGACAGCATGCAGCATGTGCCCGATGCAGCTGAGATTCGGCGCTGCTCCTGGGGGGCGACTGGCGTGGCGCGGCGGCACCTCCAACGGCCGTTGCGAACAGCCGGCGGGGCGCCGGCTCACGGCCATGGAAGGCTTGTCATCGCCGGCCTTGACACGGCTAAGCCGTTGAGTAAATTGCGCGCGGTACGATGGCTGGCTGACGGATGCATGCGAGGACGACCATCACACGGTGATGAGTTTCTTGTCGAGTCAGGGCATGCTGCAGGTAGGCACAGATCGAGATGTCCCACTTTCCGCAAGCAGAAGGATGCGCGGCTTGTCGCATCCTGATCGTGAGGGACGCGTCCGAGGCGACTCAGGCACCGTGTGTGTTGGTGGCAGGGGGTGGGTAACAATACGGCATCTTGCCGAGAAAAAATGGGGTAGGAGCCGCATCCAATCGCACCGCAGCTTCCGCAGCATCGCCCTCCGCGCCGCCCTTACTACTCACTCCTCGTCTTCCATCGCCTCCCTCCCTCACCCATGGCTCGTCAACCCTCGCGACAGGCGATCTCGCGTCGGCCAGGTGGAAGCTAATCCTCGTCTCGTCGACGACGACGGCGAACCGATCTTCGGTCCGACGGCGACGCTCGTTCGGATGGTGATCGCCATGCGACGAGCTTGGCCCCCATGTCGATCCAGCCCGACCACCAGCTGGGGTTGATGCTTTCTCCCGCGCTTCTTGTTCCGCAGGCTAACGTCATCCGGGGCACCTTTGACTTTATCAACATCAATGCGCAACAAACTTTGGCGAGCGCGACAGCGGCCGCCCAACGACCGGATCCTTCGAAAGAGCCTCAGGAACGGCTGATTCAGCCCGCAACTTGCAAACGCGATGCAGGGTCCACGGCCAGTGACGTGCTCGCGCTTGTGCGGGTACCGCGTCTAGCGTTTTCTTCGACGAACCGCATTGACGTATGGCCGCGGCTGGGACCAAGTGTTCGTCGTTTCCATGCCTCCAAACCGTAACGCTCGTGTGCTAGCCTGCATTGGTCGCATGCTCCGCACCGCCCGATTAGCTCTAACTTCAATGATGATCAACCAGGCAGCAGTCCCGCCAGATCTGCAGCGGTGATTGATGTGCAATCTTTGAGTTTTTCTTTCCAATGGGCTATGGCCACATCACTCACTTTAGGTCTTACCGCCATTCTTCATGCGTTGCGTTTCAAAAATTCGCCGTCGTCCTATCGGTCCGGTCAGTGCTGCTCATTCGGCTATTCTACAAAGGAGATTGCCGAAGCCGCGTTTCTACGGCAGAAGGCGCGTCGAACAACCAACCCTTGCTTCCTTGCTTTGAGAGGGTCCAAGACATGTGGCTGGAGCTCCACTCCATCTATCCTCCGGCAGATGTATGCTTTCCGCCGCCACGTAATAATTCTCCGAGCAGTTTCCCCGCCGGATTCACTGTTCTCCAGACGCAGTGTGAGCGTTGAAACATGGTTCCTACGTGTTATGCAGCTGCTTATCTCATATTGATGTCTATGGATGTGTCAGATTCGGAATCGAGTTTCATTCAGTCTTGTATAAACAGTCAAAAAGCAATAAGGATGTAGGCTCGCTCAAGATCAACTACTAGGCCTAGACAATCGTCACACTACACCGCTATCTGACATTTGATGTGCAGTCGTCGGTCGCTTCGGATATAGAATCTGATGGATTTTCCTCGGTTGATCGCAGCATATAGAGGGACTTTCCGAAGACCCATTCATAATACAACATCTGCTTCACCGCTGCCAAACATCGGCCCCTGCGCAATGTGGAGGGCCGCATGAACACCAGCGGATATGCAGGAGTTGGTCCAAGTACCGGTATCATTTTAACAAGGGCGGTCATCGTCATGAACCGCCGAAATTGGAAGATTGCCCATCTCGGACACTTTCGGAACTTCCTCCGGGTCCAAGCGGCATCTAAGATCTCAACCCAATCTTCCTCCATCAGAAAAAAAGGACTCTGTTGTTGTTCAGGAGGACTAGTAGCTGGGCGGTCGTGTAGATCACCTCGGTCGCTCCATGGTTTGGTTGATCTAGTCTCGCTCGGCTCGTGACAGTTGGCTCTTGCGTCGTTGACGCAAGTTCGCTAGCGATACATGACCCAAGGCAAGTGATCTAAAGTGGAATTAGAGGCTAAATACGAAGTTCAGGGTTGTTCATGTAGTAATAGGAGTAGTCCCGATGGACCAGGTGCGCTTGTGCCTTTGAGAGAGAACGACCAGCCCGGTCGAACTGCCGGCTCTGGTTATAACGATCAAGCTCCAGAACGCTCTGACCGGCTGAAATCACTGACAGCGATATTCGTGATAACATGGCTGAAATTATGTCTTTTAAAGAGGTAGTGAATGGCATCAGGCACAAAAAAGGCTGCTACATGACATTTCAAGCCTCTAAACTGGGTGCATGGTAGTTGTATGCAGATGAGTAGGTGGGGCTTATAGGTCCTATGATCGCAAAAGTGATCAGACGTTCGAAGTTGTTTGCCTTTGCCACTTTACCTCTTTCGGAACCCTGCAGTGCCGCACGGCCATTTTTTACTTTTTATTTTTACTTTTTGCTTCTCATTAACAGCACAGTGCACTGCCTAAAATAAGAATATCGTAGCCATTAGTGACGGTTTAAAAGTCAGTCGGAGGAGGTACATGATTCGTTTTTGTTACTGGCTCGTAACTGTGAGGCGGGTTGAGGCTAAATATGCCGTCAGGCCGCACGCTTCAACTTCTTGTCAGTACAGAAAACTGGGTTCGTCGGCCATACATTCCCTTCAAACGTTTTTATTTTTGGGTCTCCCCGGGTTGATTTTGCCTGCTCCATCCAGTGTGAAGCTCCGAGATAATTTTGCAATAATGTTATCCAGTAGTCAAGGGATGTTGCTTCCGTTTTCGGCTTTACTTCTACTATAATCGTTAGAAGGTCACTGTTGACGAACACCATTTTAAGCTTCTATTCGGACGCTGCGATGCCTTTTTAAGCATGTGCAAGCTGCCGTGTCGTTTCGAACGGCCCCCTTGTGTTATTACTGAGCAGCGATATAATACGGCATTGAACCCTGACATCCAACGCACGCCATGATGACGGGTAGGTGTCGTCGTCCAAATATGAACGATCGAACCAAAGAACTAGCCCAGGGGCTGGACGGAACCGTCTGATGCTTGTACAAGAACGGAAATGTTCTCTGTTGTATGCCCTTGCTGAACGGCAACAATATCCTATCCCTTGAGGGATTTGTCGAGGTCAGCTCTCTTAAATGACAAACCTCCAAGCCAACAATCCTCCACAAAACAAGAAAGAGAAATTAGTAGAGTCAAACCGAAGTTCTTGCGTTGTGAATATCAAAAGGAAAAAAGCCAGTGCCGAAACATGCGCCTACTCTACCCTTTCGCCAGCCTCATGGCGCTCGCCAATGCGGCTGGGACCGACTCCGAGCACGGCATCAACGCTCCTACTACTCCGAACCACGATCAGATGAGCATATCTCACGACACATCGTATAATACACCCTTTCGCGTCCTTCATACCGTCATAGGGACCTCTACCGTTTGGCTGGACGACTCTTCCACTGAGCTGGATGGTTCTTCCACCAAGCTGAGCGACTCCCAAACCAAGTCGAGTGCCTCTTCCACCAGTTCCTCTTCCACGGCCTCTTCCGCCTCCATCGCTACTCCCTCCTCGCCCACGCCACTATCAATCACGAACATGACCATCTACAACAACGACAAAGACAACGACGACGACGGCAGCAAAACCATCGACACCCTCTGCACCAACCCCCAGGCCAAAAGCACCAACCTCCTCACTAACGGCAACTTCTCCCTCCCCGGCCTCGCCCCCTGGACCGTCACGGGCAACCTCACACAGCTCCCCGGCAGCCTGCCCAGCTGGGGCATCGACAGCGTGCCCAACAGCGCCTCGTCGCTAGCCTTTCTCTACCCGTCATCGTTCGACCACCCGGACAGCAACGACGTCGGCTCCTCGGCCGCCGGCGACACGACCAACGCCTTCTACGCCAACGTCCGGCGGCCGCGGCGGCGCGAGGTCACGCTGTCGCAGGAGTTCACGGTTTCGGATGGTCATCACGGCGAGAGTAGCGGTAGCACGAATGGGCTGCTTTATTTCGGGGTCAAGGTGAGGGCGAGCAGGCCGAAGCCGCCAGCGACGATGGAGTGCGACTACTACTTCTCCCCCGGCGGTGGTGCTAAGGAGCAGGTGATGGCGTTGGCTTCGGGGACGGTGCCGGTGCCGACGGTGAGGGGATCGTGGGGGGAGTGGAGCGTGCTGTTTGATGGTGGTAGTGGGGGTAGAGGAGCGGATGCGCGGCAGGGCGTGAGGTGCAGGATTGGAGTGGTGGAGGGTGATTTTGACGGGAATGAGGACGTGACGGTTTATCTGGATGATGCTGTTGTTGCCGGGTGCTCTTAGAGTGGGGTGATGTGTAGGAGGATTCTTCCTTTCATGACGTTTTGGGAAGGTGCGGAAAATTTCAATTTGAGTTAGTAGTCCATGATAAGGGAGGAATTAGACAGGTGGGATTGCGGGGTACGAGTGAAAATATGATGATAGGTTCTGGTTCCTCGTTTTCACATTCTTCGATATCAATTCCCAAGTGAACGTTCACACACCCGACTCACCAACTCACCACCAGCTACCATGGGCTTCCCGGAACCCACAGACGAGTGGTCGCAGCATAGCGGACACTGCCACTGCGGGGCGGTCCGCTTCAGCTTCAAGCTCTCGCCGCCGCTCTCGAAATACCCAGCAAACAGCTGCAACTGCTCCATCTGTACGCGCAACGGCTACGTGGTCGTGTACGCGCAGAAGAAGGACTTTGAGCTCCAGACGCCGCCGGACGCGCTATCAGCCTACACGTTCGGCCTGCAGAGGTCGTGGCACAAATTCTGCAAGACGTGCGGCAGCAGCGTCCTGATTGAGGTTATCCCGGGAAAGGGTCCGGAGCTGATTGGCGTAAACGTATGTGTCCCCTGTTCATTGCTGTTTAGCGAAGGGAAAGCTAAGATGGCACAGGTACGCATGCTGGAGGACTTCGACATGGACAAGCTGGTGTTGAACAAGCTGGATGGAAAGAGTCATGGGCCGGAGTACAAGGTGTAAAACAAGTTAGCTTGCAGACTGCACGAACCCTGATGTCTTTTGTGGCCCTTTGGCGGCTGGTGCGTGGCCAGCTATCTGCAGCCCTACGCGGATCCGCGTGGCCGTGCACCTCCGAATTTCTTAGCATGTAGCTTCAATCATCTACCATCAACCAACTACTCCACACCCCCAATCCACCATCTCTCGCCTCCTCCATGATAGCAATACGCCGCGCCCCCAATGGCGCCTCCCACGCCCTCTCTTCCCTAGCGCGCTCATCCCGCCGCTCCCCGCCACACCCATCCCGCTTCACCGCCGCCCACCGCCCCGCAACGACGTCAACACCGCGCTTCTCCTCCACGACAACATCGTCCTCAACCGACCCCTCTTCGAAACCGCCACCACCATCCTCTTCTTCTACCACCCCACCACCGCCTCCGCCCAAAGAAGAAGAAGCACAACAGCAACAACCACCCAAAAAGAAACGCTCCCTCCGCCCCCTCATCTACTCCACCCTCTTCCTGGGTGCCGGCCTCGTCGTCGGCAACATCGTCCGCTTCACCGTCGCGCCGCCGCCGCTGCCCGACGCCGGCACCGAGATGGACGAGGCGCTGCAGGGCAAGCTGCGCGAGGAGCTGGACCGCCTGCCCGTCGTGCGCGAGTTCGCGGCCAAGGCGGCGGCGGGGGCGGCAGACGGTAGCATTGCAGGAGAAGAAGAGGCTGAGTGGGTGGAGGTGGAGCCGTGGGGCGTGGGCATGCCAGCGTCGTCGTCGCCTTCGTTGCTGGCGACGGCGGCGGCGGTGCTGGGTGGAGGAGGAGGGCGGAGGGACAGCGGGGTCGTGTTGGTGGAGGAAGAGGAGAGGAAATCGCAGGGTGGTTGGTTTAGCGGGTGGGGCTCGAGTAAGAAGGACCCTGTCGTTGCCATATCGGAGACCCTGCTGGGAGACGAGAAGCATATGGTCTCGCAGACGCTGGCTGCGATGAAGGGATACGGCCCCGCACGGCGGTGGGTCAACCGCGCCACGCGGGAGTCGGTGACGGTCTTTTGGGTTGGCGGCGGGTTGAGTGGGTGGCCGGGCGTGGCACATGGAGGCGCGCTGGCGACGGCGTTTTGTGAGGCGTTTGGGAGTAAGTTTTTGTCTGATCTTCTCTTCATCTTGCCCATTTCTCTTTCGAGGAACAGCTGCGTAGATGGTGAGAAGGCTCGTTCTTGTGAAAGCTAACGTGTATGTAACAGCACCAAGCCCCGCGAAGCTGACCCTGACCTACCTCGCACCAACCATGGCGAGCAACTTCTTCGTGTTGGAGGCGGCGCCGTCGCCCACACCTGCCCCGAGCACTGACCTGCCGCCTCAGAAAGACATGACGAAGCGCCCTGTGCCGAGCGAGGAGAGGCCAGCTGATGGAGGAGAGGAGTGGAGTGGAATGCTGAGAGCGGTGCAGGGGAGAGTGTGCGTGAAGGCGACAGCGGTGGTGGCGCGGTGAGGATGGTGGCCAATTCGGACACGGATACCGTCTAAAAACGACGAGGTCTACTCTCTTTCGGAGAGTACTACGATACGATGGGAGAATCCCTTCAACGTTGCTCCATTCGGAAGCATGATACGACCGGCACGCCTCAAGGCGAAGCAGTCCCGTAGGGGGGTGTACCAAACAGATATGCCCGCGCGTACGCATAACGACGACACAGGCTAGACAAAACAAGAAGCACGAGGCAGGTAGGCACGTCTCAATGTTATAATCACAAACACCATTGGATCAAGCAATTTCATGGACTCGTAATCATCATTGTAGGCCTGAGCTACTTCCATCGACCATGCAAGATAAGCAAACAAGAGCAGAAAAGAAACTCCGATGCTACCGCATTGAAGAAAGAAGAACGGGGTATTGAGGGTATCTTCTTCATCTTTCAACCATCCGCCGCATGCAACTTCTCATTCGCACCTCTTCCACCATGCAAAACTAACCCCCGGAAAAGAAAAAAAAGGTTGAGATAATACACTTCGAATAATCGAAACCAGTCGGATGTCGAGTGGTACGGAGTTGAATCGAGGTGTGAGGCCGGACCGTCCATGTTGTTCTCGTGTTGGCGCAGGATTCATGCCGTCGGTCGTTGAGATTGAGCGTGTCGTTATCGTCCTCCAAACGGCACAAACGTGGGAACAATCAGGCGGCCCTTCGTGGGCTTTTCCTCACACCTCGCGGTTATACGTGACTTGTCGTCCGCATGCGGCGCCGGCGACCGCCCATGCGGTTGCAGGTCAGGCAGCCGATGATGATGTCGAAGACGGCGACGATACCGTTGATGATGGCCTTGATGATGCCGGCAATGCCGTTGACGACGGCCATGAGGGCCGCGCCGATGGCCTGGAAGACCGACTTGATCTGTTAGGTGAAGCGTTAGCAAGACTGCTCGGAAAGAATGGACTTGTCATGGAGACGTACGCAGGACACAACAGCGCCCATGGTGAGAGTTGGAGGTGGGTGTTTTGATGGAACGTCAGGCGAAGGGTGATGTTGTCGTAGTGGTCGCACTCGACAATTAAGTTGTTCTTTGTTTGTAGATGCGGTTGGTTGGAATGTGTGAAGCTGAAGAGGGAAAAGGTAAGGCAGCACGAGAGGCTCTTATAAACCAAGACGCTTCGCCCGCGCGCCTTCCAGACGTGCAACAACAAGCAACATAGTTATGACGTCGTGCTGGCAACAGGGCCCAGGTCTGCCCTACAGCTCGGAAATGACGCCCGCAGATACCGCACGCACGCACGCTCGCCTGATCGAGATAAGCTCATCGCCGCTCCACTTCCCGTGCAAAAAATCGCCATCGGGATCTTGTGCGAGCGCGAGAGCGGGTATGCGGCGCAAGGACCCAAGAAAACCCCATGACCCATGACATCGTGCTACGTCTTGCTTTGTCTTCGCTTCTTCTTGTCTCGGGAGGGCGCACCAGCCACAGTCGCAAGCGTTGTTTCTCGCAGCCGCGCGAAGGAACAGGAATCATCCATGCGAGCGGCGGCAGTCCAGACGCCAGAAACAGTCTCCAAATCCTGCTTTCGACCCCGACCCTGACGCAATCCCCGCGCATCGGGCAAGATGGGCTGCCCAGATCCCTGCACGCCAAAACACGGGCTCGGGAAGAATATTGGTGTCACGAAGTGGCGTGTGGCGTAATTTTCCTCTCTTCTCACTCGTTTGCAGCCACAGGTTGTCGTTGATCGCACAGAATCCCGATTGCATCGCAAAGGGCAATCGCGCATCTCCCACGGACGAAAAGAGGCTGTGGCTAATGCAGTTTCCCTTTCCGGCGCATGCTTTTACCCCAGCTCTGCCGCTCTACCCGTCTAGGCCAACCATTCATGCAGAAACGCTAACGTGCATCCCACACGCCTGATGCAAGTACTTGCCGTGGTGGTCATCATCATCGCATTCCGCGGAGAGCCAGAACGGCGATGCGCGATGTGAGAGCATCCAGGCCGAGGGTGAAGCGAGGGGAATGACGTCACATTCGCGAAAGAGCCCCGTTGCGTCAGCAAGGAATCCCTGCCGCAGGTCTGGGAAAAAGGGTGCTTGGAGGTGGGGCCCTTGCGCAAGCAGGCGTGCACTGACCGCTTGCAATCGGGTCCGCAACGTTCGTTCTTCTCTCCCATTCCTTAGATCTCGTGTGAAATACAACGCGTGACGGCCTAGAATCCACCTTGCTCTCGTCAGCCGCATCTTGTTTAGTCTTGGCGCTTTGTCCGTTGTCGAGGCCTTCATCAATGAGCAACGGATATGCATCATTGCGAGAGGAAGAAGTAAGAGAACCGATATCTGTCCAGGTTGCATACTTGATTCCTGCAAGATGGACGGAGAAATGCATATCCTTCAATCGCTTCACCATGTTGCTTGATCGATTCCGTGTCTCATCTTGAGTATTAATTCACCAAAACATCACCACCGCCGATCAATTAATCATCTCGCCTCGCTAAACGTTTTTATGGAAAGCCGGTTGTCCCCATCCCTTCCTCGTCCCAGTCGACGAAGAGAGAAGACGAAGCCTCGCCATACCTGCTACATATCTTCATCGTATTATCCATCGTTCATCCACCCTCTTCCGACCATTAACAACCCATGTCAAATGATTGAAAGGGAAAGACCATGGAAACCTCCCATGCTGAAGGAACGGGATTATGCTGACGTGGATTTTGTGGGAACCGGCCGACTCTAATCTTGCGCCAATGGATATGCAGATGCTTGAATAATCAAAGGTGGCGCCATGCTGTGCCTCCGATGCAATGTAGTATGTGTGTTCCCCATGAATAACCCGTTTCCTACAAACTCCGCGTCCTTGCCTAAAATCGTTCGCACAAATTTGCGTTTGTTCATTTAATCGTTAATTCATATCGTCAAAGAAAAAGAAAGTTCCGATCGCACTTTACGAGGTTGACTTGCGACCAGCCGGATACTGGTGCGGCTCTACTGGCGAGATGGCATCAGGAGACTCCTGGTAATCACCCTCCTCGCGATGCTCCGTAATTTGCCTGTTCAGCTGCGAAAGCTCGGGGATCCCGGTTGGTGTACCCATGCGCGAGATACGGTCAGAGCTCCTTGCGGTCCCAAGACTGGTTGCTCTCTGTCGCCCACTGCTGCTGGCTCGGGTGCGTGGATGTCCGTGGCTGGTGGATCGAGAATGGCCAAGGCTGTTTGTACGCGAGTGACCACCGGGCATGGGCTCCTGATCAAGGTCCATATCAAGGAAGTCGCGTGAGCTCCAGCTGGCACGGTGCACACGAGCCGTGCGGGGTAAGCTGGTGTACGACATCTGGCTCATGATGCTAGCCGGGCGTCTGCGGCCTGCCGGAGTCGGTGTACCGTCTTCACTCGTCCTGGCATTTGCGAGACCCTGCAGTGTCATTTCGGATCCACGAGGGTCATTGCCGATGTCAGCAAGGAAATCAGGGTCCTCATCTTCAATCTTGGCAACCCGGCGCACTGAAGACACGTTGAAGCCTACTTTGGGTTCTTCCGGTGTTGGTGGAGGAATCACAGGCGCTGGAGGTTCGGGCGGAAGGTCTTTCATCGCTTTGTCCATGTGCGCGAAGTATTTGTCGCGAAGGTTCCTCCAATTCCGCGGCCTGAACTCGTCCTTCTCGCGGTGACGCTTCACAGACATCCAAGTGGAACAAGCGCCCACGATGATGGAGATCATCAGGAAGATGGTCAGGACTCCTTGGATAACGATGATGACAATGCCGATGACAGTCGTGGTGATGCGTGCGATGTTGAAACGAATATCGAATGCTGCAGAGAGGGCCACGGTGGCGACTTTGCTGAATCCCAGGAGGTAGATCATCATGGCGTTCAGACGCTGAGACTCGAATGGGCGCATAATTATGATTGCAACGAAAGCCAAAAACTCCACTACGAGGAGGCCGAAAACTTGCACCAACGGATGACCGGATGCACCCGCGAGAAAGCAGGCCCGGACGAACTCGTAGAAGAGCCAACAGGTGAAGAACCACCAGCGAGTACGTCTAAAACGCGAGGCAAGCCATCCGAATTTCTTGGTATACTCTTCGTCTTCGTGCACGGATTTCTGGGTCTCTGGGCTGTTGTGAGAGATACGCCAAAAGGGTAGGCTGCCAGCGTAGACTTTTTCCTCATCGTCCTGAAGAGAACTTGCTCTGGAGAAGCGGAACCAGGGGATGCAGCCGAGGACTCTTCGACGTTCCAGATTCAGACGATCCGGCTCAGAGACGTAGTTGCCAACTCTCACCCGGTAGTAGCAAGCGTATCCGGCCACGCCAAACATGCCGCAAAGGAAGATGGCGAACACGATTGCAGCCACGGCCAGGACTCCGGGGGCGCCCTCGTAGGTGAACTGGAACAGGGTGAGGAATATCATGGCGAAAAAGCCAATGAAGAGCGTTCTCAGAGTGGCCAGCACCGTGTATCCAAGCCAGTGGGACCTGAAGTATGTGAGACGATCCCTCCTGAGAGCCTTGATGCAAATAAGCCCCTCGACGAGCCATTTGAATGCAACAACAGAAGCTGCGACGATCACCAGCAGGATCAGAAACCAGAGGAAGCCGGTCATGAAGGCATTGGAAGCCGGGATATCCTCTTGAGCTAGGGTGCCAGCGAATCCCGAGTAATTTCCAGGTAAAGGAAGACCGGGCTTGACAGGATTGCCATACCAGTCATAACCATCGCTGCTACCGGCAAGTGCGCGCTTGGAAAGAGCTCTCTCGAGACGGGGTGAGTGGTGATCGAAGATGTCTTTTCTCCAAAGATGCATGGCAGCCTTCTTAACAGTCTTTTTGATAGCTCTCCGGTAGATCAAGGAGATGTCGTAGCCACCACCGATGTTGCTGTTGTCCGAGTCAGGACTTGCTGCACCGACAGCGGAGGTATTTCCCATATTCGAGCCAATGAAATTGTTGATGGAGTTCTGCATGGACTCGGTGTAGATCATGCCGGCAGACCATGCGTAGTTACTCCAGAATGCGACAAGCACGCTTGGCCAGTTCATAGACAATGCTCCAGTGAAGAAGATGTGCTGCAAAACAGCAAACACCACGAAGATCGACATCGAGTGTGCGTAGTGCTTGCGCATTGCCGGCACATCACTTCCATATATGGCAGTAGCGAAGGAAGCAACCAGAGCGATGAACGCGAATATTCCCAGAATCGATCCGACGGCATACGGGTGTGAGAACGTGGCTCCGTTTGTGATGACTGCAGAATAACAGCCAATGAGCTGCTGTGTGGAGTTCGCAAAGATGCGGAGGATTGCTTGGCCCTCAAAGTCCGGAATAGTGTATGCAATACCTGCTTGGTATCAGTCATCATGCCATGAATCATGTGCGGCGATCATCTTACTTGGGATATTCTGGACATCGGACTGCGCAACTGGAATAATTCCGCTTGCTTCGATCGAGACGTTGTTTCGCACAGGGCAAAGGCTGTCGATGTTGGCGTTGCAAGGGTTGAAAATGAGCTCGAATTGGCTTTCACCGTAGGCGTAGACGGCAATGTACACTGCGCCGGTCAGCACTCGGAGCCATTGACTACCTAGCAAATCACTTACTCATCAACCCTTCACTCTCAATGTTGGTATCGCCTGCCAAATGGAAAAGCACGGTCATGTTGTCCTTGTAGAAAGCGGCGTCGAAGCGAGTGACATTGATGCTGCTGTCGCCCATGCAGTCCCCAAAGTCCGAAGTGTACAGCGAGGGCTGGCGATTGTCCCTGACCAGGACTATCTCGCCATCGACGGTAGCATCGACGTAGGTGACGCCGTCAAGGACGGTCTGGGAGAGGGCGATTTGGAGAAGCGAGAGGAAGGCGAGCAGCGCTAGCCATGGCGACCGTGGCTCCATGGTGTCCGTGGGGATTTGGGAGACTCAGGATGGTCGCATAAAAGCCAGAAGTGAGAGTCGGAAGCCGGCAGAAGTAGGTCGCGCCCAGGCTCGTACCCAGCCACTCGGGGCGAATTGGCGGCCAACGCGAGGGACCAAGGAACGCCTTTACGACGCAGGGTGAGGTGGACAGCGCAGTGGCCAGAGGAACGAGAACAGAGCGCGGGGGAACGGGGAGTGCGCAGGCACGCGGAGGGTCCAGGTCCGGGGTGAATTTGCGCGGATTGCGGCGTCCAGGCCGGGAGCGTAAGGAGTCTTTGTGCTGCACCGGGTGAAGCGGTGGTGCGCTTTTCTTTGGGCAGTGATGCGAGCAGGGCAGCGGCTTCTTGAAGGGTCGGCGTCGTGCTGGAGCAAGCTCGGACGGGATTGAAGCGCCGCACCGCGCCGCACCGGGGCTCTTGCGGTGTGGGACGTATGCGGGATATGCCAGAGCACACTATCGCGCAACGATAGGCGCGGGAAGGTGCGGAATGGAGTTCGCGGAAGGAACGAATCCCGGCTCTCGAGCGGCGGAAAAGTGGGCGGGTAGCCTGTGCGTAGCGCCCTGTCAGCAGAGACCCTGGGGAACTGCGCTGGACGCGCCCGCGGCGCCCTCGCCGCAGGTTTATGTATAGTCTCGTAGCGCTGCACTTGCAACCTCGCCGCATCTTGTCTGACGCAGCACAGGAATGGCGCGCGCGCACCATCTGCCGCTCGGGCCGGCGGGCGTTGGTCTAGCTTGGAGCTGGCGCCAGCCAAGCGGGCACATCTCCCGGCGATTCTTGCCTGCCCTGACAACCCGCACTACGTGGCTGCCTCACCACCTGGCCTCCACCAATCCGTTGACTCACGCCCATCATCGCCGCCACAGGCAAGGCTCTGCTGCATCAGTGCGGCTGAGGCCAGCAGCGACTAGCTCAAATCCGCCGCGTGCTGGCTCTTCTGTCATGATGCAACGGCGACTGGCTCAATGACTTCATCCCGTTTCTGCTACACACTCATCCTGCGCCAACGGCTTCTGGCATCCGGTTTTGGACTCTAGCCTACCCCAGATGCGGCATGGGCATGCCGCCATGAGGATCATTAAGGTGCTCCATGATCGTATTGATGTTCAACGCGAGGAAGATCCTGGGGACCACTTTATTGCAGCTGAACTTGCGGCCTCCCTCAACACCGCGCAGGCTTGCGCTCGCGTCACCGCGCCTACGGGATCTTCACCGCTCCGACCACCGCACGAGTGCACACTAAACCTTGCGGCACGGACGGACCGTCTGTCAATCATGCGCGCTAACTTAACGTCGTCGTACTTTTTGCCTAGTTTTCTCAGCTGGCAGAGAGCCTTCTTGTGATTCTTCTTTATGCTTTGCGAAGGGTGTGTCATCGTACGACTGGACGCTTGCAGAGCTGCCGGCCCGATTTGACCAGCTCACCGACCGCACGAAACGTTTCAGAAATGATGCGCAGAAGAAAAAGGAATCATCGCCGGGCTCGGTGAGCTGGAGAACAGCTCAGTCGGGGTTCTCCAAGCACGGCACGCCTGGTCAGCGTAGTTTGACTAAAGCTTGCGTAAGAATTCACTCACGTCTGTGATTGGAGGACTAACACTTTGAATTTCCGTATTCAGAGCCTACGCGTTATCTCTGGCCTCGTGCGAATTTCTCACTGCTGCACTCCGCTTTCCGACTCCGATTGTCCATGGCTAAAGCCGATTCGTCGCATTCCAATCCTCACCTCCACCTCTCATCCACGGTAGAGTGTCTCATCAATGCCGAAGGATTCCTCGTCCTTTTGCTTGTCCTATGAACTTGCCATGCACGTCGCTCGATTGGTAAGATCAACGCGCACCTTCGTAAGCTTATTGCCGCAACTGGTGGTGCGCTCGTTGATGGGATACTTGCGTACCATCACATGCGTAGAGCAATCAACCAGAATATGGCGTTGGCCGGCAAGACTTATCTTGCCAACTCGGCGCAGAAGTCCAGACTCGAACATCATTGCTATGTGCGCTGCGTGCGGTCATCAGAAAAATGGGTCCATTGTTCCAGAGCCTTCACCGCCTCTGTATGTACTGATCAGCGTTTTGAGGCTCTCTCGCCACTCCGCAGTGGCTGGTAGACGGCGCGCCTGAAGAAACGCGGAGCTGAGCCGATTCGGCCCTTCCTTTTAGCCTTTCAATCCTACGCGTACGACACCTCACCACCTCCGTCACCAGCTCCTGAAGATCGTATAGGATCACTTACCCAATCATACAAAGGCCTCAATTCTATCCGCTCACCCGTCGCTCAGCTGCACTCATGGATTGAAAGGCTTCATCCTTATTGTTATGCCTTCTCAGTCACTATTATCCCCGGCCTGCCTTTTATTGCTCTTCTTCCTGATCTTTTTTGTGTGAAAGAAAATAAAAACACTGATAGCTTTTTAATTATCCAATGTTTAGTGCAGCCAAGAGTAGAGTGACAAAGCAAGTTGAGCTCCTTACGTGGAACCTCACAAGTCACATTCCCATATCTAGCATCCTCACAGCTATTTTATCCGTATTGTGCGGTATATAACTCCCACAATTAAGAAGAGTTAAATTTAGCTTTTCAAGATCAATTTTGTCATGCGATCCCGGAAAATGGTATCACGCTTTAGCGAATCTCTCGATTCTATGCACATACGAGCAAACAGCAAGGATTATGAGAAAAGAGAAATAACAAAGCTTACAACAGCTGAGATTCGCAATGGCTGCCCACTTGAGTACTAATTGGTCGATTTTTTTTAGAGCGTGCTCTCATTGGAGATCAGCACTATGTGTAACTCCTTCGCACATTCAGCCAGTAGATCAGCGGGATCACAACGGTATCAAATCATGAAGAACCTCTGAGCCTCTTTACATACCCAACCAGCGCCCCAACCGCACCCCCTCGCTTATTCTCTCCCCTCGCATAGTCTACCACATCCGGCGTCGTCACCAGATCCCCAATCCGCGTATCGCCGTGCCTCAGCGCAAACTCCATCAGCGCGTCTAAATCCAGCGGCTGCTCCGCAAGCCGGCACCACGCCGCGGCGTCCAACGCCTTCAAAGCAGAGCGCGCCCAAGTAACGCAATTCTCCTTCGGCCCCTCCTCCTCCTCCCCCTCCCCCTCCCCCGCGCTCTCCCTCCTCGGCAACGGCACCGTCTCGAAGAATCGCATCAACTCCTCCTCCTCGCCCTCCACCATCCGCCCGGCGCAGATCTTCCCCACCCGCACGGCGCCCAGGTACCGCGTGATCTCGAGGAGAGAGCTGCTGGTCTGCCGCCGGAAGATCCAGTCGCGGTCCGGGTTGACGTCCGTGCCGGCGTCGTCGAGGACGATGCCGTCGGTGACGTCGAAGCGGTGGAACTCCGAGCGGGCGCCAGTGGCGGGGGTGATGACGATGCTCCAGTGGTAGGCGGCGAAGCCGAGGCGGGCGCGGTGCTCGCCTAGGGAGAGGTGGCCGCGGTATTGGAGGCCGATGAGGATGCTGGGCTCCGAAGTCCTGAGGGATGGCATTGGTGGTGGCGGTGGCGCCGGCGCCTTGTGCGAAAAATCTCGAGCCGGTTTTTGGTGGATGCTTGATGCACTGGGAAAGGGGTGCTGCCGAATAAGATGCTGAGACGGACTTCTTCTCGGGCTGGTGATGGCCAATCAGACACGTGTGAGGGCTTCAGATTTCGAACTTGAAGGAGAGTGATAATGAACAAAATTCAGCGTGCGCTTTTGGTACTATGTTCTGGTTAATTTCCCACTAACGGCAAGTATGTCGGGCGGGTATGTCGGTCTTCTGTTGAACTAGGTGCAAACAAAGTCTTGCTGTGCCGCATCGCAAAAGTATCCGAGGATCTTCGCCTAAAAGGTAACGACGGCTACCGCGGCCCAGACTGTTCAACCTATACAAAAATACTTCACGAGCCACCATTATGTGTCCTTTCTTCCTCCACGTTCTTTTCTGCCTTCACTTCTCGTTCAATCGGTCCACGGTGCCGTCATCTGGCCTCAGAATCGACCAGAATAATTAAATTGAAACGCAATTGTTGAGGCTTGAACGAGCTGCCTTGTTCCAAATTTTCCTCCTGCAGAGAGAGATATGTTGTCAAAGGTGATGGTGATAGTGATACTACTCTGTGCAGTTGGCGGGGAAGCGGGGATGGGCATATGGCTGTGTAGGTAGTGATTGATACGTATGCGGATACGTAATGAAGCTAATATAAGGGCCTATCGGACCTTATCATTGGGAATTTAGTCTGTAGGTTGATGGCTTCTGGCATTGGGTTTTAATTGCATCGCCCGACAGAATGCGGGGACTTCAGCTTGAGGCATAGCGCGTTTGAAAGAAATCGAGCAGTTTTCCAGAAACACTGAGGCCTTACTATGGAAAACTTCCAATATCTTTCTGCATGGGCTGCTTGGATGAAAGGACAGTATCACATCTGAATGGAAAATGTGGCGGTGCTCGTGACCCGGGGGATGTTGTTGTCGTATTTGGATCGTCCTTTTCCAGGGTTTTGCGGCACGGGCCGTCTGAACTAGCTAGATTTTTGTCGTGGAGGTCTTAGCTCTTCACTACGCCGCTTTCGATATTCGGCATTTTCCCTTTATCTTTCCTTTTTTGAGGAGGGGCGGTGTCAATATCACAACAAAGTGGCGCAGTAAATGAGCCTGCCGTGACCGAGTCATTCATACTTTACCATTGCATGACAAATAATTTGATTGCAAGAGCAATGTTTGCAGGTTGTTGGACGGGTCTCCACTCTGTCAAGAGGGCGAGAAATATGATTTGAGGGCGGAGAGTTAAGAGGAGAAGAGAAGTGAAATTCAGTTATATGCTCGAAGTCTCAAGAATATAGACTTGATGCCGCAAATTAGAACATTAGCGACAGACCCTTGTGCCATACAAATTATTTCTTGTTCGCGATCGTAAAGGGCTATGTCGAGAGATAAACTCTATTAGATAATCAATACACATGTCTACCCCTATCAGTTCGAAACTCTTCGTGTAGGAAATGAAGAGCAACAAGCTGTTACGCGGCGGTTGACGTGTAGGATTCTTCCTGAGCCCAGGATTCACGTCAACGGTTAGCTTGTAGAGGCTCAAGCACTCACGATTGAATCATTGGCTAGGAGCAGACGTTGGAAAAATGATACAACCCCACATGCAACGGTGGGGCTTCCCATGAGTTGTCATCCATTCCCGCTACGAATGAAGTGCGCACAGCCACTAACCTTGATGCTTGTTGGGCTCAGGAGACAGTTGGAATCGGCGGGCCTTTTATTCGGCTCGGATTTTAATTAACTTGACGAGCCACGCGTCGGAGATTCGGATTTGCCTCATTCTTCGCATGAAATGTAGCCCTGTTGCTGAGCCGGCCAAGGCATCCGAAGTGCGGGATATCCGATCGATCAATGGATCTTCAGCAAATGGCTCCCGTGTGATTCGATAACGCCACAAACTGCTGACACGGAAAATATTGTCGCTTGTCCGAGGACTTTGTGCAGGTGAAAGCATGTTAAGATGAAGAATTCTTTGTAGCCGTAGAGAGCAGTTGATGCGAGAACACAGCACCGTGACGGCCTCGATCGAGTCCAGGGTCGTCACCGAAGGAAGCACTTGCGACTTGGCATCGGCGTCGAGACCATATTGAGGCGGTTCGGTGCGGATTCACGGCGATACGAGGTGCAGGGTCGCGATATGGGCGGGCGAGCTGAAGACACTATGCAGCAGAATGTGATGTTAAGCACATACTACAGAGGTGGTGAACGGAGCAGGGTCAAGTTGGGCGAATGCGCGGCTTTTGGCAGGCGACGAAGCCGGGCCAAGCAGACGAAAGCATGTTGTCGGCGTTGTTTAGCGAACTCCCAATCGGGAACGCTAGTCCGCAAGGGGATGGTCGGCGCTTACACGGTGCCTGCCAGCCAACCACCACCTGCTCATCTCCTGCTGCTCATCACTTCTCCACCTCCCGCCCTGCCCCATCACGTCCATGCCGGCAATGCAGGTCCTGATTCCTGCGCCCTGGCCCCGGCCTGCGCGTCGTCGTCAGTCTGCCGACGCCACCTGCGCCCGGCTCGCCCACGCTTTAGGAGCACGCGGCCCGTCGATTGCTGGCTCCACCCCGTTCTCTGCTCTCTGATTGCGCCGTCCGCCTTCAATAGCGTGAATCTCGGTCCAGCTTGGCAGAGAATTTGCTCCGTCTCCGAGTCATCGAGGATTATTCCGACGGATCTGGCCCGCGTGTGACCACCGCCGCTGCGTGCCGCCAACGTCGTATCTTGAAGTGCATGGTAAGGATGCAGGAGCGCATCTTGTCGGCTGCTGGCCGAGCGATCGCCACCGGTGCGCGCAGCCAATGCCGGCATGCATGCTGCCGCTCAATATCGCGGAGAGAACAGCTCTGGCCTCGCATCACGCCTTGGCCCGCCCGGGTGGAACAGCGTTGAGCGCACGCGGTTGGGCGGAGCTGCCGTGGGTCTTGCAGCGCGCAGTGGATCCCGGCCGGTCCCTTCGACCCTTGCTGCGTGCATGCATCTTCTCCGCTTCCGCAAGGGCCATAAATGAAACCTTCTGCCCCCAGTCACGGACAGCTTAGCAGCGCGTCCGATGCTGTACCACCGCTTCAAACTCCAGCAACCTGACGCTCCGTCTATTCCCGTCCAGCGCCCTGCGAACTGATTTTACCGGGCTCCAAGACATCGTGTCTGCACCACCACGCTCTCCACTCACCGCACGCGAACCGCTCCTCGCCCTCACCGCTCGCTCTGCTGCACCCTCCCCTCAAATATTTGTGCCAATGCCGACTTTTGCGAACGTCTCTTCCGCGGTCCAATGTGCCCAGTAAGATCTCCTTGTGAGAGCTGCTGGCCGTCATCTGTCGTCGCATAGCTTCGCGCCCCGTGCGGACCTGGACATCCCGGAACCAAGGCACTATTACCATGCCCGCTCTACCGGATTTTGTCCGCGGAGTCCCTGGCGCTGCCCTTGAGCAGCTGGGGGCCTTTGTGGGCCGCGGTACCCCAGGATCAGCTTCCGAACTGGCAAAGCGTATCAACATCCCTTACAACAGCACGAGTCCTCCGGGCCTGATAGAGGCCAACACGGTTGATCCATGGAACGACAGTGGGAAATACGCTTTGGGCATGGTCTATTTCTGCGTCATCTTGTTGTTCATTTCGTCATCCCTGCGCTTCTATCACTTTTTCACCGATAGAGTCCGCGCCGGGTTACATCAGGAAGAGGTATTGAAGTCGTCGAACACCACATCACCCGATTCGGACTACGAGATGTCAGTGTTGTATACTGACAAGTCAACCAATAAGTTCTTTCCACGAACAGGAGAGCTGCCCCAGCCTCCCAAGGTGCAGTCGTCAGTTTCGTCCTTCGCGCCTCTCAACAACCTGATCGCCCTGTTCCGCTTTATCTTCTATCATCCATTGCCGCAGATAAATATAAAGAAGGGCTGGAGACCGATTGTCTTCCCGTCTCTCGGCGTCGTCTGTGTCTTGGCAGCTGCCTTTGTCTTCACCATCTTGTACACCTTCATCCCTCAACCACTCTTCTGGGAGAGCATCCAATATGGATCGCCCCCCATGGCAATTCGATCTGGCATGTTGGCTGTTTCCTTGATGCCTTGGATTATAGCCCTGAGCATGAAGGCGAATTTCGTTTCCCTCTTGACTGGCATCGGCCACGAGCGGTTAAATGTTCTTCACCGCTGGGGGGCATATTTGATGCTTATTTTAAGTATCATCCATACCGTCCCTTTCTACATCACTCCCGTCTGGGAAGATGGAGCACTCCCGCTTTACCAAGCGCTGGTGAAGGGCGAGCACTTCTACCCGTACGGCACAGGTAATGACCCAGACTTTCTTCCGTCTTTCAAAGCTCTAACGCACTGCAGGAATTGCTGCGCTTGTGCCTCTGGCCTTTTTGTGTATCCACTCACTTCCTCACCTGAGAAGTTGGATGTACGAACTCTTCGTTGCTGTCCACGTTCCAGTGTCTATGGTCTTCTTCGGGATGCTGTTTTGGCACTGCAACAATTATCTCAACTCTTGGCATTTCCTGTTTTCCACTCTTGCCATCTGGATATCTTCCTACCTATACAGACTCTTCTACCTGAACTGGACCAGCCCCAGGAAGATGTCCTGGCTGATTGGAGATGAAGCAGCGGTTACTATTATGCCGGAAAACGCCGTCAAAGTAACGATTCCAACGCAAAAGAGGTGGAGGCCAGGCCAGTACGTCTATTTGCGCATGCCCGGTATCTCGGTCTTCGAGAATCACCCTTTCACCATTGCTTCTCTCTGCAGCAAGGACTTTCCTTCCAGCTACGGCGAGGACTATAGAGACATGGTTTTGGTCTTCCGCCCATTCGGAGGATTCACGAACAAGGTACTTATGAGTGCCATTGAGCGAGGACCCTGGCACACATACCGCGCTTTCATTGATGGACCCTACGGAGGCATGGAACGCCGTTTGGATTCGTTTGATCACGTTGTCCTGATTGCTGGTGGTAGTGGTATCACGGCGATCGTGAGCCAGCTGCTGGATCTTATTAAGAGAATGAGGGATGGGAAGGCGGTTACCAAGAGTGTGCAAGTCGTGTGGGCATTGAAGCGCCCGGAGACGATGGAGTGGTTCAAAGAGGAGCTCAGGATATGCAGGGAATTCGCACCTCCGGACTCGGTCCACTGCCAATTTTACATCACGGCCGCCAAACGACTTGCCAGATCCGGACAACTTGTCAGCGCGCAAACGCCAACACGACCAATGAGCACGTTCTTCCACGACAAAGTCAACGACGCCTTCCAAGACATTGCTGACAAGCGGTTCTCAGGTGTGTCGGCTTTCAAGAGACATTCGGCGTTAATAGCAGACGAGGCCCAAGGCGACCCGGAACGCGAGAAGGAGCTCCGCTCTGAGAACGAAGACGCCATTACCGCACTACCGCAAGCTCATATGGTTCCTGTCAACCGTGGACTCGGACTCGTAACCCCTGATGGTCAACTTTCCCCTCCCACATCCCCGCGTTTAATCAACAGACCAGCTGAACGGAAGACCCTTGCAGAGAAGCGCCGCTCCCGGAACCTTTCTGTGGATATCGCCACGGCCGTCGCAAACAACCCCGCGTTGAATCAGGATGCCGCTCAACCAGCAGCACAACAAGCTTTTGATTTCGGTTTCCCATCCACCCCGACCGAGTTCCAGAAGAATCTGATGCGTTTTGCCTTCCTTCCAGCCGCTGTTAAGAAGAAGGATGGCTGGAGTACCGAGTACGGCCGTCCGCAGATCCCATACATGTTGCGCCAGTTCAGCAAAGAATTCGGACGCCGAACTTGTATATTCGTGTGTGGCCCGCCCAGTATGCGCATCGATGTCAGCCATACGGTGGCGCAGCTCCAGAAGGAAGTATGGAGTGATCCAGACAAGGACGAGATTTTCTTGCATGCGGAAAATTACGCCATCTGAATCTCCACAACAGCACACTCATGCCACGTTATGTCGAATAAGCACTTGCTGCTTTCACGGATGTACAGCATATTGGCGTTATTGTTTATTTTGGGCGTTTTACGGTTTGGATACCCCGCTGCGTTTCCCTTTTGTTAATAAGTTTCCGTCTTGTTGTCTATATTTAGAGGCCCTAGTTGGATGGGTCGTCGTCTATACGTTGCTACTCGGGGAACATTGAACGAAACCCGAAGAACAGGAGAAATAAGAAGTGAATGTATCGTCCTTCTTTCCTTGATATGATGCAATGCTTATGTCTCAAGTGTGCTCATGAATGTCGATCTGCGGCCTGATTTGCGTACTTCGCCCTGAATCCCTTCCGTGCGTCCGAGTCTTGAATACTTCGTGGGATTTGGAGAAGCAACCACCGAGGTCTTGCTTAATCTATTGACACATTGTTACACGCGCATTCAATCGATAGTTATTCCATTTCGCCACTACCTTCTCGGTCTCCATACCTCCGTTGTACCAGATGCCCCTCATCCATTGATTGGTGGACCGTACCCCACCCTTCCCCTGGTGGTTGGCTCGGGTGATCATCATACCTGGAGTGTTTGCGGGGAAGCGTCGCGCTCTTACGGAATCCAGGAAAAAATGGCGCTCGGGTGGAACATGGCGACTTTGTTCTAGTACGCACGGAAAGCTTTTTGCGGGAAGTGAACTGTGACGTCCATGTATGCATCGAGGAGTATACCTTGTTGTAGATGAAGAGGCCCTGATCATATTTATTGCTTCGCACTGCTGATGAGTTGCCCTACAGATCAAGCTCCAATTGGCTTTCACAACAGACAATCATGTTCGTGAATCGTTTCCTCGCCTTCGTCTCGCGCGCTTGCGTCTTCCTATTCGCGCTACTCGTCCTCGGCAACAACCTCGCCGCCGACAAGAGCAGCGTGGGCTCACTGACCATAAGGAATGATCGCAAGGAATGCACGGTGCAGCCGGGCGGCAGTAATGCTACTGATGACGCCGTCGCCATCCGCGCAGCCTTCGACGAGTGCGGACACGGCGGCAAAGTCGTCTTCCTGAACGAGACGTACTACGTCAACTCTGTGCTCAACACGTCCGGGCTCGAGGATGTCGATATCGAGCTTCACGGAACGCTCCTGGTGAGTCCAAGCCACATTTTCTACCCTTTCTACCTCTTTTCTCTGATGTCCGATGAGAGTAAATTTCTCGGGATGCACTTACTGACTGGCAGGATCTCACAGTGGTCCACGGATGTAGATTACTGGCTGAACAACTCCTTGCCCATGGGCTATCAGAACCACACCACAGCGTGGATCTTCGGCGGACACGGTGTACGGTTCCAAGGCTTCGGGTACGGCACGTTTGACGGCAATGGCCAAGTGTGGTACGATTTTGCAGGCTCGGTGTCAAACTATCCGCACAGACCGCATCAACTCACTATCTGGGAGACGTATGACTCGGTGTTTGAGGGGCTGCGGTTTGTTCAGAGTCAGATGTGGTAAGTTGTACATTGATTTGCCTCTCACGTAGATCTGCAAGTCGCTCTGCTGTTCGTGAGGGATTTGACTGCTGATTTGGGGAATATTTTTTCTGTTTCAAGGACGATGACGGTCAAGAACTCGGAGAACGTCCTTCTGCAGGACATCTACGTCAACAACACCAGCGAGAATGACTCCAGCGCCCGAAACACGGATGGGGCGGATACAATCTATGCTAAAAACATTACCTTCAACCGTTGGCACATTGTCAACGGCGACGACGGGTAAGAACAGAAATTGTCGCAGATATAGAAGACTCCTGCTAATCGTCTGCCAAAGTATCGCTATAAAAGCCAACTCCTCCGAGATATACATATACGACACCATTTTCGAAGACGGGCAGTCACTGGCCATAGGCAGCATCGGTCAATTTCTCAATTGGTACGAATTTATCGAGAACATTTACGCTAGAAACATCACCCTAATCAATACCCGGTAAGTTGACCTACTTAATTTCTTAACATTTCCAACCAACGGGAGGATGACTAACACGGCCACAGATGGGCAATGTAAGCCTCCCCTCGTAACTGAAACAAAGAGACTTCTTAGCACTCACAATAACAGCTACCTCAAAACCTGGACTGGAGTCCAGAAAGGCTACCCACCCAACGGCGGCGGCGGCGGCCTCGGTTGTACGTCCCACTCCATTCCTTAACCCATGTCCTCAACCATGCCTGATGCCATCTCCCCCCGGCAACCGATACTTACTACTCGATTCCGGCAACAGACATGCGAAACATCACCATGGAATCCGTGACCCACGTCCGCACACGCGGTCTCTTCCAAATCACGCAATGCACATCGTAAGCATAGCCACATCCCTCTTTCGACGGCCCTTCAAAATATTAGAAAAGGGCGAAAAAAAGAAACACGAGTGAACCAAAGGCAACACTGACGATGAGAAAAACAAAAGTTACAACGACGAATCCGGCGACTGTGACACCTCGCGCTTCCACATCGGGCCGGGCATCACGTTCCGCAACCACACGGGCACGACGACGGCGACCGAGGCCGCCGATCTCCAGTGTTCGGCCGACGCGGACGGCTGCGACGGCGTCGAGATCAGTGGAATAGATGTGACGATCGTGGGCAGCAACGGCACGGTCGTGGACGGGTATGAGTGTAGTAATGTCGTAGAACCGACCGTCGGGTTCGTTTGTGACGGTGAGGAAGAGGATGATGGGGACTAGTGATGGACGACGACTGACGTTGTATGCCTTTGTCCGGATGGTGCAGGTCTGAGACGGGGGGTATCGCTGTTGATTGACAGACAGAGGAGGTTCTCATGAAGTTTGCAAATAATCTCGGTTTATTCTTAACATTTCGAGTACCTGTTCCCATGCTACACAGTTCAACATGGCTCTAACACAGTAGGTCCTCAATTGATCACAATTCTAGTCCAGAAGTGAACAAACATGTCACTCTGGTAACTGATACTTGGCTGTATACGCATAGACAATCTTTATTACACACCAATCATGAAACTCGTATACAACATTCCGCATTAAAGGATGAATAGTAATAAGTATCCAAGGCAGCCTAGCTCATCAACAAATTCGTCGCCCACGACACGTTCAGCGTCCTCAGATCACTGTAGTGCTGACCCGTACCCAAAAACACGACCGGGATGCCCGTTGCGTGGACCATCGACACCAGCGTTCCCACCATGTCTCCCACAGTGTCGCACTTGCTGATAATAAAGCCGTCTAGCTTCCTGCCTGTGCCGAAACTGGCGTTGAAGTTGCGTGCCTGTGCAACCGAGTCGGTACCGACGAGCGCCTCGCCGACCATGAGGATCTTGTCCGGGTTGGCCAGCTTGGCGAACTTCTCGAGCGAAGACATGAGACGCTGGTCGTTGTGGCGGCGACCGGCAGTGTCGATGAGAACGACATCGTACGGGGTCGCCGGAGAGCTGGCATGCTTGACGGCATCGGCGGCGATGTTGGCTGCGTCCTTGCCGTAGCCGCGCTCGTACAGATCTACGCTGCCGCCTTCACGCGCGGAGAGCTCTTGGAGGTTGCGCACGTGGACGCGTAGCTGCTCGACAGCACCACTACGGAAGGTATCGGCCGCGACAACAAGGACACGGAACTTATTTTGCAGGAGGAAGTAGCAGATCTTGGAGAGGTTGGTCGACTTGCCAACGCCGTTGACACCTACGATGGAAATGACGTAGGGACGAGGACTTTGCATGGAGAGAGCGGAGGGTTGGTTGACGTTTTGAATGGCGCGGAGGAGATCCAGGGATGTTGTAGGCGTAAGGATTTTGCGGAGCGCGGACTCCATGCTGTTGCGAATGGTTGTCTCCACACCTGCGAACACTGTTAGTAAAGCTTTACTGCCAAGGCGACGATTGACTTACTGGTGAAACTGCTGGTCTTCACGCCAATAAGATCGTGCTCGACGCTCTCGCACAACCTGACTGCGGCCTCGCGAGCGACGTTCTTCTTCAGCAAATGGTCTTCCATACCCTTCAGCGGCTTGGCCAGATCCTCCTTGGTGAGCGTCTTTCCGCCAACGACATTCCTGAACAGGCCACCAATCGCTCCGATACTGGAGCCCACCAAGCCACTGGGCGCAGCCTGTGTGCTCTTTTCCCTCTTGGCATTTGCCGCCGCAATAATCTCATCCATCTCTTCGTCCAAATCTTTCAACACAAATTCACCCTTTCCGGTTCTCTTGCCCCAAGATGACGAGTCCACTGCCTCGACTGTACTGGCTGCTGGTGCCTCAGAGTCAACAGAATGTGTGGAGTAGTCCAACTGGGTATCATCTTCCTCGTCCGCAGCGCCAAACTCGTCCCACTTCCTTCCCTTCTTCGCGGAACCCTTCCCTGCCGTGGACCGCCTAGCGGGAGACTCGTCACCCGACGAAACGGGTGCAGATGACATGGCGGCCTTCTTCTTTGCGCGGCGCGATTGTCTCGGCCCCCCCTTGGCGGCCAGCAGGTGGTTGTTGACGGCAGGCGAGCTGGGACGCGAGGTATCGGGCGTTGCTACGGGCGTGGCATCAGTCGATGTGTTGTTATCACTGAACATGGGCTTCGGCGTAGCTATCAGAGGGTAATTAGCTCATTACACATGTCGTGACACAAAGTGAAGTACTCACGCTTGCGCAGGCCCGGCATGGGAGGAGGCGCATCCTCATCATGATCGGTGCCAGAGCTAGAAGGCGGCGTGAACTCAGCAACGGTGCTGACCGAGGACTCCAGGTTGCGCAGGGAATCGGCGTGCGGCTCCAGCTCCTGCACCTGGCGGTCGAAATAGTCGTCAAAAGGACAATTGAGGGCCGCGGTGTTGCGCTTCTTGAGCTGGTCCTTGTACAGCTCGGTAAACAGAGCGCGCACGTTGTCGAGCAGCTTGTCTATCCACGTAAGGTGCACCAATGATTGGTACACAGCCTGCGCCCATATTAACACCCGAGACAGTGGAAAGACAACGAGCACTTACGACAAAAATCAGGCCAAAGTCCTTTGCTGTTGTCCACTTTAGGGTGTAGCCGTCGCGCTTGAAGGTGGGTTTTTGGGTGGCGTTCTGGTCATCGGTGGCCACATTGCGCTCTTCGATAAAGACCTCGCGGATCAGGGCGTCGACGGTTTTGGGGTTGACGGGCGCGTACTTCTTGGACCAGAGCACGACGCCCGAGGTCGAGAGCACCTCGAACGAGTCGAGCATGGCGGGCGGCGTGGGAGGGAGGTTGGCGGAGAAGCAGCGGTGGTGTTGGTTTCTCCGCAGACGCGCGATGATGCGGACGGGCTTGGGCGGCGCCGCTGCCTCTCCGAGAGGTCAAGCCACGACACGCAGTCGCAAGGCAAACTCCAGCAACCACCTCCCACCCCACGACCTCCGACCACCCGCCCGCGCCCGTCAATCCCTCGTTACCTGCTCACCATGCAGCGCCCGACGTACGCGCCCGCACACTCGCCGCCGCTGCACCACCCGGTGCCCCAGCAGTAAGCTCGCCCACAGCTCTCCTCGCCCAGCCCGGAAGCCAGCTGCTCACGAAAATACTCCAGCATCAGTCAAGTCCCCAACCTCCGCAGTCCTCCGCCGCCGCAATCGCAACAGCAAGCCCAAGCGAACTCATATGGATACCCGCAACAACCCCAGCCGCAAGGCGTCTCGGGCTTTATGCACCCGGCGTTCGGCGGCATCATGAACGACTCGACCGCCCAGATGGGCTTCCAGGTCGGCAAGAGCGCCGTCATGGCCGGCCACGAGTATATGGAGCAGAATGTCAGTAATTTCCCCGTGCTCGATTCGGGCCTTTGGAGGAAGCATGGCTGACGATCCCGCGCGCAGTTTAACCGCTACGTGAACGTCAGCGCCCTGAAGCACTACTTCAATGTTAGCAACTCCTACGTCGTTAATAAGCTCTACCTGGTACTGTTTCCCTGGCGTCACCGGCCGTGGGTGCGCCAGAACCAGGATGGCTTCTTCCTGCCCCCGCGCGAAGATATCAATAGCCCGGACATGTACATTCCAGGTATGTCGCACCAGCTCCGCCCTGGGAGCGCAGCAGAGCTGACATCAATCCTTGCTGCAGTCATGGCCTTTGTGACGTACATCCTTCTCTCCACCCTCCTTGCCGGTCTCCGCGGTGCATTCCACCCAGAGCTGCTCGGGTTGACAGCAACCACGGCTTTCGTTGTCGTCATATTTGAGATCTTGGGTTTGAAGCTTGGATGCTACCTGCTCAGCATCAGCAACGAATCTCAGCTTCTGGATCTGGTGGCTTATTCCGGCTACAAGTTTGTTGGCGTCATTGTCACCCTGGTCGTGGCCGAGATCTTCAACAGAGGCGAGGGTACTGGCGGCGCCATCGGCTGGACTATTTTCCTCTACACTTTCTTCGCGAACGCCTTCTTCTTGGTGAGTGCAACTTCACAATTTCTTCCTATTTTACTCTGCGTATCGACTGCGAAAGCGCAAGGCATAGACAACCAGACATGCTGACCTTGACTAGCTCCGTTCGCTGAAGTACGTCCTTCTTCCGGATCAGTCTCCAAACACCAGCAGCGGCGCCAGCTACACAGTCGCGAGAGCACAGCGTAACCGCCGCACCCAGTTCCTCTTTATCTATTCGTACGTCGTGCAGTTTGTCTTCATGTGGATCCTCAGCCGCCAAGACTCCAGTAGTGTTAAGGCTGCCAAGGTCTGATATTGAAGAACCCACGGGAGTTGATATATTGAGCCCAAATGTCATTCATCAATCACTGCCTTTAGTAACAGCTTGAGCAAAGAGGGACGTTGATCCTGTTCACCCCCTCCCGGCTCTTTTTCGTGGTCCAAACAATCCATAGCAATGGAGGTTAGATGGTGGCCAAATTATGTATGAGATAAACGAAAGAGAAGACAAGGACGATGCGGAGAACCCGGACTCTTCTTGCCACAAAATGTTGGGGATGTCAGAGGATAGGAAGATAGGCTGTAGGAATAATAGAAATTCTAATGTCAAAGGACCTGTCGGCCAATCAAGAATTAGCAGCAAAATACATGCAATATGTCTTAATACAATCACTCCCTTAATCCCTCCTCCTGCATATTTGGGAGATAAATGTCGCGCTACTTTAGAAGCAAGTCACCCATGCCTTTTTGGAGACTTACCCCCGTGTTTGTCTAAATCTAGTAAAACATCAAACCAAGTAGAAAGGAGAGTATACTTACCTCAACAAAACAATCAAAAGAAAAAGAAAAGGGTGCCCACGAAAAAGAACCGTCACGGCAGTCTCTCTTCCTCGGGTCGTTTCACGTCATACGGCTCCCGTCTGCAGACCGCATCACCAGTTGTTCCAACGTTCCCCAAGTTCCAAGTTCCACCAGCCTCGGGGTGCGGCGCAACGCGGTGGTCGTGGTGTGATATGCTCCCCACCAACCACTCTCCCCATCATGCACACCCCCCGCAAAACCCCGAGAAATCACCCCCCTTTCCCCAATTTCTCCTTGCCCTGTTCTACCCGCACCCGTCACCGGGTCACTAGCCACTACGTATGTATCTCTCCACAACAACACAACACACGCCCGGGCCGTCAGCTCGTCCCTCCCTCCCCTCCCCGGAGGCCGAGACCGATTCCGAGATCGAAATCTTTTGTCTGCTGCTGCGTCATGCTCATCCCACATTCCTTCGAAACAACTCATCCGTTTCTCACCACCTAACGCTCGCACCATCCCATCACCCCTCATTTCCCCTTAGCCTTTTAGCTTTTCCCCCCCGCCGGGAATACCCCGCGCGCAAAATGCGGTGATCCAGATCTGGAGACCACACGGGGTATGTGGCGACGGCGGCGTGCGGCGTGCGGCGTGCGGCGTGCGGTCATCGTCAACGTCGTCGTCGCCGGCCTCCGCCCGCCGTCGTCCGGAGGGGGTGATGGTCGTCCCCCTCTCGGTAGCCGCCACACATCGGTGTCGGCGTCGCCCGCCCGCACCTGCACTTCGTACGAAAGGAAAAAAAAAGTATTGTTTTTCATCTGAGATCTGGATCGATTATTTTGGGACCGGATCATGCACATGCAGCCTCATCCTAACCAACCCGGCCGAAGGGGCCGCGGCGCGGGCGGGAAAGGGTTACGGTGGCGGGGGCGGCGACGACGGGCGGCGACGGACGGCCGAGGCGGAATTGATGAGCCGCGCGGCGGCGAACACGAAAAAAAAAAGATTATTTTCACACAAACGAAAAGCCTTGGCAAGATGCCGGTAAATGTATGACTGGCTGGGCAGTGCAAGGGTTGGTGAATGGGTGAACGATGACCTGTCATTTTCTGCCACACACACACACACATCCCACTTCCCAACCATGATGACATGGAATCGATGAATCATTCTTGCGTGCCCGGAAACTCATCCCTCCCGGTGACTCTGTTGGGAAAAATATTTCGAGTCACTTGTAGACGGCAAAAAGATTGGATCAGGATGTAGATCGAGGGCCTTTCTTCGCCCTCGCTATGCAATCATTCGATTTCAACTGCTAATACTACATCCTCCACTTGTTCCCTTACACGACTAGCTCCCCAAACATCCCTCTCCAACTCAGCCTTTTCAGGCAGAGATAGAAAGGAAGTTCCGAGCTAGTCCTACCGCTATTCAACTCCGTACTAAAAACTATCTACGTTCCACCTCAAACCTCCCACTCCATCCGCAACCATGGTATCGGCCATTTTTGTTTGTGGTATTGTGATATGTTGCGTGTCCAGTAGAAAAACAAAGCAGAATTCCCCCCTCCCTTTCGCTGTGATTCGTGTAGACGATAGGTGTCCTGAAAAATAGTCGGACTGTGGTATTCGAAAAGGGAATCCGTAGACCCTTTCAGCCAAACAAGATAAACTCCGTTTCCCACCTCCGGACCCCGTTGTTTGAGCAAAGCCTCGAACCATTGAAGCAACAAAGTAAAAAGGCCAACAATACCTCCCATGGAATGAATAGCAGAACAAAGCAATAAAATGAACGGACTTGAAGCAGAGCAAAAACGAGGTTAAATGATGTAATAAGAAGGGCAAGAGGGTGAAGTGTATAAGGATTCAGTGACTCAATGTACATGACTGCTTTGCAGTCAATTGCGAACAGAATCGGCGTGCGCGCTGAGCAGCGGGAGGAGCTGATCTAGATGATGCCCTCCCACATGCCGGGACCAGCCCTCGCTTGGAGGACCTGAGCAACTTCGCTGGCACAGCAGGCCCTCTTCCTGCCGAGATCCTTCTGCACCGGGCGGCGGACTTCCGGAACGACAGTGAACGGCGACTGCAGCGCCTTCATGTCAAAGGTCGACGAAGGCGTTCTCCCGCCAGGGGTATGAAGCAGGAATGAAGAAGCAAGGCTGCGGTCGGGGACAATGCCCGGAGTGCGTTGATGAAGTACAGAAGGGTCAAGAGTAAGAAGAGTTTCTGCTGCGAGCTTCTCGGGGTTGACGAGATCGCGCACGTTCTGCTGCAGCGTCATATCCGCGGATGATCTGCATCGCTTGCGACCCTTGGCCACCTCCTCAGAACGAGTGTTAGGCGAGACATTCTCGGTCTGTTGGAAGGGAACCGGAGTGGGCTCCGACGCGTCGTTGATGTGAAAGCCCTCCAAATCGGGCGACGAGAGAGATTCGCTGGGAACAATGGTCGGAACAGCCTCGGCGCTCTCCTTTTCCTTCTGCTGCACCGGGTAGGGCAGGCCCGCATTGCGGCAAGTCGCCAATTTCGCCAGTTTGGCGTTCGGCGCCCAAGCGGCAGACGAGACCGAAGAAATCGAAGAGGCACGAGACGAGCGGGACGAGTTGTCCGAAACCATTGAATCGGGCGAAGACGACGAAGAGGTCGTCGACGCCGCGAGCGAAGGTCGTCGTCCAGAGAATTGGTAGGCCTCCAAGCCGTTGAAGCGAGGAGTAGGTGTCCACTGGTCAAGGGTGCAACGAGCAGACATCATGTTCTGATGATGGGCCATGGCAGCGCACATGGATGGGCGCCTCGATCCCATAGAGGCCACACTCACTGCAGGAGTGTTGCTCACGGTAGACTGAGGAGTCATTTGCGGCGTGGGGAGCGGTCCCAGGCGGGACAGCATTGGCGCAGGCGGAGTCATGTCCACCGTGGGCTCAAGGCAGAAGGCAGTGGCCTTCGCGCGGGAAGCTTGCATGCTTTCTTGAAGCCACGACTCGCGCACCGGAGAAGTAGCAGCCGGAGGCGGGGGTGGGGTCAGACGCTTCGGAATGCAGATCTGAACAGAGTTCCTGCGAACAACATCAAACGTATCAAGCTCAGGAGTGAGCATTGGAATGAGGGTCTTCCAATCGTGCATTCCGAGGTGCATCTGAGGGGCACCGGGCGAAGGTGGGGGGTGAGATGAAGGCGCCGCCCGAAGGACGATCGCCTGCCACCGTTCGAAAATCGGGTCGGTGATGTGAAGCTTCCAGTTCACGGCCTTGAGGAAAGCCATTTCATTCGTGTTGATTTCGCTGACCTTGAGGCCAGAGATCTTGCTCCATGCGCGAGCCGAGTAGTTCCTGTCTTGCAGATATTTGGAGGCCAAAATCAACGCGGCAAGAAACATACGTCTGCCGCACTGCAGGGCGCGGACAGACTGATCTTCGGGCTGCTCCATGGTGAAGTCAATCCTGGGCACATGGGCCTTGATGAGGATCAAGTAGTACAGAGCAACCTGGAGAGTCGAGTAGCTAGTCCGCGAGCGGCGGAGGGTCTCCTGGATGAAGGTCCGGAGAGGAAGGACACCACGGCCAGACACGCGCTCATTGGCACAGGTCGGCACGGAGAGCGGCCAGATCACCTCCACCATTTGGGTAGCAGAATCTTCGACGGAGAGTCACCTTAGCGTGCGGTCGAGGGAAATTCGGAGGCGGCGGGTAGGCTTACCGACAAGGCTGTCAACAAACTTGACAGTGCGCTCGCTTTGGCGAACAAGGGCCGGGGGCACACGGCAGTTGGCAGCAGTGGGGCATCTGCGGGGGTTCTGGCGCATCTCTGCGGGCACAGCAGCGTCGATCGACCTCAAGGAGGGGAGAGAGCTTTGGCTCTCACACCAGCGCGAGATCTGGGAGCGGGTGATGCCTCCATTGGAGGCAATGGGCTCGGGGACAGTCGCGCATCCATTGGGACGAACGGAAGTGGCAACGTGGGAGCGAGGCCACGAGTCATCAGAATCCCAACCTCGGTGTCCGGAGCTGGAGGCTGAGGAGTGGGAGGATTGGGAGGAAGCGGCATCTAGGGAGAATACCGACGAGGTAGAAGAGGAGGCAGAGGATGAAACGGCGGATCCGTAGGGATGCGTAACATCTTGGCTCGCGAAGGGAAAGTCGCAACCCATGTTGGAAAAGTAAGAAACGCCTGGGTATACTAACCGAGATCCAGTATGAAAACCGAAGAGAGTGAGAAGCAGATTCGCTTTTAGTTGCGACTACTTTTGTTTAGGCAGAACCTGATAGGTCGAATGCTTTTGCGAGGTCGTGGGGTGACCTGCGAGATTTACCGATGAGAAGAACCAACGAAAACCCGCGCGTCGTGTGATTTGGCAGACGACGGTAGTTCTCGGGTGCCTTCCTGGAATGCAAATATAGATTCCTGTGTCCCGAAGATTGCCAAAAGCTCGTGACAGCGTGTGGAGGTGGTTACGCTTTCAGTCCTTGCGAGGGTGTTGGAGCAAGCGTGGAATCCGTTTTCGTAATCGTGGAGGGCAGAACCGAGGGGAGATGCGGGTGGTTATGATGCAGTCGACAGTCTAGCTTTGCAGCTGGGGCTTGCGGTCGGTGTAGAGTGGCCAACTGGCGCCCAGAGCTTCAGCCGTGAGAAGAAGAAATCCTCCAGTCACCGTCAGCTGCAGATATCACCAGAACAAGACGTCTTCCTGAACCGTCGCAATGCACTTCGAGCAGCTGTACGGGGCGCGGGCCGTCGCAAAGCTGATGTGTACCGAAGAGAGTGCGGGATCTAGCAGCAGGAAGAATCCTCGATGACGAAGAAAGCCTTGTTGTCCGAACCGGAGGTGAAATCTGAGCGACTGATGACTGGAGTGCTGTTGTGTGGCCTAGGGTACATCGTGACTATTTCGAGTGTGGCGGTGATGGGGGTTAGATGGTGACGGGCGCCACCATGCGCAGGCCGGGCGGAGTGGCCGTGCGCTTTGCGAGCGGAGCGGGCGAGCGGAGAGGCGGGAGCTGTGCGCGATGCAGCCAAGTGGTTGTGGTGTTGTTGTCGGAGTCGGAGGCGAGCTCGCTAGGGCTGGGGTGCGAGAGTCGAGGCGGCGGCGATCGCGATCGAGCAAACGAGGCAAGGGCCGGCGGCGGGGAGAGGCGGGTTGGGTGCGAGCGGAACAGCACAGAGGCAGTAGTGGTGGGAAAAGGCAAGGGCTATTATAAAGGAGGCAACAGAGTGGAGATGACTCGTAGGGAAGGCGGCAACGCAGGCAGGACAGGTGGTCGGCGCGTTTGAGACAAGGCTGCTGACTGGAGGATAAAGGGTACTAGCAAGCAGACAGGTGGCCAAGGTCGAGGGGGCCGGTTCTAATCTCAGCGTCAGAAGACGTTGGTTTAGACGACGGTCCAGCGCGCGGCAGCCATGGTTGCTATGGGTTGGGGACTCAGAGGGGAGAGGGTGGCGGGCTTTTGATAGAAGGGAAGGCCGGCGGAGTATGACTGTCTTTGCCCTGCCATCTCAGCGTGCACGGGCCACCCCCCGGCCGACGCCCCCAGCAGCGCCCGCGATGGCAAATACTGGCTGGCCGCCCGAGAAGTTTGGCTCGCGCGGCATCACACGGGTGCAACAGCGCGTCGGCGTCTGGCCGGCGCATAGCCTCCTGCTCGCTCGCCCGCACCGTCCTGAGGCACGCAGCGCAGCGCCCCCGCGGCTCGTCATCGCGCCCAGCCCCGGCTGCAACCAGGCCCTGCCCGAGACGCCTTTGACAAAGAGCGCGTTGCCGTCGCCCGTCACCGCTCCCGTCGTCAGCCTGGGCGGCAGGAGGCAATCTGAGACACGCACAAGGAGCTCGCGATCGAAGAGGGGAAGGCTGCAGTGGGTGAGCATGCCCACGCCGTTGGAGCTGCACAGCCAATCGCGACCCCGGCGAAGGCGACACCCCCAAGCCGTGCCACTTGCTGATTCGGCCTGCCTCGACAGCTGCTGTCCCTCCGTATGCCTCTAGCGCGCCACGCCTTGCGTGCTGCTAGCCGCACGAGGCCAAAGTGCCGTCGACTGCTGCTGCCACCTCTGCTGTTAGCCACCGCGTTGACTCACCCGCGCCGCCTTGCTGCTTCTGCGACGCCCGCAGCCTCACGGCCGTACGTCACGAAACGCCAGAGACGCGCAGCTGCTCCGCGTGCACGGAGCTCATTTCCGCGCACGGCATGGCGGAGCGGCGCGGGTTGCAAGAGTGGGCAGCTCACGAGGTGGGCGGAGCGCGCTGCTGCGACAGCGATGGGCGATGACCTGCATCAGAATCCGTCATCTCGCGACCGAAATGGCCCAAATCTCCCGAGAATGACGGCTAATTGCCACGCTTGCGGCCTGCCGAACAAGCTCCGAGCGCGGCGCAGCTGCCTGCGCCTGCTGCCTACGCAGGGCGAGGGTATTTCCTCCCCCGACGCCGGCAGCAAGCGCTGGGCACCCTCCCTCTCGCCACCACTGCTTCAGTGGCTGCCGGTGCCTGGAGCTGATGCTTCGGCCAGCAGTCACGCGCGAGTTACCAACTAGCCACGTTGGAGATCGCTTTGCGCGGAGCCCCATCCGGTCGGGTTCCCTCAGAATTGCGGTGATGGTGAGCGGTCAAGAAACCCGGTCAAGCCCCGTGACTTGGGCCGCGGTACGCCGGGAGGTACGAGTCCTTGGTCACGATGCAAAAAAGACCCCACTTCAGCCTTCGCCGCCCGCCCTGAACCGCTCTGCTCGCCGCCTCAGCTGCGCTGACTGTGCTTGGCCAGCCTGGCGGGATGGCGCTCCGCTTAGCTGCGGAGCAGGTCATCGTGATCCGGCGTTGCGTGCAGGCAGCCGCTTCTGAAGGATCGAAATGGAAGCTCGTCTAGAGTCAGCTTCAGCCCTGGGCCCGTGCTGCTGGTGATAGGAGCAGGCAGATACCAGAACTTTCTCGAGCCAAGTGCCCGTGGGGGAAGCCGGCCCGCAGAGGCCCAGCAAGCATGTCGTCGCCAAATGTCTTGGCCATCCCCCAAAGGCCTCCAACAAGCCAGAAGGATTGTGATAGCATAGGGCGTTTCCGATGTGGGCCCGGGTCTCATGCCTCCGGCTCCTGTCGCTCCGTCGTCATTGGGCCCGCATCGCAACACCACCACCACTTGTGACAGCCTCGATGACGTGGGTGAAACAAGAGCATGGAAAGTTGCACGCCTCTTGACGATTTTTCTCTGAGGATTTGCGTTGGTTGGCACTTCGGGTACTACATGTGGTCCCGGGCACACTCATGCAAAATCGGCAACCAGTAATCGGCCTTGATCTGAGGGCTCCTCCACGCTGACGCTGGGCGTGACTGATTGTGAGCGAAATATGCAGGTTCGTTCCGGATTCGGCAAGGCAAATCTTCGCCTGCTCACCTCAGTCGCGTGCTTGCAGAATCTTATCCACGCGTCAAGAGCATTATTGGCGGCAGCTGCAGGCGCCGCGTCAGCGCTCACCACCATCTGGCGAATTATCATCATTTCATGCCTCCACGTCAAGAGTATTCAACTCCAAAAAATAGAATGCATGCTGTCTAAGCAGCTGTCCATACACCAAACGGGAATTTATGGGAACCTGCATATTCGAGGCAGGCAAAAATAAATAGTGAAAATATGCTTGCTTGTAAACCGTTTCCTTTATGCTGAGCTATTTCTGTAGCCCTTCCCTCCATTTTTTCTCGAATGGGGAGAGCATAATCTATGACGATTACATATCTGTCTTATGGATTTATCTTTCGAGTCTTTTTACTCGGACCGGCACACGCTTATCTCGAATGGAGACTCCTTTCAGGCTAGAGGGAAGATCTCTGTTTAATCTGGATGCAAGTGATGAGCGCTTTATTCATCTACCACCGCTGCTGAGCTTAAGCTCGTCGTCGTCCTTGCAGGTTGTTTCTGATCAAGTGACTATAGGTATGGGACGGCGGCAGGGTCCCCACCGTTTCATGCACTAGGATGACAGATCAGCTGGCGCTTCTTCCCCAACGTAAAGTTTAGGATGATCAACTCGAGTATCATCTACTCTTAATGTTATTCACAAGGTTAATGATACAGGGTGGCTCAGTATTGACGATATAGTACGCATATCGAAAAGTGTCTGTGTCGGCTTTCAGTGTTCATCTCTAGCAACATAAGTATCTTATACTATAACATCGAGGATTAGGTAACATGAGCGAATACTTCACTTTCCACGAACCGTCCGATCTAATTTTTTTTTCTTTTGAGGAAAATCCGAATGGCTCTTAATACGCTCTAGCCTGCCCATTAAAAATTTCCTCGGAGTAAATCAAGTACTGCTGGATCATCACTTCTATTCATCTCTTCAATACTTTTGTATTTACCAAAGGGCACGACCGCCATCCATCCTCCAGAGTGTTGGCAATTTTTCCTACATAAATCAAGGCAAAACCCAGACTCCTGAAGTCTAATGTGCAAAGGGGAAAAGGAAAGGATTTTCCTTTGGGAGCCTAAGGCTTGCAGTCTACTGAGCCCCCTGCATTCACAACAGTTATTTTTCGCCTAGCTTCTATGGGGGAGATAAGCCACTTCCAAGATACAGTTTGCCCCTAGTGGACGCTAAAATATATACTTTGGTACCCGATTCCCCAGGAAACCTCCGGTCCTCGTATAAATCTGAACGGTTTCTAGAACCCCGCATGCTTTCACATGCAACGCAAAATTTGGCACCTACGATGAACTAATTGAGGAGAACCGGAGCATATTGAGGTAAGATTGCCTGCGGCACGACCTAAGGTACCATGCTACTCCAATGCATCCATAAGTGGAGCACAGACTGGTGAATCCTTAACTTGTCGATAGCTGAAGAGTATTGATCTGGATAGATCCTCTTTTCTTGCGCTACAATCAGAGACGATCAAAACCAGGAAAGCTGTACTCCGCATTTCCAGGTACAAGCTACATGGCGATACCGGGTGGACAAGCAGGGCCCATCCCCGCAAAACGGGCCCTCCTCCGCTCAGATGCGGGGGGCTAACCGCATCCAGACAATCCGGGGTTGAGACGAGCAATCAGGTCTCGCTAAACCCAACTGCTGACAATCGCAACAACATCCGGTGTCGGGGTCGGCTTCGCCATAAACATGACTGCATGGCATACATGGTCGCAAGAGCAGATAACAACAGCAATATTATCCATTACGCCTGCAGCCTTTCAAAATGTTTTGCCTTCTCCGCCCCCATCGCTCCCTTCTCACCACCACAAAACTCTATCCCAAGTCATGCCCCGCATCCTACAGCACCACCACCAACACCACTCTACGCAAAGTCGCAGCGCGCATCCCGCCCGACTCCTGGGACTCGCACATGCACGTCACAGACCCCCGCTACCCACTCGCTCCCAACGCCGCCTACACTCCGCCCCTACACACCCTCTCCGACGCCCTAGCCCTCACATCAGGCGCGTACAACATCCGCAACCTCGTCTTCGTCCAACCCTCCATCTACGGCGCCGACAACAGCTGCCTCCTCTCCGCACTCCGAGAGCTAGGCCCGCAGCACGGCCGGGGCGTCGTCGGCATCGACCCCAGCAACACCAGCGCCTCCACGATGCACGAATGGCACGCGCTCGGCGTCCGCGGCGTGAGGCTGAACCTCAAGTCGGTCGGGAGGGCGCCGGATGTGGAGCAGCTGCGCGCGGAGCTGGTCTCGCACGCGGCCGCCATCCCGCCCGCGCTGCGCGCCGGCGGCGGCGGCGGCTGGGTGCTGCAGGTCTACTGCTCGCTCGACGCCGTGCCGCTGCTCGAGCGCATCGTGGTCGATGAGAACGCTCTGCCTGCCGGCGTCAAGCTCTGCATCGACCACTTTGGGCACCCGGCGAGCCTGCCGCCGTGGCCGCCAGCGTCATCAGCATCGTCATCGGCGTTGGCAGGTTCGACGACGACGACGAAGACGACGGTCGAGACGCAGGGATCTCCTTCTCAGCCGGACCCGTACGCGCTGCCCGGCTTCGCGGCGCTGATGCGGCTGCTGCAGGCAGGCGGCACGTGGGTGAAGCTGAGCGCCGCGTATCGGATCGAGCAGGACGCGGGGCTGCCGTGGCTGGGGGCGATGGCGAAGGAGCTGCTAGGCGTCAGGGGCGGTGGCAGGTGCGTCTTCGCGACCGACTGGCCGCACACGCGCTTCGAGGGCGTCGACGTGGAGCCGTTTGTGGAGAAGTGCTTGGAGTGGTGCGGCGGCGATGCCGTGAAGGTGCAGAGGCTGTTTAGGGACAATGCAGAGGAGCTGTGGGATGTGGCACGGTAATTGCCCTGGGGAGGAGGAAAGAGGGACGACGTGTGCGTATTGCGTCTTGTTTGTGTGCCGGTAAGGACGGGATGGAGGGTGGGCATGGGAAAAGGGGGTTACCGGGAGAAAGGGAGACGTCTGTACTACGGAAGAGACAGTGGGAGAATAGGAGGTGGCTCTGTGTAAGGGCGCATGATGGTGGAGGTGTGCCGGCCGAGCTGCGTGGTTGCTGCGAGCTGTCTGTCGCGGATGCCAGCTCGTACCGGTCAACATGTTGGTGTTCGTGGTGGCGGACGCGGCTGCGGCTGTTTTTATGCACGATGAGTTGTTTGTCTGTGTCAGATAGATTCGAAACCAAGTAGTGTTGGGCAGCCAGGCATAAAGCGGACAGACTGGCAGAAGCGGCAATGGCAGCGGCAGAGGGTCGGGGCCCTCGTGCAATCATGCACAGGGCGGGCTGAGGTGTTCGAGAGGTAGCCGGTGCTGGTAACACGGCATCAGATAGAGGATTATATGCCATTGTGGATATGGGATTGCTTCCGAGAGCGAAATGATGACTTGAGCGATTGGACAGGGCGCCAGACGTCATGCATTGCAGCGTGGTAGTTGCGGAACAGAGACATTTTGCCCCCCCCTGCTGATGAGATAGTGAGAGCGTGGCCCTCGTGTGGTATCGTCCCTTGCGTAGCTGGGGTCGAATGTGTCTTGGTAGGAGATCGTGCGTCCATTTCAGTGGTGTTCGTACCAAGGAGGCATATGACCAGGGCTGCTGCATGAACGCTCCATCTACCACAAGGTCCTCTCCATCTTTTGTAGAGAAGGGAGATTGACGCAAGGAATTTCCGGTGCAAAGCAGCGCGCGGGTGCCGTGGAACGGGCGAGACACACTTTGGATCTGCGTCAAAAAGTACTCGTCGGCAAGACCACTTGCCGCGTCCACCTTAGCTGCGGAACACAAGACCTCGGTGGCTGCAGCGGTTAAGGTACGTGGACGTCTTTGTTAACCCGGGTTCGCACAGAGCCACCTCATCACAAGAACGGCCGCTTGATGCGGGAAAACCTGGTAACCCAGGATTCACACAGGGTGGCGTACATCACACGTGGCTTTGATGACCGACCTGTTACCTGAAAGTAAGCAGCACACGCAAGCAGACCCGTCTGACTGTGAAGAAACATGCGTTTGAATTGAGTCTATAGAAAAGCCACTGGAATATCTGTGCAATTGACTCAGCCCGAGAGTAGCCACCATCCCTCGTACACCACTAGGCGCATCGGGCCTTCCACTGACCGGTCAGCCCCTTCGTCTTTACGCTATCAAGGAGTATGATCATTGATGAAAAGAAAAGAACCTTTATGGTGAACTATTAAGAAATTTACGCCTGTGAAGAGAGAAACAGGAATGAAAAGAACCTTGATGGTGAACCATTAAGAAATTTACGCCTGTGAAAAGAGCCACCGTGCAAGAAATCAACCAACCCAGAGGTATTGCAAGCTCGTAATCCGTAAAATCGTCGCCAAAGACAACATAATTACTCCCTGTTCATCAGGAAAGGGCACTCAAATGGAGTGATCTTGCTCATCTCTATGTGCGTCAACCTTGCCTCCTCGCTGTCGGGCGAAGCGGCCACACCCTCACCAGGTTCTGGACTGACGGCCTTCTCCATGTCCTTCGGGTGCGGGTGGACCTTGTGTGCAGGACACTGAGAGAAGAAAGCTTCGGTGGGAGAGGCTTGGCTGCTGGACTGTCCCTGCTCGGAAGAGCTGGTGATGCTGGACGAGTACGTGCTCCTGCGTGGCGTAGGAGGGTCGGATGCAGGAGGTGTCACAGCCGTCCAGCTACCCGCTTCCGAGCTTACAGTTGAGTTCTCGTGGTCGATCTCTACAGCATCGTGGAACTTCTCGGGCTCATAGCCAGGCGCAGGGTCGCTGAGGATATCCGATGCCTCGTGCCACTGGTCCAGGTCATGGAATTGGTCGGTCTCAGACTCTGGCAGCTGTGTCGATTCCTGTGCAGCAATTGAAGGTTGCAGCAGCTGTTCCATCTCTTGGGCTTGCTCGGTAGAATCTACTGACGGGGTTTCGACGGGCCCCTTAACGTCGTTTGTCTGAGGGAGCTGCAGTGCCTGTTCACTAGGCTCAGGGCCGTGTTCCGTCTTTGATTCAGATAAAGTTTCACCGGCCTCGGCGCAGTGGCTATGATTAGCGATGGGTGAAACAAGCAGAAGATCGGCGGGCTTGTCAGGAGTAGATTGCTGCTGAGGTTGAGCTTCCTTGGTGCTGGGAGTAACCTCGGGCTGAGCGTCCTTGGTCAGAGCACTTTCGCTCTGAGTGGCGACATCGGACTGAGGAGCTTGGACAGCGGCGGGCTCGGCGGAAATCGACTGGCTGGGTTCGACAGGCTCATCTGGCTTCTTGAAAGCTACCTCAGGTGTCGCTGTCCTGTTGGCGAGAGGTGACGGGGTTCTGCTTACCCGCCGAGCTACCGGCTCCTTGTTCACAATGCCCTGCGGCGCAATCTGGCGGAACATCTCCATGGGGTCGAACCAGGTCTCGACGCGCTGCAGCCTAACCTTGTCATCGACGGTGGCAACAGTCACGCCTTGAATGTCGATGGACCCGCCATGGGCCTTGGCAGTGACCTTCTCACCCTTACTATAATAGAGTTAGTACGTGGCTAAAAGTACAACGGCGCATCTGCACTTACTCGTTGAAGCCGACGTAGTCGTTCTTCATAGTGCCCCAGTGACGCCAACGGAAGGCCACGTGGGGTGGGCCAGAGTAGACTTCGAGCACCTCCCAGGCGAAGGTGGGCATCATGCGCTTGAAGGTCTTGTGGCTGGAGGCAAAGTCGGAGTTCTCCGGACTGTAGTACTCGTTGGGCGAGATGATGGCGTTGTAGGTGCCGACCTTCAGCATGTGCTCGGCGCTCTGGGGCGGGTTGCCATTGATGGCAAAGGTGTAGTTGGGGGCGTCAACGGTCCTCCAGTCCTCGATGCGAGGCTTGAAGGAGGCCTCGATCTCCCAGTTCTTGACAAGGTTTTCGACCATCTGGATGAGGCTCCCAGACTGATGGTTCATCTGCTTGGCTAATTTCTTTGGTCAGTCCTGATTCAGTTGAGAAGGGATTGTCATGCATGCAAGCTTTGACAGTAAGCAAGGAGGGGCGGGAGGGTGAAGTGACACAAGGTGGACAGCGGGAAGCGTGCGGCAGTAAGCAGACATGGAGGAGGGGGAGGACGACGCGTGGAGGGAGTCGTATGCAGCGGAGAATAGCTGCGCTGCAATGCAGCCGTCCTAACGTGCATGGTGCAGGAGGCGAAAAGCACAAAGAACACGAGGCTCCCACGTGGGCGAGCACAGAATGGGGCGATCGATCGTCTTCATGATGCAAGGAAGTCCGGGGAGATGATGACATGTGCTCCCACCCGGGTTGCAAGACTCACTTTCGGCGTAGACCTTGCGCGTCTTGGAGTAGTCCGGCGGGCGGCCGTACCTCCACTTGACGCCCTGGTCCTTCAGGACGGCATCGGCGTCGGCGAGGTAGTCGGGCATGGCGGCGTGGTCCTGTTCGGGCGGCGCGGCCTGGGGGTTGGCGGCGGCCATTGCGGAGGCGATATGGGAGCGTAACGGGTGAGCTTCAGCAAGCGGCTCGGGTGGCTCGCGGGGAGGGTGAAGGTGAGTGAGAGGAGGACGGAGGAGGGAGGCTTGGAGGAATGGGGAGCAGTGATGGAGGGCCGTCTCGGTTGATAAATAGTCCTTCGCCCGGTGGCATGGAAACGGCTAGACGCACACACACGACGATGAGTGATAAGTCCGTGTCCGGAATGCGGTCGCTCTCGACGATAGAGCTGCATGCTTGACAATGATAGGAGGCGCTGCGAGGCCACAAGCCATGTCTGGGCTGTGGACACGCCGTCCAGGGTTCACAAGCTTGTGCGACGCGACGCCTCTGCACCTCACTGCAAACAACCCTACCGCTCTAGCATGCCCGTCACCATCCCGGCGGCCGATCCGACGAGTCGCAGGCCGCGGTGCGCGCGGTCAGCGGCGGGGCGAGACACGGGCGGGCGGGCGGCTGTGGGCGTCGAGGATCGATCGTGGTGGAGGCATGGGGTTCGCAGGGGCCTCGCAGGGGCTCTCGCAAGCGGTTGTGGGGCTGCAAGGACGTCCCTGGCCGCGGGCTCTCGGGCTGCCCACGCGCGGCACGCACGTCGCCAACCGCAATTTTCTGGACGCGCTTTCCTCCGCCACCGCAACCGCCTGCACTTCCACCGCGCTCCTTTCAGCAACGGCCGCGACCCCTCGTCCTCAATCGGCCGCGCCTGCCGCATTCCTGCCCAGTTGCACCAGTAAGATGACGCCCATTCTTCCGCAAACAAAGTGTGGCATCACGAAGCGTGCCCTGTACCACCGCCGCCCCGGGAAATCCGGGCCTCGCTGAGACGACTCCTGCGCTTCTCCACCAGCCTGCTGCCCTTCCCAATCGGCTGCCTCCGCGCCGTAGGGCTCTGCCAGGCAATCAACACCCAGCAGCGAGCGTTGCTGGTGAAACCGCCCCCCGCCACGACACTGCACCTCAATCTCCATCCCAGACAGCCACGTTGTCAGGCAACGCTTCCCCGCCGGCCGGACGTCATTCCTGCTGCATGGCCGACTGCTCTGATGTGATCCGTCGCTTTCCCCCTCAACAACAGAGAAGTGTTACACCAGGACGCAAACCCACAACCCTTCCCATCCTGTGCAGCTGCTCCTCCTGTACACCGCCATTTGCGGCCCATCCTGTCCCAGCGACCTGGTCCACCGGTCAACATCCCGGCTTGATGGCAAATCTCGCGTGGCAACCCATCGCTGCGGTAGCTTGTTCGATCCCGTACACGGCAGCCCATGGCGCCTGCGAGCAGCACGTTAGCCGTCGCCCTGCCATTACGTGCATCTGCACCCTCCGCCGGAGCCCCAAGCATGCTGGATAGGGCGAGCTGGTCCCCGACCTCCGAGACGAGACCCTCTTGGTCCGCAGCCATTCGCCGCCGTGCCGCCTGGTCGAAGTGTTGCTGCGCCTAAGTGGGTAAACGCCCTGCACGCGAAGGGGCTTGAATATGCGCCATGTGCAATGTCAAAAGCAAGCATCTCGCGTGAGCGCCCTCCTCGTTCCCTGGCTTCCCGCATTCCCCGATCCCGGAGTAATCTAAGACCCAATCCTTCGCTAATCGCCTGCGTGGCATCAGCCTGCCTGAGAAAAGTTTTCCCTGCCTCCTCGACGCAGCTTCATAACCGCCATGATGCATTGCAGAGATACTTCCATGCTACTTTTCTCCGTGGCCAGAGACTCAGCTCATACCGTCCTAGCTGACACGGACCCAGTCTCAGCGATAGCCTCTGATAAAGCTGGCCTGTGGCTTCTCAAACTCCTCGAACTGTATGTCTCAGCGTGATCGGAATGGAACATCGGGGCGCATCATCTCGAGGCGTTCTTGGCCTCGACTTTTATTTTTGTTGCCGTCCACTCTCGTCATGGCGGATTCGAAGCTGCTTTTGAGCGCCACGCTTCAGACCTCTCTTTCTGTCTCGGATTATCGATGGCGATCCTGCCATTAGCAGAAGAGCCTGCTTGATCTCAGCCACGGCGACTCCATAGCTTCGGACGAAGTGCCAAACTCAACAGCACGGGGGCAAGCCTTCTCGAAGCCGAATCTGCGGAATTACAAATCCGTCCGCACCGCAACATGAGAATTGTGTGTAACTGATATTCCAACCGAGCCGGCCGCCCCCCGTTCAAAGACAATACCACCTGTCAACGACACGTCATTGACATTTGAATCTCTCCCCGGCCGCTTGCATGCCATTGAAGTGCAAGCCGCAATGGCCAATACATCAACATCAATCTCACTTGACATTCGTAATGTTGGCTGGTGTTGCCACCGCCACTGCCATTTTCAACATCCTGGACGAGATTCCTTTCTTGTATGATGCAAAATTTCTCGGCAGTGTGATGGCTTTTTCCTAACGACGGCCTTCCAGGAAATGTACATGTCACCACAATCCTGTACAATGTCGCTTGCCACAAGCCCTTAGCAGATCTGTCTCAGCCCTTTTCCTTCCCTCCACACCATTCATGCAGGCATCCGCGGAGACGACAGCTGTGTTTGTCTCCTGCTCACACCGCTTCTACGGGGCTTACACCACAACGGTGTCTGTGTCCCGAAAGGTTGGGCTATTGTGCTCCACAGTCCACGGTTGGTGAGTGCACTAATAATTAAGATAAAAAGCAGACTCTACTCTTCTCACATCCTTTCACACCTACTCACACTCGGGGCCAGGTGCTGTGGCGTCGATCGAAGAACTCGGGGCCTTGGATGTGAAGTTCTGAAATGTCTCTCCCTGCCATTGAATAAGATTAAGCACGTGGAGGCTTTGCATTAGTATGTTGTGGTAAGTTGAGCCGGGGACGTTTCAGGTCAGCACTCGATGTTTAACATGGCGTTGGACACGTAGTTCGCGCTGGACCGTCATGGCCGAAGCGCAAGACAAAGAGCATACAACGTTGAGCGAGCAGTCGTGTTCATGCTATTAGAATCGGGCATCCCAGTATAACGAGTCTTCTGCGGTCAGTATCTTCAGGCTTTGGTTGGACAGAACTCCTCTACGAACCAGCAGGCAAGGCAGAGGCAGCATCGCACACCGGCGCTTACCAGCTTTAGCCCTTTGGCCCCCCGCAGCTCCCCTTGGTTTTCTGAGGCCAAGCATGGCGCACACGGGCCTCTTGCCGTTACAAGCAGCTTGTGCGGTATCACGTTGCGCTGTGCCTCCCTCCATGACCGAACGGCCGAGGCGTAGGGTCGACCGAGCTCTCGATGCCGCCACTCAACTTGCTACGCTGTAGCGTCACGGCATATGCTTCGCGTCAGCGGGTGCGCAAGACAAAGAATCATGTCACCGAGGTGTCAAACAGGCATATAGTTTACTTTTCCCCGCGTCTTAACGGCAGCTAAATGGTGCGCTCAAAGCGGGTTGGCTCGCTTATGCGCTGAGCGGTCGTACTACTCAATTCCTCACAGCCGGTTCAGCTTAAATCTGCACAGTAGATTTTCTTCCGCCGGTCCCCGTTAGTGACTGTGTCTAGCGTACCGAAAACGGTTACCCGGTAGTTGCCTGGCAAGGCAGCAGAAAGGAGGCTTAACCAATTGGAGCAGTCAGCTTCCACAGGCGGCATGATGACTGTTCTTATTGGGGAAGTTAGCGGCAGATCAAGGATCGCCCGTTGAACCGCACTTTTTCTCATGGCCGGCCATCTTCGATGCCCGCGAACCTGCAAATAGTGCTGCAGTGGCCAGGGTCGGGCTCACGGATGAGAGCGGGTTCAGCCCGGCATGCACGACACGAAAAAGCTGCGGGAATTATCTTCATTCGCAACATAATGCCCAAAGCTAATAACCGATCAACGCTCTGCGGAGAGAGGAACACCCCTGTTCAGATCGTCGCGTGGCAGCGGCATGCAGCAGGTCGGCGATTACATAGCCGCGCACATGACACTCTTCCACCCCGTCTTTCTTGGCCTGAAACCTCCTTTTAGGCGTGCGTCAGCACCATGCAAGAGAAAAGAAGACGACCTTATCACCTTGGGCCTTGGAGTGTGCCAAACCTCGCAGGTGATGGAAAAAGAAAAGAAATTGTCCGCTGCGCGCCGTGTCGACGCCCGATGGAACGGTTTCTCCGTGCAGATTGCAGGTCAAGATGGAGGGCAGAGACGATAATTCAGCAATTGGCTGGACGCATGGCAGAGGCTTTTGATTGAGCCTCGATGAACTGGTGAGTGCTGCGGCGCATTTTTGTACAGGGATCGCACATGGCTATTGTCGTGCAGCGCAGGGCGGCTCGTTTGTCAATAGCGCCGACGGGAACTCATCTATTAGCCCTATTTCTATTACAGTGGTCTATTGACAGAGCCACCAGGCCCACAAGCACCTCGTCTCTTGGTTCTAGGCCTTGAAAAGGGGAGCATCTAAGATAGGCCCCGAGTTGATCTATTGTTCACGTATGTGGCCACCGAGAGCCCGGTGGCTGGTGGATGACAAGGCTTGCTTACTGCGAGGACAACTCATCAGGTAAGACGGCGGATAGGCATGCAAGCGGTATATCTGTATTATCGAGCACCGTCGGACAAAGCATGCCGTTGGCTGTCAACGCTATCCCTGTGTTGCTTACTTGGCTGTTTCCTTGCTTTTAGGCAATCCTTTACCGCGCGGGCGGGATGGTTATCATCGAGACGGGCGTGCGGATGAGCTGCGGCGATCGGAAGGGAGCACGGCATCATCCGCGCTCGTGGTTTCTGCGTGCAATGGCTGCTGTGCGGCCGGCAAGCCAGTCATCTCGGGCTGCAGTCGCGTGCTCGAGGGCGGAGGGCGGAGTGGGGAGCAGCAGCACGTGTGCGTTGACGCGGCAGCGCGGCGCAGTGATAGGGTCAGCACGGGCAAAAGGGCACACGTGTGGAGCCGGATCACACAGCATGTACAGACGTGCGCGTCTTCGAGAGATGTGGTGTTTGCATGGCGCGCGTGGAGTGCCTCAGGCAGCAGATGGAGCTCGGGCCAGGGCGAGATTTTAGTGGGAGTCCGGGCAGTTATGACGCAATTGCCGGTCGATCAAGGAACACCCGACCCATTGTTGATTGTTGAGATTGCACTCTTCACCTCGACAACTGCTCATCATGGGTCTGCGCACCAACCGCATCAGCAGGTCTATCCTGCGCGCCGTCTTCGATCCCCAGACCTCTTCCGACGCCGCCAAGCCCAGCCTTCTCGCCCGCATTCTCGCCTTCTTTGCTCTCTTTCAGCTTGTCGTGAAGCCTTTCCGCCCTGCTGACTTCCGCAAGCTGCGCAATGACGCTTGGCAGCTTGATGACGATGAGTACCGCGAGAGCTTTCGCCTCGCCAACCGTCGCGGTGCCGCCCTTAAGCCCGTCGGCGATCTGGGCTATTCCGGGTCGACCTTCTTTACCACGCCTAACGACAAGTTCCTGATCAAAAGCCTGCCTCGCCGCTTTGAGCACACCTTCTTCTCCCGCGACCTGATTGACCCCTACATTCAGCACATGCACGCCTTTCCGAATTCTTTGATCGTCCGCATCACTGACTTTCTCGAGGCCATCGGTCCATCTATCGGTGCCAGTGTCCTCGGCACCGCTCCTGCACATCATGTTGTGATGGAGAACGTGCTGTACGGAAAGGATCACGATGAGCAGAAGGACCGCTGGGAAACGTTCGACCTCAAGCCCGCCAGCTACTTCTACCCCGAACGTGACATCGCCGACGGGCACCTGGCTCCCGAGTCGGTTAAGGAGCGCTTGGTCGACACGTTTCCAGATAAGATCAGGGTGGCGCCAGAGCAGCGCGACGACCTGTTAAATGCTCTCAAGAAGGACACGGACCTTTTGTGCAGTGCAAACGCCGTTGACTACAGCCTTTTCCTGGTAAGGTACCCAGCAGAGCCCGAACGCCATGTACCTTTCGTCAAGGCAAGGAATAGTCAATGGCGACACGGCGTGAGAAGCACCGACGGGAAGTGGATGTACCGCGCGGTGCTGCTGGATTTTTTCTGGGCAAAGCACAAGACGCAACCAAAGATGATGACGAAATTGGTGAAGAGCTTCAACTTCTTTGCGAAGAAGGGGCCCATGAGCATCACGACTAGCCCAGGCGAATATCGCGAACGCTTCCTGAACATGGTCAAAGGTTACATCGAAGACCAGTAATAGTCTGGGCCGAGACGAGTCGCAACCCCGGAAAGTCTCAGTCGCCACCTGCACCCGCTCCCTGTCGAAGCGCTGGGAGCGATCGTGTCTTGCTGACACGCCAATTTCTTTGTGTTATTATCGCCTCCCCTGCTACGTTTTTGCTTGCTTGCATCCTGCGTCAGCCTGATCTCTGGCTTGCTTGCTTCCCGCTTCCTGCACCAAAGATTTCCTGGCCAGCACACCTGGCACAACAGACTGCTGCACGGCTTCTTGCCGCATTCTGGAACACAGCCTCATTAGTTTGTTCATTCTTCTTCTCTCCTGCCTATTACTCTTCAGCGTTGTTTTCTCTCAATTTTGCGAGTGTACGGCATGTAGCTCTTTTCAGATACCCCTGCGCCACAGTTTATCGAAGATCGATCGTGGATTCCTACCCCTGCCGTCAGAAGGAAGACGGAAACTCCCTGCTACCTTGCTTGAACCACACTCAAAGTCGCTATCGTTTACAATAAATCGATGAGATGAGCTGAGACAATACCGTTGGTGAAGTATATCTTCTGGCCAGGATTGCGGCGAGCTGCATGAAGGTCCGGGCCCTTCGTGCGCCTTACGGCCGATTTTCCACCTTCCCCCGAGGCTGTCACATTTCCACCAAACTCAGGCGCCCGAAGAGACTGTATCGCCTTTCGTCTGTGTCGTGCGCCATTCATTGAATCGGCGAAAGAGCATCCAGTCGAAAAGACCAAAACGGCGAATGGTCAGGACAACGGCTAGTTGGTCATTTGCAGATAACGATTCAATAAACTCTTCAAGCCATGTCAGATTTCGCAGCTGCCATCAATGTTGTCTTAGCCGCTGCTCGACTCCTATTCGTCCATTCTCTGTTTCATTCTGAGCCTGCAAATTTGCGCGTGCTCGAATGGCGGAGCGCGAGCGCGAGAAAAGCGTAACAGGTAATCCCTGCTCTTGGGGAATGGCGGGGGTGAGCAACGCGGGTGATGCGCGTGCGAAAAAGAGGAAGCGGGTAGGTGCATCGGGGAAGTACTTGTTACCGCCAGCCACGTACCGGTAAGTACAGAGCCCAACCCCCAGCGTGCTGGGTGAGATGAAGCCCTCCGTTACACTTGCTTTTGGCGCTTTCTTTCGTCGTCGAAAAGATGACCCCCCGCAGCCGCAAGCTGGACACTTGCAAGCTCTCGCTGCATGCTGCTGTGACGCTGCTTGCTGCTCTCTTTCGTCCCTTACGACGGTGCTGTGGCACGTACTCACTGCCGTCTTTTCCCAAATCTGAGACTCGTCCACACCACACCCTTGCGCAAAGCTCTCTTTTTGCTTGTCCTTTTGCCCGTTTCTACAACGCTTTGGCCACTTGCATGCAACAGACCCCTCCCTATATCACCTGATCAACGGAGCCGCTTTTGGTGGGGGGCCAAAGCAAAGAAGCATAGGCCGATGCAGGTCTCACAAAGATTACCCGGAAACACCTCCTACGATCCGCTTACCCTTGGCTCAAGCCTGCGAACATCTAACTTCCCCGATCGCATCGCGGCACGGCTTACGGGCGTATGTGCCGGGGGGTACTTTTCGTCTCTTTCACCCTTTCTCATTTTCTTCCCTCCCCTTGCCAAACTATTCCTTCCCCTGTCATCCAGCCCGCCAGGTAGTAAGCCAGTCAGCAAGCCACCGAAGGATGTGAACCCACCCCCCCTAATCACACATTTTAACTTCGACTTCCAAACACAGCCACCTCGGAAGTCAAATAGTGAGGCGAGACGAGACGCGGGAAAAGAGCGCAACGTCATGAGAATGGAGACCAAAAAAAAAAAAAAAAACTCCCCAGACCTGCTCTCTCAGCTCGTTATTTGGAGCTGCTATGACGCTTTCGCCTAGTACCTCTCTGCTGGGTCCTTACTGTCGCACTTGTTGAGTCTTTCATCGTGCTCGTAAGTGACACTCGTGTGCTCATAGCTACGGCTGTGATACGTGCTGGTACCAATGGCAATGGGCGACAATTGTACAGCTTAATCCGCTAAAGTTGCTTTTGCTGGAATCGGCTTAGATTGGTGGGGTGATTAGGCAGTAGTAGTGGATCTTTAATGTGCACATTGTCATAATAGTTTAATGTTGCCCTTTTCTTTTTTTTTGTCTTACGCAACAAAATTTGAGACACCCATATTAAAGGCGAGTTGCCTGGGCTTTATATAGTGAATTTTCAAAGGGAAGAGTTGAATTTAGCATTACAATAAGGCACGAAGACGAGAATTTATAAGATACTTAAGTTTGTATGCGGAGAAAGACACATGCTTTGTGGGGTTTTTTTTTTATCAAGTAGTGCAATTGACTGTAGCAACCACAGATGTTTATCTAAGCCTAGAAAAAGGTATAAAAGCAGGTGGAAAGAGTCAAGATAGTGCACGAATTGGTCGAAATATTTTAGTGGCTGAGTTTGCATTTCTTCTCATGGAATCTCTTTACGTGTCATTTTGTTCTACTTCATGCAGACATCACGAGAACGAGAACGAGATATACCAGATCTACTACCACGGAGCTTTGGGATAGAACGGACCGAGTAAAACAAAACTCTCAGTTTTATTAAGAGTAGAAATTAGAAGCGCATCACTCTGTCATCAAGCCCGATAGATAAATACTCTTTAAATGCCAAAGAAAGGGCTGCCAGAAATTAAGATCTCTTTGATATTCTAGTCGTAAAACACTCCGATATTCCTCCATATTAGGCAATCATACCATAAATTCTTGGAAATTCTTATGAAGCTCGAAGGTTGGATGAGCATAATAGTTCTAACCAGACTAATCCTAAACACATACCTACACCTAGCGTCTATTTCCTTTCCTTTCAGGAAGGCGACACTGTAAGGCATACAAGTAATGATGGTCCTCCTCTTTCAGGGAATCTGCTCTCTTACCCTTTGCAAGAGTGGCGCACGCTCGCCCCTCTCAGCCTCTCCACTGTGCGGGTACGGCATTCTCAGGTATGCACCATTTTCGATCTTCCTGACTTGCCAGGTGCCATCCTTCACGGCATCGTCAAAGAATCGTTGGTTCTCCTCAAAGCTTCGACCACCGCTCTCGGGCAGATACGCCCACGTCCAAAGACCGGCAATGGCATTCGAAGCGGCGAAGACGAGGAAGAGCCAGTAGCGCAGGTTGTTGAACATGATGGGCGTCAGGAGGGTGATGGTGAAGTTGGCGAGGCCCCAGATGACAACGCTGATGGCGGCGGCTTGAGCGCGAGCGGTGGTAGGATAGATCTCTGTGGGAATCAACTGTAGTGTTTAAGGTCAGTCGAGATGAGATCCACTAGGGCATGAGCGGTAGGAAGAAAGTACGTACCCAGACAGTAGCCAGCCAGCCAATGCCGAAGGCGCCCGTTGCCACATAAAGTGTAACGATGCCTGGAACAGAGAAAGCAACAGTAGGAACGTCGAGAGACGCGGATTTGCCCTGGGAGTTCATGGACAGGCCTCCAAAGATGGCAAGGAGAACGAAGCAGGATGTCAAAACCACGCTGCCGCCGAGCAATAGCTTACGTCTGCCAACGGCATCGATGAGCAACCAGGCGAAGGTCATGAGGAAGAAGTACGAGACGTAGTTGCCCATTGTCAAGTATTCAGCATCACGGACATCGAAACCAAGTAGCTCAAATATCTGAGGGCCGTAAACAGATACGGCTCCATAGCCAGTAAGAGCCTGTGCACCATTAGACCCAAGTTCATATTTCACAGAGCGACCGCATGTGCCTTACCTGGTTGATTTGGCCCATGATAGTGACAATGGTTGGGTGGAATTGCGGATGACCCGGCGTGAGCATGTTCAAGTAGGTTACCTCCTTGTCTGCTTCTCGCTCATGGCTTTCTTTTAATTCCTCAAACGTCTCCTTGCCGTTCCTGGGGTCAATATCTTCGCAAGCCTTCTTTGCATCCTCTTCTCTTCCGTGGTAAATGTAGAATCTGGGGCTCTCCGGTAGAAGCTCGATGCATGCGAGAAGGAGGATGGGATAGGCTTGCATGACGATGATGGGAATGCGCCAAGCCCATTGGTTGTCCTTGCCCAAGGCGACGGTCACGCCAAGGTTGATTGCGAATGCCATGTTCAGTCCGAAGATGTTCATCTGAAATTCCTGGCCCATAGCTCTTCCCCTCATCTTGGTCTCGGCCAGCTCAGCGCTATACACAGGGATCACGCTGTCGATGCCGCCAACACCTAAGCCCATGATGACACGTCCAAGAAACATGACCTCTAGGGCTTTTCTCATGCCTCCGAGGCCGGCGATGAACATGATGAAGTTCCCCAAGCTGGCGGTTGCCAGGCAGAAAAAGATGGCAGGCTTGCGGCCGAATTGATCGGCAAACCAGGAGAAGAAGACGGCGCCGACGGAGCAGCCCAGGTAATAGACAGAAACAATGATACCAACGAGCGGAGAATCACCAGATATGCGCATGCGAGAGAGGTAGTCATGGTTGGTATTGATCAGAGACATCATACCCTAGAGAATTAACAAGGAGCTCACTCGAGATTGTTCACGAATGCCTACCTGGTCATAGCCGTATAATGCAATGGCGGTGGAAGAGAAAAGCACAACTTGAGCCTGCTTGCTGCGGCTTAACGACCTGATCTGCGACAACAGGTACGACATGATTGCGGCACGGGGAGGAGAAAGGCCAACACAGGTGGATTGAAGAGCCGGAGGCCCAGAGTCATGAGCAGGAGTGAAAAAGTGAGGAGGAGGAATGAAGGGACGGAGAGACCGAGATCACGATAGCAGAAACATGGCAGGCGCGAGGGTGGGGAACACAAACAGCTAATGGCTGGAGCTATGACGGCAAGCGCGCAGAACTCCGTAGCGAGAAGAGAAAAACAAAAGGGGAACGCAAGCATCGATCAGATCTAGGCCAATCCTGTGACCTCTGCTTGCCGTCGTCGGCTGATGAAAATGACGCAATGCCTGTTGTTTCTCGCCGGCGGACCTGCTTGAACTTGAGAGGCTGGGCGCCAGCCCGCACCACGAAGCGGCGGAAATACGCGGATTCGAGCGGCCTGTTAGGTAATACTCGCGGCATGCTGAAAGGTGGAGAGAATTGCTACTGGAGCAGGTCAGAATCAGATGCTGACAGTGGTAATAAAGCAAGCACTAGTGATGGGTAAGTCCGCAAACGGCGCCCAGCACGTGCGCCGACGAAAAACGTGGCCGATAGTCGACGGTCTGGCCTCCTACTCGCAGTCTTTCTGCCGCTCGCCCCGCAAGTCAGGGATGACAGGGCGCTGCTTTCTCCGGTCGATGGGAAATCGAGTTCCGGCGCTGAAGATTGGTCTTGCTCCGGTCTGAGATGAAATGCATACTTTGCTGCGACCGTACCAATTCCACTGGCGGTCACAAGCTACACGACATGCGCCTCCGGGCTGCCCGTGGAGAAATGTGTGCGGTGGCAGATTTCAGAACTCACAGCGTTATATTTCTGCGCGCGAGGTTTGGTTTTGGTTGAAAATAGATGGCCAGCGCGGTGTCGATGATCGGCCTGGGATCCCCGCAGCAAAAGTGGATGCCGCCGCCCTTTCACCGCTCTCAGGGGTGCCCCTCCACAGCTCAACACCAAACCTCTGCGCCAAACACCAGGATTCCATATCCGCATCTCACCAATCCTCAATTAAAAAAATCACAGGGAAGAGCTTGGATTGCACCATCATGGCCGAGGAAGGATCTGGTCTGGACGTGTCGGCGCGCGACCTGCGCTTGGAGCAAGCTTTCTACGGCCCAATCATCCACTCAGTCACACCCACCGAGGTTCAGATATGCCACAAGGGCCTGCTGCTGGTCGGGCCCGACGGCAAGATTGCGCTATTCCGCGAGAGCGTTGAGAAGGCCCAAGTCGCAGCGCTCATCGCCGAGTACGGCACGGGCGCCGGGTCGCTGCGCATTCGCTACCTGGAGCGCGGCCAGTTCTTGATCCCTGGATTCGTCGACACGCACAACCACGCCCCTCAGTGGGCGCAACGTGGTACAGGCCGCGGTCTGCTGCTGCTCGACTGGCTCAACGAGATCACCTTTCCGCATGAGGCCAAGTTCGCCGACCCGGCATATGCCCGCAAGACCTACTCGTCCTGCGTCGACGGCTTCTTGCGCCAGGGCATCACGACAGCCTCGTATTACGGCAGCCTGCACGGTGAGGCAACCAAGATTCTGGCTGACCTGTGCCTGGAGAAGGGCCAGCGCGCTCTTATCGGAAAATGCAACATGAACCAGAACGCGCCCGCCGAGTGCTGCGATGCCAGCGCCAAGGAATCGCTGGAAGTCACCAAGGACTTCATCGCTCACGTCGATAAGATTGATCCGGAGCACAAGGTTGTCACGCCTACGCTGGCACCGCGCTTCGCCATCTCATGCGACCGAGAACTTCTCACTGGCCTCGGCGAGATCGCCAAGGCCAACCCCAACCTTCCCATCCAGACGCACTTCAACGAAGCCGAGGATGAGATCCAGTTCACCAAGACGCTGTTCCACGAGTTCAGCAACGAGGCAGACTTGTATGCGAACTACGGCTTGCTCAACTCTCGCTCCATTCTCGCGCACTGCATCTTCCTCGAAGACTACGAGGTTGACAAAATCGCCGAGCTGGGATGCGGCATTGCCCACTGTCCCATCTCGAACACAACCATTGGCGGCTTCATGGCGGCACCGATCCGCCAGTACCTGCGCCGTGAAATCAACGTCGGCCTGGGCACCGATAGCGGCGGCGGCTTCTCGTCGTCCATCCTCGACGCCATGCGCCAGGCCTTTATCGTGTCAAAGGCGCGAGAGGTCGCTACCGAGGGCGCTGATCCGGCACTCAGCCTCAGTGAAACCTTCTACCTGGCCACTCTGGGCGGTGCTAAGGTCTGCGGCCTCGGAGACAAGATTGGAAATTTCGCAGAGGGAAAGGAGTTTGACGCCCTCGAGATCCACACATTGGGCGCGAATGCGGGCATCATCACGCCCATTGAGGACGAGGACGACATGCCGACCGTGTTCGAGAAGTTCCTTATGACAGGAGACGACAGGAACATTGCAAAGGTGTATGTTAGGGGAAGGTCCGTCAAGGCATGAAGTAACGAGCCATGTGGAACCGAAGCAGATATCCAGAAGTAGACGAAAGCCATACGAAAATATCAGTGCAATTTCTTGCGAATATGACTGTAGCCGACAATGAAGTGGATGGTGCTTATGGCTGTGCATGCGGGGAGAAGCACGGCCAGCGTTAATCGCGATTTGCGGTGGGTACGGTTTGCCTAAAATAGGAATGCCTCTAAAGCCGATTGCAGAAGAGTGCTCTCGTCGGGGGAAAAAGAAGGGTGTGCTTAGGACTCGAGTCTGGGCTTTGGGTTGATATGTAATTGAGAAATCTAGGCGAAGTCGTCGACTATGCGCGGGAGAAGATGAGCAAGACTAAGCCATTTTGTAAAACCCACTGTGCCTCGAGGCCGTAGAATGTGACGTCGAATGTCGATCTAGGGAGAAAAATTTCGTGACAGCTTGGCGCAGTGGTATAGTGAGCTGCGCTGCGGCCCGCCCGGCGTCTACTGGCGCTAAGAGACTACTGGCCGGCATGAAGCTCATTTCGCGGCGAGAGAGGGCGATAGCGCGCGCGACGACAGGGGCGGCTTTCGGCAGCACCAGCCACAGCCGCCACGGATGTGCAAGGGACCACGAGGCTCAGTGACGCACTGAAGCGCCGCCAAGAGAGTGGGGAGATCGCAATCTCTGGCTGGTTTGTCCCCATTGTTTCATCTTCATTTGCTGCCGGCCAGCCGCATCCAGCGAAACATCCGCCCACTCCCTCCTGGTACTTTATCACTCGCTGCGAGACGCCTTTCTTTTTTGTCGTTCCTTTGCCTCCAATTTCCTGTTTTTCGCACCCAAACTTCTGCAGCAACCAGGCGCAGTCCCGGTCGCGCGCGTCCATCAGCCCTACGCGGCGCCTTTCTTTACCACCCCCTTGACTCGAGCCTCGCGGATTCGCCCGGCTCAGGCTAACCCAGCCGCTCAATTTCCCGCAATCGCAGCCTGGTGCTGCGCAGTCAAATTCACCCACGCTGAGCGTGTTGTCCTCGATGCCTCATCCATCACTCACCATGGCGTCGCCCTTGGCATTAGGGAGACGTGATATCAGCAGCACCATTGACGGTGTCAAAGAGTCCTTCAGTTCGTGGGACGCCTGCATGTCCAAGGCCTACTGCAAGTGAGTCGCCGTTCCTCCATCGCATGCGCGGCGCTGATACAGTTGCAGATGGCCCGTTATTGCTGGTATTGCCATCGCCGGAATTATCATCTTCTCTATCTTGTGGTGTTGCGGCCGCTGTCTTTGCTGCGGGGCCGAATGTTGCTGCAGCTGCTTGAGTTGCTGCAACAAGTGCTGTCCCGGTCCTCGGAAAGGCCATCGCCGCGTCGAGTCGCCGCCGCCTGCTGCCTTCCCCAACAACCAGCAATACCAGTCTGCCCCGCCCATGTATGCCGGCCCAGGATGGAACCAGGACAACACCCCGCAGTACGCCACTTTCGACGTCTCCAGCGGCGACAAGAAATTCAACGAGGACGCCTTGCCAGCGATGCCTACCTGGGAAACCGCCAAGAGCACTAAGGTCGAGGTTCACGAGGAGCAAGTGAGGGAGCATCCAGATGACATGGAGATGAAGAAACTGGACATGAAGCCAGGAGGCTCTCCCACCAACAGCAGCGTCGGTCCCAGCCCAGTAAATAGCCGCTCTCCTGCCCCGCCATCCGAATACGGCCTCCCTGTCCAGCCACGCCCTATTCACCCGGCAAACTCGAACTTCGTGAACGACTTCAAGAGCCCGAGCCCGTACCAGAGCGAGTTCAACGCCGGCCAAGACCAGCCCGCCTATTTCAACGGCCAGCCGCAGCAGCCTTACGGAATGCAGCGACACGCCTCCCCGGCACCGGCACCGTACCAGGACCAGAACCAGCCTTATCACTATGCGAACGACCCCTATGGCCAGCAAGCTTACGGATACGATCACGGCGCCGCACCATACGGCCAGCAGTACGACACGGCGAGTAGTGTGGGAGGCTACGCGCCAAGCCAAGCACCGACTGGCTACGCGCCCTCGGGCTCTACGCGCTACGAGCCTTCGATGCACAACGCGTACCAGGATCCGTACCAGCGTGGGCCTCCTCCACCAATGCCGCCCATCGACAGGGCCGGCACAGCCAGCCCATACCAGTCCTACGGCCAGCCTCCAAGGCCGCCCGTCGAACGCGCCGCAACCGCCAGCCCGTACCAGCCCTTCAACAACGCCCCCAGGCCACCGGTTGAGCGCTCGGCGACGGGGAGCCCGTGGGAGCGATTCGGCGCCAACAGAAACCCTGCTGGGTACTGAGAAGGATGACAATGTCTGTGCTGCGACTGGCGCTGTGTCATCCTTGCAAATCTGTTTCATTGCATCCTTTTTCTCATGCTTAACCCATCATGCCGACCCTCGACTTTACACCATTACTTTGTCATCATTTTCAGATGTCTCTTGTCTTTGATCTTCTCTAGCGATACCCGTTTTTGTCCGACGACGCAGCTTATACCATTTGAGACGTAGTCGCTTGGCTTCCGTCGACTGGAGACTGTTGACGGAGTCATTTCCAAAGGATCCTTGTGTTTTCTCTTCTCCTGTAGTTATTCCCTTCTTTCTTTTTTCCCTTTTTTGCATAGCGAAGGCGTTTTCCGGCGAACGGTAGTTGTGGTCGGAAACACTAGGACTCAATGAGGTGGAGTCGAAAGGCACAGCCAATTTCCAGGATAACCGACGCGTACGCATTACAATATGATGTTGCCGCGAACGGAAATTCGGATCAGGAATTGAGTAAAGAGGGGCCGAGAGAGGGGCACCATGATTTTAAAAGGGGAGATAGCTATAACGATTCCGACTGGGCGCATTTCGTGCGCGACGGCCCCTGCTTCGGATGCGATGCGATGCGAGAAAGCTTAGCACGTTATGCGGTCTCCACTCTACTTCAGCCTCCTTTTTCCCTCTTCGCATGCGACTTACTCGTACTCGTGTGGAGAGCGTCTTTGGAGTGGCGGACGTGCGAGCGCAGCTCTTTGTTCGCTTCGACTGCGAATCCTTTCTCTCCTACCTATTCTTGGAATACCAAATGCAAAAAATAACCCTCGTCTCTTCATGATCGACTGTCAGTCCCGTTCTGGAAACGTCGCCCAATATATCGAATCCAAGCTTTGTTGGAGATACGCGTCCGACGCCACAACACGCGGGAAAGGCCCGTGAGCAGCGAAAAAGCACGGATGCCATTTTCAGCCACAGGTCGAATTGAGGAAAAGAGGTCGCCAAGGTCCAATCAGAGCCGCGATTAGGGGGGAGTTACCCATCTGAGAGTAAGTTCTATTCTTGAATCTAGTGGAGAAAAAAAAAGATGCTCAGATCTGGATGTCCATTTCTTCTTCTTTCTCCTCTCATCCTTTCCCCCGTCCGTCCCTTCGCTTAACCAACACTCCTTTACGCCCCCCCTCCCTTCCTCAACCCCCTCACCAACTCGTCGACAACATCCTCAACCCCTTCCTTCCTCCCTCCCGGCGTCCCCAGCGCCGTCTCCTCGGCCACGGTCCTGTACACCTCAGCAATGCCGTCGAAGATGGCGCCGTCGCCGGTCCAGCCGCCCTCGGTGGCGAACGTCTCGCCGATCTCGCGCATCTCGCCCTCCCACCGGTAGGCCTTGTGCTGCATGCCGACGACGCCGCGGTCGGCGGCGGCGCGCGTGGCCGGGAAGGCGGCCGAGAGCTGGGATTGCAGCTCCGGCAGCACGCCGAGCTGCGCGGCTGTCGTGTAGGATTGCAGGGCGAGGGCGTAGAAGCCTTTGGTTAGGGCGGCGAAGCTGGTGTGTCGTGGTGGTTAGCTTTTGGAGGAGGGGGAGGGGGGGAAATGCGGAAGGGAAGGGAAGGAAGAGGGAGGGGGTTGGGGATGTGAGTGAGTGAGTGAGTGAGTGAGTGAGTGAGTGAGGTGGTGGTGGTGAGGTGAAATGTTCGACGTACGAAGCTTTCAGGCCGCTGGCTGGGCCTATCTCTGCGCTCAGGTGCTTGATGTTCAGCACGGCGGCTAGGTGCGGACCAGATTGAGTGGCATCGCTGAGGGGGTGGGGACCGGAAACGGGGATTGAGGGGCGCTTCCAGTTGCTTAGGCTCGCGTCTAGCTCTGCATCGACGTTGTCTGGAGGGGGCTGAGATTGGCTGTCATCGAGGAGCTTGGGCGGAGATCCGATGATGCCGCCGTCGACGAAGCGTATGCTTGGCGCGCGGGACTTGAGAGCTGCGTCGATGCTGCGGGCTGTGGATGGCGCAATGGCGTTGAGGTCGAGGAAGTAGAGAGGGGTGGATGCAGCCCTGCTTGACGCGGCGCTCCAGGCGTCGATTATGCGATTGGCGGTCTGAACGGCATCGCGGGGCGGGACAATGGAGAGAATGTAGTCGGCTTTCTCCACGAGGGCAACGTCTGATGGAAGGACGGTTATGCCTGCAGAAGTGGCGCGGGCATGGGTTGAGGGGCTGATTAAGGTGATGGTTAATTGGGGAGTGGCCAATGACTGAAAATGTCTCCCCCGCAAGAGGTCAAACTTACCTTCGACCGACGGTTGTAGTAAGGACTTCGTAGCCGTGAGCTTGCAGAAGCTTGGCGATGCCCAGTCCCATGTCACCAATGGAGACGATGCCGACAGCGGCTCGAGGGGTAGTAGGAGCCATGTTGAGATAGTGCGATGACTGTCTAAATCATTAGATGTTCACATTTACAGGTAGATGGTTACACGAAGATTCAACGCGAAGGTGGGAGAAAACAGACGCGAGTTGCGGGGTGTCTTGCGTCAGACGGCGGCGATAGGGAATAAGGCGATAAGATAAGACTGCGGATCTATCCGCCATAGCACGGTCCATCGGCGGAATGATTGCGCTTCTGGGTGTTGGTGTTGGACCAGTAGCACCGTCGCACACGGCTCGTCCCTGGTTCTATCTCGCACTGCTGCGACTACTGCTGTTCGACTCTGCAATGCAAGGCCAGCCTGTACTTCATTCTTGCGCGTCGTGGCACCGAGCAACTCAAAGCGGTTGCTGTGGAACGGGGCAGGTTTCAACGCAGCGCTGTCGGCCTGATTCCACCGGCTCCGCCTTCCATTCGACAGGGGTCGTTTCGGGTAAACCACCGTCGTGGAATCCTCGCTGTTGCTGCTCTCTCGGCCGACGCTTGCTTACTCTTTACCGCGAGGCTGATTCCATAATGCTTCGAAAGCTGCGCTGAAAGAGCAACAAACTAGCCTCTTGCGACGACCGGAAGGCTGAGCATCCGCTGCCGGCTGGTGCTTTGTAATGGGTTATGATTCGGCGGTTGGCCATAGCTCCCAGCTGGACCCTTGTTCCCTCCGCAAGACGCGGGGATGCTGCGGTTGCGCAGGGCAGTTATCAATTAATACGAGATCAGCTTCTTCGTCTTGCTAGCGACGCAGGCACCAGATATAAGGCCTGCTGGTTGCAAGTTGGCGATGCACAGCCGCGCCATCAGCGCAGTAGCTTTCGGACTTCCCCCACCCCCAACTCCTACGCGCCTCGCGCCATCCCTGCATCTCCGACAAGGCAACAAAAAGTGCAATCTTACACCACACACTTCATCAGCCCACCAGCCACCTTCCTTCTTTTAATTTAATTCGCCCACAACTCCAACTCTACTTCATCCTCACCCTCTCGCGCAATTGACATCCACAGCCATGTCGTCCACCAAAGAGCTCAACATCGTCGTCCTCGGCGCCTCCTGGGCCGGCCTGGGCGCCACGCACTACATCATGAAGCACGTTCTGCCCACTCTGCCTACCCGCAACGGCGAGAAGTACCACGTCTACTTGGTTAGCCCGTCGAGCGACTTCTTCTTCCGCGTCGCCAGCCCGCGCGCCGTCGCCTCGTCGCAGCTCATGCCGCACTCCAAGTTCTTCTTCCCCATCGAGCCCGGTCTCAAGCAGTACGACAGCAGCAAGTTGACCTTCCTCATCGGCGCCGCCACCGCCTGGGACACGGCCGCCCGCACCATCACCGTCAACTCCTCCGCCGACGGCCGGGAGCAGAGCCTGCCATACCACGCCCTGATCGTCGCGACGGGCACGCGTGCCCCCAGCCCGCTCTTCAGCCTGCAGCACGGCGGCTCCGAGGAGACAAAGAACGCCCTCTTGGCCGCCGAGGAGCGCCTCAAGACGGCCAAGAGCGTCTTCGTCGGCGGCGGCGGCCCCGTGGGCGTCGAGACGGCCGGCGAGATCGGCGAGGCCCTGAACGGCAGCCCCGGCTGGTTCGCCTCGGGCCCGCCCAAGAACCAGAAGGTCGTCATCACCGTCTCGACCGACAAGGCCAAGATCCTGCCCGTGCTGCGCCCCGCCCTGGCGGAGAAGGCGGAGCGTTTCCTCGCTCGCGTCGGTGTCACGGTCAAGAAGAATGCGCGTGTTGAGAGCACCGAGGTCAACAAGGATGGCACCACCAATGTCACTCTCAGCACCGGCGAGGTCCTCACCGTCGACGTCTACATCCCTGCGACTGGCGTTACGCCCAACACTGAGTTCGTGCCGAAGAACCTCCTGAACGAGAGGGGCTACATCCAGACGAACAGCACCACTCTCCGCGTCGACGAGGCCGGCCCGCGTGTCTTCGCGCTGGGCGACGTCGGCAACTACACCCGTGGCGGTATCATGGACTTGGACAGCTCGGTAAGCACCATTGCAGCACGTTTCCTCCGTTTTTCTCTACTTTTTTGCTAACTGAATTTTCTCGGAACAGACGCCCGTCGTCATGACCAACCTCTCCCGCGACCTCCACGCCTTCGCCGAAGCCGGCGGCGAGAAGCTGGACGCCAAGCCCAAGGGCCCCGACCGCGAGTACAAGCCCAACTTGAAGGAGACGCAGCTCGTCCCAATCGGCCAGAGCAAGGGTGTTGGCTCCATCTTCGGCTGGAAGCTGCCTAGCATCTTCGTCTGGTTGATCAAGGGTAGGGAGTACTTCACCAACATGGGCCCGCCGCTGGTGGATGGCTCGAAGTGGAAGAAGGAGAGCAGCTGGAAGGCTAAGGAGGTGTAGATTGGGGGGGTTCAAAGGCGAAGGTGACGGAAGTGTGTGGGGCAGAGACGGAGTAATCAGGATATGTGACGACAGGCTTTTATGAGTGGAGGGAGTTGTGGTTTTCCAGACGTTTCTCATACCCGGAGAGTAATACACCAATTGATGAACTATTGTCTTTAGTAACCTCAATCTCTCCCTTAATATGGTAGATGGTGGCTGCGCTTCACGACGCGGTACCACAAGGTGTGTAATAGCAAATAGGAGATACGAGCCGCTAACAGTAGTCAGGCTCAAGCCACTGTAACTTTTTCCGCAGACTCCTCCGCTGTGCCCTCTTTGACTTGATGACTCTTGCCGCTATTCTTGCCATCCAAAACTCTGCCAAAGATATAGTCCCTTCCTTCAAAGACTTCTCAGTCATCTCTAGGATGTGCGGAGTAGACTTCCATGAGGACAATCGCTGACACTCCAAAAGAAGGTTCAGCCCAACATGGGTGATAAGACCTCCTTTCTCTGCAAGTAAGTTTATGGTATCAGCTTCCAAGGTACTATCTGAATTCGCGGCAAGGATACGCCGTAAAGTCGAAGGATTTAGATCGAGTAATATTCTTCTGATCATCACATCAATGGGTGTTCTCCCCTTTCCATCTCTTCCATTGATGTCGGCGCCATGATGAATCAATATTTCCGTTATGGGACTCATTGAGAGATGAAGAGGTTGACAAATCCAGGAAGTTACATCCTGTGGTCCCACGAGGGTGGAGCTCGCGTTCGGGTCGTGTCCTTTAGCAAGAAGCAATTTGGTCATTTCCTTTATACAAGGAGATTGAGAGAGGTGTGAGATGTTGTCTCGATCGCGATCCGGATAGAAGAGGAGATTTCCGAGTGGTCGTGTGCCCTTGTAGGCAGTCATTCCAAATCCTTTATTGATGAGAAATTGCGTGACGCGAATGTAGTCCGGTTTGAACTCGTTGTGGTATCTGCTCATGAACTGAAATTCGATGGAAGCCGTTTCAAACCTGTTGGCTGCTAGACAAACAGCATGAAGAAGAGCTTTTTCTGCGTGTGGATTTGACTCCTCAAACTTGCTGAGCTTTTCCAGTACAAACAGCGAAAGGCCATAATAAACAGCAAAGGTCAGCGGATCATCCGGTAGATATCCTATTAGAAGGCCTCTTCCGCCTAGTGAGTCGATAAATCGAAGCTGGCATGTCCCTGTGGTAACTTCCGCTAGATAGTGATAGACTGCGGATGCTGATACTGAATCCCATTTCGTCTCGGAAATCATCTCAGAACAATGTTGTAGCTTTGCGAGCTCGGTGTACCCGTTCTGCGACCGGAAGAGAGCTTCTCTCCCTACAATGAGCTCTTGGAACGCGGGTTGGCTCACAAATTCTCGAACGGTTTCATGCATCAGTCGAACTCTGCCATGTTTCTGAAAAGGCTCCTCTAGTTCGATGAGTCCTCCGCACTGCTCTCTAAGTTGGGTGCAGAAGTTCTGGAAACTTTCTGGGTCAATTGGTTGACTTTCGCAATCTTGTATTGTCTGGCACTTTGAGTACACGACAATCAGGTGAAGGTCCTCCAAAGAAGGTTCGGTAAAGGCTTTCAGAAGTGCATCCAAAACGAGATAAGCATTCCAGCGGAAGTCTTGCGGCATGCGGTGAATAATATCAGCGTAAAAGTCGCCTAGCTCAGTAGGAAGCTCTCGAAGAAGCTGTATAAGATCCAATGCCGTGATGGCCCCTTGAGCACTGACCGCTTCAAAAAGCCTATCCAAAGCAAGCCGGACCCAGAGAAAGACCCCATTGGCTGTTTGGTTGATGTATTCGACGGCTTTGTGTACGGCCTTGCGCGCAGGCTGGGATGACTCCATCTGATCGAGTACCCCAGGAAATCCCCTTAGCCTCTCGATTGTATAGCGCTCAATATCGTCTTTGGTATGTTCTTGAAGCCGAAAATTTGGAAAGTGCTTGAACTGATTGAACAGGATGTCTCGAGGACGGCTTGAGAAAAACACTTTGGCACGGAATTTTGTGCTTTTATTTGGGGTGATCATGCTTTGTATAAATTCCGAGAGGGATTCGAGGTGGCCGTCGAGTTCATCCAGTGCATCAATGAACAGGCATATGCTCAATTCCTGGCGCTGTTGTCTGAATATTGCGTGCAGAGTGTCTTGCAAATCTGAGAGCGTCCATTCGATCCGTAAGTCTCTACCCTTGGATGGACAGTGGCGTGGTATCTCATAGCAGAGCCAGGGAGCCTGAGATAGAATTTGGAATAGGATGCTCCTTAAGAGGCCATAGAAAGTCTTCTGCATTGCTGAGCCCCGATAGTAGAAGAAGAATCCAGCCTTGATGAGCTTTCCAGAAAGGCTCCATTGATGTAGAGCCTGGGATGTCTCCGGATGAAAGAAAATATGCTTCATGAGCGTTGATTTCCCGGAGCCGGGCTTTCCATGAATCCAGTAGACACCTCCCTCCCTCAGAAGCCAGTGGACGAGTTTCAAATCTTTTTCCTGGAAAACCCATTCGTATGTGAATTCGTAGTTTGGCGCAATTTCTGTCTCTCTGCGTTTAAAGATATCCAGATTCAATGACTGGATGATCTCTGAATAGTCGGTCAGCTCAATATGTAGGCCAATACGACAATATCATACGAACCATCATGCGAGTATGCCCTCTTCTCCGATCCTTTTCCTTTGAGATGCACTTGCTCATCGTGGCCACTATACTGGGCATCAGGGGTCCACAGCTCTGATGGCTCTCCAGAAAAGCCCAGCGCCCTTCTTTGTTCAAAAGTCTGGATGCCAATCTGGTTTTCGGATCTTGCTAACGTTGAACGTATATAGCTTAAGACTTTTTGATAGTTGATATCGTCTCTAGCAAATTTAACCATCGATGAATGGTCCTCATCCACAGCATAGACCTCGTCAGGACAAGAGCTTCGTTGGATTGCTGAATCTCGGTCTACCATGACAACTTCCTCTCCAGTCCTGCTCCATCTTTCGCCGTCCCGCTTACGATCAGTCAGTACACAAACGGTGATTTGATTGTGTTCGGAGCTTACCGCCACGGTTTTTGTCTTCTTCGTCTCGTAAAATGAGGCAACGGTGAACCTCCTGAAGTGTTGGATCCCATTGAAAGCGTTTTCGATACATTCTAGATAAGCAGACTTCGGTGCCAGGTCCTGGATAAGTTCTGCATTCGGTTGGCCATTGACCATGGCAAGTAGCTGAGCTGTCTCCATGCCTTTGTGTGGAACGCCGAAATTGATTACTGAAACCACATTACGGATTACTGAGGACTGTTGATCAGAGTATGCTGCCAAGCTGATCAGAGTCTCTTTCAGAAGAAGCCCACCGAGGCTATGAGCTATGAAGACGATCGGCGTGGAAGCGGAGGAGCCGAAACCGAAAGAGGTTAAACCATTAATGAGGTTCCTAGAAAGATCGTAGATACGCTGAAAGGAGGAGCTCCCCACCACGTGAGAATCATAGCCGTAAATGATTGTTCTAACGCCGGGGATGTCCTTTGGGAGCCCATCTCGAAGCCACATGAAAGGAGAGCCATGTCCACGATACTGCCAGGACCCAAATGGGTGACTACCAAGGCCGCTGATTGCGATGCAACTTTTACGCGTCAACATGTCTCAATAAACACCGAGCTTCCGAGGCGTTTCACTTCCAGCAAGGAAACTCACTCAAGGATATGCTCGGTGGCATCAACATCGCTTAGAACAGTAAAACCCAAGAATCTTCGATCGAAGATGATGATGTATTCTGACTCTGCGTAGCTTGCTCTGAAGGACGATTCATCCTCTCCTTCGAGGCATGGCGGAAGCGGGACAATAGTAACCGTTGCCGTTTTCGAGCGGGTTGCATGCGATAGAGCCAGATCAACAGCAAGCGATTCCACTGTCACGGTCGTATCGTCTGCGCCGACGGCCTCTTGAATCAATTGGGTTGCCTCAGCCTTATTGACTTGCAGCGGGAGTCGGCGGACCCGGAACGTCAGTACCTTGTCCCGCGCCATCTCTTCATTCCCACGACCGATATCTCAGAAGCGGTGCGGGGTTCGTGATGATAAGACAAGTTTAAACGATGCTGATGCACATGGAATCTCAGACCTTGAGGGTGCGAAGTCTAGCGAACATTGCGGGGCAACAGGCATCAGGTGATTCCCGCTGCTTACGGCGGCAAGCCGAGGAGCATGAGTGGCTGAGCAGTGCTTGGCAAGTGGGTGTTCCATCGCTTCAGTGCGCCTGCTGATAGGTAGAGAAAGGCGGGTATTCGCTTAGACAATCAACCGTGACAGGAATGATCGCCGCCTCGAACCGTATGCATTTCCGACTCTTCTACGAGTTCTTCCCCGAAACAAGTGAGGACGGGTAAGGACAGAAAACAAGATATTATATCAGCGTGTTGCCGTCCGTGTCTGAGCTGAATTGATCCAGTATGTTTCGCAAACAGAGTATAATGTATGAGGCTTTATTGTTTCGACCTCGAAGTACAAATTCTTGGGAAAATTACCAATGCTTGGAATTGAGCTCTGTTCTGAAGGAAAAAGAAGAGAGAGATGAGGAGGACGCCTGGTTCGACAAGGCAGTAGAAAACGGCACCAGCAAGCTTCTATGATCATGATGAAGAGAACAGAATTATTCGTTTTCCACCTTGACACAAGTAAAAGATGCAGTAAAAAGTGAACTAAGCAAATGTTCACTTACGGTGACGAATTAGATGTGAAGCGACGCTTTTCAGAGTGTTTTTTTCTTTGTGATTTTCGTTTCTAGATGCATGCCAAAGGAACGACCATGAAGAAGAATGAAGCTCACTTCTCGTGGAGAGAAATGAAACAAACCATGGAAAGAAATGGCAAAGAAAGAAGACTACAGACGTTCTAATTACAAAAAGACGTAGAGAAGCGTTTACCTAAGGCATTCGAATATCGCAGATGAAGTAAGCAGCGCATTCAGTGCTCCCGTAGTTACCGTACCATTGTGCAAAGCCAAGATCCTGGCAATTTCTAACCAGTACGGCTTTCCAGCTCTATCCTGCGTGAGTAGGCAACTCAAGGCGGCGGAATGGGCTTCATCCAAGGTCTTCAGGAAAGAGTATCTGATAAAGCCTTCTGGGGGGTTTGAGTACTCACGCTCAATCATGTTCATTTCTTTTGGAGGCACTCTTTGTTATAAGTCAAATTGTTGAAGCGATGGGGATAAATGACCCACATGGGTCGGCCCCGGGTGAGAGATAAGGCGATAAGGCAGCTATCGCGGGGAAGCAGTGACGTCAGGGACACACGCTAGGCAGTGGAAGGCGCACACGACAGCTTACAGCATGCGTGAAGAAGACAAGGGAAACCGGGACGTAGCTTTGACCGGCTAGGCGCGGTTCATGCATGTCAATCTTGCATCGAAGCTCTGAGCGCAGCCTGGCACCTACGTCATCCCGATCAGTCCGCCTGATATATCCACTGCGCCCGCACCACCCCTCCACCAGATCATCACCTCCGTCAACTCTCAAAGTCACAGTTTATTCAGACTTCAACCTTCCAGACCAATACCGCAAACATGCCCCACCACCCCGCTGAAGAGACGGCCACCGGCAGTAAGTGTCTCTCCAGATCTATCTCTCAACCCCGCTCTCCCAGTAGGGCGTGTACCCTCAGAGAAATATGGGCGCTAACCACGAACTTTGCCGTAGACATCACCGACCAGGTCGCCAAGGAGTCGTCGGACAGCACCGCATCCACGCACCCTCTGCATGATACCGACACCAACGTCACCTCCGGTGGAGCGCACAGCAAGGCTCATGTCAACGACCACAAAGCTGCTCCTGTTCGTCACACCGCTTCTCACATACATAACTTCAGCGCTCACATATGACCCAGGGCCCCGTCATCGCTGAGAAAATCGGCCAGCCCGCGAGCAAGGAGGAGCTCAAGGCCCGGGCTGCGGAGCTGAACAAGTAAGAGCACATAGGCTCGCCACTCCAACTGTACGATGAAACGAACAAACACACACAGGCCGTCGAAGCCATCTCCCAAATTATGATACATTAATAAATACAAATCTGTTTCTCCAACCCCAACCCACCACCACCTCGCGTGACCCAAAACCACCATGCAAATCACGGCAACACCTCCTCCCCCCTCCAATCCCAACACCTCCCACGCCCCCTCTCCACACCCAACCCCCTCACCACCTCCACCAGCCTCTCACTCGCAAACTCCGGACTAAACAGCTTCCCTTCCGCCACATTCCCCCAAAACTCCTCGCTCAGCCCCGTCTTCACCGTCCCCGGATGCAGCGCCACGGCCATGGCGTTGCCCGCCGCGCTCGTCCGCAGGTGGTTGTCGAACGTCTTCGTCGCCTGGTTGACGGCGGCTTTGCTCGCGCGGTACGAGTACCACCCGCCCAGCCGGTTGTCGCCGATGCTGCCGACGCGCGCTGACATGGTTGCCCAGACGGCATGGTCGCTGGGTAGGCCGTCGTAGGAAGAAGTGTCGTCACCGTCGGAGGAGGGGAATCTGGTGCTCTTGCGCGGCAGGAACGGCGAGAAGTGCTTGATGGCCAGCAGCGGGCCGAGGGCGTTGGTGCGGAAGGTGAGCAGCGCGTCGGCGGCGTCGATCTGCGATGGCGCTTTCTCGGGAAACAGCAGGCCTGGCACGCAGAAGGCGAGGTGGAGGTGCCAGTGGTCGCGTGGTGGGAAGTGCGTCTTGCAGGTTGCGGCGGCGGTGGCGATGGAGTCTTCGTCTTTTTGTCAAGGTGTTGTTAGCTTGCCTGCTTCTTTTCTTCCTTTCCCTATGTAGAAAGAGAAGAGATCAGCCACTCCACTCACCCAAAAAGTCCATCCCAACCACCTTCAGCCTCTCCTCGGCCTTCACTTCGTCCCTCCTCTCCACGCCGGCCAGGATCTCCTTCCGCGCCGCGTCGATGTTGCCCTGATCGCCCCGCGCCGTCGCGACGACGGGCACGCGCGTCGTCGACAGCACGTGCCGTGCGAGCGCGCGCCCGATGCCGCGGGAGGCGGGCGTGATGAGCGCCCAGGGCCGTGACGATGGCGGCGGCATTGTGCTGTTTCGTCGGGTTGGATGGGAGCGTGAGAGTCTGCTGCAGGCTCGGCTATGGCGTGGTGGGGTTGGTTCTCGTGGTCTCTTTGGCTGGATGTGATGAATGTTTTCTTAAACGTTTCTTGTTGTTATGAAGGCTGAGCTTCGAGCCCTCAGTGATGTTTAACCAATCGCTGAGGTAGACGGCCGTCGGGTATCAAGGCCGTGGGGAGCGTTGGTTTTTTGTTGGCAAGCCAGGTGTATTCGTTCGGCTGAAAGCATCACGAGCTCAAGTAATTGAAGGATAATAGCTGAAGCTCTTGTATACTAGCGCCAAGGGAGGAAAACAAAAGCTGTCGATGATGACGACAATGACGATGAGTGGACCGACGAGGGAGGGTCCTTGAGCCTCGACGGGAAGATCGACGACCAAGATCGGGGCCCGCGCGCCCCTTGGCGCTGATCTACTAACCACCCGAACCCCACCGCGGGCGCTTTGCTTGGTTCGGAAAACACCATGGCCTTACCATGCCCGAGGCTGGGAGTGAATTTAGTTCTGGGCATTGGCTGGGCTATTCTACGAGCCACGCAAGCTAAGCAACTAAACCGAGACTTCTACAAAATACGCATACTTTCGTGAAATCGTGAGTAAGAATGCATATTAAGAGGGAAATAAGATATAGGAGATTGGGTTCGCTGAATATTTCTAAGATAGCCCAGCCATAGCTGAACAATGACCATCCTCACTGCCCCAACAGCTCAGTCATACGACGTCACATCGAACACCAGTCCTCAAGACGGGGTGCATGAACGAAAACTCGCAGGGTAGCATCGAGTAGCAACCGCTCTGCTTAGAAGAAGCCACCCGCGGGCACAGCAACAAAGATAGCAACCAATATGGCGCTGGTGACAAATGCTCCAATCAAGCTCTGCACAAAGATGGTGTCCTGAATCTGGCGCATGGCTGGCTCCTCGATCCACACCTCGCGGTCGAATATCTTGCGGATGATGTTGCGTTTCTCATATTGCGCCACCCACGGCTCGTCCTCGAAACTGTTCTTCGTGTTGTCTTTCTCGGAGCATAGCGTTGGCTCATCATCAGAGGCAAACAACTCCCATGGACGTAGGTGTCGATGGTGCATTCCATGAAGGACCTGCGCGCGTTAGTACTAGAGCTGCGATGGCAGGAAAAAGGACAACTTACAACACACATTCCTTTGTATGCAGCAATCATAGTTGAAATGCCGATGACCAGTGGGATGGCGGAAAGGGCGCGATAGCCTCGCGGCATGTTGCTGAGCGTCATGAGGATGCCCATGAGGATGCCTCCAATGATGGTGAAGATGCCGAGGCCGCGAGCAAATACGACACGTGGGCGATTGCCATTGCAGATTGTCCAGCGGATGAAGTGAGGGTGAGACTGGCAGCGAAGCGACCATTCGACGCTGACCATGACCTCGCGAAAAGCCGACGGGTGCGTCGTGTGCGTCAGAGCGCGGAGGAGCGAATTGCGCTCGCGCGATGAGAGATTAAGTTGACGAGCACCGCCATCGGCAATGTAGATGGTGACGATACGCGAGATCTCTTCGCGATATGGCTGAATAGTGACTGTGCGGTTGAGTTAGTCATTGTGCTAGCAGATGAAGGAGGAAGATGCATACACGGCTGGAATTTCTCTCCTGCAGATTCAAAGGCATCCCTAGCCGCCTCAGAATGATTGACGGTGGAGTTGGTCAGGGAATACTCCCAGTCCGCTGAGCTGTGCACCGAGGGTGTGTCATTCTCGCTGTGCTCGGACGGGGTGGGCCCGGCGTGATCCCAGAAAGGGTTGGCTCGGTCGCTGTCTGCGGCTTTGGGAGTATCGGAAAAGGTGGTTCCTTTGAACACAGCAGCTGTTCTAGGGGTAGATTTCCGGGACTTCGACTGGGCTGCATGCGCTTCAGACTCTGCTTGCTCAGTGGTCCATTCCGGCGACAGTACTTTCTCGCTCTCAGGAAGAGCCTCGAAACGCTTGACGTAGTCGTGGAACCAAAGGTAAAACTGGAGATTCTCGGCCGACAACTCAATGTACTTCAGATAGTTCAGAAACTCGCGAAGCGTGCACGGCTACAAGACTCAAGTCAGTATCGAATTACGGGTGAGGCTAATGCTGTGTAACCCAGTGACACAGACCGCCTACAGCAAGGGGAGCGGGAAGCTGCAGTGGCACGTACCGGACAAGTGCCGCCGGCAATGATCCGATCGAATGACAGCGCATCTGGGATCCCATGGGACATTCCAGAGTCAATTGACTTCTTCTTTCCATCGTTGCTGTGTTCGGATGTGGGAATAGATCCAATTGACACTGGTCTCTTGTAACTGAGTGAGTAGACCATGCTGTTTGTCGTTGGCTGATGAAGATGCAGCAAGAAAGAAGGAGCAAAAATACGAGGAGAAAACGAGCGGAGGGGGAAATTAAGAGGAAGTGACGACGTCTGGCGAAGCACCCAGACACGGGTATAAGGTGCGGAGCAAGCTTGCTGTTTAATATGGCAAGCGACGAAGCTAGAACAACGCCACTGCGGGAGACGGACAGTTGCTTCTTTCTAGACGGACAGATAGATGGATGGTTGAGTCAAACGCTAGACTCTGGAAGAGCGGTTTAAAACAAGAAACGACATGAAGGACCCGGCGGGTAGGGAACGATCGTCAATTCGTGGACATGGCAAAGGGAGGGTGTGATGGCAGCAATAACTGGTCGGATTCCGCACAGATGCAGGCGGGCATGACGTTGATGAACGGTACCAATAGTGTTCTGTCACAAGCGATGGTTACCGAAACCTTGTGTGTTGCCTGGGCGCCATTCGGATGAATCGTTCGAGACGCGTCGGTGCTGTTAACTAGCAGCAGGCTTCTAACGGCAACACGGCGCTTGATCGCTCGCACGGGTTCCTTATGCTGCGGCAGCACATGAATTTTGCCAAGTGAGCTGGCTTTGTCCGGTGGGAAGGGAAGGGTGTGGTCATGATGGCTGAGTCTCAGTGCGTGGTACAAGGGTCAATAACCCAGTGGGGGATCCCGAAGTTACCGTTGACGGCGTCTGGCCCGAATCCAGCATGGCAGGCTTCAAGAAGCTGCCAACGACAGGGCGATGCCTTCATGGTGGCTTGAGCTGAACATGGCGTCATAGTGGCTCTGATTGGGCTGCCGATGAGGGAGTGTGTGTGATGCATACGTCGATGTTCTGGAACCAAGCGACCGGGAAATTGCGACGGCCAACCAGCTGGGCCGCTTGCGTTCTGCTGATTACGCAAAGCGCGTCGCTTATCGTAGATGCGAGGGCGAGTCCAGCTGGATTCTCTCAACTGCCATGAGGGCGCTGGCCGTTTCCCCCAGCTGCTGCCCCCCGCCGAGCTTGAAGGGATAGTTTGACTGACACGTTGTTGACATTGCAGATCGAAAGACTCGCGGCCTTGGCTGGACTGGGCGTGCAAGTGGGCGCCTCCTTCCGTTCTCAGTAGCTTAGTCCTGCCCCACAACCATAGCGCTTCAACCGTACCCTATAAGCAGCGGGTAGAAGTGAGCACCAAATCCGTCGGAGCAATGTTTCCATCTCTATTGGCCAAATCCTTCAAACGCCGAATTGACGTATACGCAGATTTCATGCCCATGGCCCAGCGACGACTAGCGCCACGGCTCCAGCTCCCGAAACTTCCTTCACATCACCACCTTCGGTACTGTCTACTCACCGCGCCGATTCCGCCGATCCTGCTTTAAACTCCTATCACGGCTCCCCACGATCTGTATCTTTGTCCTTTGTCAAGAAAGTTTCCGCTTTACTGCAAAAGTCGCCCTCAGAAGCTCTGCGATCTCACAACTGATCAAATAACTTGCTTCAGAATTACCAGGCTGAGACATGCAAATCTATCTTCCGCCATCAGGATGCAGCTTGGGTGCATCACAGCCTCTCATGCCTGTAGAACATTTCATCATCGCTCTTAAACGTACCATTGCATGGAAACACTAGCGCTTCTAGCCCCAAATAAAGCTTCTAGTCAGTCCCGACTAGACGGTCTTTCCGAAAAAGCGAAATTGAGCCCCCTCTAACCTTCTGGAGGTTTCCTTTACACCAAATTTTGCTTGTTCCGAGTAAGAAAATAGTCTTTCTTCATCTCCTGGGCCGTGAAGGACAATCGTCCGCGACTCACGCTACTCACGCTACTCATTCACCAAGTTAGCCCCCTCCACGTCCGTCGTCTCATCCCCTTCTCGTCGGTGACCGGCTAGGAGGCCTTGTTCCTCATCGCTCTCCTTGCCCTCCTTCGCGCTGCCGCTGCCGCCGGCACTGCCCCACAGCGCGACGTAGACGGTGCTAGCAAGCACAATAGCGCCGCCGCACCAACTCGTCGCAGCAGGCACGTTGCCCCAGATGAGCTTGTCGAAGACGAGGGCGTACAGCACCTGCGAGTACATCATGGTCGTCGCTAGCGCGCTCTTGTCGTGCTGCAGCCCCGCCGTCAGCAGGAACTGCAGAAAAAACCCCGAGAAGCCGATGACGGACAGCAGCGCCCACTGGCGCCCGTCGGCCGGCAGCCGGAAGTCGACGCCGGGCGCGAACAGCAGGAACAGCGCCGCGCCTACCGTCGACACCAGCGAGTAGTAGTTGACGCTGATCAGCGCGTGCGCCCGGTGCCCGATGCCGCGGATGATCGTGTACGATACGGTTGCTGTCACGGCGCCGATTAGGAGGAGTGTCACCGCCAGCGTGCGCATGGCCGCGCTGGCTGAGGGGCTGCCGTCTTCCTCTTCGTTGTGATGTTGGTCGTTGGGGAACAGCCACGGCGGCCGCGCGATGATGATGACGCCGGCGAAGGAGACGAGGCCCGCGAACACGACCTTCTTGGCCAGCGGCTCGTGGAAGAGCAGCGCCCCCGCCCACGGCACCATCATTGGTGTGAGGAAGGTGATGACGGTCGTCTCTGCCAGAGGGAGATATTGTAGCGCCCCTGTGCAATGGGAAATTGTTTAGCAAAACTGTTCTGGACGCTGGATGCGACTTTCACCACTCACAGTAGAACGCCGAGAGTCCAAAGAAGCCTGTCAATCCTCTCAGCAACAGCCACCCCCGCACACCTGGTGGTCCCCAGGGGAAGTCCGGGACGTTGGTTGCGCGCATGTAAATCGTGCTCAGGATGCCCGTCAATGCCATGCGAACGAAGATGATCTGAGCGGAGTATAATTGGTCAGTTCATTGCTCCTCGACGTATTTTCCAAATAGAAAAAAGAAAAGAATAATAAAACGAAGAGAAGAGTATAGAAGGAAATGAACGAGGCTGAGAGCAACGTACCTGCATCGGATGCATCGCAGCGCCCTTCTCATCGTCCTCCAACAGCCTCGCCGTGGCGCCCATGCACGCGCCGAAGCTCTCCGCCGTTAGGACAAGCACCCACGCCCTGTTGCGCACCCACCAGCGCTGAAACGCCGTATCGGGGGCTTTCTCATCGTCATCCAGTCTCTGCTTCCGCCGCTCTTGCTCACGGCCGGAGGCGATCTCCCTCGTCGTGTCCTGCGTCGTTGCGCTCATGGTCGTCGGGCGTCTTCAAAAGCGGAAGAAGAAACAGCAAGGTCTATGCCATAAAAATGTAAAAAAGACGATAGAAAAAGCGAAAAGCAGTAAGAACAAATGCAGATGCTCCTCTATCGAGCTCCTCGCATCACCTTGGCAAGGCGTCGTCTGCTTATGAATGCATTCGCGGTTGCGTTGATTCGGCGATCATGACTCCTTTGAAAAAAACTCTTCGAAAAGGCCGCACAACACCACCCAAAATGCTCCGACCATCGGCGCTTCTGTGCATCGCGTGTGTTACGCGCGGGGCGGGGTAAGCGCTTGGGTAGCCGAACCGGTCACCCTCAACTGGGATACCGCCGGTTCTTTTGATAACGGAAGGATGCAAGGCGCAGAGATGGGCGAAGATCTCGCAATACGACGCCTGCAGGATGTCATCGGATGCATTCCGCGAATCAGCGGGGCGCCTGCTGCGTACTGCGGCGGCAGCGGGGTCTCCCGCATGATCCCAACGGCAAAGGGAGGGAGAAAGCGGGAAAATCGCGAGTTGCCGGGCGATCATATATCCAGTATACATCACGCGGACCCCCCTCTGACCAGGTACGGAAATCTAGTCCTTTCGCCACAAGGGAAAGAACGGAAAAAAGCAATTCTGCATCTTCCATGTCTGCCTGCTCTGACTGTGATGCATTCGGCGGTCAGCTATGACTAATATCAGCGCCATTTCTTTTAATTTTTTTTTTCAACACGCGTGATGGTTGATCAAGCCGCTTATCATCAATCAACACGCCACTGCCCGCTCCCGCGAGACATGACCTGAAGATGGTGTGGTAGCCTTGCGCTCTCAGCTAATTCTTATCTCAGTTCACACACACACCAACAAAGCTTCTCAACGACAAGCATTCCGGTGCAACCATCAAACGGTTAGCAAAGCATACAAGGTCACGAGTGCACCTACAAGTGGACGAGAGTAACATTTGGCCATATCCTAGAATGCATAGAAACTTTGCCTTCCATCTATAAGACTATCCAATCTCTTCTAAAGCCGTCTTCATGTCTTTTGTCTCATGAGAACCCAACAAGAAACAACAGCAAACGCAACGAAATCATTGCCCCTAATAGCCCATCTATAGTCGTGACGCCTTTTTGGTGAAAATCAAAGAAAAGAATGATGAAACGCTCCTATCATCATCAACGATTATGTTCATGAACAATGAACCCCGGACCATTTTCACAAGCATGCCTCCCCGCCATTTTCACAGGAAAACCCTTTAAGCCTCATCATCCGTGTCGGGCGGGTGAGGCGTACCCTTGGGGCTGTTCAGCCACTCAATGTGCCTGAGACGCCTCCTCACCTCTCTCTCCTTCATCTGCGCCCTGGTCATCTTCTTCTTCTTCTTGGCCTTGAACTTCATGTCGCCACCACCCTCGGCCTCTGAGTTCACTGCACTGCTGGCAGCGGTGCTCGGCACCGTCGAGCTGGCAATCGAGCCAGGCTTGCTGTCTTCGAACGCACCGGCGTTGACCGCGAGACTGCCCTTCTGGATCACACGGCCGTCGGCGACGTGCCATTGCTCGGGGCAGAGGGCACCGACGAACTCCTCGTTGTGAGAAATCATGACGACACCTCCCTTGTAGTCGCGGATAGCGGCAGCGAGACCACCCATAGAGTCGCGGTCCAAGAAGTTAGTCGGCTCGTCAAGGACGAGAAGATGGGGGTTGTTCCACATGGCACCCTACGCATCATGTTAGTTGAGGCACAGCATAAAAGAGAACCCGATAGTCACTTACAGCAATGACAACCTTGACCTTCTGACCACCAGAAAGACCGCCAATCTCGTTGTGGTTGGCGATTTCGGGGTCCAGGCCGAGATCCTCAAAGTGCTTGGAGATCACCTTAGGCTCGAGCTGACGGTAACCAAGACCCTCACGGGAAGACTCGTGGTCATCGTACTCCTGGATCAACTTCTGGTAGCCGAGCTCAAGCAGAGTCTCACGGGAAACCATGGTGTTGTACTTCGGCAGCCAGCCAACCCACTTGCTGTAAGGGTTGTTAGCCGGGTTCAAATGAGTGGGAGAGCAAACACTTACACTTCGTACTGGAAGCTCTTCTTCCACTTCTGGCGACCAATGAGAGCCTCGACCCTCTTAGGACCTCTACCATCACCAATATCAACCTCCTTCTCCATCTGGGCCTTGTCCTCATCGGTCAGGACGCGAGTCTGCTTCATAAGCACCTCACGGTCGTCACCATTGGCGTAACGCCACTGCAGGTACTGGTTGGGCGTCTTCTCCATGTGCATCTCGACGTGCTCAAGAGCGTGCTGCTTGATGTAACCAATACGCAGGTTAGGGTGCTTCTCGACCTTGCCCGTCTGCGGAATGACTTCACCAGTCAAGACCTTGATGAGCGTCGACTTTCCAGCACCGTTGGCGCCAATGATAGCGACACGGGAGGAGAGAGACAGCGAGCAGGTGACCTCGTTCAGAGAAGCCTTGGATGATCCAGGATAAGTGTACGAGCAGCCAGTCATGCGGAGAATGGCGCGAGTGTTGGACTTGACTCCGGTAAGAATACCAGGGGGCGGGAACTTGAACTGAACCTGGGTGCTGGAAAGCGTGTAGTAGCTCTTTGCCTCAGGCTTCTGCTTGACGAACTCGGCCAGGTTACCCTTGTAGCACACAAGCTTCTTCTGCTCGTAGTGGTAAATATCGGTGCACACTTCGTCCAAGAAACCGGAGTCGTGGGAGACGATCAAGCTGGTGATCTCGGTGTGCTTCTTGAGATAGTCCTGCAGCCAGGCAATGTTCGCGACATCCAAGTGGTTAGTAGGTTCGTCCAGCAGGAAGACATCAGCGCGCATCAGCATGGCTCTGGCAAGGGCCAATTTCATCTTCCAACCACCGGAAAGCGAGCCGACCTTCTCGGACTGGCGACCCTCAGGACCAGCAGTAAAACCGACCTCCTCGAGAACCTCCTCGATACGTTCCTTGCTCTCGTCCTTGAACCTAGGATCGCTCGAAACATACTCAAGAATGCTGAGGTCCGCATCCTCGCCTTGGTTGTGCTCGACAAAGCAGGTCTTGACAACGTCCTGAGGAGGGAAACCCTCGAGCTTGCCCTCGGCAATACTCCTCATCAGAGTCGACTTTCCAGCTCCGTTACGACCGCAGAGACCATAACGGTGGCCCTTCAGGAGACGAAGGTTGGTGTGCGAGAGCAACAGCATACCACCGTAGCCAAGAGAGAAAGTGGCGTTGACAATTTCAGTCTCGCCGTCATCCTCGACAACGGGCTTGCCATACTTGCGTTCATCCTCTTCGAGGAAGTAACTGTGGACATTCTCCGCAATGGTGGTGGAGCTGCCCTCCGAGACAATGGGCCTGACGTAGGGCTCGATGCTCTTGACAATGCGCTCGAGAGCCCGCTGGTTGGTATCCTCAGCGACCATCTCGGTGATGTAGGCGCGTGCGAACTTCCACACGTCAGCGTCACCGGGGTAGTTCAGAAGGCCGCCGTTGGTGGCAATCTCCTTGTCCAGGACGGTTCCAACTTGTTCCGGAGTGGTGCGCTCAATAGGCGAGGCACCATCGGCATCCTCACCCATAGCATGCTTGATGACGTTCAGGGCGCGCTCACCGAGCTCACGGACTTCAGGAAGAGAAGCGCGGTCCCTGACAGCCTGAACACCGGGTCTGAGCTTGGGCAAGAAATTCCTAGCCTCGACGGGGTCGTGAACAAGCTTTGTCAGGTTCTCAACGACCACGACAGTTTGGCGGAGGACTTCCTGGCTGGTCGATGGGTTGTTGAGGGAGCGCTCCAGAAGCGGGGTGAGCAGGGCCAGAACAGGGGCAGTAACAACCGCGACGAAGGTGGTCATCGACAGAGCATGGATTGCTTTCTGTGTGCTCGCGGGGGACGGGTTCTCCATGGACTTGATCAGAAGGGGAATCTTGGGCGTGACGTCGTCGTTCTGGAGAAGGGTGGAGAGCGAGTTCATGGCCTTGATGGCCTGTTTGGCGACTTCGGCCTTCAGATCGTGCATGCCACCCTCCACGATAGGAATCAGACCAGCGAGCTTCTTGCCCATGGCCTCGCGGAGAACGTCCTTCTCGCGCTCTTCCTCGAGACTGCCCATGCCCATCTTCGCCTTCTCCGCCATCTGTGTCAGCAGGGAGAAAGCAGCGACTGAACCCTGCCACTTTCCGGTGGGCTTGCTGAGATACTCGGTCAAAGCGGGAAGCAGACCGAAAACGAGCGCCTCGGCCCTGAGATTCTTGAAAAGGGCATCCAGCGCGTACTGCGCGGACTCCTTAATCGTGGTGTTCTTGTCGGCCAAAGCATCGAGGCACAGCGGCACCAACTTCTCCTCTTGTAGAAGGAAGACGACCTCGCTCAGCGGCTGATGCACAGGCATGCGCTCAAACAGCGCGCCCAGGGCGAACATGGCGCCCTCCTTCTTCACAGCATCCTTCTTGTTGCCGGCCGCCTTCTTCACCTCGTCGAGGATGCCATAGCCCTTCAGACCGCGGAAGCCGACGGAGGCCTCGAGGAGGCCGCAGAGGGCGTAGGCGGCGTCGAGCGAGCCCTGTGATGTCTTTGCCGAAAGACAGTTGTTCAGGATGGAGGAAACTTCGTCAGCCGTCGGCGGAACGGCGTCGGAGGGGTCGGCGGTCTTTGCGACGACAGCGGCGGCCATGGGAGGCGACTCGTGATGGGGCATGACCCGGGTATCTTTGCGAATCGAAGGAAACTCAAGCGCTCAGGGTGTCGTGGCTTTCTGCGCAGCAGCGGCTGACGGGGGCGGCGCAGGGATAGGACCAGCGGGCACGGTGAGGATTCGTGCAACGGGCGCGGCTGGGTGCGCGAGGGCAAAGAGCGGGCGAGCCTGAGGCGCGTAGACTGGCTCGCGCGGGAAGAGTGGAGAGAAGATACAGAAAAGAAAAAAAGAAGTCGTGGAGGGGCGAAAGGTTAGGCGGTGGATTTCTTTTAGGCCCTGGTCAGAAAATAACTCTAGGCACCTTCGCCTGTCGGCAATGCCCAGGCGCCTGCCCAACACCGCTCGGTGTACGCACGGACTCAGTTCGGGTGCAGGCTAAACTCGGGCAAGCGCATAGGGCTGGCCCGCTCTGGCCACTGGTCGAGCCCTACGTCAACCACAAAGTCTCTTTTCTCCGCAAAACTAATCGCCATTCGTCACTGCACCTGTACCGCCCGGCGCTTCCGATATCCCTTAACGACAGCTTACCCAAGCATGTACCGCTCATACGCAGCCCGTGGAAAGAGTCCACCACACAACGGAGAATAGGGGCGGCAGATCTTCAGGGTTACTGATTCGCAAAATCGCGTCCAACACTTAGAACCCGTTGTTCCTACAAGTATACACCCTTGCTTTAGTGAACATTTGCCGCAGAAGATATTCGAATCCAGGAATTGGGTCACATAAAAGACATTATATGGTAGACCATGACTCTAGAGGACCATTGAAGCGTAAATATTCTAGAAGTCCCGGAACGCCCCGAGATCTTGTCACAAAAGTTGCTGGATGCTTGATAGATCTCCTAGAAAAGGTAATACGGTTTCTATGCATATGCAATTGAAGCAAGCACCCGCGCATGTGTTTCAGAAACTCCCACGGAAAAAAGGAGCAATGAAGTTTCTCTAAGGCCACCTTCAAAAGCTCACCGCTTCCTTATTTAGCACTCTTCACAGGCACTGATAAGACATTCCAAGCTCCTTAGCCAATAGATAAGCTTCGATAAGGGCTTAGGAGGTGGCTTCGGTTCTAGGAACAGGAGTCGAGCACTGTGCCTGCAATGGCGGTGAGGAACCGAAAGAGACCCACAGACATATCATGGATACTTCAAACAAGATCATGTGAAAGTCACAATGAACAAGCTTCACCATGGAAAAAATACATATCTTACAACGGTTCAAATGTGGGAGGTACAAGAGTTGTACGTACGTACAAGTGAATTTTCCATCTTAAACCCCAGCTGCCATGATTTTCAATCTACGCATAACAGCATCCCGTCTCTTACATGTGCTAAAAATATTCACCTCTTTCTCTTGTTGACGAAAATTAAAATGCTGTGTAGTACTGTTAGCAACCATTCAGTGGGTTGAAGAGAATGAGCTCAACTTACATGTTTCAGTGTTGCCTTCGCCCATACTCTTGCTTCCGCTTGAACCACTCTGGATGTGACCCAAGATGCCGTCAATGTAGGATGCACCACTCCATTTCTGGTGAGTCAGGACATCACAGCCGGTCTCCTTTTCGCGCTTCTGGACGAGATTGACGTATGCCAGCATGCCATCGTCCTTGAAAGCCTTCGAAAGCTCGTTGGTGATGGTGGCAGTCGAGTGCAGGCCTGCAAGAGAGATGAGCTGCAGAACGAAGCCGTGCTGCGCTAGATCCCAAATGAAACTCTTGAGCGTCTCCTCCGTAAAGCCATGCGCCATCCAGTTGAAGCTCGGGCTGAGGTTGTAAACCAGCTTCTTTCCAGGCACGGCCTTGTGGATTTCTTTTGCGAAGCCTGCCGCTAGCTCCACGCTGGGCTCCTTCGTTTCAAGCCAAAGCAAATCGGCAAAAGGCGCAAATTCAATCGCACGCTTTGTGGCCGGTGCAAGACCTGCCTTGAAGTGGTAGTATCCCTCGCGTGTACGAGGGATGTTCTCAGACCAAACGATGGGTCGTCTGGCATAACGTGAGGCGAGGGCTCTGCGCTTGCTGAGAGAAAGGTTCGGGTTTGCCGCAATTTCGGAGAGATAAGTATCTATAGCGTGTTTCGACGCGTTCTCGGCTTTGAGGTGCTCAACGGCAGCTGTAGAATTGTTAACATACCAGAAATGGCCATACTAGTGGGGAATTTCTCACCCTCATCAAAGGTTACCAGCTTGTGCTTTTTGACCCACTGTGCTTCAAAGGCATCGATTTCGGCTCCATCGGCACCCCTCAGCTCCATTTCTTGCAGTGTCTCAGCAAGCGGCTCTACATCCTCAGTGACACCGAGAATGAACTCATGATCACGAACATCGATGGCGCTACTCAGCAGCTTCCCGCTCTCGGAATCGGTTCTAGCAATGACCAAGTTCTCGCTGCCCATCAGATCCCACTGGAAGCGAGCAGCAACCAGACGATTGATGTGCTCGCCGGTCGGAACAAGAACCTTGCCGGCCAAATGTCCGCACTTCTTACCACCGTGCAGCTGGTCCTCGAAGTGAACAGCGGCCGCACCATTCTCAGCGAAGAGCTTCGCAAGCTTGATAACCGCCGACAGACCACCATGACCGGTATCGCCATCGGCAACAATGGGTCTCATGTAGTCCACATATGGAGTTCTAGCTCGCTCCTCCTTCGTCATCTTTCGCCTATTGTCCCAGTTCTTCCTGTCGTGGAGCTGCTGGGCCTTGAACAATCGCTGCACTTGGTTGGGCACGGTGTTGTACGGGTAGTCGCCGAAGTCTGCCGAGACTTCATTGGTGGTGGTCAGGACAGACGAGCAGGCCCAGCCAGAGACATAGAGAATTTCCTGGTTCGGGGCTTGCTGTGTCATTTGGACTGGGTCAATGGCACCCACTGTTGAGAGGAGAGAAAAAAGCCGTCAGCTTATACATGTGATGATCTGGCAGTCAACGTACTCGTATGCACCGGCTTTCCTTGTGCCGCGCGTTCCTCGAGCAAATTGAACAGCTTCCGGGCCATCAACGAGCTTGGATAGGTCTGCTGCAATGCACCGCGCTTGGACACAACATCTTCGGCAGAATAAGGCCGTTTGATGCCTTTGTAGCGCGGTGACGCCCACCAATCTCTGACCTGCTGCACTTGTGCATCAAATAGTGCTTCCTCGACGTCGCCTGCTTTGTTCGACTCGGGCTGAAGCTGGAACGAGTCTGCCGGCAGAGCCGTCGACACGGGCGGAGACACGGGGCCCAGTGAGGCCGGTGCCATGCGGACGACGGAGGTGGAAAGCGGGCGAAGTACAGAAGGAGTGGTCCGGAGACGCGCAGAACAGCGGCTCCGGCGCGCAAGAGCTCGCGACGCGTTCCGGAACATGACGCGAATCTCGTAGAAGATTTCTGGGCGCAGTGACGCGAGGGTTGCAGGTGCAATTGCAGCGGTCAGGAAAAGATGAGGCTCGAGGGACAACAGAGGACGGGCCGCGGGCCGGTGGCTCGGTAGCTCGGCAGTCGGTGGAAGCGATGCAACCCTCGACGTGCAGGCCCAGTGGATGCTAGCGGCGTCCGAGGTGGTGCGACGAGTGGAAGCTTGCGGAGGGGAGCAGCTCCCGTTGACCGTTGCGGGCAGTGGGGCGTTCAACGTCAGAGCTCCTGGGCCGAGGTCTGGGGCCCCCCGCACGCCAGCCGCCAGCTCCAAAGCCGACGCAACCCTTTCTTCCCCATGAGCCGCCCTCACCTCCCGCCAGCCCGTAGAATTCTGTATCGAGCTGCAGCCTGAGCCCTATTTTACCTCCGTCCACTCGCCCCTCTAATTTATCCTGTCACCTTGCCTACAGCAGCTCCAGAGCTTCAATTGCTTCCTTGTTTACCTATGGCATTGAACGCCCGTACCGCCTCGAGAGCTCTCAGGAGCGTGAGGGTAAGCACCCCAGTCCTCCAGCATCTCTGCCATTCGCTGACATCTCTAAAAGCCTTCCACTGTCAAGCCTCTTACTTCCGGTAAGCCTGTCCGTTGCCGCGCCAAACCTACCCGGCTGCTCATACCTCGTTACAGTGCAAGCCCGCAGCTATGCCTCCTCTTCCGAGCCCGACCTCAAGGAGACCCTCGCAAAGGTCATTCCTGCCAAGCGCGAGCTGCTCAAGAAAGTCAAAGCCCATTCGGATAAGAAGATTGGCGACTTGAAGGTTGAGAACACCTTAGGTGGAATGAGGTACGTGGGTCTGTTTTCCCCGCCACCAACCAGCCCTTGACTGACGCCGAGTCCAGAGGCTTGAAGGCCATGGTCTGGGAAGGCTCGGTCCTCGATGCAAACGAGGGCATTCGCTTCCACGGCCGCACTATCAAAGACTGCCAGGAAGTCCTCCCCAAGGGCACCAGCGGCACCGAAATGCTTCCTGAAGCCATGTTCTGGCTTCTGCTGACCGGAGAGGTTCCTACTACCTCTCAGGTTCGCAAACTTTCGCGGGAGTTGGCCGAAAAGGCCGCAATTCCAGCCTTCGTTTCAAAGATGCTGGATGATTTTCCCAAAGACCTTCATCCCATGACCCAATTCGCCTGCGCCGTGTCCGCCCTGAACTACGAATCCAAGTTCGCAAAGATGTACGAAAAGGGTTTGAACAAGGCCGACTACTGGGAGCCGACCTTCGACGATGTCATCTCCCTCCTTGCAAAGCTTCCTACCATCGCCGCCAAAATCTACCAGAACGCCTACAAGGGTGGTGGCTCGCTACCCGCTGAGGTTGATCTGAACCAGGATTGGTCGTACAACTTCGCCGCCATGCTGGGTAAGGGTGGTAAGGAAAACGAAGGTTTCCAGGACCTACTGAGGCTGTATCTTGCTCTCCACGGTGACCACGAGGGAGGCAATGTCTCGGCACACGCTACCCACCTCGTGGGCAGTGCCCTCAGCGATCCTTTCCTGAGCTACAGCGCTGGCCTTCAGGGCCTGGCTGGTCCCCTCCACGGTCTTGCCGCTCAGGAAGTGCTCCGCTGGATCATCCAGATGAAGGAGGCCATCCCCAATGATTTCACCGACAGCCACATCAAAGACTACCTCTGGTCAACGCTGAAGTCTGGTCGTGTCATCCCTGGTTATGGTCACGCTGTTCTCAGGAAGCCTGATCCTCGCTTCCAGGCTCTCATGGACTTTGCCTCTGCAAGACCGGAGATCGCGAACGACCCCGTCTTCCGCCTGGTCAAGGCAAACTCTGAGATTGCACCCGCTGTCCTCACCGAGCATGGAAAGGTAAGCACTGCCGAATCGCAATTCTCGTCTACAGAGATACTAACCAATTCACAGACCAAGAATCCTTTCCCGAACGTCGATTCCTCCTCAGGCGTCCTTTTCCACTACTACGGCTTCAAGGAGACTCTCTACTACACTGCGACCTTCGGCGTGAGCCGTGGCCTCGGCCCTCTCGCCCAGCTGATTTGGGACCGTGCCTTGGGCCTGCCGATCGAGAGGCCCAAGAGCGTCAACCTTGAGGGAATTCTCAAGCAGGTTGGTGGCGCATGATGGAGTTCTTGGTTAAAAACATTTAGATATCACTTTCTGCGATGAGCTACTACTTAGTTGCGCGGCTTTGAATAAATCCTGATTGCTCATCTACTATCTATGCGTGAAGTCTAACTTGTGAAATGGAAATGAGATTAGAAGATATTATTACTTGCCGAGTAATAGTTTGAATGTCAGCAAGTTAAGGAAACGGCAATAACTCGATGCTAATCGTTTCAGAGATCCTACAGCACCATAGCTGTAGACAATATTTACATTAGGGCGGTAGGCTTGATCTTCCCTCAAAGCCAACCTATACGGATGTTATGGTAGTTTAGATTTTGTAGCCGCATCTGCTTCAGTTCCCAGTTTCGTCTTGAACGAAGCGCCTCCAATACCCGACAAGACGCCCCCAACAGAAGGGAGTTACAGTGATGGCTTTTTCGCACTCTCAGAACCGTGCTACCAGCAAACTCTTTTGGTAAGAGTGACGACTTTAACTAGGAGGTGATAGTCATATTTGAGGAATTTATTGTTTGATGTAGTAATGCTGAAGTATATAAGTTGAAATGATGTTAAAGTTCAGCATTACTGATGAATGGTCTCTGCAATCATGTGATAATAATGCTAGCATTGACGAAGAGAGGGGTTCCTGTATGAACCACGCTTGCAACACCAAATTCATGTCAACTCCCGCAGTCATCGCTCGACTATACCTCATAAATCTCGTCAAATTAATGACGGTTGAGTGGACAGATAAGATTTTAAAGATAGGACTTTATAGAAAGCTAGTGCATTCAAACAAGGATCACGTGTGCATGAGCAACATTGGGAAGATTCTGAGAGCGCCTGTTCTGGCTCGTGCTCTTTAGTAATTGGTTATGAGGCAGCCCCCACGGCGTTTAGCAATGGCGACAGTACTAGCAAATCTGCGGACACTGGAAAGAAATACACATGTACTCGCAGTGAAAGCTCACAAAATACTTTGACGGGACACAACACTACGAACTTCGATAAGGAAAGGCATAGGTTTAGATTTAGGACTCACAACATACGACAGATTAATTTCGCTTCTTGCGGGATTTTTCTTTTGTCAGTAAGGAGTCCTCCCGCGTCACGATCGCAAGAGAGCGGAACAGAAAAAGCGGAGTCACGAGAATATGCATGATCTCTTTGAAAGTCGTATAGGTTGGCACGTTTCGATGGTGTTTTACGTTGCATGTACTCGCTGCTTTCTTTGCACTGCTTGATTTGCCTGCTATTTTGATGCCCCTTCGTCATTTAGGGCACCTTCGCCGATTGAGGAATACACATGGAACAGGAACTCCTCCACGTTAGTTTCAGGTGACAGGGCGAATTTATTAAGTTTAACTACTATAAAACCAGATCAACCCGGGATTGAAGTGGACATTTTAAAGAGAATGCGAGTTTCTGCTATTCTCTTCGCAATCTTCGCAACAACACTTTCCTCGGCTATCATTGAAGCAAGACTTAAGCAATTAAGTTAGAAGATAATCATTCGAACTCTAGAAGACCGTAGAATCTAGGAATACTGAATTTGTGAAATAAGTAAAACGGATTCCATCATCGATTACCAATTATGCTGAGCATGACTACACAATAACAATAGAAACGAGATATTGAGGGACATGGGGATGAAAGATTTCGTAGGAGCACCATAACAATTCCCAAAAATCTGACTCCGTCACGTAGACTGCGTCAAATCAAGAAGGCGGTGGCCCAGGTGGTAATGGAAGATCATGATCGAAAGCTTCTCCCGAAATTCTTATCATCCTTATGCTCGTTCAACGGCTGGTTCGTACATCACCACAAACCGAGTATACCAAAACATTTTTAATCGAGGTTCTAATGTTGAGGACTGGACTATTTCATTGGAGAATCGCTCTGTTTTCTAACATGTCTATGTCATGTTTTAGAAAAGGAGAAAAAGCCACAAAAGAAAAGCTTTTCATTGGAACGGATTTCTTGGATAGCAAATTGCGAGCTTTAGACACGCGTTATTGTTGTGACAAGGTAAATCAGACCGTGACTTGTTAAAAATTCTACATACACATGCGGACGATAGCTTCAGCTACCCATGACAAAAGCTTTACAACCGTCGAAAGCCAAGTTGGTGGGTGAGCGGCTTTCAGCTTGAGCTTCCTAAATGAACAGGTAAGTGCACGCGGCCTTTAAGTGTAACACGGCTTTATCATCTGCGGAGTTTGCTTCGATGAGTCGGGTGGCTAAGGCTCCAACGGAGGGCCAGTCAGTTTGCCATGTTTCTGAACGGAAAGCTCACATCAGAGTACGTTGCGGCACAAAGATTCAACGACGTATGAATCGACTAGTTTTGTTCTTATACAACCTCTTGACGAGAGCGTCCGGGTAGTGTTCGTAGATTTAACTACCAAGTGAACCGTTTGACACTTTTGAGCTTCAGGCCGGTCACTTCCCAGATCCAAAGAGCGGATAACACTTCTGAAAGTAACACACTCACCGTGCGGGTCATCGCTTCTGCGCGTGCCTGAGCTACATTCACTATCGTAGCTAAAACTTATAAACCTCAGGCCGTGTCCTTCTTCCCACTCCTCTTCCATAAACCTACCTTCCAGTTGCTCAGACCTAGCAGTCCCGCCAACATGTGCAAAGCAACCACCTACCAGTATCGCTGCGGCGCAGCCTTCCACACAATCTCCTCATGCGAAAAGCAATGCTACGCCGGCCACTCCCACTCACCCGATGCCAGTTCGCCTGACACAAACGGAGCCAGTGTCAAACACCACGACAGCAGCACCACGTCGCTCCTGACATCATCGACCGGCACCAAAGCGGCGTCAACCAAGTCGTCCTTCTTGTCCAACGGAGCGGAAGACGCGACCGGCTTCCACTCTCATGCCGACAGCCAGCAGCATGCCGACCTCGACGCCGCCAACGACAGCAGCAGTATCTTCACCCCGCTTCCTACGCCCGTCGACCCTTATCCCCAACCGATCCACATCCACCATCTACCCTCCTCGCTCGCACCCTCTCACACCATCACGCCCGAGCGCGCCTCGTCCGTCCTGCGCTCGGCCCAGCAGAAGCAGCAGCAGGAGCAGCATCGCCACCACCTTCCACACTCAGACGCCGTTGGCCATGGCCTGAAGAGTATTCTGCCTTCACGCTGGCTGCGCAGCAACAACGGTGCTACCGCTGCGCCGGAGGAGAAGAACGAGAAGGTTCAAGTGATAATGTGGCAAGACGCGCCCGAGGTGCGACGGGCGGGCGTGGCGAGGGGCGCGGTGGCGGTCGAGGGCGCGTGTCCGGCGTGCGCGGAAAGGGAGGCGAGAGAGGCGGCGTGGGCGGCGATGGCGACTTTCAGGGGCGAGGATTGAGTTCAATCGTCGGTTGGACGGGAGGTGGTGGAGGAGGCGAAAAAAATGGGTGGCAGGAAGTGAGAGTTGGAGAGACACAGAGAACGAAGAGGAGAGAAGAGACAACGTCAGCGGACTACGGTTTCTATCGACTATGAGACTGGGGAGATAAGAGAGCGATGGTTCGCGTCGATGATCGGTTTGTTGTTGTCGATGAGGAAGGTGTCGTCCAAGGGGCTTCCTTCCTTCCCTTTCATCGACCGCGCTCCCCGGGCTGCGCTCTATTGCCTGCCTCAGGCCGCCAGCTGCGTATATAGCGACAGCTACTCGTTTGGCGGGTGAAATTTTCAGTGTGCTAGGAGGCCTTTCCACCACAAACGAGGTTTCAGGTTTTGTTTTCGGTTTTTTTCATCTCTCTGAAGGCAAGACGACATTTTCGAGAGACGCGAATGGACTTGGAGAAATAAAAGATAAAAGCTGACGGAAAACCGATGGAGTAGATAGATAGATGGAACGAAAATTGAGATAATCTGGTAGGCTGGAGTGCAACAGAACTAAGGTGAAACTAAAGTCTAGGGCCCCCCAAAATCTTGCCATGGGCTTTCTGTCGTCTCCTCGCGGCACAACTCGACCAACGGTACAAAGAAGAGCCTCTGATATGGAAACCAACATCGTATCGCGATCCTGTCAGCCCCAGACTACGTTGTACGAGCTGAAAGACTGGTGTAGGAACTAGGAAAAAGAAAAAGCGACGAGCTGACAGCCCGCCAGCGGTACTCGGTTCGACCCAAGCGTCCTGAGTGAGATCAGACAGCTGCTCCTCATCCCTCGCGTCCTCCCAAGTGCTTATCTCTTGCTGTCGTCGCAGTTCAGCCCCCCCTCCCCCGCGCCGTTACCAGTGACGCGCGTCTCGGAACGTAGCGAGCCAATGACACAAAAAGTATGTCGGCGCGTTCCTGCGATACCCGTCGCTGTCGCATCCCTTATAATAAGCGCACCGTTCCCTCTCCCCTTCCTCCCCCACTGCGGCCGGTCCCATCCGCGAACAGGGGAAGCCTGCGAGCGTTGGGCCTAGCCAAGGGGGAATGATCTCGATGCACTGAAACATCTGGGCACGAATCCATGCGACTCTCGAGAGCCTAATCATTTCGTACATGGCTCGTATCCCCCCAGGAGATAGGGGAGGAACAACAAGGTGCAAGGAACAAGCATGATGCCCCTTCCATGTATAGGAGACGGGACCCTGCAACATGGAAAGCTTGCCCGTCCATATGCTTTGTAGATCCCTGATAGATTGCGGCAAATTCGACCTACCTCTTCGTCACAAAGTCAAGTTCCCCCAAATGCGACAGTTGGAGCATTTTGTGATAAGTCGTTAGTTTCCTGACTCCTTCAGTTGTGACACGGCCTCACTTGGCGTGCATGCCCGGCAAAGCAAAGCAAAGCAAAAACGAATAAGGACCGCTGGGTAGTGATGGGTTAAAGGTCATGCCTAAGGCCTGAATATGGTGTGACTTGCTGCCTCAACGCCGTGTCCCAACGGCGCCGCGAGCGAAAGCCGAGTAAGGCAGCAATGTAGAGGGGGGATAGAGACGGCTTAGGCGTTTACCGGTCTCCATGCGCGAATATTATCATTACCAGAGCAACGTCCAACGGTAAGCAAACACTTGCCGCTCAATTGGCAATGGGGAGACAGTGCAGCGGCGAGCGACAGAAAATACGACATAGCTTCACGGAACAGGCAATTGGGCCGCCGACACTATTGGTTCCTGGACCACGTCGGCCCTGACCATTGAGAGAAAAAAAGCACGGCTTCTCTGCGCTCTGCTCATCACGAGCAAATCTCTTCGGGCACGTTCAGGTCAGATGTCTCGTTCGCCATCTCCTTAGGGCAACTTACCCAATGCGGCTCACCGCTCACGAGGACGACTACCGAGCCGACCGGTCGCTTCCCAATGACGCCAAAAGCAGGAGCTATGGTCATTTGTAGTCTTTTGGTCCTTCTCAATCGGTTTGCCGAGCATCCCAGGGACATGGCGATATATCCGGCGATCTTATAGGCGGTGATTCCAAACACACCAGCTGCCACCGATTCGCCCACCGACGATCGTGCCTTTACCACGGAGGCCAGCGGGAGGACGTGCTGTGCCGCCCCAGAAAAGAAGTGATTAAAAGTAGGGCGACGAGTGAGAGTGAAGGACTGGAGGAGCATCCAGAAGCACGGAGACAGGAGAAAAGGAGCACGGCGAAGAAGTAAGACAACAGAAAATTGAAAATTGCTAAAAGAAAGAGTGGTCGTGCGGCTGCACAGAGCGGCTTGCTGGGGCATCCTTGCCATGTTGCGGCAAAGGCGAGTGGAACGGAACGCACGCCGCCAGTTGATGAGTATTCACTGCCGGCGTCCGAATGGTGTTTTGTACAAGGATCCGGGTTCTTTTGACAGCTTCTCTTCGGGCCGGCTCGAAGAGGGGCAGGCTAGGGACACACGACGTCGACCCCATTCCCGAAACGGCGTTTGCTTCTTGACATTTGCCTCTGCCTGCTCGCGTCGTCTCGCCACCGGGGTTCAGGAGTTGCCGGGTCGGTCGTGGTGGTGTATAGGGGTACTTCCCAATCGGGCTCCACGTGCAGTGATATATGGTCAGGGCGTGAGCTGCAAAATGAAACACTGACAACGCAGCAAGGCGCGGTCACAAGACTGGATGGCAGAAAAAATCGGCATTAGTGAACACGTGTTGGGTATGGGGACCTACCTAGGGCGGTACGAGGGACTTTTGACCGGGAGGGGGTCGTGGGCATGGGGCGGCGGAGATGTGGAAGGGCGGTCTCCAAATGGGCCGCCGTCAGTGCACAAGCGCCGGAGAGGTGGTCCGTTGCGCTGTTCGTCATCCACTACTGCCGCACCGCCCCAGCCATGACCTCCAACGGACATCCAAAACGCCCACCCTTCCGCCCACCCATCGTCAGCCCATCTCGCGCGGCGGGCCCCGGCTGCGGCGGCAAGGCTTGGAGCCGTAGTGGTCGAGCCACCCGCGGCTAATTCGCACTCGCGCCGCCTCCAAGCAGCAGATCTGCCCAGTGGGCGGAGCGGCGATCAAGCTCAACCGTCAACCTTCCGCATATGGAAATATGTACGACATGAGAGGCAGCATGGCTCCGTCTGCCGGAAGTCTGCGCGCGCCCGACGTCATCCGAGCCAGCTGGGGGCCCGCGCAGGCGCTGGCTGGCTGCGGCGCATGGTCTGGCGGGCGTCCCCGTCTCCACCGCGCATCTCGTCATGGGCCGTCGCCGCCGTCGTGAGCATTGAGTGGCTTCGGCGGCGGCGCAGGGAGAGTGCGCAAGAGACAACCGGTGAGCCTGGGCGTGTCAGAGGTATTCACCGCTCTTTATCCGCTCTCCACCGCCTTCCTGTAGCACCACAAGAGCGATACCGCCCGCCGAGAGAGCCGTCCAGTGCGCAGAGCCTCCAGCTCTGCTCCAGCGTCTTTCCTGCCGGCCCGAACCGTCGTCGTTATCTGCAGCATGCCCGCCCAGGGGCGTGCTGGCCGACTGATCACATTCGCCCCATCACCACCCACAACCCCGATCCGGCGTCTTCTCCACGCTCGCCTTCATGCCACTCGCGTCCCCCTGCCCGAGCCCTCTCTCTGTCGCATCCCTTCGCCTCCTTCCTCCTTCCAAGTTTTCGCCCCCGTGCCGTATCCGAATTCTTCAACCTAAGCGACCACAACCGCTCCCCGTCCCGCTCCCTCCCGTGCCGCCCGCTCTTGCCGTGCCGTAGGCCCGCTAGCACAACCATTACGCGCCTCACAACATCACCCCGTTTCTATTTCCAGCCCAGCCACCCGCATCGCTCATGCAACCAGCTCCGTGGTAAGCTGCCATGTGGCCACGCGCTCTTTTCCCCCCTTGCTCCCGCGCCGTGCCGCAGGATGAGCATGAAAATCCGCAGCCTTCGAGAAAGACGAACGACCACACTTCGCCACAAGCAGATGCCACAGCAGCCATGACCCTTCCCCTCTCCTCCTCTTTCTCCACAAGGCGCAAAGCCGCAGAGAGAGTCAGGCAAAGAGGCTCGAGCACCGTCGCTCCATGCCCCCTCCCCTCTCTCAACAGATTGGCACAGTCAGTGCCCTCCTTCATGCCCCTCCTTCCCTTCCCCTCTCTGCACAAAAGCACCGGCGCCAGATGGAACAGTGCCCCCGTGCCTCTCATTCTCCTCCTCCACTCCCGGCTGCCGAAGCTACATGTGAGTCGCACCCGAAGCAGAACAAAATGAGCATCACAACCACACCGCCTCCCGCCCCGGTTGTGTCTGCTTGCTCTCGGGCGCACGTACGCGCGCGCACGTCCGAGCGGGTGGGCACGCGCCCATCAAAGACGCGAGACGAAGCCACAAAACAATCCTCCGATGGACGCACCCAAGTCAGGCCCCGAAGCACGAGGCACGGCTGTGCGTGCTCTCTCGCTGCGGATGAGTGCTGCTGCGCACTGTTCCTTCCCGGTCTGTGCGTCCTGACCGTGCTTTTTTCGCCCGTGCTGCTGACAGTGGTGCCATGCATATGGGCTTGCGAAAACGTGACTGGGTGCGGGAGAGACATGCAATCGTCGGTGTGCGTGACGGTGCGTTTTTCTTGACGGACCCATTTCCGCGTACTCTGCCTGAAACGATTCGTGACGAACGCCCACAACAACAAGGACACGGCAAAAAGATTCAGCCGCAGCTGCTGCAAACAGTCGTGAGTGCAAGAAAGCCATGGCCCTCCCACAGCCTTCGCTCCATTCTCTTCTTCAAAGCCTCGGCCAGACCCGTGCACCCGAATCTCCGATCGTTCGATAGACAGAGATCTGACGTGGCACTGGTCAAATAAATTACCTTGGTGTGAGATCTGTGCACTTCTTCTTGTTTCCTCTTCTGTCCACTTCCACCATGTTTGACCTCAAGTGTAATGCTTGTAGCAAATCCGGGTGTCCAGGGTCTGTTCATTGGGTGTCGTTGTCCGGGGCTGAATCAATAGAACCCAGTTTTTTACGGTATAATGGGAGGTGCCATGCTTATATCCGTTCCATCGGGCCCAACGCTCTTCACCAACCCACTCCGGTTCGTAGCGAACCGCCGTCGTGTGGTCATTTAGTTTAAACCCGCACACTCTGCACGAGCCCCCTCATTCCAAAGTGAAGCGGACTTCGGACCCGGAGGGCACGTGCCCCAGGACGGTGCACCCGGAAAGATGGAGGGTGCTCTCAGACTAAATGGAGTGATGCTCGGCGGTGAGCGCAGCAGATGACGGAGTGAACGGCGTTTGTGATATGCGAGTGCGGGACACACAGAGGCGCAGCGCAAACCAGCGCGGGCCGCCCGCGTCTCGCTGCGTGGGTCTGCTCCTCCCACCAAAGCCCCTCCTCCTCTCACGCGCTCTCCTCAATCCTTCCATTGGCGAGCATGAAGCCCGGTGCGAATGACGGACCGGCACCGTGCCATACAGTGATCTGTGTGGGCATCCACGGGGCTGTGCGAGGACGGGTGCCATAGCTTTTGTTTTCCTTTGCAGGTGGTGTTTGCCGCGCCTGCTGTGCCGTAATCGTCGCCCCTTCCAGCTGCTGCACAGTACGGAAACGGATGCGCGGATAACGTCTCCCGCATGCATCTGTAAGGGGACATTGATTAGTGAATCATCGCGAGAATGTCTGCTGAGGTGCGGGGTTGCCTATGCTGCCTTCCAGAAGGCCCAGAACGATGCCGTCGGCTAGGTCTCGAGCCCGGGCGAAAGAAGACGTCAATGGCTGCGTGCAGGCTTGGTTTCCTGTATTAGACATCGATACCAATTACTCTGAAGGAGGGGAGGGCGTACGGATCTGGAGAAGAATAGGGCAAGATTTCCCGTGAATGGACAATGCTCCGGACGGAACGGGCTCCGGGTGTTAAAGAGAAACAGCCATCTTCATGCGAGGGTGGTCGTGTGGACAGGGTGTATATCCGTCGAAACGAGAGCGGACCGAGCCGTTTCTTCATGCCCACGTTCACGCAAGACACTCCTGCCATGTGCTGATCGATGTAGATGTTTGTAAAATTGGAGCACGCCGTATGTATCGCTGAAAAGTTGTTGCTGTAACATGCTGTAATCTGTCGGCCAGTCAACGATCCCGCCATGTCTCCCAAAAAGGCTGGCAGAAGAACGGAGCAAAGGCCATGCAGAAATGAGCATAGTCATAGAACAAGAGAGACAATAAGAACAAAAGCCAAAACGCGAGGTGAAGTGAAGGGGGCAAATGCCCCCCGATTGTTAACTGTATGCTCGCTGCAAAGAGAGACGCAAAAGCCAAAAAGCCAACCGAAATCGCGAACAGTGATCAAATTTTGTTTTCAGACAGCCACCCAGGATAGAGATATTCTTTGCAGACCAGAAAAAAGAGTTCAACCGCCCAGACAGAAACGACAGAGTTCTAACCCTTGAAAAAAAAAAAGCAGATATGAGTTGAGAAAAATTCGTCTCGGTCTCGTAAAACCTCGTCATCGCTCTCTCGAGAGAAAAGGAGATCCACAAGGAGAAGAAGATAGAGAAGAATAAACAATCTGGAAACATCTCCCGTCATTCATCATCATCACCGGAACCGAAAAAGGCGTCGGAGGAGAGAAAAGGAGACAAGGAGATAGAGTGGATCCCAGCGAATCGTGTTTTTGGTTCCCAGCTGAGAAGAAATACCTCGGATGTCTAATTACAAGGGTTTGGTTGAGGCGTAATAACACAGCAAACAGTTCCGGAAACGACAGGATATCGAGGCTCGCTTTTGCTCGCAACCATCCGAAGGGGGAATCTCCAGATAAAAAGAAAAACCGCCGAGGCCTCGCAGTAAAAAAACAGCATGTAAAAACACAGATGAGCCGCCCGAAATGTTATGAGGACTTGATGCATGAAAACCAGGGAAAAGCAAGGCAGAAAGGGGCAGTAGACGTATAAAATCCGCTCAAGCGACCGTCCACGCCGCGAAGAGCGCGGAGCCCGTACAGACGTATATTTGGGAAAGCCGGCGCAGGAGGAAATTATGGCTCGATGGACCCGAGTGATTTTGCCCGACACCGTAAGACCGAAAATCATTCTCATAGTGGGGCCCTCGTATAGCGCAGCCAGCCGAGAGCCAGCTCCTTGCTGCTGCTGCTGCTGCTGCCGCCCCGGAAGGTTAGAAGTTCTCATCGCTCGTATATCTTCGCCGTTCGTTCATCAACGTTCTCTCGTCCTCACATTCCTCTGCGGTTGAGAGCGTTGAGCATGTCGGCATCCGCAGCGCTCCTGCCGCCCGAATCGCCACCACTGACCATGTCTGAAATGCGCATACCAGCTCTTGAACTGCCGGTTGTGGAAGTGACCGGCGCCGCCGAAGTGGGTGGTGGAGGCGGGGGTGTCCTTCCATCATTCCTCAAAGGCAAGTTCGCCGGAGGCCTCAGAGTGGTGTCGCTGGTGTACGTGTACGCACTCCCGCCCGGCGTGCTCGGCGCCCCCTGCGTGTGAGGGCTGCTGCTTGCACGGCTGGGGTCGTAGGAGTAGGTAGACTGCGGGCTGGATCGGCGAGGAGGCTGAGGAGCGTAGTATGGCTGCTGCGGCGGGGGTGGAGCAGACGGGTAAGAGGCATTGGAGGAGGCTGGAGAGGCAGCAGCCGGTGTTAGAGCGGTCGGGTCAGGGTACGTGTACTCAGGCGGACCGCTGGCGCGATGATTGGGAAGCTGTGATGCTGCTGCTGGATTTGGCGGAGGCAGAGTCGGCGTGTGAGGCTCCGTCGTCGGACGCTTCCGACCAGCTGCATCACGGCTTCGATCATCGTAGCCCGGGGCCACCGGGGGAGGCGGGTAAGCATGACCCGGGGCAGAATACGGACCTGTAGGGCTGGGCAGCGGGTAGCCCGGCTGAGGGGGAGGAGGACGGTAAGCGGCGTCAGGCGGTTGCTGGGTGGAAGGGGGCAATGGCTGTCCGTAGGCCCCGTAGAGCGGCGGCGGGGCGCCAGCCCCGCGCCAGACGGTGTGGGCAGGCACGAAGGCTTGAGTCTGGGCGGAAACCGGTGTGAAGATGCACTCCTGCGAGAAGCGGACGCAGTTGGTGCAGCGGCCGTCTTCTGACGCCTCGAAGCCCGAGCATCGAATCTGCAAGCGGTTGTGTAAGCGACATCGTGAGCGCGGCGAGCATGGTGTTTTCTCGCCACCTACCTTGCGCCTTCTGCAGTAGCGGCAGGCAATGGCGGTGCGCTGCCGCGGAGCGGGCTGGTGCTGCTGGTACATGTGCGGCGGCGGTTGTCTGTAGGGATCCGGCGGCGGAGGGCCGGGATACATCTGGTGCGGCGCCGGCAGGCGGTAGGGCTGCTGCTGTTGTAGGGAAGTCATGTCGGGACGCGGATCACCGGTGGGTGGAGGGAGCGTGTGTGACTGTTGGTGCAAAGGTTAGGCTTCTTCTTGTGCAACTGCGGTGGTGGGGATCGACGCACCGGAGGCGGTGGAGGCGGGTATGCACCGTTGGAGGGCTGCGGCGACGACTGCGACGGATGGGCCCAGTGCGGCGGCGGCGGAGGGGCGCCGTTGGTGGTGCTGGTCGAAGGCGAGTGCCAGGTGTGGTGCTGCTGCGACGGATGCTGCGTGCCGCCCGTGTGTGGAGGGTACATTGGGCGTTTTTGAAGAAGGGCCGCGGGTGCCGAGAGTGCCTGGTTTTCAGGCGTGTGTCATAGCCTGCGGCGCGAGAGGACAGTCGCACAAAGAGCCGGGCCGCGTGGGAGGGAGGCGGGCGCCGACGCTGCAGGGCCGAGGAGGCTTCGAGGCAGTGCAGGCGCGGTCCTGGGGGTGCGCGGCGATCTGCTTATGATTCGAAAGCCGAGCTGGGGGTGCGTCAGGCGGTCGCGGTGATGCGAAGGGTCGAGGTGGATGCAAGCTGCGCCCAGTTAATAGGAGACGAGCGAGGAAGACGTCCCGGCAGCGGGGCTCTGGCGCCTTTAGAGAGCGGATGCTCCCAGCTCCCACAAGTTGGGCCTTCAACACACGCTAAAGGCGGGTGCGGTGCGGTCTCGTAAGTGCCCTTGCCGAGCGCTAGGTGCAAATGAGTGCGCTGCGGAAGAGCCCGTTGGGCGACTCGGCTCTGTGCCTGGCGGCGGCGGGCCTGCGGCGGCGGGCCAAGTGAGTCTGGCTGCCCGCGTGCGCTCGTTTCTCGCCGCGAACCTTAACGCCAGTGCCAATTAGTCAGTGGGCACGCGAACCATGGGTGCGCGGTTGCCGTGGGAGCGATCACCGGCCAGGAAGCGCGCATGCAGCTAGGGGACGGCAGCAGGCAGCCCGCCGCAGTCCGCCAGGCAGGGAGCGAGGACCGCGCAGCGCGGCTTGCCACGCGAGCGGCCATTATCCGCCCCGGCAGCAGCGGCGATCTGCGCCCAAGCCCGCGCCCACCGCAAAATTTGCGACCGCTGCCAGGCCGCCTGCCTGAATCAAATACAGGGCTGTTCCCTGCGACGCCAGGCTGCCCGCAGGTGCTGCAGCCCGACCGCCTCTGCCCAAAAGCTGACGCGAGCAGCGGCGCTTTCGCCAGATCAGCAGCAGCAGCACCACCCAAGCCGTGCCTCAGCTGGTCACGCTCCCTAGCCGCCGCGCGGGAGAACCCGAGGAGACCGCCTCTGCGTATCGCGACAACGTCCCCACCGCCTCCCGTCCTGCTCGATTGGCGCGCCGGTCGGAGATGAGAAGCGCGGCGAGTATAAGGAACAGACGGTCCCGTTGAGCCCACCCTCGGCCAAGCATGTCTCGTACGAAGAGAGCATGACGGCGCCGGCGACACACAGGAAGACGCTCATTTATCTGCCATCGTCACGGCCTGCCTCCTGAGCGCGTCATCTCGACCTCGAACCCGCGACGCAGAGCCCGAGCCATTGAGCGCTCCCCTTGTCCCAAGCGTCGGTAGCCGCTAAGCAGGCGGGAGAATTTTCTGGAAAACGAACGTGCGCCTGTCCAAGGTTTCCCTTTAACGACGGCCAGCGTTCCAGAAGGTTGCTCCATCGGACGCCTGTCACACTTCTGTCAACCCCGTCCTGCTCCCAGGTGCACGCTGGACCGCCGGGCGGCGCGCTTTGCCATTTGGCTCATTCGGGCCTCCTCAGGCGAGCATCCGATGGTTCACCCTTTCCCCAGCGTGGCGCGCTAGCCTGCTTGCCAGGTTCCCGTCAACCACGGATGGCTCGGCGGGCGAAGGGGCGGCCAGATCCTGGCTCTCCCGAGCGCGGAAGACCTGCAGCGTGCAGCCGCGCCGTCCGTAAGGTTACGTTTGGTTTGCCTCATCAGGTCGATGCAGAGACGCGGCTGACAGCGGGCCAGCCAACGCTCGACGCCGCGCCCGAAACCCGTCTCGAAGCCGGCAGTGGATCGTGAGACCGCGTACGTGGCAGGAACCAGCAGCTGCCAGTTTCAGCTGCCGTGAACCGCCATCCTGGTCAGCGGGGTGGCCGAGGTGACGAACAGATGGGGCAAGAGACGAAAGGGAAAAAAAAGTGGAAAAGGAGGGAGGGCAGGCCCGGCTCGGCGCCGCTCTGGAGATGACATCTTAACGAGCGCGTGGCCGGGGGCTGTGCAGTAGGGCTGGCAGTTCTCGCGCTCTGGCTGGCTGCGGCGCTGCGATGGTGCCGTGGCTAGCAGCGAGCCATCGCCGCGCGGCCTTGGATGCGGTCACCTGCTGCGAGACGAAGCGGGCGGAGGCGGCGGGCGGTGGCCGTCAGATCCCGGGCCTTGGCTGGTAGTATGGTGCTTGGGAAGCGAGCTTTGCCGCGCGATTGGGTGCCGCGCTCGTCGCCGTCGAGGCCAATGCGCAGCCGGCGTGGCAGACTCCAATAATGGTGCGCCGCTGGCCCTGAACCTGAACCTGGAGACAGAGCGAGTAGACACCAGATCGAGACCGCCCCGTCAAAGAGGCCGCCCGCCCGGCGAGCCCGCTGCCCGCTGCCCGCGCCGCGGCCGATGCACGCTTCCGAGACGGTAGCGCGGATAGCAATCGCTGCTGGAAACAGGGGTCGACCATGACGTACCAGGACCCGTCTGCAAAAGACGCCGCCGCCGCAGCCAAAGGTCCGAGGGGAGGGATGTGCACGGCAGCGGCTGAGCGTGGAGACCCTCGTCTGGGAGCAAACCATACCCAGCTGAAAGCGTGCTGGAACGGATCCGATTGCAAACAGGCCGCTGACGCCGTTGATTCGTGGAGCCGCCGTGCATGGGAAACGGCCGGCCGGCCGCCAGTACACGCTCATCATAAGCACGCACAGCGGCAATGTGGATCAAGGAAAAGAAAAAAAATATCTGTTATGCTTTGCCGTTATTATGACCTCCACACTCACAAACATCCAAGAGCACGCTCCTAGCCCGGTTAGACTGCCCCTCAAATGCCATGCCCTGCCGGCCGGCCGGCGTCCCGCAGCTGCAGATTCGCCCGGCGCGAAGCGGCCGTCAGCCAGCAACACACACCGACTGACCCTGGGCGATGACGGTTATTGTCGAGCGGAGGCATTGCTGGGCACAGCTTGAAGCGAGCACGAAGAGACCATGGCACCGGTGATCGCTTGCCCCTCTGCCCCGGAGCAATCTCCTGTGTGGGCGAGCACGACAGCTCGCTCGGGCTAGCCCGCTGCCGGGCGCCCGTGCTGCGTGCCCATGCTCGTGTGCGCTTCCCAACCACTCCACCGATCCCCGCGGCGTGGCTGTGCCTCACCGACCGACAGTACTGCTGACCAGTTGGGATGGCGTGCGATGCTGCGGATGAAAGGCACGGAGCGCCGATGCGCGATTGCGGTTCGGGGGAGAGAGAGGGGGGACGACCATGCATAGGGCGGGTGCGCGGGAAGGCATGGATGGCTGCGGCGAGCGGCGACAGGCAGATTTTAGTGACTGTGACGGCGCCCCGGCACGCAGGGCTACATCATGTCAGGTCAGAAGATCTCCAAGCGATCAACGCGGAGTTCCCGTAAGCCCTACTCTTATCCGCTTTCTTTTTATATTATTTTACGCCGTGATGACATATGGGTGGACACAGTTGCTGTGCCGCTTCCTGCAGCACACCCTCTCCTGACGCTCTTGATTATTTTCAGCAAGGAGCCCCGGGCTCCTCAGACGGCTGTTCCTGCCTGTGCGCATTCCCCAGAGCCAGATTGGGCAGTGCGCCCTGTGGTGGCGGTCGGCGCCGCAGCTGCGTGCCCACTGAATGCGTCACATGCGGCCTCTTAGTGAGGAAAATGACGGTGCACGTTCGAAGCGTCAGCAAGCTTTTACGAACCGGCTGCCAGCAGCGGACCGTATCCTTTAGCGACCGAGGCAGGCACGCGCGCCCCCCGCCCAGGGATCGCGGTCGGCTTTCGGGCGCCAGCGCCACCAAATAAGGTCCAGCAGTCCTCGTATCTATCAACCGTCATCATCATCACCGCCCCGCCGGAGCATCTACGGCCCTTCTTTTTTTTTGTACCTGTGGGACAAGCGAGACGCAAAGGTCCGTTACGGGAGCAACAGAGATCCTAGCGGCTACGCAAAGCCAGGTCACACGTCATCGTGGTGACTTCACGCTCCAGCTGCCTCTCCGCGGCGCGTGAGCGTCTGCGCATTGTTGGGGGCGAGGAATCTCGTGTCACGCCGTGACGCTCAGTTCTCGCTCCAGTCACATTCTCCAATCCTTCACGGGCATCTTGGCCAGCTGGTGCTACTTTGGGTATGCTTTTTGCGGGAAATGCCCGGGAAGACCGCAAACACCGATGATGCAAAAACCCACCACCAGGGGACCCGGCGCTCTTTTTTTTTTTCTGTTGTGCAGCTGCTGCAAGCCTCTTTCGCAACGGCCGCCCTGTGCTACCTCGAGAAAGCCTTACCTTTACAATGTGCCCTCCCTCCCTCCCTCCCCGGCAGGGGTAACCCGCTTTCCCACATCTGAAACCGCAGCGGCAGCAAGCAGCCCGAAAAAGAAATAAACTAAATTCCCCGGCGTGATGCAGGCCAAACGGTCTCGTTTGAGGGGACGACTAGCCCCAGCTGAACCCGACGAGCGCGCGATCTCGTGGTGGGGGCAGCCACCCGGGAGGGTTGTACTCAGGATGATTGGCGTGCGAGCATGCAATTTCTGTACCATCTTCCTCGTGGAGGAGCGAAAGGGAGGGTGGGGTGCCAGGCAGGAATGTCAGACATTGGTGACGCCGATTCGAGATGGACGGTGTGACCTCTCCCAGTTGCAAGTAGAAAGCCGTGATTCGGGATGGACCGCCGCAGGGACAGGGGAGTCAGAAAAGCGGAGGCCGTGTAACCCCAAACACACAAGGAAGCGCCTTGCAGCGCCTCAGCGGGCCAGGCAAGCGAGGAGCATTGACGATGGGCACGATAACGACCGAACAGGAAACCGCCAATCCGCGCCGCTGCGCTGGAGGCAGCGCGGCTCCCCGGACGCACGCGGATCCGAATTTGGCCAGCAAGGGAGGGATCACGGGCGTTTGACAAGCGAGTACGCGTGTGTATACATATGTGCATGTGGTATGGCGGGTTGCGCTGGGATAGGGAATGAAACACGAAGAAAGCGGAGGGCTGACGGTTAATGAGGTTTGCGTGTGTGGTGAGACACAAGGAATGGAACCTGCGCAACGACCGGGAACGGGGCGGGCCCCATCGCCGCGCGACCTGCTGCGGGCCGGGACGATTCGTGAGGTTTGAGATTCCACGTGGGAAAGGCGGCGCGGGAGGACGACGGCAAAATCCTGGTTCTGTTACCGCACGCCCCAGACTCGGTAACACGAAAAAGCGGGAGGACGCGGAGGGGGGCTGATTGGGAGGGGCTAGAATGCAAGGTGAGGCAAGGCATGACAAGGCAACAGCCGATGACGGCGCCCATTTCCCGACTGGTGACGGCACCTCCGCCTCTGCGCAGTTGCGCCTCTTTGCTCTCCTTGCGCGCGCCCATGGACCTGCTGATCCTCGCAACTGCAGCCCATCGATTCGTGTCGCGCGCCGCCGTTGTCCGTTACGAGCCGCGTTTGGAGCTTACTTCATGCTAGCAGCGTCATGCCTCTCCATCGTCGTCACCACCACGCCAGCCACCCGAGCAGAGATCAGACCAAGGTCTGCGCACTCGACGACTTCTTCAGCTGGCGGCAATGGCGTCCGGCATTGGCATCGTCATTCTTCTTCTCCGCAAGGCGCCTTCCGCCCGTCGACTGAGGCGGACCCGAAACATTGACGGTCTCCGGCTTACACGCACTCGATTGAGCATCCAAAATGTGACAGAACTCTAACCAGCACGTCGCCGAATATAGAATCGTCGAGGTCCAAGCTGGGGCGGCGGGATGAGCCCGCTTGCAGGCCCCGGCCCAAGCCTCCAGCCCTCCCTTGGCCATTTTTAGCGCGCGGGCCCGGAGGTTATTATGTACGATGGTTGCAGGGCTTAGGGCAGGCATCCAGGGTGCGCGGAAATGCTCCTTCTGGCACACCCCGCGAACGAGATTCACGGACAGCAGCAAGGATGCCAGAGGGGTGTAGTGTTCCTGGTGCATCCGCCTCTCCTGCCGTCAGCTGTTGACCAAGACTCTGCTCAACGGCGCGCAGTGATTAGTATTGCGGAGCCGCGGCTGCATTGCAAGCTCAAGCGGGCAAAGCAATGTAGTGATCGCGCCTGAAAGGAGCAGGTGCGGCCGAGAGGGCCGTCTGCCATAAGCAGGAGCACATCGAGTCTGCAGGCAGGAGGCGCAGGAGCACAGGAGCACACGATGGCGTTGGCAGGGCGGGCTGCTCCATTGGCCTCTCAACTCTCAAGCAAGAAGCATCGCATGCATCCGCAGGCAGCCGTTTTTGCCCCTCGCTTTCAACGATTGGGCTGGGCTGGGGTGGTGCGCTGGTGCATGGGCTGTTGGCTGGCCGGGCGGGCTGGCTGGTGGCTGATCGCGCTGCGGTTGCGGCAAGGCAAGGGTAAGGCGAGGCGGCGGATGCGGCACCAGCCCGGCGCGCGCGCCAGTTCGATCAGGCGGGGGAGATCTGGAACTTGAGGTGATCGTGAGGCCGCTCTGCGCTCCTCCGGCGGCTGACTTCGTGCGTGCCACACCCCCGGCCTGCGACGCAGTGCATCCATGCAGAGTCAACAATAATACATCATCGCAGCCAGGCACGCACGGCGTGACCTCAACTGCCGCCCGCGCTCACCGCCGCTTCGGCACCGGCGGTGGCCGTGGCCGGGGCCGCGGCGATGGGCAGCCAACGGGGCGGGCGTCGCCGCCGGAGCGCGGGGGATGTGAACTCAAGGGGTGAGATGGGCGTTGGCGTGGGCTGGAAGCTAGAGGGCTGGGCGGAAGGATGCCGTTGCGCGTCTCAACACCAGGCCCCGCGGGAAACACAGGCGCCGCATGGAGGCTGGCGGCGCGGCGCTTCCCAAACAGGTCCCGCGCCGTGGATAGATTATTGGGGGGGGGTTGTATGTGCATGCTGGGGTTTGGCAGTGGGTGTGCGGCGGAGGATGACGGGGGGCGCGCTTTTATTTATCTCGAACGATCGGACAGCCCATGCAGCCTCGCAGAAATTGCGGGCCGTCCCTATCTCGGGGCGAGCAGCGCGCATATCGACGAAACCGTCGGGCATTCTTCAGGCGCGCGGGAGGCCGGGCGGGCTGGGGCGCCGGGGCTGGCTCCTGAAGCGCGGGCATGCGGCGCCGCCAGAGCCAGCGCCAGAGGCAGCGCCCGCCAGCAGCACGCGTGGTTGACCGGTGGTGCGCTGCGCACCTGCTGGGCGTTGTGGATGGGGATGGGATGACCGCAGACAGCATGACGAAGCGCTAGCCCATGCAGCGGACAGACAATCAATTAAACTTTTTCTGCTTGCTGCTGCGGACGGGCACCTCCCGAGCGCTGCGGGCAGGCGCAGGTGCAGGGCAGGAGGGGCAGCGAATACCGCGCCCACTCTTTCTCCCGGCCCGCGCTTTACGCTCCCTGCCGGCGTCCGTCAATTAAATCCGAGCTCCAGGTCACATGATGCGAATTCATATGCGAGTGTCCCGCTAGTTCGAGCCACGCGCGGCGGTACCCGGGCGTTTCAGCTGCCTTGATTCGCACCACATTGCCGCACCTGCAAGTACGAGAGAGTGACAACTCATTCGCGTCTACACGATCGCCCGCACGCCCATGCGCTGCGCCGCCCTCCGTCCGAGCGGCCAGCTGCACCACCTGCGCCCAAGAGCAAACGCTGCTCCTCGAGCCCACCGCCTCACGCGGCCGCCCCTTCTTCGGCGGACTCGTCGCCCTCGGCCTCGTCGCTCGACGGCGCGTCCGGCATGACTACGCTGTTGAGGTACGTGATCTGCATGCACCGCAAGGTTAGCCACTGCTCTAGCGGTGATGTGTCCACCGCGTTGCTCTGCCGCTGCTGCCCGTGGTTGGCCACGCCAAATCCACCATCATCCCCGCCCAGCGCGGCAGACGGCAAAAATAAGACAGGTAACATTGTAAGCCCCGGCTGTCACTCCCGCCATCTCTGCAAGGCTTTCCGGCCCGGTACAGATGACTTCGGCGATGTGTTGTCAGCCTAGACACCGCCTGCTCTCCTTGCGGCATCGCGCGCCTTCCTTGGCGCCTAAGCACGCCCGTCGATAGACTGGCAATAGACTCTCGCCCATCCAGTGCTGCTGTGTGGAAGGACTTACAAATGGCACCATGCATGAGATCAAGTCAGCAATCCGCTGCAGTCCTCCTGCTCCCATCACCGCGCTGTCGTCCAGCTTCTTGCCAATCGTGAAGCTGCGCAGCCGCAGCAGTTCGATGTCTCGATGGTCTTTCTCGTATCCTTGAGGCCTGGCGAACACAACTGTTAGCATCGCTCCGACGAGAAGCGGCGAATCAGACGCCTCGCAATTAGCGTGAACCATCCAGGCATCCAACGTGGCAAGAGATAGCCGTTTCAGCACGAGCTCGTCCGATCAGTCTACGCGCGTGAGCTGTCCGGAACGCCATCCAGACGCCCCGGACGCCCGACTCTCGTGAAGACGATTTCATTTCTTCTCGTCGATACGGCGGATCTTGGTCTCCCGGGAGGAACCTGGATGCTGTTGTGGATGGTGGCTTCGGTCAATGACTTGCTAGTGAACCGAGCCCACGGGAGTTGTCCCCCACTAGAGATAGCCGTTCCAGCTTCAAGAAGGATCCCTTGGCAGAGAGCAAATTTCATCGCTTCAAATCCTTTCGTCGTTGTTCGCGTGTCCTCACTGTGCGAAACCAGCCCTTGCGACACTGAGCCGACGAAGAATGAACTCAGTGCTTTGGCATGCCGATGACGCGTCGAACCGACCCGCGACCGCAAACTCGCATTTCCATCATCAACAGCATCGTCCGATGGCTCACTCCCTTGCCTTCACGTTTCTGATGCCTTGAAACGGGCGTGTTAGGGGGTTTGGAGCGACACTGACCTGACCTTGAGTGCACTCTCAGCATTCTTCTTCGTAAAGGCTCGCACCGCCTTCTTCTCATCGTTCGGAATTCCATCGAAGAATTCTTTTCGGATACCCGCATCGGTCAAGACACGCTTGATCTTGTGGGGCTTGCGATCGATGTCGCGCCTCAGCTTTTGGAGGCCGTCCGCTGCGGGCATCCAAAGGCCGCCACCTAGACGAGCCGTCAGTCAATGAGACGCGATCACCACACTTCCAAGCGCGACCGAGCGACTGCAGGGATCATCAGAATGACAATGAAGGGGAATTGGCGCGATGGACGACTGGCGTAGCATCGCCAGGGCCTCTAGAGTCACCCATACTAGATGCCTCGTCCTTCGCACAGTCCACGACTCCGAGCGACGAAACTAGTGCAGTCTTGGCTGAAAGCAGTCAGAGGTGCTTCGGAGACCTCATCAGTCGCCTTTTGCCCTCGTATCGACCGCACTGGTCATGCTTCATGATACATGAGCCACCGCTCGTCCGAAAGGTGGCCAGAGCCTACAGGTTCCACGAGTGGCGAATCGCCCATGGGATCGTTCTGGGAGCGCATCCGATCTCTTGAACCCCCCTTCAGTCCATCGGATACACCAGCAAAGCAGTCCACAATCCCTCTTATTGCTTCCTATGCCCTAAGAGGCTCAGTGCGTCGCAGTGGCTAGGGGCGCAATCGACCGGGCGGTGAGGTGTACTTTGACGCACCCACCCTTCGTCCGCAAGTCGGCGTATAGGGACACTCAAGCTCAGACTGGTAGCAGGGTCGGTTGAAGGTTGTGCAACATCAGGTGCACACGGCGCTGCAAATGCTATAGCCGCTGCTTCAAAATCGATCCGTCGCACGAAAACCGTTGGACTGCAATCATGGCTCCCCTTCATGGACAATGAGTTTGAAGGCTGATTGCTTGCTGCTGTGTCGTAGGCTAACGATCCGGTGTTGCAGTAGGTTGAATCCTTTCGAGGCGAACAAATCGCGGTGAAGACCTGGGCGAGTTGCGCCGCCGGGCGCCGAAGGAGCGGTGTAGCATTTTGGCTTCACATCCAGTTCTGTACACTCGATTCGGAGACATGACACCCTCGCCGTTGATGAGGGGTGCTGCCGGTGGGGTGGTGACAGAACAACCTCAGCGATTGTGGGTTTGTCCTACGTCGTAATCTCGGACGGGCTCTCGCAGACAGTACCCCGCCATCTTACCCGCACAACCCGCGAGCACGACTGGCCACAACGAGGTCACCCTCCGAAGCGGGCAGACCTTCATCGAGAACCGACGGCGGTGACGCACCGGAGCGACATACGCATATACTGGCCTATGGGGAAAAGATATAGGCGATCGTGACGATAGGAATGACCGGTCGATGATAGCAAGGCAGCTGATGGCGCCGTTCCACGGCGTTTAATTGCCCGAGCAACATTGTCTGCTGACCATTTCCATCGTCGTCCGGCCAAGTTCTGGCGAAGCAAGCCATTGGCAGGGGGTGCTCCATCTGGACCGCGTGGATGTGGTACAGCAGTGACAGACGGCTCCAGCTCTTGGCATCCGCAATCAAAGGCGCGTGGCTTTCTGCCGACCACAAACGTAGCGTGGGAAGGTCTTACAACACGTAGATCCCGCGCAAGGCGGTTTGGCCGGAGGTTTGTGTCCCTTGCGTTACGGGTCCCAAGGGAAGGTTCCACAGCAGCACGCTGTCGGAGACGAACCGTGGCGCATTTTGCGGCTCATTTGGAATTTTCCCATGCAGCCTGCAACGCTACTGCAGATGGACCCTTGTCGACATACTCTGCTTCTCGTCCACGGGCCGCGATCGAAGTGTTGACAAAAGCTTACTTACCTACGAAATTGGCGTTCGGCTCGATATGCACATAGTATGCTGCATACGGCCCTTTTCGGCCAGTTCGGGACCTAGACGCCGTTCAGTGAGTGCTGTGGCAGGGCAGACTCGAGACAGACCAGGCGGCGGCAAAGTGCGTCTGCTGTATGTTAGCGCGTATCTTGCAGACACCAGGCGGGGTTTCCCGACCTTGTACGGCGTTGGGTCAGAGCTAAATCTGATATCTCTGTAAATTCGGAAGACCTGTGCAGGGTGCATTAGCTTTGCGTGATTCAGCTGACTTGCATCCAGCTCACAATGTCTTTAGTGGGCAGCTCAGGGATGGTGTCGTCTGCCTCGATGACTTTCTCCGTCAGCCGCTCGACGAATGAGTTGAAGTCCTTCAAGGATGTGCGGTAGTCCGGGTCGTGCACTGCATATAGTCACAATACGTTAGCTTCAGGCTTGCAGTGGCTCGGGGTGCGACTCTTAGAGCGTGACACGTGTCGGATGGTCAACGGTCGTTTGTGAGCGGATATAGTGGGCATATGACGGCGAGCGGCACCGTGTCAGAGCGTCGCCTGGGAATAGAGGGGTGCTCACTCTTCAGCCATTCGCGGTCATTGTTGCTGGACAGGTCTTTCAAGAACAGCATTGTATTCGGATGTATCGTGTCATCTGTATACGGCGTATCACCAGCGTCTCTGGGCTTCGGCTTTTTGATGATCAGCTTTGTGCCTGGTTCTAGACCAGTGTCGACGCCCGTCCTCCACAACTCTTTGCCCTTCTTGCCCCGCGCCGCCGCTACTTGTGTCTCCCGGGCTGGCTTCTGCGGGCGACCCCTCTTCTTGGGGGCGGGGCGTTCATCGGAGGAATATTCATCGTCCTCAGCATCTTCGGAATGCGTGCCGGAGCTGGTGTCACCGGCGTCCCCGTCCTCGTCCTCGTAGCCAGACTCGTCCTCTGCGGGCGAATCGTCGGGCTCGGGCTGGTCGCGCCCCGGGGCCTCGTCTGGCTCCTGCTCAAAATACTGACTCTTGGTGGGCGTAGCTTTAGAGCGTGCAGAGACCCTGGTCCGCTTGGACTGCCGATTCGGCGTGGACTGCGGGGAGCTGGGCCTCTTGGAGGCACCTGGGTGGGCGGAGCCGGCGGATTGTCGGAGAGAACGACGAGGCATGGCTGCGGAGTCGGAGGAGACGGTGGGTGCGACGGCCGGATTTCAGCGAGGCGCGCGAGGTCGGCGGTGGTGTTGTTCGTGCAGCAATGCTCTGGATGCTGGGGGGTGGGTAGGTAGATGACGCACAGGAGCTCTAGCCTCGACGCCTCGTCGCGTGTGCACCTGACGGGGGCGCGCGGTCTTGGCTTTGGCCTTGGTGCCTGGTCTGTCAGGCCTCGCGCCCGCAACGAAAAAATCTCTCCACCAGCAGCCCACACCGTCGCAACTGCGCCGCTGTCGCTCGTCCTGTGTCGCGCTGCCCCCAATGGCGTCTGCATTCGCCGCCAAGAAACACCGCATTCTGCAGCAGCTCGCGCAGCCTGCAGCCGAATACAGCGACGCGTCGCCCAAGGGCTCCATCGACGAGGGCATTCGCACCCTCATCGACGAGATAAATGCCATTGAAGGGCTGGTGACGACGTCAAGCTGCGCTGGGCGCATCAGCGCTTTCCTCGAGGGCAGGAAGCGGGCGGCTGCCAGCGAGCCGCGCGAAGCGCCCGCGGAGACGAGCATCGCCGGCGCAGGAGGAAAAGGCGGTGGACAGTGGCTGTTCGTGTCTCATGAGCCGGTTCCAATGCCCGCAGCAGATGCAGCTCGAGCGGGCCAGCACTTCACGGCCCTGTTCGGCCTCGACGCTGCCGGCGGCCTCGCACGCGCTGAGCACCACGCGGGCCAGCGACACGTTCATCTCAAGTTCGAGGCCATGGTACGTCCACCATCGCCGCTCGAGTCGTGCAGCGCCTGATGAAACGTAGATATTGCACCTGCTGACCGCTTCGCTCGCGGATGCCCAAAGAGTCCTGTCGGCCGCGCTGCAAGCAGGCTTCAGGGAGAGTGGCGCGGTCGGCTTGCATCCCAACACTGACGGCTCCATCACCCCAATGGTTGCCGTCCGCTCCATCGGCCTCACCTTCGACTCCGTCATCGCCTGCGAGGGCACCGACGGTCGCATGGTGCCCGTCGTCGATGAGCAGTATCTGCAATCGCTAGTTGAGCTGGCTAACGACCGCTTCTCGGTCAACACTGAGCGCATTGAGAGGTTCCGCGCCCATCTGCTCGCTCAGTTCCGGAAGCCCGGCGAACTAGCGACGCTGCCGAAGGGCAAGAAGGGCCACCCCGGCTGGGAGGATGCTGCAGCTAGACGCGAGCGAAAGCGGGCCGAGGGGCTCGAGAACCAGCGGCAGAAGAACTCCACGCAGAGCGACTCAACCGCCCCAACACACGGCGACATTGCTCTCGACAGCATTTTTGACTGATGCCTTCGGAGACTGTCAGCACTGATGGCTCCGCGGAGACTAAAGCATTAGTTTCCGCTCGCTGACCAGTGCGACCAATGGGAGAGTTACTAGGAGACTTAACGATTTCTATCCGCAAGCCACCCGCAGACACAAGGCCCCACAGCCTCTTCAAACAGCAACTACATAAGAATCTACTGCCGTGAAATAGACCATCATCATATCATCTCTTCGCATTGCACTGTCCTTGACAACGAGAGAGAGTACGATTCGCAGCCATGGACTTGACCGAGACAAACCGCCAGAAATTCGAGTACGAGCACCTTGTTGCCCAAGTAGGGCCGATATCAAACTAATTATGCATAGCGAAATGGCGTCGCAGTACGACTCCAAAGACTGGATCAAGAAGCTGGGCAATCTGATCACCAATGAGATTCGGCGCCGCCTCGATTGGTTTGGCGTAGACTGGGCAAAGGAACATGATAAGAGCAGAGATGTTCGCCTCCTAGACTACGCCTGTGGCACTGGCTTAATTTCCCGAGTATTGATCTCCAATCCTTCGGTTACATGCCAGACATACTAACCAGCTCGCCCACGCCAGGCTCTTGGCCCTTTTGTGACAACGATCCGCGGGATCGACCTGTCCTCCAACATGGCTGCTGAGTACAATTCTCGCGCCGTCGTTGCAGGCTTGAGCCCCGAACAAATGTCCGCCACTCAGGGAAATCTTGTCGCCAGTACACCCGAGGCCCATCTAATGGACCAAACCCTCTTTGATTTCGATCTTGCTGCTGTTGGACTCGGCTTCCATCACTTCGATGACGTCTTCCTGGCAACTAAGCGCATCTCAGAGCGTTTGAAGCCGGGCGGGGTCTTCTTCATCGTGGACCTAGTTTCCGATAAGCCCCATGAAATACCGCCCGAGCTCAAGAACTACGTCAAAATCTTTGGATTCAACGAGGAGGGAATGCGCAATCTCTTCGAGGGAGCTGGGCTGGTCGACTTTGGCTTCAGTGTCATAGAAGAACCCGCCCAGATGGAGAAGCAGTCGGGGGAGAAGTTCACTGTGACACTGTTCATCGCAAAGGGAAGGAAGCCTGCTCAATAAGTCACAAGATAACGCTCACGACATGGTTTCAAATTGATCTACAACCCTAAAAATCTCCTTGTCTTTGCTCCGTAAACTTTCTCAGCGTCTATCATTTATTTGCGACTGTTTCTGCAAGGATCTAACGTTATCAGGCATGCGTACAGACGGGGGCCGAAAACATCCCTACATTCACCCCGCACTAATCTAGTTAGTTTACGCCATCCGACGTAGCTTCTACCCAAATCAGCTGTTGGATACGAACGCGGACCTCAATAGCCACGAAGTTAACGGCAGGGTCCTATGCCAGAGATAATGAACTGTCCAGGCTACATATCTACTCATAAGAGAAGTGATTACCAAGGTAAATGTTATTCATTCGGTATTCTTACCGCGCATCAGTACCATCTTCGTAATGAAATTTCTCGGGCTCACGAAGGCTACATAAACCAGCCAGAATCAACCCCTTCGAATCAGACAGATCGTCCACGTTCTAACAACGCGACAGTTTTTCCGATACATTCGGTGTCAATTCTGCCTATTACTGTAACCCTGGGCAACACAACACGGCACGCATGAAACGATAGGTGCCTCTCCCAAAACCGGATCACTGACGCGACTCTCGAAAGTTCTTTTGAAAAACGTAGGAAAGTGTTGTCCGAAAGGCTTCGTCCGTATTACGGTGTCAGGAACGGCCGCATGGATGCCCAATGACGGCAAGTTCGGCAAAACGGTGCCGACCAGTCAGCACCACCGCAAGCCACAGCGGGAGCTTTGTATGATCAGACTACCTAATCCAGAGTTCAACGAGCACGATACTTCTCCATAATCACTCCGACTTTGCTGCCTAATCTTTAGATTGCTTCCTTGTGCTAGGTAAGTAGCTTACGCTATCACGCCTTGTCCATTCAGAATGTGAAGTGTGGAGCTTGATGGTTCTCAGATCAGTAATCGAGCTGTCCCAGCATGAAGCAGACTGCGGGTGTGGCATGACTTTGTTGCTTACTGCTGCTTTCACAAGACGAGCTTCTGATCTTTGCATTTTTGATTTGGCCATCTTGCCTGCAGGTTGTATCGAAAATGATCTGGTGTTCGGGGCTGCCAGCACGCGGAGTTTGACTGAGATATCTCTGCCCACATATAAGATAGGCAATCGCTTCTTCAGACTCACCTTTCTCTTCAACAGGAAGAAGATCAGCTTTCAGGTAGACCTCAAACAAGATCTCCATCAACCATGTCGTCCACTCCACTCCGCAAGATCCTCATCGCAGGCGTATGTCCACCCCCGCCTCTATATCCCCCCCACAAGTCCCGCCAAAACCATTCTAACCAATCCTCATGTCTCTCTCCAGGCCAGCGGCTCCCTCGGAAGCGCGCTCCTTACGGCCCTCTCCAGCAACCCAAACTTCGAGGTCGCCATCCTCACCCGCGCCTCGTCCACCTCTCGCTCCCGCTTCCCCCCGCACATTCCCGTCCTCACCGTCTCCGACGCCTTCACCCTGGTCGAGCTGACGGAAGCCTTCCGCGGCCAAGACGCGGTCATCAACGCGCTGTCGACCGAGCCCGTCACGCGCGACGACCTGGGCATGCGCTTCGTCGACGCGTGCATCGCCGCGAGCGTCAAGCGCTTGATCACAGGCGACTTCGGCGCCGACAATTTGAACACGGAGGCGCAGGCGACGGTTCCGGTCTACAAGGCGAAGGGGGAGGTGATCGAGTACTTGAAGAAGAAGACGGAGCAAGGTGGTGTGGGGTTGACGTGGACGGCGTTGGGGACGGGCAGTTGGCTGGACTGGTGAGTTGGAAATGGCTGGCCCCCCGTATCGTTCTCCCTGATAAGATGGAAACGGGCAAGTGGTAATCGATTGAAATGGACTGACTGGGGTGCGACCTGTGACAGGGCTCTTGACAAGCAATTCCTTAAGATCGATGTGCCGGGCAGGAAGGCGAAGATCTTTGACTCAGGAACACACAAATTCACCGTCGTTACGGTGGCGAATGTCGCTCTGGCAACCGCTCGGGTGCTGCTAAACCCTGCTGCGACGGCGAATCGCTACCTCTTCTTCCAGGACTTTGCATGTTCGCAGCGCGATATCATCGCAGAGCTTGAGCGGCAATCGGGCGAGAACTGGGCGATCGAAAACGTGGTGAGCGAAGAGGAGATTGCGAAGGCGAGGAGAATGTTGGCGGCGGGCGACTCCGGGGCCGTGTATGACTTGCTCGCGATCAGTTTCGTTGGTGATGCGAAGGTGCCTAGAGGTACGTGGTTCGAGGAGACGGGCTTGGAGCTAGCGAATGAGTTGATTGGAGGCCTGCCGAGGGTGACTTTGGAGGACGTTGTTAAGGAAGCGTTGAAGACGGCACAGTAAGGAACATGAAAATGATAGGAAAGTCTCCTGTGCGCGAAGTACGTCACCATCGAGCATTGGGAATCGCATTCATTGAAACCTCTTAAACATACCGAGAGTTTGAACCCTAGTGATAAGAAAGAAAATACGATACCAACCAGATCAAAAACGGATAAGACAATTCTTGGATCCCTCGTGTTTCTTCCGATACCCTCGTCCTCCTCGTAAATAGCCTTGAATGAGTCCCACGTCGCGGTATCCTTGTTCTTCTACACCGCGATGGACGGGTTACCCATGCACGAACCCGGAACGTGGCTGCTACTAATACTCTGGACCCGACCCCAGATATTCTTCCACCAGTGAGAGGCAATTTTGCTGCAGTCTGTCATTTTAACCTAAAAAAAAATCCTCTTCCATAATACTGATTCTAATATTTACCATCGTCGACACTCGAAGCTAGCGTGAACATTCTTGTCACATGAGCGACCCACAGAGTCTAGAAGTCGTCTCCATAGATTGGTCTTGGTTCAGTTGCGCACTGCAGGGGTTCCGTTTCTAGCTCTTGAAAATAGTGTTCGAAAATGGTGGCATCTGACTGGCAATTCATGGAACTCTAAGTTCTTTTTATTCTTCTTATCTATGAGAGAGCGGCGCAATGGGGGCGAAAAAGACGGTGACTCCAGACCGCTGTCCGATCTTGTTCCTTGCAACACCTTTCTAGTCGTGTGTTAAACGATTGAATATGGTGGTGAATCTCATCGTCGTGCAGAAACAGAAAGTATTACATCTCCGTTAGAAAAAATCTATGGACCTGTATAGTAAACTACATTTCAGAGATTGTTTGGAGAAAGTTGTAACTGAATGGTATTAGCGTTGCAGGTAAGAATTGTAGCTTATGCTTGTCGATGGTGGAATTAGAAGCGTCCACCATCATCTGATAATGGATTTCGCCACGGTCGTCTTGACGGCTTGTCATGGATACTCATCTAGGAGAAACTCGTTTAGCAGATAATTGTGATTGTGTTGTGTACATATTTTACAACGCGGCTACAATAGGTCTCGCAGGATCTGAGCTCTGTCTCACAAAGTACCATGTATAATCTCAGTGAGGAAAGCTGAAAATTTTCACTGTTCGCTGTGTGGCAATGAGACCTTTCGACCTGGAAGGAGTCACAGGAGGCCCTTTCGTCTAGTCACGTTGTAAGACTCTTGACCTGGTTGAAGTGGTATGAGCACTGCAAGGACGGAAGTAGAAACAAACGCCAACATGCAGAGGGGCGTGCAACAACAAAGCAGGTAACGAATTTGGGTGAATCATATCAATTGGCTAATTTGATCTGTACCACTGGAAAAGGTTCCTGTGAAATGGACATCTTATCGTATAACTTCGTTGTACCCCTCATATCTTTGAAGGTAGACCATTCCTAGTGAAGGTCAGCCAAAGCGTCGAAAATGCCTTCCTAGCATCCCATTGTGCTCAGAATTGGAGTCGTCATTTTGTCGTACCATTACTTCACCCTCGCGACGAAGCGAAATATTGCGCTTACAAGTTCTCGTGGAACCAAGAGAGGACAGTCTTATAGCCGCGGGTGTATTCTTCCTTGACGCGAGCATCGCTCAAGTTGGAACTGCAAGTCTATTAGTTGGTGAACCCACGCGCTCGTTGTGGTTTTCTTACCGGGCAGCCATAAAGCCATGGATCTGGTCGTCGAATAGCTCGACGTGGTTCTTGACCTTCAGACCTTGCTGCCAGGCCTTCACCGCCTCCTTGTCTTCATCCTTGGATGGCAGCATGAGGTATGGAATAGTGACCTTGGGGGCGTCGGCAGGATCGACCATGGCGGGATGCGCAGAGACGGCAGCCTTGAACTTTGTCCCCTCGGTAGAGGAAAGGTTCGTGACCTATAGGCCGTGTTAGTACGGCAAATGGAGCGACATCCAGGTACGCTATACCTTTCCACCCCAGCAGAAGCCAAGGATGCCCCAACTGGAGATACCGCTGTTCTTGCTGTTGATCTCATCGACGACCTTGGGGATGCGTGAAACGGTCTTGGCCGGAGCGGCAGGGCCCGCGAAGAACGCGCCAAGCTTCTTGCCCTTCTCCTCGTTGTCCGGGGGATACCAGGAGATATCGGCGGGGTTGCCCTCGAAGAAGTCGGGGATGAAGACCTGGTACTTGCGGTCCTTGTCGGAGGTGGCGAGGATATCAGCGCCCTGGAGGGTCTGGGGGAAGAAGCCGAAGATGTCGAAAACGATCAGGATGGCGTGCTTAGCATCGGCAGGACCGGTGCGGTCTGGTGGGGTTGCGAGTTAGAGCATGGCAGAGAGAACAGGGCGGCATTGACTCACAAGTCTTCAGGCCATCAATGGTGATGTACTCGCCCTTGGGCTCGTAGCCCTCGGAGACGACGGGCGGGATGGTGCAGCCTGGAGTTGGCGTGAGCTCTCAGATAACACGAAGATTGCGGGGCGATAAGGTGGAGCTCACAGGCAAGAGAGTGCTGAGAGGCCATTGTGCACGAGTATCGGGGATGGATGGCAAGAGGCTTCCTGAATTGGGGCGAGGAGCAATGGCTGGGGCGGATCTGAGTTGTGCGGACGATGCGGGCGGCGTTGTTTAAAAAAGGGCGCATGGTGGAGGAGTCTCTGCGCGCGAAGGGACGCGGCGGAATTCGCTGAGAGCAGCCCCGCAATCGCGACTTGCCAAATGATGTCATGCACACGCCGCTCTCGGCAGCCCAACTACACCATGTAGTTCAGAAAGTTCTTTCCTATACTACCTAGGTACTGCCCAGCTAAGAACACGGTGCCTGTGCATTCGCTGATTCGCGCGCATTATGAAACGCATGCCCCACCCTGCTATAAACGCAGGTTTAGTCAGCTTATCTGCATATTCCCCACGCGCTCTCCCAACTACCTTACTTAGTATTTGCCCGGTCAGCGCGGATTACCGGGCAGTGTTAGTGTGCTTGATGAAGATTTGCTGTCTGTCGCAGCCGCCGCACTCCAAGCCGGACTTCAGACACTACCCGCACGCCAGCTGTTGGAGGTCGCACTGCCGGATTGCGTTAGCTTTGCGCGTTGTGAGGGATGAACACCAACGCTCTTCCTCCGCCTCCTACGCGTTGCACAGCCTTTGATCTCCCAGGTAGACCGGCCATCCTGTGTCGCGCAAATTGGGTCTTGTTCAGGAAAGGGCGACGGAGGAATTTGGTATTTCAGAAAGTATGCGCTAAAACCCCAGGCACAATGACCAATCTTCACGTCATCTTTCAACTATTCTGGTCGCTCCCCTTCGCGCCCTTTACTGATTGTGCTCCCATTGAACTCTTCAAACCACTCGATGTCCCTGGTCAAGCGGTGAATTGCTATCCTCCGCTGGAAACTCCTTCCTACCAGAGATATCTCCATCATTCATGTTTTGACTCCCCAGCTATCCTACGCTGCCAGTCATCAAAAGCATCTTTCGGAGTGTACTTTCTTTGCACCGGTTTAATCCCCCACACAGATGAAAATATGGCCGCCGCCTCCAATAAGAAATGCGCGATGAGCCATTCGACCAAGCTTGGCAGAGCTGGTCGTATTTTCTTCAGGTAGCCACCTGCGCTTGACCCAGTCAAGTCCACGAAGACCGGAAAGTTATCCAACGATCGGAAGATGGTGAACAGCTTCAGGTGTACTTGAAACTCCCTCAGCAGGTGCTCTAGCCATACCACCGAAAACCCCGCGATGATCGTCTCCTGTAGTTTGGATTCTGCTTGTGCGTCCAACACCACACCGTTTAGATTCCAGAAAAATATCGCCTTGTTCCCGTCCTCTGGCTCAGTCCTTTCCACGACGACCACGTCTTCTCCATCTGCCGCTTCCCTGCTCCATTCGTGGCGCGTGTTTTTCTCCACTTTGATCTCCCTCACGACGTTCCCGCTCTCCGGGGCGCATATGACCTGGACCTTGTCTCCAAGCCTCACACGGACTTTTCCCTTGACGACACGCAGGTACTCGGCATGCTGTTCGTGCCAATGGAGTCCGCTCGACCACGTAGACCCTGTCGGAAGAGTAACCACGACGCGATCCGCGTATGAGAGATCGTAGATGACGGCGTTGGGTAGAGGTCTTTTGATGACTGGGGAAATTTCCTGGCTGCTGGAATCCATTGCGGGTCGAAATTGCGAAAGAGTCTGTGTTAACTCGACAAGAGAGCGGAGATGTTTGCTTTGGCGAAGTCTGAATGTATTGAGAGATCTTATCAGGCGTGGCTTCCACTTGCATCGCTTAGGTTCATTTGTCATCTGTCTTGCTTTGGAGAGAGGATGTAAGCGACTGCTGCAGCCTGCGGAATCCTCCCGCGATTCCTCGTGATACAACAAGGCATGGGACAATAACGCACGTGGAACCCTACCGACTTAATTGGCGCCTTCCGACATTGCCAGATCTTGGTACTCTGTCATGCGATTTGGAAGCCTGAGAGTTAAGGATAGCACTCTCCGCGTATGCGTCTTCTTTTGGACTAGCGTGGACCCTTGCCTGGCAGTACTTTCCTCGTGTCTTCTTATTAGAGCGCTCACGAACTTCACTCTGACATCGACACCGCAGCTTACTTGTCTTTACGCCTCTGCGCCCAAAGCATCTGCGCAAGACGGCTACGGATTCCGTGTGCGCGTGCCCTGTACCTACGGCACTCAACTTACATTGCTAGGCCATGTCTCCGCCGTTGGGAGCAACCGAGGGCCATGGCGAAGCTACTGATAGGGAGCCTGGAGCAGTCGCAGAGTTTGCGCTGCAGCGCGAGCGGATCGTCGCAAACTCTCGTAGCAGCGATTATCTTGACGATACCACGAACCAACCTCAGAGGATCAAGGACGAGAGTGACAGTGAGGACGATGAGGGGTCTGAGGAAAACGGTTTACGTGTCTTCTATCCGAGACCAAGTCTACCGGTGCCCTCAGTTGAGCACCGGTCCTTACAAAATCTCATGGGTAAGAACTCGGTCTGCACTCACATCAACACCGCTGATATCATGGCAACAGAAATGCTAGAGCAGGAAGTCATCGACCTCAATCCTGAGTACCAAAGGGATGTTGTGTGGGCACAGGAGCGTATGATCGGCCTGATAGACTCTCTCATTGGTGAGTGGGCTCCTCTTGCGTTCCACTAAGGGCATCGTTCACACAGTGAACAGAGAATGTTTGCATACCCCCGATAATCTTCAATCGCCAAATCACTCGCATGGAGGACGGCACAGCCCGCGTGAAGCGTGTTTGTGTCGATGGCAAACAGCGACTCTCGTCATTGAAGGCATTCATGGAGGGCAGAATCGGTTGCCACGACCGACATGGATCTATTTGGTGAGGACAATAATCAATCATGCATGTAAGCCGAGCTTACTCCTGTAGGTACTTCACCAAACCTGCGGCTAGCAAAAGGCGCCGCACGGTTCCTGAGCATTTCAAAGAGGCATTCCGTAACCGAAAACTTATCGTTTACGAGTACCGGAATCTTAAACGAGCACAGGAGGAGGATCTCTTCTCCAGCGTCCAGAAGGGAGTTCAACTAACAACTGCGGAGAAGTTACGAGCGACAACGGGGCCATGGCAAGAACTCGGAAAGATTTACGAGCGCGACTTCCCCAAAGTAAGCGGATTATCTGGCACCAGAAGAGCCGTGGGATTCAACAACGTACTGGTCTCATTTGGCATGATCATTGAGGCAGAACGCGGCCTTTCGAATCAAAAGGCCCCACACTTCAGCACATCTGCCTCGACTATCAAAGCGCTATTCAAGAACGTCGATGACTACAACGCCGATATGCGCGAGAAGATCCGGCAAACGTACATGGCATTCGACTGGTTGATTGAGCTCGACCCAAAGGCCTTTATGGACAACGGCTATACCCATGCCAAGCTCTTTTCGCCTTTCGAATTCGTAGCAACTACAGTGCTAATTTCCTTACACTCGGAAAACGAGAGTGATCAGTTTCTACTTGAGAGTATTAAAGGTATGCGCCTGCATTTATGACAGTGCCTCAGAGACCTACGCATGAACAAGGCATCATGGGATTGTGCGTGGCCATTCATCGAGTGTCTGCTTGCTCGAGATGAACAGGAAGTGAGACCTTCTGGGTCTCATGCACAGACCCAGACACCTGTTGATGCTTTGGTTTCCGCTCGTACTACCATTGCAGAACGGCTTTCCCGCCTGAAGCCAGTAGCTACTTCGGCCCATACGCCCCAGATTGGGGAATCTAATTCCGAGGTATCCTCAGAGAAATCGAATGTCAATCTTCATCGTCCAGAAGTTATTGAACTCGACAGAAGTCCACCAGACTATGTGCGAGTCGCCCATCCTGACGTAGCCAACTACGGAAATTCCGGTTCCCAGTCACTTGATCAGCCGCCTTCCTCAATTCATGCTGCGAAACAACAGCTATACAACCATCATAGCCAAATATTTGACCCATCGCACGCTGGAATCACCAGGAAAAGAAAACTCGCACGATTCACGACTTCAGGATCTGGTCCCAGACACGCTGGGAGAATGCAGCCCACTGAAATGGATAAAGAATCGACGGCGCAGAAGTCTGGACAGCGACAGGCTACTGAAGCGACAATAGTTCATGAAGCGCTCGGTGAAGCAACCGTTCGTATGCACCAAGCGTCTGCCGATGAATGTGCGCCAGGATACCAAGACCAGGGGATTTCGACCTCAGAGGACGAAAGTGACATGACAGAGGATCTATTGGCAAAGTTCCGGCCGCATAATTCGAAGAGGCCGAGGGTGAAGGATGAACTGGTCCTAGATGATTAAGAGGTGTAGATTCGAATATTTACGGGGCTGGCTTATGCACAAGTTTAGTGCACCAACAACATGCCTAAAGGGGTCGAGGTACTCAAGAGTCGAGTATTAAGGGTGAAACATGGCTATCTTCAACTTTATCCATTCATCTTAGAAGCATTCAGAGCATCAAAAGTCGAAACAAGCTCTGAGATACCATGGTTCCTTCGGCGCGGATTCTTATCAAGTGCAATCCATTTTACGACTATCAAATGACATCGGAATCATATCTCGAATAAGACATCGGTGCAGCAACCGGGGCTCATCACATACATATTTTTCATCGAGAAGAGAGGCGCAATATGAATTATGGTCATCAAGCGTAAGGGCGGGCATGGCGCTAAACAATTAGTGCTCAGTGGCTAAGATATGAAAATTGTATTAATGAGTACCCCCTTTTCTGGTGACAAAGTCCGAATGTGTATTCTCTCAGTGTATTTGGCTGAGACAATTTGTTGAAATTCGTGAAAATACAACATGTTCAGTTGATTCGACCCTACAGTTTGTGTTGGAGCACAAAGTAGTTGCCGGGTGGGAACCAGGTGGTCTCGCGCGCGCGGACCCTGTCGATCGCGCGGGCGCGTCCACAGAGAGCTCCTTCGGTCGTGCGCCCTCTCCCGCGCCAAATCGCACCACCAACCTGCCAATGGACGCCGCAGCTCTCTCCGAGAGCCTCAATGGCCCTCAAGCATATGTCTTGCTTGCTACCGCAGCCATCACGACCCTCTTCTTCTTTACCTGGTACACGTTCGACTCCGAAGCCGCTGTAGACTACTCGGTCGAACCACCGGAGCAATGTTCGCCTGGCTGGAAGGGGAGGGTTCTTGACGAACCTTCTCTCAAGGTTCGTTTCTGGTTACAACTGCCTGCTGGGACTTGATCTAATTGCGCTTCAATGATCACAGGCCGCCGGCTCCAACAACATCCAGTGCTACGCTCCCGCGACTGGCCAGTTCCTCGACCAGATCACGCCAGCCTCCGAGAAGGACATTGACAACGCGGTTGCACGAGCAAAGGAGGCGCAGAAGCAATGGAAGAATACCACCTTCTCCGAACGAAGGCAGGTTCTGAAGACCCTGCTCAAGTACGTACATACATCATACAATTTTTGTGGCCTTCAGGATGCTGAGATCACACCAGGTTCGTCCTTGAGAACCAGCAAACCATTTCCACAGCGGCATGCTTGGACAGCGGCAAGACTCGGGTTGACTCGAGCTTCGGTGAGATTCTGGTCACGGCCGAGAAGCTCAAGTGGACTATCGACCACGGCGAGAAGGCCCTGACGCCTGAGAGAAGGCCGACCAATTTCTTGATGATGTATAAGAAGAACGAAGTGAGGTGGGAGCCGCTAGGCGTCGTAGCGGCATGTGTGAGCTGGAAGTAAGTTGACCTCTTCCCATGAAACAGCATAGCGAAGACTAACCTGCCTTAGCTATCCCGTATGAGCCCCGAGGAGCCAATAAGGCTACATTTTTCTGACTGTCCACAGTTCCACAACCTTGTCGGTCCCATAATATCAGCCCTCTTCTCCGGAAATGCCGTCATCGTCAAAGTCTCCGAGCAAACCGCATGGTCATCCCAGTACTTCACCCGCGTAGTCCATGGTGCACTCTCGGCCTGCGGCTACGAGTCTTATGCTTCCTCTCTCGTCCAAACCGTTGTCACCTGGCCTGAAGTTGCTGGCCATTTCACCTCACACCCTGGTATTTCGCATCTGACCTTCATCGGCTCCCGGCCCGTGGCGCACAAGGTCTGCGAATCGGCGGCCAAATCGCTCATTCCCGTCTGTGTTGAGCTCGGCGGCAAGGATGCAGCCATCATCCTGGACGACGTACGCAACCTCGAAAAGGTCGGCCACATCCTCCTCCGCGGCGTCTTCCAAGCAGCAGGCCAGAACTGCATCGGCATCGAGCGCGTCGTCGCGCTGCCCAAAGCCTACGACCGCCTCCTCGATTTCCTGACACCCCGCATCCGCGCTCTGCGCTCCGGCTCCGTCCTCTCGCTCGAAAACTCAAACTCGGCCGACAGCATCGACGTCGGCGCCAGCATCTCGGCGGCCAGCTTCGCGAACCTCGAAGCCATGATCCAAGAAGCCGTCGCCCAGGGCGCGCGGCTGCTGGCCGGCGGCAGCCGGTACGCGCACCCAGACCACCCCAAGGGCCACTACTTTTCGCCGACGCTCCTGGCGGACGTGACGCCGGCGATGCGCATCGCGCAGACGGAGTGCTTCGCGCCCGTCTTCCTGCTCATGCGCGCCGCATCCGTCGCCGACGCCGTGTCCATCGCAAACAGCACCGAGTACGGCCTCGGCGCCTCCGTCTTCGGCACCCGCCGCGCCGACCTCGAATTCGTCGTCGACAACGTCGCGTCCGGCATGGTCTCCGTCAACGACTTCGCCGTCTACTACGCCGTCCAGCTGCCCTTTGGCGGCGTCAAGGGCTCCGGCTACGGCCGCTTCGCCGGCGAAGAGGGCCTGCGCGGCTTGTGCAACACGAAGGCCGTCTGCCGCGACCGTTTTCCGGGAATCATCGAGACGGGCATTCCGCCGGAGTTGCGGGTGCCTGTGGGTGATATGCGGCGCGCGTGGCAGGTTGCGTGCGGTGTTGTGGAGTTGGGGTATGGTGAGAGTTTGGGAAGGAAGGTGAAGGGGTTGAGGAGGGTGGTTGGGATTTAGGGAAGGGTTGGTGGGGGGATGGCGATGTGGGTGTAAGTTGTTGTTGTGTCAGGTGAGAGGTGGATGTAAAAGAAATAGGGGCGAAGAAAAACAAGAAAGGACTGTACAATACATCCAGATGTTAAGCTTAACTACCCACGTAGTGTAGTGATATATTTTAATAAGAAACTATTAGCGAAGTTTCATTCTTTTGTTACCTACTGTGATATAACCGAGGCTGGGAATGAGAGTTCGACACAGTAAATCGCAGGTGGAAGGAAAGGTCGTGATTTTCGTACTCCTTATAAGGCATTCTACCTATCCATATCTAACGTGCCCAGTAACTCCGTAAAGAGAGCGGATCCATCACTCAGCAACAAACGCAGTGAACAGACAGCGCACAAAGAAAAGGCATCATAGCATTATCATCACTTTCCGACAAAGCTACAAAACAAGAGGTGGAATCCGAAAAGCGCTTCAAGAAAAAAACAAAAGATTTACCTGCCAGAAGCAAGGTTCTGGGGAGCCTCGGAGGGCGGGCCCTCAGGGGTGACGTAGGCCTGGTTATAGAGTGTTAGGTTACAAGATTTCTCCTTTTCATTCAGATGGCGAGGAGAAAACGTACCTTGGTCATGCCACCGTCAACGACAAAGTCGGTACCGTTAACGAAGCTGGCCTCGTCACTGGCAAGGAAGACGACGGCCTGGGCCTGCTCGATGGCCTCACCGAAGCGGCCAGTGGGGAAGTGGACCTCACGGCGGTGGCGCTTGGGCTTGTCGTCACCGAGCCAGTCCTGGAGGAGAGGAGTGCTGTTTTCTCGTGTTAGCTGCTGCGGAATCAGGAGAGAGAGAGAGATGGGGAGAGCTTACTTGAGGGGAGCGGGGCAGAGGGAGTTGAAGCGGTAGCCCTCACGGGCGTGGACAATGGCCAGCTCACGGGTCATGGCGAGCACAGCGCCCTTGGAGGCGGTGTAGGCCAGCTGGGGCGTGGCAGAGCCGACGAGGGCGACGACGGAGGCGGTGTTGATGACGGAGCCCTTCTTCTTGCCGTGCTTACGGAAGGAGAGGACGGCGTGCTTGCTGCCGAACCAGACGCCCTTGACGTTGATGTTCTGGGTCAGGTCCCAGATCTTCTCGGGCGTGTCGACGGCGTCGGCGTCGTCGGCGTGCATGATGCCCGCGTTGTTGAAGATGACGTCCAGACCGCCCCACGCGTCGACGTGGTCGACGGCGGCCTTGACCGAGGCCTCGGACGAGACGTCGACGATCTTGCTCTCGATCACAGCGCCGGCGGGAGACAGCTCCTTCGCCTTCGCCAAGCCCTTCTCGAGCGCCGGGCCGGAGATGTCGCACATCAGGACCTTGGCGCCCTCGCGGGCGAACAGGATGGTGGTCTCGAGACCGATGCCACTGGGATCATGTAAGAAAATATCCAGGAATGCATCTCAGACTGCGCGGGAAATGATTTTTAAGGGGAGCTTCAGGAATCATTGAGATATCAGGTGAGATGTATCAAGCTGGCGACTGCCGGTGAAATGCTTGTTTTCACCAGTTTTGGTGATTGATTTCATCTCAAAAAGCGGCAAATCCACCTCAGGAATGCTTTGGTGGTACAAGGTAGCGGGGTAGGAGTATTGAGACATGGAGCTTACCCAGCAGCACCGGTGACGATGCAGTTCTTGCCAGCGAGGCGACCCTGGGAGCTGCTCATTGTGAAGATGGCTCTGTTGAAGGGCTTGGAGAGGATTGGAGAGATGTGGCCTTGGAAAGGTTGGTCGTGAGAGAGTGCTTTAACTGGGAGACGTCAGAGAAAAGCTGCCCCGCGATGGCACAGAGCACCTGGTGTCGGGCCGAGTGACAGCAAGCGGCGTGAGTGGCGGGTCCGCCTGGCGGTGGGATGTCCGGGGCCGCTGACTCACGGGCTATGTAATGTCGGATAGGATCGCTTTCAACCGTGAGAGCTCACGATGCTGGCGGGGCGTCAATCGCGGGGTGGAGACGAGGGGACGGAGCGCGTATGACAATCGTGACACTGGTGCGTCCAGTATTGTTTGTGCTGCGATGCGGGCATTTGTCCGATAACGGCGAGTGCGCTGGTGAGGCCAGATAAGCTCTCGACCTAGCGGGAACGGGCCCAGCGATGCCGTAATTCGACGCTTCTGGAAATTGTTCCCTGCTCCGTCCACGAATTACGGCATCCGTATAGGTTGGCATAGCGTAATGGCCCTGAGTAGTAGCTTTGCCCTGCGGCTGCTGTGAGTCCTTGCCGGTGCAGCCATGAGCGCTGCGTAGATGAACCGTCCAAAAGTATCCGTAGCTCTTCCGTCAGCAGCCAAGCTGAGCAGTCTGTGCAATGAGGTGTGAAGCCGGAAGCTAAGATAGAGGATGCTGGCCGCGCAGGGCTGAGCTGCACAGGCGGTGCGGCTCGGAATGCCGCGCCCGGCGGAGGTGTGGCTGAGGCTCGCGGGAGTGATCATCGGCTATCTCTGATATCGCTGGCTGGACGCCTGTTCGCGTCCTTATCCTGCACCCCACCAACTGCCGCGCCCATGCCCGCCCTCTAGCTCACCGACCACCTCCGCAGCCGCGCCTGCTCTCCCCATAACATCCGCTCACGCGACACGGCCCCGAGCTTCTTCAACAGTCGCCCACAATGTCGTCGCCGCAGCCCTCCGAAATCACCGTCGCGAGCTTGCCCGAGCTGCTCAAGGATGACGCCGCCGTCAAGGTCGGCGGTATTGACGTCGATGGCATTCTGCGCGGCAAGCTGATGGCCAAGTCCAAGTTCCTCTCCATCGCTGAGGCTGGCTTCGGCTTCTGCTCCGTCATCTTTGGCTGGGACATGCACGACCAGACCTACTTCAAGGAGCTCAAGATCAGCAACGCCGAGAATGGCTACCGCGACGTCATTGCCGTGCCCGACCTCTCGTCCTACAGGCGCATCCCCTGGGAGAACAATGTGCCCTTCTTCCTCGTTAGCTTCTTTGATCCCGACACCAAGGAGAGCATAAGCGCCTGCCCCAGGTCGCTGCTGCAGAGGACGGTCGATAAGCTGAAGGCGCAGGGAATGGGTGCCATGGCCGGAGGTAAGGTTATGCCTATGGCTGTCGACTGGCACTACATGCGCATCGAGCTTGCGCCCAAGTGATGTACAATTCCGTGGTGCTAATTGCTTGATGTGTAGCCGAGTACGAATTCTACCAGTTCAAGGCCCCCGTCTCCCAGGACACCAGCGAACGCAATTCCTCCTCGACCGCCGCATTTCTGAGGGACAACCCTACCCATCAGTTGCCTGCCCTGACCGAGGGTATGTTTGGTTACAGCTTGACCAGGCCAGTGCACAACCAGGAATACTACTATGGCATCTTCGACGCCTGCGCCAATTTCAGATGCGGCATCGAAGGCTGGCATACCGAGAGTGGGCCGGGTGTTTTTGAGGCTGTAAGCATCCAAAGTGACGTTTGAAAAGCCGTTGACTCTAATTCAGAGCTAGGCGCTCGAGTTCGGCGAGATTAGAGAAATGGCCGACAAGGCCGCGCTTTTCAAGTATGTGCTCCTGGCGGAATCTAGTAAACGGCTGCAGGCTAACTAGCTATCTCAGGCTCACCGTCAAGTCCCTCGGCTCCAAGTTCGGCATAACGCCCTGCTTCATGGCAAAGCCGCGCTCTGGTCTCCCGGGCAACAGCGGCCACATGCACGTCTCGCTGGTCGACGAGAGCGGCACGAACCTCTTCTACCGTGGTTCTGAGGACCCCAACCCTCCGTTCCCGGATGTGCGGTACCTGTCAGATCTCGGCCGGCACTTCTTGGCGGGTCTCCTCGAAGGCCTGCCCGACATCATGCCCATCGTAGCGCCCACGATCAACAGCTACAAGCGTCTCGTCGAGAACTTCTGGGCGCCTGTGACTGTCTCGTGGGGCCTGGAGCACCGCGCTGCCTCGATCCGCCTCATCACCCCTCCCACCGCGAGCCCCAAGGCCTGCAGGTTCGAGGTTCGCGTTCCTGGCGCCGATACCAACCCTCATCTCGTACTCGCAGCCATCCTTGCACTGGGCTGGCGTGGTGTCGAGAAGAAGTTGGAGCTCACCCTGCCGCCGCTCGGCAAGGGCCAGAACGTCGGCGGCGTAGAAGACAAGGGCCAGAGGCTGGCGAAGAGCTTAAAGGACGCCACGGCCACCATGGCCAGGCCCGGCAGCGTCGCCAGGGAGGCATTGGGCGATGAGTTCGTGGAACACTTCTGTGGCACGAGGGAGCATGAGATCAGGCTGTGGGATGAGGCGGTCACTGATTGGGAGTTCAGGAGGTACATTGAGACGGTCTAGACGCGTGTCGTCCTTGTAAAGCGTTTTTGTTTTATGTTCCGTCTGGCTCGATGTTTTGAAGCAGATGCCGCTGCTTTTTGCTACTGCGGCTCCGAATGTTTTGTCTTGATATCCCCTATCAACGATTTTTCCTGTAGGACAGTCGATGGAACTGTCTTGCGCCATTGGCCAGGAATGAGAACAATTGCCTTGCATTCTCGGGGATCGAACTGGTCGGAATAGTATGGCTACGCCACAGCTGTTCGAAAGATGATGTAACCTTTTCGGTGGGGCACACTAACATGGATCTTGCATCTTGCAGCAGCACCACCACCTTCCTCCCGGTACACGCGGGGTTCTTGTCGATCACGCTGCAAGCTTGTTCGCTTCTATCCTATTCTCCGAGACCTGAAAAGACAAGCTTCGCCAAGGACAAGATGGGTATCCACATCTCCGATAGGCCATGCGATGATCCCGCGTGGTTAGTAAGGGAGAACAGGTGGCCAGTGTTGACAGGAGCAGATGGACGGGTAAGATGCCCGACGAGATCGCACGCACTGAACAACTCGGCCGTATGCTGTGGCATTACCGATCTTTGGCTGCTTTACTCTTTCCCAGAAGTTCAGCGAGGATTACCAGGATGAGATCCTTATTTCTTTGCATTGCCCGGTCTTTGAGGCACTGAGTTACGATTGGTCCATGGCCTCGATGAGCTAGCCAAGATACTGCGCCATTCCAAGAGGTGTTTCCTACATACCAAACTGTATTTGCAGAAGCAACTATCAAGCAAGAAGCCTATAACTTCTTTATTCGACCTGCTACACTGCGTGTTTTCCAAGCCCGTTGCGCTACTGGACAGTCTCAAATCAAAGATGATCAGTCTCAATGACAATATGGGTAAACAATACCAAGGCTTTACGGCCAAACTCCTCGTCACAAATTTCGGTCTGGCTGACAACGTGAAAGCGAGATATCAAGCTACAGGATGCGATCGAAAGTAGGTGGTTGAAGTGTTGGAGGGGTAGTTGGTTTGGTTTAAGCGGGCGGACCGGGCTGCTCCCTGTTCAATTCCTGAATTGACTTCCAGGCACAATGCAACTAAAGCATATGCAGCGAATGAAAGCTCCAGAAGCTATCACGGCCCCTAATACACTATTACTAACAAGGTCTTCTTTAAGATCTTCAAGGAAGGCAACATGGAAAATGATGTCATTGCTGACAAGCTTACTTTTTGTTAATTGGCTAAATTCAATCTTACCTCAGCACCAAGAGCCTTAAAACTCTCAAACCCTCCGGAAATATTGATGCTTGGAAGTAACAAAACTTGGGAAAATGGAAGACGTGTAAGTTTCAATGTATCCTATACAGTAAATCGCATTTCTTGACCATACGCAGAGCAGCGGAAATCGTCCTCTTTCCAGAGACAGATGAAATTGCTCCTCTTGTCCGCGAGAAAGCTATTGAAGTAATTTCCCTCTAATACGAATGTTGCAGATTTCTCACAGATTATTAGGAATGCATAGATGTGTGGAGGAAAGGCCAAGAAATCAAGGATTTCCCGCCCCTCTGGGGTGATGAGGTTCAATTGAGCGCTCAATAATACTGGACACGGAGCTGACAAGCTAAAAGATTGAATACACGCTTTTGGAACTGGACGAGTCCACAAGGAAAGTGAAGTTTTGTCTGAAGGCGGACGAAGTCTTCGAGCAACTGCAGACTTCAGCAGAAGCCGGAGCCGGAGCTTACACGCAAGAGCTGGGAGGATTTCAGATAGAGTCGAAACCCGCGAAACCTTTCGACAGCAGCGCGAAATCTCTACTATCCGTAGAGCAGGACATGGTCGCAAGGTAGCCTCTTCCTCCTCCATCCCCCCTTGAACCCACCCACCTTCTTAACCAGACCTCTTGCCAACCAGGAGAGCCGCTATCGCCGCGCGCCTCGGCCGCCCTGGCAACAACGCCCTCCTCCCCTTCACCATCACCACCTTCCCCCGCTTCGGCACCCACTCCGACGTCCTCGCCTCCCTCACAACCAGCCCCGCCCTCCTCGCCGCCCCCTCCCGCTACCGCGCCGTCCAGCACCACATCACCACCCGCCGCCGCGGCGCCACCATCCCCCCCATTACCGTCCCCCTCTTCCTCGACCGCAACACCTTCTCCTCCCCCGACGCCCTCCCGCCCTTCATCGTCCCCACCAGCGTCGAAGGCGATGGCAGCAGCAGCAACAGCGGCGCCAACATCACCTTCCACCCCTCCGAAATGCTCCTCGGCGCCACGCAATGCTGCCTCCAATGCACGCTGCAAGCCGCCTCGGCGTCGGCAGCGCTCCGCCTGCACGACCGCGCTCTCGCGCCGCTGGGGCCGCTCATGCTGGCGCTCAGCGCCGCTGCGCCTGCTTACCGCGGATACCTCGCTGACACGGATGTGCGCTGGGATGTGCTGAGGCAGCTCGTCGATGATCGGGATGAGGGGGAGCGGCGGGCGCAGGGGAGGTATGGGGCGAGGTATGGGGTTGGGGAGGTGTGGTTGACGGAGTTGGGGCTGGGTGGGGAGGAGGGGGAGAAGGAGGAGGAGGGATGGGGGTTGGAGGGGCTGAGGGTGGATGAGGGGGTGGTGGGGAGGTTGGTGCGGGGCGGGGTGGAGGAAGGCGTGGCGAGGTATTATGCTGGGGCGTTGGGGCGGCCGTTGTTTGTGTATCTGAGGGCGTTTGCGGATGCGTTGCGCGAGGACGCTGATGGTGGTGAGGGAGGAGAGATGCGTGGAGGAGGTGGTGGGAAGGTCCCGCCCAATGCCAACTTCGAGGCCATGCACAAGGCTTTCTTCCCGCACGTTAAGCTCAAGCATCCTACCGCTGAGGGTGAGGGCTGGCGCGTCGAGTTTCGGCCCATGGACGTGCAGCTGTCGGACTTTGAGAACGCGGCGTACGTCGTCTTCGTGGTGCTCGCGGCGCGGGCGGTGGAGCGGTTTGGCGTCGATTGGCGCGTTCCGCTGGGAAAGGTGTGGGAGAACTTCGACCGCGCGCACCCCCGGGATGCGGTCAGGTGGCAGCGTTTTTGGTGGAGGGTAGGGGATGGTGGCGACGACAGGGTGAATGGGGTGGAAGGGAAGCGGCCCAATGTTGCGCTGCTGACTGCTGATGAGATTGTTAACGGCTGCCAGTCTTTCAAGGGGATTTTGGCACTCGTGGAGGATTACATGACGGAAGAAGGCTTTACTCTCGAAGAGCAGGAGCAGCTGCGACCGTACCTGGACTTGGTTGGTGGCAGAGCCAGCGGCAGGCTTCGCACTGCGGCGCGGTTCATCCGAGATTTTGTGATGCAACATCCTGAATATGCCCGGGACAGCCAGATTACTGAAGGTATCTGCTTCGATTTGCTTCAGGAAATTAGGAGAATGGTAGATGGAAAACGGGGTAATGCGATGTTTACTTGACGCTTTCAGCTCCATCACAGTATTTCAAACTGGTCTATATGACAGCTCCCTCCCTCATTTACTCCTAAAGAGATGTCGATTTAGCTACTACAGCTTGTAGTTGATGTGATTGATGAGATGTATCGTGATACTTGGAATGGTATTAAGGCTTACACACAAATGTAAGACGTGATCAGCGCACTAGACGCGTTGCACAACTAAATCAACGCCAGGGAGCACGTATGTAGGCTGCCTCCATCAATTACATACATAAAATAGATAGACTGTGTCAAAACAAAAACACCAGCTTTTTGAGCCAATCATGTACTGATAATTAGCAGCCGGCGCCTGTAATTAGCATGAGCCGTCACTTGGCGTCTCGTTCTGGAGAGCCTTGTAGCTACAGGGGGATATTGCAGCCGACGGTTACCATGAAGAGCAGTAAGTCCTAGGGCCTAACTATGCCTACACTCTCTCTCGGGAAAATGGCATATGTGGGCAGTTGAAGCTATCGTCTGGACGGTAGCTTAACTAGCCTTGACATGAGCAAAAAACAAATCTACACTAGCCATCAGCTGCGGAAGGGGACTGTAGCTGACCACTTACAGATCGGCACGCCTAAAAATACGTAGCACTCAAAACTCGGCAAAGCCTTGTGGTTGGGCAAACGGTCCTATTAGGAAGCGCCACAGTGTGAAAAGGTGGGCTCTGGTGGGGCGCAGCAGCCCAGTGCTCTGAACGAGGCTATGCCTTAGCTCCACCTTTCAGCTGCCTTCAGCATTGCCTTCAGCCTTGCCTTCAGCGCAAACAATATATTTATTGTTGCCAGAACCCCCAGAAATACCCCCCAAGCCTCTTACTTTTGGGGAGCGGGTGCTTCCAGTTCCAATTATGGCACCACAGCCGACCATCAAGTAAGTCACAGCAGTCCGCACTTGTCCTTCTCACCGTACTGACCATCTTAGTGCGGAGCTTGAAAGGGCTATCGAGGCTGCGAAAGAGTCCTTCTCGCGTCTTCCAGATGGGGATGAGATCTTTCAGAAATGCAAGACTGGACAGCTTTCTATTCTCGACGTCGTCAAGGCTGCCCAAGGATCATTTAGGAACAAAAAATCGACCGAGCGGCTGGAAAGCCTAGAGAAACACGTTGCGTGGCTCCAAGGCCTTTCAAGTGTCATTGACGCCGCCGTTCAGACGAAAGCCGATTTAATGTGCCCCGTATGGGCGCCCATTAAGTTTGTTTTGAAGGTCTCCAATGACCATTCCCGCACAACGGACCAAATCCTCCTGATGCTCGACACCATAGTAGAAGGCATGGGCCACGCTAGCTTGTACAAGGATCTTGAGTCGGATGCAGACATCGACACTGCCCTGTTGGCCCTCTTCAAGGATGTTGTTGATTATTGCATTCAAGCCACGGAGTTCTTTGGGCGGTCGTCATTTAGTAAGAATCTCCCAACGAAGCCATGTACCTCGCTGACTGTTTCAACCAGAGCGACTTGCAAGTATGTTAGCCAAGCCATACAAGTACGGGTTCTCCCAGATGCGAGATAGGATTCGAGAGCATACCACACATTTGCACCGTCTCGTCATAGAGAAAGAAGCCATCCGTGCGGCACAGGCTAGAGAGGGTGAGTGACTACCTCTTGTATTAGCTTTTGCTTTTCTAATAATTATGTAGAAGATCGAAAATTCCGCTGCCAGACGTGGCTCCGGCCGTGCAGCATGAACAAAGTCCACGAGAGACACATCAGAACTCGAATCTCCGGCACATGCGAATGGATACAGAGCAATCAAATCTTCTTGGATTGGAAAACCACACCCTCTACAACGGCCTCGGAGAACATGCTCTGTATCTCTGGTGTTCACGGGTGTGGGAAATCCGTACTTGCTTCTGCAATTTTCGAAGGCCTGAAGGCGGAGAGGCATAACGCCATACTCTTCTCGTTCTCCACCACCGACGCGGACAGGCAGACTAAGGATTCTGTTGCACGCTTTCTGTTATCACGCCTGCTTAGCCGAGGTCTCCGAGAGTCAGTCCACAGCATCCACGCCATGCTCAGTGACGAGGAACACCCAAGCACCCCGCAGTTGTGGGAACTCCTCCAAGATTTAGTGCGGCAAGAAACGCAACCCACTTTCTACATTTTCGATGGCTTAGACGAGGCCTCAGACGATCGTCAAGACATTGTCGATGGTATGCTCAAAATTCTTGAGCAGTGTCTGGAGAGCAAATGTCTTTTTCTTGGGCGACCGCAAGCATTCGACAATATCCCGGAGCTGGCAACCTCATGCAGTCGACGGATTGAAATGAATCAGACCCTCACGCAGCCTGATATTGAGGTTTTCATTGACACGAACATCAAGAAACTCGACACTCTTCAGAGCCAAGGTCTGCGCGCCCACGCATCTGAGATCTTGAAGAGAAATTGCGGGAGTATGTTTCTTTGGGCAGATCTCATGATCAAAAACCTTGCGCATGCTTATAGTAAGCACGATATCATGGAAAAACTTGGAAATCTTCCACGAGACTTGGAAGCAGCATATCAACAGATCTTCTCACGCCTGAAGGTACAACTGGATCCAAATGAGCAGCTGCTACTTCGCAACATCTTGACTTTGGTTGTGACTGCTCGCCGCCAATTGAGTCCTCTGGAGCTTTCATGGGCCCATGCTTTGCGGGTCTCTTCAGATCTGAACGGAAAAGTTCCTGTTCAGGAATGTCTTCTCGACAACCCAGAAAAGCGCATATTGCACGTCGGTAGAGACTTCTTCAGTATCTACGATGACCGAGTGCACCTGAACCACTCTTCAATCAAAGACTTTCTCACAAGAAGCCATTTTTGCGAGCAATCTCACACCGACACGGACCTCGAGAAGTTTCGCATTGACCTAAAAAGCTCAAATGCACTTCTTGCAAAGCTTTGTCTTGATTACTTGGACATGGAAGACCATGGATTTCCCATAAGAGAACCAGACACTCTCGACAATCTCAGGAAGTTGCATCCGTTCATGGCATACGCATCCCACAATTTCCTTTTCCATGCACGGAGCCCAGGATTAGGCCTTTCTGGAATGGAAGATAAGCTACGGTCGCTGTTCAGCTCAACCCGGGTGATTTCCTGGCTCGATCACCTGATGATTGTTTGGAGCGAAGCCAATTTCGACCCGTATTTTTGGCTGATAGACTCAACGCCCACTGCCAGCAAGGATGATGGAGCATTTAGAGGGCTCATTGAAATCCTCTATGACCAAGCAAACCAAGAACTGGCTTTCCGATCGAAAGAATTCGGGGATGATGATGCACGAACTGAGCACCTCAGAACTTTGATGCCATTTCTGAATTTTGCCATGGGCAGTCCACTAGATCTGAAAGTCTTCTGGGACATCAAATACGCTGATAAAGAACCAGCGAGTGGAGACGCTTCAACATCTTCTGCCAGTCACTCGCCAAATACTGTTGCTGCTGCACACGCTATCACAATTCTCGAAAATGCTAAAGCCATCAACCCTCAACGCCAAGTTTCCATAATATTGGGAATCCTCTCTCGGATGCGAAGGAATTTCCTCGATCCGCTCCATGTGCTTTACAAGCTGGTCCTCAGCAAGGCACTCTCGCTTCCTGTGTACGCGGTTCTTGGTATCAGCCTGCTCTACTTCAATAATGGCAGGCACGAGCAATCATTCCAGATTTGTTCAAGAATATTGCCTCGCATTGAAGGCAGCAGCACGCGTGAAGCAAGCTGGACATACCTACTAATTGGTTGCTGCTTGTGTTGTCTTGACCGGGAAGACGAAGCGATCCCTTACTTAGTTCGTGGTTCGGGAAGATCGGAACCAACTCCCGATGTCACTAGATTCTTTCTCGGACACGCATTCCACAAGTTATCTCGGATTGAAGAAGGTGTATCTACACTGCGATCAGTAATGGAAAAAGACAAAAGAAGATACGGCGACACGCACGAATGTATGGTCTACAGTGGATACTGGCTAGGCCGCCTATTGGAATATCAAGATGAGCACGAGGAATCCCTCGCATGTTATCGCCATGCACTTCAGGTCTTCATCAAGAACCAGAAAAGATCCTTTCCACACTTGATCCAATCACTGCTAGAAAACATACGGAGGCAGCTTCATCAATCGGGTCGTTACCAAGAAGCGATTTCTTGGTCGAATGAGAATTATATGGATATTCTTGAAAGATATCCCAAATGGTTCCAAGCCAGCGCAAACTGTTCATTGGGTTTGTCGTATTTCTGTGCGAGCGACAAAGATGAGAGCCTCCTTCCACACGCGCTAAATTGCTTCGAGAAGGCATATTTAGCAGAAAGAGAATGCCAAGGAAAGCTGGTTTCAGGAAACATCCTTAATGATCTCCGATCCCTCAACAGATTCACATCATATCAGGACTACATAGAGTACGTCAGGCTCTTGGGAAAAGCGTGGGGTTTCCATAGTGGGGATGGTTTATCGGATACAAAACAGGAGCTTGTGTGTTTTCGGGAGGCGCTTGATCTTTTAGTTCGGAATAGAATGAGTTCAGAAGAGGGAGAGGAAGAGGAATCGGAAGAGGAATCGGAAGAGGAATCGGAAGAGGAAGATATTTAGTCTGTCTGGAAGGCATGCGCCAAGTTGTTGTTTAGATTTTTCACAAAGGATGGGTTTGTCTACTTTGTTTTGCTTATCTAGATATCTGGACAGTCCTCTTCCAATCTCATTGCACTTATCCACTCAGTCGTCTATCTTCCGCTGGTCATGGCCCGATCGAGGGATATAAATACCGACACAATCACATGCGTGCATGCAAACCCTCCTCCACGCACACCTCCTGAGCGTAAACCACTTAAGAATTTGAATCAAAACGCAATTCCATTTTCCAATCCTGCCCTCATTATTCCAATCCTCTTTGCCAAGCCGCCTTCGTTTTTTTCTCTCTTTCTTCCCTCCTATCTTTCCCGCCCTTTTCTTCTTTCTATCTCTCTCTATCTCTCTCTCTTTCTCTTTTCACCACCCAAACCCCTCAACATGACACCACACGCCCTGCGCCCCAGTCCCTCTATGCACAGCCCTCTCATCGCTAAGCCGGACGACAGCAGCGCGCACGTCGCAAGCCAGGGCGGGAGGCCCGCACACGACGACAGCCGTCTCGCCGAGGGCGCGCTCGAGCACGCGGCGGGTGATGGATTCCGGATGCGGGCGGCCAGAGAGAAGGGAGACGGCGGGGTGGATATGCGGTTGTAACAATGATGGCACTGGCGGCGGTGTGGATGGCCGATATGGGTTTCTGGTGGAGGTGAAGGACGGGGATGGTTGGAGCTGACGTGGCGGTTGTTTGCTGCTGTTGTTGGCGTTGTTGCAGCAGGTGCAGATGACGGGTTGGATGGCGTCGGTGGGGGATTGTTGTGATGATGATATGCCTTCTGCTTCTTCGACGGTGGCCTGGCAGCAACACGTGCCCTCCACGCCGCAGGCTTCGTCTGCTGTTCCGGTCTCCAGCGCGGACTTGCGCTTTTCTTGCTCGTCTGATGAGTGGGTGGTAGAGGTGTCGCTGCTCCGGTCTTCGAGCTCGGTGATGCGGGTCCCGTCGTAGCTTCGTTTGAAAAAGGTCTTTTCGTTCAGGGGAGTGTTGAATATCGGCGTTGGTAGGGTGGGTGGTGTGGAAGGGGGTTTCATGCCGCCATCATCGCTGTAGGTAGTCTTACTATCGCCGGTGAATGAGGGGTCGCACGTCACATAAACACTCATGTCAACATCGAAGTCTATGCCAACTTCACGGAGCGCTGCCACTTCCTCGGCGACCTGCGACAGCTGCGCAGCGAACCAGCTACACTGACCGCGTGACTTGACAACCCAAACGAAACGGACGCGGCGGGTCACGACTCCTCCCATGCGCAAGAGTCTGGTTTCATAAGGCGATGCGCCCCTCCGGCTTCGTTGATGTTGGTTCTTCCAGTGCACCACAATGTCCCGGAGCAAAGGTACGGTGAATGTCGCGCCGGTGCTGCCGGCGAACAGCACCACGCTGTCGAACTGCCGGAGCGGGCGCAATCGTCCGTACGGTCCGTCGATTGCGACGGCCTTTCTCCGCGCTTCTTCCAGATGCACCTCTGCAGGTAATAGGCGCAGCTTCTCGGCGTGCCGGAAAAAGCGCGCTGTCGCGCCGCCTTCGCTCTTCACGTAAAATTCCATTTTTCCGTCTTCAGGGATGGATGCAATCGTGAACGGGTGGCTTTGCAGCGGAACGAGAGTGTGGCAGGATAGGAAGACATGTTGGCCGGGCATCCAGCTGATGGGTGGATTGTGAATAGTGATGCGGGTGGTGTTGTGGGGTAGAGGAGTGAAAGATGCTTCGCAGGCCCATAAGCGGGACGTTCGCCCCTCCTTACGCTGGAAGGGATGAAATATGGAGAAGTTGTTGTAAATAACCCAAATAGAGCGGACGAAGCGGTCAAAGCACACCAGCGCAATAGGGAGGATAATGTAAATTCGGACGTATAAGGGCCAGGAGTTGACATGCATATAGACGAAGGCGATGAAGACAGCCATGGATCCGAGATGCTGGAGGACAAAGAATTCATACGATAAACCGCGGATGGGCGCGACGGAACTGAAGACGATCCATAAAAGTAGGCACCATGAAATCAGGCCGTGCTGGGTGATTGGGTCAGTGGTGATTTTGCGGCCGATGTAGTTGTAGGGGGCCCAGTCGGCGAACCAGTAACCCATATGGATGGTAACGGTGAGGAGAAGGCATCGTGCTGTCCAACGGTGCAGCCAGTTCAAACGCTCGTAGCTCGAGCCAGTTAGCCATCCGATAATATTGTTTTTCCCGGCTAAGAGGAAAATTAGAGGGAGCTGGGCGATGGAGATGCAGCCCGTCCGGTAGCCGATGTCCTGAAATGACCATTGGTCGCTGAGGTCGAAATGGTAAAAGCACAGTACCAGGAGAGTGACAATGTTGGCTGCAACAATGCTCGTCCGACCAACGGTAGGCAAGTGGAAAGTGCGGCCCTTGATAGTAAGTGGAGAGAGAGTTGCATTGCTTGCCTCTCGGATGATGGCCGTTGCGGTTGCATTGACGCGCAATAAGAAGGCCTCAGGCTTGGCTGGTTTCGCATGGCCACGGCGAGCAGCAGACAATCTGTATGTGTTGCATCAGCACAAGGCCTTGGCTGAGCTTAATCCAAAACCGGAACTGACCTCTGCCGACAGATAAGGATGTTCCCAAAGTTGACGAGGGCGGCAATTCCGATGAAGGAGCCCACAACAGCCCAGTAGTACTGCATCAGAAAGTCGAGCGAGGGAACGCCGGGCACGCTGGACCCCATGTCCATGCCGCCCATATCCATGTCCATGTCCATCTTGGCGTGCTGCGGTATCAGAGCTCAGGGCGACAGGTACATGGTTCCGTGGGCGGGGAGTCGCGCGCAGAAAGGGCTTGTTGTGTAGGAGGAGAGATTGAGAAACGCGATAATAATATCAGTGGAATGCGGGTGGAATCTTGCGGGTGGCGCCCGGAGGCGGTCCAGCCCTTGGCTGTTTCAGCCAATCGCGCGGCCGAGAACTCCCTCAAACTCTCTCTGCAGTTCCGTTTGCCGCTTTTGGCCAGCAAGACACGAGCAAGCCTTCTGGACCTTGTGCCTCCACAGCCTTTATTCCTTCGCATTACCTGGCTGCGACTCGGAGAGCCGCACCTTCGTCTTCATCTTCCTGGGTGCCAGCCATCTGGGTAGTACGTGCGCAACATTCCGTCTCACTGCACAACCATCGCATGATAAAAAACCGCGACGCGTCCTGCTGGAATCCACCTGCCCAACAAAGTGAGCTATTTCAAAATCACGAACTCGCGAACGCCTCGAGAGACCAATTCAACCCGCCAACATGCAGAGACGTCACGACGATGGGACAGTGACCATGGAACTGGGCAGTCACAGCGGCCACAGCTCCAGCTCGAGCAGCAGCAGCAGCAGCACGATGTCTATGGTCTTCGCCAACGCCGTTAACACGCCGCTCTACACCAATTCCTTCACCCCGTCAACGATTGGCCAGTACGCGGGCATCTGCATCTTCCTCATCGTCCTGGCCGCCATCTTTCGCGGACTCTTTGCGGTGAAGCAGAAGCTCGAGGAGCGGTGGCTGACGCAGGCGCTTGAGCGGCGTTACATTGTGGTAGCAGACAAGCAGCCGGCGGCGGAGCGCATCGAGCGCGACGACAGCTCACGCAGCGCCGTGCTGACTGCGAACGGCGTCGAGGAGCGCGTCACCCTCGCTCACCGGCTCGGCGGCGGCTCCGTGCAGCCGTGGCGCTTCACTGTCGACCTACCGCGCGCGGCCGTGGTTACAGTCATCGTGGGCGTGGGCTACTTGCTGTAAGTTCCCTAGTTCGACACTCTGCTGTGGAATGCTAACCATGCCAGGATGCTCGCTGTGATGACGATGAATGTTGGCTATTTCCTATCCGTCCTCGGTGGCACCTTCCTGGGAGAGTTAGCGTTTGGGCGATACTCGCAGGCACCCGACCACCACTGAACCTTTGGCAAAGTGACTTTTGGCGTTACGAGTTACTCCAGATCAGACTTTGCAACTGGAAGAGCCACCTGTTATCTATTTTTAATCGGCATTGCAATCGGTCGCACAGCTTCCCCCCTCGCACATATGTTTCGCATGATCAATGCGTAAAGTAATTGGGACGCAGTCTTGAAATCGCAGAGAAAGATAGTGGTCGGGCGGCTTTCGGCGCTGGTTGTGAGAGCGGGCTGGGCCGTCTCCACATGCAGCCAAACAAGCTCATCCTTTCTCCGCAAAAGCTGACCTACGTGCAGCCCATTCCTCTTCCAGTCTAGTCTTTCCGATAATCTGCTCAATTGCGCGCATCCTACCACCCAACATCCCACTTAGAATTCACCACCCGCCTTCATCCAGACCACAAAACGCTCCGTCGCGTCGCACCACGGTACATGTCGACCAAAGTGGCGCCCGCAACGCACGGCTGATGCGGCTCGCTGCTCGCGCCTACCATCTGCAAGCGCCACCGGAAGTGCCGCGTTGAACGTCTCAAACATGCGCGACCTACGCGAGCTGCGATATTCGGCGTCTGGATCGTGCCTGCCGATTCGTGCCTCTCCACTTCTTTCTATAAAGCTTCCCGCGTGAGACGGAGTTAATCACCCAAGCTCTCATCCTCAAGCTTATCCTTTGCCCTGTGAAACCTTGCCCAGCCGTGGCCCAAGCTCCTTCTGTTTACACGCCCTCCTCGAAAACACTTCCCATTGCCTGCTTCTACCACCTTCCAAACGCCGTGAAAGCTGCCGCAAAGTCTAATTGACATCCTCGTCTTCCAATCCAGCTCCCTCACCAACGAGAACACCACATCGCCATGCTCTCCCACGCCCTCATCTTCAGCGCCTTCAGCGCCCTCGTCACCGCGCACTTCACCCTCGAATGGCCCACTGCCCGCGGCTTCGATGACGACAAGGAGCCCAACTTCCCCTGCGGCGGCTTCGACAGCGTCTCCAGCAACCGCACCTCGTTCCCGCTGTCCGGCGCGCCTATCCAGCTGAAGATGGGCCACACCGAGTCGAACGTGCAGGTGCTGCTGGCCGTGGGTAATGACCCGGGCAGCGCCTTCAACATCGAGCTGCGCCCGACGTTCCGCGAGCGCGGCCCCGATTCCTTCTGCATCGGCGGTCTCGACATCCCGGCTAGCGCGAACCTGACGGCCGGCATGAACGCGACGATCCAGGTCGTGACGAACGGCGATCCCAACGGTGGCCTGTACCAGGTACGTATAGCCAGCACAACAAATCGGCGGACTTCGTCCCTGTCCTGGTCGTCCAATACTCTCTCACCTTTTCACTCCCAACATCACTCTCGTACCTGTATCCTAGACGCGTCCCACTGACTGGAATCCACACAGTGCGCCGACGTCACCCTGACCAACCAGACCCTTTCGACCGACGAGTACAACTCTCACTGCACCAATAGCTCCGGCGTCACCTCCCAGACCATCTCTAACCCTCGCAATGCCAACGAGACAAGCGAGAGCTCTTCTGCCTCCGGCACCACGTCCTCCACCGCCGCCAGCGCTACTGCCTCGAAGGGTGCGGCTTCTGGTGACCTTGGCTCGTGGAGCGGTGTCTGGGCGTTGGGCGCCGCGGCCGTTGGCGGTGCTGCCGCATTGTTGTAAGGGTGGGAACCGATAGCCTTTCTGCGATGTTGAGAGCAAGGGAGGGGCGAGATAATTAAGGATAAAAGATATACCCACGGATGACTTCCTTTGGCGGGATGGAAAGCGAGGAGATAGAAAACAAAAAGACATGTAAGGGAGAAAAGGGAGACAAGGAGCCAAGGGCTGAAAGGAAGATCAGGACAAACACCCTCAACGGCTGAGACTATCTCCATAGGTGATTAGAAGAGGTCCAAATTCAATGGCATGCCCTAAAGCCAGAATATCTACCCCATTCGAGGAAATGGTGATCACATATGGTCATACTAGACTCCACATGTTGACTCCAAGCGCTATAGAAAACCTCGCTTGAGTCTAGTACACGCTAGAGAATGCAAGGATACTGTAGTGAAATTACACATCTCTCACGGCATTAGCATCTCGTGTTGTCGTGATGACGTCTCTCGGCTCGTTAGTCGTCTTGTCTCACTGCGCGTTGCTCCAGAGTGAGGCACTGTCCTACCCATCTGAGAAATAAGCCCCATTGCGCGTCATAATCTGTGTCCAACTCTCTCTGTCACCCGCTATTCAGTCACAAGGCTCTCGAATTATCCGCCAGCAGCGTTATTAAACTGCATTCAGCTCGCCGTGCATCCAACACGCTGCCTGCACCGCTTCGCGATCTTCCAAGACGCCCAAACCTAGCTTCTCTACAGGTTTTTGCAACGGAAAAAGCGGTTCAGTATCTAGCGGGCTGTTCATCGTGAGTGGAATATCGTTGATCCTACTTGTCCATACCGTCCATCCGACGAAAAGCCGTTCTCAACAACACCGAGTCTTTCAAACCTTACTCAATGCCACGGGGGATGAATCAACAACAGAGCCTGCGCAGGTTTGCAAAAGATGTTAGAAATGCAGCAGCCCATCCTAAGGCTCTTGGAAATGTCAATCCTGCCCCGCCGCGAAGATGATCGTCTCCAGGTGTGCGTTGGAATCACTTCCTCACATCCGACGTAAACACGCCCACGCGTCCGAGAACGAGATGTCGGCCATTACAGGTACCGGCACCGCTAAAATAAAGCAGATGCGATCTGCCAGTGAGGGTGGCGGCCCAGGGTTCTATTTATATATTTGAGTCTTCGACCCTCACTTCATTGACCCGGCCAAGAATACCAGTAACGAGTGGGGAGTTGACGCAGACGCCCTCCCTGCTTAAGCTGTGACTTGGCCGCCACACGCGAGGGTGGGGTACGGTCGGGTTTGGGTGTAACGGGAAAAAACAGGCGGTCCTCGAAGAGCCTGTTTCTGTGCCTACGGGCATAGTTTTTTGTCTCCGACGAGGCGCTTCCTTAACTTATGGTAGTAGATAGATATTTATTTTTAGCACGCCTGTATGTAGCGATCCGACTACCAACACAATTGAATTGACTGGCTTTTGCAAAATGCTTTTTGTCGTGCGTGATCTCGAATGAAAGGCCAGCGGTTCCCTCATTGTTTGTAGACTCCGCCCTCTCACTTCGACGTCCCATTTGCCGTCTATTCAGCTCATGTTTTTAGAGCCTACCCGCGCTTCTTTCTCTCCGACGCGCGCTGCGCCAACTCGCTTACCATACACGTGCGCTTCAATTTTCAGTCGAGGTAGCCATTTCTCTACCCGCACGTTCACCTGGTAGGACGCCTCTTTCGGCGTTTGCCTAACAACACTGGACAACCCGCCACCCTCATGCCCTAACTAACCTTTCTGAAATACCGCCTTCCATCTTTTGCCACCCAGCGCGCTATAGACTACTATGCCTTGATTTTCTCCAACAATCCCCTCTGCCTTCACTTCAACATAATTTGCTTAGTCCCGATGTCACAAAGCGCGCACCACCATCAGTCACCTCCACGATCCAGAAGAACTTTCCTTCGTATGCATGTTGAATTTGACATCATTGATTATTCAGCCTACAAGCGCTATAGTCCGCTCGTCAATATATCCTACTACTCGGAACTTGCGATTTTTCAACCAGTGCCATACCCTTCTCTCTGCACGCGTATGCATCCAATACATCCATCTCTGATATCCACGCTCACTTCAGGCCGCTGAAAAAAACCGGAAACGAAAAGAAGAGCTCATTCCAATAACGCCACCCACCATCGCCATGCAAAAGTTCCCGATATCCTCCTCCCTCCACATCTTAAGTCGGCACCTCACTCAAATCATCCCACTCAACACCAAATCCCTACTACTCCACCCGATCCAAACCCCAAACTCCTTCGTCCCGCCGCCGACGGTCGGCATGACCCAGTTCTGCCGCCTGACGTCCCAATAGCTCAGATCCCTGCGGGTGATGGCGAAGCTGGCGCGCAGCTCGGAGCCGGGCTCGCCGGCGGGGGCGAGGGAGAGCTTCTCGAAGCCGCGCAGCACGCGGACGGGGAAGTCGATGACCTGCAGCTGCGCGATGACGGCCGGGTCGTGCATGTCTAGAGGCAGGTCGAAAGGCGGGCGCGTGGTGTTCGTAGCATGATGCGGGTCGCTGACGTTGGTCGTTAGGAATGGGCTTGTAATCTTGCCGTCGTCGCTGATGATGCCTTCGTCTACGACCGGCTTCTTTCCTGTTGATGCTTTGTCGTCGGTCTTGGTGGTGGTGGTGATGTTGGCCTTCGTGTAGCCCTTCCCGAAGACCGACGGGTTCTCCGGGTCCGACCAGCTTTCCGGGTACGAGATGTACAGCTGCGGCACTGCGTGGCCGCGGATAGGACTCAGGTTCTTGATTGTAAACGACACGTTTGCGACGTACGTGTACAGGTCTGGGTTACCGCCCGGCCCGCCGCCTGCTTCCGACGGCTCCGCTTGCAGCTTTGGGTCGGTAAGCGCTGGCGGCCATGCCTTATCCGGGGTACCGGGGTTCTTCGTGCCGCTGAGGCTCGTCAGGTACGGGTAGATGTACTTGCTGAGGCGGCGGAAGCCTGGCGGGAACAGCGCGTCCTCAGCCGGCCCTGGGTTGTTGTCATAGGTCGGCGGTGCGGGGAGAGTCTTCGAATCCGGGCGCGGAGCAGGCAGGAGTGTCTTCTTGGTCGGGTCGATGACTATCTGGAGCTCGGAGAGCTCGAAATCGCTATACGAAAGGCCGTAGCCGAATTCGTAGCGCGGCGTTAGGCCGACTTTGTCGAAGTAGCGGTAGTCGATGTAGAGACCCTCAGTGAAGTTTTGCTGCGGGACGACGGCGTTTGGGTAGTACATGACGTGGCTGTCCGGGCCGTAGTCGTCCTCATTCTTAGCAATCGTGTAAGGCAGGCGGCCGCTTGGGTTCACATCGCCGAAGATGACATCGGCGACGGCGTTGCCGCTCTCCTGTCCGGGCAAATGCGCGAGAAGAACGGACTTAATGTTAGGAATGTCGATCCAGTTTTCCAGGATGACGGGCCCAACGGCATGCACGACAACGATAACAGGGCTATCACCACCACCACACCTCTTGGCCACAGTCTTAACGAGATTGTCACCTCCCTTTTGCGTGTAAAGGTCGTTCCGGTCGCCCTTGATGCCCTCCCAGGAGATGAAACCCTCACCAGCATCGCTGTTAACGAACACAAAGCAAAGATCCTGCTCCTCAAGCGCACGCTGCTTTGTCTCAGGAATCTCGTTGGCGGGGTATTCATGGAGAAGAGTCATATCGATGTCGAATTGACGTTTAAGAGCCTGCAGCGGAGTGATGAGGTAAGGGAAGTCGGCAGCGCCGCTACCCCAACCCGAAGCCAGCGTACCTTTGTTGCAGCCACGGTCAGGGCAAGCGTTGCGACCATCGGGATTCCCAGTAGCATCCTCGCCGTAGACGCCGATGCGCATTTTGAAGTCGTCCTTGGTCGATATGAAGCCGCTCGCAATACTGTGGCCCTGGCGGGAAATGGGCAGAGTGTCGTCGTCATTCTTGACCAGCACAATACCCTCGGCAGCGATCCGGCGTGCCAACTCGCCATGTTCGCCGTCTTCCTGGACGTCCACAAACTTGTTGACCACGCCGGTAGTCTTGTCGTCGCTACCAGGATGCAGCAGTCCGATTTTCTCATCCGTCCAGGATGAGAAGTTAGGTCCGTCTTCAGGCCACCTCTCCTTGTTGTCCTGGCCGAGCTGGTACCAAGCCGCCACAATACGCGTAACCATGTCATTCAGGCGTTCCATCGGCACCGAGCCATTCAGTGCCGCCCTGGTCAGTTCCGGGCCCCACAGCGCCTTTCCATCCTGCCACCTCAGTCCGTCGCCGGGCATGCTCATATCCAAGCCGGCCAGCGCGCTCGCAACACCGCTGCGCTGGGCCAGCCAGTCCGACTGGATGAATCCTTGGAAGCCGAGCTCGTCCTTGAGCACGCCATTGAGCAGCTTGCTGTTCTGGCACGCGTACGAGTTGTTGACCTGATTGTACGAGCACATAACGCTGCCGACGCCCACACGCACGCTGTCCGCGAAAGGCCAGGCATAAACCTCGTGCAAAGTTCGGTCGTCGATATTGGACGAAATGGCATTGGGGGCGCCCCATTCGAAAGACTGGCGGAAATGTTCCTGCTCATTGCCAACCCAGTGCTTTGCCGTCGCAATAACGCCTTCGTCCTGGATTCCCTTGATCGTCCATGCCGCCGCCAGTCCCTGTAGCACCGGGTCTGCTCCAAAGCCCTCCCAATTGCGTCCGCCCGCCGGCAACCGGCCAAGCGGTCCCATGGCGGGGCCCAGCAGCACGTTGACACCCTTGCCCTTGGCCTCGCGCGCGTGCGCCTGTCCGCGCAGGTACATCAGCTCCTTGCTCCAGGTGGCGCCGACGGTGATGCCGGCGGGCCAGGCGGTGGCGTGGTCGACGAAGCGCAGGCCCAGCGGGCCGTCCTGCAGGCACAAGCTCGGGAAGCCCAGGCGCGGGACAGGGCCGGTGTTGCCCACGCACATCCCCATGGACCAGCCCACGCCCGTCGTCACGTTGACCTTCTCGGCCAGCGTCATGTTCGCCACCAGCGCGGCGGCGCGCGCGTACGCCTCGGCCCACACCGGGTCCGCCCCGCCGCGCGGCGACGGGTACCACGGCGGGCTCTGGCCCTCGAGCGGGCTGGACCGCCACGCCCACATGCCGCCGGCGCTCAGCAGCAGCAGCAGGGCGAAGACGAAGAGCAGCGGCAGCCAGCACCACAGGCGCTTGCGAGTGGGTATGCATGCCGAGACGAGGCGTGTCCACGGCCTGCGCGATGAGCCGCCGTTGCGCTGCTGCCACGAGCGGCCGGCGTAGGCGTCGGCGCCGATCTGCGACTCGGAGCGTGGGCGGCGTCTCCTCTTGCCCGTGTCGAGCGGTGTGCTCTCCTCGTTCAGCGGGTCGAATTCGTTCAGGTCGGCGTCGTCGTCGGACGAGAGGTAGGCGGCGTCGAGCGAGGGGCGCAGGTTGCTGCTGGCGGAGCCATTGCTGCGGTGTTTGCGGGGCGGAAAGTCGTCGTTGATGTCGACGGCCTTGTACTTGCCGCGGAGCTCGTAGTCGTCAGGCATTGTACCTTGGTGGAGTATAAAGCTAGAATTGTCAGAGGTCGGTCTCACGCGTGGGCGGCGTGAGGAGCTAAGGAAGGTGTCTGCATCGGCGCAGAGGCGGGAGGCAGTGAGAAAGTGCAAAAGTGAAGGAGGCGTTCGACCGGGGCGTCGATGTGTAAATGTGGATTAATTCTGGCATAGAGGCTCCTGGCTGGCACTGGGCGGCGTCGGTCCGCCCGCCTGAAACGCAGCTCGTGTGCATGCGGTCTTGGCAGCAGGCCTTCTTGGCAAAGGCTTGGTCCTCTAATTGACAGGAGGCAATCCTGCGCGTGCCTGCTTGTCGCCATTGATCGCGGAGCAGAAAAAAAGAGAGAGTCGCACCAAGAAGTTTGCTCGCCGCAGACGTGCAGTCAGCCTTAACCAGCCCTGTCCTGCGACGCTGAATCGAACGCCGCCCGCGGGTAGCCTCGAGGCCTCGCCTCCGCTTTCCCTCCCGCCACGGGGCCCCCTGCTCTCCCTGCCGATCCTTCGCCAGACAGGGCCCCCGACCGCCATCCCACACCATGTGTCTCCGGCTTCCATTGGACAGTGTTCTGGAAGTAAATCAATTCGCACACGCGTCGTCTGCCCCAGCGAGAGCCCGATAGCCTGTCATTCCCCTACAACGTATCCTTTCACGCCCCCGAGAATCCAAAGCCTTCAAATGTTTCCTCCACTCGAAACTTGTTCGAAACGCCGTCAGGCGGTCAAGGACGCAAGTGCTGATCATTGCGACGACACCACCAGCGCGGAACATCTGCTCCGTGACGTACAGTTGCAATGCCCCATACTTTTAGCCACGAAACGCGACAGGCCGGAGTCGCACGTGCCCCTTTAAAACAAAAAGTGCAAGGATTCCGGCTACGGAGGGAGCTTCTCCAAAATTACCCAATGAGGCAGGAGGTGGACGCAGAAGATCAGGGTGCACCAAAGGGGTGGACAGCGCCAAGCTCGGCTCCCAGTCCCTTTTTTCTTATCGTTAACAAGGAAACGCCAAGCACTTGGAGACCCCAAACGTGCCTTCAACGGTGTTTGTGGGGAACCCTGGGGCGTATGTACAAATATGGCTGGTAGATTGGCAGAGCGAGCACGCAATCCCGATCGACTGGGTGCCTGAAAGCATGGGGTTTGCAACCAACGTCCAACCGTCTCTTTTATATCACCCGCCGCACGTCGAGATTGCTGCATCGGCATGCAATTGATTCTTCTTTGTTTTGCAAGATTCGCTGGTGAGAGTACTGCTGTATTTGGATACTGTTGCCGCATATGGTATATCAAACCAACTTGGTGAGGCCGGAAACCAGCATTAAGCGGAAGGATCTTTATTAGAGGTTAGCAGCTCAAGGCATTGTTGTTAAAAACATCCATATTATTCAAGAGACCATTGCGAAGATGTTTGCTAACAAAGAGTCATGGATCGACGTGGAGGGGGCGAACAGGTTCTTTTGGCATAGGAAATAAGCTACGGTGTTGCTAACGTACACAGAACATTCCCGTTAAACACCAGCCACTTTGATGCAATCTGGGCCACTCCTGAACTTGAGTTGTGGAGAAGTCCAATCTTGCATGCGCCTCCGTTCCGCTATATTGCGGTTCGCTGTTTAGGTAGGTAGGCGAAACGAAGAAGAAGTTCCACAAAGAGCAACGGTGGAGACGAGTATACGTGGTCGAACCGTAACAATAATCGGTAAGCCGTTGGCCTTATAGTACATATGCCCGGAGGACAGCCTATCAGGTTGTATTGAATCACCACCACTTGTGCGGAAACCACCAAAGGTTTTTACCACAGAAGATGCAAGTTGGAAATCCATTGATCATCTGAGTGCAATGCAGGCTGGCGGGGTGCACAGGTCCGAAGTCTGCCTCTTGTCAAGTTTCCGATGTTTGATGATGGAAGTTGGGCGTTGAACACTGAGCGCCTTGAGCATTCGGAGCCCTATTGTGTAGGCTCCTACCTAGTTCTGCTAGCAGAAATTAGAGTAGGTAACTTCAACTGAACGGGAGATGCTAACCGACGAGCCCAAGAACCCCCACGCCGATGAGAACAAGGCCCACCACTCCGATGAGAACAATATCCCAAGTAAGAAAATTCGTGCGAGCGCTATTGGAAGCAGTTGAGTAGAGCTGAGTGTAGGTGAGAATCCCCGCGTCTTCCAGATCCTTGTCAATGTCAGGCAGTAGCTGGTCAGAACCTGAAGTCATTGCGAGGATGGTTGATGGAGAATTTGGTGTGGTAGTTGGCTTGGGACGGGAACGTTAAGATACAGAGCTGGTGCTGCGATAAAGCTTTTGGGCGGCCAGAGAAAACAGAGTGAAGGCTGCCGACCAAACGTTGTTTTACGGCAGGTTCGTTTCTACTGCCACTTCTTAAAGAGAATAGTCACCTTTATACTTTGGGCTTGTGCCCCGGCTTCAGCCGCTGCTCGGCTTCCCTTTTCCTCGTTCCATTTTGGCAGGTCCTGACCGCGCCTTGACGCAAGCCTCCGCAGCTATGGCATGGGCGGTTAACGCTCAAATCGGGAAGAGCGGACCTAGCTAAGGGTCAGAGCAATATGGTGCTCTCATGATAAAGTGGCTCGTTTGAGCATGATTCCTAGTCATCTAATTTGCAATTGAGGCTAATGCGATTCATTGAGAGCTCAACCAGCAGCTTGAGGCCTTCTAGCACGCGGGTCATCCAGGTGAGGCATCGTGCAGCGCAAGCTGGTGGCGGGAATGCAGCGTAGTGAAGTCGAGTTGGCTTGTGCAGGTAGAAATCGATCGAAAAACTGAAAAGCATAGCAAAATTAGAGCACGGTAGTTGTTATGGCGTTGAGCGTTGTGGCTGAAGAGACGTGTCACGAAAGTCGTGGCCATGTTCCATGTGGGGCAAGGGGCCTGCGCGCTTTGCATGACATGAGACACGACACAGTAGGCAAGACGACAGAACATCACCCACCGCCCCGCGCAATGTCTACTACCTCACTGCCCGTCAGACCGCCTCCTGCTTCAGCCAGTGGCGCTCGCCCAGTCATCACCTCCGACTTCTGGGATCTCTACAAGTCCTCCAAGCGAGATACTGGTTACGTGCTAGACTGGCTGCGTCGCACTGTCGAAAATGCAGCACGCACGAAGAAGTCCAAAACACCCATTGTCCCCATTGACGGCCGCTTGACCGTCCAAAACCTCCTCCAGGCCAGTGAGTTCGTCTCCAAGCGCCAAGTGACCGCTCCTCTGTACATCCGAGGTGCCTTTAAGCGCACTCTTGTCAAGCGTCGACAGATTACCGAGTGGTACCGTCAGCGGGAACGCATCGATCCGACTGTCAAGCCTGGAAATGAATCCCACGCCTTTTTCAACGATGCGTATGCCTCTGCGTTTCCAACCATGATCTTGAGCCATGTGCTGATCCTCAAACAGACTCGCCACAGCCTATGATTTGATGTTCCCTGACCAAGACGAGCCAGCGCCCGAAAAGCCCGCCGCTGCTAAGGATACATCCAAGCCGGCCGGAGATGACTCGCCGAAAGCCTCCAAAAACTTCTTCGACGTCCTCGCCAACATCCCTGAAGAGGAACCCGGTTCTCCCGTTCTCGAGCTCGCCGAGCGAGATGTCCCCGAAGATGTGCCCGAACCGATCGAGTACGTCTTCGTCGATGACCCGCTCGCCGAGATTCTGGACCTCCATCTCTACGTCCTGGAGATGGACGCCCTTGTGTCTGCCACCAAGCACTTCTGGAAGCTTTCTGCAAATGCCGAAATGCCCGTCCCACTTGCAGCTTGGTTGACCACGGCGGGATTTGCAGCAACGAAACGACTCTGCGATCTTGTCACCCCCGCCATTGGTGGCCATAGAGCCCTCCTTCACCACTATACCAGCAAGAGGGCCGACCTTGGAATAAGCGGCATTGACGTGTCCCAGGGTATGGTTGAGAAGACTGGTCAAAGCCCCATCTACAAGGAATTCTCTGACGGCCTGGCCCTCGCCTTCCCCTGCTCCGCTCTGGTCAACTTCAAGAAGGACAAGCAGAACGACTCTGAATTCATGGGTGTGATAGAGCGCCAGCCTATCTCAAAGTCTTTCTTGTCCGAGGAGAAGGAAAAGGAAGAACAGGAGAAATTCATGCAAGCCGTCATGAAGACCATCTCAGATCCCTCTAAGAAGGAGCTCTCGGCGGATGAAGCCCTTGCCGTGATGCAACTTTTGGCTGAGAGACAAAGCAGAGACTCACAAGCTATGGAATCTGTTCTGAGGAGCATCACGCAGCTCATCAAGGACGACAAGAATAAAGGCGCTTCCTGGAAAGACGACATGAACCCCCTGCTTCCCGAAACAAGAGAATTCCTGGGATCGAAAGAGCTCTATCCGGGTACGACTCTTGTAGTCGGTCTCCAGCTGCTGCTAGAAACTTCTAAGAGCTTCGTCTACAAAGGGGATGCGCCGAATCCTATGAACTGCCGCATGATGGCTCTCAGACTTGCCCAGGAGGTGGTGCAAAACATCCAGTTCGTCAATGATCATGACCTTGTTGCGAAGAATCACACCGTACCCATGGCGTCTGGACTTCATGGAGTATCCGACAGGCTAAAGGCTCTCATGCGTGAGAAACGGCTTGACTTGTACTCACAGTCTCCATGGACAGGAGGTCAACAAATGGTACAGACCTTGGCATATGCACTTGAAGCTGGTCTGTCACTTTGCAACCAACGTGGCATCGTTGGTACGGTTCTGTACGGTTACAACGCTGTGCAGCAGCTTTCCGATGCTCCAGTCAAGAACCCGCTTCTGGATGCGCTCTCGAATCTCCTATTGGACGCCGTCTTTCTCGGGCGCCTCCCTGCATCGAACATGCACAGTATATGGATGCGTTTCCTGGGCGGAGGTGTTGAGAAGAAAAGTGCCCGCGGCAAAGACGGAAAGAAATTTTCAATCACGTTCCCCAAGCGTCCAACCGACTCCAACAACACGGCCGACTTCCAGAAGCGCATTGACGCGTTCAGCCTATCGTTGTTCCACAACCTCTATGAGAGTTACTGGATGGGACGCCCGGAGTTCTGGGCTCAAGTCTTCAGTAACAGAGAGAAGAAGACGGTGTCCAAGGCGGAGTCGATTCAACTAGACATCAAGCTCCACAGACGACCATTTGGCGAAGCTCTCTACATGATGAGCGATGTCGTTTCGTCGGAGTTCAACTCGGAATTTCCTGTGGCGAAGGTCAATTTCTTCGCCGTCTACACCACCTGTGTCGATATGCTCACGGAGATATCGCGGAGAGCAACGGCAAATCCGCCGGAGGAGCTCCGCTGGGCGTGGGACCTTGGCGTTATAGACTCCCACGTTGACGCCGCCGCTGGTTTCACCTTCATGAACCACCTTCTTCAGGACATTGATGTTCGGTCTAGCAAGGGAGATAAGGCGAACATTTCCAAGCATTCTGGACTGCGCCTCGTGCAGGATGCGATTAACCATGTTTGGGGAGACAAGAAGTGGGAAGACTTCTTTTGGAAGAGTGTGTAGTTTCCCGATTGGCGACATATACTGTCATGTGAGTGCCAATCTATCAGAGAGCGTGAATCCACAGATTTCCAAGAGTTCTTCTCCGCTTCTATCATGCCAGGATTCGGACATTGGCCCTTTCAAGTGCAAGCTCGCGGTCCAGACACAGGTGTTCGCCCAACCATGAATCCCGGGAAAAGGCCCGAATCGCCTTAACCACCGTCGTGTCCGGCCTCACTTCCCCTTCAGTCTATCATCCCATGGGGGCCAAAACATTGCCGTATGTTCCTTTCGAAAATGCCGTGATTTCCTCTTCAGTGTTCATACGTTAAGTAATTGCCGTCTCGCTTTTTATTTTCTAAATCGTGTTTTCTTGCTGGTCGTTTTCCCGAGCTTACTACCTACCATCCTAACCACCAACCCAAAAAAAAATGTCCACCACACCCACAACAACCCGCCAATGGCTCCTCACCCGGCAGCCCACCGGCGCACCCATCCTCTCCGGCCCATCCGCCACCTTCAACCTCGTCACCGCTGAGCTCCCCCCACTCCAAGACGGCCAGGTGCTCTGCCGCGTGCGCTACATCTCCAACGACCCGGGCCAGCGCGGCTTCATCGGCATTGGCGTCGCCGACGAGCGCATGTACGTGCCGCCCGTCCACGTCGGCACCCCCATGCGCGCCGGCGTCATCGCCGACGTCCTCGAATCGCGCGATCCTTCCCTCCAGCCGGGCCAGACCGTCATGAACCTCCACCTGGGCCTGTGGAGCGAATACGTCGTCCTCGCCGCCGCGGACTGCCAGCCGCTGGCCCCGCTGCCCGGCGGGCTGCCCGTCACGCACTTCCTGGGCGCGCTCGGCGCCCCCGGGCTCACGGCGTATTATGGGCTTGTGGAGGTGCTGCAGGCGGGATCGCAGCACAATACGCTCGTTGTTAGTGCGGCGGCTGGCGCGACGGGCAGCATGGTTGTGCAGATTGCGAAGAAGTTGCTCGGTGTCAAGCGGGTCGTTGGTATTGCGGGTGGCCCTGCCAAGTGCGCGTGGGTGCGCGACCGCCTCGGCGCCGACGCGTGCGTCGACTACAAGAGCGCGTCGTTCGCGGACGACCTGGCCGCCGCGACGGAGGGGTTTGTGGATTTGTATTTCGACAATATCGGCGGCGCGATATTGGATGCGGTGCTGCCGCGCATGCAGCGTGGCGGGACTATCGCTGTTTGTGGCGCTGTGTCGACGTATAATGATGCGGAGCCGATGGGGTTGAGGCACTGGATGGAGGTTGTTAGTATGCGGTTGCAGCTGAAGGGGTTCGTGCTGCTGGATTGGATGGATCAGATTCCGCGGGCGATTGGGGAGCTGGTGACGGCGGTGGTGGAGGGGAAGATCGTGCTGGGTGAGGAGCATGAGACGGTGATTGAGACGGGGATTGAGGGCGTGCCGGAGGCGTGGATGAAGTTGTTTGAGGGCGCGAATAGGGGGAAGTTGATTACGAAGTTGGTGTAAGAGGTGGTACCAAGGTGAGGCGAGGTAGAGATAGATGGAAAGGTCAGGAAATGAGAAATATCCAGTCTTTTTTTCTGCTACCCTGTCCACTGGGTGCTGCAGACTATTACAACTCTTGAAAACATTGGCACCGCTCGTGGTCGACTACTCTCGGGATGATGCTGAGATCCTTTGACCTGGAAAACTACCGGTAACCTATCGTGATTCGCGATTTACATTCAAACTCCAAAGTAGCCAGCCTGACCGCCAGCGCAAAGTGCCTTTTTTTTTTTTTTTTGTTGGGCTCCTAAAAAGCATGTACAGCCCCCTCTCGCAGCCGATAGTTAGCACGAAGAATAGCAGGGGTGTAGAATATAGCGTAACTATGCCCCAGCTCTGCCCTAGAAAAACAAACATATGTGGGTATTTGAAGCTATCGTCCATACGTGTATGTAGAATTTTTAATCAGCATTCTCGTCAGGACGATAGCTTCACCTACCCATAATATGATGAAAAAAAACAAATCCACGCTAGCCATCGGCCGCGAGAGGGGACTGTATTGTAGTCAACTGGCATTTCACATGGTATAATGGATTGATTGTCAGATCCTTGCAATCGGGTCGTACGGCTTACCACGAAATTTCCATTGGTCAAAATGAGAGCGATGTTTTGGCAGCCGCCAATCTCAGAGGGGCCCACGTCAGCATTGCATATACCCAAGCCAGCGTAGATCAGCATGGAATATTTTGGTGTAGTCCAATCAGACTCACGGTACACAAGAGAGCGAGCAGTTAAATGTCGAGAGCCTTGTTCCCTACGAAGATCCCCATCCTCCTTCCTATCATTCCAACTATCGACCATTCTATCTACCTCTCACACCACCATGAATGAACAATGGGAACTTCACAAAGCCGAGATTGTATCTCTCTATCGGGAACGCACCGCACAGGAAGTCCGAGACCACATGCGGCAAGCCCACTCATTTGATGCAACGTAAGATCAGCACCTATCTATCCCCAAGAACCGCCGTTCTGAAGGGATCCTCACTTATGTACCCTTTCAGGCCCCAGCAATATGAGCGCCGTCTCAAGAAATGGGGGGTTCGCAAGAATCTCAAAGCAGAAGAATGGATGCTGCTTGGTCGTCGCATTGCAAAGCGCAAGGCTGAGGATGACAAAGAGAGCGAATTGAGGGTTGATGGCTATCCATTCCCCCCAAGAAAGGTTTTGAAGGCAGTCTCAAGGTACCAAGAAGGTACAATAGAGAGACTACAACGAGGTAAGTGCTCGTCGCTTGACTTTACGAAATAAATCTGATAGACTGTCCAGAGCAACGGCCACTTCGAAGCCCAACACCAGAAGGATGCCAACTATTCACTCCGGTCATCTCTGCGATGCCTTCGCCGGGACTGTCTGCAGTGTTCTCCCTCAATCTGGACAAAGCTCCTCTACTCCAATTTCAACGGTTCATGGGACAGAAAGGTACACTGCCACCGTTGTTTCTTTTTTATTTGTTCTTAAGCTAATTATGTATCCAGTCGTGGTGTTCCAAGAACTCCTATCTCATCTCGCCAGTGATAAGAATGATTACGCAGTCGTAACAAGACCAACTACCGATCTTTTACAATCAGTTCAGCACAATACTCTCGTATTGCAAGCAGTTCACGAGTCATCTTTTACTCTGTTGCCCTCTGTAATCACTCAAAAGGCACTTGGGAAATTTTTCGAGGCAGTGTTTCACACCACCAACCATACATTGGACGACGACGAATCACGCAACAAGACTTTTCAGAAACTCGTCACGGACGTACTCGCACGCATGATCGAAACTCCTCAAAACAAAGCCCTCTTGCTCCACGCCATATCGGAACAAAATCCCACTTTCGATGCTCTCATCGAAATCACTTTCCGAACAGCATTGCTCGAAAACAGAGTGGATTTGGTGAGATTCCTGATAGAATCTGCAAAGGTCGATCCGAACGACACGATTCCTATGTCTAGCGGACCTTGCTCTCCAATGGAAATTGCTATTCGCGAGCGTAACTTTACCATGGCAGAACTTCTGACTGGTCTCGGAGCGGACGACTACAAAGGTTCGCTGGACTCCCTTGTCAAGAATGTACCCCCAGAATTCTTGCAAAAGATCGTGGTTAAGCGGTACGCCAATATCTTCGACGCTCCTATGGCTTTCTGGAAACATTTGGGATGCAGAGAATTCCTACGGAAATCATTGGAAAAAGCTGTCAATCTGAAGCAAACCCAAATAGCCTCGATGCGAAACACTCCAGAAGATACCAAGTTCGCATTGTCCGCTTTGAAGGCTGCTGTCTGGAGCAATGATTTCCAAACTGCAAGAACGATAATAGAATATTGCAGACACTGGGAACTCGAAGTCATGGACGAGACTGAAGATGGATTGGTATTCTCTGCCGTAGAGGTGGGTTCCATGGACATGATCCATCTTCTCCTCAAAAATGGTGCAGATGTCAACATACCAGGACCACTCAACATATCTCCTTTGACCATGGCTATTCTGGACAGAAAACCCCACATAGCCCAGTATCTAATCAAATGGGGAGCTTCCATTGAGCGTTGTCCCAGCTACAAATACACAGCGCCTACCCCACTACAAGCTGCAGTATACACAAGATTCTACGAAATAGCATCGATCCTCATTCACCGGGGCGCAGACGTCGAAGCAGCACCTTCAACCATAGCTAAAGAGGGTGGAAACGAAAGACTCCGCGGGATCCGTTTAGCCCTTCAGGATATGTGCAACGAGTCTGCATTGGAGATGCTTGTCTTTGGTGGATACAACACTAGTCTCGAACTGATCCGGCTGCTTGTGGAGCATGGTGCAGATGCCGATGCATGCCTTGATCGCGCAATCGACCCCACGAAACGAGGCATTTCATCGGGAACAACTTCAGATAAGGTTCTCAGGTATCTCCTCACAGTTTGTTCGTCATTTTCCATCGGAGACGCACTTTACACTGCCATTGAGTTGGGATTCATGCAGTCTCTGCGATTTCTCAGGGAGAAATTTTATCCGCATATGTCTTCTTCAACCAAGTGCTCCGATACTGAGTTCCAGGTAGAAACGGTATCCCATTTCATACACCATGGAATGAAGCTCATACGTTCGGATAACAAACCAATGAGATTCAGTGGATGTATATACGAACATGAACCCGCATTGGCCGAACTCCTTCTTCAAAACGGGGCCTACGTCTTTGTCTTCGACGAGCTAGAGGATGCTGTAGTTTGTCAAGACAAAGATAAGTTGAAAAGAGCATCTGAAAAACTATTTTCAGCGCCTCCTCATCCAACGCTTCTCCAGGACCCATGCTTCGGTCATTCCACCTTGGAGTTACTGTCAGTACCAAGATTCCGTCGTTTTGATATAGTCGAAGACTTACTCAAATGGGGAGTTCGAGTCAACTCCCCGTGCGCCGTTTCAACCGTGTTACAAGTTTGTTCTCACGGGACGGTGGAAGATTTGCGGATGCTCCTTTCCTTTGGCGCACCGGTAAATTTAGAGCGCGATTTTGAATGCTACTGCTGGGATAAAATCACTGCCGGAGAAGAAAATTTCACTTTTAGCCCTTTGCAGGTTGCAGTGGTGAATAGGCGAACAGACATGATTGATGCCCTGCTAAAATATGGAGCATCGGTCGATTTTGTCGGTGAGACATATGCCGAAGGGGTTGACATCGAAACTCCAATATCTGAGGTCTATCACTCCAAGATCGACACTGAGTCTAAATTCGAATCCACACTCAGCATTGCTGTGGATGGTGGCCTTGAAATGGTGGAAATTATTCTGGCTGCTGGAGCAGACGTCAATGAACCACCCTATGGGATCGGTGGGCGTACTGCTTTACAGAAGGCTGCTGAGGTTGGGGACATAAAAATTGTCGAGTACCTACTTCGAGAGCAGCAGGCTGATGTTAACGCGAGCCCCGCCACATGGCAAGGCGTCACAGCGTTACAAGCTGCCGCGACAAACTCGGATTTCGACATGCTACACATGCTTCTGGAGAAGGGAGCCGACCCAAATGCCCCAGGCGCGAGATATGAGGGAAGAACAGCTCTGGAAGGTGCAGCAGAGAGAGGTAGAATCGACATGGTTCAACTGCTATTGGACAATGGAGCGGATGTCAGCAGCCCTGATTTTGGTGTCATTCAACTTGAAAACGCTGTGGAACTGGCATGGGAAGAGGGTTTTCAAGCCGTAGCCAGGATGTTGGAGCGTCACCGAGATAGCTTGGCGTCAACATCATGACAGATTGAGTCTATGAAGAAAGGAGGTGACGATGGGTATTACCACGCTCAAGACCTCCCCGCCGAGGATTTGCGGTCGTGATTCTGGGGAGCCGCGAAACCCGATTGATCACCATCGGTCAGAGAGTCGCTGCTGGGACTCTGGTGCTTCATCATGACCAAATCATTTGTCTTGTTTGTATTTGGTTTTGCATTCTCATTTTTCTTTTATTTTTTTTTTTGGTCTTACTATGGAGAGATAATGCAACGATCTTCGGAGGCATAATATCGTATGCAATGTGTGACGATGTCAGTTCAGTTAATAATGTAACAAAGTTGGGTTACTTGGAGCTATTTTTCAGGTGTATATCTACATCTATAGTGTATTCAAGTGCGAATGGACGATTTAACTGCCCTGTTGCAATACGAAGGGAACCGACCTCGTGCGGCTCGAGCAGAGAGTTCGCCGGGCAACTGCGGCGTGCGGAGGTTTTGATTGGCTACACGAAAACCAACTCCCCACCAACCGAATGGCAAGCGACATCACTGCAAAATTGTACGGCTCTCCAAGTTATACACTCGAAATGATTCCAAGACTGGAACACAGAATTCTCTTTCATAATTCATCCCAAACTCTAATAATTTGCCCTAAACCTCTGAGTCACAGAAGTGCCATCTCATAGCCCTGAAATACTTTGTACTGTATGTACCTCTCCCACGTTACCAACCACACCTTTGGATAAGCGTCGTTCACCAGATCACCACCTAAGACCTAGAAGATCGGACGAAACACGGCTGAAAATGGTAGAGATAACTAAAAAGCACACCATAATATTTCTAATCAAAATCGGGTAACTTCGTACCCGAACCCGAGATATCGAAATCCTGACTTCTCAAAATCTCCAACACCAAAGGATATAACTAGGACTCACAAGCAGCGAAGCAAAGCCTACCATCAGTGTTCCCTCTTCCTTCACTTCTCTCCTCCCCACCCACACCAACCACACACTTCCACGAAAACCATGACTCCCCCAACCCACAACGTCCTCATCCTCGGCGCAGGCGGCTACCTCGGCCACGCCATCGCCACCGCCTACATCCGCACCGGCCGCTGGCGCGCCTACGGCCAAATCCGCAACCCCTCGCACGCCACGCGCCTCTCCGCCGCCGAAATCACGCCCATCCTCGCCCGCGACCTCGCCGACCCGAACCTACCCGCGACGCTCGCCTCCCACGCGCCGTACTACAACGCCATCGTCGTCGCCATCGACGACGCCATGCTCGGCGACGCCTACCCCGCGCACCTCGACACGCTCATCCGGCTGTGCCGCGTCGTCGCGGCGTTGAGTCGAAGCGCGACGGATGGGAAGGTCAAGCCGCTCGTGCTGCTCTCGTCTGGCCTCAAGGACTTTGGCGAGACGGGGTTGGATGGGGAGGAGGGCTTGAAGCCCATCACGGAGGAGTCGCCGCTTAATCCGCCGAACGCGACGCGCGTGCGCGCGGTGACGTGTGGGCAGATCCTTGAGCAGGGTGGTGGGGAGGACGGGTTCGATGCGGTTCTAGTGAGGCCGTCGAACTTGTACGGGTTGAGCGGGTCTGCGTACGGGTATTTCTGCAAGATGGCGGAGCGCGCTGCGGCTGCGGACGCAAGTGGCGAGCTGGTGCTCGGTGCGGATCCGCGGACTATCTTGCATAGCACGCACGTCGAGGATGCGGCTGAGGCGTACGTCGCGCTGTCGGCGGACGGTTTGAGGGAGGCGGTGCGCGGGCAGTCGTTTAATGTTGCGGGCAGCAGGTACGAGACGCTGGGGGAGATTGGGGAGGCGCTGGTAAGGGAGTACGGGATTAAGGGCGGCGTGCGGTACGATCCGGGTGTGAAGGAGCGGGCGGGCCCGGGGTTGGATTTCTTCATCGTGGGGTTCTCGGAGTGGGTGTCGTCGGAGAAGATTAGGAGGGTGACTGGGTGGAGCGATAGGAGGGCGACGTTCGCGGAGGATGTTGGCGTGTATAGACGTGCTTACGAGGCTGCGCTTCAGCAGGGGCATCCGGATGCGGTGAGGTGGGAGGGGGCGATGGGTAGTCACTGACCTTTGTTCTTGTAGACCCTTTTTACTGTAATTGTGGTAAATGTGACTTCAATGCTTCTGCAACCACAAAGTGTCCATTCTCCTCTGCCATTCTCACTGCATTGAGAAACCGTTGGTGGCCGTCTTGCCCTGTGATCTGAAATCCGGATCGTAAGAGAAAGATTACCGTATCGAGACGGCCGTGTTCTGCTGCACCTTCCAAAGCAGTTCTTCCATGGACTACTGAGGGAGCTCTATTGACATCCGCACCGTGCTTCAGGAGCAGCTCGACGATGCCAATGTACCCACCGATTGATGCAAGTTGGATTGCCGTTCCGCCACCTCTGTGGGCAGCAGGTGCATCGACATTGGCTCCATGTCTGATCAACATTTGGACCATCTCGTAGCATCCAGATTCCGCCGCGGCTTGTATCGGTGTGCGCTTGAAGCCCCTAGTTGCCGAAAAATTGATGTCCGCACCTGCATCAAGGAGCATCTCGGCCATCCGAATCTTTTTTGCCTCGATGGCGATTTGAAGGACGGAGATCCTTGGATATCTTACACCCAGGAGTTCGTCGTTTGGGTCTCGTGACAAGGCCCCGTTCGGGTCGGCTCCTGCCTCAAGTAACATCTGCACGGTTTTGATACTTGCAGAATTGTCTTGTCGAACCGCTAGAGCAAGAAACCAACTGAAAGCTCCGTTGTGCTTAGACAAGTCTATAGCAATGATAGACTGAAGGTGTGTGAGTTTCGAAACATTTTCCTTCAAAATGGCATCTTTGAGCGCGAGATCACAATAACCCTTTTTCCCGTGAGGATATCTTTGGAAAAATGCCTTGTGGAGTAGACCAAACATCTCGGAGTCGCCTTCCATTACTCGGAGGAGCACTGACGGATCACCGGGATCCGCTCCATTGAGAAGCAAGTGGTTCACGATATCAATGTCTCCGACACCGACTGCCGTAGCTAGTGCAGTCTCTGAGCTGGACGCATTGAGGTCTGCCCCGGCCGCAATAAAACGCTTAATTAGTGGCCAATCTCTGCGCTCTATGGCAATTGACATTGCCTCGTGGCTGATGGGACATCCGGCGACCAGCAAATCCTCGATGATGGAAGTATCCCCCCATTTAGCAGCCAGCACAAGATCCGAGCTATCGAGTTTGGGATCGGCATTGAGCAGCGCACGCACGATGCGTGGGTTGTGATATGCTAATGCGGTGTGAAGCTGCCACCTGGAACCTTTCGGAGTCGCTCCAGCGCCAAGGAGTAATAATGGAACTTCCTCGTCGAAACGACTTGCCTCACTGAGTGCTTCGTCGAGCCCGATATTTGTTTGAATCTGGAGTAGACGCCGGACCATCTCCGTATCTGCAAATTCTGATGCAGCAATGAGTGCGGGAACATACTGTTCCTTCTCTCTTATATGACGCCACGCGCCTCGTGCTTCAAGGATCTTGATAATCTCTGTTTCACACGTCCGGATTGCTTCCGCAAGCGGGGTTGATGGAGGATTGTCATAGCTCAAGCCATCCACTTTTGCTCCTTTTTCAAGGAAGAATATAACCATGTCCGTTTTCTCACTTCTCACAGCGTAAGTAAGAGTGGCGTCGTTGATTTGTGCTCCGGAATCGAGGAGAGTCTGCACCAACTCGAAATCGGCCTTTTCCGCTGCGCTATCAAGCATTCTTGGACAGGACTTAAAGTACGGCGCATTGATGTTGGCACCAACGTCCACAAGTTGTTCAACAATCCTCATGCAAGTCTCATGGCTCAGTTCGGAGATCAGCTCACTGAGGATTCCGTCGCTCCCCCATTCTTCATGGTTTTCACGAACACCAGCTCTGAAGAGAGCCTCTACTACTTCTTCTCCTTTGTACATCGCTGACTTGAGTGTTTCAAGACAAACTCTTGCACCGTTATCCAGAAGCAACCGAACAAATTTCAAGCTTACTTGAGCTCTGGCGAAAGGGGCCTGTTCGATCAAACGTGAGAGAGCGCCGCTTCCACGTGAATTTACGTTTGAAAAGGTCTTGTTCACGTCGACTTGATACCCCAAGAGAACCTTTGTTGATTCAAAATCATGGAGTTCAGCTGAAAGTTCGACCGGGGTGTATCGCTCGCCATTGAAATGGCATACAGCTGTGTTTGGGTCAACACCTGTGACGTTCCGGCAGCGCAAAATCATGTCGACAGCACGTGCATCTTTCGCGTTGATTGCGCTTAGGAACAGCTTTTGTGACAGCGCTCTTGCTGTGAGACCTTCCATAGATTGCATCAAGTGCAAGAACTGAACGCCAGATTGGTGCCTTAGATATTGGAAGGCAGTATCGATTGGAAGCCCATCAAGCCCTGAAAAGTTGTTTGCTGCAGAAAGGCTAAGGAGATCCATGTAAGCCATGCTCAATTGCTCGACGGAGGCTACATTGGATGGTTCAATCAGGTATGGCTGAAGTGCTGTCGAAGGTAGCAATGCTTTGAGCTCCGGCAGGATGATATTGTGGTGGCGTATGACCATGTCGTGATACGGCTCGAGGGCTACACTTTCGAAAGCAAGGTTTCCGGACAAAGACTGTGTGTATACTATTTTGAATGTAAGCCAAAAATGCGATTATTTCCACCAGCGGTTTCACCGAAAGAGTAACAAGTGACAAGTGAATATGAGCGGTTTGCATAGTTGGGCAGCGGTCCAAAACTCAGGTTAAAAGGACGGTAAGACTTACAATGCTCGTGCAATGACTTCTGAAATTTCACAAACGGTAAATCCTCAATCTCGGTCTCATATGAACGTTTTGGGGTAGGGCTGAGTACTGTATAGCCTTGTGGCAGCGGCGGTAACGGTCCTGAATGGATGATCAGCATTATGTTTTCTTATAATTCAGACATTACACACTGTTGCTGAATCTAGAGAATGGTGGAGAGTGTCTTCCACGAGAAATGCCTTTTTGGACCTTGGATGCATTGAGCAAGCGACCTCGCTGATAAACAAGGCTGCGTTTCCCCGTCGCTTCCCTTGCTCTTATGATCTTTGCGATAGCCCGCCATTCCTCTTCCGTTACATTCTTTTGAATTCCTTGTTCGGTGAAATATCTTTGGTATTGCGATGCACTTGACAAAAGTTAATCTGTCTCATATTTCTTCTCGTGTTCATTCATGCGTACCTCCTGGAAAATCCACGATTCCTGGTCATGAAGTCCATAACTTCACGCAGAGTCTTTTGGGATTCGATGTACAGGTGTACAATCTCATCATGATGCTGATGCCATGCAGGATCTTGGGTATTTCTTTTGGCTCGTCCAATCGGCATCGTGTTTGGAGTGATTCAGGAGAGGATTCGGTGGGACAGAAAAGGTGTATGCCGTGGACGAGGCTGAATTAAGTACATGAGCCCACACCAGCCTCGCTAAAATGCACGGCTCCTAACTCAGCTCGCTGATTCTTACTTCATTTGCAAGCTCGCGCTTGATTGGCTAGTGCCAAAAATTCCATGCAGTCCATGTCTTGGCACACATTGCGGAGAGAGCCAATAGTGTTGAGGACAGGGATCTGAAGCAGTGTGGCTTCGCCGCCCAGCCGCTGTGCATTGTGCAAACGATAGGCAGACATCGTGTCCTGACTTATTTCAGCCTTTTTGTATTGTATAAATTTTCGCTTCATGATGCCAGATTCACGAAAGATGACCGCCTCATACGGCGAGGAGTGTGTAGGATTCTCCATCGTTAAATGATCACGTACCCCTCGTATCTACCTCCTGTCTATTGTTGAAGCACGAAGAGCCGCACATAAACTTACAGGGGGTTATTTCAGCCGACGGCTAACGTGTATTTATTTTTCGCTCATCATGGGTAGTTGAAGCTATCGTCCGGACGTGAACGCATAATTAATTTATTCTACATTTACATCCGCATGATAGCTTCAACTACCTATACATGTTCCTTTTCATTAAAAGAAGACTTAAACCAGACTTACACTATATTCTAGGGTCCTGCTATTCTTCGCACAAGTTATCAGCTGCAGCACCATCCCTCTGTCCATGCCCAGAATAGAATGCCTATTTAGGTTTAGTTCCACCGCTAAATATACCATCTCCGCCAGTCCTGTGCCCTCCTTAAAATTTTGTTAACAGGTACCCTTCTGACCATAGTATTGAAAACCAGCAACTACTCAATAACAGTGTCGCTTTAATAGACACTTTCTCAAATCCTTTCTTCGATCCCATAATGATGGAAAGCAATCCAGGCTCCTGAGGCGGACCGAAATGGGCCCGTTACGGCCGAAGCGCTGGTGCACGCTCGCCAAGTTGACAACTGAAGATCTTCGGTCAGATTATCATCCCGAAGCATATCCATGTAGCATATGTTAAATGGAGGCTCGGTCGGTGTGGGAATGTGACCTTGGATATTAAGAAAAAGTCATCGGAAACCATCATGTCAGCTCAAGATTTTCGCGTCATCATTGTGGGAGGCAGTGTTGCAGGCCTGGCGCTAGCATTGATGCTCGAGAAGCATGGCATCAACTTCATCGTCCTGGAAGCATACCCATCGATTGCGCCTCAAGTCGGGGCCAGCATCGGCATACTGCCCAACGGCTTGCGCGTACTGGACCAACTTGGATGCTACGAGGACCTCCTCAAGAAGGCACAGTATCCCGTGAACACTGTCTCTCTGCGAGATTCCAGCGGGAAGCCCCTGATCCAAGTGCAAGATGTTGATTCACAGTCAATAGGACGGTATGTTCTCCTTCGAAGTTTGATTACTGGGCTAACGTAACGGACGAATGCATAGACATGGATACCCAATGATCTTTTTCCAGCGACGAATGTTGATTCAAATCCTCTACGACCATATCCAAAGGAAGAACAACGTGCTCACCTCGACGCGGGTGAAGTCGATCCATGAGGATGATCAAGGAGTTTCTGTTGAAACGCAGGATGGACGCACCTTTGCTGGCCACGTCGTAGTCGGCACCGACGGCGTGCACAGCGTTGTTAGGAAGGAAATATGGCGGACCGAGTCCGAGAGAGGGTTAGTCAAGAGACAAGTCCTCGAGGATGGTGAGTAACATTCCTAATCATTAGGTGGCCGAGTGAGCTAAGCAACTGTGTTCCTCTCAAGACATTCAAGCAAAGTACGGATGCATCTTTGGAATATCCACCGGCATCACCGGATTGCCCAAAGGCCTCCTCCAGTTCACAGCAGGCCAGCGCTCTTCAACCCTCACGGCATCTGGACCGGAAGACGATACATACTGGGCTCTCTTCTATGACCTTGGCGAGACTTACCACGGTGCGGGCTCTCCTCGATTAGGAAAAGCAGATGAGCATGATGTCATCGCGAAGCACCAGAACGACGCTGTCACCGAAAAGATGACATTGGCAGATTTGTATTCCAGGAAAACAGTTTCTGTCTGCACTCCGCTTCATGAGTATGTGGTGCAAGTGTGGCACAGTCAAAGGTCTATCGTTATCGGAGATGCTGCCCACAAGGTATGTGCAGCTTTGGAGGCCCATCCGATACCTTCACGCTAACAGTACCGGTAGTTCAACCCACTTACTGGGCAAGGTGGTAACTCGGCCATTGAAAGCGCTGCAGCGTTGACAAACGAGATTGTAAAACTACTTCAATCCTACGGTCCGAATTGTCTCCCTCCCGGAAAGGCTTTGCGGTCCGCCTTTGAAGCTGTTCAGTCCACACGTTCCCCCCGAGCCTCAACTTTGGTCAAATCATCCACGAGATTCCAAAAACTGACTGCGATGGAAACATCCATCCACAGAGCGATTCTCCACCATGTGCTTCCGCATTTCAGCCAGAATTTGATGATGCGCCTGCTTTTCCGTGCATACCCAGGGGCAGTGTCTCTGGACTCGCTGAAAATCCCGGAAAGGCCTCGGAGCATACCCTACGATGATGAAGTCAGCTTCAATACCAGTGCCAGGAGCAAAGCCACCTGGCTCACACCTCTCGCACTGCTTTTCGGTCTGTCTCTTCTGGGGGTAGCCCTTCTGCACAAAGTCAGCGCCATAAATGGCACATGGGACTTGGTAGCGGAAGCCGTCGCGACTGGATTCATACCAGAGGCTGGCCTCCCTCTCGAGTCCATCTCCTATCTCTCTGCCTTTCCTCGTATTGCGCGGCTATTCAGAACTCTTACCGCGATCTTCTTGGGCGTTGTGTCTGGCTCCACGAACAATGCCCATCCGATCCATGCATGCTATTTTCTGCTGTCATTCTTCCCTCCCATACTCCTAATGATGATGGCGGAAGCGCACAGGAAGAGCAATCGTGGATCACTACTGCAGAGGTATGGTAGCACTTCATCGTCATGTAGCAATCTGCTGACACCGTTGTACAGATCCTTTCTCTGGGTTGGCGCTGCCCAGCTTTTCGGTCTCGGCATCGTCCTGCCGCTCTATTTCGCCTTGTCTCTCTTCAACTCTCGACATGCGTCCAACTGGAGTCCAAACGCACATTCTGTCTCCATTACGAGCAGGACTGCGCTTCCAGCGTTGATCCTTGGCTACGTGGTTCCCTCCGTCTGGATGTTTGCTCTAGCCAACCACTCTCCGATGAAACAACCAGCCATTGCTTTCTGGCAGATCTCGCCAGTGATTGCCGTGGTCCTTGCTGACGCTTTCCATTTATCGAGTTCCGCAGGACGGTTGCTACAGAAGGGGAAGGACGATACATCCGGAGATGCCCTTCAATCACCAGGACGTTCCCGCAAGCTCCCAAGTCTCACCACCGCATACAATGCTATCGCCATCGCTTCTGCTCTGGTCCATGTTTTCACAGTCTCATTCCTCGCTTTCTCCTCCTCGCATTCGCTCTTCAAGATTTTTGTTCCTCAAAGGCCACTAGAACCAGTATCGACCATTGCAGACGGCATGTTCACCTTCCTCCAATCCGACCTACTCCTTTGCATTGCGGTTACGATGTTTTATTCAATCGTCACGCTTTCCAATATGCGCCACCACGGAGTGACCGGCACAACGCTTCCAACCAGCATAGCTTTGCTTGCAATTGGATACACTATGGTCGGCCCTGGAGCATCTACTGTTCTTCTTTGGAGATGGCGTGAGAAGGCTATCGGAAAAGCGAATGCTCAACATCAGAAACGCACTTGATTGTGTGGGGGGTCATCCAAACATCGAGATTGCAAAAACACAAGGAAGTATTTGTCAACCACTGTGTCCACTATTCGTTCTGTTTACTATCTTTTCGGCACTACGTTGTACATTTTTTTTTCTTTCTCCTCGCTTGGGTCTGTAATCATTTCGGGCATGAACTAAGTACGTGTGGAAGATCTAGAATCCATACATTAGGTGTAGAGATAAAGGGGATGCATTTAGTCAGTAAGCGACGTCGCTTTCAGCGAAAACTCTCAACTCTTCTCCTTCTGGATGTGTTGCGCACAGAATCAAATGAAAATCAAATAAAGAACATCGAGCGTTTACAGAGTTGCAAAAAGGCCAAAGAACATTCAACTGACAACAGGAATATGAAAAACTTGCCGATCACCACTGATCGCGGGTATGAAGTCCCAAACACAAACCGGCAAGAACGCTACACTTACACACTACTACCGGACAAGCCCTGCCCGCCACTCACCGTACCAAAAAAGCCCAGCTTACGCCATCCACTTTCAACAACAACGCTTTACTCATCCGCGCGCGGCTTCCGTCCAGTCACGACGCGCAGCGTGTTGTAACCGTGGAACTTTGTATTCTTCAAATCCTTCCGCGCCTCTGCGACAGCGACCTCCATCTCCTCGCGCGTCCAGCCCAGGATATCGACCAGCGTCCCGAGCGCGTAGGGCGCCAGCGCGTCCAGGTACTGCACGAGCTGGTAGCGGCCGATCTGCTTGATTTCCGGGTCCTTGGGCCAGGCGTTGAAGGGCAGCTTGAAGATCTGTTCCTGGACGTCGACGAAGCCGGCCTCCTGCATCCAGCGCTTCATATTCGCGGGGGCGTGCATGGTCATGCCGAGCTTGTCCATGGCGCTGCGGATCGTCTCCTGGAGCTTGTAGAGGGCGCAGGTGTCCGGGTAGGTGCCGTCGTCGGAGGTGCTGGTGGTGTCGGTTTCTTTCGCTTCGAGGAAGCCGCCGGGCTGCAGGTTGTCGAAGCACTGGCGCAGGAACTTGGGCCAGTCGGTGATGCAGGCGTTCATGTTGACGAAGTGGATCAGGTCGAACTTGTTCGAGTAGGTCCACTCCTCCTCGACGTTGTCGATGATGAACTTGAGGTTCGGCGGCACCCAGTTGGGCTGGATGGGGCTGATGTCGACGCCGACGACCTCGGCCGACGGGTAGGCGTCGGCGACGTCGATGGCCCAGATGCCGGTGCCGCAGCCGACGTCCATGATGCGCTGCGGGTTGGTGATGGGGGCCAGGATGAGGCGGCCGCCCAGCAGCATACCGTAGATGTGGTGGATCAGGTCGCTGCGGTCACATTCGGCCTCGTCGTTGGGTAGGAAATACTTGGAGCCCTTGTAGGCGCTGTAGCGGCGGCCATTCTTGTACTCGTAGTTCAGGATGGAAGAGGTGAGGGAAGTGAGGTCGCTGCGGCTGTTCGGCGGCGTTAGCAGGATGCAAGCGGTGCAGGGATGTTGATGGGCGCATACCCGTCGTCGCTGCCGAAAGCCGAGTCTGTCTCATCGGTCTGTGCAAAGTTAGGTCAGGGGGCGTGATGGCCGCAGGGGAGGTGACGCACATCGGGCTCGATGACGGCACCGCCAGTGTGGGTTGCAGGGGCTGGGGGATCTTGACACATGGTGGATGCGCGTGTGTTGGTGTGAAGAAAATTTGGGGAACGTTGAAGTGCAGTGCGGGGGAGCGACGGAGAGAAAGGAATGGAGTTTAAGGCGCCGGCGGACGGAGCAAGCGCCTATGTTGGTGAATACGGCCGACGCTGAGGATGGTTTCGGCATGAGCGATGGGCTGATCTGTGATCTCCACCGTTTAGCTACGGCCGGGCCGGACAACTCCCGCCCGTTCTGTTCCAACTGGAAAACCGTCCGCTGTATGTAGCGTGCATCTCGTTGACAGCTCATGGCGCGCTGGCTGAGCAGTTGTTCTTGTAGGTCTTGTACAATGTTTGTGCGCCCAAGTCCCCAGGGGAAAGCGACCGGAAGGGCAGGTGTGAGGCGTTAAGTCCTTAACTCCGGCCGGCTGCGGCGCGCTATCACTCCCACGTGGCTGAGAACGCCCGGACCCTGAAGATAGAATAAATAGCACAGTACGGAAAGTTCCATGCAATAGATCATGGGAGTCTCCAAAATCCAGAGGCTCGCAAATATATGCCTTTAGCACAAGTCGAAACTACCTGCTTCCGCCAAAGCCCCGTCTCCGAGCTAGATCACCAAGGTAAGCGTTTTCGCTAGTTTGCCGCGGCTGCATCATGCCAGAAACCTCGTCCAACGCACATCAATCAGAGATCCGGTCTAATTAGACCTTGATATGAAATGCTCCGACAAAAACATTCTCTACATTGTATCATCAGGACGTATCCGCTCCAGCTATGAGAGCCGTAGTACCTAAATGGAAATACTAACATACATAAAAATGGACCTCTGATCACTTACCTCCTGAGCCGGTTCAATCCACCGGCACGTCTACCGGAACTTCCACTGGACACCTTTTCAGGCTTTTCACCTTCTCCATCAGTAGATGAATAGTCTAGTTTTCTCACTCACTCACACCCCTACCAGTCATAAAACTACAGTGAACGTGCCGGTGGGCGTGCCGGTGGATGTGCCGGTGGATCGCGCTGGCTCAGGAAATATTTACAAACGTATCAATCGTAAATGTCAATCTGAGTGACGAAACGGTTATATTGGATGGACAAATATGCGTGAAGTCACATTGCATCCATAAACTTCTCTATCTACTTTCAGCCTTCGTATTCAATTAAACGATGTAACATCCGATTAGAAAAGAAAATGGTGTTTCTCATGCGTCGGCCCAGTGTAGAACATATAGTAGTATAGCCAAGGTTGGTGAAGAATACGCTATACGCCGTCCCCGGCTAATTTAAGTGGTGCGGGGCGGGCGTTTTAACCATTGCACGGACGTTTCGTTTCCACTTAAGGCACAATGCGAAACAACTACGGTCGCGCCCATTGGTGGGTTCCATAGGGATGAAGCTTACCATGAGGAGAGATTCTCGAGTATGCACGATAGACTCGATTCCTCGTAAACGATAATCATGAAGTATAAAACCTCGCCTTCATTCTCAGTTTAACACCCCAGTCCGCCTCATACCTCTCTTTCTACCTATTTGAACAGAAATAATGAAGCTTTCTGCAACCAACACTGGCCTCGCCGTATTCTTCGCATCTGTGGCCGATGCAGCATGCTCTCTTCCTTCCTCGTACCAATGGTCATCGACTGACGCCCTGGCCGAGCCGAAGAGCGGATGGGCCGCGCTCAAAGACTTCACCAACGTCGTATACCAGGACAAGCATCTTGTCTATGGCTCATCAGCCGGCTCGTCCGGCTACGGCTCAATGAATTTCGGCCTCTTCTCTGACTGGTCTGAGATGGGCTCAGCGAGCCAGACTGCCATGACTTCGAGCGCTGTTGCGCCCACGCTCTTCTACTTCGAGCCCAAGAATGTCTGGATTCTGGCCCATCAGTGGGGCCCGACCACCTTTTCCTACCGGACCTCCAGTGATCCCACTGATGCAAACAGCTGGTCATCGGCGCAGCCCCTCTTCTCTGGCAAGATCTCCGACTCCAGCACCGGCGCCATTGACCAGACTGTCATCGGCGACAGCGAGAACATGTACCTGTTCTTCGCTGGTGACAACGGAAAAATCTACCGCGCCAGCATGCCCATCGGCAACTTCCCGGGCGACTTCGGAACCTCTTCAACCATCATTATGAGCGACACGACCGCCAACCTGTTCGAAGCCGTGCAGGTCTACAAGTTGGACGGCCTGAACCAATACCTCATGATTGTCGAGGCCCAAGGCGCCAACGGCCGGTACTTCCGCTCCTTCACGGCCAGCAGCCTTGACGGCGAGTGGACCGCGCAGGCTGCCACCGAGAGCAACCCCTTCGCTGGCAAGGCCAACAGCGGTGCCACCTGGACAAATGACATCTCTCACGGCGATCTGGTCCGCACCAACCCGGACCAGACCTTCACTGTTGATCCCTGCAACTTGCAGCTCCTCTACCAGGGACGCGATCCCAACACCAACACCGACTACGACCTGTTGCCTTACCGTCCCGGCGTGCTCACTTTGCAGAACCCCGGTTCTTAATTGGACGAGAATGTTGTAGCCCACTTGCGATGGACAGGAATTGAGAGGAATCAAGGAGTTGCTGTCTATGTAGTTAGGATCCGTATTTCTGTGCATTATCATGCTGCTTCAGAAGATTAAGCATTCCAATAGTACCTGTGTTCTGTCCCTGGTTTTCACTTCTTCGTTGTCAACGTAGTGATGATCCATATTGTGACTGTCTTGTGTCGTAAATGGCGAAATCCCAAATATCAGCAGAATAGTTACGTATTTGCGGGGCTCAAGCACACGTCATCTCTTTCGACCGCCTGTCTGCTTGCTGGTGTAACGTGGATAATTCCGCAGCATCTTGCAGCATCGGAAAAATATGCGGATTCTCGTTGCCGCCTCGCCTGTCGCGCAAAGATGTTAGATTGGCGGAACAGCTACCCGTACATGACAACCCCGGCCCGATCTCCACAATGCATCCGAGAGCCGTACTATGTCACGCGTTTTTCCTCCTGGATTGCAAGCATCCACCACCCACAATTCTTCGGCCAGCGTCTGAAGCGACGTCTCTTCTGTTCGAAACGTACGCCACGATTTAGCAACAATCAAAATGTAAGGAATGAAACAAATCCATACGTCATTGGACGCAATGTGCTTTTGCGCATGTCCTGGATGAATGCAGCTCCCTGAAACTCCCTCCCGATGATCCGTTTTGCCGACTACATCCTGGCCGTAAACAATGCACGCCCCCGCACACGCCCCTGACAGTGTTTCCACTATTACTCAAAAGGGAGAAAGTCCCTGTTGTCAATCCTGAATTTACACATAATATGCTGATTTTTGAGATGTCGATCACAGTAGTATCTTAGGCAAATCAGAGAACTGTACCTGCCCACTAAATTTACTCGCGGATGAACGCTGATCACGTTTGTTGTAGCCGCCACGTTTATCCGGCCACTTTGCTATTTATCCATTAATTAACAGAGTGTTTTGAATCCAGAGTAGGGGGTTGTCAAAATTGTTTGGGAGCTAGCAACGAATCAGCGATGACCGTATAACGTATTCTGTTCCTGAAACACGCTCTCACCAATGCAGTGACTTTTGTTTCATGGGTGGCCCGGCTTTCACTGTCTCGCTTCGGGTGAGGGGGGGAAAGTATAAATATTAAACACTTCGCTCGGCATTCATTTCTACAGCACATTAACAGCTCCGAACTTTCCAAAACAATGCACGGCTCCACTCCTCTCGTTCTCCTCAGCGCCGTCCCGGCCGCTTTCGCCGTGGCCGTCCCACGGCAGGCTGCAACGAGCATCAATGATCTCTTCGTCGCCAAAGGCAAGAAATACTTCGGCACCTGCACCGACCAGGGTCTGCTGAGCAGCGGCCAGAGCGCCGCCGTCATTCAGGCCGACTTCGGCCAAGTGACGCCAGAGAACAGCATGAAGTGGGACAGCATTGAGCCGTCGCAGGGCAACTTCAACTTCGACGGCGCCGACTATCTCGTCGACTGGGCCACGACCAACAGCAAGCTCGTCCGCGGCCACACCACCGTCTGGCACTCGCAGCTTCCGTCGTGGGTCAGCAGCATCACGGACAAGGACACCTTGACCGAGGTCGTGCAGAACCATGTGACGACGGAGATTGGCCGGTACGCCGGGAAGATTTACGCTTGGGTACGTGGCCAATTTCAGATCAATCCCTACAGACACTGACACGCCATTCCGCAGGACGTCGTGAACGAAATCTTCAACGAAGACGGCACCCTTCGTTCCTCCGTCTTCTACAACGTCCTCGGCGAAGACTTCGTCCGCATCGCCTTCGAGGCCGCGCGCGCCGCCGACCCGGCCGCAAAGCTCTACATCAATGACTACAAGTACGTACCTCCTCCCCCCATCCCCCCTTCCTCCACACACACCCCACTAACCCGCACGCAACAGCCTCGACAGCGCCACCTACGCCAAAACAACCGGCCTGATCAGCAAAGTCAAAGAGTGGATCGCCGCGGGCGTCCCCATCGACGGCATCGGCTCGCAGTCGCACCTGTCGGCGGGCGGCGCGGGCGGCACCGCGGCCGCCATGCAGGCGCTGTGCGCGGCGGCGTCCGAGTGCGCCATCACCGAGCTCGACATCGCCGGCGCGGCGGCGGCCGACTACGTCCAAGCCACGCAGGCCTGCCTGGATGTTGAGAATTGTGTTGGTATTACGGTGTGGGGTGTGAGTGACACCAACAGTTGGAGGGCGGATAGCACGCCGCTGCTGTTTGATTCGTCGTTTCAGCCGAAGGCGGCGTATGATGCGATTGTTGAGGCGTTGTCTTGAGGGGGTTGGGATCGGAGGTCTGTTGGGTCTTTCGTGTTGTAATACTTAGCTACACACGTTCAATGTATGAGGCCTTCCGAGGCTTATCTTTCAGATCTTGAACCCAGTTGCTAAAGTGAAGAGCACTCATGCATGATAAGAAGAGAATGTTGACTTGTTAGTTGGCGTGTTCTGGCCAATCAGAACCTCCGCACGCCGCATTTACCCGGCTGGCACCGAGGATGACGTTGTGGGTTTATGGGCTCATGATGGGTGTTATTCTCTTTCGCTTCCGGGGCTTGTAGAAGATTCCAAGAGATGTAATGGGATGGAGTATAGTCAAGTGCTGTTACTACTATGATTTATTTTGGTTTTGGTTGGGGGTTAGAGCTTCTGTATGTGGTTGAGGCTCTGCTCCGTTCCTGGGATTGGATGTGAAGTTGCCCGATATTTCCTATTTAGGTCACAAAGATACCCGAGTTTTTCTGTTTAATAAGAAACATATGTGATCAGTTCTTGGGCTGTCAGTCTAGTTTCAATCACATTTTGTCCGATCGTATTTTTTTTAATCCATTGGAAGGCAGCATTCGACACCAGCTTGGATGTGCTGAGAGATGATCCACAGTCCCTTAAAATCATTCGCCGCATCCTACTAAGGTCAGTACTATCATCTACGTATAGTCGTATCTTAGAACTTACGTAGCCAACATGGAATCCTGATTGCGCTTCCCAGAAGAGAAGATTTCTCACCCCAGAAAAGAGTTGAACCGGCCGTCTTCGAACCTCTCTACAGAAGCATTGTAGAGTTCCATTACTGTGATTGCTATTTAGATTGAGACCCAACAGATTCGGCGTGATTAAGTATTCTTTAACTGCAGTGTCTTCCCTTCACACATGGTTGTCAGGCGATGGATATTTGCCTTGGTGTTTCCTCTCCTCACGAGGTCATCCACAGCCGGAGCCGTTGCATGGCGATATCGCATGACAATTGCAAGCGAGATCTCTGCATAAACTGAAACGTATGTGATGCAATTGTGAGCTGGAATTAGCGCGTTGTTGCCTAATTATCCTTGCTGCATCTGCACATGTGATTGGTAGAGTTTGAGAAAAAGCAAGATGCAACAACACCAAGCAAATGTGATGATGTCGAACCATCACAAACACCTCACAATAAAAATCAGACGGACAACATAAATGAAGTGTGAATAGCGACAAAGAATAGGTGGAACGCTTGCCGAGACTGGTCATCTCCGGGTGTTCTTCAGGTGGTGATGTTTGGGGCCTAGACCCTGCGCAATGGAATTGGCTTCACATCAGTCAATCATCGAACATGGGGGGTTATACAGGTGCATCGAAACTTCTGGTAGAAACACGTCATGGTGTATTATATGTGAGCAATCACAAGGCTGAGCGATGCACTCAAATAGCAGGCACGGCTGAGAGTGGCCCGTTCGCCCAGCCTTGCTCAGGAACTTTAGGCCTCAGGCTCCCACTGACTCAAGCGCCTTGTCATAGTTGCACAGCGCCCTCCAACTTTTCCTTCTCTTTCCACCCCGCTCTTGCGGCCAGACGAACCAATCCATCCATTTCTATCTTCATACTCGCTCCAGAGACCGTGCTCATCGCTCACTTTGCCATATTTGGACACCATGTCAGCCCGAGGCGGCAGAGGAGCTCCGCGCGGTGGTGGCCGCGGTCGGGGAGGATTCCCCGGCCACGAACGCGGAGGTTACGGCGGCGGCGGCGGGCCGCCCCATCGCGGCGGCGGCGATCGTGGCGGCTTTCGCGGAGGTGGCGATCGCGGCGGCGGCTTTCGTGGAGGCGGCGACCGGGGAGGATTCCGCGGCGGACGCGGCGGCGGCGGAGGGGGCAGAGGCGGCTTCCAGCAAGGCGTCCAGATCTATACGTGAGTCGTTCGTCGATGGTTGCATACCCCCGCGTGATGACGCGCTAACCACGACACGCATCACTCCAGGCAGCCCGGCACCGCCATTCCCGCCCCCAACGCTCGTGTCACGGCGGCTGAAGAAGCCATCCAGAAGGCTGCTACAGGGACCCAAGCTCTCGCTAACCTGTCGCTGGGTGACAGGTTCCCTAGCCGCCCCGGCTTTGGGACCAGAGGTACGCCTGTCACCCTGTGGGCCAACTACTACGAATTAGTGCCGCCCAAGGACCTCTTACTCCATCGCTATGATATTGCTATCGCTCCAGAGGCCAAGGGAAAGAAGCACAACCAGCTTGTGCGGCTGATGCTCGATACGCCTGACCTGGGTCCCTTCAAGCCCGACCTCGTCTCGGACTTCAAGTCGACCCTCATCTCGCGGAAGAAGCTGGATCGAGATGAGATTACCCTCAGCATCCAGTACCGTGCTGAGGATGAAGATGAACCGCTTCCGAACGCCCAGATGTACCGCATCCGCGTCAAATTCACAAACACTCTCAGCGTCTCTGAGCTGATGGATTACTTAACCTCCTCCAACATGGGCACCCGCTACCCGGATGAGCAGCCCATTACTCAGGCCTTCAATATCTTCATGAACCACCACGCCAAGGTTTCGGACGAAGTGGCCGCCATTGGAAAGAACAAAGCCTTCTCCATGGGCGCGAACAAGTTTGAACTTGGATTCGGCCTGGACGCCATGAGAGGTTTCTTTTCCAGTGTTCGCATGGCAACCTGCCGGGTGCTGGTCAATGTCAATGTCAGCTATGGTGCCTTCTACCAGGACATTCCACTGGACCGCCTCATGATCAAGTACGGCGCCGGCAACAAGCTCCGACTGGAGAAATTCGTCAAAAAGTTGAAAATCAGAACTACGCACCTCCCGGAGAAGAAGAACAAGTCAGGCAAAGTCATTCTCAGGGTCAAGACTATTGTTGCGTTCGCCAACAAGTATGATGGCCGCAACTTGGAGCACCCACCGAGGGTGAGGGCTTACGGCGCCGGTCCGAAAGACGTCGAGTTCTGGATGGACAGTGCGCCACAACAGACATCTGCAGGCTCAGGCAAGGGCAAAGGAAAGGGCAAAGGCAAAGCCGCCGGCCCGGCGAAGCCACAGCCCGAGGCTGCGTCTGGTGGTCGCTACATCAGCGTTTATGATTTCTTCGTCACGGGTAAGTGACTTCTTACAGAATAAAGTAGCCATCACGCTAACGGCAAGCAGCATACGGCAGGCGCATTGCCGATCCCTCACTCCCAGTTGTCAACGTTGGAACGAGGGATCACCCTTCATACCTTCCTCCCGAGGTTGGTGTAGTGATGCCCGCTCAGCCGGCAAAAGCCAAGCTGGATGCAGAGCAGACGGCGCAAATGATCAAGTGTGCGGTGCGTCGACCGTGGGAGAACGCTACTTCCATTGTCAACGAAGGATATCAGACTGTTGGACTCAACAAGGAAGGAAATCTGCAGCTGGTAAGTTTCCCTATGTAGGCTCTGTTCCTCCTTCCTAACGCTCGGCCAGGCCCAATTCGGCATTTCAGTCCCTAAATCCTTGATCACGGTCCAGGGACGCATCCTCAATGAGCCCAAGGTCGTCTACAAGCAAAATAAACCCGCGCAGATGCGCGGTGGATCTTGGAACTTGCTCGACGTGCAGTTCCACACGCCGGGAACGGCTCTGAAGAAGTGGTCCTGGCTCCTACTCTCCATGCCGGGCTATCCGGATAACACGAGTGTGGCGGATTTGCAGCCGCTCATCACCAACTTCTATAAAACCCTCCAGAAGACCGGCGTTCCTGTCGATGCTCCGATGCCTGGCAAGGGACTCTACATCCAAGGCGAAGATGACCCACAGCTGGACGCCATGTTCTCGCGCGCCTCGCAGGGTCTCGACCTCCTTTTCGTCATCTTCCCTGGCTTCAACAAAAAGCTGCCGGTCTACAACCGCATCAAGCGCCTCGGGGACTGCAAGTACGGCATACACACCATCTGCGCCGACGGCTCCAAATTCACCAAAGAGCGCGGCCAAGATCAGTATTTCCGTAACGTCGCACTCAAGTTCAATCTCAAGCTCGGCGGCGTCAATCACACTGTCTCCAACATCGCGCCGCTACTTGACATGGCCACCACCATGGTCGTCGGTATCGACGTCACGCACCCGTCTCCGGACTCCAGCAGCGCTGCGCCCAGCATCGCCGCCATGGTCGCCAGCGTCGACGCGCGCCTCGGCCAATGGCCCGCCACTCTCTCCGTCCAACAGTCTGCCCGGCAGGAGATGGTCTCGTCGCTCACCACGATGCTCATCTCGCGCCTCCGCCTCTGGCAAACCAAGGGCAAGAACGCCTCGCTCCCCGAGAACATCCTCGTCTACCGCGACGGCGTCTCCGAGGGCCAATACAACCTCGTCATGCAAGAGGAAATCCCCCAGCTCCGCGAAGCCTGCCGCCAGCTGTACCCGCCCGCGCAGACGGCAAAGGGCCTCCCGCGCCTCGCCGTCGTCATCGTCGGCAAGCGCCACCACACGCGCTTCTACCCCACCGCCGAGGCGCACGCAGACAAAAATTCAAACACCAAGCCCGGCACCGTCGTCGACCGCGGCGTCACCCAGGCCGCCCAATGGGACTTTTACCTCCAGCCCCACGTCGCCCTCCAGGGCACGGCTCGCCCCGCTCACTACTTTGTGGTGCTTGACGAGATCTTCCGCGCTCGCTACGGCGGCGGTGGTGGTGCAGGAAAGAAGCCGCTGCCGCCTGGATGCAGGAACGTTAGCGATGTCCTTGAGGAGCTGACGCTCGCGCTGTGTTACCTCTTCGGCCGCGCGACGAAGGCGGTTAGCTACTGCCCGCCGGCGTATTATGCGGATATCGCGTGTGAGCGTGGGCGCGCGTATCTGAGTGATGTGTTTGAGGCGAGTTCGGCCGGGTCGGTGACGGATGCTGGTGGGCAGGGTGGTGCCCCCGGGGTTAGGGAGGAGGATATTAGGGTGCATGAGAAGTTGAGGGATTCGATGTTTTATATGTGAGTGTGGGAGATGGATGGGGGTGACTTTGGTGGAGGGAGGGGGAGGGATTGAGATTTGAGGTCAAGATTGATATTGGTGTATTTGGGGTTTGATGGTTTGGATTTCATTATTTCTTGGGTAGGCAGGTTACGAGTTAATGACTTTGGACTATGGGTGTGCACGTGATGCTGTGGTGATTGTGTCTGCTGTGCTGTGAATTTCGCCGGGGAGGAGGCAGTATAAAAGAGAGACTGGAATACGAAACATTCGTTGAACTACGGATTGGACTCAGTCAAGACCTTAAGCCAAAATACAGGACATCATACTTTCTTGGGAAGGTTTTTGTTTGCGAGGTGGAAACCTTCATGTTTGTTTCGTTCTCTACTCTGGACTTCGCTTTCATCAAAACCAGTTTCAGAGGTGAGTCAAATTCATTCATCGATGAAGCATCGCAGCATCATAACATTTTGATGGAGCTCCACAAGATCCGGAGTCGTGACAGGTAGGCCTACCGAGCCGCATACTCGGGTAGGAAAGCAAAGGGAACGACGCGAGAGGCACGAAAGTGTACCGAGCGTTGACTTTTGTTCCCATCTAAACTGAGATATGACATGTACTGGACGATGAGTTCAAGCTGGATAAGCCTTTGATTTATAGCCTCACAACCTTGTCAGGTACACTACGTGTGCGTATCAACACTGCGGGCCGTACATACGCACGCGCTCATTCCACCTTTGATCGGGCCATGGTCAGTTGGTAACTTGGGCGGCGACGTCATCTGCTCAGCTGGTGAGCGAAGAACATCCGGGATCGATCTCTTCCCGCCCTTTAAAAGCACGGGGTGGTGGCCAGCAGCGATTTTCTTCTTCGTGTAGCTCTTGTACTTCTATTTTTTTTTTAAAAGAGTATATGGTCGATGGATAAAACGGGAACTGGCTTGGGTGTGGGGATTACACGAACATACGTTTTCGTAGGTCTGTTCCACTGGTAGAATGTTGACGCATCATTCCTGGTTGATGATGCTCGTCTACATTCATGGTTCATGATGCAGTGCGTGTTTATCTATGCCTAATGGAACATTGGGATTTCCAACGACTGTGTGTGGGAGAGTAGGGTGAAGTGACAGGCACAGAGAAAACAAACGACTCAAGTAGTGAGGACGAAGACTAGACGAGGACTATTAAAGAAATGCCCTCATCCAAGCTTCCCTGCAAGCAGCGCTGCTTTTTTGATCGTGTAAGGTAAGTTATTTGCTTCAATATGAGTTAGTGTTCATGGGGCATGATAAGTCTCGATGACGAAGACGTCCGGTGCGCTCGCGTCCACCTGAACGCTCAGCCATCAGGCACATACGCACGGGCGCCTTCCCCCAACCCGCATGCATAGGTGATGCCGCTGCACAGTATCCGCAAGCCAGCGGACCGCGATACTCGGTATGCATGCACAGCCCGTGCCCGCCGGTCAGCAGCTGAGCCTGACGCGCCCGCGTAGGCCACTACCTCCGCTGCTTAAAAGCACAACGTCTGCACTAACTCCCGAAGTTCGTCGGCGGTTCTGATCTCAAAATGTCTGAGTAGTCCCGGCATCAATGTCACTTGTGTCTCCTGGGACAACCAAAACCCATTACTCGCTGTGCCTTGTAAGTGCGCATACTCGCGCTACCAGTGCTTTGGGTTGGCGGGTCGGCAAGTCGACAGCATCCATTGTACATGAAGGTCATCAGTACCATCATCCTGGACTGCAGCGTAGCTTTGTCCGAGCATGATCTGTGAATCGGTGGTCACAGTACCGCGAAGATGGTGCGAAGCGAGACGCAGGCGCGAACGAAGGAAGTAACCATCCTGGATGTACCCACTGCACCCGTGAATGCGTCTTCAGTGCGCAAAGCAGTGTCCTCGACCGAGAATACCGGATATGGCGTGCCCTTTAAAAGGAGCACAATGCTGGCTCTCTGGTGGGAGGTACATGTATGGTACCAGCTGACCGGTTTGTGTGCCTTGTGCAGGAACCATGCTCGTGCGAACCGGCGTCTGGAAGGCTCTATTTTAGGAATATACGTCACTATAATGGCTTCTCCTCATTTGTTTGCATACACAAGCAATTTGAGCAGGCCGACTCTTTATATACGGGCTATCGAAGCACACTTACTTTTCGGCTGCGGGTCTTGTTCTTTAAATCCTTTGTGACTTCGCAACGGCTTTGGCTCATGCAGGAACAAACACCATTGAAAAGTAATGATGACATGGTTCCAGCATATGTTACTGCTGAACATCGCTATGTGAAAACTGATAGCCAGCGTAAGTTCAGTCAGTGCAGAATGAACATTTCAGGAATTGGAAAAAGAGGAATCCTGCCACCCTCAGGGGGTCCCGAGTGCTGACTTTGACCTGGGAATCTTTTGGGAGCAAGCTCGCATTTGCGCTGTTCCGTAGAAGCCGAGATGCTCAAATCAGTGATGCTGCTGCCTTGTTATCTCCAAAGTCCGAGGGCCAGACGTCAGCCGTCGAGAATGCGTGAGACCGGCGCACTTGGACAAAAGTAAAGTGCGAACGACCCATGCACACGACCTGATGATCTCTATTTCTTAAAAAAGCTCGCCGAGCACTCCGACATCCAGATTTACATTAGCGCATCTGTCTCAACGGGGCATGGCCGAAGCATACTGACGACACTTTGCATGATTCCAGAAGGGAAAAGATATCCCGTGCTGATGGTAATTGGGCCCATCCGGCCTGCGTCGCGACAACTTTTAGCCGCCGAGAGATGTGGTGAGCAAAAAAGAAAAGCAAGCAGTAGGGATCAGCGGTTGTTCGCGCAACGACATTGCGCGCGGGGATTCTCGTAAGCAGTTGCGCGTCCCAACGTGGCTTCGAGAACGCCATGCGACGAGATTGAAGAATAGAGCGGCCAATGGCATTTGCCAACAGCAGCTGCAGGTACGACCATCGTATTGGGTGGGTATGGGTGGTGTTGTGTGTCGTGTGACTGTGAAAGCACGGGGCGCAGTCAGTGTTGCCTATTGTCGGGGAAAGCGAAATGGAATTCCTTGGAAAGCTCGGGGCAAAGCGATGGATAGAGGGGGGTATAAAAGCACGATGACGATATTAAGAAAGCGGTGTTGACGGATGAGGAAACGCGGTGAAGGATTTCACGGGGAGAGCCGAATGATCAGGGCGGACGATTAGGGAGTTCTCTCTTTCAGGACGAAATGGCCCCGCTGGGGCCGTTTGGGATCAGGTACATCTACAAATCAGAGTGCGTAGTCAAGGTAGTGTCGGAATGCTCGGGTGACCAATGACAGGGGATTGCAGTGTATTCGATCCTTTTTTTACTCGTCGGTCATACCGAGATTTGAAATTCCAAGTTGGAAAGCATTGCGAAAGTAGGCTACAATAAGCAGAGGGCGGGATGCCGCTGATGCCGGCGCCGGCGGGCCGGTTAGGGCTGATGGCTGGTGGTGGCTAAGCGACTTTTGTGAGTGCCACGAGGGTGTGGCAGTGAGCGGAAGGCATGGGTATAACTCCCGGAAGTAGGGGAGCAGGCTGAGAAGCTTAAATATTAACGTTGCGTCGCGGGCAAAGATTGGCGGGTTTAAGTGGAGCGGATCGGAAATCAGAGACTCGGGTTGGTGGCTGCGGGAGCGGGAAAGTTTGGAGCTGATGGGCGTAAGCCGGGTGGTGTGGCTAGTGGGCATGGCTGCTGACAGCTCTGAGGTAAGAGGCCGGTCGTGTGAACCAGAGTCGACGCGTTTCGCGTGCCTGAGATGCGAAGGAATGACGTCGCAGGCATGGGTTGTGGGTCGTCCGTCAGCATGGAACGTGCCGAATACGGGCCGACTGTTGGTTTCGAGAGAAAGGCATTCAGAGCCTCACCGACTGCGCAGAGCAAAGAGTTGTGATGGGCGTAGCGGGAGGATGGCAGATCTGTGCGCGTCATTGTTGCCCAGGTGAAGAAGAGTTGGGGGCGTTTGGATCGACTGGGATCGCCGGGCAAGATTCGCGTGGTCCGTGCTGCGTCTAAAGCTTTAGTCAGCGCTTGCCCGCCCGCGCCTGTCGTCGCCGCGTGTCCGCGCTCAGCCCCGGTCATCATGGCCCTCACAACTGCAATCGCGCCCTGTTGTCCTCCGCCTCACACGGACGTCGCCTATGGTGCATGTTTCTGGATCTACCCGCCTCCTCTTGGCGTTTTTCGACTTCTGCCGGCGCCATGAATCTTTCCGGTTTCTATCATCTGAGCCTCAACCTCCATCGCTCTCGTCCGAGTCCGTCGGTGGCCCGCCTTTTTCTTAATATAGCATTCTGCTGACGGCTGTGTGTCTGTTGATTGGTCCATCTCGACCAATGACTCGCTAATTCCTGGACCATGGCTCTGGACCCTTTTACCTCTCAACACCCATGCTCGCCGGGATAGGCAGTGACGACATGGAACTGCTATCCCATCGCCATCTGCTATGACTCCGCGCTTTGTATGCATCTGCATCTGTCGACGGGAAATGCTGACCATGTCTATATCGGCCGTAGTCTGTTTGCTTTCTCAAACCCGAGCCACTGTGCTCACGTTTCCATATCATTCTAATCTCTGACAGCATCTCATCATGCTTCTCCACGCGCGTCGCCTGGCCAAAAAGCCCCCTCTTGCCCGTAAGCCCGTTTCTGCTGCATCTTGCGAGCGCCGGGACCTCCCATCATCCGTCCGGCCTCATAATGGGTCCCCTCTCACATCGAGAATGGAAGGAGTGATCCGTGCCCGACAAGCAACACGATCCGCCATTGCATCTTCCAAGAAAAAAAGCACAAGATTTGACTTCCAACTCTCGTATATATCATCGTCGCCACATGTATTCAAGTCACCAGTACAATCCAACTCTTCACCTCAACTTTGGATGCCCATATATCCAGTCCCTACTGAATTCGAAAGACCCCCACCACGTGTATATTTGATCCCGTCCTTTGACACCATGCCAGAAGGATCCATCAGCGAGGTAAGCCTTGTGAGCTCTAACATCCCACTAAGGCTAATAAACCCCGCAGAATGAGAAGAGGCAGCTCGTCGGTGCTCTTCAGACCCATCGCCTGAACACCATCTCCGAGCTTCGCCGCGCCGAGAAGTCTCTGGCTACCATTGACTCTGCCGATGTCTCGGAGCCCATGACATCTGCATGTATGTTGTTCCTAACCATTTGTGAGGTTGCCAAGAAACTAATCTGGAAAGGGACCTACTATGTCAACTATCACGGTCTGCTCACCGAGCTTCGTAGCTTAACCCGGAATTATCCCTTTAGGTACATGGTTGCATCTGAATCTAAATCACTACACCATCAACTGATTCGCTCTTCTTTGGCAGTTCCGATTGCGTTGAAGAGGCTAAGCGTCGGGTGTACTCGGACCCCAACAGCAATCGGAGTTGGAACCTCGCGTGGCTCGTGCTGACCAAAATTCAGTCCGAGTAAGGCCTTCTAGAACCAACCCATCAGTGCTTTTTCTAATCCTTTTACAGCCAACTGATTTCTTACTATGCCCGCTACCAAGCCTCCCAACCAGCCATGTGGGGCAACCAAGCCCCTACTGCGGATGGTGTGGCTAAGCTCGCTAGCGCCTTCGTTAGCGAGTGGAACTTCGCCGTCTCACAACTGCTCCGCTACTGGGACCGTCCTCCGGTGTCACATTGAGACGTCGCAGGTGGTTGGCTCAGAGCAGTTCAAGCTAAGTACAGTCTTTGGCTGATCTCGTTCACTTTCCGTCGTCTTTATTCTCGGTCTTCTTATTTCCTACCGTCTTCATTCCATCCGTTTCCAGTCTTCTTGTACTCTTAGCGATCGCACCATTCCAGTCGTTTTGGCTATATACCTCTCCAGCGGGTTACTCTCGTTTCCATTTTCATAGAAATCTCAAAGTTCGGGCCGGCACCGAGCATTTTCCTTCTGCTTCTTCCTGACTGCTCTCCTGGCTTGTTTCCTTGTGTGCGCCATTCGTCATGCTTGACATACTGGTAACTTGTCTTCGTTGCCTCATGTGTTATCGCTGCATTTTTCGCATTTCTTTGGTCCCTGTCTTCTTTACTCCGCTGCTGCTGATGCCATTCCCAATAATGGCCATATTCCCCTTCGCACGCGCACCTATCGGCATCTGGAATCCACCCATGCGCCTCCTACTTGCTTACCACGGACACCATGCATCAGAAACAGGCAGTGAGATTACAGTGTATCCACGCACAGTCATCTTTAACTAGCATCTGGCACGGTCGACCTGGGACCGTGCCACGGCGACAAAAAGTTTCGACCTGACTCCGCAAAGGATCTTCCCCCTGCTTACGGACGTATGTGGGTATCTGAGCCTATCAAACGGCTGTATTCGCACAACTTCCGAATTCACGTTCATGTCCAGGCGTTGGCTTTACCTTCCCAGATACGGAAGATAAGACAAATTTTCTGGAACTTACCGTTATGCCGCCATCGGAACAAGTGTTTCTCGTCCCTTCCGCTGGAGAAGCACCCGGAGCAAACTGCCGCTAAAAGTTGCCTCGCCTGACTCAACAAGCCCGCTGGGATCAATGCATACCCGGCGACTTGGGCACCGTTAAGAGGGTAGGTATCGCATTTATGGACCCGCATGACGAAGCTTCATCGGTTGCTCCTATGGCAAGGTTGTAGTATGATGAACCGGCAGTGTCGATGCCGCGTAAAACAAAAAAAAGAAATTATTCATTTGCCGTTGTTGAAGACACTGACGCAATAGATGTGCCTAAGGCAGGACGGCAATTTCAGCGCCAAGACTTTGAGAGAAAGTCTAGACAGTTCGACGTATTAGCCTAAGGCTGAGACAAGCCAGGAAGAGCGGTGGCTTGGACGGGTTTCAAGACGAGTAGATGCTTTCGTCAGGGTCCGCAGGGTGGCGGAGGGATGAACCTTGCCTCAAGGGGAAAAGATGCTGCATGGGACGTCGGGGGGCGATGACGAAGCTCGTGCAGAGGCCGGGGTTTATCTGATCGGGAGCACGGATCTGGCCGAGCGGAAGGAGCAGGTAGGCGTGCGTAGACGTGGTAAGTTCTGATGCCCAGCGTTGCGCATACCGGAGGCTGAGATGTGTGATGATGACGAAGCGTATTGCTAAGCCGCCGAGTGAAGCTTGGATGGAAGGCAGCCCAGGTAAGCATACCAAGCTCCGGTCAACGGTGTGGCTGAACCATCTCGCAGTGTGCTATGCGGAGGGAGTTGCATACACCAGGATTAAGGTAACGGAGCTCGGTCTCAGCCCTGCTGGGTGAGTGGTCGGTGCGGACGAAGATTAACGTGCGAAACCGGCCCCTGCCGGATCGGTGAGGTGAAATTTCTTCCATTAGGCTTCTGGGGAGGCGATTGTGCCTTAAGAGGGCTCTACTAACGGTGTTCCTGTCAGGCATCCGGACGCGTGGCCCGGGGTTGTTTGCACGTGTGCGTGCTTCTGATTGGCCGTGTGTTTCATTGATCTCCGGCCGTTCGGGGCCACTACAGCTTCTTCCTCCCTCTTCTGCATTGCCCACCTTTCGCGCAAGCGTTCCGCACTCGCTGGTTCCGCAGTCGCGAGAGGTGGGATGCTGCTTTGTCAAAACGTGCAGGCACATGCCACCTTCCCGGCCCGTCGTTCCAACAACGATCAGGCTCTCGTCCTACTCTCTTACCCTTGCAGTGCTGCGCTCAGGCCGAATCATTGGCTATTCGGCATGCAAGTGGGCCACTGCCGGCATGTGTGCGTATGCACGCAACGTACCTGCAGCCTCCTTCATTTGGCTATCACCCTACCACTGTCGGAGCGGTGCGCCACAGTGGCAGCCATTAACTGATTGCGCTTCCAGTCCGCTGCCAGGCTGGTCGCTTTAGAAAGGAGCCCGAAGAAGGCATTGCCGGCGCGTGCGTGGCCTACGCTCGGATGCGTTCCAGCCAACGACGTGAAGCACAATAGAGAGCGTAATAGGCACACCTCTATGCTTTTCCGAGTGCGGCAGGTCGACTATCCAATCACGGTGGCGCAACGACGAGGCCCCACTCTCGGTCGCTACCGCTACAGACTGCCGTAGTATGCTGCGCGTGATATAGAGAAACTTGGCCGGAGCGTTCCGTCGCCTTGAGTCGCCGCCACTTAATATTGAATGCCCACTCGGCGATCGTATGCCAAGGCTTTTCCGGGATCAAAGTCTTGAAGCTCCGAGACAAGCTACAATACAGGCAGCTGCGTGGCTGCTCCAGAGGCTTGGGCTGTATAAGAGTCTGCTCGGCGCTTCTTCTTCTTCTTGATTTTCAGCAGCTACTATCCATCGCGACCATCTTCTCTCTACTTGCCTTGCCAAAGATACCCAACTGCCTTTACTTTTCTTCGTCCCTTTCAACATGCATTTCACGCTTGCTTCTGCCGCCACTTTCTTGGCCCTTTCCTCTTCTACCGCCGCACGCCCGGCGCTTTCTCCCAGGGCCAGTGACAGTGGTTGCATTGTTACCCTGAATAACACCCGCACGACTCCTGCAAACCCTGCCGAAGTCATCCTCATGAGTAAGTTCCCTCACAGGCCTCATCCTGTCCTACATCCCACTAATACATATCCAAAGGGACCATGATCAAGTGGAACAACTCGACCAACAGCTCCGGATTCTCCTCGGTATGTCCAAACCTCGGCTCTGCGCCACCATGCATATTTTTTCTTTTTGCCCTTACCTATATCTGCACTTTATTATGATACCATCATGCGATGGGTCCAGCCACAGCCCGATGCAGCCGATTGCTAACCAGGGATTGACAGAGCTATTGCGACTGGTCCAACACCATCCAGGCTCCCTTCTCCATCTTCTTCTACGCCGACACCATCCCCAACTACACCACCACCGACGCACTGGCCGCCGTGCTGGATAAGTGGGTCGGCACTTGGCTGATCTCCCCGACGACGTCTCCCGCAACCGGCAACGCGGGCGATTACAACATCACCAGCGTTACCTGCGTCTGACCGGGGAAGTGTGGTGATGCAGTTTGGAACTTGTAACATTTGTGGTCGAAAAAGAAGTTTGTTTGGAAATGCCTTTTTGGAACGGTCGGCCCCCTTTTTTGACGGGAAGTTTGTTCCTTTGACGAGAACTGAAATGAGCAATTTTGGGATACATGTCTTCGTGCTTTTCATAGATTGTTAGTGGCTTGGGATTGTCAATATGAAGTGTTGGAATGCGAACATACCCTGAAGTAGCACGACGTATCTTGAAGTCAACCCCCCAGTCCTTCAGCATCGAAGCGTTTCTTCCGGAATATGGAGGTACGATTCCAGAAGACCACGAAGGGGCAGGGGGGGCCTGGAGGATGGTTCTTTTTTTTCGGATGCGAAAGTGCGGAAACCCTTGCAGCAATTTTCTCTCTCAAGTAGCGGTTCGTATTTCATCTGCTGACGACCGTGACGGATCAGAACTATCCCGCAAGGCAGCCCTCTGCAGCGTATCCTCCCTCCCCAGCGCCACGCTCTCCTGCCTCGATCGCAGCCTCTCAACATGCACCGCCTTCGACTTCATCTCCCCCAACCCAGCCATCGCCTCCTCCTCGTCCCTTCCGCCCCCTCCTCCCGCTACGCCACCACTACCCGTCACCGCCGCCCCCGCGGCCGCCGCCGTCGCCGCCGACTGCTGCGGCAACTGAAACGAATTCATCTGCACCACGCCCGCCCCACCCGCAAAACTGCCCGCCCCCTCACCCACACCCCAGTCCGGCGCGACCCACGACACATCATCGCTCTCGCCGGGCAGGCTGAACTTGCTGCCGCCGCGCACGGCAGCGACCAGGCGGTTGAGGATGGCGAACTCGAGCTTGAGCTTGATCGAGTACACGAACGGCTTGTACGTCGTCTGCACGCGGTAGAAGTTCGCGAACTGCGTGCCCAGCAGCGTCGCGTCCAGCGCCACGACGACGATGTTGACGTAGATCAGGTGCCGCCGGATGCTGCGCAGCGTGTTGCGGTCGCCGACGCCGCCGGTGAAGGGGGTGCCGATTGAGGCGGAGGTGGTGGTGGTCGTGGTGGTTGTCCCGGTGGAGGATTGTTGGGATTGGAGGGCGGTGTTTGGGGTAGGGGTGGTGGTTGGTGCGGCGCCGGGGGGTGGTGCGGCGGTTGGGATTTCCGGGATGGGCTTGAGGATTTTGGTGCAGGCTTCGTAGATGTAGATGCCTGAGATGATGACTTCTTGGATCGAGAAGGCGGTGACTTGGATCTTTTCGTAGTCCATGTAGATGCCGGCGCGGTATTGGTTCGTCTCGGCGAGGAAGATGAGGATGCACGGCGGGATGTGGAAGCAGAAGGCGTCGACGATGATCATGCCCAGCACGAATCGGAGCTTCCTGTTGCGCTCGTCGCGGATGACGAGGTGCAGGCGCGAGTATAGGGCCAGCGACTGGCAGCTGACCATGGGTACCCACCCAGTGATGATGAGCGCCAGCCCGATCCAGCGCGTGCTGTCGAGCGTGATGAAGTATTTTATGATGAAGCCGATGACGTAAAGGAAGATGCCGAAGGTTGCGAGAACGATGGACCAAAAGTAAAGGCCTGAGCGCCGGCGGAAGGTGAAGTATGCTTTGATCAGGATGTCGACGCCGTTGAATGTGGCAACGGAGAGGAACCCCATCATGACCAACGAGATGCCATAGGGCGGACGGGTTCTACTCATTTCGTAGAACTCCCCTTTGTCCTCCTCCTGCATCATGTGGATGTCCATGATGAGCGGTCGGGGGACGTTCGGCGGTTGGAGGCGCTCGACAACAGGGTGTTGAAGGGTCTGTGGAGAAATTCGGCTGCATTAGAGCATGCATGATAGTCTTATGGATTGGTTGGCTGACCACCAGGGGGCCGGTTACATTAGTCCTTGGTCTCGACTGGGGTAATTCGACTTCTTCGCCGCCGGACTCGGGGTCATGGGGATGCGCCAATCAAGTGGCGAACGGGTGCATTCGCCGAAAGCTGCGGCTGGGAGGCGTGGAGCCGAATTGGCGGCTGGCAGAGAGGTGGAAATAAGAGAGACGATCATCTTGCAGTCATGGCATGTCTAAGGCGAGCTAAATGCCGAGGGCAGGCGTAGCGATTCAAGAGATTTATGTATCTCGATGATCTCGCTACGAGCAGCCGATAACGATTGGAGATGGTGAAGTCTACCGGGGCATTACGTGGGGTCAGGCCAAAGCGGTGAGCATGCAGCTGGTTGGAGCGGCAGGATGCAGCTCCGACGGTACGTAAAGGCTCGCCATCGACTGCGGTTCACGCTAGCCGAGCCCCGCACCTGTTGGTACTTTCTTCGCTAACCCAGGCTCTTTTGCAAATTGTTTTAGCTCCCGCTCTTCGCGCGAGTCACCGCTCAAAACTCCGTCCAAGCTCTTCCCGTTTGCTCTTTCCAGGATAGCGTCGGCCAGCTATCCGGACATTTCGAGGCTGCTGTTGGCATTTCTCTCACATGCCAGGTAAGCAGAGATCTTCACCAATATAGCTCCCATGTGGGCAATGCATCATGCGTGCCACGCGCGTTCCAAAGAAACTTCGAAACGATCTCCGCACCACCACTTTTTGGTCCTAGTTGGAAAAAGCAATATTAAGCCATCGATCCTGATTGCTTCCAAACAACTTCCACTGACGCCATCACATTGCCTCACCGGTTTCTCACACACGTGGGGTACATACACGTCAGGTACCAGGGGTCGATCACTTACTCCAAACGGATCTAAGCTTTCGCACCGGAGAATAAGTCCACTGGAGCACCACACTTGAAAGGATCTCGATCCAACACCAGCGGAGCTGCGCGGTACGTTGGCGCCGAACTACTTGTGTTCTCGAACCCCTCATGTAGGGGCCCCGTCTCGCCGCGCACATCTACGGTCCGATAGCCAGCCGTCCACTGCCCCTTGGGTCCTAAACAAAACCCGCCAGTGCCCTCCGTCGCAGTACACTCGTTGTTTTCCTATTTCCAGAAACAACTCAGCCGAAGGATTTGCGCCCCATGATGCGGCCATCCCTGCATTTTAAGCTCCGCGACCCCGCCTCAGAGCGCCACTCGACGACCTTTGGCTTGCGCTAGCTGCTTGAGGAAATTACCTTGGTGGAGTCCAAATATCTTTGCAATCTGGAACTTGCAACCCCTCAACTGCGACGAGCTGAGCCCGGGCCCTGACTTTGGGGGCTGATGGAGCCTTGCGATACCATAGGCGACAACAGATTTCTTAAAATATCTAACGAGGCTCTGGCGAAAGGCCTCGTGTCTCACAGAATCATCCGAATAACATGTACAGAGGGATGCTGCAGCCGATAGCTAGCGCGAAGAATAGCAGGGCTTAAGAACATAGCGTGACCATGCCCCAGCTCTACATTAGAAAAATTAACATATCTAGGTAGCTGAAGCTATTGTCCGGACGTGTATGTGGAATTTTTAATTCGACATTCTCGTCCGGACGATAGCTTCAGCTACCCATAATATAAGCAAAAACCAAATCCACGCTAGCCATCGGCTGCGAGAGGGGACTATGGTTGATCATACAGCAATGGCACGTGGAGCTCGTAAGTCGATTGGCTCATTTTTGTCCTACCTGCAAAATGCCAGGAAGAGGTGCAACAGAGGACTGCTGCCTTCGATGAGGCCGAGTCGCGTCATCGTTGCACATTTGCGCAAGGCTATCGGCTATGCTCCTTACAAATACCCTTTGGAACCTGCAGGAGCCGAATGGTCCTTTACTTCTTCACTATTCGGTCTGTTGGATAAAATTGGTTTTGAAAAACATCTACGAAGCAGTCCGCATTCCTTACGCGTTGCAGCAACAACCAGGACTGTGTCTTCGAGATAAGACGAAGAACTGGACAGTACCGAGGGCCATGCGGGCGATCCAGAAACCACAATCGGGCACCAAACTCCAGGAGCTCATCATGGTGGCCCCGTTCAATCTTTCCAGCAATTAAAACTTCCAATACTTCCTTGACAACTCCCAATACTTCGAAAATATTCCTTCTGACTTCCTGAGCCCCTGTGCCTTCACAAAGGAGGGTCAGAGCCGGTATTTGGGAATTCTCCCGGATAACGACCCCACCACATACCTGCACCCTCACTGGAAGGGGCTCATCAGCGATGTCCTCGCCGACACTGATAGTCCGACTCTGGCGTGGCAAGCTTTTAGGACCGCGATGATGAGCACCGCCTACTACGACTGGCAGCCAAGATCGTACTACTCCGAACCAGCTCTGATCACTTCTGTTATTTCCCGGCAGGTGCCGGTCGGCAGAAAAGGGCTCTGGATCGTCTTAATAAATATCGCCTTGCACCTACTCTTGGTCTCGGTAACATTCGTTTGGTTCGTCCTCGCTACTCAGTACAGCTTGCTCAACAACCCGTGGCAAGCTGTATCGCAACTCAAGGCTCCGGAAACGGAGAAACTGCTCGACAAAGCTACAATGAGGAGTGAAAAGGATGTTCAGTATGTGGTCCGTGCGTCGGGCATGGAGAGAGTGAGGTTCGCGGTTCGTAGGAGGCCGGAGAGCGGCCGGGTCTGTTTGTCACCGTTGCAAGATTTCGGGGTTGAAAGTGGGAAAACTGAAGTGCCACCTATGCGGGCTGATTCGGGAGAAGCTATTCCACTCGAATATCGGAGGAGCGGCTCACTTGATGAGGCAGCCGTGCAGAACGATGGAGATGAGAGCCCCTCACCCCTTCGTCCTTCACAACGCACGTATACTATGGCAACTATCTAGCCGCAGCGCGGTTGATGATACCAGATCACGTAGCTAAGCTTGAGTAAACATACTCATTGTTTGCAATGATCAGTGCGGTCGAGTAATAATTGAATGGACAGACAGTGAGGTCTTACGGCATTGCTCATTCGGAGATCTTATGATGTGCGAATGTATGTGGAGCACAATAGCCATCATTCCTAAACACTTTTGCTAATTTACGTTACAGTCTCCTCTTACAGGCGATGGCTAGCGTAGATTTGTTTTTTACTTATATTATAGGTAGTTAAAGCTATCGTCCGGACGAGAATGTCGAATTTTTAATTCTACATACACGTCCAGACGATAGCTTCAGCTACCTATATATATTGTTCTTCTAAGGCAGAGCTGGGGAGCCCTGCTATTCTTCGTGCTAGCTATCTGCTACGAGAGGGGGCTGTATATTTGTTATCAGACACGTGAGTCGTGACGTACGACGTCACCAGAGCACAAGACCAAAGGACTACTCCGGCCACAGCTATTAAAGGCCGACTAAACGTTAGCGACACGGTAGATCCTATTCTGGTCAGGACACGTTGACAAATGCGACTTCCTGTATTAAGACCAGTTTCCTCATATTCTACGAACTTTTCGTCGCGCTTGCTGTTCAGTCAAGCCATGCAGAGTGGCATGGTGCTTTGTGTACATGTACATTCACTGACAGTCGTCATCAATGAACGCCGCTACTGATCATTATTTCTAAAGAATGATGCTGATCTTAATCTAATTATAATTTTAGAATCCGTCTCATCAGTATAACCACGGTAAAATAAGGATACAAGCTGGACGTGGTAGTATAAAGAGGAAGATTTGAATAGGAAGCCCAAAAGTGAAGATATTTCGTCTTCCAGACTTCCTCAGTGAAACTGTCAGACCAAAAATATCTTTTGGTAGAAAAGCCGGTCATGAGCCGTGATATTTAAGTCCCATCGGCCTGCAAAACATTCAAAGTCTTCTGCCCAACTTCGGTCAGCAGACGGGAGAAGTATCCGCGTGAGCATCCAAAGTCCGGTGCGTGGTATTTTCTTCATTCAAGCTTTGATTAGAGAAGGCACATCTGTTCTATAGTAGCTCCTCTTCTCATTGCCATCTATGTTTCCGCAGAAATGACTTGGCCATGCTTTCTACTCACGAACGCCTTATCATCAAAGGTCCCACCATTTTTTTACTCTATCCAATTCAATGGCCCCCACCCTGCCCCTTCACCAACTTCCCCGCCCTTTCCACCCACTCCCTCCCCACAGCCTCCAAGCCACCAACCCCATCCACATTCCCACCCATCTCCCGAACCAACAACTTCCGCACAGCCTCCATCCTCTCATCAAGCTCTTGCCCTTGCCCCCCCTCAGCCTCCCCATCTTCTTCTTCTTCTTCTTCCCTGCGCCTCCTCCTCCCAACAATCCCCGCATTCCTCGTCGACGGAATCCGCAACATCTCCTTCTCCGGCACGAACCCGACGTCCGCCGCCAGCCGCGACACCCAATCGCACAGCGTCGCGTACGCTGAGGGCTGCTGGTTCTTGCCGCTGCTGCCTTTCTTGTTGTCGCCGAGCGAGCCGGTCTTGCCGCCCTTGCCCCCCTCCTCGTCTTTCTTGTTGTTCGCAGCAGCTTTCTGGACCGGCGCGCGGAACTTGGCGCCGGCGAAGTTGTGGCTGCAGCAGGGTATGGCGATGAAGGGCGAGCGGGAGAGGTATGCGAGCAGCGGCGTCCACGGCGTGAGCTCGTCGGCGTGGTTGGAGATGATGAAGGTGCCTGCGGCGAAGATGCCGTTGTGGAATTTGTCGGCGGGTGCGTTTGCGGCGCCGCTGTTGTCGTCGAGTTTGAGGTTGGAGAGGAGGTCGGCGTTGCCATTGGCGTCGTCGGTGGTGGTGGAGGCGCGGACGAAGGGCTCGGGGACCAGGACCATCTCTTTCAGGTTCTGTTGGACGGCTGGCGGGAATGTGTCCCACGTCTTGCGGCGGCGCGCGTCGAAGCCCCATCCGGGATAGCCTTCGCTGCGTAGGACGTAGACGAGCAGGCCGTTGCCGCAGCCGATGTCGACGAAGCCTGGGAATGGAGGCTTCGCTTTCTCTTCTTCCTCCTTTCCCACTCCCACCTCCACACTCTCTCCATTTACCCCAGCATCCCCATCACCGACAATAGGCGCAGCATACATGTCCTTCCACAACTCCAGCAAAAACGCTGCAATTCCCAAGTCCTCAAAGACATGCTTGCCCGACGGCGTCTGCTCGACCCAGCCCGCAATCAGATCCTTCGCATACGCGGTCTTCAGGCGCGTGTACGTGTCCTGGAAGCGGGCTTGCGGGATGAGCTGGTCGTGGTGCACGCGCTTGGTGTAGCCGGCCTTCTGGCCCAGGCTGTGCTTGTTGATGAGGGTGAGCAGGCTGAGCGCGGTGCGGATGAGGCGGTTGTCGAGGGGGTGCGTGGGGAAGAGGCGGTAGTGGATGGAGAAGTGGCCGAGAGGGGAGGAGGCGTCCGGGGTTGGGGATGGCCAGGTGTGGAGGAAGGCGAGGGCGGCGACGGTGGGGTGGTAGAAGGGGACGTCGGATGCGGATTCTGAGTGGGGGATGTAGATTACGAGGTTGCTTGTAGAGCCTGAGTCGTCTTTCTTTTGGAAGATGTGGCAGGTTTGGACCAGAGGGTTATCGCGCTGCGGGTTGCGTGGGATCATCCGCCGCACGATCGTCTGCTCTAGCTCGTAGCCTGGCACGTGGCATGGCCGTGGTTGGTAGTCAGCCTTGATGTGCTTTACGAACTTTCCTTCCGGGTCGTTGAAGCTATCGTAAAAGATTTCGGCACGGAAGAGGTAGGTGGATGCTATCTCCGGGTGGCGGATGAGGTTGAGCATAACGCGCTGATAGTATTCGGGCTCGAAAGCACATGGTGTTTCGAACATGGGAGTCCATATCTCATCCGGAAGAGAGAAGCTGGCGGGCTCCTGAGTAATATCGCGTGGTTGGAATGCCTTCTTCCCATTCTCAATGGTGGTAGCGTCGACCTGTGTTTCTGACATATTCCCAGTGCTCTTTCGAAGTACGCTTAGCTCTATGCTCTTAAAACATGTATGCTGTATAAATCCAGATCAGAAGTTACTATGTAGCCAGGGTTCCTGGTCGGCGGGTAAGCTGGGTAGGTATAGACGATTGTAGAAATGTGTAAGAGGTCAACGGCGCCGCGTCTTCGAGTTGGGAGGTGCCAAAGTCGTGGCCGACGAAAAACGGCGGACGCTTTGCAAGGAACGAATACTCAGATCGAACATGGCTCGGAACATTCAGGCTGAATTTCTCTAAATAATTACTCATTAATCTCAACTTTCGATATGACAATACATTCACCCGATCGTCCAAAGCAGAGAAGCCAAAAAATGGGAGTCGGCAAACCTTCCCGTGCCGGCCCTCGAGCCAAAAATTTCGGCGCCTCAAAAGTCCGCGCTTAACCCCGGCCTTCTCATCTCCACAATCACAGTCGCGAACACCGCGACATCCTCACTCCGCTCGCCGCCATGGAGCTCACCCCGGTGCGCGCTCGAGGCAAGCGAAAAACGCGGCCGAGTCAGGCCGCCGACTTACCCGCAGGCAAAAAGCGACGCCCAGGCAGACCACGCACCCGCCCGTTGTCGCCGCTTCGCGCATGGAAACCGAAGTACCTTGAGCTGCAGCAACAATGGCACCCCGGCAGAGAAATACTACCCCCAGGCAAAGATCTGCCCACCCGGCCGATCACGAAGTGGGACTTACCGCTACCCTGGCCAGAGGAGCTCCCCGGTTCGCTCTCGCAGTCGCAGACGCAGACGGATACACAAATGTCGACGCTGCCTGACGGCGCTCAGACACCCTTGATAAAGAAGAAGAAGCGACGGTCCTCGTATATGAGGAAGCTGTCGCCCCTGGAACGCTTACCGGCCGAAGTGCTGCAGCAGATTTTCCTTAACAGCATGAACATGAACCTCCCCGTCGCAAGCATCGAGCTGCTTCACAAGCTGAACAGCGACCACATCAAGCTCGAATTTTCGTTTCGCATGCTTTACTGGCCGGATGATGAGGAACGGACGGAAAACATGGATCTTCCCGACATGCAGGGCAAGCTGCTCTCGCTGCGCTTTTTCGACTGGGACTTCTACAAGAAATACGCCGCGAAGGCATGTGAGAGGTTTGGCGCGTGGCCGTGGTTGCAGGAACAAGATCCTCACGCCACGTTGGAAGAGCTCCTCCTACGGCGTGAAGCTGATTACGATGTCTTGGACCGCTTCAACCTAGGATGCGAGCACGCTGAGGAGATTCCCCCTTTCCTGAGGTTACATGAGAAGACACCACTGCCAGCAAAGCTCCTCAAGGGCCCGTGGTACTACGGAAAGCACATGATGCTTCGTTTCTTCTTTATTCAGAACCTTGGAATCGATCACGACAACTCAACCACATCGGAGACGCTTATCGAGGGCCTCATGGGCATCGCCAAGGAAAAAGAGTCGGACTACATCGAAATCGCCAAGTGGCTTATTTGTATTGCCATTGCTTCGGACATCCAGCTGCCTCAGAAGCTGCTCCGGCGTGCTGTCATTGATGGTGGCTGCGATGAAGACTTAGTGGAGAGCATGCTTACCTGGAGCTTGCACAGCGAAATCGAGTACTTTGATCCCATGTTGTGGAATTGGGCTGAGCGGGCGCCTGAAAAGCAAAAGGGACGCTGGCTGATGAATCAATTGAGGGCAGCTGCAACTAACAAGGAGGAGCTTATCGCTGAAGAACAGGCCGAGGAAGAATAGCCGTTTGGCTAAACGAACTTGCGCCAAGCAAGCACATGGACGGCGTACGTATAAGGATTTTTGAGTTTCCAAGCATATTTAGATACCCGACTTTTCAAACACTACTCCGAAAAGTCAGCGAATGACATTCTTCTCTGCCTCTCTCAACCGTATATTTCGATTTTTTGTACCTAACTACATCAGACGCGCGAAAAATTGACTTGGGCATACCGGGGAACGCCCTTGCACGTGATCTGGTGCACGGGCCAATAGGGCAGCGTCATTCAGCCTCTGAGCTTCTGCCGGCGCGATTTTCTCTCGAGATCGCATCCTTGCGCTCCGATCTCTCAGCGCGCTCGTCCAACCTTGTCACGAATGGCCGGTGGGTGAAGACATACACCACACAGAGATGCCTCCAGTCTCTCTTCGTCATGCGGCTGTTCCTTCGCCCGCGCTTCTGCGCTTCCTGAGGGCGCAATCCGTCCTGTCGAAGTCCGGAATCACCACTTTTGCTCCGCCGAGCAGCCCGTACGTTTCCTGCGCGCGTCACAATTCTTCGCTCGCCGCACCAAGTGGTTGCCAGTCTCCAGCGTGCACGGGGCCGAACTCCTCCGCATGCCAATCGAGCCCAGCTCACACAGCCATTTCTCGTCCATCCGCTGCGCCATGTCGGATTTTCATGTCCTCGGCGGAACCGCTGTCCCTTCTGCCGCGGAACAAGCACGCCGGTTCTTTCGCCGACCGCCGCCACTTTACGAATACCCCATCTACCGATTTTCTGTGGAAGAGAACGAAGCGCAAGTCTGGCGCCGGTCCTCTTCAGCCGAACGACCTGCCTCCTCGTTACCCAGAAGGCTACACTCAGGACGAACATGGCAATCTGGGACGAGTTCTGCGCCCCATCAATGAGCCGCGCATCCGATGCACCGAGTTCGACGAGAACGGCAAAATTACGCTTGTGAACAGTGAATTCCGGAAGAGCGAGTTGATCGCGAAGGTATACTAAGAACATGCGAGAGCAGAAAGGCATTGCTGACAGCTACCAGTACGGACTGCTTCCGCGAGACCTACGCAAGATCGATTCCGCCATGCTGCCGCACATCCTCGTCCGTCCGTCCGCCATCCTGCTGAATCTCCTCCACTTGCGCGTGCTCATCAAGCATAACCGTGTCCTCGTGTTCGACGCATACGGCACCACCAACTCATACGCTCAATCGCTCTTCATGTATGATCTGGAAGGTCGCCTGAGGCAGAAAGACTTGCGCCAGAACGGCTCTTTGCCCTACGAATTCCGCGCCCTGGAAGCTGTCCTGCTCAGCGTCACAACTGGTTTGGAGAGCGAATTCGAAGGTGTCCGCGAGCCTGTCGTGCGTGTCCTGCGGGAGCTGGAGGAGGACATCGATCGCGACAAGCTCCGGTATCTGCTCGTCTACTCCAAGAAGCTCGGTTCCTTCGAGCAGCAGGCCCGTCTCGTGCGTGACGCCTTGGAGGAGCTGCTCGAGGCAGACGATGACCTTGCATCCATGTACTTGACAGAGAAGGCAACCGGCCAGGAGCGCGGCGAGCACGACCACGCCGAGGTAGAGCTGCTGCTGGAATCGTACCACAAGATCGCCGACGAAATCGTGCAAGCCGCCGAGAACCTGGTCTCCAACATCCGCAACACTGAGGAAATGTAAGAACCCCTACCTAACCCCCTTCTTCCCTCGCGATATAAGTCAAAAGTCGGAGCCGCCAAACTAACCATCCAAAAACAGCGTCAAAGCCATCCTCGACGCCAACCGCAACTCGCTCATGCTCCTCGACCTCAAGTTCTCCGTCTGGACCGTCGGCCTCGCCGCGGGCACCTTCGTCGCCGCTCTGTACGGCATGAACCTGAAGAACTTCATCGAGGAATCCGACCTCGGCTTCTGGGGCGTCAGCGCCTGGTGCGCCATCGCCACGCTCCTCACCACCACCCTCGGCCTCGGCCGCCTGCGCCGCGTCCAGCGCGTCTCCATGTGGGGCGAGCACGGCGCCCGCCGCTCGTCCTGGCGCGACCTCGGCCCCCAGGCCTTGCTGTCGTCGCCTGCCGCTCCTCATCCGCCGTCTGGATCGTCGTCCCCGATGCCGCCTAACCCAGGCGCGAGGGTGCCGCCCGTCGGTGCTGCCGCGGCGGAGGCCGCGCTCGCGGTGGGCGAGAGGAGGGCGGAGAAGCTGCGGAAGCTGAAGGATTTGCATGCGCAGCAGGCGCAGGGCGTTAATGCGGAGGTCGCGGCTAGGAGGCAGATGCTTGGAGGCCAGTCGGCGGCGTCGTCGACTACGAGCAGCGGCAGCGGCCAGCAGAGTGGGCCGGCGCCTTCTGTTTGAGTGTTCTCGCCCACTACTCGTCTCGAGCTGTCATTCCGATCACTCCTCTTTCCGGGTTGAAGCTTCCTCGGCCCATCTGATCTCATCTCTTCTCATCGTATCGTAAATACTCGTCTCGCCGTACCGATGTACGGCTAGACCCTCGCTACTCACGAAAAGTTTCTGTTATGTTGCGTTCTTTTGCAGCGGCGGCGGCGGCGGCGGCATATAGAGGGGTTATTGTTTTTCTTTGCAAGAGGTTGGGTGTGATGGTTAAAGGGGACGGCTGGTTTGCTGGTCTTGGTTTTGCATAGCGTTGGCGTTGTTTTTTGTGTTTTCTCTGCTCTTTTATTAGGGGAGGGTTTCTGTTAGGTTTGTGGTTGCTAGAGCTGATACCATACTTCTCTCTTACTCTGTATTTGTATGTGTATGTATGTGTATGTGTACGAGTAGTATGATGTTGGGAATTGAGAGGAGTTATGAAATTTGTGGCTGGAGTGCAGTGTTGTGGTGGTTCGGCTGACGTGAAATTTATAAGGGCGATATGTGTATCTGTACAAATATCGTGTTGTGTATAGGCTATTTACTAGTTGATAATCGAAAGGAAATCCTAATGTGTTGGTGATATCAGTTCCCAGCTGCACTGAACGATTCAGACGGGCATGAGAGGGGGCGCCGTTGTGTAACGTTTGGCAGCATATTCAAGTTACAGCGATGCAGGAAATGCCAGAATCAGGCACCTGTCAGGGCGAGGCTTCAGTCTTTGAGATAGGCTTACTGACCCCTAATAGGAAGTCTTTACACTCATTCTCATCCTCTCTCAATCCTACCAGCAAAGTATAAGATACTCATTGACTTCATGTAGACTTCACCGCAGAAAGGAAGTTTATCTTGTATAAATTCAATAGTAACAAGATCCGTCCTCGCCAGCCTTCTACAAGCCGCCTCGCATCTGAGATTTCAGCCTTGCACTGCCACGCTGGTACCACCCCACACGGGTACTTAAGTATGACCATGAGGGATCCCAACTTTCTTAGATAACCTTATCCACACGATCTTGGCTTCAGTTTATGCTCTCCGCTACCTCGCCCACTGTCTATTTCACATGTCTGATCCTTTCTCTGTCACTGGAAGTGCCGTCGGTGTTGTATCTCTCGGTTTGATAGTCTTCCATGGCATTGTTGAGTACTACACTGCCTTCAAAGGTCAAGATGAGGAGATCGATTCAGCTGTCGAGAAATCCTCTCGGTTGACGGACCTTCTTGAGGCTCTTCATCCTCGCTTAGAGGAACCAATTTAGCGCATTCGATCTTCGACCTTGGGGTTATTTCGGACGTGCATGCGGCTGAACTAATGTATGAAGCCGGGTTTCGATTCGACATCGAGGAAACCAATTACAACAAATGGATTGCAAGGAAAGATATCCAGAAAAGCCTGGATCTGCTAGTATGGATCAAGAGTAAAGGGGTCACGACTTCACGGATTGATTTCCATGATTTCATGCGAGACATTCGCTGGTCGAAATCAAATCCACTGCCAACCGACGGTGGTTTTTACGCCGCTGGCGAGACACTGGACCTATTCTGGACCATATACCTATCTCGTGAAGGACTAAACCATGGATGTTGGTGCTGCGCTGGCCTTTGCGTTCCTGCTCTTGGCGCGTTCAATCGTAATCCCACAAGCTTAGTTTTGGCGGAGGAGAGCGGTGGTCTCGACTTGTCATCTCCCGCTTGGGGTTGGTTGGTGCCGATGTTCATTCGGTATTCTTTGTTCGATTGGCTACGGTTGACGCATTCAAAAGGGTGCTGTTTTCACTATATGCGTTTCTGTTCTCAAAAATATGAGGTCAGGCTGTCTGACCTTGATGAGAAACAGGAGGAAGAGTGGTATCTGAGATCCCGTTTGGATGACCTTGTCGATGAGCTGGCCATTCTCTTTTGGAGTAAAGGCTGCTTACTGTCTCAATTTCTTGAGGTAGATGTACAAAACCGGGCTTATGAGGTACTAGATGGAGAAGAAGAAGCAACAGAGGAGGACATAGCACGGCTCAGAAAGATTGGTGTGGTGCTAGAGGGGGCATGATGCCTGGAGAGATTTCACACTGAAAGACTTGACTGTGAAAAAAAAAAAAAAAAGAGGCCAGGTATGTGTGCAGAGCTCTTGCAGTGCATTCAATCACCACGGCAACTCCACTCCGTCCCACCTCAACAGCTTCCCAGAACTCTTCTCCCTCGTAGCCTCATCGAGCTGTTCACGGCACCAGTCAGCAAAACCAACAACAAAAACACAGCCATCACACATACAACTCTCACAATCCCACCCACACTCTCCTCAACCGACAACTCCGCCTCCTCGAACCCAAAGTGGCTGGCCGCCATCTCCCCCATCTCCGTCCGCGGCCACCCCGGATCGACCGGCAGCGCGATCAGCTCCGGATGCTCGACGTGGATCTTCTTAGTGAGGTAGTGCACGGCCGCCTTGCTCGGCGCGTACGCCGCGTTCGGAAAGGGCCGCTGCTCCATGCCGCCGATGCTGCCGGCCGACGAGCCGACGGTGACGAATTTCGGCGCCGTCACGGCCGCTTTGAGTAGCGGGAGGACGGCCTGGAACAGGACGACGGGCCCGACGGTGTTGACGGCGAAGTGGGCTTTCATGTCGGCGGGCCGCACGTGCTCGACGCGGGGGAAGCCGGCGTTGAGGATGCCGGCGTTGGCGATGACGAGGTCGAGGGCGGTGATGGCGTGGTCGGCTTGTAGGGAGTGGACGGCGGCGAGGGCGTCGGTGTCGGAGGCGGAGTCGATTTTGACGATGATGGCTTTGCTGTTGGCGCCGGTGGGGAGGGAGTACAGGGCTTGAGAAACTGGGCTGGCGGGGTCGCGGACGGCGCCGATGACGGTGTGGTTGGGCCGAGATAGGTATGTGGCGAAGAGCCCGTGGCCGATGCCTCGAGAGTGAATCAGCTTTTCTTGGTTCTCTTTCAAGCGAGCAGTTGGCAATTACCGCGGTTTACGCCTGTGATCAAGACAACTGTGTGAGAGGCCATGGCGATTCTGTTACTTGCAATGACTTGAGACGGAGACGGACGTCAAGCTCCAAAGGCACTGTGTCTTATAGTACTTCAGATGTGACCCGCAATTCGTCCGTGCTGAGGAATCAGCAGAAGCAATCCTTCAGCTCATATCGGAGATTGCTCCCTTAGATAAGTGTGGGCCAGCAAGTGTTGCGGCACAGCGAAGAGATCTCGCAGCATTATCATCACTGACGGATTCATCGTGGACACAGTTGGATGGAAGAGCTCTTAGTGCATAGCCAGCGGTAGCAGGACCAAGGTAATTTTATCTGCTTTACATTGGTTTTTGGGGGGATGTGAAGGTTGAAGTGGTGCGCTTCGGACGGATGTAGTTTGTGCTTACCTATGCCCACTTCGGTTCCGCTCCCTATTTTGGCAACGCTACCGCCCACTGAATAATTCTGATAAACTTGAAGTCAACACGTCATGTTGCTCCCCTGCTGTAGAGTATTTTAGAGACGGCGGATTCTGTCTGAATGGTTGTTACTGAAACTCATTCGAGTCCGAACCAGTACAGGACTAAGCAGGGTGCCGCGGCCAACAGCAAGTGAGACTCGGGATTCATCTCTACATATCCATGGAGTAGGCGATTAAAAGAACTATCCAGATGCAAATGATACTTTTGTGTAAAAAACCTAGTTGGTAGATTTATACTTTCTGTATCTAAAAGTTCTTGGTTTTTAAACTAGTGTCGCTAAATTTCAGCATTCAGCTAAATGATTGGCCGTAATTTTCCTCGGGTCAGACTCGTTTACCAATGGTAAGCGCGCGCGTACCTTACCCGGAAGACTGGTGGCGATTTCAATGCGGAGTGGAGCACTGCCACGTCTGAGCCGCCCCCTTGGTCCCCACTCCGCCACCGCTTCTATCAAACGGCGGCCCGTACGTATCTTCATTGGATGTGAAGTTAGCTCCCAAGCCGCGACAATGACGATTACGTGTGGCTAACAAATGGGATGCGGCGATGCTCAACACGTCAGCAGAACAGTAGATCTGCCGCGTAAGAAGTCTTAGTAGACCCAACATCCATCTTTTCAACCTTTCCATCCAACCTTTGTGATTTTCGCACCTCCCTTTCTTTCTCCTGAAATCGCCTCCTGGGCGAGACCATGGACCCCTTCAACGCCTTGGGAGTCGCGGCAGCGACGATACAGTTCGTCGACTCTGCTACCGCTCTCATATCTGCAGGCAGCAAGATCTGTAGGTCCAAGACTGGAGAGCTGCAGCTGGAGTCGGAAAGCCGAACGATCGCTGAAGAGTTGGAAAGCCACCATGGGGAACTGAGAGATTCCAACTCTAACGGGAGCGGAGATGTCTCCCAAATAGAAAAGCAGATTCGGGCCATGTGCGACCAGTGCGATGCTGTGGCTCAGGATCTTCTCCACGCCGTGCAAAAGTTAAAGTCCCGGCGTTGGAGCAAAAAGGAGAAGTTTGAAACCTTCAAGCAAGCTCTGCAAGCCGTCTGGACTCCAGAGCAGATCACACATTTGGAGCAGCGTCTTGGAAGTTGGCGATCTCAGCTCATTCCTCTTATTCTTTCGGCGTTGAGGTGAAGAAACTTTGCTTCTTTATTTGTATCCTACACACGCTCACAGCCAATACAGGGAACAACAAACACGACTCGGCAGCCAAGTCCCTCTTGTCCAGAGCACAGCAGCGCAAAATTATCGGAACGGCCAAAGATTCTTAGAATGCCTGCGAAAGAACAGGGAATATTACTCGGAGATCCACGACGCCATTCGAGAGAACCCTAGGCCGTCCGGAGGGGTCTATGCGCTCTCCTCCGGCAACGAATTCGAGACGGGCATCCTTTCGGCTCTATTCTTCGACGCAACGCAGAACCGGGAAGATGCAATTCCCGACGCTTGCAAGGGGAGCTTTGAATGGATATTCCAGCAGCCTCAATCCGAAAATAGACAATGGACCAGCTTTTCCGACTGGCTGCGAGAAGACTCGGATCAACGTATTTACTGGATCACTGGCAAGGCGGGTGCGGGTAAATCAACGCTTATGAAGTTCATCTGTCATAACCAAGCCACTCGAGAACTGTGTTACGAATGGGCCGGTAATGAGAGGCTGCTCCATGCACGATTTTACTCCTGCGACTCCAGCAATACTTTGCAGTCGTCTCAAGAAGGCCTTCTCCGGTCTTTATTGTACCAAGTTCTAAGGCAGGACCAACATTTCGCGGCAAGGGCCTTCCCCGACCAGTGGGAGATGTTCTCACTGCTCGGGATTCAGCCGGATTCTCCAATGACAGTACCATATCTACAGCAAGGCTTGGAACGCGTGATAAAATCCAGTCCCGACTCACGGTTCACTTTCTTCGTCGACGGCCTTGATGAGTTCCGTGGTGACCCAGACACCTTGGCGGCTTTCTTCCAGAAGTTGACACTCAGCACGAATATCAAAGTCTGTCTCAGCGCCCGGCCGTGGACGAATTTCAAGAAATCCTATGGATTTGGACCTAACCTGCGCCTGGAAGAACTGAACTATCCGGATATCGTCCAGCTCACGCAATCCAGCCTGGAGAAAAGTACAGACTTCACTCACTTTTGCAAGCAGTCTCCGAAACAGGCACAAGCATTGGTTGAAGCAACTGCCGAGAAGGCCTCTGGTGGCTTCGTATTGGTTGAGTTAATGCTTCGTTTGCTCCTCCAAGGTCTCCAAGATGGAGAAAGGCTTTCGGATCTTCGTCGACGATTGGATAATGCACCCAGTGATTTGGAACAAATGTTCCAGAAAATGCTGGACAGCATCGAGCCACAACGCGCCGAACACGCTTCGCAGATATTCCAAATGGTCCGAGCTGCCAGGGCTCCAATCAGCCTTCTTTGCCTCTCCTTCGCCGGCGAAGACGATCCGCATCTCCCTTACGAGCACCCGGTCGAGCCTTTGACAGAAGAGCAAGAAGAGGCTCGAGCAGACCAGATGCGGCGCCGCCTCAACAGCCACTGCAAAGGCCTTCTCGTAGCGACACCGCGGAACTCCGACCCCCAGGCCACCGTCGACTACCTCCACCGCACCGTCCGCGACTACCTCCACCGCGGCTCCGTCTGGCACCACCTCACATCCCATTCGAGCCCCTCTTCCCCCTTCGACCCGCACCTCGCCCTCGCCCACGGCTTCCTCCTCGTCCTCAAAACCGCCCGCCTCTCCCCTCCCCAATGGCACTCCCACCGCCTCGACTACCCCTACTCCCCCGACGACAACGACGACAGCACCACCACCACGCCGTCGACCCCCAACTTCGCCGCCCTCCTCCTCTCCACCATCCGCCACATCACCTCCATCCCCGCCCCCTCCCCCCAAGAAAGCGAAACCGCCGAACCCGCTCCCTCCCAGCACTACATCCCCCTCCTCGACGCCCTCGCCCACACCACCCGCGCCCTCATCCGCCGCGAAGGGCCCTGCACCAACAACACCGAATCGTCGCGCTGCTGGTGCCGCGGCGCCGCCGACCACCCGGACGACGGCCCCTTCACCGCGCTGGCCGTGCGCCTCCAACTACTGCCGTACGTCGCGCACCGGCTCGACCGCACGTGGCTGCTGCCGGCCGAGAAGCGGCGCGAGGGTGACAGCGGTGCGGCGCCGATACTGCATTTCGCCGTCACGTCCGAAAGCATCGACTACGCCGCCTCGAACGGCGACGGCGATGCGGAAGGTGCGGATGTGGCGATGGTGGAGCGCCGCGCGCGGCTGATCCACATGCTGCTGGAGTGGGGCGCGGAGCCGAATTACGACGCGGCCGGCGGAAACGGGCCGTCGCCGTGGGAGGAGGTGGTGATGGGGGGCGGGGTTGAGGAGTACGGGGAGGAGGTTTGGGCGGAGTTTTTGAGGTATGGTGCGGACAAGAGCGTTGTGGTGGATTCGGGGGCCGCGGCGGGGAGAGGGAGCGGCGGCCTGGCGGGTGGTGCGGGGAAGAAGAAGCGGAGGTGGTATAGGCGGATTTGTAGGAGGGAGGATGGGAGGATTAGGTGGAAGACGAGGAAGAGTGGGAAGCCGGCGGCTTAATTTTTTTTTTCATTTTTTTGGTAGGAGTGTGGTAATGTTGGTCGTCGGCGATTTTGAATGCGGATGAACAAAAGTTTGTCACTGTACTGTAATCAATCTTTTTTTAGCGTATGGGCAAGGGATCGGTTAGAATTGTCCATAGTATGTATAAGTTTTGCTTTGACTTCGGGTATGGTGAGAGGAATGGTGATTGCTTCTATCATCTGAAAATTGGAAGTTCCACTCGTCGCATCTGGTCTCACAGTCTCCAATAGATTTCCTGCATGTAGCAAGCCCTCAACTGCAAAAACATTCGCCTTCGTAGTCTGTCCCCTGAATCAAGTGATATACCATGAGGTATGAAAGCTGACCTCGACTTCGACGCATCACTTCTCCAATTCAGCCTCCCCGCCTTCCCAGCTATCTCAACTCCCTCAAGGTCCCCATGCAGCGGCGTCGACAGAGTTACCTGACATATATAGCGACACCAAAATTGCTAATTCACATCCTAGCGGAAATAACCCGCAAGAGTCCTTTTCTCGCCCTCCATCAGCGCCGCCATGACCCCAGGGGTGTACGAACCGCCAGGGTCATAGTGCACAACGTTACTCTTAGAGCAGATGACACCCAACTGCTACGAATATTGCTCATCAAAATAGGCGTCGTCAAGGAGTTGCTGCGGGTGGTTGCACGAAGGATCATACGTCGCCTTGTACCACGCCTCGCGCCGAAACAGAAGGTACGTCTGCGGGAGGAGCAATCCGCCGACCCTCAACCCCGACCCTCCTGGCTCGAACTCCACGTGCTCACACGTCTACAGCCGTGTGAGCAGGACCTTCGACTTCCAGAAATACGCACACGCCCACCTGTACCCGCGCTCGGCCAGCTTCTCGCTTCGGGATCGATCTCAGGCGGCTCTCAGCAAGACTTGCGCGCGCGGCACGTCGAGCACGCCGCCGCCGCCGCCCGTCGGCGAGCTGGACGTATGTACAGAGTGCTTGCCAAGCCGAGGGCGCGCGAACAGCAGCTCGGCGGGCGGCGGCAGCCGCGCCGCGAGAGAGAAGATTGAGAGTAGAAGCTCCGGAGTCAAGGATCAGGACTTTGGACGTAGGGACCGTAGGTGGCGCTCATGGTGAGCTGGCGGTACGCTTTGAGTAGCGGGATGTAGAGGATTTCGATCCAGAGGCGGACGGGTTCAGATTCTTTCTACTGCTTCTTTTTTGCCGGTGAGGCGGGAGAGGGAGAAGAGTTTGTTTGAGGGGGGTTGCGCTGAGGGCGTAGTAGATGTCGTAGAAGTGAGAGCTGAAGGTCTTGTTGTAGAGCAATGTCGTTGATGCAGCATCCGTGCTCAAGCAGCCGATCTTTTAGCAGCGACGTAGACATGCCCCAATCATGAATCGTGGTTTGTGACCCGTTGTGAGTAATCTCAATAGCGTCGTGCAAAGCCGTCTCCAACGTCGCACCAAACACCATGATTGACAGCAGCACCGATGGCGGCACAGACCTCCGATCCAGGTGTCTGAGCATCTTCCAAATACCGTACGTACACCCGAGCTTCTTCCAAGATCTCCTCCATCCTATCATATTTCTTAAAGTCGCTGAGCTTTTCGAAATCCTTCAGATACCGAGGCAAAACTTCCCGCGTCGTAAGCACAGGAGGATCCTGGGAGTAGTGGACAAAACCCGAAGATTTTACTGGTAATTCCAATGCGCTGCTGATCATCCCAAAGAACAGCCATGTCTGGAGAAAGGCCGCTACATCCCCGGCCGCACGGTCCTCGGCCGAAATTCAGCCCCAAGAAATCTTCCGCGCTGAAACCATCTCGGGAAGGACATTCGGAGAATGGGCAAGTAGAGTCATACTCGAGTTGGGGAACGCAAGGGACAGGAGGCAAACTGAGTCCGTTACCATCAGCGACGATGTGGTCCGTTTTCGCTCGTAGAGTCCGTCGGAGTGTCGTGATGTATGAGAAGTGAGCTTCCTTTTACTGCCGAATTTGGCCCCCAATGAGTTCGGCTGAAGTGTTGAATCTGTGGTTGGTCCCGCACCACAACGATCACCCCACCTTCTGCAGCAATATTCCTGACATTCACTTAGGATATCGTTCTTCTCTGCTCGCCCTAGTGAATGTAAGCCATGATAGAGCTGAGTCCTTCATATATGAATCTTTGAGTCAAGGTTTGCAAAGCAAGTCTAGTCATATCTTCACTACCCACGACCCGAGAACTCTCTTTAGTGTCTCAGAAATAGATGTGCGAACGCTGTGCCGGCTCTTCAAAGGGGACAAAACGGCAAAACTTACAGCATAACCGTAAATCACTTCCCAAACCCCTAACAAAAGCGTGATTTTGAAATGTGAATTCCTCTACCTAAACAGTCTAATGTCATAGACTCGTCAAAGGTCGTAATCGTAGTCTCGTAGCATTCGCGCAGACCAAACACCAAAGCATTTGTACATCCACACGCTATCATAAGTCAATACTTCGTACTGATAGGACCATTGGCCTTCTTTCTTGCACCCGCATAAAAGAAAACTGCAAAGGGGGCACCCTAAACTCCTAATATAATGAGACTCGAGAAGTATGAGAAAGGTCATGTTCAGGTAATGCCGCCCAGAGAACGCAGAACCCAATGGAAGGTCGTTAATCGTACACAGAATGGAGGAAGAAAGAGAAATGAACCGCCGGAAAAGGGGAAGTGGCAGCTGTGGAGCTATGCAATGCCAGTCTTGGGAAGTGCTCGCCGCGCATCGCTATGCATGAGGTGTAATAGAAGTTGACCCGACCAAAGATGTAAAGGAGAACCGACCAATTTTTGGGTGAGTTTAGAATGTAGGGGAATAAACCGCTCAAAGGAAAAATTTGTGATCCGCTCAATTTTTTTTTGCAGGTGGCAGGGGGGAGAGAATGTACTGAGAATCAGTTTAGGCACTGCCGTAGCCATCCACAGGAGCGCTCCTAACGGCCCTACGGCCGCCGTGAGACCTGCGGCTCAGCCTTGCCCGATGACGCCTCCTCGAAGCTTCGGCAAGGTTAACCCCTTCCGAAACAGCACTGACGACTGTATTGATATCTCCTTCAGGGACTGCGATGGCGATAGCCTGGCCGTGTTCGTCGATGCCATCGGCCTGGTTTGAGACCTCGTGAATGGCCTCGGCGACGCTGCCGCGAACACTGTTGCTAGCGCTGGTTGTAGACGATCCAGCCCTGCTACGATAGGGAGTGCGGTATGCCATGCCGCGATCCGTGTTCGTGGCAATGCTGTGACGGCGATGGCGGTCATGAGAGCGAAGGCCATCTCCAACCTGACCACCATATGCAGATGCACCGTGGATGCTGCCGTGGCGAGAAACTGGCTGGGACCCATGGGCAAGAGGTTGTTGCACAGGGTAGCTTGGGCTGTAGTTGGGCTGGTATGGAGAGCTGTTTTGAGGCAGATACTGTGGAGGGGTATGGCCAAATGGAGGAGTGTTTGTCGCAGACGGGAACTTGGCCCCATACGGAGAATGACTGTGAGATCCGGCAGTAGCATTGGGAATCGGGATTGCCTGGATGTTGCTATGGGGGATGTAGGGTCCAGATTGGAGGCCACGCGAGTCGACTGAAGAAGCACGCGAGGAACGCGATCCCGACGGAGGTGGCGGGAACTGGGTGCCGTAGTAGCCAGCGACCTGCTAATGTTAGTGATGCGCCGTGGATCCTGGAAGGGTCACTTTACCGGTGGTTGATTCGCAGCTGGCGGCTGTACGGGAGCCTGAGTGAGCGTCTGAGGAGTCACCTGTTTAGGCTGCCCGTTGGCGTACTCCGGATTCTGCATTGCACCCGGAGCATAGTCCGCCGGGTTATAGGGCTTCGCGACATAATGGTTGTGAGCGGCGTTGTACGGCTGCGGGTGAGCGTAGTTCTCGCCAGCTACGTGAGCAGGTGGGAAAGCAGCAGCAGCGTTGGGCTGCACCGGAGGCGGGGGAAGATGCAAGCTGTGTGGAGCTCCTAGTGACTTGGACCGGTCTGCATAAGGTGGCGAGTCGTGACCTCTGGACCAAGAGCGATCCTTGTGGTGATGGTGGCGATGCTTGCGATCCCGGTCACGCTCGCGGCCACGCTCGCGGCCCCGGTCAGCGTCGCTGCTGCGGCGAGCTCGACGGCGGCGGTCGTAGTCGGAGTCCTCAGTGAAGTAGTCCTCCGAGTAGTAGTCCGAGTCGGTCAGCGAAGGCGAGCGTCTCTTGCGTCCGCGGCCTTCGCTCTGGGTACGGTACTTCCCGCGCTTCTTGTCTTCCTTGCGGCGCTTCCTGGCTTCCTTGTCATGTTGCGACCTGAAGTAGCCGCCCGGAATCGCCTCGAAGAGCCTGTCTGGGATGTGCTCTGCGCCGTATGAAATCGCCTTGAGTGCCAAACTCGCCATTTTTTGGTCGAGGAACGCCAATGTGAAGGCAGTGGTGAGGGCGGGTCGTGTGATTTATATGATGATGCAAAGCCGCAGGTACGTCAGGGTGGTTGGTGATAGGCGCAAGGGATCTGAGGCTAAGCGGTTGGCGCGAATGAGGGCGGAGGACAGCCCCTGCAATCAGCACAGGGACCCTGCAGAGTTTGGTCGGAGAAAACTGCAGTCATGCAGTAGATCGAGCGCTTCATAAACGCAGATAGGTGGCAGAGAAAGAGGGGCGGAAAAGAATCCAGCGAGTGGCGACGGGCTGCAGAAGAAGATGAGCACGGCGGTGGGGGAATGGGGTCAGTCGCTGCAGTGATGTCGTGAGCAGGGCGGTTGATGGAAGGGCAAAGAAAACTAGAAGCGGCGTTTGGGCGTACGGGAACGCGCGGTCAGCAGGTGCTCACGATGCCGCGTCGCGATGGCCCGCGACGTAGTGACATGGATGCGCAGTATGGCTATGACGTAGTTCCTGCCTGGCCAGGTCTTCACCAACCCTCTGCCAGGATGCGCCGCCCCGCCACTCGCCGGCGAGTCAGTCATGCACGCTGCGCGACGGCCAGATGCTGGCGACGCTGGAGATTCGCTGTGTGCCGCCCAAGAATGAGGCGCTGCGCGTGCCCGACTCATGAACCAACCATTCCGAAACCGCGTCAGGCACCTCTCCGCAAATCCTGGGATGCCTCTGGGAAGGCGCGCATCAGCGATCGCCTTTCCCCGCTGCACTGGGCCGACGTCGCACACTGCGCGCGTCCGTGGCACGAGCCCCCAAGCCCGCGCGGGAGAGAGGTCCGTAATCATCCAGAACACCCGGAAGCTTAGAGCCGGTTTCCCTTGCCATCCGCCCCAGGCTGACTGCCAATCCAGAGCGGCCGCGTATCAGAGGCACAGACTAGCGCATCACCACATTGCTTGCTCTCTCCTGGCCGCGCACGCTAATATAGCTCTCCTACAGTAACGTGCGTGGCTGGCACGCTGCACAGTAACAGACCGTCTCCGACGGAGTTCCTGATGACATGTTACCAGCAAAGGTTCGGTGCAGCGGCTGTTGTGTCAGGCCCAACTAACTCTCAATGACGACAGCGAGCGTGAGATTACCATGCGTGCTCCGCCGTCGGTGCCGTCCGGCCGAGGGCACGAGTAAGTAACCGTATCACATAACTGTCATCCTGATTCTTGTGTGATACTCAAGTTCGCAAGGAGACAAATCCGGCATTCCATTGTACCTACGTTCGTATTTCAGACGTCAGAGTTTCCCGCTCGCTGTGTCTGGAAACGCTTCTCCGAATATGTAGGGTCATACAGAAGGAAAAAAGAAAAAGAAAGAATCCTCCAGCCCGAATGGGGGGTCATCATGACCGGAAAGAAGTTGAATCCCCCTCCCCTCAATTGCAGTCATGACTGCATTGCAGCTCTTTTCCCCTCATGATCTACCCGAACTTTGCCGGGGTGAAGCTACTTGTTTTTTGTCCACGTATTCACCAATACTTCTTTTTTTTTTTACACCTTTTCCCCTTTGAAAACCTCTAGAGACTACCTTCCTTCTCAAATCTCGCTTGTCTTTTGAATCTCAAATCTCGAAGAATTGACGGTAGTCAAGCTTATCAGCTAACTCAGCCTTGGGACCGTCTAAATGTGCCGTTCAATCGATCTCAATGATGTTCTTTCCATCGCTGTCGATGAAAATGGCGTTCTCGATTGAGCTTCCCGATGCCTGGGACGAGATCGGCGGCGCCGGTGAAAGAGTCCTTGACGCAGCCCGGAACATGTTGACCTCATCATCATTGCCTTCACTCCTTGGGTCCGCTCTTCCGCCTCGGCCTTGAATCCTGTCGACCTTGCGAAGGACCTTAATGCATTCCTCGAAGACAAGCTTAAACCATGGCGGCGGTACAGCATTTCCGATCTGCTTCTCAATGACCGTCTTCGTGCCGGTGAACTCGTAAGTGTGTGGGAACCCTTGAATGCCTGCTAGCTCTCTGAGCGTCAGTTTGCGGCGACCGTCCCAATGACACAATGAGTTCTTCGTCAAGATAGTTGACTTGAAAGGACGATCGGGGTCCCAAGGAACTCCGTCGGTGCGGCTTGCCAGGTGCGGATTGTGGTGAGTCGCGGACCTCGGGATGTTGCCGATGGCCTCCCTGGCGGTTAGGTAGGCAGGTAGGTTAGAGCCAGGTCTACCGCGAGTGGACTTTGGCATGTTCGGTAAGGGAATGCCGGGCCTATCCGTGGTGTTAGTTTTTATTTTGGTAGGAATCATCGGTCGAACTTACGCAGCAGCAATCAATACTAACCGCTTGCGCGGCTGGGAGATGTCGTACTCGAGCGTATTATGAATAGCCCACTTAACACTATATCCCTCCTCACGTATCAGGGCCAGTAGTTTGCCGAACCAATATTTGTGTTTCTCTCGAGTCAACAGCCCATCGGCCTCCTCCAGGGTGATGATCCTTGGCCTGGCGGTTCTGATGATGCCAGTAACGGCAAATACGCAGGTTGTGTTGATCTCATCTTTGATAGCATTGGGGTTGGTGTTTGCGTTGCTGAAGGGCTGGCATGGCAGGGAGATATGCACGATATCGCATCGGGCATTGAATCTTGCAGCTGCAGCTGGGAAATCTGCTGCTTCGCACTGGAAGATTCGGGCTCGAGGAAAATTGAGCGCCGCTGTGTCAACGGCAGCCTTGTCGTGGTCAAATCCCCAAACAACTTTCAACCCGGCCAGCTTGGCCGCACAGCTTGCGCCTCCACCACCCTGGAATGCATCGCCGAACGTGTATTGACGTTCACGATTGGGGCCGTGTGGAAGGGATCGGGTAGGCTCCATAAGTATGATATCCCCATCGTCGGCGTTATCGGTAAGGTCGACATGTTCGGCGGACCTACCAGTCAGAATCTTTCCCCCATCGTCGGCTTCCATGGGCGTGATGTGCTGGAGTATTCCTTGGTAGGGGATTCTGCGAGCGCTATTCCTTTCTCCTTTGCCGTAGACCTTCGCGAAGAAGTAGCGACAAACAAGAACGTCATTGTCCTCTACGATCTTCTTGATCTTCTTGCCATCAGGTCCGCGGGAAGCGAATGGCGAATGGTCTCGGTACGACAGCTTAGGAAAAGGAGCATTAGTGACTTTGAGTCTCCGCTTCCTGAAAGCCTCGTCCAAGGATATCTCTTCAAGGCCCTGGATATGATACGGGCGAGGGTCATCCGTGTCTATAGTGGTTACTATAGAGACTTCATTCAACTTCGGGTCAAGCATGGGTGCGAAGAATTTGTTCCTCCTGCAGATTAGCCCACGGAGCTTAATGGCGCCAGAGTAGACATTTTGGATGATCTTCATCACTCGCATGAAGTCTCCATCTTCCACAAGTCCTGCAGGCTGCTGTGTATGGATCTCAACTGTGTCGCCGATTCGGACTGTGGAAGCAGTTGGACCAAGATTCTTAGCTCTCTCACTAAGCAGCGTGCAGTGATCGATGTAGGTTTCTGGCCACCGAGGGGCCGTATTGCGTCGCCATGTAGGTTCTATGGGGCGGAGTTCTGGGCTCGCAGATCGAAGCGATAGGTTATCATCTTCATCTTCGATGATGAAATCATCAAGCGCGGAGCATACGGCGGGGATATCTATAAAAGTATTAGTAACTCACAGCTTCAAGATAATAGCATATAAAGCATGTTAAGTGGTAGCTTACCGTCGTCGTCATCGTCGATATTGATAATGTCGTGACCAGCGTCAGATAAACTGCGCACACTGCGTGCCGTGTAATCCATATTGGCGAGTGTTGGCCGTAAAGTGCGAAAGTCAGGTGGCCATGCGCTCGTAAGCTGACGAGTTGGTTGAGTGAAAGAAGAAGCGCAAGCTAAAGAGGGCTTTGTAAGTTGACTGTGAGCCTGTGAGTGCGCTGGCGCTTACTATTTAGCGCATGAAGCGCCGTCAACGATGTGAAGCGCGGTCGACGATGTTCGGATGCGAAGGGCGGTGTTGGGTGGGAGTTAAAGGTGACGAGGAAAGATGAGGCGGAGCTACAGCTGTCGATGTTGCTTTTATAAGGAATGACTTACGCGGTAGCCTCTATAAAGGAAAGTGAAGACGTTAGAGGCTGAAGCGAGATCATGTGCGTAGATATTGCTTTGAGCCTGCACGTGTCGAGACTTTATACGCTTTAAATGTTCACGCGCGCTTTCCCGATTGGTGCTATCGCTGCGTGAGTCGGTAATGGTTTTTCAACACGAAGAACTTGGGTGATACGCAATGGCTGTAGGGAAAGACTTCACCATCGCTTCTTAGATTTAGCGCTTTGAGGGTCATCATAAGCTTACTCTGGCTAGAAAAGTAGTAAGCGACAAGGGTAGCAAATATTCTATGCTCTTCTTAACAAAGCCTTTCTTTCAGCGTCGGATGTTGCATGATGTTTCCAGACCCTGATGGTTCAGCCAAGAAGTGTCCAGTCGCCAAAAATCACTAACTCTAGGTCATAGATACTATCATTACTTCTTCAGACCATCAACCCTTACAGCGCGGGCTCCTCGACCGCTCGATGATGTGTTGGGCAAGCAACTGCTTTGTTGATGGAGTACAGATTGTGACGGAAGCCTGAGGCATCCACCACATCAGCGAACGCGGAACCAAGCCTTCTCGTCATTGGCGGGTTCCAATGGATTGGCCCACGTCCGCTGCTACACATGTTGACGGCGCTTGACTGAGGTTGGACACCGTTGTTGAGATTAGGTGGAGCATGTGCGGCGAGTCCAAATTCGGCGCAAGCACGTGGGGCGATAAAACGCGCCATGGTTGAGAGGACGCGTCGCGCAAAGGGGCGAGCGGGCGTCTTTCGGCGATGGGTTTGGAGGCGTTGCGAAAATCGGAGGAGACCAATGGCACGCGGGCTTATTAACGGTCAGGCATCCTGCGGATTCCGTCCAAAGATTGGTCGCGCGCGCTGGCGGGGAAAGGATCAGACCTCATTTGTGCTGGGGAGGCGCACTGGCGCCGTGTGGAGGTTAGGTCGGTCCGGTTGAAGCGAGCCGAGAACTTCCGCCAGCGTCGCTGGTAGTTCCCATAAAGTTTTTGCGGCGCTCTCTCAGAAGAACCTAACCTTTCAAAATGGCATCCACCAACCCAGTCGCTTCTTGGCCCTCGTCGCCCTCCGCAACGTCTCTGCTGTTGCCATTGCGGCCATCTGCTCCGCTCGGCCGCCTTCTGCCTTGCGCTCCCCGCTCCCGCTGAGAAAACTTTCTCCGCCGTTCTCACTTCCTCCAAACCGAGCCCCGCTCCCAACGCTTCAGCCGGTTTCCCGCAGTGAGGTCAGTAGACAGCAGGCGCCTGTGCCCTACTTTTCTTCCCTTCCCATCATGATGATCTAGTGTTATTTTTTATAGATGTTAGACTTCCGAGCTCAAAGTTGCGGAGACAGCACATTCTGATCCAAGCTCTTACACTGCCCTGTATGAAGACCAATGGCTGGCGCATTGCTAACATGGTGCGCGAACAGTCTGTACGACCCGCAAGATGTGTGGTATCATCGCCGTTATCCACGCCGACCCTGCGTCCACCTCGGCCGCCGTCGAGATCCACGATGCCCTATACCTGCTCCAGCATCGAGGCCAGGACGCCTGCGGTATAGCCACCTGTGCAGCCGGTGGTCGCTTCTACCAGTGCAAGGGCAACGGTATGGCGTCGAAGGTCTTCCACGACGGCTCCAGGGTTGCGGACCTGCCCGGTTTCATGGGCCTGGGTCACCTCCGCTACCCCACCGCTGGCAGCAGCGCCAACTCTGAGGCCCAGCCCTTCTATGTCAACAGCCCGTACGGTATCTGCATGACGCACAACGGCAACCTCATCAATGCTCCTGAGCTCAAGAAGTTCCTTGATCAGGAGGCGCACCGCCACATCAACACCGAGAGCGACAGTGAGCTCATGCTCAACTGCTTTGCCAATGAGCTCAACGAGACCGGCAAGGCTCGTGTCAACGCTGAGGACTGCTTCAGCGCGCTGAGCAGGATGTACAAGCGCTGCGTCGGTGGTTGGGCCTGTACCGCCATGCTTGCTGGTTTCGGTCTGATCGGCTTCCGTGACCCCTACGGTATCCGCCCCATGGTCCTGGGCTCCAAGCCTTCGGAATCCGGCCACGGCACCGATTACATGATGGCCTCTGAGTCTGTCGCTCTCACTCAGTGTGGTTACACCACCTTCCAGGACATTCGTCCTGGTCAGGCTGTCATCATCGAGAAGGGCAAGGAGCCCATCTTCCGCCAGGTCCACCCTGAGCTTGGCTACACTCCTGACATCTTCGAGTACGTCTACTTTGCTCGTCCTGACTCCGTCATGGATGGCATTGATGTCGACGAGAGCCGTCGTAGAATGGGTTTCAAGCTTGCCGAGACGATCAAGAAGGAGCTCGGCCCTGAGGGTCTTGCCGAGGTCGACTGCATCATGCCCATTCCTGAAACTGCCATTACCTCTGCTCTGTGTGTCTCCGCTGGTTTGAAGAAGCGCTATGTCCAAGGTTTCGTGAAGAACAGGTACATCTTCCGTACCTTCATCATGCCTACCCAGAAGCTGCGCCAAAAGGGTGTCCGCGCGAAGCTCAATGCCAAGCCGTCTGATTTCAAGGACAAGGTTGTTGTTCTGGTTGACGACAGTATCGTCAGAGGAACCACGAGTCGTGAGATTGTTCAGATGGCTAGAGAAGCTGGTGCTAAGAAGGTCATTTTCACCAGCTGCGCTCCGCCGATCACGTAAGTCTACTCCAAAATTTTGTCTGGAGCCATCGCTGACTTTTGTGAATAGCAATGCCCACATCTACGGTATTGACCTCGCGTCGACATCAGAGCTGATTGCCTACAACCGTTCTTCGCCGGAGATTGCCGAGAAGATTGGTGCGGATGCCGTCATCTACCAGACCCTTGATGACCTCGAGGGTGCTTGCGCTTCGCTTTCGCCTCGCGACCCAGCAACCCAGAAGTTCGAAGTCGGTGTCTTCTGCGGCAAATATGTCACTCCTGTGGACGATGATTACTTCGACCGCCTTGAGCGCATTCGCGGCGAGAGCAGGAAACTGAAGGTCATGGAGAGTGCCAGGCAGGCCGTCATGCATGGCGCGGCAACTGAAAGCCAAGTTCGCATGGCGGCAAAGGGAGTCGAAGTTGACAGGCACGGAAACGTCATCCCCGCGGAAGAAGACGGCCTAGTCAACGGTTACGCCGCGATCGGTACTGACCGCCCCGACGACCTCGAGAGAAGAGCCACGGGAGAGTCGCAAACCCGTGTCAGGGAGACACAAGACATGAGTTTGCACAACATCAACGACCACCAATAGTTCATGATTCAAACAAATGATGGAAAAGCATGTCTCCTGACTGGCACGGGTTAGACTTGGGGATAAGAATATGGCGTTATAGGAAAAGGCTTGCATGGTCTCCTCCGGCCTCAGGTTGCGGAATATACTCTCGCTTGGGTGGCCTCTGATTTGGTTTCGGTAGAGTAGAACTTCAAATGGGTCAGATCCAACAAAAATATATCATTAAGAAAGTTCTGAAGACCTGGAGCGTACTGTCTCTGGTAGTTTGGAGTGGTGATCTTAGTCGCAGGGAGCGCGTTAGTCATGCGAATTCACTGGTACAGGGGTGAGAAAGAAAGATCACAATCACTACCACTTGTCAAGCAAATACTCATTCAATTCTCTCCAGAGGCCGAGTACGTTTGAATTTAGTGAAGTTGAGAAGCCGCCAAGTCATGAATACTTGCCAGAATGTTCCGCCCGCGAGCGGTTGCCTCAGATACAACGCGCGTCACCTCACCGCGTAACTTTGATCGCCCAACTCTGACGCTCACGAACCTAACCACCCACGTACAACGCACTTACACTTCGTGATTTCGATCTGCTCTAAAACCTTGTATCGAGTCAAACCTACCTCAAATCAAGAAAAATGTCGTCGGCAGCGACAACAGAAGCGTCCGCGCCCAACGCTTCCACCACGACCGACAACCCCGCACCCACCTCTAAACCCACCACCGATGCGCCCTCGTACACCTCCGACGTCTCCCCTCCCGCCTACAGCGATGCAGCACCTACCTACGACCTCGCAGCACCTCCTTCCACCTCGGACCCGTCCACCACCCCCGCCGACGCCCCCGATGCCGCAAACCAAACCTCCGCCTCCTCCGCCACCGCCAGCGCACCCATGAACCTCGAAGAAGGCACAGAGCTCGACGCGACGCCAATCCCCTTCCACTTCCTTATCCAGAGCAGCACCTCCGCGGACTCGTCGTCGTCATCACAAAACACACCCACGACGACCACCACGAAGAAGATCACCCACACCCACCCGGTGCCGGACATACTCCTCGGCCCCTCCCCGCCCGCAGAAGCCCAAGACCTATTCGTCGACGTGCTCAGCGACGCGCTGGGCGCGCACCAAGAAGAGTGCCGGGCCGCGGCGCCGCAGGCGTGCGACATCTGCGGCGAAGAAGCCGCGAGCGTGCTACTGACGCCCATCAGCTTCCTGCACGTCGACGAGAACCAGCCGCCCGAGTACAACGAGAGCGAGGTGGTCGACGAGGAGGAGGCGGACGTTGTCGACGATGCGAACAGCAACAACCCGCTAGCCCGCCGCCTCGGCAGGCGCGTCGAGGTGCTCGTCACGCCCGTGTGCGCGCGCGACAACTGCGGGCAGCTGGCGCGCAAGCGGCTGCGCTGCGCGATGGAGGACACGCATAATGATCACGAGCACGAAGAGCGCGTGACGGTCGCCCTGCCGCAGGGCCCCGAGGACCCGCGGTGCAAGGTTTGTGGCACCAATCCGCCGGATGGAGGGGCGAAGAAGTGCGCGGGATGTGGGGTCGTGAGGTACTGTGGGAGGGAGTGCCAGCGGAAGGATTGGAGGGCCGGGCACAAGAGGTTGTGCGCGACTTATGCGGAGCTGGTGGAGGATGGGCGGATGGAGGAGGTGGTGGGCATGGAAGAGGTGGTGCAGAGGACGTTGGGTGGGCAGGGGGCCCCGGCGTGAATGGGAGTCTGATGCGATGAGGGTTTATGCGGCTCTGCTCTCGGGACGTGAAAGATCCGGGATGGTGTTTTTTTGTGCGGTTGCACGGGGTGGGGATTGGGACTCGGGAGTCAGCTTTGCCGTTGATGGGGCCAGCAAGGTGTCAGCATCCCGAAGCACGAGCGAGACTGCACGCATGGACGAGGCGGGAGACGGGCGGATCATGTCTGTGCGGTTGCTTGTCATCCATGGGGCTGGCACCGAGGTAGATCTACGGCCCTGCGCCCCAACCGCTGCTACCTGGAAGACCCTGCTTTTTTTGCGGCCTTGGGCTCATCCTTCGATGCCTGGATTGGGGGACCCGGAGCGCAAAGGAAGATCCTTCAGTGCCTACAGCACTGGTTGTGTGGAGCACGACAGATTCTGTAGCCATCACGACAATGCCTGCGACTGTTGGCCGAGACCAAGATCATTGCCTGATAAGGCATGTCAGTCGAACCTAACCAGTTGGCTGTTGGTGTTTACCTCGGCTCGTACCAAAAGTTTGACCAAACTGCAAGTACGAGCCGCAAACTATACTATTTTATCTGCATCTCTCCTAACCTTACTACTTCCTCTTTCGTCAACTCCGAAACTCCCGTTCGACTCGCTTCTGTTCCTTCTGTAAAGTTTGTGACGTCACAACCAACAGGATCATCCATATACACAACCAACAACGTTACGGGAGGCCTAACGCCTAGAGAGAAGGAAGACTGAAGCTGACGGTGCATTCAAATTTGAAGCTGACTGTGCATTGCAATATCCGAGGACTACACTCCATTTGCTGATCGCACGAAAATGTGGGTTACTTTTGTCAGTGCTTCAAGATCCACGCAGAAAGCACCCGGCGAGTACGGGCGGTCTGCCTCGAAGCTTTTCGGGACTGCCGGATACGTGACTTGGTTCCTTGCTGGAGTATGATAAACGAATCGCGATGCCGGTCCGAGAGGAGGTGAAACCGGCTGGACCGGACTTTCCCAATAGAAGAACAGGGCAAATTGTGGCTTGAGCGGGAAAGCATCACGGGGCATAAGCGGTCGGAGAAGGTTGAGAGTCGCTCTCCAGCTCCGACCTAAATGATCGTGGGGGCGCAAAGTACGAGAAAAGGCGGAGCCAAGGGTCCTTCCCGTCTACCCGCCTACGAGCATGATGCTTGTTCTGCTAGCCACGGGCTTCTTTCTAGTGCATACCGGACCGACGTCCGCCTATTCATGCTTAAGTATCTACCATTCGGGGTGGAGGGGCCGAAGGGATTTTTTTCCTGAATGCTCTAGAGGAGGTTTTACGACTGGTGACGTCGATTTTCCTTGTGCTTCGTTGTCGCTAACTGCCGACATGAGCGGAACTTTTGTCGTTTTCGCTTTTGCCGTCTGCTGTGTGACAGCACGCTCCCAAAGAACGGCCGGCCGAACGCCATGATGCAGCGGCTTTACTTGCGTAACTTCGCGTTCGGACTTCCACAATTTGCGAACGCCACGGTCGAAGTCCGAGGCAGGCAATTGTTGTTGGGATTGCGTATACAAGCGGGCCCTCGATCGCACGAGCTCTGGCGTAAGGAGCTGAGGTTTTTTATTTTTTTTTTTCAATTGTTTCGACTCGGGTGGGCACATGGGCGGGGGAAAAGTGGCTTGTTACCTGGCGGTGGTGCGAACGATCTGGGGCCATCTGTTAATGGGTATTTGTCTTTGGTACTCGAGACAAACATGCAAGGAACTGCAGTACAAACCGGGTGCCACACCTTGTTGTCACGGTGACGCCCAATCACGAATTTTTCGGACCGAAGTGTACCTTGCTTTGGAAGAAAGCATCGTGAGAATGGTTTGGAGGAGTACCACGACTAGGCGGCACACCCGGCAAGGCAAGGTGGGGGAAGCCCAACAACAGTCATGTGGCGCTCTGCCACCGCTGACGGCGCATATGGAGCAAATGCAACTTCGGAGGGTTTTGCAGGAGCTTTGCGGGACGAGCAGCTCGATGAAGGCCACCGCCCGCCATCTCTACCGCATCGATGGTGCTAGCCAGCCAGTCGTCCACGATGGCGCCACCGGGCTCGGCCGGCTCTTTTGCAGGATTGAAACTTATGCAGACATCAACCACGCTTCTCTGCTATGCGCGCGACGCAGAGCGGTAGTAGCGACCGTCACAAGATGCGCTTGGCGATGGCCGTTGGTCGCTCTGCAACCCTGTGCGTCGTCGATCGTCCAGGATGGCTGTGTTCGGGCCATGCCTGGCCACGCTGGCTTGGCGTGGCAGCCTCGAGATTCACATGGCGGCTCCAGACAGGGCGACTCATCGAAAAGCGGCTGGTATTCTCGGCCGGCCTTCAGCTGATTCAGCTGAGGCCCGAGTGCGCGCGTGCAACGGTGGTCTCAGACAGACGAGGTGGAGCCCCCAGCCTTTATCTCGCTACGTGACGGCGCAGCAGCGCGAGCAGCAGTATTTGAGAAGAAATCGGGAGCATGCTTTTTGGAGGTGGGCGGAGCACAGGAATAGACGGATGCATGGATGGCTGTGCGCAGAACAGCGGGGGTGGGGCACAGGCCACGGCGTGCACAGCTATTTTTACAACCTCTCAGCCTTGACCGCTGCGCGCGATTGGCTCCAACCCCGGCAGATCGATGCCGTGCGCCTGGTCGTCGCCTGCCGGTCGGCCGCCGCACTGGACCCCAAGCCGGCGAAGCAACATCACCAACTGGTCGGCTCCGGGCGGGCGTCAGCACCGACGCCCAAGCCTGGAGCCCGCAAAGTTGTAGGTCTGGTAGTTTATTTCGGTCGTGGCCTGCTTCCGCGCGGCGCCTGTCTTATACGTGCCCCAAGCCAATCCACTAAGCCACGCGTAGTCTGCCCTCAGCCTCCATCAACCAGCGATATACACGCTGCTTCCCCCCAATCACCACGGGCTACCGTACTCTAATTTTGCATCCTCTCACGTACGCTCCGTCGGGAGCTTGAGAGTTTCCCGCCAACCGCCACAATGACCTCCACACCCATATCCGTCGACGACGCCTCCATGGCCTCGGGCACGCAGACGCCACTCTCATCTCATCCCTCTAAGAAATTTCGCGTCTCTCGCTCCGGCTCGAAGCGACGCGTAGCCATCTGCAGCATCCGGCGGCGACCTGACTCTGTCTTTAGCCGCCGAGGAACAGACACCCCGGTCCAGATTGTTGCTCCGTTTTCCGACTCTCTTCCCCAGACTCCTTTGGAGGTTCCCGTGTCCAGGTATTCGTCAAAGAGGTGGATAATGGGCCGGTCAAAGCAGCCAGAGCTCCGCGGCTGCGTCCTTCGAGCCGTCCCCAAAGCAGCACAGGCTCCCGCCCTGCCGTCACCAATCGCCGCTGCTCCTGGCTCTCCCTTCACTTACCGCTCTCCCTCCAATCCCCTCAGCCATGCACATGTCGACGCAACCATGGCCACATCACCAAACGAGGAGATCCTGAGCAACATTGGACAGTCTCCTGCACCGACACCGTCACCGCCGTACTTCCCAAGTGTCTCGCCGAGCTTGCCGCCGAAGAAGGGTAGGAAGGAAAGAAAGAGCGAGGGAGATGCGGGGTATATTGGCGTCTGGAAGGACGGGAAAGCTCATTGGGAGGCCGAGGTGGCATCGATGCCTCCCGTGCCACATCTCCCGAACACGGCCATCGTCGAGTTGGATTCGAGACCCATCAGGCTAGAGACTCCTGTGCGCGAGCTGCCCTCGATGCAGAAGGATAAGAGGCCCAGGATCCAGGTGATTATCCCCAACGACCTCCGCAACCGCGCTCCTCATGCGCGACCTCCTTTTGTGTCACAGGCAGTGCAACACTCGAGTGCTGGTGAAATCATATCATCGCGCGATGTCTCCCCGCCCTTGGCCAACGACATGATTCAAGTACGCAACTCGGCCGTGTCACCGATAGCACACCAGATCTTGACGCATCGCCAACAGACGGTGCCGGTTTATCTGGAGCAGGTCGACGAGGTGCCCGTCGTGACGAAGCACCCTTCCATCTCGAGCTCGTCCGGAATGTCTACTTCGGAAATCGACGACTCGAAATCATCCGTCTACACCAAGAGCAACAGGACATCATGGACTAGCATCGACGACAACCTGGAGCCCGGTCTTCGGCAGAACCTGAACCTAGCAGGACTCACGGCGAGCAAGGCCTACTCGATCGTTTCCCCCACCGAAGCAGGAATTTTCGATGACGCAACGCCTATCCATTCCACCAGCAGCCAACCAAGAAGTCCGGTTTCCAAACAGAACAGCTTACGTAAGGACAAGCCTCTCCCTCCAGACCCTCAGGCCCCAAGCATCCAGCAGACGGTTGCCAAACTCCGGAACAGCGCTAGCACACCGACGCTTGCCACGCGAAACTCAATTGCAAGCAGGAGAAATACGCGTCGTAACCAGCGCGTCACTTCACTTCCGGCGCGTGGCTTGGCAACGGGAAACGGATCGGTTCCCCACAGTGATCCTCCAAGCCCAACGCTCAGCGAGGCTGAGACGGCGTTGGAAGAGCACCTATCATGCATCCTCGAGAATTCGTGGGATGACGTGCCGAGCGATCATGGATTGGGCTCCTCGCGGATTCCCTCGACCCCTGCACCCGTTCCTCCACGCAAGTCGTCGCGACGCAAGAGAGTCGTGTCGCTGCCTGTTGGAAGCTCGGCGAATCACATCGCCGCGCAACAAGTAAGACCTCTTTCTCTTAAGACGTCCTCTACTTCTTCTTCTGTGCGATCTCACGGCAGCAACGCGCGGGGGCCGCGTCAGCCCTTAAGCTTAACCATTGAAGTCCCAAGTGCTGACCTTGATAAGCATAACCAGAGGACCAACAACACCACCAGCAAATCGCGGCATAGGCATAAGAGGTCCCATGCACGCCGCGTGCCACCACCTAGGGTCATTGCACCCGATGCCGCCGAGCATGTAATCCTGGGCATCTTCGAGAGGATTGATGCTCTCAAGGACCTCTTCTCTTTGGCCCGCGTAAACCGCGGCTTCTACCGCGTCTTCAAGCGCCACGAGCTGCGCCTTATACGCACCGTCCTGCAGAACGAGTGCCCGCCAGCATGGGAGCACCGCGAGTCGACCCCGCCGTACGACGGCGAGGATGGCGCCGAGCAGGAGCAGCAGCGAAAGCAGCAGCAGCACCTGCAGGTGCCGAATCTGGAAAGCGCGCATCCGGAGCCCGAGCACACGGCCACGACCTTCTACCGGCACCACATGCGCGACGCGCGCATCATCGGCGCGCTCAAGTCGCTGGTGCTGACGCGATGCCAGTCGTTCCTGCGGCCGGAGACGGTCATGGCCCTGGCCAGCAGCAGCGCCGCCCGCGCCGCCCGCATCGACAAGGCCTTCTGGCGCATCTGGACCTTCTGCACCATCTTTGGCTGCGGAAAGGGGCGCGAGGATGACATCGTCGGCCAGATGGACTGGCTCCGCGGCGGTCCGCTCGTGCACCAGACCAGCATCCGCGCCACCATCATGACCAGCGACTCGTTCGACGCGAGCAGCGCCCTCCTGAATGCTTCGGAGCACTTCGCCAAGGGAAATGGCTCCAAAGGCCTCTCGGCCGAGGAGCTGTACGACATGACGGAGATCTGGACGTGCATGGGTGTGCTGATCTCGGCTTTGGAGGGCCGCACCGAGCAGGCCCGGGAGTTTGGTGTGTTTGAGATGACGGATGTTCGCGGTGGAGACATTGATGGCGAGGAGAAGATGCTCCGTAAGTGCTTGCCATCTCTATTCCACTTTCTCTTGTACTGACCATCTTCAAGAGGAGTGGATCTACTATGTTTCTACTCTCGGTCTCTCTGTTGTTCTGGAGCTGGCCAACGCTACCACCAAGACGGAGCCAGATGCCTTCGTCCTCGCTCTTGAGAATGGCTGGATGGATTGGACCCCGCCTCAGCACAACGGCTCTCGCCGAACGTTCCTGAAGGAAGCCGTCGCCCGCGTCTACGAGGAGAAGATTGCCGCCATGGCCGCCACGACTCCTCAAGAGGATGATACCGCGGTGACGAGGCAAGTCCAGGCCCAGCGCATGGCCGCCCACAAGGCTGAGATCCAAATGCGCCGCCGCACCGGCGACTACGCTCTGGTCCGGATGAGCATGGAGCGGCCGATGAGCGAGTGGGAAGGTGTCTTCAACAGGCTGGATAACTCCTCGTCGTCGAACGAGAGCATCGCCGCGCCGCAGCCGCGCCGCCACGTCTCCACCTCTTCGAGCATCATGGCTAGCGCTCCTACACCCTGCCCCGCCGCTCCTGGTCCTTCTGTTGGCCGCTCGCAAAGCGAGCTGATCGCCTTGCCTCCCATGCCTGAACACACTACGGTTGCTTCGTCCGTTGCCGCCGCTCGGCACACCTCCCTGCCAGTGCCCCCGACTTATGTGCACCATCAGCAGATGCAAGAGCGCATGAATGCCGGCGGCCGTCGTGGCAGCCAGCAGAACCCGCTGCTCCAGACGCTCGCGCACGCCAAGCAGTACGACTACGGCGTCTCCGCCTCGCCAACCGAGCAGCACCCGGCCCTGCGCTCCACCCCGTCTTCGTCTTCTTTCCGCGGCTCCGAGACGAGCAGCAGGCGCGGCAGCACCGACAGCGGCGTGAGCCCGGTCCCGGCCAGCAGCGGGAGGCTGTTCTCCGAGGAGGCTGTGCACCCGGCCTTCCGCAACGCCGCCGCGAGGCCGCAGCAGCACCACAGCCCCGTCTCCCAGTCGCGCCAGCAGCAGCAACAGCAGCAGCAGCAGCAGCAGCTACCGCACTCGTCGAACTCCAGCGTGAGCTCGATGAGCGCGACGGCCCCCTCACCCAACGTGACCTTCCACCAGGGCCTGCCGCCTAGCTATAGCTACGCCCAGCAGCAGCAGCAGCAGCAGCAGCAGCAGCAGCAGCAGCAGCAACAGCAACAAGCCGTCAAGCACAGCCAAAACACGCGCTATTACTCCCAACACCACCACAACTACCACCAGCAGCAGCACCCACCCGCGCACCCAGCCTACCCTTACTCCGCCCACCGCCACGGCTCCATCGCTTCACAACCTCCCCCGCCTCCATCGTCCTACCAGCAATTCCAATACCAACAGCAACAGCAACAACAACAGGCACACCAGCGCCACCACTCGTTGCCCGCTAGCTACTCCGCATCGTCATCTGCAATTAATGGCGACCCCCTCCCCGCGCACCGCCACCGCGTCTCGACGCAGCACCCGTTCCAGCAGGAGATCCTGTCGCCGCAGCGCGCCGACCCGGCGGCCAACTCGGCCGACAAGGCCATCTTCCGCATCGTCGAGATGGGCTTCACTGCGGACGAGGCGAAGATGGCGCTGAGGCGGACGGATGCGGGGGATGGGTTGAGGGTGGATCGGGCGGTGGAGTTTTTGTTGAGTAGGATTTGATTGTTTATTACCATCAGTTTGAGGAAGAAGGGAGAGAGATTTCGGGACGACGGTTTTTTTTATTTGATTGAGGTTAATTAAGATGGACTGTCGCTTTTAGAGATGGGGTTTCTTTGTTTTAATTTCGGATCAGGGTGGTGGCTTTTTTTGTTCGTTTTCGATTTTTTTTTTTGCGTTTGGCGATTATTGATACCCTCATTCTGATAGCCTTTTTTATTATTTCTTCTTGTTTCGGAAGCGGAAGTTGCAAAGCGGATGGATTGTCGAGGACGAGATACTATACCCTGCTTATCTCTCTTTTGTTTTTTTCTCTAGTCATCTGGTGGGAGATATCACTGGTCTACAAACGTTTGTTGGGAAATGGTAGACTGTTTAGTGCTCTGAAGTGGTTCCAGATCATGAAATGATAAGTGGATTTTAATTTGTTCAATGAGAAGACGATGAGCGTTGCAAGAGAGACGATTATAGTGAATGTGTTGTAGCATACTTGAGCGGTTGAGTGTCAACCAGCAATACCTCCTTTGTTGTTACTTCTTCCAGCAAGATCCAGACGGTACCCAGGGTATTCATCTAGAACCTCCTCCGGTGATCCTATTGAATTTACTTCAGAACAAGTAACTCTTCAACGTCTAGAAGGTGTAGAAGAGTGATTACGTAATTGAATGTAGCAGCACGTGAAACACCAACGAGATGATCGCTTATCTCGGCTTAAATTGTTACCCCGCGAGCAGAGTCAACAAGCCTCTCTCGATCTTCCGCGATCATCTCATGCCTCGTTTTCGGCGGTCTCGAGGGGGCTGTGCCACGTGTAAGAGGAGAAAACGCAAATGTGATGAGACCCGGCCGTCATGTATGGCCTGCCAAGCAAAAGGAATAGCGTGCGATGGCTACGATATCCAGCTTCGATGGGATCGCGACACTGCCTCTCCATCTCATCATGCCGAGGCCAGGGTCTCGGCTCACTATAGCCGTCCTCAATTGGAGGCTACCCCTCCCTCTGGAGATATTGTGGAGAGCACTCAGACAACGCCCGACGATACATCTCCAATTGCACTTGATCCATATCCAGATCATATGCTGGAAGAAAGTACCCCTGCAGACGTCAGCGAAGAAGATCTTCTTGCTTGCCAAAAATGTCAGTCTTTCCGTCCCGAAAAGAATCATGGCGAGCTGGTGCACTGACGATAGTCGTCAAGTCTTCGAGAACGGCGTCTACCAAATCTACTCCACGACAACCCACGAGTGGATCAAGCCCCTCCTAGTCGAAAAGGCAAAGCAGTCGACCGCACTCTTCGTGGTCTGCGCGACCATCCAAATCTGCTTCGACGACGACGGCCTCTCCCTGCGCTTCCACCACCAGTTCGAGCGCGCCCTGCGCACCTTCCAGGCCGAACTATCCGCGTGCAACGGCGTCATCAGAAGCAGCACTTTCGGCGCCGGGTTGCTGCTCTGCACCCTTTCCGTAGGCAATCCGTTCCGAATAAGGCAGTTTGGGCTGAAGCGCTGACAGCCCCACGCCTCGATGATCAGCTCCTCCAAGGCCTGCGATGGACCTCCCACATCCTCTGCATGGCCGACCTGTACAACCTGCACGGCGCTCTCGACACCACCGTCGACTCTGACCCGTACACCCACCACTGCCTCGAAGTCATGGGCATCATGGACCTCCCGGGCTTCGTCCTGGGCCGCACGACGACGCATCTCGGCTTTTGGCGGCGTTTCCGCAGCGCCCAGCAGCGGCAGCGGCAGCAGCGGGGGGATAAGGAGGGCACGGAAGTAGAAGGAGAGGAAAATGACGGCATCGAGCCCGTCTCGGGCCTGCCCCGCTCGCTCCTCGACCTCTTCGCCCGCGCCGACGAGCCCGGCGCCGAGACGCGGTTCTGGCTCTGGCCTGGCGGCGGCGGCGAGACCGATGGCGAGTTCGTGCAGGCGCAGCTGTGGGACGCGTGGCGGTATGCGGGGATACTTGACCACAGGCGGCGGTGGCGAGGACGGTCGGCAGGTGCTGCGCGTGAGGATGCTTCTGGGGCTGGGGTCATCGTCATTCCGAGCACGGAGCGGCTATTATTTCGGCTGCTGAGCTGCCTCGAAGCGGTGCGGCTGGGCCTGGAGCAGCCGGAGTGCGGGCACCTGCTCGTCGGCAACGGCACGTTTTATCCGTTCGTCATGGCCAGCTTGGAGTTTGGGGTCTTGGACCAGCGGCCGGCTTGGAGGCTGGCGCTGGATCGGTTTTGCGACAAGTTCCTCAGGCCCGACCGCAGTCGCAATGTTCGGGTTCTGCTGGAGGCGATTGGGGATGCGCGGAGGCGGGGAGACGAGGCTTTTGATGCGGATACGGCTATGAGGGCTCAGGGGGTGGAGATAGCTCTATTCTGAACAAAAACAAATCGAGTTATATATCGAAGCTCGGGGAGGAAAAAAAGGTTGAGTTGGCTTCAAAACTTTGCCATGAGCCATAGCTTCACTCCCTCGTCGGATTCTACCATCGGATCTATCAAATGGGACGTTTTTACAACCTTGAACCCGTTCTTCTCGTAGAACGGAACGTTGTTTTCATCCGTGCACTCAAGGTAGATTGGCTCGCCTGGAGGACAAAGGCCAACAAGATGCTTCAACATCCGAGAGCCCAGACTCATCCTCTGATACGACGGATCCACCGCAACAACCTCTATGTACCATGCAGGTCTCTTCGCAATCTCTTGTACTGCCCTTTTACCGCTTTCGTGGTTGGTCATCATGATGTCAACCCGCTGCGAGAGTCAGCTTGAGCGCACATCTTGGAAGTCAATCACGAACCCTCATATTGCCGCCATCATCATGAACTGGCCAAAGATAATCTAGAGCACCCAGGCGGAGCCTTGAAGAAAGCGACGAAAAATATCGTAGCCAACCTGTTGAAGGTGGACGAATAAAGCCCACTGAAGGGAAGCATATCGCGCTTTTCTCGCGCTCGTCTCCCTCATGTCTCGAATCCATGGCGATATATATTTCCTCTTCCGTCAAAGTCCTTTCCACCCTTCTTTGTTGCCATGACATGGACTGAGGAGTCAGTGTACTCCATGGTGTTGCATTTGGGCGAAGCCATCGTATGAGTGGGTCTTCGGAGAAGCTGCTCGGGGTTCAGTCGCGGTTTTGTTGACGTGGTGAGGGAGATGATTTACGCTCGTGATATGGTTCTTGCCACTGCAGCTATTGACTTGTTGTCACCTGGACCATTTGTCAGCTTCAACATTGATAGATGAAAACCTTAGTCTGCCCTCGGTTGCTTACCCCCACGGAACCGTACTATCTCGAAACCCTTGGATTGTGCCATTGGGACTGCGATAGCCCAAACAGAATACCGAAACTTATCAATATATCTACATTCCAATCTTTAATCTTCGGCCCGCGTGGCAGTCTAAGAAAGACCCCTCAGTGGGTCCACAGACAAGGTTTCGGACTCGTCTCAATTAAACCAGTGTACGCGCCGGCGCATACAGTTTCTCTTTCAGGTTAGTGCAAAGTGGCTACCCCACACATCTGCAGCGTGGGCCACCCCGGGACCAGCGCCAAACGCTCATTGAAGCAAGGCCGCACAACAAGAAAGCGTCTTATCGGCCTGTCACACAGCTCGGCAGGTCGTTATGGCGTTTAGCCACGCTCAGTGTCTCAACCGACCTCGATCTACAGCTGATTGATAGCATCCGCCTCAATGGCGGAGGGGATATAATTTCGCCAATCGCCCTCAAGTCTTTGAGTGATGATTACTGGCAAGAGTCGAGATCCAGCTTCCATTGCTTAGTGCCTTCTTCATTTCGCTACTTTGGCAATCTAAGGTTGAAGCCTGCCGCCCCACAGTTGGCAACACCAACGACGCCATGTCTCCCGTCGGAACCCGCGGAGACCGCGCGCCCGGTGATGTTCTCCTGATCCATGGTAGGGACTTTCTGTTGACGCACAGTCTGCATGACGGCAGCTAATTCACGCCCTCCCAGAACACGCGGACGAATCGCACAGTTTTGTGTACTTTCCTGTTCCTTCGGACGATCCCAACGACCCTCTTGTGCGTGGAAATCGCTCTCGTTTGCCGCGCAGAGTAAACCACTGATACGCTGAATACCAGAACTGGAGCTTGTGGCGCAAGACGCTGAACTATGGGCTGGTGTCTGCGCAGAGCGTTGCCGTCTTCACGGCGTAAGTCCGAATCACCATCTTCTCCATCAACACGCAGCTGAGACGCGCACAGTTTATCGACTCAGACAAGCTTTTGGCAGCAGATGTCGCCCGATATGGGCCTCAGTTTCGAGCAGCTCAACAACGCCCAATCGGCAAATCTGGCTGGCTTGGCGGTGGGATGTATCTTCTTCATCCCTTTGACCAAGAAGTATGGCCGTCGCTCGACTTACGTGGTGTCGACCGCAGTCATGGCTGCCGTGTCTTGGTGGTCGACTTACATGGAAACACAGGCGGAACTTATCCTAACGAATCTGTTCTACGGATTGGCAGGTGCGACGAACGAGACTATCGTGCAAGTGACGGTAGGTTGACCCTGAGCGTAATTTGGCAACTCATGTGCGCTGATTCACCACTGTCAGATAGCGGATATGTTTTTCCTCCACCAGAGGGGCACAGCGAATGCTTTTTATCTCACCGCAGTCATGATTGGTAGCTTCTTGACTCCCATGGCGGCAGGTGTTCAAGCCGAGTCTCAGGGGTGGAGAGCTTCATATTTTGCCTTGGCCATTTCTCTGACGATCCTGTTCGTGCTCTTCCTGTTCGGGTACGAAGAGACGAAGTATGTTCCCGTCCTACAAGGCATCCCTACGACCACTTCCGGGGAAACAGAGAGCCCACCGTATAAAAACGACGACACCAAAAACCCTGCCGACACGACCACCCTATCCTTCAACGAATCAACCAGCAACCCATCTACCTCCACCACCCCGCAGCCATCCTCCTACCGCCACCGTCTCCGCTGGACCACGCCCACCTCCGAAAGTCTCTGGAAGACGGCCTACTTCCCAGCGCACGTCCTGCTGCTGCCGCACGTCCTCTTCGCAGCGCTGCAGTACGCAGCGGGCGTCGTGTGGCTGGTGATCCAGGCCTCCATTATCTCCATCGTGTTCTCGGCGCCGCCGTACAACTTCACGTCGGCCGGCATCGGCCTGATGAATCTCGGGCCCTTCGTCGGCAACCTGATCGGCAGCTTTTACACGGGCGTGCTGAGCGACCGCTCCGTGCGCTGGCTGGCCCGCCGCAACGCCGGCGTCTTCGAGCCCGAGATGCGGCTGTACCTGCTGCCGCTGCCCGCGCTGCTGATGGCGGGGGGGATTGTCATGTTTGGCGTGACGGCTGACCGTGTATGAATCCTCATCCTCCCCCCCTATCCCCCCCTTCTGCGTCCCCCGGAGTTCCCCGACGACCCATGAGCTAACCAGAGAGAGCGAACAACAACAGGGCATGCACTGGATCTACCCCTCCCTCGGCGGCGCCTTTTTCGCCTTCGGCCTCGGCGCCATCGGCGACGCCGCCTTCACGCTCGTCATCGACGCGCACCGGCCCCTGACGGCCGACGCCTTCGTCGCCATCACCTTCGTCCGCAACGCCGTCAGCATCCCCATCCCCTTCGCCATCACGCCGTGGCTGGAGAGCGCCGGGCTGACGAACATGTTCGTCACTTGCGGCGTGATTTCGTTGGTGGTGAGTTTGTTGTTCGTGCCGGTGGTGGTGTGGGGGCGGAGGTGGAGGGTCAGGTTGGCGGGGAGGTGTGAGGGGTTGGTGGGGAGGCAGCAGGGGAGTTAGGGGTAGTGGGGGTGGGTTGCTGGGGGTGGGACGGAGGGGGAGGGTGTGGATGGGGCATTGGGATTGGGATTGTACGATGGGGCCGATCTGGGGATATTCGGTTTTATGGAATATGATCTTGAGTGGTCCATTGAGCAGTAGATAGATACGATGTTTCTGTTCAGCTCCTTTGCTATTCTTTACATTTTTCACTGAGCTCCCAGAGGATTCCATCACTTATCGCCCAACGTACACATCCTCCGCCTCCTTTCCCGGAAAATTGGTCAGACGATAGGCATCGATAACAACTTTGTTCTCCCACATAGTCATTACGCCGACTGCCACAATGCTATTCATCCAGTTGTACGGGCTGTCTCCCGGTGCTTCGTACGTCAGGTGCGAGAAATACTCAACTTCGTCTTGCGAGCACGTCGGCTCTTCCTCCCCTGTATCTGGAACTCCTGGACCAAGACTGAATATGCCCTTAGCGTTGACGAGGATGTAGTGGCCGTCGTCTGTGAGCACGGTGTATCGGGCATCGAGTTGGTAAAAGATCTACCGTAAGTCAGCGATAACGATAGGAGTCCCCAAGGAGATATAGCGCTCACTTTCTTCGAGTGCACCCTGATCGCCCAATCGGCTCCACTGTTCTCCAGCACCTTGCCCGTGATTCTCGGCCCTGCCACTGTGCCTCCGGCAATGTTGCCGACGGAACGGGTCAGACCAGTTCCGCGCATGTTCGGCATTTCGTACCCGCTACCCATGTCTGCAATGAGGCGGTACTCGTGTTCCAGGTGAGGGAGACGCATGGGAGGCACCTCCGGAGTGAATGCATTGCCGGGAGACGGGATGTGAGACATGATCGAGTAATTTTGAGGAGCTTTGGGGTCCCCAAAATGGTCGAATTAATCGATGGCGGTTATATAGATCCACCGTATGATCACGGCCAGTGTTGTCGGGCATCAGAAATGTGGGACTGATCTCCAGTTTGTTCGGCGCATACAGCTACCGGTTCAGGCTAGTAAAATCAGCTGTGGCCAATGAGCGTCATTTGCGCTCGTACCTCGTTCACGATAAGGGGACCGACGCCCTTGTCTGATGTGCGAGCGGTTACTTAATTCAGCAAGTCCTCGCGAATCTCTCCAACTACACGTCCATCCAAGCTTCGTCGTACTAAGATCTCCAAGATACACATCTGTACTCACCTCTACCGAATGTAGGATTCCTCGTGTTCAACAGTGCAAGCGATATCATGTGCTCGGTCAGGAAATCAACTCTCTTTGACATGTTTCTGCAAAGCATGCGCAGTTTGATATAACCCATTCAGATGTCAGATAAGTATCTACTAATCCTTGCTCGGCACAACAGCTCCCAGAATCCACCTCTTGTTCACGATATAGTCCAGTGCCGCGGCCCACTTCGGAAACAGCCCAGTATCCAAAATTTCCTTCATGCGCGCATACCTCCTCACATCTTCATCACCACTTTCCGATTTGACCGCCCACCCATCATCCGGCCCATACACCATCCACTTCTTCCCCTCGCCATTGAACCTCTCCCACAGATCCTCCCCGTACGCAAAGCGAACAAAGTCGGCCGCCATCTTCCGCGACAACTCCCTCTGCCCCTCGCTCATCTCCTCTTCCAGATTCCGAAACACGTACAGCAGCTCGATGGCATGGTACGCAAGGCCCTTGAGCGCATTATCCAGCGTCGACACCTGGTCGACGTGATACGCGTACGTGCGCTCCACCCGCGACGCGTGCGCGTGCAAGTACGTCTGGAGCCAGAAGAGAGCGTCGGTCGCCATCGCCTCAAAGCGGCGCTCCAACTCCTCGTGCGAGATTTCTGCCGCGATGCTGTACCGCTGCAACACATCCACCGCATCCTTCTCGTCCATGAAGCCTGAGAAGTGCCCCAGGATGGACGCGTAGTCCTGGTCGTCCAGCGCCCCGCGGAAGATCATGGCCTCGTGCCGCACGTCGCCGATCATATATGACCGCAGCCACGCCGGCGGCGAGACGATGCCGCCGGCTTCAAGCGATGGGGTTTGCGCGTGATACCACCCGTCCGCACACGGATTCGCCGTCGCGCCCATCCCGCCCTCGATCGCGCACGTCGCCGCCGCGACAGCCTCCTGCGGCACCTGGCGCAGGCGCTCCAGCGTCGCCCTGCCATCATCCACCTCCTCGCCAATACCCAGGTGCTCGAGCAGCGCGCGGTACCGCCGCTCATGCCACTTCAGCGGCCACACCGGAATCGTATTCAGCGTGCCGGACATGCTGATAGCGCGCGCAAACGGCGCCGGGTCCCTCGCCCAAACCTGCTGCGCAACGCTCATGCCGCCCGCGCTCTCGCCGAAAATCGTCACGTTATCCGGATCCCCTCCGAACGCGCCGACGTACCGCTGCACCCAGCGCAGCGCCGTCTGCTGGTCCGTCAAACCAAAATTACCCGCGCCGGCGAAGCCGTCGGCGGCGAGGTCGGAGGAGATGGACTGCGAGGCGAGGAAGCCGAAGAGGCCGACGCGGTAGTTGATGCTGACGCCTATGACAGGCGCACCGATAGCGGATGAGAAAGAGATCAGGTTGACCATGTCGTAGCAGGGGTGGGTGGAGGAGCCGAAGAGGAAGGAGCCGCCGTGGATCCAGAGCATGACGGGTAAGGGGCCGGTTGTTGGGGTTGTGGTGGGCGGGGGAGGGAGGACGATGTTGAGGTTGAGGCAGTTTAGCTCGTCCTCCTCGGGGGCTTTGTTGAAGTGCGGGAAAGGCGGGACGGGGACCATGGGGTCGACGTCGCCCGTGGCGTATTCGGGGGGTTGCGGGCAGATGGGGCTGTTGTATTTTTTTTTTTGTTAGTGGCTTCGTTCGGAGGATGGGGGCTTGAGGGTTGTCTTACCCGTGTTGTGTCCCGTCATGGTAGTCGTTGGGTAGGGAAGTGTTTAGGACGGAGCGCGTCCATCGTTTTGTGAGTGTGGCGTATGGGATGCCGCAGAATTGGCGGGTTCCGCTCGGATATACGAGGCCTTTTACCTTTCCAAAGGACGGTATGTCGATGGTTGTGGTGCCGCAGGGGGTCTGAGGAGCCATTCTCGGTGCTGATACTCGATTATGGGATGCGCAGGGAAAAACTGTAGCAGGAACCTGCGCTGGAGAGCTGAAGTGACTCTTATCAACTGCAGTTGTTGGAGACGTGCGAGGAAGAGATATGATATTGAAAGTCCCAGATAGAAGCATCCACAAGCGCAAAATGCTTGGGAGTTACGCACTACGGGGTCCGCGGACACAACAGACGTCCGAAGATAGCTCAATCCTGAAGCCGATGCATGGCGTAAGTCACTCGATATTCCATATCAAGCAGTTGTATGCGCCAATATCTGTCAGCTACACGTAAGTTTTGAAACAATAGATCGGATGACTCAATGCCTGTCTTATCTTCAGTGTCTGTCTCAAGCCACGATTGTGGGGTTCACGGGGCTGTATCTTCCAAGACTTGGTGGTAATCCCCGCATTTCAGACTACCGAGCACGCTATACCCCGTTGAGAAGCTGTACGCGCTCACAGATAAGGCATGAAGCATACCTGGGCACCCAGCGGAGTCCGCGGCCTCCGCCTTATCGGCCATGTTCATTCACAATAAATGTCTGCTGATGCTTTTGAGGAAACCGCATTCGAATACCTGTAGTATATATCAATTGATCTTCACTTTGATAGTCGGCAAGACTTCTCTTGTACCCAATCCACTGCATACTCACCTCCGCTACGCTCATCACTTTCAAGATGTCTCTTATTAAAGCCGTTCTATCAAACCCCCAGGTACCAGAAACTATCCGCCAAGCTGCATTAGACCGCGCACACAGATCTACAGGCTTGCCAATCGGAGAGGGGAGGACCGAATCATTCTGGCTGAAGGAACCACATCCAACAGTTGCGCGAGCGCAATCCGGGGCTCTGCCGGAAAAGGTCGACATCGCTATCATTGGATCAGGGATTACGGGCCTCTCCGTTGCCTGGACCATCTTACAAACGGCGAAGCAACATGGCCGCAATCCGCCATCAGTTGTGATACTCGAGGCCCGCGATGCTTGTAGCGGAGCTACAGGACGGAACGGCGGCCATGTACTCGAGACGGTGCTGGAATACCTAGAGTTCAAGCAGCTCTTCGGGAAAGATGCGGCCATGAAGCTCACCAGATTCAGGCTGGGACACATGCCGGAAATGGAGGCGCTGATGAAGGACAGGCCCGAGCTCCGTGAACGAAGCCAGCTGCGGAAAGTGGAGTTCGTCTCCGTATACTTCGATGAAGAGACGTTCCTCGCAGCGGTGAAGAGCTTAGAAGAGTTCAAGAAGGACATGCCTGAGGAGTCCCAGGGCTTCGCATCGCACCGCGGGGAGAAGCTTCAAACCGTAAGTGGAAAGCGCAACTCCTTACTCCCTCTCTGGCCTTCTCTTAATCCTCAAGCCAGCACTTCCACCTCGCCCCGCACGCCATCGGCGCCATAACCGGCCCCGCCGGCGCCGCGTGGCCCTACCAGCTCGTCACCCACCTGCTGGCGGAGCTCCAGCACGCCTTCCCCCCCTCCACCTTCTCCCTCGAAACCAACACGCCCGTCACGCAAATCTCCCGCTCCTCTTCCCCCAAGCCTCATCCCTACACCCTCACCACCCCCCGCGGCCCCCTCTCCGCCCGCCACATCGTCCACACCACCAACGGCTACATCTCAACCCTCGTCCCCGGCCTCGCAGGGCGCATCTTCCCCGTCCGCGGACAGATGACCGCGCAGGGGCCCGGCGCGCGCTTTCCTTTCCGCCCGTCGCTCGAGGAACCCCGGCACTCGTGGCTCTTCAACTACGCCAACGGCGGCTTCGACTACCTGACGCAGCTCCCGCACTCATCCTCCTCCTCCTCCTCGTCGACGACCGCCGCGCCGCCGCTGTCCGACGGCGAACTGATGCTAGGCGGCGGATTGGCGGCGACGCATCACCGCGGCGTCGACGAGGTGGGCGTGGCGCGGGACGACGCGTACGGCGACGTGCATGTCGATATACACCTGAGCGGCGCGCTGGAGGCTGTGTTTGGGCGGGAGAATTGGGGTGGGCAGGCGGCGGGCGTGAAGGCGATGTGGACGGGGGTGATGGGGTTTTCGGCTGATGGGTTTCCGTGGGTGGGGGAGTTGCTGGGGGGGTTGACGGGCAGGGAGGAGAAGGAGGAGGGCGAGGAAGTGGGAGTGGGAGGAGCAAGAGGAGGAGGAGCGGAGTGGGCGGCGGCGGGGTATTCGGGGGAGGGCATGGTGCATGCGTGGTTGTCGGGGAAGGCGGTGGGGATCATGGTGTTGGTGAGGGAGGGGGTGTTGGCGGAGGGGGATGGGGAGGAAGTTAGGAGTTGGTTGCCGGAGCAGTTGTGGATTACGGAGGAGCGGGTGGAGCGGGCTGTTCTTCCACGGAAGGTTGCTGATCTGTGATGTTGCTGACATATGTGAGGGAATCTGGATGCACCGGTAGTGAACCTCGCTTCCAATTTTTATCGCCTATTAAAATAAACTTTTAGGTGATTCACGCTAAAAGAGTTATTTATAAGAACTAACGGTGATGATCTCTCAGCATTTATCCGTTTCGCTAATCGATAGGGAAAGCCGGCTGTAGTCCTATCTGAAATCGCGCCATGCTGATCGCTGCATGGTAAGGTAGATATGCATAGCGTTTCATCATCGTAATAAAACCTTAATTCTCCCTTTTGAAGAAGCCATCTGTATGCGAAAGATTTGCAGTATCTTGGCCTCGCGTAATGATGACGGACGGCTGCCGGCTCTCCACCATGCATGTCAGCTCTACGTCATCATCCCGCTATCTCTTCTGACTTTGGAATATATCAACCCATGCATTGGTGTAGCGATTTTCCAAGCGCTTGTCATACGAAAGCCGAAACACCACTATCCCTGCATCAATCTCGAACAACGCACAACAAACTCCCTCTGCAACCCGGTCCTCTCCAACCATCTCAAAGACATACAAACGACCCGCACCCTTCGCATCCTTACCAGCTCTTTTTTTTTTAAAAAAAAAAAAGAAGGAAGAGGAAGAAGAGAATGCGCGCCCTCCAACTCCTCCGCCGCCCCCTCCACACCTCCCCCCTCCCCGCCACCGTATCCACCCAAACCGCCTCCTGCTTCTCGTCGTCATCAAGCAGACCCGAGCCTGGGAATCCAAACGCCGATCCCGTCTCGAACGCGTCGCGAGACGAGCACAAGACCGGCGATGACCACCCCGCACGTCAGCCGGATCCGCAGGCGCAGCCATCGCGCAGTACGGGGGTAGGGGGCCAGGCGGAGGTGAAAGGTGGGAAGGAGGGGTTGGGGGAGAGGAGTGATAGGGCTGGTGGTGGTGAATCTGGGCGAGTTGTTGGAAAGGGGAAGCGCGGAGGGGAAGGCGGCGGCGGATGAGGTTAAGGGGGTTTTGGAGTTTGTGTAAGGTGTTGGCTTGTTTTTGGCTGTGAGAGGTGGAAGATTTCCATGGAGTGAACGCCGAGGACAGGTTTAATGTTTAATGGTTAATGAGGTGGGGCGAAAATTCGGGTGTGAATGGTTCAAGTTGTCCATGGGAAGGTCAACGAAAGAGTATTCCAAATTATGAGATTATGGTAGCCGTCTTTGAAGGATGTACTTCCGGAAGAGCTGGCATATGTTCTCGTAAATTAGTTTGAACCCTGTTTGGTTCTCGCCTCTCTTTCTCGCTTTTCTTTGTCCCCTTGCTTAGTACATGGGATCTCCAAGTGCGTGGAGTGAAGCGTAGCAAGTGCCTCCATTGCAGTATCCTGACGGCGTCATCCAGCCCCAGACCTCTGTCACAGGAAAACAGAAATTAGCCTTTGCACCATCGAGTAAAGGGAGTGATAGTCCTCTTACCAAGTTGCTTTCCATTGCTGAATATGACATCTGCAGCTCCATAAATCGTCCCTGTGCAGGCTTCAGATCCCGTCACCTGGTCGCAGGTGATCACCAAAGGAGCAGTGCCAGAAGTGTCGATGTCAGTGGCACCGTAACAGCGGCCTTCATCACACCAAGCGGCAACGGAGGCTTGTCCAGCTATGAAGTGAAAATCATTAGTAAAAAGGTAGAGTGCCAGGTTTCAGTGACTTACTGTATTTGTCACCGTCGACCAGGAGATCCTCAATGGTTCCAGAAAGGGTGATGTTGCACTTCCAATCTATACCACAGGTACCGGATACTGTAGTATGGTCAGAGGAGAATATTACGGCCGGAGGTGGTTGGCTTACGAATGCCGTAGACAGCGCCGATTACCGTATCCGGCACAGTGTTGATATCAGACGGAAGACTTATGGGCGTAGAGACAGCATTGGCCACATTGCCGATGGTACCAGACGCCCCGGCAACGCCGTTCAGCGCCTTTGGTTCGGCGACAGGGGCAGCTAAGCCGAGAAGAGCAAAGCTGGAAATGGAAAGAAGGTGGACAAGGAACTTCATGTTGGAATGACTGAAAGCAAAGAAAACGACGTAGCAAAAGAATGAATGAAATGCTGGTTGTTACTGCTGTTGAGCAGGGATGGTAGTGAGAGGACTTGGCGATAGCGCGGGACTATCGCGTGCAGACAGCAGATCATTTGTATAGTGCCTCTGACAGCTCATAGGGCAGACGGAATCAGCCGGACAAAGCGTCTGGTACCTTGCGGCGGCTGTCAACATGGCGTGTTCGCAGCGTCAGTAGCGGCATTGCGTACGGGGAGCTCTGGCCAATTGGCTGCAGATGAAACACGCGGCACTGGGCACGAACTACTAAGGAGAACGCTTCCAGAACTGTATCTAGATTCAGCCTCATCCTTAATTAGGGTTCGCTTGGCGCCGCCACATCATCGGTAATTTGCCCGTTACGACTACCAATAACGGCTCGCTCATATCCGGGGTTTGGCGGGGCCCAATCAATATCTGGAGAGTCCCATGATCGTATGTTTTCGGCAGGTGCAGATCGGGTATGGCGGGCGGCTGCTGGGGATAAGGCGGTTAACGGTTTATAGAAAGCCTGTTATGCCCTAAGATGCAGGGAAACTGCAGACGCGGCCACAGATACGTCACGACCTCCAGTCATGACTCGTCCTTAAAGTGTAATTCATCTGAAACCCTGAACCCGACCGTTGTCGATTTATCTGACCAATAACAATATTTTTAGAGGCCGTCTGTCCCGTCATCGCATTGAGAGAAGTGGTCTTCCAGCGTCCAGCCGGGCTGTCCATCGTGAAAGCAAGCAGTGTTTGCCGTTGCATAGTCGCGCAATGCCGTCCAGCTCTTACAGCTATGCACTTGCTCATTCCCTGCCATATGGTCACCAACGCCGTATAGTGGTGTACTATCGGCATGACACATGATATGCTGGCGCAGCGCGTCAAAGCAGTGACGGTTGTGCGCGATAGGCCACTGCGGAGGCGTTCCGTGGTACAAATCAAGGAGTGTCCGGCGTATGAGGCGCTTTGCGTTGTCAGGCGGCCTTTTCTTTCTAGTCAGGCAACGGGCGAACTTACGAGGCAGTGGAGCTGATGGTACGCCTCAAGGAGGTACATAGCTTTACCCGGCTGTCCCGGAACGTCCATGGACGGTGGCCACTATAATGCGTCAGCGCAGTGACCAGGTAGAGCTGCGTCAGAAAAATGCCCGAACATTTTGTGTGCTGGCCCAGTCGCGGTCTACTGCAATATGGCCATGGGCAGTGTTGATGTTGTCCCACAGTTGGTCGGCCTCGCTGTCATTGTTGGAACTCCAAGGCGTATGCCAATTGAATTTGATAAACTCTGTTGGCAGCTCTTCCGCCTTCGCGACCGAGTCTGGTAAGGGTTCTCTTGGTGAGCTAGCACGAAAGAGGTACAGGGACGCCGCAAAAATCGCCATGTTGCATAGCGAGATAACGGCAAGAAAGATAGTCACCCAGCGCACCCCGCAGGGTGACTCCTTTGCATGTTGTTTCCCGGGATTGCTTGATAAACGCTGGTATGTGAAAGACATGTCCTAAAAGATGTGGATTTTCCTTGGTGGAAAGCGACGATTTTCTAGCTGCAGATTGGCGAAATAAGGGTCATGCATCGCGTGGGAGCTCAGGCATGGCTCGGACCGCAAAATGACTAGTTTGTGGGCAGGGGCTGTTGGCCCAACTAAAACGGTCCATACTCCGCGATGGCTTGTCGCGTAGGCCGGGCTCTGCCGCCACACTGTGGCGTGACCACCAAATGCCACGCTACGCACTAGCCCGATTACTTGGCGACGCATGGGTTCTTTGCCGCGTTCTGCTCGGCAAGTGGAAATAAGTACGATCAGTGCTCTTCCGCTGTCGATCTTTCTTGATCCTCGACCGTCGCTCTCTGTCTGCGAAGACACAAGCGGCTGGCCGCAGCCCTCACTCCCATACACAATCCTTTTCCAAATGCAATGGGCTACGTGAACAAGGAATCATGTTCGGCGGCTGGTATCGCTTTGGCAGTGATTGCCTTGTTGGCTGTCTCGGTGAGAATTATTTACCGGCTGAGAGCAAACCATAAACTTAGCCACGTTCGCTATCTAAACCATTTAGACGACCTCTTCTGTTTATTGGCCGTGATACCCACTATTGGAACGGCTGTTGTTCTAGTGTACGGTAAGGTTTCATTGAGTAGTAGAAGCATGGCTTGGAAGACCGCTTACACTGTTTCTCCGTCCAGGCGCGCAAGTCAATGTACTTGGCCAACACAATGACGCTTCCAATGCGGAGAACTGGATTTCAACGACGACTCCCGATTTAGTACTGTTGGAGAAGGTATCATTATTCGCCTACCTCATTCCACATGAAGACATGCTAATAAGCGTCGTCACCAGTTTGTCTACATTGTCTTCGTTATGCAGCCTCTCGCCATCGGATTCATCAAGCTATCATTCCTGTTCTTCTACCGCCGGATCTTCTTTGTATACAACTCTTTCCAGGTCGTCTCGTTGGTACTCGTTGCGATTACAGCTGCATGGATCATTGCCTTTTTCTTCGGCTTTACCTTTGCATGCGGCACCAACTTCGCCACAAATTGGGCATCACTTGCCGAGATTGGAGAGAAATGCGGATTTGGCTTCATGGCCACCGTTGTTTATGCCATCCTGGATGCCGTCTTGGACTTCATCATTCTGGTCCTGCCGTTCCCCTGGGTGAGCTGCCACCCTTCCCATGCTATCGTGCAGCCATCAGCTGATTATATGAAGATCTGGAAGCTTCAGATGCCTGCAATCCGCAAGTTGCAGGTGTGTGGTGTATTTATGCTTGGTGGTGTGTAAGTTTCGCCACAGCCATAACGCTCGTTTTACCGCGCTGACGCTGCTGGCCTCCTCAAGCGCCGTAGCTTCAGCAATAGTGCGCATGGTCATTTGCATTCAGCAAAGCACGCCTTCAAGTGAGTGACCGCTTCCGAGATTTTGAGAAGTGGCTCTCTTGCTGACAGTCAAAGGCGCGCTTGAAAAGGCCACTGTCATGGGCATGCCACCATACGATATATTGGTATTCATGCACCGTACTCAGAGGGATGTGTTTCATGGCTGTTTCTAATGAGAAAGTCCAGGGAATCACGAGCGCCGGCATCTTCTGGACCGTCATCGAAACCAACGTCGCCCTGATTGCATGCTGTTTACCCACTATTCACTCGGTCCTGAATCCACACGCATTCGGTGCTGCTATCAGCCGCTTACACGGCTTCTTTGCGTCCAAAGTTTCAACCCAAACATCATCCAAAGAGGTCTTGCCGCTATCGAACCTGGTCGGACCTACAAGATTCAGTCGGATTTCTAGTAACAGGGAGCACACCGACGTGGCGTTGACGAATAAGCAACGCGGAGAATTTTCCAGAGTGGACAGTAGATAGCTAATACTATCATTGAAGTCAAATTTGCAAATTACTTGAAAGTGCTCTGATTTTTATTAACTACGAATGGCCGGTCAACATACAGGAGGGTATTGCAGCCGACGGTTGGCATGAAGAATAGTAAGGTCCTAGGCGTAGCTATGCCTCAGCTCTTTCTCAGAAAAATAACATATGTGAGTAGCTGAAGCTATTTTTTTTTTCAATTCCACATTCTTGTCCGGAAGATGGTTTTAACTACCCATGATATGAGCAAAAAAACAAATTCACGCTAACCAGAGGGCTGTACCATGTCCGTCACAGATCGTGCACACATCGTTCGCAGCACACCTATTGGTATCCACATCTCCCGCTTCGATGTATGGGCAATTTATTTCTTTTCATATTCAATGCAGGATTCGATATTTGTTACTGCATAAGCGCTTAGCGACTTCTGAAAAGAGGAACCTCGCTAAGCGACTTGCCCGCAAAACGTTAGCACAGACCCACACTGGCAAAAAAAAAACGTACAACAGCCGGGATTCCCCAATGGTCACCCACTTGAGTACTAATCGGCCGGTTCGCAGCTTAAGTACGGCTGAGCGGACGGGAAGCCCTGCATTCTGCGACCTATGGTCGTACGTGGCAGATGAAGCTACAAATTAAACTTATGATTCCCAGTTAACAGACAGTCGCCTCGCTGTCGCTGGCAGTTCGCCGTCAGTCCATGTCGTAGTGCTTAAAGTTGGTTCAGAGTGGACGGCAATCCCTGCATTCTCCTGTTCGATGATGCTGGTTTTCATTGTAATACAGCTCTTTTTCACCTTCTTAAGCGCGTATTAACGCGTCTTGTACTAACATGTCTAAGACAAGACGGATTTTTACCACGACGGTAGAAGGACGGTCTTAAACAAGATAAGACGCTGTCGGAGCCGTCTTAATTGAGACATCTTGACCGTCTTGGCAATACGTCTTGCCAAGTGGGAGCCCTGGCGCTCGGTTACGCAATCTATTGTTAGGCAGCAGTGTGGGGTTTGGTTGAATAGCCTCGTCGTGAAATCAGCGCGGAATTTGTCGACAGAGTTGTTCCTTATCATCAAAATGTCTCAATACCAATACCGTCAACTGCACGGTCACAAGCCTCTTAGATTGCTCAATATTCGACGCTTTGCCTTACGGAACCGGGAGTGTACTGCATTCGAACTTATTCACACAACCATTCAAGACGCTCCGCAATTCGAAACCGTCTCCTATACCTGGGGAGACTGGAAAAAACCAATAAAACTTCACTTTACCAACGGAGAATTCATTCACGTCACTGAAAACCTACATAAATCACTGCCTCACTTGCTCAACGCCTGCCAAACCGACTATCTATGGATCGACCAACTGTGTATTGATCAACTCGATCTTCACGAAAGAAGTCAGCAAGTGGCTATTATGGGGGAAATCTATGCCACAGCCCAAAGGACACTTGTGTGGCTAGGAGGCTTCACGGATGGCATTAACGTTATACGATGCTTGATCACTCAGCTTGGACACAAGCCCGAAGGATTCATTTTCAGAGCATTCAAACTTCTTGAAATAGGAAGCGAACAGGCCGATTTGGACGTGTATTCCCTTTTCCAGAATTTTACAAACATCTGCCATGGAGATTCGACACCTCAATGTATTCTCGTGAAAAAAATATCTGGATCAGCCCACTATTGTCAAACGTGCACTAGAAGAGCCTTTCAGAAGATCTTCCAAGCTACCTGGGAAGTTATGGAACGTCCATGGGTAATTACTAGTGCAACCAAGCTTCGTGATTCTTTGTTCTAACTTTACTATAGTTCTCTAGATGCTGGGTTGTGCAAGAGGCCTTGCTTTCGAAGGAGGTTAGGATGCTCATTGGTCACATAACCCTCTCGCCCTACGATCTTTTACGAGTTTGCAATGTGTTATACTGGATTTGGGGACGGATGGATGCTCTAGAACTCACAGAGTATGATCTATACTCTTCCAAGGGTATGCGGCCGTTCTACTTCATGATGACTTTCTGGGAAAAGATCGAAGACATGGAGTTCTCCACTTTCACTTCAGTCCTCGAAGACATGAGGGCACGGCTTCTTCGAGGTCATATGAAAGCATCAAATCCACGAGACATCATCTACTCCCTCCGAAACATACATTCAAGCGCCAGAACGCTTATACAGCCAGATTATTCGCTGAAACTTGACGAAGTATACAACGACGCTACCCGCGCATGTATTGAAGAGTGTCAAGACCTATCCATCCTTAGTCTTTGCGACAATGCCGACTCAGTATCCTCACAGGAAAAAACGGTCGAGTTCCCCTCTTGGGTGCCAGATTGGTCTAAAATGATGACAGTCAGACCAATTCCTATGTTTGAATTTGCCGCATGTGGCTTATTCCGGCATACGCTTGAACCAAGATGTGTGCTGGGGCAACTCAAAGTGCGAGGAAAGCACGTAGGTCATATCTCAACTCTCTTCTCGAAAGAATGGGAGAAGTTCTTTGGAAGAGCTCAAAATAGGCGATTAGGGAAGGGAAACCAACCGTTGAGGAGCTTGCGGTCAATCGTTAGAGCCCTGGTGGAAGAACGACCACACCTGTCGTCAAAAATCACAGAAAAGGACCTCTTTCTTCTCATGACCTGCAATGGGGTTGGGGTTGGAATTGGCTATGGTGAAGGACTCAAGTACAACATGATGATGTTTAACGAACTGGACTTCAAGTGCTGTCAAGACTTTGCTAGGAATAGGCGGATTGCTCTAAGTGACGGAGGTCACCTGGCACTCGTACCGTCTTCCTCATTGCGGCATGACGAAATATGGGTGCTATACGGGTGCTCAGCGCCGGTCATCCTGCGGCGTATAGCAAACAGCGAGTATAAACTCATTGGTGTCTGTTATGTTGACGGCATAATGTACGGTGAAGCAGTTACTGATTCTGAGGGAGGAGCGCCTGAAATATGTCTATCGTAACATGCTTTGATTTTTCTTTTGGTATTTAATTCGTTCTTTTATCACAAATTAATTGCCCTGCGCCATCGGAGAAGGTGCTACAAATCCAGCGCAAGGTAAATTTGAATATCGAATAAAGTTCTCGAGTCTACACGACTAGTATGTCTTCCAGTCTGTCTTGCCAGTCCCCTTCCATAAGCTCCCCGTCCATGAAGCCCTCAAGAAAACACTCGCTGACAATTTGATGAGCAGTTGTCGAGCTTCGGCGCAAAACAAAAGGCGCCTTCCCCCCAATTGGCAGATAGATTTCATCTCCAACTTCAACTGAATACCGCGCCAGGCCAAATTTCCCAGTCTTTGTGAAGAACATCCTCTTGGACACGGACTCTTTGTATGACGCTCCCGTCTTGTGCTGGGAAAGCAACGAGACAAATGGCCCTTTACTGTCATCTTTACGTGCGCAAGCCTCACGAAAGCGCCGATAGTCGTCCTCGCACACGCTCCATGAAACATCAGACCAGTCCCATCCATATGTTTGGCGAAGCTTGTTGGAGCTCAGAGTGGCTCGCAGTAGCGCGTTCCAGAACTGTTCCATCTTCGGCTGAGATTTCTCTCCCGCAACGTCTGCGCCCAGAATTTCTCTCCACTCTTCCAAAGCTGGACAGAGCGTGTCGGGATTCGTAACAGCGCGCCCAACCTTCTCCACCTGATCAATACCAACTGCCTTTACCTGGAGGATAAAGCGGTCCACCAGCACCGGTCTCTCAAAGTGCGTACCAGACGCTTTGAACGACTCGAGAAGCGGGTAGCGCGTGGACGTATGATCATGACCCATTGCGTAGTCCGGCACCCAGGAGGGAATGCCATCTCTGGACAGCAAGTCCCTCGATCCATGCAAGGCACAGAAACTCCTCTCCTGATCCACCATGCTCAGCACAGCCTGCACAACCGTGTCAGCCACGGGGCGCGTGTAGTCCGGCACGGGCGGCGTGGCCTCGCCCCAGGACGTGACGAGCGCGAGGACACCGTACACATGATCGTGCGCCACCGTCGCGTCCATGTGCCCGCACACCTCGCGCAGCCTCCGCAGCGAGAGCTCGCTCCCGGGCAAGCGGTAGAAAGCGGCCGTGGCGAACGGCCAGAAGACGGTCAACAGATCCACGACAGCTTTAAAAAAGACGCCGCTCGGCGCGGGCGCGTGCAGCTTCTGCCACGCCCACCGGCAGCAGTCCACGCCGTGCTTGCCTGCGCGCACGTAGGCTCGTTCGATGATGGGGATGTGGAACTTCTCGGAGCCGGCGAGGAAGAGGACGCGTTGTGGCAGGACGATCTCCTGCACCACCCAGATGCGGTGCCACCAGTCGGCCGCGAGCAGCGTCTGCAGGCACTTGAAGTGCTGCTGGTAGCGCTCTGCAACTGCTATACCGGTGCTGGTCATCTCGTAGCAGGGGTAGTCGGCGTAGTGCTTGTCTTGGGTGAGCATCTTGAGCAGCTGCACCGCGAGCCGGAAGGTTTTGGACCGCGGCCGCGGGTTTTTGGCCCTTTTGCGCGCGTGGGGGTCCTCGCCCAGCCATACGATGGACCAGAAACAGTTGGTGTATATTGCGTTCATCATCGCGACTTGCCACGACTTTTCGACGTTGTCGCGCTGGTTGATGCAGATGGCATCGACCCATACGGTGAAAGCGGCGGTGGCTCGGCGGACTCTCCGCAACGCGCGCCAGAGGTTGACTGTGGCGTGGAATACTCTGCCGTTGACGAAGATGGGGACCGTGTCATGAGGGCTTCCCCAAACGTACGAGAGCGCGTTGTAAACCGGATTGTCGTTGAGTGAAGCCGTGGTCAGCGTGCAGCGGATGCGGGCCCGCCATGATCCGGGATGTATCGTGAGTAGACGAATCTCTCGTTTCTCGCGTTCCAACTTGCTGTATGTGAGAGATTGGAGGTTGGAGAAACCCTGCTGCTTGTGAGGGTAACACATGATGCAGGGCTCAGCGGGAAGGAAATGTAGTTGTTAAAGGCTGATGTAACCTTTAAAAGGTAGGTAAACGGCCCCCAATTTTTGCCAATAATTCATGACTTTTACTGGCCAATGGTGAAGCACAAAATGAATGGCCCCCAATTTCTCAGACAAAGCGGAGCGCCACCAGCCCCAACTTTCTGTTACTCCAACACAATTGTCTCCCATTCCAGATTCTGCTTTGCCCACTGGACCACTAATACGCGCCCAAGTCCGAGACGTCGAGCAACACCGTTCTTGACGCTAACCATCATAATGTTGAGAACTGGAGGAGGAGTAAGAGGCGTCCTATTGCTGTCAAGATAGGTTACATCAGGGCTAATGCTTCTTCTCTTTTGGGATTCGGACCTGCTTCAGTGAGCATTCGCACTAAATATGGGTAAATTTTCCTTATAGGTGGACCCACATCTCGTCGTCTCTTTTCGGGGGTGGCCCCAAAGGCGGCGTGTACAGTATAGGAGATGCTTTCAACAGGGAGGGCGTCATGTTTTTCCAAAGTTCTTGGTGATGTTCTCTGCATATCACGATTCCATTAGCGCACAGTAAATCTCGCGGCAGATCTGGTTCTACTCACAACTCGGCCTTTCCGTATTTGTCCGAGTATGGCTCGCGTGTATCTTCCTGAACTCGCTGGTCGCAGATGGGCTTTCCAATCACATGATCGTTTTCGAGCACTATTCTGGTGAGATTCGACCCATCAGCGTCTACTGAAAGGGCCACGAAAAGAAAAGTGCGTTCGTCGAAGCTCTCATGAGTGTCGGTGGAGCCGTTTCCGATCATGTAACCATCTTTTCCTTCCAGCTCGAAATGTTTTCCACTCAACGCTGAACGCACGTTTCGCAGCTTCAATCTTGCCACGGTGGATAGGAAGGCTATACGTCCTCTCTTGCTCTGGACTTTAAGAAGTGTATCTGCAGGAAGTTGGGACAGCCTTAATGATTCCCAGAAGCTTTGGTAGGTTGGCCATAGTCTCCTAGTTACCTCCTCCAGCTCCGAAAGAGTTCTCGTCTTGGAGATTGCTACCAAGGGAGGCGCCTCCAATAACCCAAGAATCCAGCATACTGCAATTGCCAAGCGAGGCCGAGGTCCTGTTGGATCCTCTAATTCCCAGTCCGGATGAGCTCCGTTACTTCCACTAGCATGGATAAGTACTGGATCACCTCCATCCTGCGGCAATCGGTACCAACTCGCCAAGGCACCATGGCACTGGGAGTGAAATCGTATCCACCCGGTGGCACTGGCCCAACTCCAAGTTGGAAATACTCCGCTGTCATCATTTGTTGTCCTCTCGGTTCCGGGACCGCGAGTCCAAAGGAGGGAGGCATCAAAATCTCGTGCTGGATGCCCGAATATGTAATCTTCCAGATCTTTGTAGTGGCTCTTGTAGACTCCGAGAAAGGCATTGTAGATGTCAGAGGCATAAGAGAGTGTGCGGTTGTTGTATTCTCCAACAGTTCGCTGGTATGACTGTAGTGGAGCCAGCTTGTCCGCGCGGTTCCAGTCAGGCGGGGCTTCCGAAGTCTTGCCCTCATGGAAGGCTCCATGGACGCATTCAAAGACCGCCTGCCAAGGTGAAAAGAGTATGACGCGTTCTGACAACATGTACTCCTGGTAGGTCCATCCGCGAGTCCACCAGGTCTCGTTGCGAAACATTCTCGGCGAAGGCAGAGGGGCAATGATGTCGAGGTCAGCCATTGAGAATTTGCGCTGACGCAGAGTGCGAACCGTATTCTTTGTACCAAAGAGGCCAGCATCTGAATCGTTTCCGGCGGCTGCACACAGAGTGACCACCGCGCGAGAATAAATGCAGTCCATGGAATTGATCTGCGTCATTTTGAACACTCCGTCGTCCTGGATGATGCACACTCGATCAACCCAGAGGAATTGTACACCCAATTCGCGGCACAGTTCCATGGCGTCTCGAATAGTGGCTGGCATGTGGTCCCCGGAGAGGCCGCCCGGCTGCTTGAGATTGTTGATGGAAGCCTTGGTGGCCTCAACTTGACCCGGTTTCGGTGGACCCCACACGTAGCTCAAGGCTACGTACTTGCAGTTTTCGGGTGCCGGAACCACACAAGATTTTCGGACATCAATCACCAGCATCCCCTCCGGCAGCTCATTTTCACCGAGCTTGGCTTGGGTGGGATGATGCTGTTCCTCGCATCTTCTCAGCCATTCCTTCAGCTTTGAAGATGAAATGCGTTCTCTGACTTCTTTCAGACAAGTGTTCGTCTTGTCGCCTTCGAATTTGTAGGCCAAGGGCACAGAAAACTCTCCCACTGAGATGACAACCTCCTGATTTTCACCCCCGGGGCTAAACAATATTTCTTCCTCTTCATGGTCTTCCACCCGCCACAGCCCATGCCACGCAATTCCTTTTAACTCAATTGATCGCAGCACAAAGTAGCAGTATTCACATTGCTGACTCCTGTGGTACATTTCCTTGACTGTTCCGGTGTGTATCGTGTAGTATATCCGTCTTTTTTGCTGTCCGGTCGTGCAAACGAGAACGTGATACAGACGGAGGTGCTGGCAATATACGCACAATTGACCGTCGAAGCTCAAGGCGTTGCATCCAGAGCATTCTTCGTGAAATAGCATGTGGATTTCCTCATGGGTAGGATCTCTTCGGCGTCCGACCGTTTCGTACTCGTAACATGACTGCAGCTGGGGGTAGTATTGGCAGGAGGGGCTGCCGCATGCCGAATGTCCGTGAGCTTGTGACATTTCCATGTGAGCGCACAGTATAGTAACAGTTGAGCTGTGTTACAAGGTCTCCCGTGTGCTGAGGAGGCCGGCGTGTGTCTTGACGAGTGGGGCGGTTTAAGCGAAAGATGGGAGGAATTAGCCCCCAACCCTCAGCAAGTTTCAGCCGCGTGCCGCTTCTCTTACACAAGGAGAGAACATTGGTCTGAGATTCATCGAGCGTGGAGTTCTTGAGACGTGATGACGTGGCCCGGAAAAAAAATGCAATACGGATTGTACATACATTCGTCAACGGGGCTGGATCTTGTGAGCATTTTAGTATCTATTTGAACTCAATGACAGTCCGTAGATTGTGGCTTCCCTCAATTTCTGGAAATAAAACTCCAGGCTACCATGCTACATAAAAGACCTTTTTTTCCTTGACCATGATGGCCAATAAGTGGATGGTTCAGCGCCTCGTCTTTGTTACTCGATGTATTTATGCCACTTTAAATCGTGCAGATGGCAGCCACGGTATTCCTCGCGTATTCACGCACATGCAATTCTCACGCTCATGCGATCTTCTCCTTATTTTTTTTTAGAAAGAAAGTAAAAGATGAGGAAAGGGAGTTGTCTTGAAATTCAAATCATCTCTCTACTATTGTTTACTTGTCGGGCTCACGTCGTCCATGGGATCCTGGATCATTGACTCCGGCGTGCCAGCCTCAGAATCCACAGTCACCATCGGCTCTTCCTTCTCGAGTTTTTGTAAATGGTTACAAAACGATGGTCCCAGACCAAATTTGAACGTCAAGGCGCGGGTATACCAATCAGGATATCTCTAAAGATAAGTTGTCAGCTCATTTCTGCCATGTATGTATACTAAAAGGCTGAGGATACCATGGTTTCTGTAGCACAGGCGGGGATTACGGTTACAAACCAGGATGACGTACCGTTCTGAAGTGCAGCAATGCAATCTCCCTTACTGACGCAACGAAGGATGCCAAACCAATGATGAATGGGATCAGCTGCCCCGTTGATCTCAGACTGTAAACATCCGATATCTCCGCGACGATAATGGTCTTCTCGATGAAAACCATAAAGCAGATCATCGCCCCCAGGCTGGCCGCGTGAAACATTACACAAATTCTAACCACACTACGCCTAATATGGAAGATACTGCGTCAGCTACTCCCCACTTCTCAGCGTTGTGCAGTTCGTTCGCGAACTTACGGAATTGAAGCCTGCTGCTTTTCTTCCAAGCGTCCCCCTGGCGTTCTCGCCGCACCGCTGTCCAGGTCAGTACCGCGACTCATGAACGATATGAAAGGCTTCCAAAGGTCACTCCAACCGGGTAGATCTCCCGACTCGATGGTCCAGAACGAGTAGATGCCGTGCAGCAGCACTGGAGACCCCAGGAACCCATCAATAACCACATACGGCCAAATGTTATCCCAAAGCATGAATGGCGTCAAACACAAGCCAATCGCAAATTTGGTTCCATCGTACAGATTATCCCACATGCCAGGGCTGATGCGTTCGAGAGCAGTGATGACAAGCCAGCGTGCGAGAAAGCCGAGCACGAACTTCCACACGGCGAAAGCAGCGCTAAGGATGATCCAGCACAACCATAGTGCCGGGATGGCAAGGATAACAGACACACTGCGGAAGAAGTCTAGGAGAGAGCCGGTGATGTGCTGGTGGCCGAAAAAGAAGATGGACGGAGCGCAGGCCTTGCCGCCGGTGGACTCGGATACTTTGTCGATGAGCCAGGGCGACCACCAGAACCAGAGGTTGAGGCCGATGAGATAGGTCAATACCGCGCTGCGCCATGCGACGCCGGACCAAGACAGCGAGGGGTGCTTGAGAAATGAAACGGCATCGGAAGTGAACTCGATGGTCGAAGCGCGGACCAAGCCCAGGGTGCTTGCCGGGAGAGATGCATCGGGCATCTGGCGGAGGTTGCGGACGAGCTTCCCGCAGATAGTATTTCTGCCTATGGCAGCCATTGAAGCGACAGATGCACGTCTGTTGTCTTGGTGGCCTTCTTCTTGTTGTTGTGGCTCTTTTTCGCCATCGTCTTCGCCACGCGAGCGCAGCCATTCCTGGAAATGCCGAAACGCAGTCTGCACAGCCTGGATACGCCCACGGACTGATCCTCGAAGCGCCTCCCGTTTTATCCGCACATGGCAGAGGAATTCTGACAGTGTTCGTGGAGTAAGGAAGTACACCCGGACGCCCAGGAGAGACAAGACTGTGAAGATGAAGCCGAAGCAAATGTGCAGCATGACGTACGCTTCTACTGGCCGGATCGCATCGTTGGCCACAGCCACTGAGATACCGATCAGCAAAGCCAGCAAAAAGATGGAGTTGGCGTCATGGTTGGCTGCGGCTGCGGATGGGTTGCAGGTGTTTGTGAGCCATGACGAGAACCACTGAGAATAAACACCAAGTCGAATGCCCAAGCCGTAGAGATCAGGGTTTCCGTTGAATCCAGGGCACTTTTCAACGACTTCGCGCTGGTGGATTGAAGTGAAATGGCCAGGAGATTGTGGTATCTTGATTGCGGCTGAAAGGACCGGGGTTGCGGCAAAGGCAGCCACGAGAAGACCCCTTGCCGCAGACATATTCTTCATGCCGACTACGTCCGAGCTTTGAGGAGTACCTCGAAATATAAGGAATGGTAGCGTGTAAGGCAACGAGGCTGAGCTGAACCATCCCCGTCAGGCGCCAAGACCCGCCTCAATGCATGAGGCTCGAAGCTGAAAGATGGCCCCCAGACGGAAAGCAGCGGAACACCTTTGAAAAGAGCCATCTGCAGCCACGGAGCCTGCCTTTTTCAGTTTACATCACCGTATCCGGTGACATGCGTCGGTGTTTCCGCTTAACTCCATATACTTTCTGTCAAGCCCAGACGAAGGAGGCATGATCGTCGACTTTCCTTAGATTTTGGTTATTTGAGGTCCATTAACTCGCATAATATCCACGATAAGTTCTGCTATGGTCGAATATGTGTATTCTGAGGATCAAAATGCTGTTTTTGTGTTGCTTACAAATATGGATTCCCGGAGCCACAGCAATATTGAAGCTCTTTAGTTCCACAAAACCTGAGTCTCACGTAAGATAAGCGTTATTGGAAAGGATTAACTTTCCTCCAGTCATGCGCTTTGGAGGAAACATTGATGTTTTCCATGAACAATTTCTGAGGGGTGGGACACCATCTCAACCATTATTAGGAGAAAGCCCGTTAGTTTATTATTTCTGTAGCAGCAATCATAACCGACAGTGGTTCATTTACGTGGATTGTTCTCTCTGAGATGCATTTTGTAAGCGTTCAAGGATAATGACGAGGTTTTGCGCTATTTTCTTGTTCGTCAGCTGCTGCCCCTGGTCGCGCAGCCCTCGAGTCTGTCTTGGCTACTGTAGGTATCCGTCACCTTTCACTTGAAACGGGAGAATGATCTCCACCGTGTTCAATAAGCAATTTGTCAATGGTGCCGAGCAGTTTATGAGGTTCTCTCTGTCTAATTGCGTTCCGTATCTAAGTTACTAGATTCGACCTACGGGTCGTTTCACGCGTAAACGGCTACGGGTGAGAATCGTTGGATAATTTCAAACCACCTGATGTAAATGCACTTCAATTGCGTTGCAAGGTGAATTGAATGTCTAGCCGATAGGGACCTAGAAGGTAGCGGGCACGAAGGGAGTTGAGAGAGCGGCTGATGAGCTGAGCAGGCTGGAGATGTTGTCCTTGCACTTTAGCCAGCAAATTGCGCATGTCGGCCTCAGGCAGCGGTGCATCAACCCGGCCATGCAAGGCCACGTTTCTTAAGAAGCGCCTTGCCCCATATTCGAATTCAAGCGAGAAGTTCATGGTGTGTCTATTATACTCTTGAGTCGTCCGGGTAAGACATACCGTATAGAGATGCAGGATAACAATGCTTTAGAAGCAAATAGCTGTGCCCACTCGCCATGGTGGAGCATGGTGTCACCGCACAGACAAGGAATTGGCTTTTAACGAGCATGCCTGGATATATGCTTTGACAGATTCTCCAGCGCGCAGTCTCTGAATCTTGGTGCATCTTAAAAGAGTTCATTTGGCACAATTGAAATTGCATTCGCTACGGATAGGCAGTTCTACTTATGTATTGCTTTAGTTTGTAGCGGTATTTAAAAGCTTTCAGAGGCTCAAATATACTTGTCGCTCTTTCTTTTTAAAAAGAAAAACTAAAAAAAAAAAAAAACAGGTTCCCACTTACGAGCTGCTATTTCGTTTAAACAATTCTGATATGGTTCGATTAAGAAGGGCGATACTTGCTCGCCGTCCCTTTAGTGAAAGCCTCACGACTCTTCGCTTTAATGGGTGCGCGGATCCAGTAGGAAAAAGATATGAAAGAAGGTGTAATCAGAGGCACAAACGAGCTGAGAGAAGCTAATCGCACTTCCACCGCTGATGTTGGCCCGGGTATTTCAAGTCAAAGGGTCGTGTTCTCCGATGCTGGTGTTCCTCTCCCTGAGTGGCTGAGGACTAGCCAGAGATTTCGTACGGCAACCTCGTCGTCCAAGCCTCAGAGCACAGAAACGGAGAGTAAAGGGACGCAACGAAGCCAAAGGCTACAGCATCAGCAGACACCAGCGGTCAATCCTCGAAAGGAGAATCCAGTGACAGCACCAAGAGTTGTCAAGAGTACCATCGTGAGGCAACCTGGAGCCAACGTCCGGGAAGACGGCAACCCGCTGATATCCAAGCTCGCTCCAGACTCCAAGGTCCATATCCCGGGCTCCTAACGTGTCACAAGCGACGTGACCGCCTCTTATCCTGGCCCAGACCGATACTCGAGGCCTTTGCAAAAGCATGACCACCTGTGGGCTGGTCCTACTAGTCATGGTTCCGCGTAAGCGCGTCCCCAGCCCAGTATCCCATGCGAGCCAGTTCTACCATCATCCTATCCACAGGAACGAATGTCTTCCACTAATTCGAGGTACAGAGGTATATGGTAATAGCGAAGGCGGTAGCGATGGTTGGGAGAAGGACGATGTGATCCAGCTTGTAGCCTTACTAGTCGGTATTCCAGCGGTGATCGCAGCTCTCATTGCATGTGCGGCGTACTTCAAACGAGGCTGTTTAACCGACGAAGGTACGTAACTCTGGGGTAAGCGTGTTTTCACGCAAGAGAAGGGAAGATAAAGAACTGGAAATCAAGGGTGGCTGCTCATCTTAAGAGGATGAAAATGCCCTTTTGGTGTTCGGCAATGGTCCGGAAGATCGTCGGGTGCCGTGCCCGTTCAGAGATCGAACAACGAAGGACTCTGAGATCGTACAAGGACTGACTTCTTGTGGATTTAGAGTCGTCAGATCAGAGCGACGAGGCTGACTCCAATGTGCCATCGAGACACAGACAAGACGTAGTGAATGGAGAAGAAGTCAGCAACAGTGTGTCAGGTGGAAATCCAGGGAGTGGAGCAGATGTCGTCGCAACAAGGTCAGAAACGCACGGACTAGAAGAGAACGCACGCCCACGGCGTAGCTCTCAGCCGGCACAGCTGGAGGCAGAGACAGTCGAGCCGCAGATCTGCTTAGGCCTTCAACACGACCGTGTGCGTCCAGAACGGCCAGCATGCGCGCCTGCGACCAGACAGTTGGACCAGCCTATGGAATCAGTGCTCTCTAATACAGTGGCAGCTGTGGCCCCTCTCCCGGCGCTGCACGTTAAGACTCACATTCGAGGTGAACACACAACCGCCGGCGCTGCAGAAGACGGCGAGAGTATTCGCGATCTTGTCATCTGGTTCCAGAGGGAGTACGAGCGCGCCAACTCGCAAATCCTGGGCGAGCGAGATGCCTGGGGTGCTGAAATGCACCGGGGTGCTGGAGGCGAACCGAGCGACCGCCTGGAGACTGCTAAAGGCTGGGAGCTAGGACAGTGTGGCGGCGGGAGCTTGGTTGATGGCGAGAGGGATGGCGACTGAATGCTCTTGGTGGTATGTAGTCAACAGTAAAGCTGCATGAGGCTTCGTGGTTACAGCGATGAGATAGATGAAAAGGGTGGTGAGGGCGGTCGGACACGTTGATCCGAGGAGCGTGGAGGCTCTGACCTACTGACCGAGCCCCTTCACGTAGCAATGGATGCGCAACGTCTCCTTGTGGGATAAAAATTGCCTTTGAGGTTGACCGGAGTTGATGCGGGATCAGATTCAAGGCGGGAAGTCAGGTTGACTGCAAGGCAGATTGGGGGCTGGTTCCTGCGAAAGGCGACGTATCACACATCCGCAACGCGGGAGTGTATCACAGCCCAATCCCGCAGAGCCACAGAGCTTACGGACCCCACAACCAATCACCCTTCTGACTGCTCATTCCCTTGAGAACTCCCGTCTTCCAGCTCCCATGATGATGCGCGTGATGGTCTTGCCAGAAGTCAGCCACCCTTCACGGCCCAATCTAGCAAAAGCTGAGTTGGCTGACATTTTGCACAAAGCATCTACAATATTGCTCGCCAAAAAGTGGTCCAGCAGCGAGATTGGAGATACTTACTCTTGAAAGTCACATGTCAAGAGTCACCTGATATATTAGTCAAGAAGGGGACGTTGGACCGGCATACTCTGAGGTCTGCCAGCCTGTAGATCAACCAACAAACCACTTACCCACATGCTCTAAACTCCGCCTAGTGCTTAGTATCGGTTTCTAACGCTTACTATGGCCAATATTTCCAAAACTTTTAGATTGCATCAAGCAAGCTCACTATCAAGTCCCACCGGTAAACATAAATCTTGTCATGGTTAAAGTGCACCAATGAAACTTTTTGATTCCTACCCAAGCCTTCTCTCAAACCTTCCGACATAACCGCCCATTCTGATTGTACCACCCATCCTCCGACCGGACCTCCCAATTCTCCGACCCCACAGCCGTCGGCGCGTAAAACACACCCAGCGGATCAATCTCCTGCTTCAGCGCGTACAGCCGCTCGTAATGCTCACCGTAAAACGCATCCTGCCAATCCGGCTCAAAGATATCCGACTCGCTCAGATACGCACCGCCCGTCGGCGCCACCTTCCGCCACACGCCAAACACATCATTCGTCAGATACTCAAAAGACTTCCTGATCTCCTCGGCGCTCGCATCCACATCGATGAACCCGCCGCCCGCATTCGCCAGCATGTAGCTATCACGCCAGTGCGTATTCACCGCATTCGCGTCCCTCGCCTGGCCGGTCGGCGCAGCATTCTTCATATTGTAAGCCAGCAGCACAGCGCCCTGCTCAGTAGTGTTGCGGAAGGCCGCCAGCGTCGCATCCCTCGCCTCAGCCGTCTCGAAGTTCTGCTTCGGAAACAAGCGGCCGCCAGACCGCGACGTCACCAAGCCGACCATCTCGAGCGAGAAGCCGGCGCGCCACGCCGCGTGGAAACTCTCATGGTACGTCGTGTTCGGCGTAAACGGGATCCCGAGCTCGCGCAGGCGCGCCCACCACGGCTCCGCGATGGCTTCGAACTCCTCGACTGTCTTGTTCGGCGCGAACCACGGCCGCATCTCGAACGAGAACTGGCCGTCGCCGAGCGGCAGCAGGTAGAAGTACGAGTACGTGCCCGCGTCGGCGTTGACGATAAAGTCATCAAAGTAGGCGCGGAAGCCGGCCCAGAAAGTATCAGCCGTGACGGTGGGGCCCGTAGAGAAAGAAAAGCGCGAGATGGTGACGGGGATCTTCGGCAGCGCTTTGACGACGACGGAGCTGACGACGCCGTAGGTACCGCCGCCGCCGCCGCGCAGCGCCCAGAAGAGGTCCGGGTGCGTCGTCTCGGACGCGGTGAGGAAGCGGCCGTCGGGCGTGACGACGTTTAGGGCGAGGACGTGGTCGGCGCTCATGCCGTAGATGCTGGAGAGCGGCGAGTGCCCGCCGCCGAGGACGTAGCCGCCTGTGACTCCGACGCTCTGCGTAAATGGTTAACTTCTTTTTCCAGGAGGCAAGGCATCGTCATGCTTACCTCGCACTCTCCGCCGATCACTGTCACGTCGTTGTCCTCGGCGTACTGGTAGAGCTCGAATGCTTGTACACCTGAACCGACGTGGATCGCTGGCCCACTGTACGTCGGTGTCTCGTATGCCTTGTAGAATTCCATGTCCTTCAAGTAGTGCGTCCAGATACTCAAAGCCCCTGCTCCCGTAGACTTGCCAGCGAAGTCGTGGCCGGTGTTCTTCACCACCAAACGGATGTCGAAATAGCGAGCGAAATTCACGGCAATCTGGATTTGCGCGACGGTCGAGACGTTGACAACGTAGGACGGATATCCTCCCAGAGTGCACGTGCTGGTGCCGTTGTACCCGGTAGGCAAGCAGGTCCGGCCCTGCCACAGTGGCCAGGAAATAGACGTCGGGTCATCTGCGCTGCACAGCTGTTACTTATTTTGCCGACGTGAAGGAGCCCGTGGACGATAGAGGAGATTGAAAGCTTACTGGAAGTATGAGTTGTTCCACTGCTGAGCAACGAATGCGCATTTTTCAGCATCGTAGGGGCCATATTCTTCATCGTGGCAGTCGTGAGCTGAAGGTATCGTCTTGATCAGAGCATTATCCACCACAGTGTTCAATGCCTGCCAAACGTCTTCAGCAGGCCAATCGGCATCGCCAGGAAAGACCTTGCATTCATTGACGTTCGACGGCTTTGTGTCGGGTCCGAATGCCGCAGCATACTGGGTCGAATTTTTCAGTGTGTCGTTGGTGACCACATTTTCCTCCCAGGGGAAGAACTGAGCGGGAGTTACTCCGGTGCTGGCTGCAGCTGAAGGGCCTACAAGCAGCCAGCTCGAGCTCAATATGGAACAAAACTGAAGGAAACCGGTCCGGCCCATCATCTCAAACGATTCCACCAAGCAGGGTGGACAGAAAGGCTGCAAAGGACGTCAATGGCAACAGAAATGTCGCGGTTAAAACAAATATTTGTCCGTATCTATCTGCACGATTTTCCAGGATAGCAATCCTTCCTGCAGCTACAATTATTCGACATGCGGCTATCTTGGTCGAGACCCTGCATACACCGTATTTCTGCCCATGGGCCAAGCCGGAAGCGCGGACGCGAAACGGCTTTGCTTCTCCCATTCGGCTGGACCTATTACCCAATCTGTAGGTAGCGTCCCGTTCGGCTATTTTAGCACCCCAGTTCTGTGTATTCTTTAGGGTTTGCTGTTTTAAAGTTACTTGTACTTCCAGCATGGTCCCGACTCAAGTGTTGCGGCGCCAATCATTGCGAGCGGCAACCCCATTTTGGCCCCCAATACGAACCCAACCGGCAAAACAGAATGTCACATACTCCGCGCTAAGAGCTGCAATTCTCCATTGTTTAGATGAAAAATACTTGGCTAATATATTTGCATAGTGCCCTCACCGAACACCGCTCCACTTTGAGTGAACAATTTGTTGTCGATGGGCTATTTTGCGTGGTATGAGAGATAATGACGACGAACCGGATCTGTACCCCGAGTGACCCTTACATGGGATGATAGAAAGTTCGGGGGATGAGGTCGGTGCTAGATCGTTCAAAATTGATGTATGAATGATTTGCTCCGGTTTGAGTTATCTGTGGTGTTGAGCCAAAGACGACTCAGAACAAATGACTAAGCGAATTAGCAGGTCACGGACGTGATTGAGCTCTTTCTCTTCATAATTACATCCGATGATGTCATCCCCTCCATCTATGACCTGCTCTGCCGCCCGCCTACCGGTCAATCATTGAATCATTACACGAATAGTGTAAGTGAAACCCTTAAGCTTACCCGAGATCTGTAGAAGAAATGAAAGAGTCTCAAATGAGAAAATGCTATGGTCAGTATTGAGGACGGTGAATGTCTCAAAATCGATCTGCAATCTTGGACGCCAATGTGCTTTCGAGAGCTGCAGCTGTCCCTGATCACATCACAAAGAGATGAACGTTCCAATCATAGTTGAATAGACCATTTGGATGGTATCTCAACCAATTCTTCTCTCTTCTATGTATATATCCTCTCATCATCCTTCTATATCCTTCATATCATAGTCGTACATGTCCGAATGAGATCTCCAAGATATCGCCTATTTCCCAGCCATCATAAACTCCAAACCAAGCCTTCGGGCGGCTAGTAGTAATGGGCCATTTCCAGGCCGGCGCGCTTGAAGCCGCACTTGACGTAGAAGCCTTCGTTCGCTTCGGAGCAGTCGAGGATGGTCTGTCGAGAAAGCATCCAGCGTTAGCCCAATTCACCCCACCAGATCTCCCCCGATCCGCAAGTATGGGACAAAGACTCACCTTGTAGCAGCCCACCTTCTCCGCAACGTAGTCCAGCGCCTGAATGACGCGCAGACCCAGCTTCTTGCCCTGCTGATCCTTCGCGACCGCAATATCCTCAATATGTCCAACAAGGCCGAGGTTATGAATACTAATCCGCCGCACATCATCGTCAGCGAACCGGTTCCCAACACACACACTGCCGACACCCCCCAACCCCGCATCGGCGGGGCGGGGCGGGGCATCTCGACTCCATCCATTCCATCAGGGGAAAAGCAGCAGGTACTCACAACTTCCGCTCAACAATCAGCGCACCGGTGCCGACGATCTTTCCGGCGCCGTCGAGCACGCAGATGAGGAAGTACTCGTCGTTGCGGCGGCTCATCCAGTCGTAGCGCGCGTCCCACGCCGCCTCGTCGACGTCGCCCACCGTCGTCAGCACCCGCAGCACGTCGAGGAACCCCCGCGCGTAGTCGCTGCGCCGGATCGGCCGCACCGTGTAGCCCGCCGGCAGCGCCGCCGCGACCGCCGGCGAGATCAGCTCCGTGCTGAAGAGCGGCGCTTCGGGGTCGGAGAGGACGGTTGAAGACATGGTTTGTTTTGTTTGTTGTGGAGTTTTTTGGGTTGTTGGGATTGTTGGGAGAAGAGAGGGAACGACGGCGGAGAGAGGACGCGAGCGGAAGTAGGTGTGTGTTGGTTGGAGCTCTGTTGGTTTCGCGCCGGCGGTAGGGAGGGCGGGGTCCGGGGGGGTCAAGAAGCGAGCGAGCGAACGAGCGATCGAGCGTCAGGCGCTGAGATTTCGGAGTTCGGGGGTGCGCGAGGGCCGATTGAAGAGGTGGAGCGAGTGATTGAAGTGAGAGAGAGGTAGAAGAAGTGAGGGTGGAGCTGGAGTAGCGGGAGGATATAAAAAAAAGGAGAAGAGCTGGGTGTTTACGTCGGTTGGCCAGCATTTCGGGGCACCCTGGTCGTTCCTGATCGGCGCCATTGCTGCGGTCACGCCCCAAAAATAGCGAGCCTAAGAGATCTCGCCAAGCCCGCCGCCACACCCCACCCACACACACTTCTCGTCGAAGCTCGGGGCTGAGAATACCGGTTTCACCGCTGCTGTCATCGTCAGCGACCAGCATCTTCGGGATTCCCGCAGCGTGGCGCATCTTTCTCGCCTTTACTTCGGCCGCTGAGAAACGTCACGGTGCAGCAGCCCATGTCAGAGAGTGAAAGCCTTCTGTTAAAGAGTGAAACCTGACTTTTAAGGCCTTCACTTCCCCGCCGCCAATGACAAATGCAGGCCAAATCCGCTTCACATTTTATCTCGCTGTTCGAAACACACGTAAGATGCAATTGCTTCACATTAATCTGTAGCCCTGTCTTCGTCCATTTCAGTCTCACCTTTTCCTGATTTAAGCTTCCAACCTTGATCCGCTAATCACAATATCCTGGGGTAAACGTACACGAGAGAAAAAGAGGGAATATCAAAACGAATGACGGTCATCATCACATCAAAGCCAAACGCAAAGGAGGGGCCTCATCAAAAAAACCAAACCGCCCACCACCGATCACCCATTAAACAAAAAAGCCCCTCCAAACCGAAGAAAAGGAAATCCACATACTCTCTCCCCTACTCCCTCCCCTCTCCACCTACCTCCACACTGGTCCCCAAATGCACCTCCAACGCTCCACTCCCGTCATCCGTCCCGGTTCCCTCACTCACATACCGCTGCTGCTGGTCCAACGCCGATGACGCGACGTCGCTGTCGCTCGCCGTACACGACGGGCACCGATTCATCATCCCGCTCGTCTTCAACACCGCCTGCAGCGCCGCCTCGAGCAACCTATTCTGGCGCTCCAACGCCTCGCACCTCGCCTCGAGCTGGGCCTCCCTCCCCGAAGAAGAAGAGCCCTCGTTGTTATTGCTCCCACTGCTTCCCACGCTGGCTCTCGCGCCAACAGCAGCAGCAGAAGCAGGGTCAGCCCCTTTACCGCCCTCAGCGATGGCGGCGTTATCTTGCTTGTAATTATGGTGATGGTGGTGGTGGTGATGATGACCACCAGTTGGCTGCATCACCAAGCTCGACACGACCGACATGGCGCTGGGCGTCTGGAAGCTGAAGCCCGACGCCGCCGACGACGACGAGATGCGCTGCTGCGCGTTGTTGCCGCTACTACCGCTCCCACCGTTCTGGAAGTAGTACCCGAACGGCCCGTTGGTGCTCGTGCTGTCCGTCCAGTGATGTTCGCGACGCTGTTGTTGTTGTTGCTGCTGCTGCTGGCCCTGATTACCAGTCTCAACGGTAAGATTGTTCAAATGGCTCCCGTTCTGATGCGTCTGCAGCCCGTAGTGGCCCGAGTGCGCGTGCAGATGCGCCCGCAGCTCGCGCAGCTGCTCCTCGCGCCCAGGCACGAATTTGAGCGAAGCTGAGCGACCAAGTCCACTACGGCCTGCGGATGAAGAAGAAGTGACGGAGAGACGCTGTTGTTGCTGATGGTGGTCCAGATCGTCCTTGCTGGTAGCTCCAGTTCCGGCAACGAAAGCGGCTGGTGGCGCGCTCAAGCTCGTCCGCACGACGCCGGACTGCGGTCTCGACGACGACGATGCGAGCAAGCTGGCAGAGCTGCGGCGACGATCGTGGTGGTGGTGGTGGTGATGGTTGTGGAGCTCCCCTTTGCCACCCTGTTCCACCTCCTCCCTGAGCACCAACGGCGCCGGCTTCTTGGCCTGCTGCCTGCCCCTGGTACCAGAAGACGACGACGCCGCCGTCGGCATCTGCTCCGCAACCGTCACCACCGGGCTCAGCGACATGACCACCGCCTGCTGCTGCTGCTGCTGCTGCTCCACCACCTCCTGCAGCTCGCCGGGCAGAACGAGCATCGACTTCGGCCGCGGGCGCTGCTGCTGTTGCTCGTCCCTCGCTCTCCTCTGCAACAGCCTGTTAGCGCGGTCGAGCTGGTCTCCCCTTTGCTGCTGATTCTGCTGCTGCTGTTGCTCCTTTCCACCACTCGCAACCACCGTCTGCGCCACGATCTCGTCGATGCCCTGCTGGTGGTGATGGTGCCGCTGCTCGTTGCTCGCCCGCTTCCGCTGCTGCAGGTCGCGCAGCTTGCGCGCGCGGATCTTGTCTTCGCGGCTGCGGCGCGGTGGCGTCGACGTCTGTTGCGTCGCGCTTTCACCACGCGCTACTCCTCCCTCTGACGAGGAGCCGCCTGCGGAAGACGAAGATGACGTGGAGCTCGAGACGGAAGAAGTGTCCGGGATGACCGAGTCGACCCTGTTATGTTGCTGCTGCTGCTGTTGTTCGCCCGCAGACGCACCAGGGGTAGCGGCAAGGCGGTGATGATGATGATGGTGGTGGTGGTGGTGGTGATGACTACCCCCATCCTGCTCCCCGCGCTTGTTCCCCTGGCCGGCCAACCGCTCCGAGCTCGTCTTCTCGCGCACCGCCACGACCGGCCGGCGGCCCTGCTGTTCCTGTTGTTGCTGATGCTGCTGCTGTTGGAGCAGCTGGTGGTGGTGGTGCGAGCGCGCGACCAGCGCCAGCTGCGACGGTAGGCTCTTGCGCGCGTCTTCCTTCTCCTCCTTGCTCCTCTTCTTCGACGAGGATGATTTCTTCTGCTTCTGCTTCGTCTGCTGCTGCTGCTCTTCCCGCCCCTGCACCGTGCGGTCCGTATCCGACGCCGTCATGGCCGACGTCGTCGTCGCCCGGCGCTGGAGGTGGCGATGGCGGTGGTGTTCGGCCGCCGCCGCAGCCATCACCGGCGGCTTCTGCAGCTCTTCCATCGGCGTCACGAACGGCGTCGTGCTGGCGCTCGTCGTGGCGACACCTCCGTCGTCATCGGAGCCCGAACCCGAGCCGCCAGGCGTCACCGTATCAGCAGAAGACGTCGAGGCGAGGTCATGGACGGCGTTCGTCGGCGTCGGCAGGCACGACGGCGGGTTGCTAAACAGGGCAGCCTTCGCGTCCGTCGCCGTCGCGTAGCTGGTCTTGATGTCGTCTCCACCTCCTCCTGACGAGGGAGAGTGCTTCTGCTGCTTCTGCTGTTGCGGCTTCGGCTGCGGCTCGGGGCTGATGCTGCGGCTCACGAGCCGGATGCTGCTGCTGGCGTGGCGGATGCTGCTGTTGGCATCGGTGGCCGCCGTGACGACCGTGGCCGTGGGGGAAGAAGGGGGAGGAGGCTGCTGTGTCTTCGGTGGTGGTGCTTCTTCGACGGCCGAGTTGGGTTCGGACGGGTCGGGCAGTTGCTGCTGCATGCCGAGGGTGGACAGCCAGGTGTCGAACTGCTCGGTGCCGAGGCAGGAGTTGGGCTTGTCCGGGAGGGAGGCGGAGCGGCGCTTCATGGCGAGCATCTCGTTGCTGAGTTGAGTATTCTCGTGTCAGTACCTCGTTTACGATAGATCTCCAGTGATGAAAGTACTTACCTCTTAGAAGTAGTCAGTGATGGGTTGGTCAGCAACGACTGACTGGCGAGAGATTGGCTGTCCGCTGGGCTTTGGTTCGTCACGATCTGGAGATATTTGGTCGGGTTGTCTTTTCTTGTTAGTTTCTCCTTCCCAACCCGGAAGACCCCTTGGATAAAGGGATAGGGCGAAAACTCACTTCCTTTTGTCTCCATCTGTACGACCCCTCGTGCTGGTACGAACGTCTCCGGTGCTGGCTGCGAGACGCCAGGACCCCTGATTTTCCAACGTCGACCATCAGTACTCAGTAACGACCTCTCCCCCGTCCACTTCACACCACGATCAAGACAACAAAGCACAACAAAAGAGAAAGAAAAGCACACTCACCCCTCAACCGTCCCCACCCTCTCTGCCAAACTCTTCCTCCTCTTATACCCCAAGAACCTCAACGCACTCTTGTGCTTCTTCCTATTCCCACCACTCCCTCCTCCCGACCTCCTACCACCCGGCCCCACCATCCCCATCCCCGCCAACCCCGCACTCTCCGGCCCCGTATTCCTCAAAAAGTCCGCCAAATCGAACCGCTGGAACCTTGCCTCCTCAGCCGCGGCCGCCGCAGCCGCCGCCATGGCCGCAGCGCCCGTCGTCGACGACCGGGATGACGAAATGTGGTTTGTCGACGACGCCAACAAGCCGAGACCACCTGACGGCCGCGGCACCGCTCCTGCCGCCGTATTCGTCGTCGTCATCTTCTTTTTGTTCTTGTTGTTGTTGCTGTTGTTCCCACCACTACCACCGGGAAAGAACAACGGCGGAGCCGGCGGCGTGTCGCCCGGCGTGTCCCACGAGAAGCGGCGGCCGCGCGTGGGCGGTCTGCTGTTGCTGTTGTTGTTGTGCTTGTGCACGCCCCACCTTTCCGGTCCGGTGATGGTGGCGGCGGCGGCGGAGAAGGTGTTGGAGAGGGTTTGGATGGGCAGGGACGGGCGGCGGTGTTGGTGGTGTGGGTGCGGTTGTGGGTGTGGGTGATGGTGTATCGGGCTGCCGCCGCCGACGGACGTGTCGACGCGGAGGGGTTTGCGGAGGACGGCTCGTTCCGTCTTCCGGTTGTTGGTGGTGTTGTTGGTGTTGAACAGTGCTACAGCAGCGGAGGGCGACGACGTCGACGACGACGGAGGAGGAAGGGGGCCAAGGGCGTCAGTCGGCGTCGAGGCCGTCACGCCCGCCGTGCTGGTGGTGGTGGTGGTTGCTGGTTCTGTAGCAGCAGCAGCAGCAGCGGTGGCAGAAGCGCCGCCGTCCGTGTTGGCGTCTGTACTGTCCGTCACGCGATTGGCAGCAGCCGTGCTGCCGGTGAACTCGGGCCAAAAGGGTTGGTCGGGCAGGTTCCACCAGCAAGGCGAGCCGGATCCGGAGCGCTCGCGGGAGCCGCTGTTGTTGCGGCCTTTGCTGATGGTCGACGACGCGGTGATGTCGTCGTCGTGGGTGCTGTTGCTGGTGCTCGGCCGGAGGTAGTCTCTACTGCGCTGCCTTTTGTTGCCGTCGTTCTTATTGCCGTCTCTGACCTTGTTCTTCCTGTTCCTACCGCTTCTTTTCTTCTTCTTCACCTCCACGAGGCTATACTCGTCCCTTTCCCCGTCGTCCTCGACGTCGGAGGAGGATGACGACAAAGTGTCGTCGTTTGTCGGGAACGGCCCGTTGTTCCGTCGGCGGGGCTTGCTTTCGACGCCCTTCTGCTCAGCAGTAGCAGCGTCGTCCGCAATGCTTCTTCCTTCCAGCAGGTGTACGTGCTCGACGCCCTGCAGCTGGTCTTCGGACGGGGAAGGAGCGCCGTCCTCGTAGAAGAGTTCGGCGTGCGTGCTACGGGTGGTAGCGGTGCGGGCGCAGGGATGAACGATAGTGGTGGTGTTGGCGAGCGTGCGGGGGGTGTGGTTCATGAAGATGAGTGGGGACGGGTTGCGGTTATGGGGAGGGGAGGAGCGCGTGGCGAATTGGGACTGGGAGGAGGAAGAGGAGGCGGTCGGAGGAGCGGTAGCGCCAGCAGTGGTGTCGTCGCCAAGTGAGTGGACAATGGTATGATGAGAAGGTTGGCCAGCGGTGGCGGTTGCACCGATGCCAACGGCTGGCTGCATTTGTTGCGTAGTCGAGGCTAGCTCAGGAGCTTGACAGCAGGGTAGAGCCCGGGAAATCAAAACGCGAAACGCGGTGGGTCGGGGAAGACGAAACGGCGGGACTGGGGGGTTGAGCTGGTGGGTTTTGTCGGGACGTGGTGTTCTACCCGGTACGTACTGCGGCGTCACACAGTCGGGCTCGCAGCTCAAGGCAAGATGCAAGACCAAGATCTAAGCTTCCAGAATCGGGGGCGCGTGGACGATTGTTCTGGACTGTCGGGTACCCCTGGGCCGTGGTATTGATCTTTCTTCCGAGGCCTGTTACCTCTCGTGCGAGCGTGAGTCCTGCGGAGGTCGTGTCGTCTGTACAAGGCGCGTGCGCTACGTGCGTGCATGCAATGCCTGATCCCTTCTCGTGCTTGGTACCAAACGTCGTGTACGTAGCAGCTGCGCGGATATGTGGGTCGGAAAGTCTGAAGCAATGGACGGCGGCGAAAGGGGAGGAGAGGGGAGTAGCAGTGTATGGTAGTAGTTGCTCGGGCGCGACCGGCCTGCGCTCATCTGCTCTGCAGCAGCAGGTGCCGAAGCAAAAAGCTGAAGGGCCAAGCTCATTAAATTTTTTTAGCCACACCCGGGAGGAGCTGCAAGAGAGAAACCGGCGCTGCGGCAATATAAGCAACGTGCTCTTTGTGCCATGTTCCGCCCATGGCTTCACTCGATGGCATTGCTCCCCTCCACACTCTTTGACGGTGCGACGGTCAGCATGCGTTCCCGGAACAGGCTTTCTGGACATGCAGTAAGAGTTAAGGCGAACTGTTGGACCAACGGCCATGGGTCCGCCCGTTTCACAGCAGCAGCGGCCATTCAGATCCATCTCACCTCATCCAGCCCGAAGCATTCCGCGCGCCCTCTGGCAATCGTCGTCCGCATGGAGCTTCAGTCGCTCAGCTGCCCCTAGCGTGGCCGCCCTCTTCCCAAAGGCAGAAGCGGCGCGGCCAGAGATGGGCAAGCCGGTCGAGCACACAGCGCCAGCGCCTGCCGTGTGACATCGCCCCCGTCCGAAACGGGTTGACGGATGGTAGGACGACACGCACAGTACCCACGCTCACATGAGTCCGGAGACGACGGGTGTGAGTGGGGGAATGAAGGCCGTCTGTGAAGCATCAGCAATGAGCGGTGGGCGGTCCAGTGACCGGGTGGGAGGAAGAGGTAGGGATGCGGGGAAAGGCGAGTACGGTAGGGACAGCAGCAGCAGCAGTCAGAGCGACGGGCGAATCACCTCTACTCTCTCTCCCTTGCGTCGGAGTAGACCCCCCAACGCCCCGGTGTCGGCTTTCTCGCTCTTGCTGCAGCCAGCCGGCCGGCGGGTTGAGACACCGCACCGGCTATTGCAGCAGCTGTCATTGCGGGCGTCAGAAAAAGGAAATGAAGCGTGGCGACAGGGAAACTGAGAGAAACATCAGGCGTGGTCGTGGGCGTTTTCTGAAACAGAGATCAGCAAAGGTTGACACGATGGGGATAAGCGTTGTGCAACGTCCAGTGAACGGAGATTAAAGAAGGCGCTGGATGCCCACGAGAATACTGTCCGCCGACGACGCGTCGTCCCAGGCCTGCGGTTCATACATATCATGTTGATCGATTTGCTGATCTGCGGGCGGGGCGTCACCGGACCGCGCCGTCGACCAGTCCGACTGACGTGGACGACTAAGCGGGGACGGGTCGATAGCAGACGTTGAAGGAAGCGCGAGACTACGCGTCCGGACGATGGTTGATGGGCCGACGACCATCAGGCTGACATGCATGGCTCCACCCGCAGCTTCGCCATCGGGATTTCCATCTCTCTCGTCCTCAATGTCGCGCAGTGCGGGAACACAGGCCGACGCCTTTCGGCCCCATTTGCATGGAAGCGTCCCGAATGGCCGGGTCCCCTGAGCCGTGCAACCCAGCCAGTCCACCATCCATCCGCCACACACCGAGCTCACGAGCTTCCCCCCGTCGAGCCGTCGGTCCTCGTTCTGCCTCTCCCACAGATCCGAGCGTCTGCTATGCGGCCATGCGGCAAATCTCGCTGCTTTTTCCCCCCTCATCGCCTCGTGCCCAACCTCGTGCCGAGCACGGCAAAAGGAAGGAAGGAGGAAGATATCTTCTCCAGAACGCCCTTCACTCACAGCATTCAACGCGCGCTCACCCGCTCACTCTCTATCTAGGACCACCAATGAAGAGACCTTCTATCTCCGTCCCGTTGCAAAGCAAGGCATAAAGCGACCATTCAGCCACCCTCCCCCAATTCCGAGAAAATATTCTGCCGCTATCCGCAAATACCAATCCAAACCCATCAGAATTCGGGACTTTTTGCCAGAAGAGAAATGGTTCCGGCATGAAACAGTTGATCCCCCCAAGAACCCAAGTGATGCATGTCTCGCCCTCTCAAAGCAAGCAAGAAAAAAAGCAAAAAAAGAAAACTGTTCTCAATGTAACTTCAAATGCACCCCAAAGGCTAGCAACGCCTATCAATGCCTCGCGCAAAGTTGCTCCACCATCAATCATCTCCCTCGATCCGATCCAGATTCAATACTTTTCCCCACTCAAGGCCTAGGCTTCTTCGGCGGCTGCCTTGGCATGAACGGATCCGCCTTCCTCTTGGCCACCTTCGATGGTACCATCTTCGGCCTCGCCGGCCCGCTCGCTCCTCCTCCACCAGCACCACCCCTGCCGTGCGCTGATCCCGGTCTAGAGGGCGGACGGTCGGTAGCGGCCGACGCCTCCGAGCTCCGCCTCGATGAGTCGGCGTGTTGCTGAGCCTTGCCGCCGCCGACGCCGTCCGGAGTGGCTCTGTCGTCCTTCATGACCACATCCTCGTCCCCGTCCTGCTGCTCCGCGGCGTCGCCACCACCGAAGAACTCGCTCCAATCGTCATCCGCACTCCTCTCTTTCTTGATCGCAAGAGCTGCCATCTGCTCCGTCTTGACCTTCGAGTCGCTGCTGCCCTCGGAGGAGCTCGCGTTGCTGCCCTTCCGTCCCTCATACTGCTCCTGCTTGACCACCTGCGGCGGCGGCAACTCATCGCGCTTGATCGGCTGGATTCCATTCGTAACCGGTCCGTCGTACGCGCCCTTGGGCGCCGGGTAATTGCTGCTGTGCTTCTTCAGCATGGCCATGAGGTTGCCCTGCGTGTAGCGCTCGCGCTTCTGCGCGTCCTCGACCAGCCACTTCCAGAACTGGCCGCGCACGAGCGACTGCGAGTTGCCCAGCACCCAGAGCGAGCTCTTGGCGCGCGTGAGACCGACGTTCATGCGCCTGATGTCCTGCAGGAAACCGATGCCGCCCGCCGGGCTGGCACGCACGCATGAGAAGATGATGATCTCGCTTTCACGGCCCTGGTACGCGTCCGTCGTGTTGAACTCGACGTACTCGAACACGCTCTCGCCGTACTGCCGCGAAAAGCGGTCCTTGAGCTCGCGCAACTGCGACTTGTAAGGGGTGATGATGCCGATCTTGCCACGGAGATCTGTAGAGTCTCTGAAGTCGTTCATCAAACGACTGTATAGCGCCATTGCGACTTCGATTTCCGCAATGTTGATGAGCGAATGGCCCTTCGGCGCCGCCTGATGTTGTCCTTGAACGTCGAAGAAACGGTAGGGTGCCAGAAGCGTGCTGCTGTGCCAGGGCTTGACCCGCAGCTTTGCCATGTCGTCTCCATCGAGGAGGCGGCCGTCGTAGAAAGTCTGTGAGGGGAAGTAACTGATCTCCGGATGCATACGGTATTGTGTGTCAAGCAAGTGAACGTCGTTGGGATGATTGGTCTGCATACGAACGAACAAACTCTGCTCGTACTGGAAGCGTGCGGCCTCCTTGGAGAAGACCGTGGGAGGCAGTTGCTTGGGATCACCGACCAAGATAGCCTTCGCACAGCCGTACTTCAGAGGAATCAAAGCACTCATCTCAACACACTGAGCGGCTTCATCAACGACGACAGTCTCGAACTCGATGTTCAAGTTCTGGAACATCTCGTGACCCGAACCGCTGAGCGTCGCGCAAATGACATGAGACTCGTCCAGGATAGCCTGTTGTGCCCGTTTCCTGTTCAGGTCAGCTGTACGACTCTGCGTAGCCTCGGCATCCTTGTGCTGGTCGATTTGGTTGCCCAGTTGAAACTTGCGGCGGCGAAGAGCGTCAAACTCGTCCTTGAGGTTAGACAGAGCCTCTCCCTTGAGTTCGCCCGAGTCCAGCTTCTCGCGTGCCTCGTTGAGCTTCTCCGATACCGCCTTGTGCTCCTTCATGATCTTGCCCGTTTGTTCGTACGCATTGTTGTTGTCCTTCTCGGGGTTGATGTTGAGCCTTGCGTTGACAAGCTCGTCCAGGGTGACGTCCTTGACGTTGATATTCATGGCATCGCTACGTCCCAAACGGACAACTGAGATCTTGCGATGTTGGCCGTTCGTTGTCTTGATGCCTTCTTTGAAACGCATAACCAGTTCGTCCACGGCAGCGTTACTCGGTGCACAAACAAGCAGTTTCTTCGGAGCCGGTAAGTTGTTGCGGATTGCTGCAGCGCCTGTGGGCTGAGGCTTGTTGATGACCGTGCCTCCACCATTTCGGAGGCTGTCTGTCAATAGAGCACCGACAATAGCGACAATCGTCTTCGTCTTACCCGAACCTGGAGGACTGCACACTCGTTAGACTAGATCTTTATATGCATTCATTCCACTTACCCTTGAATGAGCGTGAAGGCGTCATTGTCGATTGCCGATCTGACCGCCTTCGCCTGAGCCCTGTTCAGGCTATACGTCTCCTTGTATTGCTCAAGCTGCTTGTCCGAGTAGTTCAAGAGCGGTGATGGCTTGGCCTTGCAAATTTCATCGCAAAGGTCATAGTACTGCAGACCCACCAGTGCGCCGTACTCACGCTCAAGAGGCGTGATGGACTGGATTTTGGCTCCGTATACCATACTATTTGCAGCAAGTGACTGACCCAGAGGCGAGTTATTCGAAAGACGGTATAGGATTTCCAGATGGGCTTTCTTGCGCGTGATACGATAAACCCTAGCCAAGCAGTTCGGTGCATCAGGTGTACTAGTCGGTCGCGGGGCTTTGGATAGAAGGCAAATGTCTCCTTCGGAAATCATGGTCTCCTTGTTGTCGGCATGAGACATGTTCGTAGACAGCTCGATGAATTGATCCACAGTAGAACGGGTGACGACCTTGAGCTCGAACGCTTTGAAGCTTCCCTCCTCACGAGCCTTGACAAAACCTTGCCACGCTTCCAATGTAAGAAGTGGTTGGAACGTATTTTTATAGTCGTAAGGCGTGTTGAACTTGTTAGGAACTTTGGTGTAAATGTCAGTCCGAGAGTTTGGCGGGAAGTCGCCCTCGTGGAAGTAATCCCAGCTCAAGATAGTCTTGTGCAAGTTTGACAAATCTGGTGCCAATCGAGCACGCATATCCTTGAACGACCGTTGAACCCTCTTTTTCTTAACCGGTCCCTGCGGAAGAAGGGGGAGTTTCGCCTTCGGGGCCTTCTTCTCCTTGGCTGACGGACCGAAAAGCTCCTCGTCAATCTCATCGTCATCATCATCGTCGGAACTCTCATCAGAGGAGACCATGACACCTTCGCCCTTCGCGCTATGGTCCTTGCCGGCAACACCAATGCCGCGAGTACCCGATCCGGCTTCTGCTGTCTGGCCAATAAAAGGAAGGGATTTGCTTTTGGCTTTTTGGATTTCAGCTTGCCGTCTCTTCTGCGCTTCCTGCTTCTCGCGCTCGCGTTTTTTCAAGTAATCGCTCCGGTCCTGTGCAGCAGCCGCCTTCTTCATCTGGACAGCCTGTTGTTGGACAGCCTTTTGCCGTTCCTTCCATGCTGCAGCGCCGGGCGTGATATCGGTAACGACCCTCTTGATGCTATCAGGCTCGTCGGCACCTGAACTGGCTGGAGAAGACACCCCAGTACCGCTTGTCGCCCACGCGCTAATTGAGCCTTGCTTGATCTTCTTTGCAATCTTCTCCTCTTTTCTGATGGAATACCCGAGATGCTTCTCGAGAGCCCTTTCAAGCTCAGCCGACTGATTGGAGGACATTTTGGTCTTGATGCCTCCCTTCAGAACATCGCCAATGAATAAGCGAGTCTCATTAGCAATGTCGATGTCTGCGGCTCTCAATCGGACGAGAAGTTTGCTGGTGAGAGCCACCGATTTGTCGATGAGGTATTCATCACGCAGGCGCAGCCATCCGGTTATGCCTTCCATTGTGTCGTTCGGTCGGTTTAGGAGCTTCTTGGCGATGTCTGCTTTGGAAAGCGCGCCATCCTGCGTATTCTGCCCTTGTGCTTGGCCCAACGCATTCGCGAAATGACTGTACTCATCGTACAGTTCGTCCGCAAATTGCATGGTGTCGCGGCAAAAGTTCATCATTTCGTTTTTGTCGTGGCCAACGTTGCTCCAGTCTTCCGTCTTCTTGAAAATGACAGCAAGAGCTTGCCACAGCTCTGCCCATAGCTGCTCGGTCACGTCCGCCTCTTCCGAGGTCAGGGTTCGTGATCTCAGGATGCCGTCCTGAGGGTTGCAAAGGACCTGCACAATGTCGGTGCATACCTTCAGCATGTTCTGCGTTGGTGCAAACACCTGCTTTCTATACACGCGTCGTAGAGTCTGTACGATGGGCTGGAGTGTGTTCAAGTAAAAGGCTTTTGTGATGTGGGCAAGAGCGTCTCGGCGACTGCTTTCCGCGCTGACCGTTTTAACGACGTCAATGGCTGCCTGACGTGGTGGCTGATCTGAGGAGAAAAGGTGAATTATGACGGCCTGCGCCGAGTCTCTCGAGTCAAAAAGCCTGTCAAGGTCGCTGGGAGCAAAGGTGGACAGCTTCTCGAGGACTTCGGTCACAGCCTCCGACAGGTTGTCAAAAGTCTTGTTCCACCAGATCATGCTCGGTGACATTTGCACGCCCGTCCGAACAACAAACTTCTCCATGCCGACAAGAAGACCACCACCCATCAGCACCTTTGTAGCGAGATCAATGTCACCCGGGTGAATAGACTTGATGATTGTGTCCCAGACAGGTGCTACGCCAGTCTTCATGTCGTGATGCAGATGGGCGCCCTTAAGCAGAGTCCCCCGGTCCACATCAAGGGAAAGACAGTCAAGCTGGAGAGTGTAATGCACCACCTGTAGACCGAGCTCGACAATGTGCATGTCTTGATTGAGGCTCCTGTTGACCCTAATGGTAGCCAGAATGTCCTCGATGTGCACATTGACAAAATCGAGCATGTCCGAAACGGTCGCGTATCCAACAAAGTTTGAGCGGGCGTTGATATCGTTCATCTTTTGCAAAGACTGCAAAAGAGTTCGCAGGCCAAGTTCATAACAGTAAGCTCGCGAGGGGCGTGAGTACTTGTCGTTCTGGAAACGGTCCAAAAGTTGATGAACAAGTGCGCGGCATGCCGGCGTCTGATTTGATGGTTTGATAGAGTCGAAGAAAGGCTGGACCCAGCCAAAGACCTCGTCCAGGGACCCGTCTCCCCTTTCCACTTTGAGTAGAATTGATTCCAGGGTCTGGTTCCCCATGATCTGCTCAATGACGGTTACCGGCGAGATGGGGCCCATGGCATCCCAGAAATCAACAGCCGATTTTTCGAGGAGCTGTTGAATGGTCGCCATCAAGTCATTGAACCCCGAGAATTTGAATTGCAGGTGCTCGAGGGCAAGCTTGCATACGTCGATCTCGATGGCTCGAAGGGAATGGGTGATGAGGTCCTTGTCAAGCTTGTCCATGATCTGCCGAACACCCATCCAAAATGTCGGCAGAAATTCGACATCCATGCATATAATTTGTACCCTTTTCATTGCGTCAAAGAGCGGGTCACGAACTGAAGCGGCAAATTCCGTCTTGGTGATGCCGCGCTTGAACTTCGTCCACGAACCCAAGGCCCAGACAAAGCGTTCTTTGTTGTAGCTGAAAAGGAACCTCGTCATGGCCGCAGTATATTGACCGAGCCGTAGCCTTCTGTTGGTCTGGACGAGGGTAAAAGGCTCATCAAAGTGTTTCGCCAGCTTTTCCTCCTTCTTGAGGAGCGCCTCGCAGCTGAGAGACTCAAAAAGCGCATACATGCCTTGTTCGTCTAGAGCCTTGATGCCGCGCGACTCCTCCGGTAGGTCCCGGAGAAGCTCAGCCGCATGATCAAGACCGGCAGTTATCCGCTCAAGGTTCATGTCGTCGAAGACTTCCATGAACGAGCCGACTTCTTCCGAGTCGTAGTCCTCCTCGAGCTTATGCCTCAGCTCGTTCCTTGACCTGTGATATAATCTGATGCACACATCGCACGACGTCATGGCGTGGTTCAGCTTCTCTCTCAGCCAGTTCTGATATCCTGCCGCATCGGCACCATCGAAGGCGAAGATGGGGAGACATTCCAGGACGAGGTTCTTCCTAGCCTCTGCCTCTGCTAGCTTCTTATCCCGGTGCTGCCGTTCCGCCTCAGTTTCGCCATCCAGATGGCCGACGAGATCCTCTTCCAGATAGACGCCATTTGGATCGGAACCAGTGCGGGGGCAGAAGAGGTGGACGTCTTCAGGTAGAGCCTTAAGCTCGCTGTATGAAGGATGCCAAGTTAGCCATATGAGGGCTGTTTGGAGGGCGGCCTAAGGGAGTGCACTCACTTGAGCTTGTTCACCAGCACCTCACCCATGGCAGAGAGGAGCCTCACTCTTGGTTTGATGGGTGTGCCAAGTCTTTCGGGTACGCGCAATTGTTCGTCCAGCAAACGGTTACAATCTCGTCATCTCCAGCGTCAATATGCTCTCGTCAGGGTCGGCTGTCGGGCGTAGAAATCCGTCAATCGCGGCGCAACGGATGGCTGTGCCGGTAATGTCCGAGCTTGGGCGATGCTACGCTCCGACGGCAGGTGCAGTGCAAACGCGGGCAAGGGCGGGCGACGAGGGATGGTGGAGGTCCGGAGCGCGGGCGCGGTGCTTATGGGGGGCGACGGACGCCGAAAGGAATGGAACGGCGTTTGGCGGCGTTGACGAGAAGCCGATCACGCGCGTCCCCGTGCACAAAGACTGGCGAGGTGTTTGTGGGTGAATGAGCGAGCGTATGGAAGGCGGAAGTTTTGAAGGTGCAAGGCCGACGATTTCGCGGGCGTACCCTATGCGCATCATCGCGCCCGCGTCCACAGCGCGACTCCCGGCCGACCGCAAAGCGCCGAGCGCCACGCGCGTCAACGGCCTCCCGGGTCCGGCTTGATCAGGTACAACAGCCACAGATACTCGCGGTTCGTGAATAAATTTTGCCGGTACGCTCCCCGCGGCTGACGTCGAATTTATTCACTCACAATTTTGCTGAGAAAGACATGCCAGAATAGGTATCTCTCTGGCTCTCGCAATCACAAGCTTCACGCACCTCTACATTTTCACGCCCACGAATCCAAGTGCCCACCATGCACTCACCTCCACGGAATGACATGCTACATTGCCTAATCGGGGACTGCCTCACTTGACCTCAGCTTAAAACGATTTTGACACGTTAACGCGGCATCACATGACCTAATGTCAATTCCTGTAGCGTCCCAATTGAGCATCTCCGCTTTCGGCAAAAGACCAACACCAACAGTATTTCCGGTGAGTCTTGGCTCATTCTTGGAGCAAATTCTGAGTCACGTAAGGCGGGGGCCAAGGTAGTTGGCATGCTGGGCGCTGCTACGATTCCTGTCGATCACTCAAGCGATCTTTCAATGGTCAAGGAGAAGCTCCTACATAAAACTGACGAGAACGTCGGAAGGCAAGAGAGACGTCTCATCAGTCGGTTGGCCTTTCACGTGTCCGAATCCTTATCTCAAATACAGGCAGAATTCTGGGGCATGCAACCAACAGCTGCTTGGGACTGCAGTTGTATCAAGGCGGCCAGCGCCCTCGCCTACTGCACATTGCGGGATCATCTTCATGCATCATCACAATAGCCAAGAACTCCAAGTCGAATCAGGGAAGCTTTTTGTTGCTCATTCCTATCTACAGAAAACGGCCGCGGCAGCGCTGCTCGAACAGGATTGCCAGGGGAAAAATCAAGCCATAACAGTGTATGCCGTCTATGCAATCGCGTATCAAAAAGAAAAAACTAAACCCCGTACCTAGGTAGTACGGCCGTGCTAATGCAGAAGGGGGAGAAAGAGCCAAAGACTACTCAGCGAAAGAATTGGAGCGGCTAAGGAAAGGAAATGGACGAACCAAACCAACCTCGCAACTTTTGAAGGAGTGCCAAAGGGTGCCGATGCAAAAAAGGAACTAGATGAAGAAGAAAGAAAAGACCCTGGTATCCGCCATGCGCCTCGCTCTGCTTGGTATTCTTTGTTGAGAGCAATAATCCCCAAAAAGCCATGGACCCTAAGCAAATAAAACAACCATTACCACCGCTCAAACGCCCCCCAGATGACTGTGACAAATCTCTTTCGCGTTCAAAACATTTACAGAAGCTCGTGCTGGCATTACCCCTCAGCTATCACCGCGCCATGCCTATCGTTGGATCCGGGCCTGTCGTTGGATCCGGGTCGATCGTGTATGGTCCCGAGTAGCTGCTTTCTAATCTGCTCAGCCGTGCGGCCGACGTGAAGTCATTGCTCGCCTCGAAACTGTGCCGTATCCTGTCCATCGACGCTCTTGCTCGCTCGTACGATGGTCTGGATCGGTCCATTGACGGTCTCGGTCGATCCATCGATGGGCGCATTTCACCTAGCTGGTCTTCTGTAAGCCGGTCATGCGGCGACAACTGCTGCTGCTGCTGATGCTGCTGATGCTGCTGTTCCGGCCAAGACAACCGCGGTCCGGTGAAGTTGGTGCTGTCACTTCCGTTCTGACTCCTCGGGTTATGAGTCGTTGCGGTTGGTGCAACTGAGGGTGGGTATATCGGCCGTTCATCATCGGGAATCGACGACATGGTGTTGCGCTCAGGTTTGTTGACTGGTTTGGAGAGCTCCGACGAAGACATCGAATTGATCTTCTCCGTCGAATCCATGGGAGGAGGAGGGGGGATGAACGAGTCATTCTCCTTGAGATAGTCAAACTTACCCTGAACGACTTGCTCTCGGATAATGTCGACATCCAGGGGATAATAAATCTTCTGGATCGACTTCGCCGTAAAGCGGGGTAGAATGCACACAACCGTTCCGAGTAGTGTTAAAGCCCAGAAACTTAGCTGCCCGTAAACCTGCGGTGCGGCCTTGTAGAAAGTGAAACCGACGTCAAAAGCGGTGTAAATACCGGTCCAGGCCCAGATCAGCAGGATACTGATCGCGACAATGAGCAACATCAACCAATCCCAGCGATACGTGTTCATCAATATGTAAACGTTGACGACGATGACGGCGGCGCTCGCAATGTAGATACCCATGCGCTTGTTGTCCGCGACATCGAGACCGTTTGAACTCTGGAAGTTGCCTGGAATGAAGAGGAGGTAGGCCATGTAGAAGACGATAACCGACTGGTACAGAGCATCGATCATGTACACCCTGCAAAGAAATTAACAAAGTAATGGTCACTCGGTTGCTCAGTACCCACCAGAATTTTGTCTGCGTCCACTCCTTGCGCTCAATACCGCGGCGGTAAAGTTGGGGGACAGCAAGCGAAACTTTGTCATCCACATCTTGATCGAGCACACCCATTAGGATGACTGGCAGAGACGTGAACGCCAAGTTGTACATGATGATGTACGAGTAATCGAAGATGTAAGCGCAATCGAAGTTATCGTAGATCTGGTACCAGAAAAGGGCGAACGTCCAAACCAAGTTCTGCATCTCGTTAGCACAGGAAAGTCACTTATGAATGTCCAAAAATTCTCACCTTGTAGAAGAAGTTGGCGATGGTCTCGGCCAACCTGCGGTAAGACCAACGTCCGTGAACCAGAACCAAGCGAGTGAGGAAGCGGAATTGGCCAATAGCATAATCCGAGGACATGACGGCCGCTCGGCCTTCCTCACCAGCAATACCAACACCGACGTGAGCTTCCTGGATCATAGCCACATCGTTGGCACCATCGCCGATGGAGAGGGTAAGGCAGTCCAGTCCATTCTTGACCATTTCGACAACCGCAGCTTTCTGGGCAGGACTGACACGGCAGCAGAGAACGGACCTGCATTGTTTGCAGAGAAGCAGGAATTTCTGCTTCAACGTGTCATCCAGCACCATTTTCAGCGAGTCACCGTCGATGACGATGGCGTGGGTCGGGTCCGGAGGCTCGTGATTGCTCTGGGCAGCCTTCAGTTCCTCGTCTGAGCCAGTCATACCGAATATCGCCAGATGCTTGTCAAGTTCCTTTTCGGCCGCTTCTAAGCTTTCATCGGTCTTGAGCACAATAAGATCCATGTCGTTGTCCAAGAGGTTACAGGAAAAGCCGATGTTGATGGCGGTCTCAACTTTATCGCCGGTGAGAACCCAAAGCTTGATTCCGGCTCTGCCAAGCAGAGCAATGGCATCCGGGACACCGTCTTGAAGTCTATCCTCGATGGCCGTGCCTCCCAAAAGCATAAGGTCGCGTTCAATACTGTCAGCAACTTCCTCAAGCTTCTGGTCGCGATCGGTAACGGCCGCTGCGGCGGCTTCGTGACGCAAGTTCCAGTTCCGGTATTCCTCCTCGGTCAGCTCCCTTTCAGCAATGCAAAGCGTGCGCAGACCCTCACGAGCAAACATCTCAAGATGTTCCGCAGTGGTCCGGCGAAGTTCGGCCTGCTCGCCCCTTCTCAGCCGCGAGTAAATGATGCTGTCCGCACCCTTGCAAAAGAGCATGATCTTTCCATCAGGCATGCGCATGATTGCACTCATTCTCTTACGCGAAGAGTTGAACTCGAGAGTGTTGAGGATTTGGAATCTCCGGTCTTCACCCTGGACATTGACAATCAAACCATCGTCCACTCTGCCAAGGACCGTAAAGCCAACATCACGAGCGGTCGCCACAAGCGCAGCTTCATCGGGGGACTGGGCCTTGAACTCGATTTTGGGTGGGTCGCCGGGCGTTCTCTCAGTAATGACAGTATGGCACAGAGCGAGTACCAACATGAATCGTTCGTTTGCGCGGCGCTGCTCTTCTCCAGCTTCACCGCCCAGATCAGCAACATAATCGGGAGCGACGAAGGTGATATCATCATCACGAAGGTAGGGATTGTCGTGCTGTTTTCGCAGCATCTCGATCATTCTTATGCGGTCCTGTTCAATCTGCGCACGAGCCCGGGCACCTTCTTCTTCCACATTGATACCTTGTCGCCTCTGCAATCCAGCCTGTGCTTCCGTATAAGCCTCGCCGTAGGGCACGCCGTTGATGGTGCACTTCTTGAACTCCATGACGTTTTGGGTCAGCGTTCCGGTCTTGTCGGAGAAGATGTATTCGATTTGGCCGACATCGTCCGAAATGTTCCATGATTTGGGCGTGCACGGGTAATCCAGCCTTTCGTAGTACATGTTGACATCCATGTAGATGAAAAGGGCCTGGATCGTCCTGATGATCTCGAGGGTGATGTAAAGCGAAATGGGCACCAAGTTCTGGAAGAGGATGACTGCTGCCCAAAACGTAATGAAACCGTCGACCGAAGGTTTGCCACCATAGGAGCCAAACTCGAAGAAGTCTAGCGAATTGCCGCCTTGAGCCCAAGTCACACCTTGAACAATACCGGCAACCAAACACATGACGAAAAGAATGATAAAGTTGTAGATGACGTTCCAGTTCAGGTCTTTGGAGATCTTAGCACGCTTGCTGGGAGTGATTCCAGAGTTGAGCATAATCTTGGTCTCTTCTCCAGTGAACATGACGACACCCAGAACCCAGTCCGTGTTTCGAATGGTGCACCCACGAAGCAAGAGGTTGTTGATGCTGATTGGTTCCGCCATTTCGGTAGTGGGCGCTTGCGGATCCCTAGAGTCATGCTCGTTCCAGCGGAGAACGCCGGAGTAAGCGTACAGGTTCGCGTGCGGAGGTTCGCTCTGGATGAAGAACTCAGCCTTCTCGCATTGCCTAGCGTGGACAACTTTCCGGCTGGCGTGAAGCGCTTGTCGGACTTTGAGGTTAGTTTCTCCATCCAAATTCTTGGTCTCAATGTAGCATGCGCCGTCCGGATCCGAAGTGGCAAGGACCACAATATCAGAGGGAACCTCCTCGTCGTTGTATAAACGCACGAAATCGCCAACCTGGACGTTTTTCCAGTAATCCTTCTTGAAGCGAGCCTTGTTGGGTGCATCTCGGAATGGGTTGATGATGCTTCCGTAGAATTTGGACGCTGGCTCAGCGGCGGGCTTCTCCGATTTCGGTCCCGGGTGGATGCCCTCAAAAGTAGGTTGGTCCGATCCGCCGTTTCCTTGACCTGGAAGAGGGGAGGGTACAGGTGTCATTTGTATGGCATTCGGCTCGCCGAGGGGTGTTCCATCGTCGCTCTTCCTGAAAATGTGCGAGTCGCGATGGGAAGCGAATGACCTCCGGGTTTCAATAGACGGCCGCGACTCATCCAGTGCTCTTTCCGCATAAGTTTTGCCCTTGCCACTGCTATCCTTGTTCTTCCTCTGCTTCCACAAACCCCAGACCATCTGAATCAGTCTCGTGTTCGCCTTCTTGAACTGTCGCCAAAGTCCAACGCGGTCTTCCGCAGTGTTGACATTGTCGTAATCGACGAGCCTGTGCACCGGAGCGTTGTTAAGCACGTTGTCGAGCACCGTTCTTCTCCAGTCCTCGATGGCATCCTTGATTGCCGTGACGGCGAGAATGACGATCAGAGGAACGGCATTGAGGGCGGGGTTCGAGGCTCCGAAAATAGAGAAGGCCTGTAAGCTGCGTAAGCATGCGCAGCCGGGGCCAAAAGTTGATCCAGATACTTACACCGAGAATGATGATGAAGGCGAAATAAATGTTGGCGATGTTGTGAAACTGCAGCCAAAGGTTCTTTGGAACGAAGGAGAGGGGCGTGTATTTTGCGGTTCGGATCTTGTTTCTCACATACGAGACGCGCGGGTGGCCTTCCTCGTCCCTGGCTTCGGGCGGCAGCGGGATGTTGAAGTAGACGGTGCGGCCACCCTCGCCTTCATCGCTCGCATCGGACACGGTCGCATTCTCATCACTCGGTGCGCCTGGAGTTTCTTTGCTCTCCGGGTGTCCTTCCGCCTCGTCCCGCTTCTCATTTCCTCCAGAACCAATGCGCTTGTGCAAGCGCCCCAAGACCGACTCGCGTTTCTTGTTGCCCTGCTCTCCCTGGACGCGATGGGTAGCCCAACGGATTCGTTTGACGGGATTCGAGATCTCGCTGTCCTCTGGGGGGTTCTGGGACACCATTGTTGTTGTGGTGGCGGCCTGACAACAGAAGCCCGGGGGCCGAGAGGAACGCAGCGGCGATCAGCCGGCCTGGGCCGGAGTTGGTCAGGAGCGTCGCAAGGCGGTGGACAACAGAGTGGAAGCGATGTCGAGGGTCGGGTGGGCGTGGATGGGGCGATCCGACGGTCGCAGAGCAGCGAGCGATGGAGAGCGAGCGTGGAAGAGTGTGGAGGAGCTGGCGGCGGCGATTGTCGGTTAGGCCGGAATTAAGGCCAGACGGATTCTGTAAGCAGTCGCGAAAATCGGCGCCCAAGGAATGTCAAAAGCGCGCGCAGAGCGGTCGGCCAGTCATGCGGGACGGTCGGGGTCGGAACGCGTTAGAGATAGGGTAGGGCTGTCGCCGGGGCGCTCGTGGTGCTGTGAGCGGAAGGGAGGCGGGCTTGGGTGCGTTTCTATGATGCTGGTGTCGTAGCTCTGCACGCCTCACGTCTCGCCCGGGAAAGGTGGCCGGCCGAGAATCAGATTGGCGCCCGCCCGCAACGTCGTGAAGCCGAAGGTCCGGAGCGCGCGCTGTGCAGGTGCAGCAGTGTGATGCATAGCGTAATCCCAGGAGGCGCGCGCCCGCGTTATTATTGCCGTGCCTGATTCCTGACACGCCCGCGCCCCGGTGCCAAGGGCGCCCGCAATGCCTGGAGGGCAGGCGCAGGTGCTGACGGCAGGCTACCAACTGCCAAAACAACGCTCAGGGATGGACGAGGCTCAGCGCAAACCCTTGAAGATTAGATGACGATCTGAGCGGCGTGGGTCACGGCCGCTGTGTCATGTAACGAGCGCGGCGAGGGCCTCACGAACGCACGCCGGCGATCTGGTGGGATGCGCACGCCGCCTCTGCTGCTGCCGTCAGGCCCCAGATCCGAGAGATTGCAGCGGCGAAGTCGCAGCCCCGAGTGTCCCGCGCAGGTTACTCGGGTTACTCGAGTTCCTGCAGTTGCGATCGTGCCCGCCGTCCCGGCTGCTAGGGGGCCGCGGGGCTTCGTCATCCCTCGCAGCCGCAGCTATTTCGAGCTCGCGCACCGTAGCAAAACCATCGTGGAGAGGCTAGCAGCGCCCCCGGCTCGGAAGCCCCGTGCATCCGCCGCCCTCGTCCGCCGCGGCGGAAACAGGAGGGCGGATCTGCCCTCGAGGCGGCAGCTGCATTATTTCGCATATGACTCGGCCGGACTGCCGAGCTGCTTCTTTTGTCGCAATATCGGCGACGTAGGGAGTCGGCAGGGAGCAGCACTGCGAGATCAGCAGGATTGCAAGCGCGGGCAGCGGTCACGTCAGCCTGTTGCAGCTACGTGGAGACGGCGTCGTCAAGGTACGGTACGTAGCACGCAAAAGCAACGGCCAGTGCTTCTGAGCCCTGCCCGCCTGCTGGTGCGCCGGCTCGTCGGTCCTTTCTTGCGAGTGCTACACACTGTGCCGGCCCAGGATTCCCTGCGTCGGTGTTTCAACGCCCGTTCGGCACCACCGTTGCGCGGACGGGACAAGCCCCGGGACGCCGTCGCAGCCCTGTGGCTCGTCTGCCGTAAGCCGCTCGCACCCGCCGACCGTGGGAGTCCAGTTGTTGTTGTTATTTACATACACGGATGTCAGCGGCTGTGCAGCCACTGGTGTACAATGGTCCTAGCCGATCGCCCAGAATAGGAGCCCGGCTGGGGCGTTAAGCATGTGTCAACATGACTCACATGCCTCAGGCAGGCCGATGCTCGGGGCGCGGGCCAAGGCGTTTCTCACGTGCCGTCGCGATCGCGTCGGCGCGCCGCGTCCCTCGCAGCCGACAGCCCACCAAGGCGCGCTGACACCCAACGGCAGCCTGCAGCAATGAAGCGCAATGGCAACATCACAAACTTCTTCAAGCCCTTTACCGAGCCCAGCAATGTCCGCGCACTATCCGAGGAGCGTCGCGACCGGGGCTCATCCTTTCCCTCTCTTAGTGTGCTAGGTCTGGGGAACTCCGACCACACCACGCGCCGCACTCTCGCTGATGTACGCTACTTAGATTCTAGCAAACGCCCACGTTTGCCATCTAGCGACCATGCGAAAGAGCGGTCTGCACCATCACCTGCACCGCGCCCAGACATTTCGCCGCCTACCATTCCGCTCCAAAATAATTCCTCCCGCAAACCGGCCTTGTCTCAGCTTCAACCCCATGCTTCATCGCCGCAGGATGATATGGGCGAGATGAACAACTGGAGCGCTCGCGGTGCAGATCATGGCTCACCTCTCAGCTCATCCTTTTCGTCGCTCCCGACTACACAGCCATCGCAGTCTTCAACCGCTAGCAAGCGCGTTATGAGAGATGGCGTGGCTCTTGTGCGCACTTCGGACAGTGAGGAGGAAGAAGACTCCGACTCGGAACTGGAGGACTTGAGCACAATACTCAGTAAGAAGCGGCGTGCGCAAAATCCGCCGGTAGAATCAAGACCCGCAATGAAACCAAAGGAGGACAAGGCTCGGTCAACGTACGGCCTACGCTCTTACTTCAAACGCGCGCCGCCCAAACGAGAATTCAAGTCTATAGTAGCCCCGCGCGATAAGTCCAGACACAAGCTATCAGAGCTGGTGGCCGCGAAGCAAAAAGGCTTGGATGCCGAGGCAAGAGTTCTTGAAGCCCAGAAAAAGGCGGAAGCGGCAGAGCAGGCAGAGGAAGAGAGCAAGGAAAACAGCAGACTTACAAAAGAAGGCCTCAGTGCCGCTTTGGGGGACGACGAGGGCGCACAGAGAACTTTTGAGGCCCTCAAACGAACCGAGGCGCTCGAAACTGATCAAGTCTGGCGATTTTTCGCAGCCAGTGGCGACCAAAAAGCAGCTCGATCAAGATCAAAATTCCCGGTGCAAAGTCTGTTTAATGAAGGCTGGCATAAAAGGCTGATCGGTGGGTTTTCCCGCTCCCTGTGCTGATGCAAAAGTTTACACACATCAGAACCTTCCACCCGCGATGCGATGTTCGTTTCGGGAATCATAAAGAGCAGGGTCTACGAAGAAACTCTGCCCGACGAGGTTGTCATGTGGATGATCAACGAGCTCTGCCACAATCAGAAGGAAAGTCTCACGGACGCGTATCTAGATGTATTAGATGTAAGTCACTTCCATTGGTTGATCCGCAGCATTGAAACAGGCGCTCAGACGCAGCTAATGGTGGTCCCTCTAAATGGCTATTCGCGACCCCGTGGGGGGTTCCGTTAGAACGTCTCTTGAGGCTTTATGCTAATTAAATTAGTCTTCCGCACCACAGGTACGAAAGCTTCTTGACAAACAAACCGTATCCGGCCTCTTTGAAAAACTTGGTGTGAGGAACGAAGCGATCACAATCGAGTGCGAGCCAGTCCCAATATCACCCATCGAGGTGTCTCCTCATGGTTAGTCGCAATCCCTTTCGGTATACTATCATCGCTGATTTCCGCAGACCCAAAGACACCTATACCTTATGGCACCCGCCCATTGCTTGAATTCCTGAGAAGAGCGGCGCCCAACATTCAAAGTGCCACAGCGGAATACGTGCTAGAGATCCTAATCCGGCTTAGCTTTGATGACAGCGTACACCAGGATGGATACACTCAAACCCAATGCCAGGAGGCCATCACGGCCATGTTACGCACTCTATCTGTTGAAAACGAGTGCGAGCCCTTGCGGCGTGTCTCACAAATTTTATTCAAGAATTTTAGGAACCATGGGCCCAAAGATGACAGATTGATCAACCATGTCCTACAAGCTCAGCTAGTCCAGTCCCTCCCTTTCGCGACACAACGCGAGGCTACATTCCAACGCAGGCTCGCCCTCGCTTTCTTTCTCGACAGCCCCAAACCCCTGACGCTCTCCCTCACCGCCCCCGGCATCCTCCCCGCTGTCCTCCAATCTCTCGCCCACAATCCGCTTTTCCGTTTCAGTCGAAGCACTGACTACGCCGACGTCACCGCTGCGTTCATCCTCCTGGACACCGCCATCGACAGCGGTTTCTCGGACCGGGCTTTCACTCAGACTCTCCGCAGCGTCGACCGGCGTACTCGTGATGCTACTGCGCGGCAGCTCCGCGATGGGGCCCGGGCTGCCGAGGACGAGTTCAACTTCGGCATCGATGCCCTCACCGCCACGATCCGCCGCATCATGGGGCAGATCCGTGGATCTGGAACGGACAGCGTCCGGATGAGTGAAGCCAAGGGCACCATGGAGAGACTCGTCTACCGGCTCGAATCCAGCGTACGCACCCGGGAGACGAGCAGTAAGGACATCTTCGCAGACTCCATCGGACGAAGCGCAGGCCTCCTTAAATCCTGGGTGCAAGCGGGAGGCGGCAGCAACGGCGGTGGTGGCATCGAGGAAGTCAACGGCAATGCGCCCCAGAAGGAAGAGGACGGCGGCATCAAGAGCGAGCCAGACGACGAGTGTGCAGACCAGGTCGCGGCCGAAGTGAACCAGGATGTTAAAGTCGTCTACAACGACGTCGGCCACGACATCAAGCAGGAAGCTAACGGGAGTTAAGAGCCGTGGCCGCGACCGCGAGGCCACATACGCCGCGCGCAGTCGCGCTCCTGCTGTTGCGACCGCTTCTTTTGATTGCATGAAACCGGCGTTGGGTGGAACAGGGCCAAGACAAAATGGACCGGGTTCTGGAACCGTGACTATTTCTGGATAGGCTGGATCGGGACGTCTCCGTGATAATGGGGTATTAATCCTTGGTGGCGTTTTCGGTAACGGTCGCGAGGCGTCTGGAATAACGAAAGAACAGCCTCTTTTTTTCCCTCAGTTTCTCCTCATTACCGAACCCTCGTTCGGCTTTCGGTGTTCTCTTGTTTCCCGTGCGTTCTGCGCGAATTTTCCTCCGGATCACTTGCGAGGACGGAGATGAAGGACGATGTCTATGAACTTGCAATATCGAAAGGAGCGGTTTTTACTTCTAGAAGTCTATCACTTTCGAACCCTTTTTCTTTTCCCTATCCTTTTCGGCGATCCTTCGGAATGACCGGCCACACGAACTTCCGGCGTACCCCTGAAGTTGCGGTGGGCTTGGTGGAGTCCCTTTTTCCCTTTCTCGTCCTCGCTTGCTCGGCTCGGTAGATCTCAGGGGGATGTCCGGGGGACCCGGAGATGGGCCGCGATTGACTTTTTACGAGCGTAAGAGCGGAAGAAAAGGCGGTGGGGGTGGTTGAGAGTGGTCGTTGCTGCTGAGAAGGCGGTAAGATGCCAATTGTTGAGAAACAGCACCTTGAGGTTGCTTTATGGTGATGTTGGGGTATGCAGGTGTTTCTTGCATAAGCGCTCGTCGCTTGGTCTCGGATAGATGGAAGTCATTTTAAATTTTGTTCGGTTTGTTCGCTGCATCTAAGCGACATCGGTCCAAGTCCGAGGCGTGCTGGGACAGTTCAGAGATTCTTGCAGCAGGGCGACAATACATGAGGCTCTTAGCCAGACGGTTTTGTCTAAGCCTCTTCAGGCACATCCATGCTCATCCTAACGCCTCACTTTCTTCTATGGTGCTTCTAGCGTTGCAATCCAAAGCAACTAAGCCCGTTTGAAATTAGGGGACTGCATTGAGTGTCTACGAGAGCAAACATACCCAGTTGCTCTGTGACAAGTGCTCGTAAGCACACACGCTCGCATAGCGATGGGCAAAATAGAAACTCGCGAAGCGCCCAGCTATTCCCAGCACTACATGCTCATACATAGTAAGAGGGAATAAGATGGAAATTTTTGAAAGCCGTTGTTTTCGCATGCTCGCTTTTGCAACATGGCTGCTCGTAACACCAAAGAATCGCAACAGCAAGCTATCAATTGATCCATCTATTCCACCTACAGATAGCCATCTGATAGCATCCTACTTACTCTTCCTACACGTGAGATTTTGACGTTTTATATAATGAAATGGCTGTTCAATGGCATGTCCTTCAGCTTAAGGAGAACGAGTTTGAGGTTGAGCAGGAAAATGATCCGTGCCCCTGAAGCTCCACCTACACACGGCCCAGTCCAAGAACAAGACCAGCTCAACGCCAAAAAAGAAATTTCTGGTCTACGTGTCCAGGAGGCAAAAGAAACTCGACGTTGACAAGATTCGAACTTGTGCTCCCGAAGGAAACAGATTTCTAGTCTGTCGCGATAACCACTCCGCCACAACGCCTTTGCTGTAGTACGATGCCAATGCCGTATTACTAAGCCATGAAAAGAGGGTGTTGCCGGTGTGCAATATATACTAAGTGGTTTTACAAATTTTATGATCCTATGAACTGCATAGAATTTAGTGGCATCGTATTAATCTACGTATGCTTTTGTGAACAATAATGAAAATATTCCGAACAAAAAAGGCTTGAGCAATACGAGATACGTGTGCTATTTTTGGGACATGGTGGGGGAGAGCTTGAGCATACGTAGGAGCTGACGTTTCTTGGAACGTAGGCAGCAATGAAGACGGCAATCGCAACATACGAACAGCATACGAGTCAAAAACGAACGGACCATGTGATTTTCTGAAACATCTTGGATCCGACATTGGAGTGGCTGATTTTCTCAGCTCCCGTGTGACTCTAGGCACTTCTGTACAAGGGACACTTTCAGCAGTCAGAGACACACCTCGTTGCTTGGCATTTCTACCATGGGAAATGTGCAAGTTATCCCCCCGTTGATAATTTCAAGAGTAACGGAATCCGTGCTCTGGCCCGAAACTGACATGTTGCGCCAAGAGCAACCCATGTACCTCGGCCAACTTTAGGCCTGCGGTACATTACTTACCATATATAGGGAACTGTGCATGTATGGGACAAGTTACCGGGGTTCGGGAGCACCAAAATGTTGGGGCGATAAGGCATCGTATTTTGCACAAGATATATGCTCCAGATCCCGACGGGATGTGACTGTTGGATAGATTGAATGCGCATTTTTCGCTTTGAATAGTGATGTCCAGAGGGCTACCTACTGCCTTCAAATCCCAGAACTTATGACAAAATACCAAACTACTGCATGGCTAGGTACCCAGGTATTTGACGAGATCTCACCGATTCAGGTTGAATTACAGCCTTGAGTACTGTACATTAACATCGTTAACGCCGGGTTACTGCTCCCTATGAAGAAGAACACGACTGAAAGGTACGATTTAAATCTTCTCTCTCTTCCCTAACTCAAACTGAGCCCATCCACCTAACCATGCCATTATTCCGGAGCGCCTCTTAGAGAACAAATTCACTCTACCCATCCCCCGGATCCGCCCCAGCGTGGGTTGCATTGCGACCTCCAATAATGGAAAACCAAGCCGGCCACAGGTCAACTTCCAGCAAATTCCAGGTATACAAGCCAGAAACCAGCCGGTTGGTCTATAAAAGACCGGTAGATAAATTGAATACAATCACTATGCGATTTATTCAATTCCAATCCTCCATAAAAATCTCAACCACCCTCACAGCTCCCCAACCTCATTACTTCGACGTACAGCACAACCTCACTTCTCGCCCCTGGCCTGGGCTCACAACTTCTATCATGGACTGGACGGCTAAATCTCATTGGTACCCAATCAGTACCACACAGATCTAAAAACACAGTCATATGAATAGTGTAAGTAGATCACGGACGTGAGTCCCGAAGTAGATTACATAGATGTATATATCAAGTATGACTCCTAAAAATGAATGCCTCGGCAAAAAAATTTTGAAATCACCTTGTACCACGTTTAAATATCTCGTTCCACATTTCTTACAATTTCCATTCCGCTTTTCCTTGAATCCCACACCTCTACCGCATTCTTCTCGAGCTTCATCAATACATTCCGCCGCACCATCACTTTAAGCAGCGACAAGACACTTGTCAGCGTCTGGCAGTGTAGACAATCTTTCGGGCGTGCTCATGACACGACCACCTCACTGGTGTTGACGCTCGCCGAATCTCGTCATCGCGTTAATTGATGACCGTGATACGGAGAAAAGCACGCTCCGGGGCGGTATGCATCCAATGGACTGCTGTGCTGGGGTGAACGCCAAGCGTCAGGTGCCGGAGTAGTATCAGTCGCACAACAGATTGGTGGCGAGTGCATGAAATGGAGAAATAGCGGCAGCGGGAGGCATGCGAGTGGTGGCAGGGCAGTTGGGGCCCAAGGGCAGGAGGCCATGCTGGTGCGTCCGCTGTTCTTCTGCCCGGTCGAATTCACTCAGGTGCTTCCAGTCCCGCCTGGATGGGACAACATCGCTGTTGCCACCGTTGTTGTTGTCCACCGGGAGACGCCACTGATATTCTGGGATAGCGCGGTGACACGCAAACAGAGAACAACAATCAGCACCACTGACGACAACAACAAGAGCGGAAAGAAAGGGTTTAGAACTTCAAGTGCCTGGCCGGTGCCTTCTACCTGCCCGTCAAGCTCAGACACCCCGCACTCGACATCCCTGCGCCGGGCTGGCTCATCGAGTCTCGTAGATTGGGGATTCACTCACTGATTTCTTAACTGCTGTATCCATAATAAAAGGTGGAAGCCGCGGTGTAGAGTCAGCATTGCTGACAATAGATGAAAGTGGCAATGAGTATCTAGCTTTCAAGGAGGTCGTGGGGCTCGGTGATTGTTACATAAGGGACGGAAACCTCGGTGTGATAGAGAAGGAGAATCTGTAAGTCTGTCTGGATCTGGTGGAAGCAAGAGAAATAGTATGGACAACGGCACAATTTCATGCAGGACTTTATAATGCAACGTCTTAAGTATGTAAAGAACAGTAAAGTGAAAGAGATAATTGACTTTGATTTGATACAAGAGATATTCAAATTATTAATAGGGAGAGGGACCACGTCTTATTTCAATTACAGTGGACAGAAACCCTTACGGTTTTCAGTATGCGTAAATCGAGAGTTTTACTATGCTGACATTTCATATATTGGGTTCAAGAAAATAGTAGATGAAACGTGAGAAAAGCAAGCATTTGAAACCTCGCGTATAAGGATTGAGACAGAAAGGTACAATACCAAGTAGAAACGATGACATACAGGAGTTTGATACCAAATTTGTTATCCAGTTCCACATACAGTCAGCATATTTTGCACGATTAAATCATGACGCGAAATAAGCCCTGGTTTTTTTTTTCTTGTCCGATAAACATTCTAACCAATGGAAAACAATATCAGTATCAGACATAGCATATCCATGAGTTTAAGGCTGCTTCCGTTGCACTCATAGAATTGTGTTTTTACCCCGAAAACCATAGGGTCCACCTCCAAATATGGTGGCTAAATGACTGGAACAGATGGGAAGATTTACAATCACAGGCATAAAGCGCGTCGTATTTTCACTCTCCAGCAAAAGTTGCTTGTTTTTTTTTATATAGTAATGAAGCCAGCCCGTCGAAAAACCAGACCAATCATTCGTCCAACGACCAACAGTCAAATTCACCCTTTCCAACGCAACAATCTCGTGAAACAGCTTCAGAGCAACAAGATCCCAACTGATCAATCTCCAACTCTTAACCCCTCAATCAACAACAGATCCTATCCACTCCAACTCTGTTAAATCTTGGTATCTTCACGATCATCGGCATGATATCATGTGCGCTTAATAAAATTCTGCAGCAGTATTAGCTGCAAGGTCCTTAGAGCCGGGTCTCCTTTACGCACGGTTGCCGTTCTTCTCATCGATGTGCCTGTAGCGGGCCTGCTCGGCGCGGTCCATGAGAACCATGGCGATGTACAGGAGCAGGATAGTATCGAGGCCTGTTGAGACGCAATTGGTTAGTATCGGTAGTATTGGGGCGATGTGGCCGAAAAAATGAAGAGTGCCGAAGGAGATCCCCCCGGTGCCTTGCGGGATCGACCGTTCCCAACGCCGATCCGAATGCCTCATTCATATCTCTTATCACCATCCTGTCATGTCCATCCTTCATTTTGCCTGCTCGTACACATCGGACCATCTTGCCCTCCTCTTGCGTAACCTCAATACTGAATAGCATTCTTGACGAAAAGTCTTGGCGGCCCACTTCAAATATCCCCATGATAACCACCTTTCCGTTTAACCCGACATGGATCGGCGAGCCCAGAACGTCCATGGACAATCCAAACGAAATAGCGAAGCAGGGGGTCTGAAAAATAGCGCAACTTACCAACTAGACCAAAGGCAGCCGTGAAGATTACATCGAGGTACTGGTTGGCGAAGCTGCTGAACGGTCCGATGCAACCGCCTAGGTCAGCCGCGACTACTGCATCCGTGCATGTGCCGTCGGTGATGAAAGGCGGTGAGGTCGGGTTGTTGTAGCCACAGCACTTGAACTAGAAAATGAGCAACGTTAGCTCCTCTTTCTGCGCATTCCTTTTTTCTTGGGCCCATTGGGGCCTAGAAAGACGGAGGGGTGGGTCGGGGGGAAACGGCATGGCGGCGCGTGTGGGGAACATTGCAGATGTAGGCGGATTTACGGAAAAGTAAAGGTTGGGGGTTGCGGCTGTGTAACGGCGGAAGAAAAAGTATGAGTAAGACGCATTGAGGAACGAAGATACGGCCGTCCAGCGGTGAGATTATTGGGTCCTTTGGCATCATGTGGCATCAAATGGCGAGTCATCTGTCCAATGAACAGAGCGGCTCTAGTCGCCAGACGGGTCCCCTGGATCCCACCGAGGCCGGGATAATCTTCGCTCCCCAATCCGCCTTATTTCGGACATGTGGTGGAAGTCAGCTGCATACCTTCTGCTGCAGTAGGCTCTGCGTCTCGGGAGCCTCAGCGGCCCAGATCGACCCAAGCATGCGCCGCGTCCGCAGCGTGTTGATCCAGAGGATGACGCCAATAACCAGCGTGAACGTGCCGCAAAAGGTAACCATGTAGCCGTGGAAGCGCAGCCAGCCGCGGTTAGTGGGCAAGAAGATGGCAGGTAGGGCCAGAAGGAATGTGGCAAAAACGAAGATGGCGTTAACGATGGTGGCGGTCAAGGGGGTGCGCTTGAGCAAGAGGTGCGGTGCGACACTGTCGGCCGTTGGTGCTGAGCGCATGCTGTTCTCGCTGAACAGGGCGAAGCCCATGAGCAGGCCGCCGCTCAGCAGAAACAGGATCTCGAAGCCGAGGAAGGAGAGCATCAGTTTGTTCGCCATGGCGTTGGAGAAGACTTGAGAACGGCTTGGATTGGATTAAACGCTCGTCTCGACGACCAGCGCGAGAGGCTACGGCGGGCGAATGAAGGGAATGATAGAATGAATGAATGAACGAACAACGGCAGAGCGCCTGCGACCCGGCCGAACGAGGGAATTACAAGGTTGTAGGATGGAGAGATACAGCCACCAAAAGAAACAGAGTCGAAGAGGAGAAGAACGGCAGCACGAAGAAAAGGGAAGCGCGAACGCATTGCAAGCGCCCGACGCAAGCTTGAAGCTACTCGACGTGTCAGTGGAGAGAGATCGAACGCGGGACGTCTCAGGCGCGCGACAAGCAGCAGCAAATCATTGGCTGCGAGAGCGGGCCGCGACTGGAGCCGCAGGCGGCGGGCGTCTGGGCATCGCGCAACACACGGCGCTGCGGCAGGACAAGAGGGATCTCTCTTGTGCAACTGAGGGGCGTGATCGAACTGCCTGATCCGGTGGTTGCGCGGTGTCGCAGAGGCTGGCTGGTCGGCGAGTCGGCGAGCTCGCAGGGCTCGGCGGGCGGTGGTGTGCTGCCGGCGGTGCTGAGTCGCGATCAACAAGGGCATGCAAGCGAGGCGGCGTCGGATGCGGAAGGCGCGCCCGGGCTGGCGCAGCGTTGCGTTTCAGCGGCTGCGCAGTCTCGCACGTCGCAGGCGCAGGTTCGGGGCAGTCGCAGTCGCGGTCGCGGGCGCGGCGCCGGCTGAGTCGTGCCTCGCACCGGTCAGAGCGCGCGGGAGCAGGCGACGGCCAGCAGCAACGGCTGCGTGGGCTTTCGCGGGTTTCACAGGCAGCTCGGCTGCACCTCGGTCCCGGAGGATGCCGGTCCGCGGGTCATGTGAGGGGAGCGGCATGGCTAGCCCATTTCAAGCAGCTGGCGCCTTCCTTTCTCCGGCACGCCCTAACCAGCTTCCCTCGACCCTAATCCCCCTTCGGCGACCGCCCGTGAGCGACTCTCTTGCAGCGACACGACGCCCGCTAGGCACCGCAACAGCAAGGTAAGCGAACCCTCTCACCCCGCCGGCCCAGCGAGCACGTCGCGCAGCGCGCGCCCCGAGCCTGGCGCCTGCCCGCGCGCAGCGCTGCCCGCGCCGCACCGCCAGCTGAAGACGGCGCCCCCAGGCCAGGCACCCAGGTCGCGATCGTCGGCGGCCGGGCGCAGGCTCGGGCGTGCTGGGTTGCGCGTCGCTCGATTCGCGCAGCCGTGCCAGAGCAGGGCCGTAGGCTGACCGTGGCTCGCGCGCCCAGGATCGCTTTCTGCGCCGCCGGTTGGCTCGCCCGCCGCGTTCTCCACTCCGCCCACAAGAAACGAATACCTACTGCCCACCGTCCGGCTTTTCCCAATCTCTCACCCAACCTTTACCTCTCTGAGACACCTCTGCAAAATAAGTTCATCCCCGGTCGGTACAAGTCCAAGGCAGAAGCCAAGTCGCCCAGCAGAACTCGGTATGGCTGTTTCCCTTCTGTGTTACCCGCACGCCCCGAATCCAGCTCGGTCCTGCATTCCCTTGCTTGCCTTGCCCGCCACCGCACCGCAGCCCGCCCCGACCCGTCTGCCTTTACCTGAGCAGCCTTGCCTTTTCCATCCGTAACTGAACGTTGCTTTAGGCTTGGTCGCAGCGACGCGCATTCGCTGCTCTTTCGGTCCGCTCAGCAAACCGCTTTCCCTCGGTCGGCCTCGCTCACCACTGCGACGCCCGCCTCCGTCCAAACGGGAAATCGCAATACAGTATACCCAAATCGTCACCGCTAGCACCACCACCCACCACCGCAATGGCCAGCGAAATCACCGACCACGAGCAGCAGCAGTCGCCCTCGGCCACTGACGACGTTGCCAACAACGGCAACGGCGCTCTCGCCCAGGCCGACCCCAATCGCGGCACCAAGCGCCCGCGCCCTGCTGCCGACGATGATGATGACGATGACGACAAGCCCGGTCGCGAGAGGAGGAAGATTGAGATCAAGTTCATCCAGGACAAGTCGCGCCGCCACATCACCTTCTCCAAGCGCAAGGCTGGTATCATGAAGAAGGTGAGCAAACCCACCCGCCAGGAGCTTTGACCGGCGCCCATGCGCGACGCGACGCGAACGCGTCGCATCCGCCAATTGACCCCATTGACCGCCAACCCCGTGTGCTAACCGCCCTCGCCCGCAGGCCTACGAGCTGTCCGTCCTCACCGGCACCCAGGTGCTGCTCCTGGTCGTCTCCGAGACCGGCCTCGTCTACACCTTCACCACGCCCAAGCTGCAGCCGCTCGTCACCAAGCCCGAGGGCAAGAACCTCATCCAGGTAAGCTTCGCGCACGCCGCGCCGCCTCTGAAACGGATGCTGACGCCTCTGCCCAGGCCTGCCTCAACGCGCCCGAGCCTGCGACCAACGAGAACGGCGTCGACGGCGACAACGTCGGCGACTCGCCCGAGGACCAGCACAACCAGGTGCCCCGCGGTGCTCCCGGCATGCCTCCTGCGCCCGGCATGCCCGGTGGCTACATGACGCCCGAGCAGGCTCAGGCCATGCAGTACCAGAACTACCTGCAGCAGCAGTCGCATGCGAACGCACAGTACCCTGGCATGCCGCCGCAGGCGGGGATGCCCAGGCACCCGCAACAGTATCCGCCGGACCAGAAGCTGGCGTAAGACGAATGCTCATGGGACACGTGCCTACGATGTCAACGGGGAGAAACTCCGACATTCAGGAATTTGCTGGTTTACAAAGGAAAATCGATACCCCAATCCCAATACGAAAGGTAATCGAGCGACTGTACGTTGCTCACTCGTATATACCGGGAAATGTATCTGCTCAATGGGATGGGTGGGAGGCTTGCTTGGTGTCCGAAGGAGTCCATTTTCCGGTGCGGGGGTTGCTCTTGGTTTTTCTTCTTCTTTGCGTTGCTTTTGCCATTCCCCCCACTCCATTTCGACGTCTCTCGTTGCGCACCAGATGCGAATTCCATTCAGCATTATCTATCTTCGTCCGCTGGCGAGGCCTTGCGTCTAATTTTGCGAGACACGATCGGCAAAGGAGATGGATTGGGAGGAAGGGAGGTTTTGGTTTTTGATACACCCCATCATCATGGAACTTTAGCACCCCTACATCTTCTATTCTGCAACTGCCCTTTCCTTTTTGCGCTTTAAAACATACGAATAATACCCGGAATGGTCTCATGCCGAAACCTGTGGGAACGAGTGTAAGAACGTAGCGTGGGATCTCTACTTTTTTTTTTCTTCTTGGCCGAGAGAGATTCGAAGCAATTCATCAAACGTCGATGTGCCTTGTAACGTCAAACAATTCCAATGTCGCGATGAATTTGCGTAATAATGAGCTATCACATGCAGCATGGGACCGCGTGCGTTGATGTCAAGCCTTCATCATGTAGACCCTGTCAACGTCATTACCATTTTTCCCCTCCCTCAGGGGACGAAGACGAACGGGTTAACGTCATCTTACGTCTGCCTCTCGGCTGACAAACGAAGACGACTTAAGCTTTTTACCCGTTTCGGAAGAATGGAGAGTTTGACAGCTTGGTTGAGTGGGTTGCGTGCCGCTGGTAAGGTTCTTTCCTGTGGCATTTGACATTTGGCGTTTAAGCTTTGCTCGTACCTGACCATGCCCACCTGAGAATGCATAGCGAACGATTACTGAATGCAGATAACCAGCATTCTTTTCTCCCCGCGTAATGTGGCTGCATTCGTAGTAGAGAGACACGTTGTGTTTCCGCTCGTCTGTTTTGTAACATGTTTGTCTACTCTTTTTTTATTTTCGGTCCCTTCATTATTTGGTTGACTTACTCTTCAACGCGTTAGTCCTGAAGGACTGTGATTGGAGCGTTTCATTTTTCTTTTCTTTCTCTTTTAGGATGATTTGCAGCGTGCTACGGTCGGAGATCGTTCGGAAGGTCGATGGGTGTTGTAGTGAGTGGGTTTTTTTCCGTTGATGCACGTCAACCAACGGATGGGTCGAAATGCCTTGGGGCTACTAGGCGGCATTTTGGTACAAGTCACTCGTATATTACGCTGGAAGCTCGGAGACTGGTTGTACGTGGTGCATCAAAGCAATCAATCCCTCGTCGTTAAGCATCAAGACGTTTGTTCTTACGGTAGGGTTGGGGAGAACTACAGCAGCGGCGATCCGAACCAAAGAACTACCAACAGCTCCCTCCGTTTTTTTTCCTCCCCTAACCAATCGTAAAAGAGAAAGGAAAGAGAAGGGGCTTTTCCGTCGGCCTAGCACAAATACCAGGCCCCCCAACCAAGGCCAGCTTGATGATTGATAGCCGCTCATCAGCAGCGAACGACTCACACCCACACCCACCCACACACCTACTTTCGGTAAAGTCCTTGCGTTCCTGCGCGAACGGAGATGGGAAAGAGGGCTAGGCCCGCACGGGGAACGAGCAAAGCATCCTCATCCTTGTTCCAGCCACAGCCTTTTTCGCTTGCTGAACCGACCGTTGACTTGCTTGCGCCCTGTTCGCCCAACGGCCTAGAGCGCCGCCTGGCTCGAGCTCTCCCGTGCGCGTCCTTCCGGCGTGAGACATGAAACACTCAAGGGAGGGGGTGTGTGACCGGGGTGGGGGGGCTTAGGGTGCGGGTGGATGGGTAGGAGGCTCGAGCGGAGGAGAGCCCGTTAAGCGGGAAGAGGCGGTGCAGAACGAGATAGGAAGACCAGAAAAAAAAAAACTAGCAGATGGCGCAGCCCGGCCGTTTCATGAATGATGAACCGGAAAAAAAAATATAGAGGTATTAAGCATGCGGGAATTAGTTGATGGTTGTTTGTGAGAACCGGCCGGACGAGAGCTGTCGTCCCAGCTCCGCTAGAAAGACGGTGCTTCGAGTGATGGACAACCCCCTCCTTCTCGCCGCTCATCAATCGTAAGAGATGATGCAGGAACCAGCACGTGGCTTCTCTCTCTTCGTAAGCCGGGCCGTGTTCCGTCGGCAATCATATCAGAGGATTTTTGTCCAGTCGTTCATATTTCCATAATACAGTCCCCTCTTGTAGCCGATGGCTAGCGCGAAGAATAGCAGGGCTTTAGAACGTAGCGTAAATATGCCCCAGCTCTGCCTTGAAAAATGACAACATGCGTGGGTAGTTGAAGCTATCGTCCGGACGTGAATGTGTAATTGTTAATTCGACATTTGCATCCGGATGATAGCTTCAATTCCCCATGACATGAGCAAAAAACAAATCCACGCTAGCCATCGGCTGAAAGAGGGGACTGTAGGGCTACGGTGCTTGCATCAACATTGTGGCTTTGCTTTCCCCATTGTTGCGATGCTGCGGACCTGAGTGACGAAGTGGCGCAGTACGATACCCACTTCCCAACCGCTCTCCTTTTTTTCTTTCATGCGTGGGAGAGCGAGTGAGATAAGAAAAGACACGGCAGATGAACCCGAAGGCAGCATAACATTATGCGGGCGTCGCTATGGTTCCCAGGAACGGACATGGATGCTATCTTGCGGGCATGCACCTGTATAAGGCCTTGACTAACAGGCGTACGTACGCCAGCAATGGGGCTTGTACAAGCAACACGGGGGAGCAATGGCGTCAAAGCCACTGCGCATGCAGTCAGGCGGCACAGTAGACACAAGGCTGTCCTTTTGGTGCACCGACCCTAGACCGGAAATTTACGCGAACGGGTTGATGATGAAGCGTGGGCGCCACGTTACTGCAGCCATCCAACAAGCAACGAACGCATCTTCCCGCGCGGTGAGAGTGGGGAACGGGTCCCTCGGGGTGGCCGTGAAATTGTGATCTATCGGCTCTTGTTGCCGTGGCCCCCCGCAAATCTTCACTCTGCCTCTTTTCTTTCTTTTTCCATGCACGTCTTTGCTTTTGGGAAGGCGATAACGATACTGCACACACACTCGACGACAGCAGTGCCCCTGAGCTGTCATTCTGCCATCAGCGATCTCTGCGCGCCATCCGCCTGTTTCTCTGCCCTGCAGATGCACAGAACCACTAGCGCGGATGGTGCCAATAGCGCCCTAACTGCTGGGGAGCCCTGGGCTATAGCGAGCGGGAAGTAAGGATCGGCAGAGCAGCGGGGTCGCGTGTGTGACGACTTCTGGGCTTGACGATGGCGGTGGCGTCAGGAACGGGAGCAAGACCGGGGCATTGGGAAAGGATCGGACGTGTGGTGGTGTGGTCTGGCGGGCGGACGGGCGGGCGGGGGAGGGCCCAGGGGGTGGTAATGGAGAGCAGCAAGCAGGCGGGGGAGAGAGCATGGAACGTTGCGCCAGCATTTTCCCTAAGGAACAGATGATCCGGGCGGGCGGGCGCGACAGGCCTGCGCGGGCGCGGCGTGGGGAAAGCCCAAGGCCTCCGTGCCTGCCTTGTTCCTAGCGCCGCTTGCCGTGACAGCTCGCTAACACACAGTGAATTGGGATTCGCGGCTCGTGGCGTTTCTCCTCTACGGGCAGGACGAGCAGCGGTGGCCGCTTTCCTTGTCTGTCCGGGTGGCCCTGGCTCGGGGCTCGGAGCTTCATTTCTTCATCAGTCGCAGAACCGGGGGCGGGCCGGGCTGGCTGGGCTGGGCTGGGCTCTGGGAAGCGGCGCCCGCCCAACCGCCTGGTCGCCGCGCCTCCTCAGCCTCTCACCAGCAACACCCAAACGCACGTATGATTTATTGCGGATTTACGAAGCGGGCGGGTCGGATGTGGAGTTCGCCAGCCGACAGGTTTTGCCGACCGCGTGCGTGCGCGTGCGATGCGCTGCAGGTGGTGCCATGCCCAGAAAGCCCTGGCAAATTAGGCAATCAGCTGCTGACTCGCCGTCGTTGCAACTGCAGCTGCATGTCGCAACCCGCCGTCCAATCGTCTGAATACACCTCAACCAATTTCTTCACGCAGGGTTGCGCTGGTTGTCCCTGCCTGCCTGCGCGAAGGCAGCCCAGTCTCACCGCTGCGCACGTGCGAGCGATGCACTGCATGTCCTGGAGATGGAGGTAGGCTAGTCGCCCATTCATCTCTTTTCACTTTTCATCGTCGTCCCTACCATACAGAAAGAGCAAGGCTGCCGTGTCACGTTGCGTCGAATCGACGAGAAGTGTCTGAGATGCGGCTAAAGACTGTTCCTGAGCCGGGCAGCTGCACCTCTTTGTAACTGATGGAAGGTTCTGCCAGTCTTCCCCGCCCCTTCGTTATTTTCCTGTTTGTGGGAAAGCCACAGATGAGGGGGAAAGGTTTACCACAAGGGGCATGATCGCCTATCAGCGGACGGAGAGCGGACACGACGACGGCGCGCAACCATCAAAGTTTTCTATGATAAGGTTTGGTTGGCTGCGTTCTGTACGGCAAGAGCTGGTCGTGACGACGAGGCTTCTTCCATACTGAAACTGCGCGCGGAGAGGGTGACAGCACAGTATAACACTGAGCGCCGCCTTGGTATCGCTGACGTGGATGGTTTGTAACTCGCATCCTGATAAGCTCGCCGCGAAATCTACACTCTATCAGCCAGCCTGCTATGTATTGATAGGCGCCTGGCTGGAACCCTCCGCTCCGACGCCTATCCTCCCCGCTCCGCGCCACCCGTGCCAATATGACCGGAGTCCGCGGTCCCCAAGCACATCACGACCGAGTACCGACACTGAAATCAGCGAGTGGCCAACTGCTACGTGTGTCGTCCTTCGTGTGCAACCCGGCTGCCCTGTTTGACTCGCCTCGTATACTGAACCATTATGGAACTGCAACTTCGACCCAGGTCTCAGGAACCTCAGCTGCCAAGCATAGCGGAGACCACGCGATGGGAGGCATGGCGGACGTGACGCCCTGCGCGATATAAGGCGTAGATGGCTTAGCGTTGCAGTTGGGCGTTGTGCCTCCTATCAGATTACACCCTCGGCATCTGGTTACACTGATCCATCTCCACACGCTGCATCTCCAGCTATACTCCCTGGCGCTGCTCCCCCCGCTGTACCCCACCATCCTAGCCTATCGCCCGTCATACCTCCAATCCCCGCAGGGCAATTGGGTCCCGTCAGATCTACGGCGATGTGCTGGACTCAAACCGAATGAATCAAAACATCTTCCAGAACTGAACGGTTATATGCCCATCACTAACAAAATACAGAACACTTACTTTTTCCACAACCCGGATATATAAGCAAGGTCAATTCTTTCCCACCCCATACTTTTTACCGCGCGTCCTCCAGCGTAGTAACAGCTTGTGTGACAATCAGCCGCCTTTATCTGACCTAGTTGCTCTCTTATCAGTTTGTACTTACTCGCTCATCTCACGTACCTTCTATCATACTTTACTTATTTATACCATATCTCGTCCTTCAGAATCAAGCCTTTATCTCATCCTTCACTTCTTGTCAGCTGTCACGGAAAGCCTCCTTGCACCACCAGGACCTGAAACAATACCCAGGTCGCACCCGAGAGGAGTACCGAACCTCAAACGAAGCTCCAGGGGACCATAAGTTTGGACTACATCTACGACATAACCTTCCCAGAGTCAGCTCCACCCTCGCGAATGTCCTTCAGATAAACAGCAACCATGAGATCGTCAAAAGAAATCGCGGAGTCAGACAGGAGGCCCTCGTTTGAGGTGGGAGAGGTGAAGGCCGTCGACGCCGATGCCGCCAAGTTGGCTGAGATGGGCTACACCCAGGACATGCAGCGCAATTTCAGCGTCTGGTCTGTCTTGGGTGTGGGCTTTTCCTTGACCAACTCGTGGTTCGGTATCTCGGCGGCTCTGGTCACAGGCATCAACTCGGGAGGCCCGCTGCTCATTGTCTACGGGATCATGATCATTGCCCTCATCTCAGTCTGCGTCGGCATCTCCCTATCAGAACTGGCTAGCGCTCTCCCCAACGCCGGTGGCCAGTACTTCTGGGCCAACGAACTGGCTCCGAAGCGATGGGCCAATTTTGCTTCATACCTGACCGGATGGTTTGCGTGGGCCGGTTCCATCTTCACGTCGGCCAGTGTTGCGCTGGCCATGGGAAGCGCGTTATGCGGCTGCTGGCAACTGTCGCACCCTGACTTGTAAGTAAAGCCTACATCAGCCAATTCCCGAACTGAAGGCTGATATGCTCCAGCGTGATTGAGAGCTGGCACGTCTTCGTCACCTACCAAATCGTCAACATCTTCTGCTTCTTCTTCAACTGCTGGGGCAAGGTGCTCCCCACGATCTCGTCGACGACGCTGTACATCTCCCTCATCTCGTTCGCCGTCATCCTGATCACGATCCCGGCCAAAGCGCCCACGCACCAGCACGCCAAGTTCGTCTTCGCCACCTTCATCAACAACACGGGCTGGTCGGAGGGCGGCATCGCCTTCATCGTCGGCCTGGTCAACACCAACTGGGCCTTTGCGTGCCTGGACTGCGCGACGCACCTGGCCGAGGAGGTGCACCACCCGGAGCGCATGATCCCCATCGCCATCATGGGCACCGTCGCCATCGGCTTCGTCACGTCGTGGACCTACTCGGTCGCCATGTTCTTCAGCATCGTCGGCGACTTCCAGGAGCTGGTCGCCACGCCCACCCTCGTCCCCATCCTCGAGCTCTTTTCGCGCGCCCTCGCCTCGTCCGCCGGCGCCACGGCCGGCGCCATCGCCCTCGAGTCGCTCATCATCGCCACCGGCCTGGGCTGCCTGATCGCGTCGCACACGTGGCAGAGCCGGCTGTGCTGGAGCTTCGCGCGCGACCGCGGGCTGCCGGGTCACCGCGCGCTGGCCGTTGTGCACGCTGGCTTGGACGTGCCGCTGACGGCGCACGCGGTCAGCTGCGCTATCGTCGCTGCCGTCGGCTGCCTCTACCTCGGCTCCTACACGGCCTTCAACAGCATGGTCACGGCCTGCATCGTGCTGCTCTACGTCTCCTACTCCATCCCCGTCGCATGCCTGCTGCTGCGCGGCCGCAACAACATCGAACACGGACCTTTCTGGCTCGGCCCCATCGGCTTCGTTGCGAATTGCGTACTGCTCGCCTGGACTGCGTTCACTGTCGTCATGTACAGCTTCCCGTATTCGAAGCCCGTCCTGGCGAGCAATATGAATTACGTGAGCGCCGTGTACGGCGTTGTCTGCGCGATTATGGGCGTCGATTGGCTGGTGCGCGGGAAGAGGGAGTATAGGGGGCAGAGTACCAGACATGAGCAGGTCGAGGAGGTGGTGAGGAGGGTGGGGAGCGTGAGTGAGGGGACGGTGTGAGAGGGAACGCATGTGAAGAGACGAATGTTGGATGAAATGTACTCTTTTTCTGTTTTTGATGGAAATATCAAGGGCGGCGGACGGGAACTGGCGATAGCTGGATATGTGGAAGCTGCCGTCTTTGTTCGCGTGTAGTCCCGGTGTATACTGTCTTGAATATTGTAGAGGAAAGGAAAAAACAGATTCATGTTTGAAATGGTTCAAATCTAGTGCGTTCGTCGAGTCGGAAAATGAAGTGGATGAATAAAGCCATGATATAAGACCATGGGTATTCTTCACCTATATAATTTCAATGCCTAAGAGCTAAAGTGTCCCATGCCTAGCATAATATCCAGAAGAAAAAAAAAGCAAGACTTGCTCACTGAAACTCAAAAATATGTGTGTGCAGAGTATGGTTAAATTCTACTGAACGCGGGAAGAAAGTCAATTAAAGACATGTTTTAAGGTATGGGAAACTGTACTGAGACAACATCAGGCTTTGAAGCAACACTATCGATACTTTGTGACGCGTGAGAGCCGTCTACCACTGAGCGTATACCCAGAAAGAAGTGTCGGCGTATGTGGAACCGGCGAATTTTGTCAACACGGTTATTTTTCTTGCTTTCTTCCGCAATGCTACACTTCATAGACGACGTGTCACAGAGAATTGTACTTTCCCGGAGACTTAAATGTCTTCTGATCTTGAAGAGACAAGAAGGGTCTTGTTTTTGTTCATTTTCTTGCCGTATCCTCATCCACAGTTCACTTCATGATTTCCATGCATCCGAAACTTTGATCAATATACAAATTACAGTGAAGCATCCACGGGACTCTCAAAGTAGATCTATAGCGCTCGAGATTATTCCAACGAGTAGCTTTTACCAGCCTTCCAAAGATCTTGCAAAATCATATCCTTACCATGGATACTCGAAATAGGCCCAGGCCACCCGGATCTTTCGACATGACATGCAGAGCAACTTGGTGAATGTGGAGAATTCATCACTAAGCTTCGACTTTGCTTCTTGTGATCACTTCTACATTGTTTCATGCGCTGACAAAAAACATAGTTGTGACCCCATCTTCGCCAAGTATTTGCCGTAAGAAACTCTATTCGCAGCTCAGAGCGCATTGTTGTGCCCTGGATATGGATACACTTCCACCGCCATCCCTCTTGATAGGCGAGCCAAGGGATGCAGCGAATTCACGTCCGTCCTTCCGCCAGCACACACACACCGACGTCATCCCATCCTCTAAAACCTTTATAGTCGAGAGCCGTTCCTCATTGCCAGAGAATTCAAAGCAACATCGCCCTTTTTCTCTCTTTTCTCCCATTACCGCACCGTCCTCTCGACAAACTCCTTCTCCAGCCTGCCGACCTCCTTCTTGAACGCCTCGACCTCCCTCCAGCAATCCAGCGGCCTCCGGTCGTTGACGCGCAGGCACTCGACGACCTTGAGCTTTGCGTCCTCGACGCCCTTGTCGGGCTGCTCGAGGCGCTTGCGCTCGTCGAGCTTCTTGCGGAGGGCCTCGATCTCGCGCTCGACGGCGGTGCGGCTGATGTCGCGGCGGCGCTGGCGCTCGGCCACGGCGTCGGCCGAGCTCAGGCTGTCGGCCAGCTTCTCGGCCAGCGAGGGCTCGTGAGACGCGGCGTCGGGCGAGGCGTCGGCGGCCGAGGCGATGGCGTCCTGCAGCTCGCGCAGGCGCTGCTCCTCCTTGGCCCGCAGCTGCGACAGCTCGCGCTCGACGCGCGTCTGCACCTGCAGCTCCAGAGCCTTGGCGCGGGTCGTGTCGGACTGTTGGGGGGTCACTCTTGTCTCAGTTTTCTCTTCTGTGCGCGGCATTTGTGTTCAATGGATGGAAAGGAAAAGGTTCGGGCGGATGGGCGGAAGAAGCGATCGCGGAGAGATTCTGCTCGGATGGGAGGAGACCAATTGGCGGCGCGGAGACGGGGGGACGACGAACCTGAGGGCTGTTCTGAAGCGAGTCGATCAATTCCGACGAGAAGCGGACGGGGGCCTCACTGTGGCGGTTGAGCAATAGCTCCGGTCAGCTCTCAATCTTTTCTCTCGCAATTCGCCGTTAGGCCGGGGAATGGGCAACGTACGGATTGAAGACGTGCTGGGCCGTGCCGTCGGGTTTGGAGTTTCCCGCGCCCATGGTGAAGGTGGGTGGTTGGAGGGATTGGGCGGTTGTGGGGGGAGGAGGATAGGGTAGGAGGTCGGAATTTGCGGGCTTGGGGAAGATAGGTTGACGTCGGTCACCGCACAAGCCTCCGAGTCGCTGTTCACCATCGTCACGTGCGACGCGCCGGACCTACTTTCTCGAGGCGCGTCTCTCACCTTCAACTTTCTTCACGCAAGTTCCGCGCTCCAGTCAGTCGGCGCGCGATGCTGCAGACATCAATCACAAAATGGCTCAGCAAGCCCAAAACCGTCACCCAGCCCGACGCAGTTCAGCTGGAGCCGCGGCGACCAAAGAAAGCCGATAACAACAGCACCACGGCCGAGCAGACCGCGAAACCACTCTCGAACACAACAGCAGACAGTGGCGACAAGGTCACGCCCATTTCTCCAACCCCATCCCAGGCCCCGACCACAGTTTCCGCACCTGACGGCAGCACTACCGCGTTGGGCAGCGCATCCGCAAACCAGCCGCTCTCACCACCACCAACGACAACTACTATAACAACACTTCCGCCTCTCTCGCCAAACATCACCCTCGCGCCCCTCACCAGCGCCACCATCCCCTCCTTCCGGCGCCTCAACACCCTCCTCCTCGAAATCCCCTACCCCACCAAATTCTACGACGAGATCCTCACCGACCGCATCACCGCCTCCATCACCCTCGCCGCCTTCTGGCGCAACAACACCACCACCTTCTCCTCCTCCTCCAACAACAACACCAACAAACCCACCCAACAACCCCCAGGCATCCTCGTCGCCGGCATCCGCTGCCGCCTCCTCTCCGCCTCCTCCATCCCACTTCCTGCCTCCCCTCAAACCACCACCACCACCACACCAAACGCACCACCCAAACCCCTCCTCTACATCGCCACCCTCTCGACCCTCTCCCCCTACCGCTCGCACGGCCTGGCCTCGCACCTCCTCGCCGCCGTCACGCGCGCCGCCGCGACACAGCACGGTGTCAGCGGGGTATGCGCCCACGTCTGGGTCGCCAACGCCGACGGCCTGGCCTGGTACCGTCGTCGCGGCTTCGAGGTGCTGCGCAAAGAGGAGGGCTACTACCGCCGGCTGACGCCGAGCGCCGCGTGGGTCGTGTGGCGCAGGGTCGGGGTGGGGGATTTGTTGGTGGGGGTGGGTGGTGGTGAGGGTGGTGGTGAAGAAGAAGGGGGTGCGGACGGGGCGCGGGAGGGGGAGGGGGAGAGGGAGGAGGATGAGGATGACGGTGGGGAGGAGGAAGGGGAGCGGATGGAAGGGGTTGTTGAGGGGGGAGGGGGAAGATGAGGAGGAAATGGCTGTGAGCATGTTGTTTGTGGGGAATGAGGGAGGATGGGAGGGGGTTGGGAGAAAGATGTGGCGCGGATGATGTGTGAGTCTGCGGGGTGAAGAGGGTGTACGGAATGCGGTCTGGGGCGGAATGACGGGAGAAGGCTGGACAAGAATGAACGTTTGAGCTTCAGCTTGTATTTTGCTCACGGGGACGGGTCACGATATGCACAAGAAAGATTGCATCCCTCCTGAAAAACGTACGGGTCCTTCAAGGCGATCCCTTCGGACTACGGCAGATGCTCTTCTTCTCAAAGCAAGGAATAAATCCACAGTAAAAGGGAAGATGATGAGGCGAAGGGGAAAAGAGAGGGAAAAGAAAAAAAGAAGAAGAATATGTCAATCATTCCCGGGCCAAAAGAGGGAAAGAATGACAGCTGATGGTGAGCAAATATGCCCTGCCTCATAGGGTAGCGGAACATGAACAGCCGACGTGCCTATAAAAGACAGAGGCCTTTTAGCCTAAAGAGAAACACAAACGGGAAGGACGATCTCCGGTCCGGCCGACCCGATCCTGGTCAGAGATCTACACGGGAAGGAAAAAGAATGAGACTGCAGGTCCTTGTCATTCAACCTTCAAGCGATATATCCTAAATTTAAAAAGGAAAAAGTTGATACAATAGTGGAAGAACTAACCGTTGACATACCACTCACAATACAATGTTCGGACTTTTGTTCTAATTATTCTCATTTGGGTCATGATGCTAATGATGCTGCCTACTTGTATGTATCTGTGGAGATACTACAAAGCACGTAGATGCTGAAAAGAGTAAGAGAAACAAGAAATGTGATGAATGTGGGAATAAAGATGTAAAAAGGGGAAGAGTGGTGTCGTTAAAGCTGCTACAACCTCTCTGGAGAACAGAGAAGGAGCACGTCGAGATAAGGTTAACCAAAAAACGGAGTAGAAAAGAGCCTTGGCCCAGGATATTGCTTCCGGTTCAGACATTCCCCTCCCAGAGACAACACCACAGACGCATACCTCCCATAGCCCACACACCAACAAGACCTGTTCTACTGGCATCCAAAGGAAAAAGTAAAAAAGAAAATTTCATGACCTAATAAACACATCAGTTCAGACAAGAATCCACCAACAATGGCTTTTGAGCCCGCCTCTTCTTTCCCATTCTTTCTCTTTCATCTATCAATCTCCCTTCTACAACATCTCTCTAGTCCGACTCATCGATGGTCTCAGGCTTGTCCACCTTACCGGCCACCAACGCGATCAGGGCGGCACCGACACCACTGCCATCCTTGGCAATGCCGATGCGGATCTTCTTCTCGCCCTTCTCGCCGATCTCGGGGACCTCGCGCAGGGCCTCGCGCATGTAGTCTTCGAAGCCAGGGTAGAACTCGACGAGCGAGCCGTCGACGCCGATGTCGATGACGTCGTCGCTGAGACGGCCGGTCTTGATGATGATGGCGGCCATGGCGACGGCCGACAGGCGGGCGGCGCGCTTGCCGATGGCCTGGGCGATGACCTTGACGGCCTCTGCGTCCTCGGCCGACGCGGCACTGATGCCGTAGTCCTTGTCGAGCGTCTGGCGCGTGATGCGTAGGCCGGGGCTGGTGTCGGCCTCGGTGATGCTGAGGAACGACGTGTCGATGCCCCACTGCTTGAAGATGCTCGAGCTGGGCGAGATGTTGGTCGTGCTGTGCATGTCGTTGCTCGACGAGTTGTCGTCCTTGAACAGCGGCACGTTCTTGTTCTTGATCAGTCCGACCAGCGCCAGGCGCAGAATCTCGCCCAGGAACATGCCCGACACGCGCTTCTCGAACATCTGGATGCCCGGATTGTTGCTCGTCTTGTCCAGCTCGTCGTCGTACGGCGTCCGGGGCAGCACGTTCATGCTGTTGTCGAACGAACCCCACTCGGTGTTGACGATCATGTCGCCCGCAGACTTGTCGTACACGGCCTCGGCGTCATCGGTCAGCTTCGTCACCTTCTCCAGCTTCTCAACGTATGCGCCGTTGGTGCCGGTGCCGAAGATGGCGCCCAGCAGGGTGCCAGTCTTGCCGGGAGAAGTGTACGAGCGGGCCATGAGCGTGCCTACGGTGTCGTTGACCAGCGCCGCGACGCGAACAGGCAGGCGGAGCTCATCGATCTCGGCCTGGAGCAGCGCGCACACGTCCTTGCCCACCGCGTCGGCGATGTCGAATCCCTTGGTCCAGCGCATGAGAATGCCCTTGTTGATGCCAATCTGGTGGACGGGGAAGGAGAAGGTGAAGCCCAGGTTGAAGATCTCCTCATCGCGGTATCCCTCTGCCAGCGAGATCGTCTTGCGCCTGCGGATGTGGCCCTGGTAGTGCTCGTTGTGGTGAGCCTTCAGGAAGAGCTCAATCTGCTTGGCGAGGAAGGAGAAGAGCTCCTTGGCCGTCTTGGCGACCATCAGCTCGCGCGGGATGGCGACTTTGGACTGGGTGAGTGTGAAGGTGCTGTTGCCGTGCAGCTGGATCGAGCAAACACGGAAGTTGGTGCCGCCGAGGTCGACAGCCATGTACAGGCCCTGCGCTGCTGTCAGTCCGCGCTCAATCGACCGTGAGACCGCTGAAGCTCACCTTCTCGGTGCCATTGGGCACAGAAGTGACGTAGGTGGGGATCTGGCTCAGGTCGGTGCCGTTCTTCTGGAGGCCCTCCTCTGCAGGCGGCGGTTAGCAATGCGCGCGAGGGAGGCGAGGAATGTGGACTTACCCATCTGCCTGATGAACTCCTTGGTGGAGCGGCGCACATCGTCGGGGGTGAAGGTGAACTCGGCGGCCACGCGCCTTGCTTCGTCTGCCAATGCCATGCTGGGTTCAACGGGGGTGTAGAAAGTGTGTTTGTGAGAGACTAGAGGAGGAAGCGCGGAGCAGGTTCGCGGGGATTTATGGAGCAGTAGCTCGTCGGAGGCAAGCGAAACTGGAGCAGCGTGAGGTAGCGGGGGGTCACGAGGGTGGGCTGGTGGGGAGACGGTCGCGAGAAAGAGGCGCGGTATCACGAACTGGGCGAGCAGGACGAGCGCGAGGAATGCTACGGGCAGCAGTCGGCTCCGGAGCTGGGGCTTGATGAGGAATTGTGAGGCGTGAGAGGGCGAGGAGGGCGGACAATCCGGGTCGGAGCGCCGCTGCGGTGATTTAGCAGACCGCAGTCTGCCTGGGGCGTGGGACGTCAGGGCTGATGAAATTGTTGGACGCGGGCCTACTTCGCAGTGAGCGGGGCTCCGTGGCCTTGGGCGGCGGGGCACTACGTAAGAGGGCAGCCCGCGCGGGCACTGGACTGGCTGGGAGGCGGAGGGCGCGGAGGATGCGCGATTTGCTCCCACGGGGCTGAGAGTGCTGCGATAGGCTGCAGGTCGGGCCTCAGGTGTGTGGTGGTGAGCCGAGAGCCCGTCCCACGGCGCAGGAACCAAGGCGTCTGCTGGGGCTCCCACCGCCCTCCTCTGCATCATCACCAGCGAGGCCCGGCCAGAGCCTCATTGCGGCGTCTGGAAGCGGCTCCCGCCGCCGCAACCGCGGTTCCTCGCATCGGCCAGAGCCGTCCGTGCTTGACTCGTAGCATCGGAGCCAACCCGCGCGGCACGCCCCATCGCACGATATCGTCACAGCCGCGCTGCAACCCTTCGGCGCCCGTCTCGGAGCAATCACGGCATCAGCTGTCACCAGGCCCAAAAGTTGTTTCTTCGCCGTCGTATGTATGCTTTGCTACTCTCCATTGCCCCACCCGTCTCACTCCACCCTTTTGTGCCAACCCCACCCTCTCCGCCGAACGCTCCCCAGCTCTCTCGTCCGCCCAGCAGGGCATGTAGTAGTACAATACTCTCCCGCCCTCACCCGACGGGGTAAATGCTGGTGCATAAACGCAGAATCCGCGGCCCGTCCGCTTCGCGCGGCGGCACTAACATAATCGAGAAACAGAACGCAAAACACAGAACCCAAGCCCGCAACCCTCGCGCCCAATGCAAAGAACAACGAAAAGAGAATTAGGGGCGTCTTCCATCTGGTGTTCCACTTTTCAACAGCCGGCGGCACCGACGCCGATGTATGTACGTGCAGTAGAATGGGGGAATTGGAGAAGGAGAAAAGAGCAAGGAAAACGAGATGTTTCGTGGTGTGAATGTCAGTTGGTGTGCGTGTGTAAAGTCTGTTGCCCTGATCCAGCCCCGTCCTTCTATCCAGGTCATTAGAGAGGAAAAAAACAACAACAAGGAAACCCGCCGTATGGACAAAAGAACGATGGTCGCACTAAGGAGATTTTTTCGATCGTGGGCCGAGCGTGTGACGCGTGCGCGAGCAGATCGCCCTCGGCTTGCTGCCAATTAAAGTCATATTGTTGCTGTTTGTGTCTTGTGTTGTTGTGTCGTCGGGGGCAGATCAACCGGACGTCCCTCAAGCAGAATTGCGCCAACATACTCCAAGTCGAATGCCGCGTGTTTTAATCGAACCAGAACCCCCTCGACAGCTCAGCGCACCCCGATCTGAGGCCGCGGGCCCAGACTGCTCTGGCTGCTGGCCGCCGAGGTTTCAGAATCTACAAGAGCGCTGGCGCCGCTATCACCACTCTCCGCGCTAGCGCTCGCACTTCCAGTCAGACTGCGCACTTGAGGGCCTCTCTTGGACTGAGGGTTGCTCACCCCTACGTGTTGCTCAACCTGCTGCGGTGCCACTGCGTTGCCGTGGCCCGGCGGGTGCCGCGGGACCGGTTGCCTCATACCTGGCGGGGATGGCCTGCCGTTGGGTTGTCCGTTAGCGTACGGAGGATAACCGCCGGGAGGGGACGGCCGGCCGCGGCCAGGGCTTAGGGGATTACCAGGTGACTGGCTTGCCCTGCGTCCCTGAGGGTAAGCTCCATATCCAGGTCCAGCCATTTCATCCAGTCGGGCAGCCGTGAGCGAGTTTGTGCGCGATTGCTGGCCCATGTTCGCGCGGTCGACGTTTCCGTAGCGGTCTGACGAGTAGCCGATGAGGGCGTTGTTCATGATCGAATCATGGAGCCCCGGAACGTCCGACATGAGCCTGGCGCTCGTCCTCTTGTTCATTCCAGGGCGTTGGCCGAACCGGGAAGGACCCCGGCCGTTCGAGATCGGCGGACCGCCCATCTCCGGGTTCTTGCGCAGCTGCTGAGCGCTAGGAGCCTTCCTGGTACGGCGTGACGTGACGCTCATCATGTCGAAGTTGTCGGGGTCGATCATGGGGGGTCGGGCCGCCATCGGATCGAAGAAATCGCCGTCGTCTTCCTCGTCAAAATCACCGGCGTGCGAAGCCGGAGGCATCGGCCGTCTCGGTCCCGCAGCCGTGCGCATCTGGTATTCTCTTTCCCTCAAAGCAAGCTCCTTCTGACGCAGAGCGAGTTCTCTTTCCCTCAACGCAAGATCGCCGTTCGACATGTCAGCTCCGGGGTAGGGTCCGCCATTCACCATGCCATTACCAGGCAAGTCACCATCTTCAGGGACAGTGTCGTAAAGCATCAAGTGGCTAAACTCCTCGAGGTCGTTGCCCTCGAACGATGCACGACGCTGCATCGGGGGACCACCGGGTCCCTGGGGTCCGTAGCCGTTGCCCATGGGAGGAGGGCCCCGCGGCGGGTAGCCATTAGGAGGCGGGGGCCCCCTCCTCATCATCGGTGGAGCACCACCGGTCATAGAAGGAGCTCTGCTTCCAGGACGGCTGCCCTTCATCGGAGGGCCATTCATGCCGTTCATGCCGTTGGGGGGGCCCCTGGGCATCGGAGCAGAAGACATCCTTGGTGGATGACCACCGGTTTGTTGTGGAGAGACGGGAGCTGCAGGCTTCTGCTGGTTGACGATGTTGGTATGGTGAAGCATGGCGTACAATGTCTCGATCCGAGGGACGGGAACGTTGACTTCCTGGGCGAGCTTCATGGGCGAGCCTAAATACGTTTCCACCTCCATCGGGCGCTTTGCGGCAAAGTCCTGATACATGGTACTGTTCGCCTCCTGAGGACGGGTCATCGCTTCGATAGTCTTGTCCTTAAAGTCGGAGCCGAATTGACAACCCTGCGCGGTTGCGATTTGTAGGAGCTCGTCTATGACCCCTGAGATGACCGAGCGTACGCCCACTTTCTCAATCAGCTCCCCGTGGTTGGCCGTTTCAAAAAGCACGCTTGTCGGATGGAAAGCAATATTTCTGCGCCGAATTAGAACTGACAATTCCACATCTAGACGCGTCGTCCTTACCCAATCATCCGCTCGTACTGCTGTTGCCGGATGTTCGGCGAAACCCTGCAGTCGACCTGGCCGGAGCCCAAAGTCATCGCCAACGCATCCGCCATGTCGGATTGGATCGAAGCAGGTATCGACGGATTTTCGCTGGCCGGGCCGACCCAGATCTCCGTGGATCCCGTGTGCTCGAACTCGCTCGCACCAAGCTGCTGCAGCTCCGCACCCGACACAAGCGACAGAACGACATTCGTGGGAAAGCGCTGCTCCAGGTACGACTCGACGCCCAGGGAATGTGTTGTGTTGATCAGGATGCATGTGTGCTGGGGCGACACGACAGACTCAATGACGGAGGCGATGTCGTAGACGTCGGGCAGGGCCTTGACGCAGAGGAAGACGTAGTCAAAGGGTGCTTTCGAGCTGCCTGCGGCCTCTTCGGGGGAGCGTACGACTGTGTTCGCGTCAGCTACAGGGATCCCGGTGTAGGCGGTGACTGAAACATGTTTGGTCGGGACGTACCTGCACGCGGCTTGAAACGTTCATTGCCGTACAATTTGGACCTGAAGAAAAACGCTGTGAGCTCGGCGGACGGCCTCGTGCTGTGGGCGAGGAGCTTGCCACGTACTTCATCGAAATGCCATATTGTGCCACATGCTCGAAACCTGATTTCCATACCAATGTGACATCGCAGGAGTTTGTGGCCTGGAGACGCCAGGAGAGGAAGGCCGACACGGCATTGCCGCCAACTGAGGTGGAAAGTCAGCGTGACATTGTCGCTGAGGAGCAGCGTGCACGGCGAAGCGAGGACGCAATCGCAGGAAGCTCGCGGAAGCGGCGGGCGGGTGCGAGAAAAAAAAGTGGGAGCTGGAGCTGGGCCCGCGGCATCTCACGTACCGGACAAAATCCTCAGGCGAGGTGTTGCGGGAGCCATGGTGGGAGGGTGCTGGCTTGGTTGTGTTGGCCTGGGATGACAGGCAGGTTAGGGGACGGGTGCCAGCGGGTTGGCAAGCGTATCGACGGCCGCGAAGCCAGGCCGGGCGCTCGCAGTTTCGCTTCGAGTAATTAAGGAATTAACGGCTTTAGGCGGGATCAGAACGAGCGGAAGCCTAGGCAGGCGGTGCGGGCGGCGGGCATGTAGCGGGAGGAAGGGAGAGGAAGAGAGCGTGTCGGGTGTTGTGTGTGGTGGTGGAGGTGGAGGTGCAGCGCGGCAGAGTGATTAGACTATCGGACGTCGGACGAGGAAAGATCTCTCAACGGTCGCTCGCGGACGACGCCAGCGCAGCGGATGCTGATGCGGAAGCTCCCACCAGCCAGGCCGCGCAGGACGGGCAGCCACAGTCAAGAGTCTAGGCAGAGAACGGTGCTGTGCCGTGCGGGAGCCGGTGCCACAGAAGCTGCGACGGAGGATGGAGCGAGCGCGCGGTGATCGTGAGCAGCGCGAGTGATGTGCAGGCGCAGGAGTCGGGGAGGCTTCGCGGCGGAAGAGCGCGGGCAGGGGCGCGCTTCTGTCGCCGAGCTCCCAGTGGACGTCGTGCTGCGGCCTTGCTGCTGCACCTGCCTCCAAGCGAAATAATTGCCTTGCCCGCGCCCGCTCCTGGCGCCGTTATAAAACGCACGATCTGCCCGACGTGCCACGGCCGCGAAGCGTTTTCGCCGCACGCCGTTGCTGCTTCCCTGCTGCATTAACCCGGCCTCTCCTTCGACGTGCGTGGCCGACAGCATTAGTCGCGCGCGCGCCGCCGCGATAACCTCCACTTCGCCGGGCTCCCGGGCGCGGCCTGCGCGTGGCCCGGGCCGAGTCATGAGGCAATCGCAGCAGCGGGCATTCATTCAGCACGCACGCACGCGCGAAGCGCATCCGCCAGCATGCCTTCCGGTCGCACGGCCGTATCGCACAGCTAGCTATCGCGCTGCATGCCTGCGCCGCAGTCCGCATGCGCCAAGGCCGACGACGCCAACTGCATCATTGCTGGAGCGTGCGCCGCCAATCCGGGCCTGCGCAGCAGCGCGGATGCCGGTTGCGGTAAGGCCGCTCATCATAACGACGGCGGTTGATTAACGAGATTAGACGCTGACACCAGCGACGGCCTCTCCAGCTGTGCCGGCGGTCTGCCAGGCAGACAACGGCACTTTTGGGGAGCTGCCGCCCGCCCCCCCTTTTGCTAGCCAGATCTCGATCTCACGGCGTTTCGAAATTTCCAAGTTTCGCTGCTAAACCCGCCACCGCAGGCAATGCTAGACGCCAGCCTCCACTGGCGGCGCGGGCGCCTCCCCTAGCCTGCCTCTCCCGCTCCAACGTCCGACGTTGGCCGACTAGCCCTCCTGTTTCAGCCTGAGCGTTGCGCAAGGCGGCGCACGCGCGCAGCAGGGAAGCTGGGGGGCGCTGGCAGGTCAAGCTCTCGCCTGATGTTGATGCCCCAGGAGCCGGCCAAGCGGCAGGGGGCCGCAAGAATAGAACAGCAACGCACATCGCCATGCGCCACACTGCTGCTTCGAGGAGGCCGTCTATTTTGTTTCAAGATCGGCACAACGGGGGCCTGACTCGCCGCCGCCCAAGCTGTTCGGCCGCGATCTGCTCCGAGGCGCCGCGGGCTGCCTCAGTGCCTGTGACATTTCAATTGGCGCGGTCCTGGGCTTGATCGGCCTCGGGGGTGGCTTGCCAGCTAAGCATCCCGGAGCAGCTGGCAGGCGAGCGGCTCAAGCAATAGCGTCGACAATATGATTCCGGCCCTGGATGCGTAGGATCATCGCACGCGGCGGCAGTTCCCATCCCATGGATATTGGCGCGCAATGCGCATCCCAAGGATATGTGCACGTCCTCAGCCCAGGACACCGCCCTGCGGAGATGCGTGCGCAAGCTTTAGCGGCCTGTCGTCAACCCAATCGTCACGCCGTCGTCATGGCCGTCGATGTTGTGGGCGACGCGCAGCTCAAGCCAGCACCAACGCCGCGAGGGCCCCCGGCGAGGATGCCAATTTTGCAGGTCCCCAGTTCTTTTTTATTGCCGGACGCCTGCCCCCCGAGACGACGACGCGAGTGCGAGACATGCACAATATGCGGTCGGTCGGCTTTCCCCTCAGTCGTGCCAAAGGTGCCTGACATTAGGAGCAGCCTCCGCTGCGGCCGGCGAATGCCCGTCCGTCCGCTATGACGGTGGTGGAACGCTGTTCATATGAAAGGGTCCCGACCGGACGCCTTTGCATTTCTGCACGTTTACCCTACTACGTCTCGGATGCCGCCTGCCTCGCGAACGTCTGTGGAAGCTGCACTTGTGCCTATCCGGCGGATTCCATCGCCGGGACGCTCCCGCGCTGCGTCTTCGCGGCGATCGCACAATCACCAGAAAACGAATACGGGCCCCTCAATAATAACCTTGCCCTATCTTCAAACCTCAAGGCCTCCACATCCGTACCTGACCACAGGCCCTAATCGCCGGCCGCCAAGCAATCGAGTCAAAAGCTAAAATAAAGATCAATGACTTTTCCGGCCGCCGGCCCCAACAGATGGGGAGTGTGCTCTGAGACAACACGGAGCCCTATCCGCAGGTTTGGGAAAAGAAATAGAAGGGAAAGCACGCCGGTCTCAGCTCTCGCGACCCGCAAGAGTGTTTCCATCCCGCCTGTCTGCAGGGCGGCCCGCCCGAATGTGTGATCGCCAGAGACAGCGGAAATTCCAGTCTTTGTGCGCCAATCCAACATACCTATCTATTGTTCTTCTAGAACTGCATGTCTCTCACATGTTGCCCGCCAAGCGGCGCCTCACCACCGTATATGCCTATCTCGTCGGATAGGTACAAGTAGGTACCTGGATCATACGACATGCAGTCATTGCAGAAGGAACCAAATAGAGTGCGAAGGAGCGGTCGCAACCGTTGACTTCCGCTCGCGTGCTCTACCGCCGCCACCGCGCATCCCGCGCACGCACGATGTGACCGGGATGCCCGCTCGGGCGCAACCTGCTTCTAAACCTGACCGGGGGGCATGGAAAAACAAGATTGAACCTGGGCTGGCTAGCTCTCTTTTTTGCTTGCAGATGGTTATCTTTCTTTCCCATCCAATTTTCGGGATTCCAGCCACTCAGCTGCCGCTGCCACCTACTCGGAGAACGCGTCTCCCGCTGATCCGTCCCGGAGCAACGCGATCCCGCGCTCGCGTCCCGCGCTTTGTTTTGAAGTAGTAGGCACCTAGTAGGTGGTGAAAGCCTGGTCGGGGACCTGCTGCGCCCAAGCTAGTCAGCCTCCCTCCCTTCTTCCCCTCCCTCGCCCCTCCATTTCCGGCCAAGATAAAGGAAATTCCGACGGGCTGGGCTTGGGCTCGTAGCGAATAAGAAAGCGAGATGAGAAACAAGTGCTTACCAAAAATCGCCCAATCACATGTTTTCCGTGGCCGCCCGTTCGTCTTTTCCGGGCCCTTGGTTGTCCTGAACGTTACTATCTGTGAAAGGCATGTGTGGTATCTCATCACCCCGCTCTCATATCCCTTCATCAGATCGGTTACATCATCGTTTGGATTGGAGGGGTTTAGCGGGGGTCCGGCCGAACGCTCGAGCAAAGACGAGAGCGAGAAGGAGAAGCAAAAAAACTACATAAAAATTGGACCTCATCTACGAGCTAGTATTCGCAAGCGCGATCCTTAGTGTGTGTTCATGAATTTTAGACCCACCCATGGAAGGATCCTAACAAAGGACGAGACTTCCCTGCAATCTCCCCCAGTCATTATTGATGCCAAAGTCGATCTTCTTTCTATCAAAAGCTCAATGAAAAACAGAGCTAGGGTGGAGAAAAAGCAATTGATGAGAAGGACCTGGAACACCGAGTCCCATTTTTCATGCATTGGTTGGCTTCGGATAGATAGCCTAAACCAGGAATAGATGCAGATGACAGCTCTCGATAAATTAATAGAAAGGCTGATTATCGACCAACATTCGTACCATGAGTCTTGCATTTCATCGGTGAAGTAGAGTACAGCAGCAAGGGAGCATCAGCCCATCCGAATTCCTGACGCCTAAAGCTTTTCTTAGGCAGCATGCTCTGCCCCCATAATCATGTGCAACAACATCAAAACAACGCTCGAGGATTCTTCCGTGAGCGCTCGCATTCTTGACCAATTTGGTAATACTATCTGAAGCCCACAAATCTCCCTTAGTTGGCCATGTAGGTGCTAGCGTCAATGCCACCCTCGGGGAACTCACTGCATCTAAAGTTAGTAGGTCTCACACGAGGCGGTTATGGCCGGTAACTTACGGAAGGGGAACCTCGAATCTCTTCTCAACCTCCTTGAGGACTTGCTCATCCTGCTCGCTGCTGACGAACGAGATACTGAGACCCTTGGTACCGAAACGACCGGCACGTCCGACACGGTGGAGGTACGAGTCGGCATCGCCGGGAAGGTCGTAGTTGATGGCCAGGTTGATACGCTCGATATCGATACCACGACCGAAGACATCCGTGGCAACACAGATGCGCTTGTTGAACTCCTTGAACTCCTTGTAGCGCTTGATACTGCACGGAAGTCAGTGGCCGTTCGTCTAACCTGTGTCTTCTAGTTTACGTACCGCTCCTCCTGAGAAACGCCGGAATGGACAGCGATGGAGGGGAAGTTGCACTCGCGCAGAAGCCTGTCCAGCTCGGTCGCACGGACGGTGCTCTTCACGAAAATAATGACCTGGTTGAACTCGAGGTTGTCGAGCAGGTCGTTCAGCTTGCGGTTCTTCTCGGCCTCGCTCAGCTTGATGTAGTACTGCTGCAGACCGTGCAGAGTGAGCTTGGACTCGTCGTCGACGTAGATCTCAAGCGGGTTGCGCATGAACTTCTTGCAGATCGGGCGAGTCTCCTTGGCGAGGGTGGCGCTGAACATCATCACCTGCTTGGTGGTGGGAGTGGCGCGGAAAATCTCCTGGACGTCACGGCGCATGTCTATAAAATTTCAGTTAGTACCTTGCTCCTGCTGACGATTGAAGGAATGGATGTGCATACCAATCTGGTCAAGCATCTTGTCGCACTCATCGAGGACGAACATCTTGATACCGCCAAGACGAAGCTTCTTCTCGCGCACAAGAGCGTTCAATCTGCCGGGAGTACCGACAATGATGTGCGGGTGGGTGTCCTTGTTCGAGAGAATCTCGATATCCTTCTGCATGGGAGTACCACCGTAGAAGACGGAGGTCTTGACATCGGGCAAGTACTTGCTGAAGCGGGCATACTCGTTCTTGATCTGGTAGGCCAGCTCACGAGTGTGGCAGAGAACCAGAACAGCAGTCTCGCCAGCAATGGGCTCGAGCTGCTGCAGGGTGGCAAGGACGAACACGGCCGTCTTACCGAGACCAGACTTTGCCTGGCAGAGGATGTCGGAACCAATGATGGCTTGGGGAATGCAAATTTGCTGGACTGTTGCGGAGAACCGACGATGTTAGAGACTTCGTCCAAAGAGTGGTAACGATAAGAAGCAATCGAGCGTCGCGTCCGTCCATCTCGCAAAGAATAACCGTGCGAAGAACAGGTAAAGATCAACCACATCGAGAACGCCGTCTTCGTCCGCACATGGGCACGGAGAACAAGATCTCGGGAATCCCGAGAGACTGGAAAGGCAGGTTCTGACTACTTCAGGTGGCCAATCCAGTCATAGCGCAAAGCCTTCGCGTACAGGTCTTGTGTTTATAGGCAGCCGCCGGCCTGTGCGATCCATCCAGAGACGTTTTGACTTGTGCGCGCGTTTCCATCGATTGAGCCCGAGGCCGGCTGGTTTCGCAGTCGCTTGGTTTGCGGAGATGGACGGACGCTTCTTGAAGGACGGAGGAGCTTGAGGGGAAAGGTTAAAACTGACCCTCCGAAGGATGTTCGAAACCGCAGTCGGTGATGGCACGCAGAAGCTCCTGCTTGAGGAGGAAATCCCGGAAACCGGTGGAGTGGATGCCGACGTAGCTGCCCTTCTTTTCGCCGGTCACACTCAGGTCGCCCTTCTTCTGTTCACCGTTGGCGGCCGCGCCAGTCGCGCCGGTGGCGACGGCATCGGTCTGGTTGAGCTCCTCGTCGGAGTAGTCGATCAGGTCCTCCTCGTGAGACATTGTGACGGCGGCTGCAAGCGAGTAGGCGTGTGTAGAGTCGCGTTGAGGTGGTCGAAGACGCGACTTTGGACGTGTCCGGTGATGTCAGTGGTGTGGAGCCTTGTTGCGCGAGGCTGTCGTCGAAAAGGCCGCAAGGTCGGGATTTCGCGATCGCAAGGTGCAGCAACCGAGGAATTCTCCTGCGCGACTGCCGCGAGCTGATGAGGGAAAGTGGTGGAGGTGGTTGTTTGGATGATGGAGATGGACGGGCGGGCGAGGCTGCTTTGTCGAACGCCGCAAGCTGAAAACGTCTGGCGATCCAAGCTCCTCACGTGACCGCGCCTCCAGCAAATAATTTTGCCGCCCGCCTCGCTTCTTTGTACGCCAACTCGACGCGCCGTGCCGCTCGCACTCCCTCGCAAGCAAACAACCTTGCATATCCGCCCGCCATCATGGCCAAGGGCGACGCGTCAAAGCCTAAGCCGGTACCCAACAAGCACCTGCATTCGCGCATCTCCTATCTCTACCAAGCCGCCACCTACCTGGCCAACCAGCACGCCAAGCCGGCGGACAATGGTAACACTGAGGAAATGGACATCGACGCCAAAGCGGGAGGCCGCCCTGTGACTCAGCACGAAGAGCCTACCCAGAACGCCTTCCCACCAGGTCTGCCTTTCTACTATGCGTCTCACCTCCAATCTGTCTCTATGAAGACTCAAATTCGGCTCTCACAAAACGTCAAGCATTCCATTTGTAAACGCTGCAGTGCTATTCTGATCCCTGGGAGCACCTCCTCGAGCAAGATTGAGAACCTGAGTCGAGGGGGCAAGAAGCCCTGGGCTGATGTACTCGTCGTGGAGTGCAACGTCTGCAAGGCACAGAAGCGCTTCCCTGTTGGAGCTAAGCGGCAACTCAGGAAGGGCGAACGAGCGAAAGTTGAGAAAGCAAAGCCATCAAGCACGAGTACGGGCAAGAAAGTTACAGCAGCAGCGGGTATGGAGGACAGAACATCAATTACGCCACTTGTGGGAGAAGTCAGCCTGGGTACGCCAAAGTGAGGCATCACAAAGCTCCTTGCCACCAGAACAATCTTAGGACTGCCACGTTCTTTCGTAGACGCCAACCCAGGAACCCCAGCCGACAACCTTGCCTTTGATAGCCTCTGCGATCTTCGTTTTGGTGACCTGCGATCCCAAGCTCTGGAGGTCGAGAGGCTCGCTCAACGCAACAAGCTGGTAGATATACCGATGCGGACCGTGACCAACAAGCGGTCTTGGGCCCAGGTAATGCCTCTTCCTGATATTAGGTACCCAACGAAAGCCAGCCTTCAAGCCTCCTTGTACGCTCCCATCAACAGGCTGGGTGTCTTTATGTGTGACCTGGGTAGTCTCTGCTGGGATAGCGTAGAAGACGCAATGGGCGATGGGGAACGGAAGCGGTGCATCTACATCTTCACAAAGGAGGATGTATTCTTTGACGTCCAGTTGAGGGGGCTTTGTCCATGTGAGGTGTGGGAACTCGTCTTTGCCATCTTGGGTGAGGTCGACGAGCATCTGCGAACCTGAAGGGCCGCACTGCGGGCATTCGAGCGTAATGTTGGGCTCCGGAAGAGCGGCGAACGCAGGCGACTTGATGAAGAGTCCTGCATCATGGGCCCTGAGGCTGTAGAGCAGCTTGGACAGGTAGTATTCAATATATTGCCAAATGCTCATGGTGAATGTGAGGATGTTTTCGTGAATGCGGTTGCTTTGTCGCTGAATTTCGGTTCCGATTCGTCCTTATCGTCTGCGCTCGGAGAGACTGCTGTAGAGGGCAATTTGGAGTGGTGTTGTGAAGCGCTATCAATTGTAGCTGTGCCCAAATTGTGGAAGTTAGCGGAGTAAAAGGTACGGCTGAGCGGATCTATCCTTACCAGAAACCCAAAAGGGCAAAAACGCGAGTTGCAATGTTCTGTAGCAAATGCAGTGGAAGGGCAGGAGCTCTTATTAAATCCTTGATGCCTTTTTTCTCTGGTCAATCAGCACTAAGCGCTGGAAGGTATGACGAAAAACGCAGCACTCGAGCCCTCGCGCAGCGACAGCGTTATGTCCGACCGTTCGGGGGCGAGAAGTTGATGTCTGGGGCCGAAGCAGGAGCGGAGCTGAGCCTTCCCCGCTCATTGGTGTAATTATTTGAATACGAAACCGAGGGCGCTGAGTATAGCAACGGAGGATGGGCATTTACAGCATCCTCCAGACATAATGGGCAACTTACATGTATGAAATGCACTCGAGCAATAGCTTCAAGTAGCCATGACTTGTGTGTTGCACATTAATATTTAGATAGATGCTTCAAGTGTCTGTCTTCTATTGACTTCGCGATTGATGACTTCGCTTAAAAATACAGAGAATTGAAGCCCTGAACAAGCTTAGCGTATTTATTAGGCCGGATCAAGACTGGCGCGTGGACGGGATCGGAGCCAGGTCGGACGCTCCGTCCCCGTTCTAACTCAAACTCCAAACTCCGACGACTATGAGTCCACAATGACAAAAGCGCGCCTCCTTTTAAAAGAGATTTTTGGCCGCCACTGCGCCAAGATGGAACACCTCAGCCTCACCCGCAGCCCGCTGAGCTTGTGCACGAATGATGGCTACTCATGACCGTCCGGGCCTATCAGTTCCTATCGAAGACCGGACCGAATCTCGAGGTCGGGATGAAGACACCATCCAAGCCGCCGATAAACCTGAAGCTGCAGAAACGCACACGCCGGCTGGAAACCACGAGGTCAGCGATGCCAGAAAGGATACAGACACAACAACGGATGTCGAGGCGGCAGCAGCGGAGCCTCCAAAGCCACCAATTCATTCGGTATTTTCCAAGAAGACCAAGGTTCTCATCATCACCATGACTACCATGGCGAGCTTCTTCTCTCCCGTTTCCGGTCAGATTTACTTACCTGCATTGAACACGCTGGCCAAGGAATTCCACGTCTCGCTCGCCGCCATTAACTTCACGGTCACGAGTTACATGATCCTACAAGGCATTGCACCCATGTTCTTCGGCGACCTAGCAGATCAAGTAGGCAGACGCCCAACCTACATTTGCTGCTTCACCATCTTCTTCTTCGCAAACCTGGGCCTGGCGTTACAGCGCGACTACGCGGCGCTGCTAGTGCTCCGGGCCATGCAAAGCAGTGGCAGCAGCGGCGTCATCGCCCTGGGGAACGGCGTCATATCCGACGTGACGACCAGCGCGGAACGCGGCTCCTACGTAGCCTGGGTACAGATGGGTACCCAGTTGGGGCCTGCTCTTGGTCCTATCCTCGGCGGCATCCTCGCGCAATTCCTTGGGTGGCCATCCATCTTCTGGTTTCTTCTCATCAGCGGCGGCATATACCTGATCCTCTACATCATTCTGATCCCGGAGACAAGCAGAAACGTTGTCGGCGACGGCTCGCTTCCACCGCAAGGCTGGAACAAGTCCCTGCTCAACATCATGGCAGAGCGTAGGCGTAAGAAAAACGGACTCGAGCGCACCGTCTCGCGGCAGGCGAAGCATGAGGAGAGCAAGCGGCTGGCGGAACAGCGGCATTTGCGCTTCCCGAACCCACTACAGGCGTTGCGAATCGTTGTTGAAAAGGACGTGTCTCTGGTTCTCCTGGCGCTGTCTATAGCCATGACGGGTTTCTTCTGCATGATCGTGCCCATGCCCGGCATCTTCGCCGACACGTATGGCTTCAACGACCTCCAGATCGGCCTCTGCTACATGTAAGTGCTCGGAAGGAAAACAAACCTTCCAATCCTGGACTTTACACCTTCTGACCTGTATCCAGACCTTTCTCAGCGGGTGCTATGCTCGGCAGTCTTGCATGCGGTCGCTTCCTCGATCGCAACTTCCGTCGTGTCGCCGCCAAACACGGCATCACCGTCGACCGCAAGCGCGCCAGTAGCATGCGCAATTTTCCCATTGAGCGCGCTCGGCTCGAGATCATCTGGGTTCCGCTAGTTATCGGCAGTTCATCGACACTCGTATGGGGCTGGGTACGTCTTCCCGCGTCCTTTTCCCTCCTCTTCACCCCAGCGCTTCTCTCACCCAATTTCCTCCTTCCGAATCACCAAACCACCTCACTTCTCCTCCTCCCAACCAAACCCCCTCTTCCCACCCACCCATCCATCCACCCTCACTAACCCCGCAACCCCCCGCGCATCACAGGTCCTCCGCGCGCAAACCTCCCTCGCCGCCCCGCTCGTCATCCTCTTCGTCGGCGGCGCGATGCTGTCGGGCACCATGTCGATGCTGATCACGCTGCTGGTCGACCTGTACCCGCAGCGCGCGAGCACGGCCATGGCAGGGCTGAACCTGTGCCGCTGCAGCATGAGCGCGGCCGGCACAGCCTCCGTCGAGTACATCATCGCCGCGTGGGGGCTCGGCTGGACGTACACTTTCATCGGCGGGCTGATGCTGGTGCTGAGCGTGCCGGCGCTGGCGGTCGTCGTGTGGAGGGGCCCCGTGTGGCGGGAGGAGAGGCATGTGAGGTTGGAGAGGAGGGAGGAGGAGAAAAAGAAGAAGAAGAGGAGGAAGATGGAGGAGCAGCAGAGGGGGAGGGCGGAGGGGGGAGAGGAGCAGGTGCGGGAGGGTGAGGATAAAAGTGATAGTAAGGCGGTGTCGGCGGCGGAGGAGGAGGAGGAGAAGGAGAATGAGGTGAGACTGCAGAATGGCGGCGGTGCCCAGCCTGATAAACGAGAATAAGATTTGGTTCGGGACAATGTGGTGCGGTCTTTTATATCTTATATGAGGTCCGTTCGCTTAGTATTGTGGCAGGGGACAACAACACGAGATAAGTAGTTTATATTCAGGATAGCGTCGAGAAAGAAAACCAAATTTCTGGGTCACCTCCTTGGCGATGTTCGTCATTCTGACCTGCAAGTGCTTGCAGAGGTGAGCGGGCCATCTAGCCCACTCAGTAGTAGTGCGGGGTACTCGACATCATCGTCCTTCAAACTTCTCACAAGACAATCTTTCCCCAGCAGAGCACCGGCGTTTCGGCCGATCTCTTGACGCATCCGGCGCGCAGAAGCGAAGTGATGGTGGTACGAAATGTCGGGTGAATACGAACGACACGAACGACACACCCCTGTTAGATGCGAACCATGTGGGGGTGGTCGATCAGCGAAGCTCGTCATCCCTTCAAACGGCGGCGGGAGATCAGCGAGGCGCGCGCTCCCAGCAGACGGGAACCTTTTTTTGTTTTTGCGGGTCGTGCAATTTCGATGCTGCCCGTTCTATGGTGCCCGCGGGGCTGGTGTTTTGTGGCTGGTGAGAATTTTGCTAAAAACAGCAATTCCCCATGCGCATCCTTTCGTGGAAGGCTGGGGCAGTCAGTAGTGGACTTTTCTATCCATAATACAAAGATATAATTAGATATCTGAATTCAGCGGGTGGTTGGTCGCAAACGAAGTTCGCTGCTTTCTTTTGTTGAACCAAAAAGCAAAAAAGAAACCGCTGAGGATCGTCACGCCTTTCCACAGCCCGCAAGCCCTTCTCCCAACCCAGTGCAGGGACCGAAGTATGACACTGAGCTAGAATCGAACCCTTGAACTGCTTCAGACGTTCACCTGAACGGGAAACCCACAGATCACAAACCCTCGGGTTTTACACCTTTAAGGTCCTGGTGGCAAGGCATAGTGCCGTAGCATGCTCCCTACACTAACCATCTGTAATTGGAGCGCTTGCTTCCACGGTTTATATACTGAAGCATCGGGTACTGCGTCCGGTTGGGCTTAGCCTTGGTAATTGAACCATTCCCCAAATCTCACCTTCTGGTGCAAGTTGTGGCAGCTGCTGGATATCCCGCGTTCACCGCGGCTACGTTGGTATGATATCGGTTCACTTAGTATTGCAACGAAGTTCAGAGCAATTGAGGCTCTTATCTGGATGAGTCTGCTCACATATATGTTTTGTCTTTATGTCCGGATGGTCGGTGCAACTGCCCGTCCTCTGTTGCGATACTAAGAAACCCGGCCTCGTATGTCCAGTACCTTCACTCTTCCAAACCTTGCCACGGCAGCGCTAAGGGGACCGTTGCCTGGGATGGGCGCGATAGCCCAAGATGGAGGAACGCTGTTAATGGCTACGATGAAGATCACCGTCGTCATTGTTGATGACTCCAGTCCAAGATTTGTAAAAATCTCGCACTTCACCCGATATGGTCACTTGCGCGGAATCCCCACTGAACGCCTCAGTATTGTTCTTCACCCATCTGAGTTGGCGGAATAGTCACGAATTTGTGCTCCCGTCATTTTGCAGCTCTTCTCCAGATAGGAACCCCTCGTCACCTACACGGTAATTCATGGCCATCCAAACAAAACTCTCGCCTATTTCGATAGATTTCAAGATGATGATGGGGTAGCGTCATAAGCCTTGAGTCTGTGGAAGTCAAGATTTAGTCAACACGATCGGCACAGCCGGGTTGAAAAACGCATGTCCCCAAAACTGAGATGCTCTGGTTAGAGACAAGGTAGCCAAAGTGAGGCGAAGAATTTCCCGGGCATGATTAGTGAAGATTGGGAACTTGACGGGATGATATCTGGCCATTGCGGATAGGAGAGTTTACTCTGGAGTACGAGATAACTGACATCTTCTTGCGGAAACCCGAAAGCCGATTGGATATTTTTTTTGTTTGACACCGACATCAGCTGGAAGAGCGCTGTAATTTGACTCTGCTAAAAAGTGAGTTGTTCAGTGTGTTTGTTGTTGATGTTGAAAATGCTCCTGATGCTCGGAATATTGGGCATCTGGTCATTAGCAATGCTTGAGGGAATCGTGGTTTGATGGGCAGAGGAAAGATGTTGTGTGTGCGGCGAATATTTGGGTACCGGGCGCAATACAGAGCTCCGCCACCGCAATATCAAAGAAAAATATGTCGAGATTTGCACTCCTTGCGTTTGGCCATGTCTGCATTAAGTTCGTTCTCTGATTGAGCTGTAAACAGACGAAAGGCCACAGGGGTTCAAATGTTGTTAGGCGTGGGCATCGGAGAGGTAGAAGTTGGTTAATTCGAGTACGCAATATGAGTGACAGGCCGATGCTGTACCAATTTGCGAGGAATGAAACTTTGGTGAAGAGTGAGAGCTGATGGATGTAACAGCGAGTAGGCGGGGAGTCGGTTGGGGAAATCGCAAAGGGCAAGGATCGGCGTGGCTGCACCCTAGCCTCATTTCAATCACATCATCGCACCCCCGGATGCTGCAATCATCACCCACCACACCTCGAATTCCAGATGCCGACACCCGCGACGCGTAATTCATTTCGCTCTCGACAGATTGTGGTCTTCCCGGCTTTGCTAACGCCTATGCAAAGTACGCGTCGGGTCGAGTTTGAACTTGCCTACATCCTTTGGCTTTGCAACACTTGAGAACTGGGCATATTTCACACGCTGTTTGTTTCCATCTGACTCGCCAATCCGAAACTTATGTGCCGTGGCGCATCCATCAAGCCAAGGAAAAGGCTTCGGCTCAAGCTCGCCATGCCGACCTGAGAACTTGTTCAAGCATTCTTGGGGTGCTTGTACTGAAGTGCTTCTGCTTGCTACTGCAAATCCCAGTTCTTTGCCTGACTCTTAATGCTCATGAGAATCTCTGAGCTCTAACAGCATCCGCTTTAACGCGTGGATCATCGGCGACGAGCGTTATGCCTGCGCGGCTCCATAACGGAGCTTGCCTTATCGCGAGCACCAGCCCTGAGGAACTGCCCCGTGTTTTGCCTCTTTCACGGAGCACGCCATCGGAAAGGCCCACAATTGCCGTCCTTCCCTTGAGATGTCCACGCGGTGAAGCCAAAATCCGACCTTGGCATACCAAAATGCCGACGGATCATACGTGCGCATCCTCTAGCTGCGAAAAAATGGCTGTCAGGTACCCACAACCGCCCGGATTTGCGTCGACTCTGATTTTGTATTTGAACCAGAACTTGACTCCGTTCAGGCATTCAGCAGAATTAGCCGCTCCGGTTCTCAACTTCCATCTCCTTCCCTGGCAGGTCGTCGGCGTGCTCGCGTCACTGCCTTCGCTTGTTACCGGCCCGCATTGTCTTGGTTGCTGCACTGTCGGCCTTGACTCCTCATCTGCCTCTTATCGCCATTTTGGCTTCCGATTCGCAATACGCTTGCAGCATGGAGTCCAAGATCCCGGATGTCGAGGAAAACCCCTCACGCTTCTACAACAGCGAGAAGCCTACTGGCAGCGACAGCTATGCCTCCTCGGATAGCCAGCCCGATTGGACGGAGGAGGAAGAGAAGAAGTTGGTCCGCAAAATCGATTTGATCCTGATGCCGCTTCTCATTCTCCCGTTCATTGCTCTCCAATTGGACCGGGGTAACATGTCAGTTCCGCCAAGGCTGTTCTTAAACGCCTCATTGTACTGACGAGCTCGCAGGGGTAATGCGGTGACCGACAACTTTATGGTAAGCTTAATGTGAACCTTTCGCGGCTTTGCGGAACTGACAGCCTACTAGGAAGATGTAGGAATAAATCAGGCTCAATACAACGTTGGTCAGCAGCTTCTGTCAGCGGGTATTGTCGTTTTGGAGGTCAGAGAGTCCCCACAATCATCAAGCACGCAATCCCCTCCGGAAGCTAATGCAAGTTGTAGATCCCGTCCAACCTTGTCCTGTATCGCCTCGGCCCACAGATCTGGATAAGCTTCCAGATCTTCGCATGGGGCCTCGTGGCTCTGTTTCAGGCCTTCCAGAAAGGCCTCGGGGCTTACCTAGCTACTAGGCTTCTGCTTGGGTGGGTAAATTGAGTCCTAACGTGTATGTTCCATGCTGACTTGAGGCAGCTTGATGGAAGCTGGCTTCATTCCTGCGTCCCTGTACGCTATCACAACATGGTACAAGACGAAGGAGATGAGCGTTCGTTTCGCCATCTTTTTCTTCGGCAATTATGTTGCACAGGCGGCCTCAGGCTTGATCGCATACGGCGTTCTTCATATGCGTGGAGTAGCTGGCTTGACTGGATGGCAATGGCTGTTCATCGTAAGCCACCTTGGCATACAGACTTTGTTTGGCGGAGAACTGACTCAGTACAGATTGAGGGCTTGTATACCGTCCTGGCCGGTGCAATCTACATGGCATTCTACCCTAAAAGCCGAGACGATCCGGTACCCTTTACTCGCATAACATACTTCAACGAGAGAGAAAGGCACATCATTGCCCAGAGAGTAATCTTGGACGACCCAAGCAAGGTCACCGGGGCCCGGAAGACTATTTCGATGAAGGAGCTGAGATGGGCTGTGAGTCTCGTACTACCATCTTGAAATGGCAATTGCTAACAGGTTATTCAGCTGTCTGATTGGACACTCTACCCTCACTGCCTCCTCACCATTTGTGCACTGGCCCCATCATCCACGTACAGTGGTTATGGACCCAAGCAGATCATCTCTTTTGGGTACGAGAAGCTCCAAAGTAACGCGTTATACTCGATCGGTCTTTGGATCCAGCTATTCACTTCTCTGGGATTCAGTTTTTGGGCGTAAGTGGGACACTGCACACAGATGGTGATATCTAGCTAACGGTGAACAGCGACAAGCTTAAGAAGAGAGGAATCCCGGTTGGCACTGCGCTTGCACTGTGGTGGGGCTTCAACCTTGGTGCATTGGTTGTGCGCTACTCGGACAATCATGGCAAGCGGCTGGCGATGATGATCATGGCCTTGGCCTTCTCCAACATCTGGCGTAAGCAGTACAATCTTCGATTGGCCCCCAAATATCTGACGAAATCTCGCAGATCCCTTGAACAGCTCGTGGCTTGCCATCAATGCTCGATCTCCAGCGGATCGAAGCATCAAAATGGCATGCATCGTCATGGCGGCCAACTGTGCTGGTATTGTCGGGAGCCAAATCTTCCAGCCTTATGACTCTCCCACGTACACTGTCGGCCGCACAGTCAACGTCATTCTGATATCTGTGGCACTCTTCTTCTGCCTGGTCCAGAACGGGGCGTACCGAGTGCTGAATCTTCTCAACAAGAAGAAGATCAAAGCAGGAAAAGCCGAGGAGCATGAGGTGCGAAAGTATATGCTGTGAAGGATAATCTCGTAATGTAGTAATGTAACCCTCTGTTCTACTTCAATCACATGCGTGCGCTGGGACGCATGATTTTTCTTCGACGACGAACGTGCAGCTCGGCAGGTACTTGTACCACCGGGATTCCCGACTCGGATAAGGCTTAGTATCTACCCACGGTTCACTGCCGAGACTTCAGCTAATAATATCCTATCGGCTTTACGAGTCGTGCCAAGGCCAAATTTCACACCGCAAACGCCACCATCTTTGTGACCAATCCTTCCGCCTCTGGATCTTTCTGGCTTGCGTTAACCTGCTCACTACGTCAGCCTCCCAACACCACGCCAGTAGTTAGTGACGGAGTGCGGCTCACTTGGCGGCCGGTGGACGAGCACTGATGCCAAATAAGGCTGTAAAAATAACCCCACGTGCGCGCACTAAATACGATGCACTGGCCACGCGTCACCGAACAGATGCGCCGGAGGTCCGTCCGCAAACTTTACCTCCATGCCACGACACTACTTGAGCTTGTCTCCGCCCCCAAGTCCATAGGGCTATCTATCCGTCTGACGGCCCTGCCGAAGTTAATTTCCCCGTTTTAGGGAACGGTCGAACCAGCCGTTATGCTCCCTTCTTACCAGGGTTCGCAACAGGCGCGGAGCGGCTTACCAAGCGCCCAGGTCAGCACGATGAGAGAGTGCATCTTGGCATATTGTCGTAGATGAACATGAGATCTGGTAGAATCCTCCTTCGTCTTGTATAACGGAAGGGATTGATGATAGTGCGCTCACGCTTACATTCAAACAGACGGCTACATAAGCGATATAGATCAAGAGGCCAGCGCACTTCACACGCAACGAAGCTATACTAGACCTTGATGGGCAGAACGGTGTTTTGATACGCAGGTTCATCAAGCTAAGTAAGCCTAAGCGCAAGCGCGGCGCTTGCTCGATACCAGTCGTGAACCCCCTTATACACGTCGGCAGGTGCTTGAGTCCGTTTGCAGCGTATCTAGCTCCCTAACACGGCAAATGTTGCCTCGATAGTGGCTTCGCGCTGCGGCTTGACACAACCAAGCTCCGGCGCTTCCCTTTCACGTCGAGGCTTGTGACAACGCCCTCACCGATCTAGCCAGCCCTCTCTGCGAGAGGTAGGGCAACAATGGCGCCAGCTGAAGGGCCCATCAGCAGGTGTGCGGTGCGCGCACTGGCCGTGGGGGGTCTTATAAACCGGCCGTGGTCGGCGCATACGAGACGGCTCATTTTATCGTGAAGACCCCCGCTTTGATCCCGCACGTTCGAAAAAATACACCCTCTATCCGGGCTGGATGCGCGTCTCGTATTCGAGGATCATTGATTCTATAGGGGACTTCGTTCCCTATATCCGATAATTTCTCGTGGATCGCGGGCCTTTTCCTTTCTTCTTAAGAAGCGGTGCTGCGTCCTCTCCCGCACTCCTCTTCTCACCGAGCGAAAAGCGCATCCGGCATAATGGTCAACACTCCGTGGAAAAGAACATCAAGTGGATATGGGTGAGTATATATTTCATCCCACCAACTAGAAATATGAACAATAAGAAATAAAACTCCTCACCACGACCACCGCTAACTCCCACCCACAGCGACGAAACCGACGACCACCACCACACCTCGAAGCGCTCCCACCGCGCCGTCCCCTTCATCGAAAACCCATGCGTAGGCGCCGACTACGCCGACGCCGTCTTCTCGCAGCGGCACGAGGCCAACCCGGACGAGCTGTGCTTCGACCTCTTCTTCGTGGCCAACCTGGCGACCTTCACGGCGTACCACACGGTCGACAGCAGCGGGTCGCTGGCGGCGTACGTCGGCTTCTTTGCGATCTTGTGGGCGACGTGGTTCCAGATCACGCTGCACGACGTGCGCTTCGCGCGCGATTCGGTGTATGAGCGCTGCTGCAAGGTGGTGCAGTTTGTCGTGTTTGTCGGCCTCGCGCTGGTGGGGAGCAAGTTCGAGCCGAATGAGAATGTGCGCGAGGGCGGGAGCGGGAATAAGAATTATCAGGTGTTGTGCGTGGTGTTGGTTGCTAGTCGGTGTTTGTTGGCGGTGCAGTATGCGGTTGTGATGGTGGCGGTGGCGCGGAAGAGGTTTTCGAAGCTGTATCTGCCGCTCGGGCTGAATATTGCGGTTTATCTTGTGGCGGCGGCGGTGTTTGGCGCGATGATTCTGGCGTTCAGGCCTGGGGATGCGGGCCGTCCGGGGCTGTATTGGATTTGGTGGGTGGTGCTGTTCTTGGAGGGCGTGGCCACCATCACCATTTCTTGCTTCTGGAGGATGCTGAGCTTCAAGAAGACGCATTTGGTGGAGCGCATGGGGCTGTTGACGCTGATTGTTATTGGCGAGGGAGCCATTGGTGTGACGAAGACGGTTGGCAAGATGATGGGAAAATCTGATATCGATGTGCAAGGGACCTTCCTGGTTGTGTGCATCGTTCTGGTTCTGGTAAGATCATCTATTCACTTCGAGGGGAACGGCTGCTTACTTGACGCAGGTCTTTCTCTTCCTGAATTATTTCGACAACGCGCCCCGCGGCCACTACGGCACCATCCGTCAGCAGATCTGGGCGCTCCTGCACTTCCCATTCCAGCTTGCTGTCGTCGGCGTCGGCGAAGGCAGCCAGCATCTCGCTCTCGCACGGCACATCACCAACTACATGAAGAAATTCGAGTCCAAGATCATCAAGGCCTGCGTCAAAGAGGGGCTGGAAGGCGACAAGCTTGTCAAGAAGCTGGAAGAGGCGGTCAAGTACTACCAGCTGGACAAGAAGCCCGAGTGCTACCGCCAAGTGCTGCAGATCAAAGACTCGATCGCAAAGCTGGGCAACATGACGGGCATCTGCGCCAAATCCTACACCAAGACGTTCCCGTCGAGCACCTGGGACTACGCCTTCCCTTCGGACTTCTCCGACCTGGTGACCGAGGTCGGCAGCGGCGTGACCATGTCGACCGGCATGAAGATCCCGGTGGGCGAGGAGCCATTTGGCGTCCTGCAGCACTCGTGGCAGATCGTCTACATCTACTACTGGGCCGCCCTCCTCGCCATCTTCGGTGCGTTCTTCCCCCCCACCTTTCAAACAATACATCTCCTAACTCAATCCAGCCTGCATCATCGCCTTCCTCCTCCTCACCCGCAACCGCCAATTCCGTATCGACCTCTTCGACGCCACCAGCATCGGCGGGCGCGTCCTCATGGCCTCGCTGTGCCTCCTCTTCGGCTGCCTCGGCATCGCGGGCGCGGGGCACCACGAGAACCGCGACAAACACAACACGACGGCCATCGACCGCGAGGCCATCTACCTCGACTTCCTCGCCTCGGGCTGGGTCGTCCCCACCGGCACCATCATGTTGGGAGTGACGCTCTTCGCCGACCACTGCGCCCGCCACTTCTGCAACTGGCGCCTGCGCCGCCACGGCTACGCCGTCGCGCCTCCGGAAGGAGATGATGATCACGATCATTTGCTGCATCAGGCGGGGATTGAGGGTGGTGCTGGTGGGAGTGCCGGGCATAGTAGGGTGCACAGCGGCATCTCGCAGCATCAGCGCACCAACAGCGCGGGCAGCAACAGCACCGGCAAGCTGATCCTGGCGGGCGAGGTCGAGGACGTCGACGAGGTGCTGGCGAAGCGCCGCGCGCACGTGCGGCAGAGCAGGGCGCTCGGCTTTCGCGAGCAGAGTCCGCCTAGGCCTGCAAATGCGTTATATCTGCTGGGGAACTTCGCTGCGAACTTGACGAATGTGGGGGATGCGCCGGCGGAGAGGGGTGGGAGGAGTGGGAGTGGCGATACGAATGCCTCGAATACGACGCTGGTAGGGGGAAGCCCAGAGGAGCGAGGGAGCGGGCGGACGTATTTTGAGGGGGGTGGTGAGGCGGATAGGAGGGGGTCCTTCCGGCCAGGGCTTTATTCGGAGAAGCAGGGTTGAAGAGGTGGGAATATGAGTATGGCTTGGGATAGCGTTGTCTTTTTTTTTCTCCCCTTTTTTTCTGTCATTCACTGTGAGCATGGCGCGTGGAGTCAAGGCACCTTATAGGAAAACTACCCTGCTGGAGAAATGTTAATTCGTCTCTGTTCCGTTCTCTCCTTTTCGTTTTCTCTTTCTTTTCTTTTATTTGGCGCCGATACGCTGAATTCTACGTCCAAATCCTTTTTCAACTGCAAAAGCTGGACATCTGCTGCGAACACTGCGGGTCATCTCTGAAAAGTTTTGGATTTTTTTTGGAGAACGGATGAAAGCTTGTATGGCCGCTTTGATACCGCACTCTGTTTTTGTTTGAAGAATTGGGCGATGCTGTATAAATTGCAAAAGTGGAAGTACACCGGGGTGCGCGATTGGGTCTAAAAAGGCGTCAGTACTGGGGTTGATCCTCGCAAGGCGGGGAAGTTTCGCCTACCACACCTATTCCAGCAACCGTTCCGCTATCACTCATCGCCATGGCAATACACGCAATCCGCAACCAAGAGGAGTGAAAACTGCACCGCAGAACAGCTCGATGCGGCTCTCTCGTACTGCCAGGTGGCGCGGCCAAGGGATTTCGACTCGGCAGTGCACCTTGATTGATCGCGTGGTCCGATCAAGAATGGGAGGGGGAAGCTTGATATCTGCAGTATGCCTGCCCAAGCTTATCAACGACCAATTGCCGATCGCTTTCCGCTTTCTGGGACCTCCGCCGTCCAATACCCACTACGAGAGACGGGCAGATATGCATGTCTGAGCCGGACCCATGCCAGTGAAGACTTGCTCAAAAGCCCACTCTTCTCCCCGTTGCAACCACAGGCGTCCTACCAGCATCCGCCCACCATGGCTTCCACTCCGAGCAGCAGCAGCAGCGCACCCGCTGCAGAAGAACCCAAACCCTCCACCACCACTGCCAACACCAAAGCAAAAAAGTCGTTCCGCTCCTTCATCTGGGACACCGACACGCACCTGAAAAGCCATGCAGAGCGCGTTCTGCTGCGCAAGCTAGACTGGGCGATCTTGAGCATCGGATGCCTAGGCTTCTTCCTCAAGTACCTCGACCAGGGCAACCTGGCCAACGCGTACGTGTCGGGCATGCAGGAGGACCTGCGCATGTGGGGCAACGAGTACACGTACGCCGGCACCGCCTACACCTGCGCCTACGCCGTCATGCAGATCCCCTCGACCCTCGTCATCCAGCGCATCCGCCCTTCCTACTGGCTCGCCGCCATGGAGGTCGCCTGGGGCGCCTTCACCTTCGCCCAGGCGGGCCTGAGGAATTCGGCGCAGTTGTATGTGTTCAGGTTTTTCGTGGGGTTCTTTGAGAGCTCGTTTTTTCCGTGCTTGTTGTATGTGTTGGGGAGTTGGTATACGAAGACGGAGCTGGCGAAGAGGGTGGCCATTTTTCATATGACGGCGCCGTTGGGGAGTGCGTTTGGCGGGTATTTGCAGGCGGCTGTGTATAAGAATTTGGATGGGGTGCACGGGTTGGCGGGGTGGAGGTGGTTGTATATCGTGTGTGGTGTAAGTTTGCCTCCTGAATTGGTCCAGATGGATGTTGGAGCTGATAATTCCCTAGTGTATGACGGTTCCTGTTGGTTTGGCCACCTTTTTCATCCTTCCCGATACGCCGTACACCACCCGCGCCTGGTTTTTGACGGAAGAAGAGTGCGAACTGTCAGTCGAAAGAGTCAGGAAAGCGGGAAAAGCAGCGCCAGTCAAGATCACGTTGAATACATTTGTCCGTATTCTGTCGCGGTGGAGGTGGTATGCCTTCGTGCTCGGATACGTGGTAAGTTCTCTTGGACCAGCCCCACCACCATCCATCTTACTGATTCGTCTACCTATTTTAATAGCTGTATGGCTCGTCATGCCAGGCCAGCAGCTACTTCGGCATCTGGTTGAAATCAGAACACTACTCTGTTGTCGACAGGAACATCATCCCGACTGGCACGAACCTCATCTCGGCTACTTGCGTGGTGCTCTGGGGGTTCTTATCCGACTACACTGGTAGCCGTTTCGCATTCGTTGTGGGACCTTTGGTAAGCTCTCTCACCAATGGCCGACAGCAAACGAGGTGCTTACAATCTTAGACGTACGGCCTCATTCCCAATGGCATTCTGGCTTTTTGGCCATCGAGCATCCAAGTCAAGGAATTTGCCTTCCTGACTTGTGGAGTGCAGTTGATGACGGCGGTATTGTGAGTAATCATCGGCAAAAATCCAGCCTGGCGATAAAAATCTCTGATACTCTCACTAAAGTTACACGTGGGCAAATGAAATTTGCGCGGGAGATAACGAAGAACGAGCGCTGGTCATCAGCAGCATGAACGGCATGCAGTATGCCGTAGCGGCTTGGCTACCCATTGTCATTTTCCCGCAGACCATGGCGCCGGATTTCCGTGAGTTACTAGCTACTCTCCGTTGACGCGGCCGATGATAGCTGATAAATGCGCTGTAGGGTACGGTTTCCCCGCAACTTTCGGATTTGTGATAGCCGGCATTATTGTTATCATTGGAATTCAACTGCTGGCGCTGCAGGAGCAACGGAGGGCCAAGGCACCGTCGAGCTTGGAGCAAGGGTCGACGAATGGGGAAGAGGCGGAAGAGACCGAAGGTGGTGTCAAGGGGGTGGTGGAGGTGCCAAAACAATGATGTCAATGAGCATATGGTTAGTGACACGGGCTTTTGTAAGACCAGCTGAGCAAGGAAGAAGCGGCACAAGTGTCTCAATGAGGCCTACAAGTCATATGCGCGTCAAGACGTATGGGGTTTGAAGCAAGGTTGAACAGATCAGGGATGCGGAATGCGGGGAAGCCTCGCTTAGAGACATGAGATGGTACTACAGTCCTTCCGTGACCTCCTCACTCGCGATCTCGAATATCGACCATACTCAATTGCAATCTTCTAATCCATCGTGGGCTAGCTTGCTCCAGGGACCAGCAGCACGGCAATAGATACGCCTGTGCGAAACCGAATCGTCACCCATTAGTTCTCAAGGTCCAGTAAAGAGTCGTACAAATCCTTTGGCTCTTTCCGAGCGTCTGTTTCAAGGTCCAAGGAATCATTAAGGCTCGAGTCCAAGATGCGCTTTATCCAAGAGCTCAGAGGCTTCTGGTTGATGTTCTTCATCACGTTGGGTAACGCTGGTGTGTCATCCCAGCTTTCACAATATGAGACGATAATACCTGACGTTTTGAGCAGCCGCTATGTGTTGGTTCGGATATGACCAAGGCGTCTTCTCTGGTGTCTTGATATCCAAAGATTTCATCAATCAATTCCCTGAGACAAGGAATGCGAATGTTAACGGCATCACGTCCAGCTGCTTCTCCGTATGTCATTTACACAGACACAGGCGACCATGACGGACGCTAAAGTGAAACAGCTTAGTGCATTTGTAGGGTGTCTCTTCGCTTTTACAGCGGGTGATCATCTGGGGCGGAGGCGCTCAAATCTCATTGGACTCGCCGCCAATATGGTTGGCGCAATCCTGCAGATCTTCGCCTTCCATCTCCCACAAATGATCATTGGTCGTCTGATCAATGGTTTCGGAATGGGTAAGTAAGCTACCATGCATCACCAAGAACTGGGTTCACAGGCTTCCTTTTGCAGGCATCATCACTTCCATTGTTCCAGTATACCAGTCGGAATGCGCAAAGCCCCAAACACGGGGTCGTCTGGTGATCCTCGCAAATATCAGCAACTCACTTGCTTTCTGCTTGGCTAACTGGATCAACTTCGCGCTCTACTTCCATGGCGGGGCTTTCCAATGGCGGTTCCCGCTTGCGTTTCAGCTCGTTTTCGCATTCGTGTCCATACCGATCATCACCAATTTGCCGGAAACCCCGAGATGGCTGATGCTGCGGGGAAGGTCAGACGAGGCTATCCAAGTGATTGCCAGACTAGAGGGCGCAAATGTGTCGGAGAATGACCCTGCTGTCATCGCCACGCACAGATCAATCATGGCGGCGATCGAGGAGGAGAAGCGGGCTCGCATGCCGGCAAGAGATGTTTTGCTGTTCAGAGACGAAACACAGAATTTTCGACGTGTGCTGCTTTCATGCGGGACGCAGCTGATGCAGCAGTTTAGCGGAGTGAATGCCCTGGGGTACTACTTACCCACGCTTCTCCAGGAAAGTGTTGGGTTTGACGAGCGGAAAAGTAGACTCCTCACTGCCTGCAACTCCACGTCTTACTTTGGCGCATCCTTAGTATGCTTGTATATAATCGACATGGCGGGTCGTAGAAAGTAAGTGGTGATTCCCTTATCGTCATGGCTATTCTGACTTTGTGGCAGGCTAATGCTTTACGGCGCTCTGACGGCTGGATCTTGTTACGTCGTTGCAGCAATTTGTTTGAAGATGGCGGATTTGCATCCAGAATCGAAATACGGGGTAAGTATACACTCTTCCCTGGACCTCCCCAACGTGGCGTCTAAAACATTCCTCCAGCTTGGTTCCGCTACCACAGCAATGTTCTTCCTTTACTACGCCTTTTACGGCACGAGCTTTGCGAAGGTGAGTAGACATTGGATCGGGTGATCTTAAGACAAATACCAATGCCGAACTATAGGTACCTTGGGTATACAACTCGGAGATCAATTCTCTCGGCTGGAGAACTCGCGGGGCCGCTGCAGCCACAGCCACCAATTGGATGGCATCTTTCATCGTCACGCAATTCACCAAAGTTGGCGTGCAGAATCTCGGATGGGGATTCTATCTCCGTGAGTCTTCGATGGCTTATGTTAAAATGCGTACTGATGGTGACACAGTTTTTGCGTGTTTCCTCTATTCCTATTTCCCCATCATATGGGCCCTTTATCCTGAGACCACCCAACGCACGCTTGAAGACATGGACGAGATATTCAAGAGAAACCCAGGGATCTTCGTATTTGGCGATAAAGACCTCACGCAGCGTGCTAGGCCTGGTGAATTCGTAGAAGCTGAGAATACGCGGGTTCGGCAAGCTGCTGAAGAGCAAGATACGACATCAACAGGCATTAAGGGTGCCTGATCAAGGGGATCAGGGCATCAAATTAATGCTTCCTGCTGCAACGCTTGACTCATGAAGAGCAGTGTGACTGCTTTTCCTGGTCCTGATTCTGATGTATTGCGAAGTGTTTTCCGGTGTCGCTCAGCCGCCGGTTAGGCTCGTTGACCTATGCGGAAATTTGTCAAATGGGCTGGCCATATTTTCGTTGGGATTCATAACAGCGTTATTTCTTTAGCACAGTAATTATACCCGCCGAAACCTCAACACCAACCTCTCCCCCTTCGGCGACGGAATAAACCCATCCGCCTGCTCAATCCCCTCCGCATCCACAAGCTCGGTCGAGAAATTCGTATAAATAGCCGCAACGGCATGCTTGATAGCATTGACCGCAAAATGCCTTCCAACACACACCCGTCCCCCACTCCCAAACGCCCAAAACCACCGCCTCATCTCCGCCAGGTCGTTCTCCGATCCCACCATCCACCTCTCCGGCCGCCACTCCTCCGGCTCCGCAAACACCTCGCCGTTCCGATGCAAGCTGTACGCGTACGCCTGCACTGTCACGCCCGCCGGTATCCCTGCATATCCGGCCAGCGTGACGACGGAGGGCGTGATGCGCGGCTGTCTTCCTGCGATGGCGGGCCAGCGCCGCAGCGTCTCGTGCAGGACGGCGTCGAGGAGGGGGAGTTGGTCGAGGTGTTTGGGGTCGGGTAGCGGGTAGTTGTTATCCGTTGGAGAAGCATGATCAGGGAAGATGAGCGGGGGGTCCAGCGTCAGGACTTCGTCGCGCAGACGCCGCTGCAGGGCGGGCCGCCGCGAGAGCTCGTACAGCAGCCAGGTCAGCGTCAGGCCGCTCGTCTCCAGCGCCGCGGCGTTGAAGTCCATCTGGTCGGACGCGAGCTCGAGACGGCGGCGGCGGGGGTCCGAGGCGTGCTTCTCATCGGCGAAATCGTCGCCGAAAGCCTTTTTGAACGCTGCGAACTGCGCGGCGAAGATGGTGGGTTTGTTCTCCGGCTTTTCTTCCTCGATCCTTTCCTCCTCGCCAATCTGCTCCTTTTCCTCCTTGTCATCGGATGCTACTACAGCCCTCTCCGCGCCCTCGAATTTGGCCATATTCCACGCCTCCAGACCGGCCAACTGCTCGCCCACGCACGCGGGGATGACGTGCACCCCCACCCGCCGCAGCCACGCCACCGCGATCGGCATCTCCGTGACCCAGAAGCCCAGCTTCTTGAACAGGTACATGCTGTCCATGTACCACTCGCGCTCGCCCTTATCCAGTAAGAAATTGCTGCTCCGCCGCAGGCCGAACTGGAAAGCGGTGAAAGCGTCCATGGCGTAGGAATGTGCGAGGGGGAGAACGTCGACCGGGTGGCCGCCATCGGCGGCGTGCGAGGAGAGCACGGGGAGGAGACGGGAGTACAGCATGGCGGCGGTCGTGGCGCGGAGGGAGGAAGAGGAGAGGAGGACGGATTTAGAGAAGGCGTGGGAGAACATGCGTCTGCGGAAGCCGTGGGTCGGGGTGTCGAGGGTTGTGAAGGCGTTTGTGTGGCTGCGAGGGAGAGATTAGTTTGGAGAACTGATGGAAGAGCTTTTGTTTGGGCGGACTTGAGTCTTACCCGAAGAAGTCGAACTGAGAGTAGAATGCTGTTTTGGGAAAGCTGGGGTAGATGGTTTTTATTCCCTCTTCTACACAATTGATACTGAGCTCGTTTGGGCCGAGCCGTACGATGGGTCCATGTTTCGCGTGTAAGGAGTAGACGGTCCAGTTTTCGATTTCGAAGTAGCGGATGTAGCGGAGCCAGAGATTGGAAAAGCGTGCACTGAAGTTTGCGGCGGGAATCTTCGCCAGGGGTGAGAAGAAGGCCGGGTATAGCACATATCTGTAAAGTGCAGCAATCACTGCCGCTCCGACGAGCACGCCGATAGCAAGAGCCATTGTGAAATGTGCGGTGGGGCAAGTGGTGGAAGCCTGAAATGCAATTGCGGGGGGTTGCACTCATATATTGGGGAACCACTTTTGTCGCAGATAGGGTAATGTGGCGTTGACCACTGAGGTACCACAGAAATCCCGGATGCTTATCCAACGTATTATGGAAGGCCCATTGACTTTCCCAAACTGACGTGCTTGATCCTGGTCACACCTGCAAACCCCGCTTCGTCTAACGCTTCTCCGTCTTGGCCTTCTGTCTGAGGAATAGTGCCGCCATTGCCCGAACATCACTTCTTCAACAGTCGAGTAGCTCATAAGGCTACACTACAATCTATTACAAACTACAAAAATCCATGTGGGCCCTCAGGTGGCCACACCCGATTTAGTTACATAGACGGCATAGTAGGCTTGTCAACAAATAACGCTTTAACACTTCCAATATTAAGCCTATTTTTCTACTCTCTCTTAATTATATTCAAACCTTTCCAAACCTCCCTCCAGCCAGTGAAAGGTTCGTCAAAACAATAATCACAATAACAACCATCCCAACGATTATCCCCAGGCTCAACCCTCGCCTCTTCCAGCTGCCAATATCCATCCCAATCTATCCACCTCTCCAAATGCATCTTCCCCTGCCCACCACCACTGCCTCTTATCCATATCCCCCTCCACACCACCTCCGCCTCTCTCATGTCAACATGCCCCTTCTCGTCCTGCTCCCTGCTACACCCTACACACAAACTCCTCCCCCTCGCCTCCCTCCCTCCCCACCGCTCAAACGCATTCTCACAACACTCACAAACCCCCTTCCCTACCCCAACCACCTCCCTCACCCCACTCCCCCTCATCCTCCCACACCTCCTCACCTCCCTCTCCCACTCTCCACCCAGCGCCAGCACCTTCGCCCCCCTACTCTCCGGACACGCCCGACACGCATCGCACGCCCGCCACTCTCCGTTCCTCCAGCTCTTCGCCCTATCCGTAAAGCGCGTCGCGGGCAGCAGGCGCGCGCAGTGCACGCAGGCGAGCCGGTTGCGCTTGCGGGCCCACCGGCCCTTTTCTGCGTCGAGGAGGAGTCGCCAGTCTGGTTGTGAAGATGGTGGGAGGGCCGGGATGAGGGAGGCGAAGAGGCGGCAGGTGGCGCGGAGGTGGTACGAGTCCGGGAAGCGCAGGTGGGAGAGGGTGAGGTTGAGGAGTTCCGGTGGGAGGGTGAGGAGGGTTGGTGGTGTGGTGGGTTCCATTTTGGATTTGTTTTTGGATTTGGTGGGAGGAATGGGAGTGAAGCGTTGGTAGGCGGAAACGAGAGGTACGGCGGCGCGCGCACGACGGCGGCCTGAGGATGTGTTTGTGTGTTGTGCTGTGTGCGCTGTTTGAGATGGCTGGCGGAAATGTGGGGGAAGATGGGCGGTTTTGTATATGTTGGTTGATCCTGCGGGCTGCTGCGCCACCGGGACGGTGACTGTTAGTGGTCGACGGGCGGTGTTGCGGTGACACTGCCACCTCTCCACAGCCTCCACCTCCCAAACTTTGCGGGCCTGATTTTGCAACACATTTCTGTGAATTAATCTTGTTGCTTATGCAATGAACCATTTTTCTACTAAATGGATATAATATCAGCATTTGCATCACTCTACCGCGAGCACAGCAAGGATCAGCTATAAGAAGGATTGCACTCTCGTACAACTCTTAACATTCAATTTCATTCTTCATTGACTAACGCCGTAAACGCCTGTATTTCCCAGGAAGCCCGCATTTCTTCTAGAGCGGTGAACCGTCATGACGTGTAGTTCCTGGAGGAGGAAACTCATACTCGATTTCAATCGCGGCCGCTCCAACCCTGTTCTCCCGATGTTTGTGCTATGACGCAGTCAGCAAGTCGTTCAAGCATTGCTGTCGCAACTTGATAAAACTCACCTCGGCCCTCGCCCACAACACAACATTATAACTCGACGTCAGCGTCTCTAGGAACCCATCCCCCTTCCCCGCCGCACTTTCATCTTCCACCTGCATCTCCACCCCCCTCTTCCACTCCACCTTGCAATCCTGATACCTGCCACTCGTTGTCACGCTATTACACACCTTCCAAACCACACCCCCATCCTCCCTCTCCACAAAATCCCACCCCTGCCTCATCAGCGCTCCCCTCGCCTGCACCGGCGTCTCCCACGTATCGCCAGCCATCACATCCTGCAGCGTCGCGCCATCCGTCGCCAGCCCTGCGAACCCGATCACCGGTGTGAGAATGCTCGCTTCAAACCACGCGTGCTGCCCGTCCAACACGTCCTTTGCTCCACCTTCCCTCACCCACCCTTGCCCCACCACCCGCACCTGGAATACGATGCGGTGAGGGATGGGCAGCCACAGTCCGTAGTCCAGCGACGGGCTGGGCAGCGGCTCGGTGCTCAGATACAGGCCGGCGACGCTGCTCCTTCTGCTACTGCTGCTGTCACCGCTGCCACCGCTGCCGCTGCCGCTGCTGCTGCTCGCCGTCAAGTCACCATCGTCATTGGTGGCGACACGGTAACTCCTCCTCTCGCTCCAGCGCGCAACGACCCACGGGCGGCAGCCGAGCGCGGCGACGCGCAGGTGTATCCCCGCATTGAAGAAGCGGCGGCTGCGCAGCGGGAAGTGGTAGACGAGGGCGCGGACGAAGGTGAAGTCGGGCCAGGTGGTCCTGTACGTGTAGGAGGCGGGTAGGTCGGCGGGGGTGAGGGGTGGGAATGTGGCGGAGGAGGAGTGACGAGCGGGCTGGCTGCCGGTGATGGATTTGGCGAGCTGCAGGAGCGGGTTGAATACTCGTGAGGCGTTCCATGGCTGGCTTTCAGGCTGCTGCTCGTCCCCGATGGGCATGTCGTGGTTGCCGAACATGTCGCGGATCTGGCGCGGGGATTTGCCGGTGATGGTCGAGGCGATGGTGCGGCAGCCTAGGTCTTGGAGGGCGGGGATGTCGAGGAAGTGCGCGGCCAGATTGGGAGGAGCTCAGCTTGTGTTCGAAGGGAGGCGTGGAAGGGAAGGCGAACTCACTACCGTGATTTCGAAAAGCGTGTCTAGGTCGAGACTCATGAAAGTCTGGTCCCATTCGTCAATGGGAGGGAGTGCGTAAAACGGAGTCCGGACGTAGTCAATTCTGCGGCTCGTATCATAGTTCTTGTGGTGTTCGCACCAATCGAGAGTCATGCGGAGGATTGGTGCGTCAAGCTGTTCGTACTTGTTATAACAGAGGAATTCCGCAAGCTGGCGGAAAGCTTACATTCTCGCCATCCTTTTCGACAGCAATAGGCTCTTCCTCATCCCCTTTTGAATTATCCAACAGTGTGCTGATCAGTCCAGATTTCCTGGCAACCTCCCTATCTATTCATAAAATTAATACGGAGCTTGTAGGACTCCCTTGGAGGAGTGCGCACCAGCATCAACAATGACATCATTCGCGGCTTTGAGAGCAACGTAATTGCCTTTCATTATGGACTTTATTAAGGATAGGATGGCAATGCACTGCACGAGCTTCAGTGAAACAATCGAATAAAGGTAGAAAATGAGGTACGTTCGTGGCCGCACGCAGTTATGCGATATGGTGTTGCCTGCTGTGGGGCTGTGCTTGACTGTCACAGGGCCGGAGGGGACAGCGAGGCGACTGACTGTTGACTGGGAATCATAAGTTTAACTTGTAGCTCCATCTACCACGTACGACCATAGGTCGCAGAATGCAGGGCTTCCCGTCCGCTCAGCCGTACTTAAGCTGCGAACCGGCCGATTAGTACTCAAGTGGGTGACCATTGGGGAATCCCGGCTGTTGTACGTTTTGCTTTTTTTTTGCCGCCCTGTTTTTTGGTTGCACTGGCCTCGTTTTGCCCCGAGCAGGAAATGATAGCCGAGACCACCAGCCGCTGTCAAGTACATCAGCCATACAAGTCCACCTGGCTCTCCTGCAGGCTCGCGGTCTTTCTTCAAAAGCAACTTTCAGCACTCAGGGCTAACAACGTTACCGTAGGAATGCATGACTGACTCGCCCTGATCAACACTTATCAGCCCTTCTGCGCTGCATCATCCTGTATGGTAGCTGGAGGATGGCGGTCGCGCTTTTCGTTGTATGCGATATCTGACAGAGATTAGGACTGGTAGTGCGGGGGCGTTGGAGAAATCTGGAGAAGCCTAAACGTTCCACAGATTGAGAAATGACGTAACTTCTAGGTTTCACATGCAGTCAGCTCAGGTCAGCGCGATCAACATCTTGTGCTCTGTCGGGAATATAAGCAAGCCAGTGAGCGCCTTGTTCGAATTCCAAAAAAAATTGGTCTATCTTCCACCTTTGACACATTCGAAATGTCGACAACCCGAACAAAGTCGGTAACCATCATCACCGTACCATACCACGTTGGAATATACAATCACCGTGTCGGCGCTGGTCCTCAGCAACTCCTACCCAAGGTCAAAAATGAGTTGGAGAGCCAAAATGTGACAGTAACCGTGGAGAGTATCGATCATGTTGATGATTTCGAAGGCGAAATTGGCCGCAGCTTTGAGCTTCTTCGAAGAGTTTCCAGAGCAGTGTGCAAGGCGAAAGAGGCGGGATCATTCCCTGTTGTGCTTGCGGGGAACTGCAATACCTCAGTTGGAGTGGCTGCAGGACTACGACTCGCCGGAACAGAAGACCTACAGCTTGTGTGGATGGATGCCCACAATGATGCCGACACTCCTGACGAGCTCATGCACGGATACTTCGACGGAATGGGAGTTTCGATGGTCAGCGGAGGTAGTTGGAAGGCTTTGACTTCAACGATTCCCGGACACAGCCCTATTCCCATGAACCAGGTTCTATTCTGCGGCATCCGGAACCAAACTCGCGAAGAGCTGATGAAGTTCGATGCAGTTGGTGCGCAGGTTATCAGTGGAGGGGACAGCAAGCAGTGTATGGAGTCTCTCATGAAATACCAACTTGGACCGAAAGAGACCTTGGTCCATGTTGATCTGGATGTTCTCGATCCGGATGCAGTCGGCTGGGCCAACGAGTTCCCCTCTCGGGGAGGACTCTCTGCGGAAGCCCTTGTTCAATGCATGGGCAAGATGGGACGCGGAAACGCTAGCGCTCTCACGATTGCTTCTTTCATGCCAGGGTTGCAGGGTGGTCAGGCCGTCGAAGCTGCCGCTATCCAGGGAATCTCCTATTTCTTTCAGGAACTCTTTGGGTCTTCTTAAGTATTCTCTCTGAGTTTATGGACCCAGTGTGGGAGCTCTAAATTGGAGAAATCAGATGATTTTCAAGTGCGGGGTTTCCTCCGATGCTAAAACTTTGCCGAATCAAAAACTTCTCCAATCTCCACAGGCAGCTTCATCTCCACAATCCTCCCTTCCAGCTTGTTGGCCATGACATCAGAACGCGGACGTGACTTTTCTTGCCCCCCTTGCTCCAGGTCATTCGCACGGCTTGAACACCAACAGCGACATGTCCGCACTCGTAGGCTTCCGCCAAATATATCCAGGGCGTAAAGACTTACAGGAAATACAGATACAAAGGAAAAGCCTTACAAGTGTAATTGCGGTAGGGTCTTTGCACGCAGGGACCTCTTGACACGCCATCAGAGGCTTGTGCATACGGAAACTGAACACTCGGCTTCTCCCTCCATCTCCCAAAGTCGATCTGGTGTACACCCTGGAAGCTCGGACAACGCCAGAACCTCTGCCACCTTCTCCAACCACGTGGACAGCACATTGCCTTCAACACCTCAAAATTTAGCTGCAGAAGATGGTGACGCCACGACTGCCCCCGGGGTACTTCCAAATGCGACACCCGGGCGCCACCAAGATCCACTCTCTGGCTTAGCGGTTTGGCAGCCAAGTATGTCTATGTACAGAGCCTCCTGGAATGGAACCGTGCTAACTAGTCCAGATCCTGAGGTAGATCTGCCAGACTCAAGCTATGATCCAATTGGGGGTTTTACGACCTTTGTCGATTATATGGGGTTAAGCTTCGATTGGAATACATTAGCCTTTCCTGATCCTATGGTAGACTTACATGAACATGTACATCCTGATTCGACCGACAATCAGCAACACGACTCTCGAAGGCGTACACGATCTTACACGGCCTTCCACGCTGACAGTACCGAAGCGCCCAGTAAGCAAAACGATACCGTCGCCAGACACGACTGACGCTCTGCAGTTGTTTTCGATAAAATGGAAGCCGTGGAACCACCATGGAACGTGGGCAACTTGTCCTACAAGAGGCTGGAGAACGCGCTGGAAAGCTTCAAGCAAGTTCTTCCGGGATTCGTGTTGCCGTCGAGACATACCTTGACGCGGTACGTTTCGGGTTACTTTCACGGCTTTCATGACCATCTGCCCTTTTTATACCTGCCCACATTTCGCCTTGACGAATGCGCGCCGGAGCTGTTCCTTGCGATAGCCGCTGTTGGGGCTCAGCATCGCTTTGAGAACCAGAACGGGCTGAAGCTCTTTGACGCCGCCAGAGCCGTTGCGTTTGAGCAACGGCGCCGCCGCATGAGAAAGTTTGCAGAGATTCGACCAGAGTACCGCTTCGGCTCTACCGCTCGAAACCGCGGGGCGGATAATCATGGTACGCAACCCCAGCTCAGAGATCTCAATTACAGCCAGCAGTCCCGGTATGAGCGCATGCAGACAGTCCGGGCGCTGCTGCTTGTAACTGCCTTTGCAACCTGGGAAGACCATCCGGAGATGGTGCGCGAGGCCACCGAGCTGCAAAGTAGCCTGGCCCGCTGTCTCCGGGAACTGGGAATGAGAGATGACACGGAGACTGACAGCGACGACTGGTATGAGTGGGCTCGTCTCGAAGGCGACCGCCGCACCAAACTCATCGTGTTCTGTTTGCTCACGCTTCACACCATCACATACAACCTGCCACCAGTAATCCTGAGCAGTGGCTTGCATCTTCGACTCCCTTGCTCATCTCGCAAGTGGAATGCAAAGTCGGCATCCGAGTGGCAGCTGCTGACCGCATCAACGACTGCTACTACCGAGCCACTGTTCCAAGACGCCTTCGCTGCGCTCTTCTCCAAGCCGGGACGGGCGTCAGAATCACCAACCACCCACTTCGCCTCACCCTTGGGAAACTACGTCTTGATCCTCGCCCTGATCCAGCGAAGCTACTGCATCCACCAACTCTCCACCCTCGCCCCATCCGAAACCTCCAGCTTAAAGGAACAGCTCGAGCTCGCGCTGCAGCGCTGGAAGCTCAACTGGCAAGAATCCCCCGAATCCAGCCTCGACCCGCACAACGCCAGCGGGCCGATCCCCTTCACGGCGACGAGCTTCCTCGCGCTGGCGCACATCCGGCTGGTCTGCGACGCGGGCCCGCACCGCGAGCTACACACGCGCGACCCGCTGCGCATCGCCGCCGCGCTCACGCGCCTGCCGCCCGTCGAGCGTGGCCGCAGCAGCCGGAATATGGTCGTCCCCGCGCTGCTGCACGCGGCGCACGCGCTGAGCATCCCCATCAAGCTCGGGATTGACTATGTTGCCAAGAGCCAGCACTTTTTCTGGGGCATACATCATTCCGTTAGTAGTTTTGAGTGTGCTGTGTTCCTTGCGCGTTGGCTGTATCAGATTGAGGCGGAGGGGATTGAGGATGGTGATGCCGTGGGAGGTAGGAGACTCTTCCCCCCTTTTTTTATATTGGACCCTCTGTCCATTTCCCCAGCCAACTCTCACTGACACGTTCTTAGATTACGAGAAGCGCATCCTGCTGTGGGTCAGAAGCATAGTCGAAGAAGCCCAGTCGACGATGATGGATTTGCTGGCTACTTCCAGGAGGGATGACGAGGACTTTGGCAGCGCTCACAGCGTCGCCCTGGCCATCATCAAGATCTGGGCGCGCATCTTCCAGGGCAACACGAGCTGGGCGTTGATAAACATATTCGGAGATAGCCTGGAGCTGCTTGCTTCTACCATGGAGAGCGAGAATATATGGGGACGATCTTCTTCAGAGATGGAAACGAAAGAGTGATGGAAAGGCCGGACGACGAGTAGGCGACAACCTGTAGGCTTGTTTCTGGACGAAGCGCACAAGAGTGGGCTGAGCAAGGTACGGGTGATGCTCAATCTGCAGGGCTGCGGGGCTCACATGCGCGTCGTGTAGCACGTCGGTCAGCGGCGAGCCGGCATAGTTGGATACGCCCAGGCTGCACGACAGTGAAATTTGGAGAAGTACTACTCAATTTAATTTTTTTTTTTAAAAAAAAGGCGGAGAAGTAGCAGAATAGAACAATAGGCCAAGCGTGAATCTCTCATCATTGCGGATTTCTGAAGCATCAGCGACATTCCCACATGTGCTTCTTGTCTCCCTCATATACCCCTCTCCTCCCCGCTTACGCCGACTGGAGTTTATGCTCCTCGAACCAGTACTTGTTATTGCCATCGTTCATGCCCAGGAAGAAGAGCTGCTGCGGGGCGTGGGTGTACGACAGCTGGTAAGACCAGTTCCCGTTGGTCTCGCGCCGGTCGTAGACCTGGAGCTTCTGCACGCATTCGCCCCCGCTGGTGTCGTACGTGAGGAGAACTTGCTGTCCGACTTGGAATGTCTGCGCCAAGTTAGTACAGAATATCCTCTTATGGGTTTTTGTGGTGCCAGACAGCAGCCATGGTCAATCAAGAGCCCTGGAAGGATGATAGAAGCTTATGGAGGAGATAGCAAGAGGCTTATTTAGTTGTGGGTATTTCGTGTTTGGTACTGAAGGGGAAGAAGGCCAAAGGTCTACTGGGAGCTCAGCTTTATACTAGTACGGGGCTCAGCCTTGTGATGCTGCTGTGGCTAGAAGCAGAACAGCATGCATAAAAGGTAACTCCTGCCGTCAAATGCATCCTCAAGGCTGCGTCTGACGTGAGACGGGACGTTATGGTTGGCCTATGCGAGTGTGATTCTTCCCGTAGAAAGATACGTGAATCACATATCACAGCGATGGTTTCTGCAAAGGCGCACCAGGCTGAAGAAGCTCCAGCACGTGTAGCGAGCGTATTTGTTAAATCTTCCGTATCCGAACGCCATGGCTGATGCGCGACTCTTGGAGAAGGCTGTCGGCTGAGCAACCCTGCTTCTGGCTGTCTTTTGACAGCCTTGTCCTGTTTGCCTTGTCTTCCACACTTCAGAGGAAGGCATTTGTATGACCACACGCACGCATGTAACTTCTACAATGTGGTACGTCTGCTTGTTGAATTGTTTGCCGCCCGGAAAGAACCGCAGAAAATTCATGAGATGAACTAGCGCCTACGCGCTATGAATAAGGCTGTTGGCTTAAAAGAGGACGACCATACACTACCCATGGTCCATTTTGAATAGCTCGTGGCGACAATCGACAAAGGCCACTATGAGGTGTTCAGTACAGCAGCCACGTTCATCTCTTAAGGGAACAGAATGCCCACACCCTCAGCGGAAGCGAGACAAGCGGCCAATAGCGTGTACATACAAGCAGACTCACCAAGTCACCACTTCCTCATCCTCCGTGGCTTTCCCCAGCCCGAACACATATCTGCTGACCAGATACCCTATCGTTCCAGCCACCGTCCCCAAGCCCGCTCCACCCAGTCTCCTGACGCCACCGCCCATCCTACCCCGCCACAGCGCCGCTCCGGCCCCGGCGCCCAACGCAGCACCGCCCAGCGTCCAGCAGTCTCCCTGAATTTGTCCGCGTCTGGATACATGAAAATTTTTCCAGTTGTAGTCCTGCAGTCCAGCCTCCTCCTCTTTCTTCCAGATAGAGAGCGTGAGGCAAGACCAGAGAAGGCCGAAGACGGTGCCGTGTGCCGTGGTCCGCAGGAGACGGTAGACTGAGAGGATAGGGAGGCGGTGGAGGTGCATTGCGCGGCGGAGAAGGGTGAACGAGGGAATGATGCAGAACCAGAATGCTCCCGCGTTGAAGCCGCTGAGGAGTGCGTGGAAGGTGTGGATGGCGCGCGGGAGCCGTGGGTCTTTGGCGTGTGGGGCGTGGGAGAGGGGAGATGGCATCGTTTTGTTATGCTGTTCCGAAGGGAGAAGAGGTTGGTGTGATCGGATTCCAAGGGGAAGAGCGGCAGGTTAATGTTGTGATTGGTTCTGTATGTGCGACGGATTCTGGGGGGGGGAGGGTTCAGAAGTTGGCTGTCTGTTATATGGAGAGCCGAGGGACGAATGGGCTAGCAAGGCTGGGGCAGTTAGCTTTTAATTAGTACTAAATGCTTCACAGAAGTACGGGAACCTTACGGACTCCGTCGTGTAGAATTTGATGTTCAATTTTGGGTGTGCTGTGGGAGATCACTCAAGATGAGAGAAGGATTTTGTGGCCGTTGTTGAGGGGTTGATTCTGCTACTCGCACTCACTGGGTTGCTGGGTCTTATATAGCATGTTAGAGCCCCTTGCAGATGAAGATGTAGCACTGAGCAAAGAGCTGCTGCCTGGAAAAGTTTCGACCTTTGGTAGGTATGCCAAGGCTCGGCATCTTGGTTTATTTGCTTGTACGTACATACGGTTTAAGGAACTGAGAGGTAAGGAGAGGATCTTCCTAAGAAATTGCGGACTTTCAGGATCCAGTGCAATCGAGGGTAAAGATAGCAATTGGAGGCGACATATTGCTCAATGGTGTTTAAAGCTGGACTATATCCAGAGCGGAGACGGAGATACGAAGTATGCAGCATCAAGCTGGATGATTTACTAATCCTCTATTGGTATTTGAAGCAGAAATACGGAAGTAAATAGGATACAATTAAACGTTGGATTTAACTACTTATATGAGTCCCTTGTGTGACAGATTGAGAAAGGCCAATTTCTTGTGCAATCCCCTATGCTGCTTTGCAAGTACCCACCGCGTTCCCAGCTAATTCTTAGACGTGCCACTTCGCTCTTTCCCCACCAACTTCTTTTTTCCAATGATTTCTCAAAAGGTAACGATACATTTCATTAGTCTCGATATGCGTAGTGGTAGCGGTTCCCATTTGTGCGCATACCCCAAATAGGAGGCTTCGCTTTGCTGACTAACACCCGTCTCACAGCCACGTGAATGCGGCTAATGTTAGCTCCCGTCGGGCCGTACCCGACGTATGCGGGATCGTTGTGAGGTCCGAATGATTGGCATAAGCACTTTGACTCGGCCAAACTTCGTAGAAATTACGGCAGAAGATCTGCTCTCCGGTGTTCATTGAAGCAATGGCGTAAGCGGCGCACGACGCATCTGAAATGACCCGAGGCCGAGGAGTACAAAGCGCATAGCACACAATGAGCTTAGGCAAAGGCATGTGATGGGGCGGTGTAAGGCCCCCCGGAAGAAAGTTCGGGATATGCAGGAGCTGGCACACCGTGTGCATGCTCCGAGCGAGCGAATGGAGATGCGGTGAGTGGCAGCGTTTGATTGCTGGACTGCCTTTGTGGCGTTCGCTGGTGGCACAGCTGCGTCCAAGTCATCACACTAATAGCCTACGATGCTGATGCGTAGAGCTTGTTTTCCTGGTCACTAAAGAGCTAATAAGATGAAAATCGCTGTGATCAATGCGCACCATATCGTTGTATATTGTCGTAGGTGTTTTTAGTCGAGCGCAGTGCGCAGCTGCGATCATACGTACGCGGCTGTGCCGCTGATCTGCGCGCCTACTTGCCCCATTGCACCCACACGCAGATGCGCAACAGCACGTGCTACACAAGTAAGAGCCGCACCACTTGTGAGTTCTGTCATCTGACAAACAGCTGTGAAATCGCATACACCAAACTTCTAAGGTCTCTTCCAACATGCAGCGGATGTCACTTTGATCCAGCTCGCGGCAAAAGTGTGACTTTCATCATTAAATATGACCAGCTTCAGAAAATTAGAAATGCAGTATTATGGCGGGGAGCCACCGGCCTATCACTCTCGAGGTCAGCAGGAATCCCTTCGTATTTGAGCAGTTTCTTGCCCTTCCAGAGGGCAAGCTGCAGCCAAGGCTGCGAAGCCACCGAGCTGCGCCGCAGCAGGGCTGCTCAGCCTTTTGGGAAAGCCTTGGGAGCGCCTCGCACTCTGCTCGCTGCGGCCTGGTAGGCTGTGCACAATTGATGATATATAGCAAAGGCAAAGAACGCGCGCTTTGCGGCCGAGTCCTGGATTGACGGAATTGAATCTGCTCTGCCCATCTTTCAAACTGTTACTGTTCATACACCAGAATGGCTATGAATAAGCGCAGTTGCGAATTATGCGCCGGTGGGTCGTAGCCTGAAGAAACCAATCGGAGATGCCTCGTAAGTCTTGAATTCAGTCCTGCAACACGCCTGACCTCGTGCCTGCTCACTGACCCGTCCACAGCTTGCCGACGCCTCTTACGGTACCATTGGCTGTTCTCAAATGTTCACGTTGGCAGTCGTTATGCGGGAGCTGCCCACGGGTGTCCGTGCGCGCTTTTTCCGCCACCGCCATTGTCTCCATACCACTTCTTCACCCCAGCAGGGCACGACACATCAGCTTGCCGTACCACAATGACAACGCGCCCAGCTGACCTCAGGGTGGATTATCAATATAAGGGATCTGCGGGAGCTCTGCAGGAGCACTGTGATAAGTCGCGGCCAGGTCTTCATCTGGACGAACATGGACGCGTGTAGTACCCAAAAGCTTGTCTGTAGGAGCCAGACTAATCGTGCTCCCGCATATACCCATGCACTCAGTCCAAGTTGGAAATAGGTCCTTGGCCGGGCCGGAGGATGGGCAGCTCCTGAACTTGTAGTATAAGATCCTGCCCGAGAGGGTAAGTGGTGATGTCTGCACCAAACAACTCAACTTCACAGATCTCCTCTTACAACGGTCTGCCCAGCTGCAGAGCGATTCGTGGCTGGTCCAGCTTTCTGTTCCGGGCACTACAGCGTGGTGTCCACACATAACGCTCTCGACTTGGTTCTCCGGAGGACGCCTTGTAAGATCTAGCTTGCAGACCACCATAATGATCCTGCTAACACTGGCACCACAAAAGTGGACATTAGCAGACATTAGATAGCCTGTAGCTATTGCAGGGTCTTACCAGGAGCGAAACGCCGACAGATCTGTGATTTACGGTTAGTACAAAGCATTGACTTCGCCAATGGTAGCCGCTGACTCTTCAACGTCGCAGGGGATCCTCCGAAGACGCATCATCAAATCCACAGGATGGATAGCCAGGCTGAGCCTCGTTTCACATCGCCGCCCAGGACCAGTACCTGGGCCAGTACCTCCACGCATGGTTCCACGGTCTCCTCCTCGTCCACCTCGTCCACCACCTCCTCGATAACCTCCAAGCGGTACAGCTGTGGATCATGTGGCGAGGAGTTTACAAGGAGGAACAACATGTTGCGTCATGAGAAGGATAGCTGTAGCCAGAATGGTAAGAAAAAGGACAAGCGTTATACTTGCTTGAGCCCGGGCTGCACTACTAAAGGGTACAACCGTCGTGATGGGTTGATGAACCACATCAATGAGAAACATGGCGGTGATAAGGGTATGTTGAAGGATGCGGCAATTTGGTACGGTGGGCTGGATTCTGAACAGCATTAATGGTCGATTGTCTCTCGCAAAATCATCTTCTTGGTTTTTATGGGTTGGCATGGCTCCAGCCAATGATTCATCCAGCAAAAGTTGATAGTAAGCCTAGGAAAGGAACTCTGTAATGAAAAATTTGCGCTCGATCGTGCCTGATGAAATGTTGATGCTCGAATTCTGCAAAACTCCTCGGTATGGTCAAACGCATGTTGAAATTTGTTTATCAGCAACTCCCACGATGTCTAAAATCCCGTTGAGTCTACCATAAGGCCTTGATAGGCAGCTTTTGGGAAGCGATATACCAGCTCGAACGGATTTCAAGGCACTAAGCCCGCTTATCGCCCGCCAGCAGCGGCACCGTCCGACCTCGGAAGGAAATGAGCGTTCAGGCATTCGCAGATGTGTATAATGAGCTTTAATCTGAGTGCAAAGCACATGCCGCGTCATACGTTTCCTGTTGCATCCCAGTTCCCATGAGCCGACAGTAACACAGGCTCAGAAGACGAACCGGAAGCCGGCGGGGCCCGGCGGGGTGCTGATGCCTGTACGTAGCAACCCAACAAGCGATCCTGCATGCTTATTGTTTCACCGCTGCCAGAAACGCGGCGATAAGATAGTGGAGACTTGGTACGTCGCTGAAGACTTGCAGGGGCTAAGAACGATTGCTTCGCATTTCCCAGTTTTGATGAAATCCAGAAAGATCTGCTGCGGTGTGCCTTGGAGTCGCAATACGAAGGCATGGTGATGAGTGGTAGTCTTGGCTTCTCTCAAATCCTTGTCTGCTCCTGCACCAGCAGTGCGCCTCATCCCAACGGGTCTCAAAATGGCGCAGAAAAACAAGGCAATTTGGGCAAGGCTAGCAGCTGATGGCGCCTCGTGCTTGGGAATTTGCCGACTCCGATTGTCTCCCAAAAGACGCGGCACGGGAGCTTATCTGGGAGTCGAGCCGACGTCTTTTGGATTTTTCGCCCAATGCAAATGCTTTCGGATCCCTCCAAGTATAGTCCACCCACATCGATGTAAGACGTTGTATTTGTTGACGTCGCAGCTACTTGCATTCTGAAGTTGGAAAAGCCAGCGATCGCAGTCGTGCTTAGCGGATACCCGGAGAAGCTGTGGCCCACTTTTTTCTTTCCTTTTTCTCCTTGTCTCTTTCTCCTTGGATTGTACTCCCTAAGTAGCGAATGGGTTTAATCCGGCGATTTCTAACAAAATCGACCGGGCGTCGTTGAGCGTAATAGCGCACTGTAGATTTTCCTTGGTGTCAAGCCCTCAGCGTTGCACTGCTTCCTCTGCGTCGCACTGTGGCAAATATTCCGGGAAAGGGCTCCGCGTCGTTAAAATAGATGACTATATAAAGCTTTCAAGATTGCTTTTCGCATCATTTCTCACATGTCTACGATATTAGCGCCGAAGAATAGGGCTAATATACAGTCCCCTCTTGCAGCCGATAGATGGCGTGGATTTGTTTCTTGCTCTTGTCATGGGTAGCTGAAGCCATTG